ATATGGTTCTTGAGACGGATATGGTTCTTGAGACGGATATGGTTCTTGAGACGGATATGGTTCTTGAGACGGATATGGCTCCCGAGTTGGAGACTATATCCTTAGTTGAGCAGTTCGAAGAAGACTTATCAGAGTGGGATTTGGTCAGCATGGACAGCTGCTTGTCTAGTCCGATTATCCGCCCAGAGAACGGCTTCAGCGGCGAAGCTTTTACCCGATCTGCGTCGAACGTTACTCGCGAAGACGATGACGATCTCGAAAGCGAAGACTGGGAGTTTGTCGACTAGCTGTCTTTGTCAGGTGAAGCATATGCAGAGATGCTGTTAACCGGATGATACTTCAAAGGAATGCCACGACGTTTATGTGAAGCAAGGTTGTGCTTTGTATATCATGTTTCGCTTCCATTATTTTCGTTTAGCCGGCGATGATGCAGCCACCAATGACGTTGTAGAGTTATCTGGAGTTGGATCCGACTTTCAAATGAAGGGATATGGTAACATGGCTCATAGTTTGTCAGCTTGCGAAAAAACCCAATGTGTTATCTGTTGGAGTCAGAAAACATCCACAAGGTTCACCACGGCTCTTGTCACCCGAACGAATTGAACTACTAGGAAGAGAAGAACGATAACATTCACCCTCGGCTAGCGTAGCGTAACACCTTAGCGTTTACTGATCATTTGCGACTTCAATGATTATATGTTACACGTTGGCTCCAATTCTAGGCCAACAGTATATTTTGAGGAGAAAGAGAAGGGGAAGCTTTGGTTGGACTGCGTTCGATTGGGCACAGTGTAATTAAGACAAAAGTTTGTTCTACGAAGTCCAAAAAGCTATTCACAGGCCTGTTGATGTGGACTACTGCAACTTCTGCCAGCGAGCTGGTAACTGCGTCAGCTTCGTCTTCAGCTTCTCATGCTATATCGCCACGGCCATGACGTGCTTCCCAGAAACGTACCCACTTACGCAGAACACATCGACCCATCTAACCATGCACCTTACCAAGCAGTGTCCCCAATCCTTCGTCTATTGGACGGAGTGCCCGAAAACAGCTGATGGAAGGATCACGATGACTGATCGAGCGACGCAAGAAGGCTAAGAATTGACTAAATATCCTCGGATAATCAGAATGGCTGGGAAATCACCTGATTTTCACCATCACCCGCGAGGAATAGGGATTGTGAAAACGAGAAACACAGGTACACCATCACAAGTAGCACTGGAATGCCCACAATGCATGAAGTGCGCTTTCTAAAATTCAAGGTCTATCCAACACCTGCCATCTAACGCTTTGAACAAGATAAAACAAACGCGTAACAAACTCACTCCCGATCTATCCCACGTCTCTAATTTATTGAAGATTCCCTGCTTGGACGAGTGAACAGCCCGATAACTCCCTTACCCTATAACATTCCGTTCCCTAGCTAACTCTGACATGAAAACTGCGGCGCGAGAGCTCAAATAGCTCATACACAAAATCTACGATCTAAATTTCCGTCGTTTGGTATATCGGTAAATGTATCTCACTGTAACTGTGCACATTAGCATGTACGCCCGAAATGCCAATTTCTTCAATACCGATCGAAGTCGAACTCTCTCACGAATCACTCTCTCCCTCTTTCACCCCATTATCAAGGGTAATGAACCCCTGCGTCACCCACATCTTCTCCGCCTCTTTCTTCAGCGCCGCCTGCGCAGCCGGCGGAAGTCGATGTTCAGTCAGTGTCCTCGCCGCTCTCGAGTCATCAGTCTCGACGAGCATTGCACCAGCCACACTCTGCTCTGAAGACTCGTCAAACTGATACACACGAGATTCTGCATTAGCCCATCCCGTCCCTTCACTTAGTCAGTATCTCGTCGTAAAAACATGCGGTTTTCAAAAGGCAGTGACTCACCAACTCCCGACGTGGCCCCCTGCCAGTCATCCGTTAAATAGTGCAGTACGGCACCATGCGCAACAACAGCCACATTCTCTGCATCTAGCTGTCTTAGAAAGCAACGAGCCTTGCGACACCGCTCAGCAACATCCTTGCTGCGTGGCGAAAACGGGCCAGAACTTTTGTCCGTCCAGGACTCCCCTACGAGCGACAGGTCTAACGGCTCCTTAGGAAATTCTCGCCGTAGTTCCGCAACCGACGAGCCAGTGTCACAGGGCATGTTGGCAGTTTCCTGTAACTCCGGCAATGCAATGATGCGTAAATCAGGTTTAGAATCGAGTAACGAGCGGAAAGTAACTAATGCGGTGTCTAAAGTGCGTTTTAGTGGGGAGGCGACGATGCAGTCGATTTTGTCCATGTCCACGAGCTGTGAGGCCAGTTTTTTGCATTGTCGTTCGCCTTCTGTAGTTAACGTAGGATCGTGGATGTTGTGGCCTTCCAGGTTGAGATTGTGATAGCCCTGGGCGTGACGAATTAAACATAGTTGTTTTGGAGACATGTCTCAATGCAGTTATCAATATGTGATTGTAGTGAATGTGGAACTTGAAAGATGAGTGGAAGAATTTGCACAGAAATTTCAAGTTACATGTTTTAAAGTTTTTCTCATGACGCGCTGCCCCACCAAAAACGGTTGGAACTCCATTCGAAAACGATAGATAAGACTACATAACGTGGATGGGTTAATTGACCTTTTTTGAGAGCTGTACTACACTACGTGAGATCCACTTCTGCTTGTTTCTGCACTACATTCATACCAATATCTACATATATGTTGTTGCTGTAAATTGCGAGTCTTTGGAAGATGATATACTAAAATAAGAGATCGCAAGTAGAAACACAAACAATTCATGTCGTAACTTCATACAAACATAACAACGTGATAACTTGAGATGCAAACGGCGAGTCCCTATTGGTGAGTAGTTGTCCAGATTACCTACACGCTCTTTTGAATACTCCGGTGCTTACTCAACAAACTGAATACAGCCAATTTAATCATAGTTTGCTTCCAGAAAGACGCTCATGACCTGATATTGTACAGAAGATTTCTTCGCTTGCTACCATTTGTAATTTCCAGTCGAGTCTACAGTCGAGTTGTTGATCCTGTAAAGGACTTGAACTATTGACAGTTTGCTAACATCTGATTTTAGCCAGTGCGCCAGCAAACATTGCAGCAAGGCTTCCATGTCTGGGCTTTGACTTGAAGTGGTACCATCTTTTGTGAGGATTTCCTTGGGGTCGGTCCCAGTTAGCTTGAAGCCGATGAAGCATTCTTCAAGTTTGAGAAAAGAAGACGATGATGATAATGAGTAGAATAGCGTATGGTATTAGGTATCTCCCACTGAGGCTCCACTCATAGAGAACAATCAAACCATATCCTTTTTGATCCCGACGAGGACCCCTCAGGGTTAAACGACCGTCGAGACTTCCAGCCGAAAGCCCACTCAGACACCGGCCATGATTGGGCTACCATTTGCCATACACACCAAAAAAGGATCGCACGAATCAACAGCACTTCAGACGCCTGCCAGTCTCTTCTCCTTCTTGTCTTTCTCTGATTCCTTGAGTGCCGCTATTTCCTCCCTGGACATGTTATACGTCGCCGAAACTTGGTTGAACGGGTTGTCAGGATGCCTCTCAAACTCCTTTCGAATCTGCTCAACCTTTTGGTTCCGCCGTAGACCCTTCTCGTCCTTCATCTCCTCTAGTCTCCGCTCCTCGAATGCCGCAAACGCAGCCTTGAACCTTCTCTCTGGGTGGCGGTCGACCTTGTCCTTGTTTTCGCTTGTAATGTCTAGAGCATCGAGCGCGTTGTCGATACCGGTGGCGTTGAGGGCGCTGGGCTTTGTGTCGAACGAACCGAGTGCGGAATCGATGCCGCGTGTCTTCTTCTCTGCTTTTGGAGCTTTGCCTTTGGGTTTTGAGGGAAGAGAGGCTTCTTCCTCACGGAGAAGAGCGTCTTTCTCAGCTTTCTTGCGGGCTGCCTCGGCGGCCTTCTCTGCTGCTGCCTCACTGTGCCTGGGTCAGCTCTTGCTAACAGGGGCTGACGAGAGTGGTGAGAACGTACGCTTTTGCGTTGGATTTGGCGCCCTTGTCCCAGGTCGCTGCCTCTGCAGCTTCACTTTGTGAGTTCTTCGCCGCCTGCTTCGAAGCAGCAGCGTCGGCCTTGCGAGCTTGTCCCTGCGCCTTTTTCGATCCGAGGTTTTCTCCGCCTCCAGCGCCACCCTTTTTGCCTGCCATGTTTGTTGTAGTTTGCTTTTTGAGGAATAGGACCGAGGGGTGAGGGAAAATGCGGTTGGAGTAGATTGTTTAGTGAGTCAAAAGTTTGGCAGTGACGATGACAGCGGAAATGCTGCGGGACAAACGCCGATAGCGGGGCAGGTGGCGTCACTAGCGCCAAGTCGAATGACTAAGCAAGTCCGCGTTCGACGTTTGCATGTGCTCTCTTGACGATAGAAATCAGTGATACACAGGTAATGGGATGAATTGGCTTTCAGAGGCCACTGATACTATTTGATGCACAGCTAAAGACAAAAACATGTCAGAATTGTAGATCATACGGTACTTACACAATGCCTTCTTCTTTCTCTCTTCTTGTACGCTCCCGTCTCGCTCTCATCGCGTGCTTGGGCAAGAGAAGCTTGAAGCCTAGCCAAGGCGTATTGATTGGACTTGGTCCCGTGTATATGAAGATGTCGTACAGCATGCCTCCAAAGATGCAGCCTAAGAATGGAGCAACCATTGGTATCTGACCAGCTCGATCAGTGATTACTCGAGCATATCCGATATCATAAGCTTACCCAGAAGTAGCATCCTCCAGCAGACCACACTTCACCGCCATACCCAACGGCGTACGACATGAGTCTTGGACCAAGATCACGCGCGATATTTATTGCGTACCCCGTCTGCCAGCCGAAGCACGATCCAAGCCCGAAAATGAGGAAAAATAAACATAGAGGAAACCACTTGTCGCTCTACATCCGATGTTAGCTGCTAATCACAAACACTGTTTTCGGAGAACAAACCTTGGGAACACCGTTGTTACTCGGATCCTTCAACGCGAAGATGACAAACATGAGCAATGCGCTCGCGATAAACTCCGAAAAGAACTGGCTCGATTTGGTCACGAATAACTGCGGATACGTGCAGAAGATGCCTGCGGTAGCTTTTGTTGCGGGTGGGACCGTTCTGATCCCATGGCCCCCCTCAAACCAATCGATCGCACTGATGTAGTTCGCGTACACGATGCCTGAACCGACAAATCCACCCAGCATCTGCGCGAGAAAATAGACCGGAAATCTTCTCCATGGCAGTTTACGGAAGATGCAGTTGCACAGGGTGACAGCAGGATTGAGGTATGCCCCAGAGTCACCGGCAACATACAAGCCCAGCATGACGCCTAAGCCCCAACTTCCCTTCGCTGTCAGCTCTAACCTTGTTAGAAAACGATGCAAGATGATATAACTCACCCCCAATTTATCGACTGGTATGCGCCGAATCCCATACCGCCAGGAGCCGTTGTCTGTCCAGTCGAAAGCAAAACCTGCGCCACCGACCCGTCACCAAACATGACCATGACTGCGACTCCCCAGAACTCGGCAAAAGGTTCTCTCAGAACAATCCTTATTCGTGACCACAGTAATTCCGAGCTTGGCCCGTAGTCATGCTCTTCATCGATGGGTGCTTGAGGGTGTAAGCCCAAGAGTGACCGTGTTCCTTGTGCACTCGAAGAGGTTCTGTTTGCTAAGGTGTCGCTAGAATGCGCAGAGTGCTCTGTCGGTGCCTGGGTCAATGCTGCACCACGTGTGTTGGATCGGTAGTCACTGTAATCGACGTGGCCATTTCGCTTGTCGTCAGCCCAGTCGTGGGAGAGTGAGGGCCCCGGAGCCATGGGTCCTGAGGTTGTAGTCGCCATGATGCCTTCTCACTGGCTCAAACTCGGTTGTCAGACAAAGCAGCAGTCCTGATGTCAGTAGCACCTGTGGGATCAATGATTCTAGCGTAATAGTGTAACATGCAGAACCAGCGTTGCGAGCTGCTGGTAGCCGGATTTAAAAGCTCAAAGGTCACTCTCTCCGTGCCGTTCGGCTCGTCAGCCATGATACGTCACTGGAGCGTCTCCTATGGAGGTCGCGACGCGATTGGATCTGAATACGACTTTCCCGAACTCTAAGCTCCGCATCTGGGGTAGACTCCCGCACCATCGGCTGGGGATCACGCTATGGCGCGCTGAAGATGACGTCTGTTAATGCCCTGCATGGGTCTATTACCGCGACGCCGTACTTACATCGTGCGTATCTCATGGACAACAATATTGCATGTAATCGAGTAGATGTTAGTGATATTTCGGTCTACTCAAAAGGAAAAGTTCGAGGTCTTGATGCGGTTTATTCCCGATGTTGAAATGTGGGGAGGGCCATGGAGTTCTTTTGTGGGTTCTCCATGGATCCTTTGTGGGGTGCATCGCTGATCCCGTTCAGTGGAAGGCGCGATACCCAAGTTGTGTAGCGCTGCTTGGCGTTTCTGCCGTGCTCCTTTGGCATGTCATCATTTCAAGCGCAGATACGATCACCGGCAAATGACCTCGATGAGTCTAAGAGTAATAGATTGTCGACAATAAGTGACTATATATGTGTCCCTGTAGTAAATCAAGATGGATGAAGAAACCACAACTGCAGATTGATTCCACTGTGACCGGTTTCGAAAGAAGCCAAATTGAGTTTTAGAAAGCGAGAAAATGGGTATCGGATTGTAATAGCATAGAACATGGCAATTTTCACGAGTCACAACTAGAGAGACCATTAAGTTATACTATTGTGCTAGCATAGACACACAGCTCAAAGATGCGGCACGTTCAGACTCGCCAGCAAAAGATTGACGATGCTGAACAATCCCTCTCCCAAAATCAGACCGCTGGCTAACACGATTATGGGAGTTTCACTTCTCCCTTTCCAGCGCCTCCACCACAAGCTGAGTAAGCCGCCGATGGTTCGTGCAAGTGTAAAGGATGGCGTGTTATACATGCCTGGATAATTGTCAGCTCCCAAACCAGTGATCGCCAAGGAAAGAAGGAGTAGTGGACTTACCAACAGCAACAGCAATACCTCCCGGGATAAAATCAATCCACCACCCACTTAGCCCATTTCTCTTCCTTGTATTGCCCCAGACGCGAAACCCGGTTCCGACAGCAAAGATTATCGCCGCACCACTCGCCCACTCCACCACCATAGGCGGCAATCCTTGGCCAGTCACGAGACGGGCAGTGAAGACCCACACATACCCCGTAGGCACTTCGAACAAGCCCCCAGGAATAGTGTACACGTGTGTATACAGCTTGTATACTACAGCAGACAGCACAGCTCCCACCGCACTTCCAATCATTTGACCCCAAAACTGCGCGTTCGGCGCCGCCCCCAAAAGATGCCCACACTTCAAGTCCTGGAGCAAATCGCCTGCCTGTAAAGCTGCAGACTCAGAAATCGCGCCCGCGACGAGATTGATGATGACTGCGTTTTTCGATTTTGGGGTGACGAGTGCGAAGACGAGTTGCGTGAGCTTGGAAATACCGGATACAGGATTGAGGTCTGTTTCTCCTAGGGCGCGAACGCCCATTACGGAGAGGAGGAGGGCGAGCAGCAGGGCGAGAAGGGTAAGCCGGAGTGGGATGAGCGAGGGGAAAGAAATATGGACTGCGACTGTGCAAAGGACAAGGGAGGCGATGAGGCCGATTATCGTTGTGCGGTTGGAGATAAGGTGTTCAGGGGGAGCATCGGGTTCGGGGTCTGCGAGGAGGTGCGGCTTGAGAGTTCTTTCCGGATTTGTGGACATGCCATCACTGAGCTGTGTGTAGGTGGGTGTGGACGTTATGTTGAGTGTAAGGAGGTCTTTCCAGGTATGCGACTGGAAGGTTGAACGAGCTGCCGGGTAGTAGAGACGGACAATCGCAACTAGCGGGCGAAAAACAAGCCACCCAAGACTCACTAAGGAGTCTGCTAGCATAATGGCAAGTGAAATCCACACAATCCAACCCTTTGAACCGTTGGTCCAGTCTGGCACGGGCCCTGGTGCCCACCCTCTGTATTTTGCAAGAGGGGATAGAACACCCCAGCCTATGATCGCGCCAAGAAGCATGTGCAGCGTTGTCGCGGGACCCATGATAATGCCTTGTCCCACATATGCTGGAGAAGGGTTAAGTGACCAGAGCCAATTCTTGGCGAGAGAGAGGCCAAAGATAGGGATATCGTGAATATGGGGGATGAAGTAGGACACGACGGTGTAGAGTGCAGATCCAGCGAACGAGATCAGCAACAGTCGCATCTTGGCTTTCCAGTCTCCGTCCTCTCCCAAATCTTCCTCAAGTGTGCTCTCCCCAACATCGAGCGATGGACGCAGGAGATCGTCGTCCTGGTCGGTACTCGCACGCTGTAGTAGTCCTTGTTCTTCTCCCTCTTCCTCCTCTTCTCTTATCCCACGTGGAACACTCTTCTTTCCCTTTTCATCTCCATGTAATACCTTGATCAAAAGCGCCGTGGCCGTTCCACTTGGAAATTTTAACTTCTCTCGAATAATCATCTCTCGCCTCAGCGGCACTGCAAACACGACCCCAAAGAAACAAATCCCTACCGACCAGACAATCAGCCTCCAAAGACTGATATCCAAAGGTCCATTTTCTTCCTCCCTCAGCAGGTAGTTCAACGCAGGGATGACACCGACGAATCCACACCCTAGAGGCATTGTACCGACCGATCCAGCGACGGATTGGACGAGCACATTTTCAACTGGCGTAAAGGGAAATTTGAGGGTGCGTGCAACGACCTTGAAGTACGCAAAGCCAATCAGCGCGGAAGGCATGGCCATACCAGAGACCCAGCCGGTTTGAAGACCGAAGTACATATTGGAGAAGCATATCACGACTCCGATTGCTAATCCGACTAGAACGCCTCGAAGCGTAAAGTTTTGCGGTTGCGAGGCTTGGTGTGCTAGACGGCGAGCTTCCAGACTGTGTGAAATATCCTGGTTGGGTACGTTATCTTCCGTCTCTTCACCTTGCCTGTCTCTTGCATTGCTTGCTCGCGTTCTTATTGGTGGTGATCCCCGATCTGGCGCCATATTTGACAAATTTTGGAGGGGGACGGAAGAAGACAGCGTATGTTCCTGTAGTGCAGGTAGAGGAACGATCAAACAATCTTTATCATGATTCTGAAAAGGTATCTATTGCGTGATGGGACTGAGCAGGGGCATGTGATGATGCAATTCGTTCGCGGTGAAGTTTCTCCACATCCGAGGCTAGTTAACAACGGGCTTATCTCCGCTGTCCGAGCTCACAAACGTCCAACCACTCAACGTGCATCGTGAACGTATCCAAGCCATCTTTGGTTGAGCACTGTACACCGTTGTAGCCCTCTTCTTCTATCCTTTCACCCCGCTGTATGCGACTTGCTCCACCACCATGAAGTTCTCAACTGCCCTCCTCCCCATACTAGCCGCCCCCCTAGCTTTAGGGGAGCACACTTCCAACTGGGCGGTCCTCGTCTCAACCTCACGCTTTTGGTTCAACTACCGCCATCTCGCGAACGTACTCTCCTTATACCGTACCGTCAAGCGTCTTGGAATCCCAGACTCGCAGATCATCCTCATGCTGCCTGATGACATGGCCTGCAACCCGCGCAACGCCTTCCCTGGTACCGTCTACAACAATGCGGACCGCGCGCTAGACCTCTATGGTGACAATATCGAGGTAGACTACCGTGGTTATGAAGTCACGGTGGAGAACTTCATCCGCCTGATGACGGACCGCGTGGGCGAGGACATGCCAAGGAGCAAGCGGCTGATGACAGATGAGCGAAGTAACATCTTGGTGTATATGACAGGCCATGGGGGAAACGAGTTTCTCAAATTCCAGGATGCTGAGGAGATTAGTGCGTTTGATCTCGCCGATGCGTTTGGGCAGATGTGGGAGAAGAAACGGTACGTCCACCACCCCCTCTCCGCGATTTTCTCACAATGCTAATACAAATGCAATGTTAGCTACCACGAACTCCTTTTCATGATCGACACTTGCCAGGCAAACACCATGTACTCGAAATTTTACTCCCCGAACATCCTCGCCACCGGCTCCTCCGAAATCGACCAATCCTCTTACTCCCACCACGCCGACTCCGACGTCGGCGTCGCAGTCATCGACCGCTACACATATTACAATCTCGAGTTCCTCGAATCCAAAATCAGCGACCCCACATCCAAGCTGACCATGGGCGACCTATTCGATTCGTACGACGAGGAGAAAATCCACAGTCATCCGGGTGTGCGGTACGATCTGTTCGAGGGTGGGGAACACGCCGCGAGAAGTAGGCTGGTTATGGACTTTTTCGGCAATGTGCAGAATGTGGAGGTTGAAGGAGAAAGGAAAAACCAGACGCTCTGGGAGGAAGAATTAGGTGCCATCGAAAAGATGATCACAGAGGCGAAGAGACGGCATAATGAAAGTTTGTACACAAGGCCTCAGCCTCAGCATGTTGTTGAAGAGGCGGCACCTGTGAAAAGTCTGAAAAGAGAGGGTGCTGTGAGAGTGGACGAGGAGCAGGGGTGGACAAAGCAGGTGGTTGGAGCCGCAGCGTTGTTCGGATGTGCTGGGATTTGGTTGGCGGGGAGTTTGCTTGAGTCATTGTGAATGGAACCCTGGAGCGCAAAGGTAGTCCAGTGTACGCGATATGAAACGGAGTTTAGGCAGTAGTTTTGAGATACCCCAATCACCTTGTTGACTTTTTTGTAAATACATGTTATATTTCGATATCGCGTAAGACCCATCTGATGACCATGCCCATGTATGCGGGCGTCTCATTTTCCATAGAAAAGGGGTAAGGTATCATATCCATCCCATGCACCTTGACAGAAACTCCTCTTTACAAGCAAATGCAGAAACGCCACTCATGTCAGAGCCCCGAACGCCGGTCGTTCTCCAGTAAACCTTGCGGCTCGGGCCATTAACAACTTGGTTATACCCTTGAGTACACAATGTAAGCTCCTCAGCTGATCGGGCTTTGGATCGGTGGATCCTTTTCTAAATCAGACTAAACCCTGCTCCCTGAGAGCCACCATAAGCCATCTCCTTGAAGCCCGCCGGAACCGTCCAGCCATGTACAGCGCACGCGCGCATGTACGCTTCGACTGCCTCGCCGACGCCGTAGTCAATCCGACCGCCTGGCTCTAAGCGAGCAGGCTTCGGATCAGTGCTCGATATAGCGACCCGAACTTGAAGAAGAACGGATTCAATCGAAGACACTGCCGTCCAGCCGTCATTGGTCAAGAGTTGCATACACATAGCTCCACCTGCTGTGACATGTCCGCCGCCACCAGCCTGGAATCCTAAGAAACGTGGTCGGATAACGCGGACGAAGGGCGGGCTCATGGGATAGTCTTTGCCGAAGCGCAACTCCAGCACGACACTCTTGATATTGCGTTGCTTCATCTCCTTTGCCAATGGAAGTACGGGATCGAAAGAGTGAAGCTCCACAATCCACTGGTACATGTTCTCCATCTTGTCCTGGTCGATATGCCAGCCAAGCTCGTGAGCAGGCGTCGTGTTCTGAACGTGGATCAAGCTCTTGAAGTCTTTCATCAAGCACTTTGTAGCAGAAGTGGTAGCCCATGCTGGATGTTGAAGCATAGGAAGGGTGCTATAATCAAGCGTGCCAGGGACGTAATCTGTGAGGGCTTTCTTAGAACCCATGAGCTTGGAGAGACCATTCGAAACCATGCTTCCAATTCTGGATTTGCCTTTGTCGCCTGTGATGGAGTTTGGCGTAGGAAGAGGATCCAGAACTTGAGATTTGAAGAAATCGCCGTCTCCGTCTTCGTCATCGTCGTTAAAGAAGATCATTCGGTCCTCCTCGAGAGTGGCGACACTTGCACCATCGTCATCATCCGTATTGATTGGGATGCGATCATATTGACTATTGCCTAAGGCTTTCCGACGCTTGTGACTCTATATGATTATTAGTAGGAATCGAGCAATGGTAGTTGGACATACCGTTGTGTTCTCTGGCTTCGATTGCCTTGAGTTTGCGACAGCACGAATGGGAATGACGAGCTGGTTGGCCGAGGCACCGCGAGGAGTCAGGGCTGGATCCTGTTCCAATACCTCCAGTGGCTTTGTTTCAGTGGCTGTTGGAGCAGTCACCGTTGTTGCGTAGTTCCCGTTCGATTTGACGAAGAGGTAGCGAGTTTGAATCCAGTCGAGTTGGGCGACTACAAGATGCGGAGTTTTACTCACAAACTCCAGGGGCGCATTGACAACCTCGTTCAGAGCCAACGCATGCGGCATTTTGAGCTCACTCATGGACCAGACGCACTCGACAGGTGTGGCCTGTGAGTAGCCTATACTCGTGTTTAGGTCAAGTGAATGGTAAACGCCGTTTCCAAAAGCTCGGCCGTGAAGAGTGTCGTTAAAGTGTAGACCTTCGCGTATGATACTGTGCCAGTTTTGGAACGGGCTACCATGCCAGGCGAACAATGTAGGATACTTCAAATGGAGTCTATCGGAGGTCTGTCGCACCGCCTGAATGAAACGACGCTCCTTGTCAGGAGCTCCCATGGCGAATCTGAACTGTGCCCATCCGGACATACCATACAAGCGGCCGTCTGACTTACGATTGCTGGCAGTTTCCTCTTCGTGATCGGTCTGGAGGATACATGCTCGGTTTGAGGCGATGATCCAACGAAGGACTCCTAGAGCAGCAGATGGAAGGCGGTCGACCCAGGCACTTAGCGGAGACTGTGTCTTTCGGAGGAGATAATCTTTCATCTCCTTCACGGGTGGAAGTATATCCAGAAGGATAATGATGGCCTGTCGCTTCTGTTGCTCTAACAAGTCGTCGAAGTTCTGATTATAGACGTGGAAGCTCGCGTCGCGAAACTCTGTCGTCGAACCTGTAGGGTTCTTGTTCTGTTGACCAGTCGATGGAGCCGGTAGTGATCCTGGATATGTAACATTCTGTGCAGATGGGATGGACGGTATGACAGGCGTAGAGACCTTGACGGACGGGTAAAGCGAAGCGTCGACCACACGACAGTGCAACGCTTGTCTTGGGTCTTTGCTCATTCTTATGACGACCCAATCTGAACTCCTAACAGGGCAAGGTTTGGTTCTATCCTCAAACAACATCTCTTTTGTTTCCATATTGAATCTCATGCCATATGCACCTTTATCGACGATCGAATCTTTTGACAGAGACTGCTGTGACGGCAGTGCTCCAGACATTCCACGGTAATTGTGAGGCTGAACGTCTGCATATCCATTTTCGTTCGATAAAGGAGGAGGTACCGCTAGGCCAAGGCCAGAAGGGAAGTCTTTGAGTTTGCCTATGCGAGCACTCGCATAGCAGAAGCTGACTAGGAGGTCCACCACCTTCGGTTGAGATAGAATCTCATGTTCGATACTCGGACCAAACCCAAGCGACATGTACTGGTACAGACACAACGGATTGTCACAAACATAAGGCTTGATGGCTTGAAGGTCGTCTGCCATCTTGTTGAAACAGATCAGACAGAATTCAGTGCAACGCACAAAGTGTCGCAGTACAAACTGCATTCCCACCAGAGGAAGAGAGTGCTTCTCACTCAACGAGTCTTGAATATGATCCGCCATCACAAGGGAGGGGTAGTTGGTGCTGACCTGCTCAGGCTCATAGTATCTATCCTCTGCACCGGCCGTCGAAGTTGTGTGTGAAGACCGTGAAATTTGGTCATTATAGAACGCTTCGGCCCCTTGCCAAGGCATTCCGCTGTATCGATATTTGAGGATCATATGAAAACGTTGCTCCAGCAATTCGTTAAGCGGCCTTGAGATGAAGGAATTCCGGAAACCTTTCGGCAGTGTGGCTAGTGGCTGGGGCTCGGTTTGCTGTGAATCTTCTCGTCGCTTCTCTTCGTCTCTGCTGAGTACTGTGAAAGCCTGTATCGCTTCTTTGAGGTCAGGCTTGTAAGACGTAGAAATACCGATACGAAGGCTGAAGTTTCGCCGAGCTGTAGCTGCGTCGTACGACTTGAGATCGTCCATATTCTTGTAGCCATTGGGGTAGTGAAAGATGGCCACGAGATACTCGTTTGGCTGCAGCTGCCACGCTTGCATAGCTTCCTCGGAGATGCCCAGTTTGGAGACACGAATCGAGACACTGACGTAGCATGCTAAGCCATTCATAAGACCTCCCAGGTAGCCAACCTTTAAGCCTGCCTCCTTCGTAGTTCGAAGATCTTGGCGCACGCGTTCACGGAATTCCGGTGTAGCTTGTGTGAAACCTCCAGTTGGGACCGACTCGTGTTGGTGAGTGCCTCCAAGCCTTGGTGAAACGTCCTCATCGCCCGGAAAGTATTCCTCCTCTTCGTCGTAATCTCCTTCTTCTTCGAACTCCTCAAACTCCTGCGAGTCCAGCATCTGCTGGTCACCATCTCTATCTGTGGATTCCAATTTGCGAGATACAAGCTCAAGGATTTGTGGTACCGTCTTGCCAGCAGCAATGGCCGAAGTCTCGTCGAGAATAGCAGAGACAGTGGCTGACGCGTTGTCCGAACCAAATATCATGCACATATGACTAGAAGGATAGTCGGAGAGCTCAGGGATCAAGGCCGAGATCTTGATTTGGTATCCATCGGCGACGCACATAAAGGTGAACTCGCCGTCATCATTGCCCACTTGAACATCGGAGATGCCCGCGATAGATACGCCTTCCACCGCCTGTTGGAGATCGGCGACGAATTGACGACGAGGCATGATTGCTGAGGTAGATCCCCGGCGGTTGCCAGTCCGGTTGTTGGGTTGGTTGAACGTGCGAAAAGTCGCGGTAGTGGTGGTGGACGCGTCGCAAGTGGAGACGAAGCTAAAGGAACAGAAGCCCCAAGAGGAGACGCGGTGAAGCTCAGAAAGGCAAGCGGGTGACGTCAGAACCGTGAGCAATCGTGAATTCTCGCTTCAAGCAGTCGCTTCTTCCGCTCACCTAGAAGGGCAGGAAGCCTGTATGTCTCCCTGTTGCGTTATAGCGTGAAATAACAATGGCAAAGTACCTTGAGGATGTCTAGTCGAACCCCCAACAACTACGGAAGACCTGGAGGCAATGGTGCTCACGAGTAGTTGTAACGACCTGTTGTGTGACAAACGACGTGGAGGCTCAGCAACCCTCCCAACGCCCAGATTGACGAGCTAGAAAAAACGGTGGCAAAGTGAATGAAGAGAAAAGAAGGCTGATACAAATCGTGAACTCACAAACCCTCACCGACACACGCTTGGCACTACTACTTGTTCATGTACGATGGCTGCCTTGTCAGGTTGCAAGCTGTTTGTGGTAAATCAACACAGAGCTCCTTCGCGTATTAGGCAACAGACGCGCAAAGCCTGCGCTTGGGCCAGTCCAAAACCCCGCACCCTTACAGACTTCTGCCCGTCATTTCGACGAGGGCGATATCAGGTTCACTTGCGCCCCTGAATCTTCACGATGAATCTAGAATCGAGATCGTGATGGAACGAAGAAGCTTGGTCTGTAGCTCAATATGACGTGCCCCTCCCCCGCTAAGAGTATTTTAAGAAGCGGGAGGTTCCGAACGGCAGGAACGACTCCGAACTCGTCGTAACTCCGTACACTACAACTGACTACATCGTTAATGCCACTCTGCGTCCTGCTCTCATCCTCTGGACAGCCCGTGTCGTTCTCAGGTGCGAAGTGAACCGTTTCAGGAAAACATCTAGCCCGACTGCCAGCATACGATTACTGCCACCTTCAAGCTTACCATGGCAGTATCGGAGGAGAGAGTACCGCCTAAATCTGCGCACGTGTCAGATCCAGCGCTTGCGCCGTTCCTCGCTTCACAATTTGATCCCGCTGATTATCTCAACGCCACACTTCCGGCGCTGTCGCTGGCTTCCAGGCCACTAAAATCAGCCAATGCGACCTCCTTGGCCGACCTCTCCTCACAGACCCAGGACCTACTCTCACAGCTCAATGCACATACGACGCGCTTGTCGGCGATATTGACACAATTGACTGACGATATACTGCGGAGTGGAGGGCGGCTAGCCTACGAAGTCGAAGTGCTGCGCGGCGAGACGATCGGGCTTACGGACACGCTTACACATGACCTGAAAGAGGACATTGAGAAATTTCTGCCAGGTGGCGTTTCGGTGACGACGAAACAGTCAGACGATGAGGCTGGGGCGACAGAAATAACAGGAGAGGTAGGAGAGGTAGAACAGCACCAAGAAGCGGCGCCAAACAGCGCAGTGGAAACCACGCCAGACTACATCTCTGATCTCCGCACCCTGACGACAGTCCGGTCGCGCCTCGAAACCGTTATCAAAGTTTTCGGCGAAGCCATGCACTGGACGATCCCGCCCAGCGAGCTGTCCCTCACATCCTCCTTGATTAGCGTCTCTGCGCCCGAGCCCGGAAGCGACAGTGCGTCTAGCGAGCAGAAAGGTAGAGAGTTCGCTGCTTCTCTACGCTCCGAGATCGCTGACCTCATCGTCGGCGACGAAGAAGAGCAAGGCATGGCCAAAGCAGAGATCAGAATACAGGCATTGAGGGACCTGGCGCAGGTGTGGAAGGGCACGGCGGAAGAGAAGGCTCGAACCAAATTTGTTGAAGGTCTTGTCAAATTGGCAGAAGATAAGCAAAGGGAGGTCGAGAAGGAGAAGGAGAGGGGCAAAGAGAGAGGGCAGCAGAGGGCAGGCAGGAGTGGGAGTATCGCAAAATCACAGCAGGCACCTGCTCCACAACAGAAGAGTGGCGGATTTTTGGAGAATTTGCAAAGGATACGTGGGTTTGTGGAGGAGGAGATGCGGTCGTGAGATTGCTCACGACAATGGATGTCACGTGAACTCGCGTCATAATCGCGTTCGCTAGCCTGAGAACCTAGTTTAGCCACTGTGAACTGCGATGTCGCGGTTGATGCTCGTATGAGCATCCGTTTGTCTGTCGTTTTAGCTGTTCATCAAGTGACGTTCATATCACAAAACGTGGTGAGCTCCAGCGAGTACTATGGGAAGTGTCCTCACCTTACCATGCAGGCTCAAAAGTCAATTTCAATTACGATTATTCAACGTCGTACTGTAATCTATCATACAAGAAAGAGGTTCTTTACCTATTCAAAATATCAAAGTGCCTCGCCTTCGATCCATCCCTCCACCGGGCTATGTTAGGTCACCCCACGGGAGCCAGCCCTCTCGGGCGGCTACAACACTGTAGGGATCCCTTCAAGCCGCAGTGGAGAGCGGGGATGGTGAGCACACCAGCTCTAACCCTCCAGAATAGACGCCTAAACCACACCGAAAAACTCCAACCGGGGTATCATTGAAAGCGACCGAACTCCATGCAATGCCTTTGAACATTCTGACCCAATCAAACGATGACAATCTTGTCCAAAGCCGCCATAGCCCGTTTGGTCTCCGCTTCGAAAGCCGCAATCTGCTGCTGGCACTGCATGCGGAGCTTGGCTTCCCCTCGATGTGCGTTGTAGATAATCCACTGCTCAACCGTCATGTCCTTTTCGGCGTCAGTGAGGCCAGCCATTACTGCGGCGTGGAGATCCTCGGGATTTTTGGATGGATCAATTGTGTCGAGACCAGCGTCAATCAAAACGTCGCTCATCAATTGGTCCAGGTGGTGGTCGTCCTTGAAGAAGGCGTCGATCTCGATGGGTTGCCATATCTGCTGGAGCCCTCCAGCCTTCATGGAGTCAGGGGTCCTCTTAGGCGTACTGACGAGTAAAGAGTTGGGCAGACTAGACATGTCGAACGATTCGCGTTGTCCAGATGGCGTCTTCTTAGGGGTGCCAGCCGGTAGAGAATCGGGCAGGCTCGAGATGCTTGAGTAACGGAGCCTTTTGGGAGACTCCATGACATCCTCAAAGCCATCAACCTGTTCGCTTGTGCGTTTCTTGCTCTGCGTGCTCTCGGGCAGGTCCCTTGCATCTTCGCTCATACGAGCTTTACCTCGGGGAACCTTCTCGATGGTCACAGCCTGCTCGCTGGCACGTTTCTTTCCACGTGTGCTCTTCTGAGGCATCTCGACTTCCACACCGGTATGCTCCATGTCAACAGTGTTTGTCGGGAAATCCTCAACCTCTTCACTCGTGCGTTTTTTGCCGCGTGTGCTCTTCTTAGTTGTGCTGGCGATTGAGGATCTCGTGGATGCGCGCTTGGCCTTCGTAGCCTTAGTGGTCGAGGCCCGCTTGCCCTTCTTCGGTGCTGGCTTCGTTGTAGGATGGTAGAGTTCGCTGAGGGAGAAGAAAAGGCAGTCCGCCGCACGTCGACGGTGTTCTTCCAACGGATCATCGCCGGCATCCCAGGCGTCCAGGGACAAAGAGCAATAAGGACATGTCACACCATCAGACGTCTCCTCGGTCGGGTCGTAATACCAGCCAGCTGCGGCGAGCTGATCTGGACCAGGAAAGCCGGCGGCTGTGTCGAGAGGCCAGAGGTCGGCGAATGTGTCACGTCGCGCTGCCGTCATTGATTCGCTGGTCGGATCTTCTTCTGTTCTGCCGGGGTCGCCATTGCGCAAACGTATGCAGATGACGGCTGCGTAGCCACAGCTAGGGGAATGCGTGAGGTGTTCGTAGGCCGGATTGTCGCTTTCTTCCCAGCCGTCCAGCTGGCAATGGCACGCAAAGCATTGAACGTTGTCGGGGCTTGCACTGGTTGGCCTCCAGACGAAGCCAGCGTACGCCAGGTCCTGAGCAGACGGCGCCGCTAATGGCCAGGCATTCTTCGCTTTGGGTGCTGCCTTCTTCGAGCGAGATGATGTACGCCGCAGCTTGTTGCCTGTCGAGCCCTGAAAAGTGGCCAGTCGCGCCTGCACACAGGTGAGGGACGCGTCCATTGCGGAAGGTGCAGGCTGTTGTTGAAAGTGTAGGCAACGAAATTTGTGTGTCGATGGCGGTGATGGGATGCTTTGTGATAGTCTACGCTGCAAAACTTCTTCACACGCAGTGTCTGGATGCTGCGGTGATGAGTGCAATGTAGCGGGGTGACTTGTGTTGAGGAAGTCGCTAATACGTGCAGAAGGCGCGTTTGTAAACAATGCGATTGCGCCTAAGCCAAATATGGGATGGAGGTGCCTTACGTCATCCTTCGCTGTCACCTCGCAACAATTGAAATATCCAATTTACCGCAAGATGTATCGCTACCGTCCATTGAGCCGAATATTGTGGCAGAGGCCGCTGCCCTCTTTCAACCGCCGTTTTATATCCACCCAGACAAGCAAAGCGCCGCACCAGGACCAATCGCTCCCCCCAGGATGGGAAGATGAAGCTCCCTCACTCACAGACTTCACGGAGCTGCCGCACAAGGATTTTGGGAAGAACCAGTTGGTGCATACGAATGAGGAGTTCAAAAGATCACTGAGGGGCATCCTGAGGCAGTTCCCTCCCATCACGTATGCATTCGCATATGGCTCCGGCGTCTTTTCGCAGTCGGCTGCGACAGCTACGCGCTCGACGCAGTCACCGCACCCCAACCCTCCCGAGGCGGTACTGAACTGGCAGAAGGGCGGTGGGAAGATGATCGACTTCGTCTTGACGTCGAAGTTCTCGCAACACTTCCATTCACTCAACCTGCGCGAGCACCGAGACCACTACTCCTTTCTCGGGTCATTGGGTTCAGGTGTCGTCAGTCACGTTCAGGAAGCTTACGGCGCTGGGGCATACTTCAATCCCTATGTTATAGTGAACGGGACAATGATCAAGTACGCAGTCGTCAACTTCGATACGCTCCTCCGCGATCTGACCAACTGGGACACTTTGTACTTTGCCGGACGTCTCCACAAACCCTGCAAGATCCTCTTCGAAGAACCCAATATCCGCGTTGCAAACCAGCGCAACCTCATCTCCGCCGTACGATGCTCGCTGCTACTACTCCCGCCAACATTCACCGAGAAAGAATTATACTCCACAATAACAGGCTTGAGCTATCAGGGCGATCCACGCATGCAGTACGGCAGTGAAAATCCCAAGAAGATCGACAACATTGTCACGAACCAGATACAAAACTTCCGCTACCTCTATCATGATCTGATCATGTCGTTACCAAACATTCAATACACAGACGTCCAGCAAACTGCCAAGTCAGGATGGATGGAGGACACCAATCTCGACTTGAAAATCACACAGGATATGGATCCCGAGCGCCGCGCCAACATGGTGCGACGGCTACCCAAAAGTTTTCGTGAGAAGGTGTACTTCCTCTACCAACGTAAGTTTGGTATTCCAGGGCGTGAGTACAAGGCAATGCTGGAGGCGAGCAAGGACGAAGACGACAAGGGTAGTGTGAGGAAACAGGTTGGTGGTGCGTTTGACAAACGGATAGCAGCGGAGAAAGATCTGCCGCAGATGGTCACGAAAGCAATCAATCAGACTGTCAAGTGGCCATCGACGGTCCAGAGCTTGAAAGGGTTGCTAACAGGGGGTCCACAGAGGTCGTGGCGGTATCTGCAGGAGAAGAGGGAGAAAGCCAAAACAAAATGAGTGGGGTGGTGAGGGTCAGTTGCTGTCCTCTGTGACAAGCTTTTCCAGGCAGTCATTTCTTTTGTACTACTACCAAAAAGCGTGAGCGAACAAGCTGCAAAATATACTTGGATCGGTCTATATTCCCAGGGCAATTATGTCGATTTCAAGTCGCCCTGGGAAGGCATACGCGTCAGGCTTGTTAGTTTGAGCAAACCAAAGACCGCTAGACCTGGGAAGCGAGCAATGTACGACCGGTGCTACTGTGTATGCCCACACATGCCCCTAGGCTGTACAAAATCCATTACTTGCTAGAGAACTCGCTTCACTTCAACCCCTGTCTAGCCCAAAAAAAAGACAGTCAACCGAATTTGTACTGTATCAATGCACTTGAAAAACTGGGTTGGCGAAAACTTATCAAGAGGTCTCGGCCTCATAAACCAAAAGGTCAAGTGGTATCATTCGCTAACGCCATGTATGCATCCAATCCTGAACTCCAAGGCCAATGTCAACCCAGCTTGCTGGCGTTGACTTTCGCAACGAACGACGTCCCGTCTGTAATATAATCGCCTTTGCTCCAAATACATCATGATCCAGACTCATTAGCCACCACCTCCTCCTCTTCCTCTTCTTCCAGCGAAGTCTCTTTTCTGAACAAATTTCTCCAAGAAGACAATTTGTGATCACCACTTGTACTCGAGCTCCGAATGCTGCTTTTGCTGCTCCGCACTGAAGACGATCTTCGGGGTTCGGATTTCGAATTGGCGTAGTAATCGTCTGGGTTTATCGAAAGTGTGATTTCGTCATTGGATGGTTGTTTGCCGAGTTTCGCTATTTTTGAGCGAATGAAGGAGCGGCGGTCTATCGTAGAAGTCAGTCAAGATTCCAACACTTCATGGCATGTGTGTGCGGGCTTACGCATGTTTCCCGCGCCTCCTCGTCCGTAAGAGATACAGGGATCTGAAGTCGAATGGCCGAGCATTTTGAAGAGAGGTCCTGCTGAGTGGAGATTGGATGTTGTGTATGGGATATCAATCGTCGGAATTTGAAGTCAGGGTATGTTGATTAAGGTGAAGTATATATCGTTCGCAACAGATAGATCCAGAGGACCTACACGCGGGGACCAATTTGTGTTTATACATCTACGTACCAGTATGATGACGGTCTGTGCCTGCAACTCCGCACTCGGACGAAGATCCGCCAGACAATACAACCCGAGAGTCCCCGCGGCCCTTTGTCATTTCGCGACTCTCCAGCCTCACATTAGACACGATTGACACATAAAAAAAGTAAAGATAAGCTTTAGCGGCGGTCTATGGCACACTAGTCTGGCCATTTGCCACCATGTGGTAAGTTATACCGTACAAATTCGGCGCAATGGATTAACGCTAGCTGGGGGGGCGGCTGTGCTAAATAGACGCTCCAATGAATACCCCTGAGTGACACTTGGGCCAATATCAGAATCCACTGAAAATTTTGTTAGCCTGGGCTCCCAATCTTTTCTCAATCCCATGTGCAGGAGGCTCTCCAAACTCGTCCAACTTCATTATATTTGACTAGCTGCATAATGGGCCTCTCACCCAAGCCAAACCATAAGCGAATACCCCTTGCTGATGTCAACGCAAGTAATCTCACCTCCAACCGTTCCAACAAGGTCTACAGGCAGCATGGCAACAAGCCAATGGGGAAGACAATTTACCAGCGGGCCCCATACAAGTTACCTCGTCGGGTAAAAAGGACCCGTGTCGTCCGAACAATCCGACAGAAGCTCAAAGTTGTCCTCTACTTTATGCACCATCGGCTCGAGGATAAGGACTATCGCGACGGTAAGGAGCAGAAGCAGCGGTGCCTCCATGGATTGGAGTACGATGGCTGGTATAGACCTCCAACACTCTTCGACGCTGCCGATTGGTTCAAAATCCCGATGACTACCGCCTATAATATATGGGCGACACGCCATACGATAGTGGCGGCGAGTAGAAGCAGTCGTGTTACAGCACCGTCGACCAATCGTGAGAGGTATCCCGAGCTCGAGCTTGAATTGTTTCGGCAGTTTGTCGAGTGGAGGCAGATGGGACGGAAAGTTTCGCGGTACTGGTTCCATCGACGAGGGAAGATTATATTCGACACGTTGTATGGCCATGAACTAGATGAGAACGGGCAGGTCAGTAAACGCAGTTATTGTATGGGGAAAACGGGATTTACTGACCTTGAGCAGAAGCTGCAGTTCCAATTTTCAAACGGCTGGTTCAAACGTTTCCTTGGACGATGGGACATCTCCTGGCGACGGCTTACTCACGCCAGCCAGCATCTCCCACCCCACTACCTTGAACTTGTGAATCGATTCCTCCGGTTTATTCGCCGAAACTCGCTGGTCCGGACAAGCGTTGGCTGCTACTGGCGCTTCCAGCTGTCCAACATTATCAACATGGATGAAGTGCCAATTCCTTTTGAGTTCTTTGATGGGTGTACTTACCATCTCAAAGGAGAACACACGGTCACTGGAAATGTTACCAACTCCAGCTGGGCTAAGCGCCAAGCCACCCTGATCTTATACGTGTTTGCCGACGGCGTGCCAAGACTCAAGCCGAAGCTCATCTTTCATGGTGTGGCGGGCGGCGAGCTTGACAAGAAGGAGCGAGTCAATTGGGACCCTCGTGTCACCGTTGAGGTCAATCCGAGCGCGTATAACAATGAGGAGCTCCTAGTTAAATGGTTAGACAAAGAACTGTTTGATGTATTGGAGGGACGCGACAGCTTACTCGTGATGGACCACGCCGCCTTCCACAAAACAGAAGTTGTGAAGGCAAAACTTCGGGAGAAACGCGTTTGTCTGGCGATGATACCGGGCGGATGTACTGGACTACTCCAGCCACTAGACGTTAGTATAAATAAGTCCTTCAAGGCATCGATGAGGGAGAAGCTTGAGTTGTTGATGGACAACGAAACCTTCGAGGAAACTCCGACGAAACAGACAGCGATTTCAGCGCGGCGGATCGCGGTGACGAGGGCCGTTGCCGATGCCTGGGATGACCTGAATAGGCAAAAAAGACAGCTTATTAAGGACTCCTTTGTCCATACTGGCATCGCTGTTAGCCCTATCGGTACCGACGACCACTTGATCAAGATCAAAGACTTTGTTGACAAGGTAGACTTTACCGGTTGGGAGATCTCCGAGGACTCGGCGGAGGACCTGGCTGACGTCAAAATCGAGGAGCTCGACGACGACGTGTTCGCCTACTCACTGCCGGAGGATGAAGGTGAGACGCTTGCCCGGCAAGAAAAGAGTTATAAGTCCATGTTAGTACCTGATTTAAAGCGCGTCATGAAGAGTAGACTTATACCTGGAGGCAGCCGCATGAACAAAGCTCGGCTCATAGAGCGACTGTTGGCGGAGGACGCCAAAGGTTGGATTCCATCAAATCCCATCATCATTGATGGCGCCGGGAATTCTCTCGGCCCACCTGAATTGGCAGAGCGCGCGGAACAGGAGGAGAGGGAGGAGATGGAGCAGCAATTGAAGCTTGGAAAGGATTGTAGTACAATTGAAACGTTGAGATAGACGTGGGCGTTGAGGTTGTGGAGTTGTTTGGATCGTTTTGATAGACTCTAAAGTTTGAAGTTCTCAAAGTTCCTAGCGCCGCGCTAGTAACTTGGCATTGCCTAATCGGGTAAAACGCCGCTGCAATTTGGTGCTGCTCGTTGTGCTGGTGAAGAATTGGGAGGATTTTAGAGCCTACCCCGCAGTGTTCACAACTGTTGCTCACGTCTACTTTTTGATGCCAAGCTTCCAAAATTTACTAGCTGTACACGCGTTTTTTTGAACGCTCGGCTAAAACTTGGGACTCGCGAAACATAGCTCTAATCGCGGGCATAACCTCACCGTTCAAACGCTACATCTCACGCAGCACCGAGCAGCTGAGCCGCGCGCACGAGCCACACCACGTGACTGAGATTACGTCATACTTTGAAAATCGGGAAATACTCGAGTTGGATATGTATCAACTCCAAATTTGAGCTCAAAATGCACGATTTGAGAGCTATAGTATAGCTATCGACCTGGAATTTGAATGGAGCGATGATTATTTGTATGTAGCCAAGCCAAACGAGGCATTTAAGTTTTCGTGCTAGAAGATAGATCCCGATAACCCCAGCTAGCGTTAATCCATTGCGCCGAATTTGTACGGTATCACCCTGGTGGTAAAGGCTTATCAAGGCTTGACAACCGTAATTATCATCTTTGAGCCTTTTGGAGCAGAAGAATGTGCGCGGGGATGTCTCCACAAAATCTCAATGGCTACTGGGGATGGGTTGGGGACCGGTAAGAAATGACGTAAAGGTGTAGATCATTTTCTGACGGGGACGAAAGATACTCCTGAAGGATATGTAACAGACGGTCTGTAGGAGACATGTAACCGTTGAACTAACCGTGTTGTCCCTACGTTGGGTAGTTTAGTGTGCTTGGGAGTCTGGCTATCCTTCCAAAGACAATCATTCAAGTTCTGTTGAAAAAGGATGGCAGGATAGGCAATGTGTAGTGATGTCAGAAAGGATCTACACGGAAGAATAGAAGTGTCAAATGCAGTCTTACTATACCTTTAAGTAAAGTAGGTAATCTATTTCCCTTCTCAATTTCTTACAGTTGCCTCTAGCAATGGCCGTCCTGTAAAAAAGAGGTAACTTAACTACAGAAAGGTTCTAGGTAATTAATGGGTTAGATCTAGCAGAACTATTCAGAACTAGAGTAGAGTAGGTCTAGTTAGTTAGTTAGTTTATTTATAAGCTTTGCAGAGGCCGAAGGCTACGTAGCTAGAGTGTAGGATCCTTAGTAAATGCTAGCTTACTAGTAAATACTAAGGTACCCCTAGGTCTAACCCTAAGAGCTTCTGTATCTACCTAACTACTTACCTATTATTCCTTTACTAGCCCTTTAAGGCTAGCTTAGAAAGATAGGCAGAATAAGTTATACTATACTACTAGCTACTTCTAAATATTATTCCTAGAAACGTTACTCTCTTACTTATATATACTCCTATTACCTATACTGCTTTAGTATTTACTATCCCTCTTAGAAAAATAAAACTAATTATCCTACTACTAGTTAGGGAGCTAGACCCTCTCTATCCTAGCCTAAGTAACTAATAGTATACCCTTCCTTATTCTCTAGAGCTTAGAGGGCGTAGTTATAGTTAGAGTACCTAAAGTAGCTTATTAGCTACTCTTCCCTATTAAAAAAATATTAATAAATAAGTAAAATTTAAATCTACTTAGTAGACTAAAGAGGTAGGTTTATACTATCTCCTTTCTTCTAATATACCTAGGTATATAAGCTAGTCCTACTTACTATTAAAGCCTACCTATTTATTTAGTAAACTATAACAGGAAAAAGTAGTACCTTTAGGTATTATTAACTTCCTAAAGTATAGACTATTTAATAGCTAAGGTATTAACATACTAGAACTAATAAAGTATATAGCTCTTTAGTACTAGTAAAGTAGCGTATTTAGCTATATCTAAAGTCCCTAGAAGTTCCCTTATACTTATTAGCCTATAACTTACCTAAGCCTATATTTTATTACAATCTCTGCTTAAGGCTAAGTAAATAAATAAAATATAGTAAATAGTTTAGCATTTATTATCCTAGTATAAGTTATAAGTAGGTAATTCTACTTTACCTATCTAAAGTTAGTATATAGTATTATTAAGGCTTATATAGCCTATAAAGAGGCCTATAATAATAAAGGTAAAAAGGTAGAAGATATTCTAGTATTATTTAAGTATCTTAGGGTCTAGGTTAGAGATAATTACTTATAGTTATCTTCTACTCTAGCTTACTATCTATTTACTATTCTATTAGATTAGGGTATCTTATTCTAGTTAAAGTAAACTAAATAATTTTAAGGGCCTAGCTTATAACTATTAGAGTATAGGTATTTAAGAGGGCTTAGTTTTATAAATAGCTTACTATCTTACCCTCTCTTTCTTAGGCTGCTACCCTATTATACATTTTATAGTATTATTAGTAGCTTTATTTCCTAGAATTTTCTTATAGCCTAGAATCTAGTAAACTTTAATTAGATATAGAAACTACTTATATAAATTATAGAAGTATTTAATAAATTATTAGCTACTATTTACTATAGGTTTACTAATAGCCTAAACTAGTCTATAGTTATCTATATATATAATAGTTAATTATATTAATTTAAGCTTAATAATAGCTTTTATTACTAAGGTAAGGGTATAAGCCTTACTGTTATATACTAAGTATTCTTCTTTATTGCCTAGGCAAGCTTAATATTTAGCCCCTATAGCTAGATAAACTACTACTACTCTAATCTTTTAGTTAATACTAGAGCTATTAGAGTACTAGTAAACTTAAAAGAGTTTATAAGTATCCTAATAATACTTATAGGCTACTTCTTTTATCTCTAGGTAAACTATTTATAAGTAGCGTCTTTATAGCTTATTTATAAAAGGTCTATTTAGTTTAATATATTAATAGGCTTAGGCCCCTATTCTTTATTTTAAGGTAATAATATAAGTAGCTAAGGAACTTAGGTATTTAGCCTTAATATCTACATAGAAAATAAGCTACCTACTATAAGGTTTAGTAGCTATTTAGAGTAGATTTTTAGTAGTAAGTTTATCTAGGTATTTCCTAGCTAGAAGTAAAGTAGTAAAGACTTTAGTAACCTCTCTAGGTATATTTTACTAACTGCCTATAATCTAATTAGTAGTATTTTATTATATACTATTTAATTTTATTACAGCCTTACTTAGGTTCTTTATAGCCTTTAAGTTAGAATTACTTTAGTGCTAAACTAAGGCTATAGCTATATATTTTAATATAGCATAGGCTTTATAGGCTTTATACCTAGCTTAAATACTAATACTCTAGGTTAACTTACCTAGTACCTAGATAGCTAGTAGTAAGGTTTTAGTCCTTATAGCTACTATAGTAGTGTATAGGGTAAATATAAGTATAAAGTCTAAAAGAACTCCTAAAATCTTAATTATACTAGTTTTAGCTAGTTTAATATATTATTTTATAAAAGTTATACCTAGATCTAGATTATAAGGTTTAGAATAGAGCTAGTATAAGTATAGTAGTTAAAATTTAGTAGGATTAAACTTATAACTGTATTAAGCAGCCTATAAAGCGTATTTAAAGCCCTTCTCTTTAAAGATTTTACGTATCTATTCTATAGTTTTACCTACTATAAATAAAGTAATATTATTAATCTAGCTAGTAGTAAAGAGTTATTAGAAGTTAGATAAAGTAGGTTTCTACTCTATCTCTACTAAGTCTACGTTAAAGATAATAAAAAGTAATAGGGATAGAGGAGATTCTTAAGAGATCTTTATATTAATAGCTTCTAGTTTACCTATACCTTTAAGAAGATATATTTATATACTACACCCTATTAGAAAAGAGGCTATAATTCCTATCTATTACCTCCTTAGACATTATTTTAATATATTATAGAGAAGTCTTAAATAAGAAATATAGTTAAAAGCCTCTATAATATCTATAAATACTACAGTTACTAATAGCCCTTAATTCTAGGCTTTATATACTTATTTTACTATATTATAGAGACAGTTCTCTACGTTATAGCCTTTTCTGCCCCTATAATAGTAGTTAGAGATAGTAGGTTCTAATTTAATTAAAAATTAGAGTTTCTAGGCTAGAATAGCTTTAAGGTATTTACCTATAGTACTTAGTAGCGCAATTAGCTAATAAGAGGTAACTATATTTCTTAGTTTCTCTAGTTTCTATAGTAAAACTATAATAAAGAGTTTAAAAATAGAGAAGTAATACTCTAAAGTAGTTATAGTATTTAAAATCTATATAAGCTATTAAATAAGCCTAGAGTTATAATCTTAACTAGCTAGTTTAAGGATTTCTTAAAAAATACTATCTTCTCTAGAAGCCTTTTAGGAAGTACTCTAGAGGATTATTATTTAAATCTTATTAGTAGTAATATAATATAATTTATAGAGAGAAGAGTAGGATCCTAAGTTAATTATAGAGTTATAAGGGTTATTAATTTTCTAGAAGAAAAACTTAGCTCTTAAAGCTTTAGCTTACTCTAATCCTTCTACTTTCTATTCTTTAATTATAAAGGCTAGTAACCTTTTCCCTTTAGGCTTTAGCTTATTTTAGTATTTTTAGATAGTAACTACCTTCTATAGGTTTCTAGTATTATTAGCTCTTTTAATATCCTTTTAAAAAGACTCTTATTTCTAATACTTATAGCTAGATTTCTATAGCTTAACTAACTAAGCTATAGTTTTACTATAGCCTAAGCCTTTCTTACTCTAGCGCTAGTAGTATGTTTTTCTCTTTACCTTCTTCCTAAGATTATTTAGTTATTCTAAGAAATTAAGTTAAGAAAACTATAAGTTAATAACCTTTTAAGGCGTAGTAAATTTAATAGCCTTCTATAGCTAAGTAAGTAGGCGTATAGTATATTCTTTAAGAAAGTTAATATCTAGAATAGTTAATTCTTAGCCTTAATATAGGTAGGATTCTAGAAATCCTATTAATTTAGTAGTATTAGTCTTATCCTATATAAATTTCCTAAGAAGAGGTATCTTTTTAAAGATATAATCTTAGATAGTAGTATAAATAGGTAGGTAGTCTAAAAAGTAATTAGCTTCTCCTATAGTCTTACAGCTAGATATATAATAAATAAGCATTATTAAAATAAAGACTAGGTTAATTATTAAGAGTTACTAGAATTAACTATCTAGTTATTACAGGAAATACGTTAGAGTACTAGAGGGTAGTATTTAGGTAAGTAAATAACTTATAGAGATTTAGAAGAGTATCTTCTCTACTAAGTTACTTAGGCGCCTAGTATCCTATTTATACTAATAGGTATTAAAATCCCTAGCTATTAGCAGTTCTACTTACAGTTTAGCTAAGTAAAGTTTAAAGATAAAAGTATTTAAGTCTCTTAAAACTATAGTTAAGTTAGTATTAGAAATATAGTTATAGATATTAACTAGTAGAATATTAGTCTCTTTACTAGTTATTAGAAGAATTACTAAAAGGTTAGTACTCTTTTTAAGAACTCTAGTTACTTTTAGGCCTAAGTTCTTATAGATATAGATTATAGTTCTAGTATTCTTTATAGGTTTAAAGATAGTGTAGTACCTAACGTAGTTTATAGTTACCTATATTTTACTAAAGGTATTATACTATAGTTCTTATATAAAGACAATATCTATTTTAGAGTAAGCCTAATTAGCTAAAAATATAGAGTAAGTCTTATAGGCCTTACCTATATTATAGAAGATAATAGTAAGTTCTAGGAGTAGAAATTCTAGCCTCTTTTTTCTTAAATATCCTTATACTTGTATTCTAAACTATAGGGATTAGTTAAAGTAGTAGCTTTAGATTTAAAGTCTCTTAAACTACTAGCTAAATTAAGGTTTTAGTATTTTACTAGTAGGAGCGTTTTACTAAGTCTACTAAGGCCTCTTACTACTAGTAGGTCTTTTCTCTTCTAGAGATTTTGTAGGTCTAGGGTTTAGAAGTATTTCTTAGGCTAGTTAATTATTTACCCTAATTAGGTAGTAGTAGTTAAGTCTAAGGCTAATATAGAAGAATATTAACTATAGTTCTTATTACTAGCTATTAATTCTGTAAGATTATTACTACCTTCTTAATTAAAGTATAAATATTTAGTAAGCCTAGTATCTTTAGTAATCTAATATTCCCTTACTACTCTTTTTACTAGCTAAGAGACTACTGTTTTAGTAGCCTATATTTCTTCTAGCTTAGTATTATATAAGGCCTTAGCCTTATATACTACTAACTCTAAGGAAAGTAGGTTCTACTTAGTAGATTATACTATTTTAAGTATTAGTTTTAGTAAAAAAGTTTCTAGTTTTACTTTAAACTTCTTAGGGTATATAATTAGCCTATCTAATATATTTCTTAACTTCTAGATACTTCTAGTAATAGGAGCCTCTAAGAGAAGTTAACTTATAGTTATACTCTTAATTATAAAAGGTAGAATTAGGAGAGGTACTATAAGTAATAATAGAGCTACTTTCTCTAACCTAGCCTTTAAGGCTTTAGTATATAGGCTAATAAGAGGTAAAGTATCCTTTTAGAAAACTAAGCTATCTAAGTTTTCTAATATTATAAAAGTAAGTAAAAGCCTCTCTTTTTTAAAGTTTACTAGAGCTTCTAAATTCTATTTATTTACCTAAGGTCTTATTAGTAGTCTTAGGTTTAGTATATTATACTAAATCTTTAGAGTTTCTTTCTAGGCTTTAACCTAGGTAGCTTCTTAAGTATAGAAGTTATAAGTAGAGTCTATAGCTATATAATTACTTTAGCAGTTTATATACTTTTTAATTAAATTTAAGAAATAGTTTTCTTTCTTATAGGCTCTAGTATATAGTCTATATACCTATAGCTAGCTATACTAAGTTCTAGTATATCTTTATATTATAGTAGTATATCTGTATTAATAGCAGTTAAAGTATTAGGTAATTTACTAGGCGTAGTTATAAAGGACTATATTTAGCTTCTTACTCTACTATATAATACTATACTAAATAAGAGTATTAGTATCTTTAAAGTTATTAAGAGTAAGAATAACTAAAGTACATATCTTCTTAGAACTAGTCTTAGAGTTAAGCTAGCTAATATATAAAATATTAGCTTTAAAAACAGAATTTATATTATCTAATTTAAGAGTTACTATAAGAGCCTATTTCCCTTATTTAGATAAGTCTATCTAGTTAATAGGTACTCTATATACTAGTACCCTAAAATAGGTAGTATTAATAAAAGCGCCTACTATCTATAGCAGCTAGAATTCTAAGGTTTCTAGAATCTTATAATAGGATTCTTAGTTTTCTATAAAGATTTCTAGGTCTTCTAAACCTAATCTTTAAATGTATTAAATCTTAGTTCCTTCTAAGCTAGTAAAAGTAAGTAAAATACTCTCTTTTAAAGTCTTCTAGTATTCTGCTAATATAAAAGTATTATAGTATACTAGGTTAGTAATTATAACCTTAATTACCTTAAGATTTCTATTAGTTTACTCTATATATAGGGTTTCTAAAGGAGAAATATAGGGTTAAATAAGGTATAGGACTTCTATTATAATATCTAAGGCTAAGGGTTAATTCTCTATAATACTAATATTATAGTAGTGTCCTTTACCTATCCTCCTAATTAATTGCTAATAAAGGTAGTTAATTTTCTTTATTATAGTAGTAATATCTTTAGTTTATTAGATACTTTTAGTTAAGTAGGTATAGTAGTACTTTATAAAGCTAAGGGCGTCTTAAATAAGAGTAGTAATATTATTTCTCTTAATAAGGGAAGCCTTTCTATTACTAGTAAGGGCTTCTAGGTATACTTTAAGTACTATTATAAACGTAGTAAAGTAAGTCTTAAGGTTATAAGTTTAGATACTTACTACCTATTTAGTCTAGAAAAGCAGCGCTATTATAATAATAATACTAGGGCTTTAGGGAGCTAGCTAGCTTATAAACGTAAGTAAAGTAACCTTTCTAAATTAAATAGTAGTATTTTAGAGGGGCTAGGTATGGAGATTTCAAAAATTTTAATTCCTCTGAAGTTGGTGTTTTTGTAGAGTAGGTCTGCATGGATGTTTACCCGGCGACTATCATCAAGTGAGATTAGGCGAATGTCGCCCACCCTTGAACACCTTTTTCCCAATTGCGAAAGCCTTTGCTGGGGACATAGATGATGGTCTCATTCATCTATCAACCACGAAACAACTGCTATTAAATGGAGTATCTGCAATTCCATGTTCCATGCTGGCTTTTCCAGGACTTTCGGCGTCACGATAAAGGATGCGTCCACAAGTCAAGCTTACATTGACGATGTAAACAGATGACGATGAAACAATGCTGGAATATAGAGATACTAGTCTGCGTAAGAAACACACAAACTTCGTATAAGCCAGAACATCAAGAATACGTCAGACAGACCGTAACGCTATTCACAAGGAACCAACCGAGCTGGTCGACCATGTAAACCCACCCAATCACCATACGCGAATCCACCTGCGCCACACCACCCTACCTCCATCTTAGCTCTCACCCTACAACCACCATCTCATCACCATCAACCACCCTATCCGCCTGAAAAAAGAAGAACCAAAATGTTGAAGCCCTCCAAACCCTACACACGGGACCTCCAATTCCGCGGCATCGCTTCAGGCCTGACCTACCTCGGCCCAGACTCACGCCCACTCTGCCATCTCTTCAACGGAATCCCCTACGCCCTGCCTCCCCTCGGACCATTCCGTTTCCAAAAACCCAGACCGCTGCCTCCATGCTACCGGTACGGGACGAGGGTGAATCCGGCGACCTTCACGGGGGGATGTGGGTTGTGTCCACAACCGGGAGCGTTTGGGGAGGTGCTGGATGCAAGCATATGGGATGAGGATTGCTTGCAGAGTAATGTGTGGGTTCCGGTTGGGGAGCCGCCTGCTGGAGGTACAGATTCGAGCTCGTCGTGTTATGGGTTTGAGTGGTTTGGCTGATGTGTTTGAGTAGGGTGGCCGGTGCTGTTTTGGATACGTAAGTTTTCAGGACTCTCCTTGTGTAGGGGTTTTTGACTTTGCGAATGTTGGGATTGATGTTCAAGTCAAATTCTCGAGGGAAAACTCCCTTTGATATCATGGATCCGGGAGATACATATACCCACCTTGGCTAACCCATCACAGACGGGGGCTTCCTCCAATTCGGTAGCCCAAATGACATGGACCTGCGCGCCCTCCTCAGCGAATCACCAATCCAATGCATCGTCGTTGCACCTGCCTACCGCCTAAACCTCTTCGGTTTCCTCGCCTCCTCGGAGCTCCAGCAATCATGTCCCGACTTTTCCGTGAACCTGGGTTTCTGGGACCAACGCATGGCACTCCAATGGACGTGGGAGAACATCAGCTACTTCGGCGGCAACGCATCCAACATCACCATCGGCGGCTACTCGGCGGGCTCGCACTCCGTCTTCCACCAACTAGCCTACGACCTAGGCGTCCCGAATGAGAAAGCCATCATCAAGAGAGCGCTCATGCTATCTAATGGGCCGGGTGTACAACCCAAGAGCCTAGACGAAGCACAGGACCAATTCAACGAATTACTAGCAGTTCTGAACATCCCCACCACCCTATCCCCAGCAGAAAAACTCGCAAACCTCCGCGCCCTCGACACAAAAACACTAACCGCAGCAAGTCACAGGATGAAGTTGCACCAATTCCGCGCCGTAACAGACGGCGCCTTCGTGCGGCCCAACCTCCTCTCCGAGCTCGACAACGGCACCTTCGCAACACGCATGAAAGCGCGAGACGTACGCCTCATCATCGGCGAATGCAGCGACGAGCACTTTGTGTACGGGACGTGGCGGCCGCCGCAGCCGGGATACGAGAACATGCTGCACCGCCTGGAGGCAGACTACCCGCGCACGGCGTGCCGGGCTCTCATGGCGCACTATTTCCCCGGCCGTAAACTACCTGCCAAGTATGCGAGCTGGCAGGAGGCGTTCGGTCATATATACGCTGATGTGCAGATCCACGCCCTGGAGCGCGGGATGGTGGATGGACTGGTTCGCCATGGTGCGGGGGAGTTGATGCATCGGTATCGAATCGAGTGGCGCGCTCGGTGCGTGGATAAGAGGGTTCCGCGGAGTTGGGGCGCGACGCATGGGGCGGATATGGCGATGTGGTTTTGGGGGAATGGCGAGGCGCTTGAGGAGGGGGAGAAGAGTGTGGCGAGGGAGGCGTTTCATGGGCCGCTGAGCTGCTTTCTGAAGGGCGAGGAGATGCAGTGGGGTACGGAGCGTGCTATGCAGGTGAGGACGTTGAAGGGGGATGGGCGGGTGGTGGTTGAGGAGGATACGAGGCTTGATGAAGGGTTAAGCTTGTGGAATGCTTTGAGGAAGGCGGGGTCTGTTGGGCGGGCGAGTGAGGCGAAGCTGTGATGTGTGTTGTGGAAGTTGTGGTGGGAGTTTAGGCTGAATCAATGTATTTATGGATTATGATCAACTCATCCGAGCCTACAACTCTGATGTCTTGACGACCCAGAGCAAAACAGTCTAAATGGTATACGGGATATACAAATCCTCTCACTATCATGAAAAAACTTACCATTCATACAACCCTTACAACTTCGCCCTCTCCTCCCCCCCATCATCCTCCAGTCTAAAAACCTTATCCGGATTCAAAATGCCCCTCTCATCCAACGCCCTCTTCACCCTCCTCATAGCCTCCACCCCCTGCCCACCCACCTCCTCAAGCAACGCATCCCTCAGTTTAAGCCCCACACCATGTTCCCCCGTAACCGTCCCCTCCAGCCTCAGTGCCAAACTAGCAATCTGCCTCAACACCCTCTCCACAGCCAGCCTATCCGCCACAGGACAAATAATACTCGAATGCACATTCCCATCACCCACATGCCCGACATTCGCGCAAAACCACTCCTTCCTATTACGCGACGGCGCGGCAGCAATAAGCTCATGCGTACCCTCCACGAGCGCCGCGAGATTGGAGATCGGCACCGCGCAGTCGGAGTGCATGAATAGATCGGACGGGTGTTTCTTCATCGTGAGCAGCGCGCGGCCGATGCATTTCCGCGCGCCCCACAGGACGTCGATGCGGTGCGTGTCGGCAGTGACCTCGTACGAGAGGGCGTTTTGCGCCTTGCACAGCTGTTCCACGGCGCGGATCTGGTCGGTTAGAAGCGCTGTGGACGGGCCCGCGAATTTCAAGAACAGAGTTGGTGTCTCGGAGAAGACTTGCCCGGCGAGGCGCGAGTAGTTGACGCAGTGCATTTGCGGGCCGTCTGCGAGCTCGAGGGCTTCGAGCTGGTGGCCTGCTTTCTGCAGGGCGACGACGACGTTGACGCCGTGCTGGAAGGAAGTGAAGGTAGCGAGGCCGACGTGCAGGTTTTGCGGGAGGATTGCGAGTTTGAGCACGGCTTGGGTGACGAGGGCGAGGGTGCCTTCTGAGCCGATGAGGAGGTGTGTGAGGTCGTAGCCTGCGGAGGATTTTCGGGGGCGGTTGTGTGTTTTGATTATGGAGCCGTTTGCGAGGACGGCGGTGAGGGATATGACCCATTCTTTCATTGTGCCGTAGCGGTAGGCGTTTGTGCCTGAGCAGGACATTGCGATCTGAGAGCTGCATCAGCGTTTGGTCTTCATTGCTATGCCACCCCGGTCCACCAGAAATGACAACCTCCACTCACCATCCCCCCAACACTCGCCCCCGGCGCCGGATCCACAGGAAAGAACAGCCCCTTCTCCCTCAACACCTCATTCAGCTCGACCCACCCCAGCCCCGGCTGAACAACAACATCCATATCATCCTCATTCAGCCTCACAATCTTGTTCATCTTCTCAAAGCTCACGCAAATCCCACCCCGTGTCGCCGTCAGCGCGCCGCCAAAACTCGTCCCGCTGGAGAATGTGGTCACTGCTACAAGGCGCTCATGGCACGCTTTCAAGATGGTGGAGACGTGCTGGGTGGATGTGGGGAAGAAGACTGCGAGGGGGGTTTCGTGGGGCTGAGCGGGGGAGTGGGGCGTGTTTGCCTTGGAGGTTAGGGTTTCGGGGTCGGTTGAGTAGGGGATGTTGTGGGTTTCGAGGTGGGATATTAGGCTCGTGATGTTGGTTTGGGTGTGGTTGTATGTGTAGGATGAGGGTGGTTGAGGCATGTTTGCTGTGTAATGGGAGAGGGCAGTTGAGAGTGATTGGGAGTGTGGATCTCGAGATACACGGGTGTGGGCGTGAGATGGGATGTGGTCTGTCTGGAGTTATAGATGCCGAAATCTGGGGTAAGCTGTTGCCGCGTGCGCGAGTCATGCGGGCGCGCTAGGATTTCAAAGGTCGTCGTCGGGTAATTGTCCGGACGTCTCCTGCGCCAGCCGCGAGGTGCTGGGGAAGAAACACCTGGAAATGAGAGTGGAGGGTGCAGCTGGAGGAACGACGCGGGTCGACACAATATTCTTACCGTCTCTTCTGTTTCGTTTTCTCTTCCGTTCCGAGGTTGCACTATGCTCTTCCCCGACTCCACACCATAGACATTAGTACAAACGTCGACGCGGTCGCGCATATGTACTATGCTATCAACATCAGTAGTCGCATCAATAGTCATCTCATTCAGACATAGTCGTACGACATAGCCTGCGCATTTGGATTTCTACTTACTCGTCAAATCAACACGTCGGCAAAACTCAACGCAAGGACCAAAGCAGGAAAACGAATCAAGCTATCATCAAAGAACAAAACCCATTAGTCAATGATGAAAGGGGAACGCAGGTATCCAAAATGGGTATGAGAAAAATACATAAAAGGTTCCATCGAAATATCCACAAACCAGAAGGAGGGTTCCTTCATCCAAAGCCGCAGTAGCTTTTCCCGACTCCAAATAGAAGAGATGCAAAAAGTACAAGAAGGGGTAAAGAAGAAGAAGAACAATAACAAGAAGCATAAGCAAAAGGGAGAGAGAAAGTAAGATCTTGGCCACCAATCCAAGACGCCAGCCATGTCAACCATATCCTCATTCATCAAGAAACCCAAAAGTGGAAAAGAAAACGATCATCACGTGTCGGAATTAGTCGTCTTCTTGCTCCTCCAGAACCTTCTCTTCTTCTCCGGTTCTGCGGGCACATCCTTCTTCGCCGACGCCGGAAGTTCTGCCGGACCAGAGTTCCTCAGGAAATCAGCAAGATCACTCGTTGCAGTGTTTCTCGCACGCGTATCTACGATCGCGGGGGCACGCGTCTGTACACGAGAGGGTTGGTGGCCGCGAGTTGCGTCAGGGATTGCAGTCGCAGACGACGAGACTGATGAGTTGGAGGAGCTGTTCGCGCGGGCTTTGGCTGCGGCTATGGCCTCTTGACTGAGCATGAAGGGTTGAGGTTTGCTGGTGCTAGGTGGATCCATGCCGCTTAGGAAATCCATCAGGCTCTCCTGTTTGGGCTGGTTGGAAGGAGGGAGTGCAGTCAGCTGGTCTTCGACTTCGTCGTCATCGTCATCCTCCTCGTCCGAGATGTCGATTGCATAGGGGTCCTTTACACGTCGGCGAGTCCGTGTTACGTGAGGCTCGGAACTTGATGCCATGTTACCAGTCAACATTTGTGGGGTGTTGGAGTAGGCTGGTTGCACAACGTTGGGCGCTGGAAGAAGGCCGGTTCGAGAATTGACGGTTTGCGTGGAATGCTTGGAATTGAGGGTTGAGGCTTTGGAGCCGTATGCGGCTTCGACGCTGCCGTGGTTACCCAGCATACCATCAAATTGGTCAGAGTCGATCGTGGTCCGAAACGGTGCAATGGATCGATTGATTCTGGGGTGACCATCGTCAGGTGGTCCCTGGCGGATGAAATCGATTAGTTCGTTGTTGCCAGTGCTGAGGCCCGCTGGACTGCGTGGCTCCATATTGACCCGCGATCTCGTGGATAGTGCGTCGGCATTGCGGTTCGACTGTTTCGTTGACGAGTTCCGCGTAAGCGAGGGCGACGAAGCACCAGCAGAGTGTGTACCGTTGCCACTGATGGCGACAAAAGGCTGCACGGGCTTTTCTTGTCCAGGTGAGGGTCCAGTCGATCGAATGAAATCGGCAAAGTCACGCATAGATTCAGCCTCAATCCGTGGCTCCCTCGCAAGTGGTCTGATGACGACTTTCCTACTCGGCGAAGGTCTGTGATGAGCAGCTGTTGGACCCTTGTTTCGCGACGCAGTCCTGGCTGGTGACCTGTCTGCGGAAAAGGAGCTGTCTCTGTCAGTGCTAAGCCGGGGAAAGCCAGTGACAGGCGATGTAGCATGTAGGCTCGGCTCTACTTTCTGCACAACGGGCGATTCCTATGCAATGTTAGCAGTGGCTGGGCGAGCGTTAGGACACACTCACAGGATCCCGCATATTCGCAGGCGTAATCGTGTACTTGACTGTCTCCTTTCCCTTGACCAGCGAGTCGAACTGACGCTCACGGTCTGATTCTGACATGCGCTCGCCAAGATTGCGCGAGAGTGACCGTTGACTGGCGGTTTCAATGTCGTTATGCATAGTAGTGAAACTACCTGGCCTCTTCGTCGTGGGGGAAGACGATGCACCTTGCTGGGTAGTAGATATATCGGAAGACGACCTGTGCGAGGAGGGCCTGGAGCGCGCTGTGTGCTCGACAGGACTGCGTTGCATTTGACGTTCAGCGACGGAGATGGGAGCCTCAAGAGAGCGATAGGATGGATTGCGCTTGGGGTTCCCAAAGTGCGCACTCCTTCGCTGAGCGTTTTCAGAGCCAACTCTCTGATGCGCCTTGTTTGTCTGCTGCTCTCCCTCTTGCAGCGCAGGCAGTGGTGCGCCACGAGACCTTGGCTCAGTCAAGACCAGGTCATGGGGTGGGCTGGCAGCGTCCGGACTTTCGTGGCTCGAACGATTTCTCATGAGCGAACGCGTAGGCGTAGGCGTGTTGCGGGCAGACGTTGAGGACGAAGAGGCTTGACGGGGCTGAGCCTCTACATATCCTCCGTTCGCAGCATGTTTGCCCTTGTCGGCAGCGTGATCCACAGGAGCATTCGACGTGCGTGCAATGCCAGTGTCTCGGGGTTGGTCGACCTCGTCGTCGGACTGTGAATCATACAGGTACGAACGGCCTTCGTGCGGGGACGCGATTGGCGTAGCTACGGGTGTTTCTCGGGGCGACTTTAGAGCAGAGCTCCGGGCAGAGAAGGTGCGCACTAGTCCGGGCGACCCCAGCTTCTCGACTGACATCCTCTGGGAATGCATGATCTTGGGTTCGCTCTCGTAGCCGCCTGACGTGGTTTCAGGCTCTTCTTCGACGTTCTCGAACCGCGATGTCCTGATGGGGCCGACTGTGCTCATGCGGAGGCCCATGCCGGTCGAGGCAGCAAAGGCGACCATATCGGCGTCTGACTCGGAGTCGCTCTCGTCGACTCTCCTCGGCTGGGATGCGCCGTCGAGCTCGTCGGCGCCGATGTAGGAGTCGCGGTCGTGCATGGTCGTCATGGGCGTCTCAAAGGGCGTCTCCGGTTCTGGGGCCGTGGCGGGCAAGAGCGGCGAGTAGGGGCCTGTCTCTGGTATGGGCATGGACAGCGGGCGACCGGGGTGGAGTCTGCGTCGAAAACTGTCGACAGAGGCCAGCATGATGACGCTCATCGGGCGCTGGGGACGGGCTGTGGGCGTGTGCGTGCCGGAGCTCTCGGTGTCGTCGTAGGTGCGCGCCAGACCGGGCACCTCGATCTCGTCGACGTCGTTGTCGCGCTGGGGCAGCGGGATGTTGGCGGCAATCTGCGTCTCCGTGGGCGTGTGTGCCGAGTCGAAGGAGCGGCTGTGGGGCAGCGACGAGAGGGTGCTGTCGCTGGCCTGGCGGCGGTGCAGGCTGTGGGCGCTGGACAGAGGGCCCACGCCCCGCGCCGACGGGGGCGCGGCGAGCGGCGAGCGGACGCGCTTCCGCCAGGTGCGCCACAGGCGGCCCAGGGCGGCGTTGAGGGCAATCTTCTCCACGTCGGGCTCCTCGATGACCAGGCGCTCGAAGGACGGGGCGTCGTCGCCGGTGGCGTGCTGGGCGAGCTTGTGCAGCTTGGCGGCGGTGCGGGCAAAGGCGGCCTGGGCGGCGACCAGCAGCGTCTGCTCGGCCACGTACTCGACGACCGAGGTCAGGAAGATAGCGGCGGCCCACGAGACCAGGCCCGTGTCGTCGTCGTCGTCGTCGTCCATGCTGAGGCCGCGCTCCTGCTGCACGTAGCGGTCCTCGTCCTCGTCCTCGAGCTCGCCCAGGCGCGTGTAGACCATGACGCGCAGCCGGGTGCGCTTCCACACCTTCTCCACGTCCCAGCGGTCGGCGGTGCGCCCGTGGGGGGTCGACATGTCCTCGTCGTCCTCCTCGCCCGTCAGCAGCCCCCGCAGCTCCTCGTCGGCCGCCTCGATGGCGTCGCGGGCCAGGCGCGGCTTGAGCACGTCGGCAATGGCGGGCCGCACGGCGGCGAGCGACGACGAGCGCGCCGCCGAGAGCAGGGCGAACAGCAGGTGGTCGAGGAAGGCATTGAGCAGGGCCAGCGCGGGCTCGGAGAAGACGGCGTTCTCCAGCTCCTCGCTGTCGGCGTCCTCGTGGCGCAGCTGCGCGTTGACGTGGTCGGTGACCATCTGCGAGGCCACCGAGGCGGCAATGTAGGCGGCGGCCGGGCGCACCGTCGACGGCATCTGGAACGTCACCGACGACGCGACCGAGGGCCGGTCGCTGCTGAAGCTGGGCGTCCTGCTCGAGCGCGACGACACGTCGCCCGTGTCGGAGCGCGTATGGCGGTGCATGGCCGGAGAGGGGTGCATGGCGGCGTGCCCGTGGATGGTCGACGATTTCTAGGGGTCGCTCTGGATCTGGTACCTGAGAGCAGAGGCGAGGCGAGCTAGGCGTTGCCCTGCAGGAAGCGGGTCTGCGAAGAATTCATGCGCTAGGGGAACGATGGAGCCGCTCGAGATCGCGAGAACATCGAGTGCCAAGATGCGTGCGAGAGAGCCTATGTGCGTGTGGGAGAGGGAGTGCGAATTGCCGAGAGTTGAGAATGGGAGTCGACGTGACGGACATGGGCCCTGGCGTCGATCAGGCCTTCACCAGCGTTTCTAATTGTCCGCTTCCAGTAACACGCCATGGCCTATCGCTAGCCCTACCCAGATGAGGCCTGACCGCGTTGCTGGAACCCTTCTCCGCCTGCCTCCTCTATCTGCATCAACCCGCTATCGTGAACGAACATGTACATCCTCTACGTCAAGTCTGCCACCATCAGCAATTGTGACAGCCAGTCCAGACACATTCGCATTGTCACGTCTCGCCAACTAGCTATCTAATAAGAGCAACTGGATGGTGTGGATTGCGACAAGTCTAGTTCGTCGTGTTGATATTCCGTGACTGACATGTCTCACGGAACGTCGTGATCGTATAGTTGCTGTTACCTCATGGCGCAAGTTGATTCGTCGTACATGTTGGTCCGTGCGCACCCCTCTCGCCCATGCTGCTCTCTGCTCCAACTTCATCGCATAGGATGGACCTTCTCACATTTCCTCTTGCCTAGAACAGAGATCAAACCACAGCTAGTCGATTCCAACCCCCTTCAAGAGAACCGCTTGCGCCCATCGTTACTCGCAGTCTTCATCTCGAGAGACCACCAACCCTTCCAGTGATAGTACCATCTGTGACCCTCTGAATCACCCCGTGAGCCGCAACTTCCGCCAAGGGAAAGAGCACAGTTACCCTCTTCGTATCGCACTGAAGCTGCCTGTCTCACTTCTCGTTGTTGCATCTTCTCTTCCACCCTAGCCCATCCGGCGATGCTGACTTTGGCGAATGGTCTCCAACCATCTCCACCCCGCGACTTGCGAAACCTGCAGTCGACGCAAGCCTCTTTGCTGTTAACGGACCCGATGTTCTCTGCGTAGAGGCACGGCGTATACCGACCATCGACGATTCGAGCCCGACAGCAAGGCTCTCCCACGAAGCGCTCACGACCCCAGTGGCTGCAGGGTCGATGGTAAACGTGCTCGGTGTGACACATGGGTGAGACGGACTTCCAGTACGGTTTCTGCAGAAAAGCACGTCGCGGGGCCCTTGTTGCAGAGTTCAGGTAACGTAGGGTCTGGTACCGTATCGGGAAGCTGGGTAGCTGTTAATCAGTGCAGACGCTGCCGTGTATATACGCCTGCACACAAACTTGGAGACAAGGAATGGATCACAACGCCGTCGTTGTACAGTCCGACCAGCATTGTGTCTAGCAGTGTTTCCAGATTCGGTCCCCTTCTCCCGACTCCTGCGCATTGTTTGGACCACATTGTTACAAGACAATCTGATTGTGCGCTCCACTCTTTCACCCACAGCACTTCGTTGCGGCAGAGTTCCCGGACACGCGGCGGAAGTAGATCGGGGAGAGTTGGAATTCCGCAACGTACAGAAGCTGGAGGAAACATCTTCTCGACGTCGACACCTGGACTTATTATGAAGAAGACTTACACCTCATGGCTCTCTCCACGTGGCTGCTACGACCCGTGGTGACACGATCCATCTCCTCGGGTACTGCCAGCGGGTCGAATTAGCACCGCTTTACTGAAGCGAATGCGGTCGTGAGAAGGCCAGGCTAGAGCTGGAGCGGAGACAACAGACAACGGCGACGTAAAAGCTAGACTGGTGTTGTAGAGGCCGCACCTCCAGTACAACGAAAGGGCTGTCGTACGTACAACGTCGAGCATCATCCAGCTCCAACGCTATTCGCGACTTCAAGGACCACGCGAACCTACCTGCCAGGTCAGAGGCTCAACGTTACCGCAATGGTCGATGGATGTATCGCATTGTATGGGTTGTGTCTAGACGGATTCCATTTCTTCTGGGAGTCGACAATCCTTCACTAGCCTTGACCAGCATCACCATCATACCTCTCGGTTCTGAGTCGGAAGCCATGGAGCCACACAAAAGCATCCATCCTTGGCGAAGTGGCCACCATCCGTCGCGTCTTCAGGATACGCCTCGGGAGCATCAAACCTTTTGAATAAGCCAGTGGGAGACATCTGGAGGATAGGGAATGTTGCAGCGCGCTCGATAGATAGATTTCGGTGAGTGGTTGGCAACGATGATGACTAACACGAGAGCGTGGCTGCGTAGATGGCATCATCAAAGGACTCAGACACCACCGCGCTCTCAGCTCTGATAAGCCTACCCCGGACCGCTATGCGACTGGCACCGTCCCTGAATGTCTAGTGTCTGGTGATCAGCCGCAGCCCAAGACCTCCGTCTCTCCCCGAGCTCACTGCTGAGCACAGCCCATCATACAGGTGTACCTACTGCAGGTACACCCGCCGCCGCCACCCCACCAGAGGCACGCCGTTCTGCACGTCCCCGTTAACTCGACCCAGTCGTGCCACGCACGAGCTGCGTCAGTTGGCGCCTGTCCGCCAAGAGAGAAGGTGCGGTCAAAGCAACACCTTGGGGAGGAAAGTTTCGGGACAGGCCATCCTCATGCAGAACCACTAGGTCGACAGACGCGTCCCAGTCGCATCCCGCATCCTCGTAAGACATGCAGCTACCCACCACTAGAAGTTACGCATGTCGCTGGGAGGAGACTGCGATTCCTGTTGACGCACTCGGGCATGTCGGACGAACTACGGCAAAGTCCCAGGCTCACGACTCGACGTCCCCTGCCGTAAACTAGACAAACGAGATCCCTTGCTCAGCGGAGCCTGGATCTGGGGAAGATTTAAGCATATTTCAACCTCACCTCCTGCACGTTGGCCTTGCCCAATGCGGCCATGAAGCCGCACACGCCTATCTTGATGTCAATTTCGCTGCTCTGTGATGCTGCCGTCTTTCCCCCATGTACCGTGCGTCATGACAATCCAGACACATGCACTTTCCCACAGAGAATGATGCTGCGTGGGTCAATTCACAGCAGAAGACGAACGGCTCAGCAGCGGCCGGCATTACGTTTGGCGATGCGGTAAGGGCTTATCTTGGGTTGCAGGGATGCTTTATCTTGGCGGATACGCCACCAAACCCGCTTCGCCGCACCCCAACATGTTCGACGAGCCACGTTTGCGCGATATCTGGTTCCGACATCGCCTGCGGCCTTTTCTACCTGCCCAACCTCTTTCTTCACGTCCGTGGGGTTTGGGCGTGAGGGAGAATCTGGGGAAAGCGAATCGAGGCTTGCAATCACAGATGGATCTGACATACGCGGCGGCTGCAATTCGTCGTAGATACTCTGCGCGTCTCTATCGTGCCTTGGCCTGCACGCCCCGCCACGCGCAGGAGGATTGCGGAGCATTTTGACTGGACGTTGTTCTTTCCGTCTTCTGGCTCAGAACGGGAAACGGCTGCGAAAAGTCCTTATCGCACCAGGCCCCCTCTAGTTTCCCTTATGCATGATGATGGTGCTGCAGGTGCAAGTGCAACGAGCATTTGCATGCTTACATTGCTGTGAGTTTCTCCGTGCGTAAGACATACGCGTCTAGTCACCTTGGAGGGGTGCAGGGGCTGCTGATAGCGGCAAACAGCAATGGCGAGAGATGGCCATGGTTCGGGCCATCTGAGGGATATGACCAATTCCATGGTCTGCATGTGTAAATTTAGTAATACCTCGCGACGCTTTCCAGGAACAAAGCGGTCAAAGTCGGATCGTGTTGGGGCTCAGCCGCGAGCCGTAGCCAACCGAAACTCGCTCTTTGTGCTACCGTGAGGACGCTTTGAGTAGCAGACGACTGATGCTGTGAGTAACTATCAGCGCCGAGGTGAGCCATATAGCAGATTGGGCAGGCGCATCCACAGGCGTGGTTCCGGTTCAAAAGCAGGTTGCGGAAGCTAGATAGTGGGCTGCATCCTTTGGCGCGGCCGACGATACTGATTGCGCTGCATTGCTTCCTCATCCCACGGGTGCAGTCCGGCGAGCGCCTCTTGGCTCAGGGATTATCTGACCGAGACAGTCAACTCACTACTTATAATAAGCCGCCCTGCCCCCAGTCATCTTCTCCATCCACACACCTCCCCTCCACTTTGCCTACATCTACCTCTCCCGGCAGATCCCCCGACACCCTTCCCCGTCGTCAACACACATACCGCAGTCATGGTAGGCTCTACAACCAGCACCATGCCAATTGGCAGTTCCAGGACAGTGTTGCTCACAGACTTTGCAGGCAGGGTCAACAATCATCTCCAATGCGGCCAACGTAAGTTGTACCTGATCGTGTGCCGATACGAGCTCCACTAATCCATCCGTGACAGCTCCAAAAATACCTCGCCCTCCCCCAGAAGGGCAAGGTCATGGCCGAGTACGTCTGGATAGACGGCACAAACGGCGTCCGCTCAAAGTCAAAGGTGAGCCATTTTCTGTCTCTCTGCTACACAGACAATGCATTGCGGCGTTCGACGATAGCAGAACAAGTGGGCATGGTCCGGCAGGCGCGTCGAGCTGGGCCGTCCAGTCGTTGGTCGTCGAGGGTGACCTCATACCGCGCTGCGGGTCGGCTGGTGGCTGCATGACCTGGCGTTCTGCCTTATCGCGCCCCACGATAAGCCCCGCGAACCAGCCCCTCCTTCACATGACCACGAACATGAGCACAGCACAACAATACTGACTGCCATGACAGACTCTGAGCAAGAAGGTCGAGAGCATCTCGGACCTCCCAGAATGGAACTTTGACGGCTCGTCGACGGGCCAGGCTCCCGGCGACAACTCGGATGTCTACCTCCGCCCCGTGGCCTTCTACCCCGATCCGTTCCGCCTAGGCGACAACATCCTCGTCATGTGCGAGACATACATGTCGGATGGATCGCCTAATGCATACAACTACCGCCACGACGCCGCGCTCATCTTCAAGAAGCACGCCGAGCACGAGATCTGGTTCGGTCTGGAGCAAGAATACACTCTCCTCGACGAGTTTGGCTGGCCATATGGCTGGCCCAAGAACGGATTCCCGGCGCCCCAGGGCCCATACTACTGCGGTGTCGGCACCGGCAGGGTCTTCTGCCGTGACATCGTCGAGGCCCACTACAAGGCCTGCATGTACGCCAACATCGAGATCTCAGGCACAAACGCCGAGGTCATGCCCGCGCAGTGGGAGTACCAAGTCGGTCCCTGCAACGACATCGACCTCGGCGACCAGCTCTGGATGTCCCGCTTCCTTCTGCACCGTGTCGCTGAGGAGTTTGGTGCCAAGGTCACATTCGCGCCCAAGCCCATCCCTGGTGACTGGAACGGTGCTGGTCTGCACACCAACGTTTCCACCAAGGAGACGCGCGCCGAGGGTGGCATGAAGGCCATCGAGGCTGCTATGGAGAAGCTCTCTGCCCGCCAGGCGGAACACATGGCCGTCTACGGTGCCGACAACCAGCTGCGCATGACAGGCAAGCACGAGACAGCCTCGTACGACAAGTTCACCTGGGGTGTCGCCAACCGTGGCTCCTCCGTCCGTATCCCCCGCTCCGTCGCGGCGGACAACAAGGGATACTTCGAGGACCGTCGCCCAGCCTCCAACGGTGACCCTTACCAGATCACCGGCATCGTCGCCGAGACCATGTTCGGTAAGGCCGATGGTGCTGACGTTGCTGCTTTCGCCGAGAAGGCCGGAACCGTCGAGACGGAGATGATTGTCGAGGTCGTCAAGCCATAGATGTGGCTTTTCCTCTTCCTCTGTCACCACGTACTCTCTTCATACCCCCTCCCGATTTTCCTCGTTGGATCATGACATGACATGACACTATTGTCGACCATGACTTAGATCGCTGGCTGCTTGGTTTGGGCTTTTTGTCCAACCTCGACTCCCACCCTACCACATCCCCTTTTTACACCTCATACCTCATACCCCACCCATCCTTCACGATGCGGCGAGACTCTGCATGAACGGAACGATGTAATTTAGAGCGGCAATGAATATTCCATGAACACTTCATATGATTGCCTTTGTGATTTGCTGTTGTCATGTATGCATATATTCTAGTAGTTCATGGTTGATCTTGTCCGACGAACTTGATACTTGACGAAACAAGTTCACATCACACACCATACACAAAAACTGCACATTTCCTTGAGAATAAACCTCCTTATTCATGCCCGGAAAGTTGTTCCAGCCCATTCCATCCCTCGAATCCCGCGCACAATGCTAAGAATAATATATCCATCTCCCCACCACCGCCTCAATCTACACGCCCAACCTCCCGCCTCAACCACTCACTCCACACGCCCAGATCCCCACAAACATCCAGCGCCCTACCCAGCCTCTTAACCTTCTGCTCCGCCAGCTCCACTTTATCCATATCGACGTCGCCCGCCTCCCTGGCGGTGCTCTGCAGGGTGGGCAGGTCGAGGATGTTTTGCTCTGCGATGAGGAGGTCGGCGTTGGGCTGGATGTCGAGGGTTACTGTTAGGGGGGGGTGGAAGGCCGTGGTGTCTTTGTTGTTTTCGGTGTCGGTGGAGGACGGGAGGAGGAGTGATGCGAGGAGGGAAGAGATAGTGGGGTTTGTGCCGGGAGTTGGTGAGGAGGAAGAGGATAAGGGGTGCGGGATGTGCAATGTGAGGCGGGGGGCTGGGGGCGTGTACGACAGGTTTACGTCGAGTTGCAGCGTCTCTTCCCTTCCCTGCGTCTGAGTCCCCGGGTACGTTTCCTCGCAGAACACCGCGCGGAGGAGGCTGGTTGCGCAGGCATACTGGCGCAGTATGGGCAGCACCTCTACGATCTGCTTCGGGTGTGCAAACGGCAGGCTGGTGAGTATGCAGCTGTATTCCATCTTAGGGACGTATAGGCTCATGTCGTGCCGTCTATTTTTCCTCCCGCCTTCTTTGTCGACGACAAGGACAGTCCGCGAGGCGCGGATCTCGTGCGTCCCGCCACCCGTGCTCGTCATGCCGGGATCCACGTCCCCGGGTCTCAGCGCCAGGCCGACAAACGTCGTGGCGCGGAATTCTTCTGGTCGTGGCTCGATGCCGACGGATTGGTAGAGTTGCATGTACACGGTCAGAGGGACGACGAGCGGGGGGTTGAATTTCGCGACGAAGCGGATGTTGGGGAGGCGGCCTGGGGCCGAGTCGAGGTGCATTGCGTCGGTGTTGGTCGAGGGTTCTAGGTATGTTGGTTTGGGGTCGAGCCAATCTATTGACGGCGCGTTGAGTAGGATGGTGTCGAGGGAGGCGTTTGTGTCGTTTGCGTCTGCGGGCTTTTCGATGGCGTCGCTGAGCCAGGAGGGAGATATGCGGATTGGTGTGAAGAGGGCGGAGGGGGAGGACTCGCATTCTATGGTGAGGGAGTACATTTTGTTTGTTGCGGAGTCGTCGTCTTCAGGGTATGAGGGTTCGGGTTGGGAGTCGGAGTTCTCTTGTTCCTTGCCCTTCCCTGAAGTATGTTGTGATGGCCGCGGTTTTCGTATGATATGCCGCCTGTCCATCCAATACTCCAGACTCAGCCCCAGACACAACCCGCCGTTCAACCGTGGGCGCCCACTCTTCTTGCACATAACCTCTCTCTCCGCCTTGTGATCCATATAAGACGTATTTGCTTCCATAACGGCGAGCGCCATCTTCTTCTCGTGCTCGAATAGCCTCCGCAGACTCGTATAGACACCCGCGATGGCATCGTAGCAGCTGACTCCACCATTCTGCGGCGCACTCAGTTTATCCAAAGTCAACAGCTTCTCCAGATTCTCGGCAAACCGCTCGAGCGTGACATTGATCTTGCTTTGTCCGGGTAGGGGCTTCAAGCTTCTCACCAAGATCTGAGAACCCGTCGCGCCAAAATTCAGCTCAGGATGTTCGCCATCCAGGCCAGTCTGAAGGTCGATTGTCGCAACCTCGTCATTGATGAAGGAGACTTCGCACATAGCGTTCTCGCCAATGACTAGGATATACGCGTGTGCCTTGCCGTCGGGATCCGGCTGAACCACTATGTCTACTCTCTTAGATAGTGCAAGAAGCCCCTCCTCGCTGACGCGCCCGGGCTTCTCCTTCAGCGTGTCGAGGATCGTGTGCAGCCGGCGCGTCCTCTCCGCCTCGTCTGCGCGCCCCAACGAACTTGCGCTAAGCCCCAGCTGCGACATGCCCAGTCCGCTCATGCTGATACCCATGCCCACCCCGCCCTCGTGGAGCATGTTGAGCACCGCCGGTGAGTCGTAGTTCATCATGCCCAGGTTGCCCGTATGAGGAACGCTGCGCGGGGCAGGCGAGGAGAAGGCGGGGAGATGCCCGGACGGCGTCTTGCTCGAAGGTGTGGGCGTCGCCATTTTGGTGGGAGCTCTACAAGGCTCGATCGCGTAGTCGGAGAGTAAAAAATACGGTCGTTATTGGGGGATGGCAGGCGGTATCATATTGTAGTTGAAGCTTGGGTGGAAAGCAGGAAGCATGAGCGAACATTGAAGGTGAAGCTCGCACGAGTCATGTCTTGGCAGATAAATGAAGGCGAGCAGACAGCACGCCTGATAGAGCAACGCGTATAATTAGTCTTATTTGCTCTGGATCTGGAAAATCGAGAGTCGCCTATGAACGATCGTCAAGTAAGTTGATCCTTGCGCCGTAAACAAATCCTCAGGGGTATCACACGCAGGTAAACACTCCAAACGCCCTCGCAACCACACCATACCTCACATCCTCAATCCACCTCCACAACCTCCATATCCTCGTCGGCATTGTCCGTAGTCCTACCCCTAGTCCTGACACCCGCCGATCTTCCCTTCCTCCCATTCGTCTGCCCTCCCACAACCTCCATTCCCTCCTCATGCGCCCTATACTCAATAACCCTCGTCCTCTTCTTCGGCCTGCTTTCTTCTTCTTTCTCCGCCCTGTCCCGCACTTCCTGCTCCCATCGTTTCCGGACCTCGTCCTCCATCTTGTTCTCCAGGCTATGGAACGAGGCGTGGTGGGTGCAGCCGTCGCATTCGTACGAGGATGAAGACTTTTCTAGTGTTATCCAATGAACAGGCATTTGCGAGGCAATTGCAGGGGTTGAAAACTGAGCAAGAGAGGAACTTGACATGTCGACGTACCTTGAGCGGATGTAGCATGAAGCGCAAACAAGGGCATCGTGGCGAGAGTACGGATTGCTTGAAGTTGCATTGACCGCGAGGCGGAACGTAGTTCATTTGCGTCCAGATATTTGGTGCGCGGTTCGTCATGGCAGTTGACGGCGGGTGTATGAGAACGGGAGGGTAGAAATGGTGTTAGAGGTACATGTTTATACTAGTGTGAGATGGGTGAAAGGTGTGTGGATTGTTATGTGCACATCACATCACGTCTAGCGCGCGAATTCACGTGCACAGATACCCCCACTTCACATATACGTCACAAAACATCTCGCCGCTTTCCCGCATTCTTCGAAAATCTGGTCAGACAGCGACAGGCAAACAGACCACCACACTGTCTCTTTATATGCTGATATCGATTGTATTTCCCTTGAACAACAAGAAACGTGAAACATAATATTTTTAGTGGAAGTTCGTTGCTGAAAACAATGCCCGCCACTGATGCGCTGCGATTGCCTTTTGTCCGTGGAGCGAGGGCAAATGCTAGCGCTGTCCAAAGAGTATGGCGCGCGGAACGCCGCAAAACCAGTGCCATTGTGGCAGCGCTAGAACAGCAGAGACAGCGTGGTGGTGTGTTGTGCCGAGCCACTGATCAGCAACGCGGGGTACTGTTATCGACGTATAAAGTCTGGACGCGTCGTGATGTGATACCATCAATTACTTCGAAGACCTCATCCGTATTTCCAAAGCCATACTCGAACTTATTTTATCTTCTCATCACTCCATCTGTTACAATGCCTGAAGGTGGATGCATGTGCGGCAATGTCCGCTATAACATCATCGGCGAGAGCGAGGCAAACGTACGATGCCTATATCCACTGCCTGCGTCACATACTGACCGGTTCCAAGATCCTCTGTCATTGCTTGGACTGCCGCAAAATCGGTGGAAGCACGTATTCCAGTAACAGTCTTTACTCCGCGAATGGTTTCAAGGTCACCAAAGGAACTCCAAAGCAGTACAAGAAGGTTGCGGATGGCGGTAATGATATCGTTTCCAACTTCTGGTATGTAGCCCTGGGTCCTACGGAAGCTTATCTAACAACCCTAGCGGTGATTGCGGTAGCACCATGTGGCGCGAGGGAGACACCTTCAAAGGCAAGTTGGTTGTGAAGGTCGGAACACTGGATGACACCAGCGTTCTGGACAATCTGAACCCTCAGGTTGAGCTTTATACGCCAGCGAGGCCTAAATGGGTTGCTGCTATAGACGGAGCCGCGCAAAAGAATGGCATGTCTTGAAGTAGTTTGATTGTATGGCGGTGGACGAAGGGATCAGGTTGCTAGCCAGAGAGCGATGTGCGCAATTTCTAAGCAGAAATCTACTCCGAATCAGAGGTCTCTGGCTCTTTGAGACGTTCTTTCATCATCTGCCTGGTGTCAGAGTCGGTTCACGCGCGTGTGTGTATGTGTAGGCAATACTCACGTGGTTGAGGCGTGCCTTGAGTTCGTTTATCTTGGTGTTCTTCACCAAAATATGTTCTTCGTCCAGCTCCTCGATGATGTATTCGTTGCCGTTCCTGCTGTCGATGTCGACCAGCATGGCTTTGATGGACGCGTCGCACTTGACGAGCGTGCCTGGCGATGTGTCAGCTAAGATACCGAGCAGTGCAAAGAAGATCACGTACCGCTAACAGCTTTGACCATGCTGAGGTGGGAGGTGGAGTAGAAGCGGCGGGGTGTACTCAGTTGAGTGGTGTTGCTGTCCATCAGGGTGCGCAAGAAGAGATCTGAGTTGCGCAATGGCTTGGCGGTGTAGATCGTGCTTGCCTACTTGGTGCGCTGTAGTCCTGCGATGTCCGCATCATCAATGTTGGGAATCTCTTCATTACAACTCAGGAAGTCGTCCTGACAATGTTGTGTCTGGTTCTACCTGCGTCTTGATTCTACAAATCTAAGAACATCTCTTTGTCCCTTTCAATGTTGCGTCTCTTTCTACTCAGCGTCCGCGCGCTTCATGTCTCTTTCTAGACGCACCGCTATCGCAACCTAACTACCCTTGTCGACTTGTTGAAAAGCTCTTGACACAGGTGAAGATGTGCTATCATCAGACTAAAGGTGGTTCCATACACAATGGCCGGACCACGCTGTTCCTGATGTCATTGTTGCATCTGACCGCATTCTTACCAACTATCTATGCTCAAAGCATTACTTCGATCATTACACTCCCTACTACTTCATCCATTATGTCGACCCTTAGTACCCAACCTTCTGAACTCATAACTAGATTCCTCACACACCCACCGTCCTCATCGACCACAACGCCGCCCCTACCAAGCCAACCGATCGACGAAACGCAACAAGGCCCCGTTCTAGCTGAAGGCCAGACAGATGGCCAGAAACTGCGCACAGACGAGAATGTATTCAACTACTATTTTCTTTTCTTCGCGCTCTTCGGCGCACTGGTAGCGGGGTCTCTATGGTGGGCACATCGCCGAAGGAAGAAGCAAAAGGAGCAGACGCGCTTGAGTGGACAACATGCACTGGCACAGGACTTGGAGGGCTTGATAAACACACGCCGCTTTATGCATGGGGAAAACAGTCACAGTCAAACCGGGGCGTTGATTCAACGCGAAGAGGGACTCGACGAACATGGCGAAGCTCCGCCTCCGTACAAACCGAAGAGCGAGGACACTGTGGCTGCTGGTACCACACAGAGTATGGATGACTGCGTCACAATTCCTCTTAGAACACTTTTGCGGGATGGTGTAGAGCGAGCTCAGCCTCCGCTATACGAAGAAACTACTGGCATTGGTAGCGCCTTGCCTGCCACACCCTCGCGCCGTTAGACACAAAGAAAACACTACTTTGCCTTACAACTACTGCTGACACAACGATGACTACGATTCACGGACACACTATATCTATGCGACAGACATTTGTCCCAGCACAGCGATGGAGTCGAAGGTAGCGCTTATGAACGACTGACAACCACATGCCTTTTATCTCGTACCGAGATCGCCGCTTACATTAACGCGCAGAGAATGAGGCGGGAAATTGTATGAGAGAGCACCGCACACATGGACGAAGAAGCGAAGACAAAGATGCACGCAACTTTCGGCTCGATAACCGATAACTATGGCAATACAAGAGCATCTCGCTTGCTGATGTGGCAGCATTCTATCCCCGTATTCCGAAGCTTTGGAGATCTCTTCAAACTATCCGCCCGCGAACTTCTCGTGAGCTCGCAGGCCTTGGCTCGAAGATCTTTCCGTCCAGGTCTACCAGTACTCTACTGTTGTAGCCATCACTTGACACTGCTACCAATCTGACATCAAAATGGTAGGCGATGAGACAAAGCACGACGAAGGATTCGAAGAACTTTAGTGGGGAAATTCGGTTGAGAACTATGTTGTGGTAGCGAATGCGGCTGACGCATTACAGCGGACCCAATAAACTGTCGTACCAACCCAATGGGATAGTACCAGCAAAAGCAAATGTAAATCTTAAACCCTCTCGAACCCGAACATGATCCTAAGTCCTCGTTATGTATCGACGTGTGTCGTGGAACTCCTAAGTTCGCGACTAAGGGCTCGTCTAAACATCGAGCTACACACTTGCGGGGATCAAGGTTTTCTTTATTCAATAGTTTGTCTTTATTGAAAGCAACACTGTGACCCTTCCCCATAGAATCTCCCCACATCGTCATCTTCTCCTTGGAATTGCTTTTCCCCGTTTACGAAGTATCCACATCTCTCTTCTTCTCTCCTAGGATACTACACATCAAGCTCCCAACACCACACGCTACATCCGCTCGATACTCAAAGGCGACTTCACAGGTTACAAACCACGACATCAACTTTCTGACGAACGGCGCACACACGCAAATATCTCAACGTTCCAGACCACCTCCACGACGCCTACAAACGCGCCTAAACTCTTGCGATCCGCGCACAGTCACCTCACCTCAATATTCCCCAACCCGCCATCCAAATGTCTTCTCGAAGTAACAGCTCAGCCAGCACGAGGACTTCATCCTCCTCGTCATTTTCTTCCAGTCTCGCGCCAGATCCTAGCAAACTCACCCATTATCTGCGCGAACTCATCGTCCTTGCCCGCACCACCCTTACGCCCAAATACAACGCTATTCGCAAATTTCGCTACACACACAAATACCAGTGTCAAAGTGAGCGCATCAACGCGTACTTTACCAAACACCGAGGCGGCGACTTTGATGCCATGCTTATGTGTGTTCTTGAAATGCAGATCGTTGCGCGCATGATTGAACGAGGGCTGACGCTGGAGGGTGGGAAGGTGGATTGGCCGGTCTGTGCGTTGGCAGGAGAAGATGAGGAGGGGATGCGCAAGGGGGCTCATAAGCGTGTTGAGGGGTGGGTGTTTGGAGGAAGAGAGGTTGTGATGCCTGGGGATGAAGAGATCCGTCGACCCGCAAAGATATCCCCGATCTCTGTAGAGATGAGCATACCACAAGAATAAATAACATCGACAAACCACGTTCAGTGAGAGATGCCATGGGACGAAGTTGTGCATGCCAGAAATTGTAACAAATGTTAGGTGTTCGTTGAGGTATCATCCAGTGATCTATCAACACATGAACCTATCCCGCAGTCCATATTACTACCCATCATCTCCTCATGCATTGCCCTTCTCTGCTATCTATCTTATCGTCGTCCTCCATCTTCTTACTCTACCGTCTACGGCAGGGGTCCCAACAGTACAGTCGCACAAGCCGCCTGGCACGTCCCAAACGCAGTGTTGCACGCGACAATACTAGCAGGAGCCGTGGCACCAAGTGTAGCTCCCCACGTAAAGCCAGCAGCTGCATAGCAGGCCATGACTACCGATGAGCAACCCGCTTGGCATATGGCGTAGCCAATCGGACCTGCTGTAGCGCAAGGGATGAGAGCGAGCATGGCTGTGAGGGTTGTAAGGGTCGTGGGGAAACGCATTGTGGATAAGTACCGTGGATTCGTGTTTTTGATAGATTGCTTTTACACCGTGTAACTTGGGGTTGAACTGCTGGTCACCTAGAAGATAGAGAATAGAAAGAGACATGACGGAGTGACGCGATATATACCGAAAAGTGAACAAAGAAGCATACGATCAAGCTGACAGAATGGTGCTGAATGGGAGGGAAGGCGCAAGAATCAACTTGATCATATCTCGTGGACTGATGACTTCGCGATGTGCTGTGACCTGGAATGTGTCGCTTCTGTTATCTTCTTACACGAAGTCTTACCACTGTTGGTAGAACCAAACACTATTTCGCACGTTAGACGTTAGTAGGATGTGTCAGAGCAAGACGGAGACGTCGATCGATAAAGATGGATGTTTGGCAGAGACGTGTGATGATTGGTGGATCTGATCTCGCACAAATCAGCGACCCCCGAAGTCGCTTTTGTCCATCACGTACGCAAACATGATCTTCAATTGCGAGCTTGCTCCATCTCGGCAGACCTTTCCTACATTCGGATCTGCTATGGTCGGATAAAGAAATATCCGACATGGTATGCTGCATACCGTCGGCAAATCGCCGCGCCACATAGCAAAGTGTGCTGGTGGTGACTGCTTCGAGTTTTGTTCTCCTTCTCGACGTAATTAGCAATGTCGAAAAGCGATGGAAACGTTCTTGAGTCAGAGAAGGCGATCCAGGACTCGGAACGAGCGGTGGTTGCGCATCAGGCTTACGACGAGAAAGATGAAGAACTGGCGGCGGTGAGGACCGCGGATTCTGTGCGCGAGCTGCCGTTTTCGAAGGCGCGGTGCGTGGCTCTAGTAGCAACGATTGCTGCTGCGCCTTTCCTGAGTGTGAGTGAAGAGTTCGGATCGTAGAGGGAGGCTGACGTAGAGAGCAGACAATGGCTGTGCAAGCCACCGTCATCATATTGCCTACCATAGGTGAAGCCCTGGACATACCGACCAGTCGGCAACAATGGATTGTCTCAGCGTTCAGTCTCACATTTGGATGTTTCCTCGTACGTTTAGCTCAAAGTTATGTGCGTATGTGATCGACTAAATTGTAGTGTAGCTTCTATGGGGCCGTTTGGCAGATGTATACGGCAGACGCCTTATTTTCCTATGGGGATCTGTAGCCTTTACTATCACCTCAATCATACCACCCTTCATCAGCAACGAAATTGGGTTTAATGTTTTCAGAGGTCTGCAGGGTCTTGCCGCAGCGGCTATGGCCCCAACTGCATTGGGCATCCTGGGAGTTACTTTTCCGCCGGGCAAAATGAAAGACATTGCATTTGGATGTTATGGGGCAGGAGCACCTTTAGGCGGGATCTTCGGTAACATATTCGTGCGAACCCAACCAAGTCACCTCGTCCGATCAGATGCTAATCTATTCTAGGGCGGCGTTGTCGCAGAATATCTTAACTGGAAATGGGTCTTTTGGATCTTCGGCATGGTTTCCGCCATGTGTACTGTCGCAAGTTACTTCGTCATCCCTCTCCCACCGATTCAAGACGAGCCAGTCATGCGAAACACGGTGGATTGGATAGGCGGAACGCTCATCACAGTCAGTCTCATCATCCTACTCTTTGCACTTTCCGAAGGCAACGTCGTGGGTTGGAGGACACCATGGGTGCCTACACTCATCATCGTCTCTCTCCTCATGGTGGTTGCATTCGGCTTTTGGCAGCACTACCTCGAGACCAAAACGCAGAGACGCCCGCTCATGAAACTGTCGATATTCAAAAATAGAAAGTTCACAGCTGCTAATGTGGTAATGGCGTTGTTTTTCTCGTCATTCAACAACTATATCATCTTCGCGACCTACTGGTTCCAGGACTTTCAGGGCCTCTCAGTCATCCAGACAACGCTTCGATTCATTCCAAACGGAGTTACTGGAGTTCTTGTGGCTTTGATCACAGGTCAGATACTCTCTCGCGTCCGCGGCGACGTCATCCTTGCGTTCAGTAACATCTGCGTCAGCATGTCTTCTTTGCTTTTCGCCATTCCAATCCCAACTCACACCACATACTGGGCGTATGGGTTTCCTGCCATGGTATTATCAGTCTGCGGTGCCGATACAATATTCCCGACACTCACGCTCTTCGTGGCCAAAACGCTGCCGCACGAGGATGCGTCTCTCGGAGGCGCCTTGATCTCTGCGGTAGGCCAGATTGGGCGTGCTATTGGGCTTGCCATTGCAACAGCAGTGCAGACTGCGATTATTGCAAAGAAAGAGGGTGTCGGCGTTGAGGAGGTCGGTAGTAATGGTCACGTATTGGGGCACTGGGACGATGCGCTTAAGATCGGTATTAGAGGAACGGCTTGGTTCAACTTTGGTATGAGTCTTGCCTCGTTGGGCGTTGTGTTGGTATTTATTAGAGGTATTGGCATCATTGGAGGAGGGAAGCGTTGAAAGGCCATTCGAACGCTCTGCGGCTAGGGACACCGCAGCAATCATTCCAAAAGCCCGTGTCTTCCAACTGGGCTTCATGCAACATTCCAAATAGATATCACACGTGGTTTACGATCAGTGAAAGCCATCGAATCGGGAAACAAGTTATCTACCAAAATTGCCCTTTGAAGTTTTGTCCATATTATATAAAAACTTTCAATGTCCGGAATCCACAGGAGGTCCCATGAAGTCATCAAGCTCCACAAGAAACATGGAGCCAATGATGAACCCCAATAGACCTGCGAGCAAAGCTTCATGCAGAGCTCGCCTCGCGACGATCAAGGCGAGAACGGTTAGAAGTGTCGTGAAGACTGTAGCAGCGAAGATGATGGCCTTCGTATATACCATGCGATCTTTGCCGGTATAATACGCACCGAGGGCAGAAGAGGCGATCGCCAAAGTGATGGTGACGATGATCACGATCAACACATAGAGTCGAGTGCCAGTGAGAGGCTCACATGGTAGGCTTGCAGTAGTGGCTGTATCGCTCTGATGCCCTTCCTCAGCCAGGCGAAGCTGGTTGTGATCCTGATTATGAACGTGGTGTTGGAGGCATATATTCTCTGTTGAAAAGAATCAGTAGATGGCAGATGATATAGAGGCCGTCAACCTACCACGGTCGTGAGGTTGAGGAACGCGTGTTTCTCCAGCACCGTCACTATCGTTGCCTGATAGCCTCCCGAGACCAACTTGATCGATGACTGGCTTCTTGTGTTTGTGCCTGAGACTATTTGAGGTACGCTGCTTTGCCCTTGCAGTACCTTTGAGCGGTAGAACAGGAGCGACGTCCTCATTAGCTATCCAGTCACCCATAGCAAGTAGTGCGTGCTCTCGTACAGCACGATCGCTAGCCTCCGCTTCAGATCCGGAACCATGTGTAGCCGATAACGACGAGATCGATGGCGCTTTTGCCTTGCCTTTGCCCTCGGGGTCGTATATCGGATAGCTTGTACCAGTCGAAGTGGGCTTGGTGACAGTCGACTCTCCAAGGGAGCTAAAAACGGCGGTTGACGACGAGCCTAGTGACGGCAGGATGTCAGAGGTCGGCGAAGTAGCTCGAGCTAGGCGTACAAGGTCTTCCACGTCGACGGCGTCGCGGCCACGCAGGGCGCGTGTTAGAGGGTCATCGTTACGCAAGAGTATTGCAGCTGTGGAGGATTCGGCCGGCTCAACTATGGATCTTTCGAGGGAGGCTACACACATGTGTATCAGATATGGTGAACAACAAGATGATTGAATGAAACATCATACCTTGTGCCATATTTGTTTGGCGAGACAGTGTTGTTCTCGAGCGGATATATAATCACTACTGGAGCACATAGAATCGGATGAACTGTGGCGTAGGGTGCGGAAGTCTAAAGCGTTTTTGGGAGTAGAACAGTGGAGAAAGCGCCAGGAACCCCAAGAGCGGGCGACCAGCTGTATGGCGTGACGAACCAGGTAGGGAGGTGGGAGTTCTGCCGAGAATGAGATGTAGAGGCGCATATTAACTATATAAATGCGGATGGCAAGTTGCTACCAACCGGGCACCGCTACGAACTGTGGATACGAGGTTTGTCTCACATCTCGCCAACCATTACCAAGTGAACAGAGCTAAGCACTGCTCAAGAGAGCTGACTTGCATAATGAGAGCGTCGCCAACACTCTCCAGCCGGTGGCGCAGCGTCCGAGGGACCAAGATCTGCATGGTCAGTGATGTCGGCGGCTGAGTTCGAAAGCAGCGAGATCAACAACGAGGCGGAAGCACAACAAAACGGGTAGCGAGGACAGTTAGAACGTCAATACAGGTGAAGTCGACCAATCTTTTCAACTTGGGAAATGTTTATTTTCTGAGCACGTCGACGGAGTCTAATCGCGGCTCACGAGGCTGTCCACATCTGTCGAGCACCAATGCACCAATACACCAATTCTATGATTGATAGTCATTGGCAAGCTTGCATGCGCAGTGTGGTAGTTTTCGATATTTGCGATCAAGGAGGCAGGGTTATCGTCGATGTCGACGGACACTGCTGCGGACCAAGCCAGGAGCTCAGCAAGGCGCAGCGATCAGAAGTTCAGCATTCTTTCCTAGTATGAGCATAGCCTCTCTGAGACGGTGTGTCCACACGTAGTATACTGAGCAAGAGTCGTGTGGTGGCTTGAACTCGTCGCAGAAAACAATATTCTGACGCGTACCACATCGCAAGTTTTGTCGTGCAGTACCACGCGAGGGGATTGTTCGATTGTGATCATAAAACTTTTGTGTCGCGCCGGGCTCGACAGCCTTGGAGGTTCGCGTCAAGACCGCGTCGTGGACAAGAGGTGACGTAGCGTTTTGCGGTGACTGAAACAAGAAGCCAAGCCGCTAGTACGGTCACGTGAATCTCACTCTTATTCCCATCAACGTTCATTCTCTGACCATGACAGTCTTTCATTGACATGTCTATATGTTAACGCAACAAGCTTAGCCATAATTCTGCTCATACCTTTCCAAATATTTAGTCCCAACACTGTAAACTCGTTCAATATGGTATGACACAGTCTGACGTGGATGTTGCGTGTGGAAGTCCCGGAGCGAGAGTGCTGAAGAGATAGGATAATAGGTAATCAGGAGATAGAAGATGGGTCAAGTGTAATTTGGGAGTTTATATGCCATGTGAGAAGTATATTTAAGTTCTTCCTGTATGTCCTGATCCCTGATAACGATGGAAAAAGTCGCTGCGCTCAGATCAAGGAAATATGCCTTATCGTAACATCGATTCGGTAGCTTGAACGTAAAATGAGAAACAATTCGATGGGTAACAAAATTCTCTAGCAACCTCCGCTCTCGGGCCTCCTTACTTCCCCTTTCTGATTCAATGTCACTTCTGCCCCAGCCACATGGGCATCTTTGCCATCGAAAAGAATTGCGATCTCTTCCAATGTCTACAATTGTTATTAGTATGAGTAAGAAACAACTGGAGGGTATGAGCGGAAGACTTACCGGACCCCTCGTCTCAACGTAGAGGAAATAGATGGCCAGACATTCGAGGATCAACACCACAACATAAACTATGTAGAACTTCCAGCCAAGTGCCTCAAGTCCGATCGGATTTACGTACTGGTTGAAGATACCAGACAAAGACGTAAAGACAAAGCACAATGTAAGACCTTTCGCGCGGATCTTGAAAGGGAGGATCTCGACAGTGTAGGATACGGTCAGACCGGGCCAGGCAAGACCAGCAGCTATGGTAATTATCAGTATATCGAGAACTATAGTAGTTGGGAGTTGTGTGACATACCGCCATAGAAGATGAAGATCATGGCCAACACAGCGGAACCGGCGCCCGAGTTGCCTGTGCGCGCGTACACCGCACTACATGCTGTCCAGACACTAAAAGCAACGAGCATGCCCAGGCCGGCACCAAGGAAGAGTGTTCGTCGTCCGACACGATCAACGAGGAAAGCACATCCGAGAGAAACAAGGAAGCACCAGATGGTGAGTCCACCGTTGATTAGAGCCTGATCAGTCGCTCTGTATGCGGGTCAATATCCATCACGAAGGTCACAAGTATCAAGAATGAAACTTACTTGGTTATACCAATAGTCTTCAACACAGCAGCCAAATAGTAGCTCACAAGTCCGTTACCAGAGCACTGCGAGAAGATAGCAGTCAAGATGATCAATAGACATCTTTTCCTGTTTCCAGGAGTTCGAACCAGCTCGTACCATCCGCTGCTTGAACTCGCGGCTTGCTCTGCTTCTAGCGTCTGGCTAATCTCGTTGTATTCCCATGCGACGAAATCGGTCTCAATTCCGTTTCCATGATATTGCGTAAGCATCTTCTTCGCTGCCGAATGCTTGTTCTTGCTGACCAACCATCGAGGAGATTCGGGAAGCAAGAACAAGACAAACAACTGGACCCCAGGCATGGCGCACTGCAAACCAACTGGGAGACGCCATGAAAGGTCCGAAGAGATATGAGTCAGGGTTCCATATGTGGTCCATGCGGCAAGGATTGCACCCAGATACCACAGCGTGTTGTAAATGGTCGTTACCCTGCCTCTGTGCCTCGGATGAGCAACCTCCGTAATCAAGAGAGGGCATGTCGCATTGGAGATGTTGGTGCCCATGCCCATGATGAAGCGTCCTGCCAGAAACATCGCATCTGGATTACTGCGGTGCGGGAGAGCCTGGATGATGGAGCCGACAATTACAAGGATGCAACCAACTGCCGTGCCTGTTCGCCGACCAAGAATATCGGCAATGTATGGTGTGAACAGCAGTACAGCAAAGCCTCCAAATCCAGGAAACGCCCCCAAAAGGCCGAGTCGCGACCCTGTGGGGTTACCGAAGACTGGAACAAATGTCAGTATGATAGGCAAAAGCTTGTTGATTGGTTCACGCTGAACTCTAAAGCAAATCGACAGGGGGTAAGAACTTGCATTCTTGCCACGCAGGCATCGTTTGGAGACCGTTCAGTAAACTCCCATCGTAGCCCAAGGTGGTCGACCCTAAGAACAGGAAGGGCATCATCAAGTAGAGCTTCCTCAACTCGGGTTGCTTGTACCATGGCCTCTCGTCTGCCTTTGGCTGAGCGTGAACCACAACATCCTCTCGGTGCACAACATCAACGTTGTGCTTGCTATCCATGGTGAAAAACTAGTAAGAGTAGCTCGAGACAGAAACAAACGAGGACCGTCGCGAAGATGGCGATGCGCTGATCTGAGCCCGTCTTGATCGCGGTATATATATACTCGCACGGCCCAACAGTATGGCCCGTGCCGTGCGAATAAGAATCTGGGGAAGGGGATCTGGGGTCCCCCGCAGTCGCGATTGGGACGACTGAGCGCCCAGCCTCCATCCAAGCTAGGCGCATGCAGTATATCGCCGATAAATATGCGTCCGCATTCTGTAAGCCTCGTACCATCTTCAGGATTCGAGTCGGTAAAATGACCCACCAACGCGCCTCGGCTGCGTGCGACGCATGTCGAGCGAGGAAAGTCAAAGTAAGTTTCCCGGGTTGCGCATTGCCTGGCTACGCCCCATACCCGACGATGCACACAACCCTGAAGGCAGAGAGGCGACCGGCAGTACAGAATGGGGTCTACCGAGCTTCAACGACAAGAGAAGCGTCGTTCACACTGCCGACCGGCTGTTACCATGTTGCATCGGAGTGGTGTCAGGCTTTCGATTAACAACTGCAATAGTGTCATCTCACGACAAGCGAAACGAAATGCTCCGCCTGCATCGAGCTCAACATCGATTGCACGAGCGTACACCCCAGGAAGAAGAGGGGCCCGAAGAACCGATACGTCCAAGCCTTACGAGCGGAGCTGGACGGAAAAAGCGAACAAAAGTCTTATGGTCTTGAGATCATAGCACCGTTTCCCACCGTACAACAACTCATTGCCGACTGGTTTGGGTGGATCCATCCAGTGGCTCCGATACTCCATCCCGACCGCTTCTTGGAACAGGTCGCGGAGACTCACGACTCAGCCAGCGAAGTCTCGCCATCTTTTCTCCTCCTAGTAACCTCGCTATGTGCCGCCACATTTGCCAGTTTGCGAAGACGGCGCCATCTCTACGCGCCCGTGACGGTGGATAGTTGCCTGGATCTGGCCGAACGCCTGGGTCTGTGGCAACCCAGCAACACCATCACATTAGAGAGGAGCCTTACTATATACAACTTCTCAAGCGCTGCACACCACGAGCGTGGCATTGACTCTGCGCTCTCTCACCGACTTTTTGCTGAAGCAGCCATGAGTGTCACATACTTAACGTATCAGAAAAGCACTGAAATGTCGTTCATGGAGCAGCAGATCCTCAAACGTCTTTATTGGCTAGTGTACGCAGGACAGTGCACGTGCGACATGCATGGTCGACGGCTTCTTGTCTTGCGCCATGCGCACGAAGAAGTGGGTTCGTTGCTTCCATTAGAAATTTCGGATGAGCAGTTGGTCCACTGGTGCGATGCGGATCACATTGATGATGCATGTAGGTCCCAGTCGTTCGTTCCCGGGTTGAACGTACTTTCGAAGCTCTTCCTCGTATGGCAATCTAGCCAGGCAATTCCAGCACAGACAATGGCAAATCTGCAGGAGCACATTAGTCGCGCTAACTCAGCGTTGGCTGATTTGCCACCAAAACTTAGTTGGACAGGCGAAACAGCACAGAGTGGCGATTTCGGCTTTGACGTGCAGAAAGTAAACCTCAAGGTTACGCAATTACACATCCGCGCAAACCTCCTCGAGCAAATGAACACACTAGCAAAAGCACAAAGTCTCCTTATCACGCCGAATGCTATCATTGAGGAGAGACACCGTGTGGTGGATGAACTCTTGGACATTCTATATCATATGCCTACAGAGGTTTTCGATGCAAACGGCTATAGCATTGTGCCTAAGATACGAGACATCGGTGGTGCACTACTCGACGAGCTTCGAACTGGATCGCATGGGCGCACTCTACAAGCCAGTATGAATTTGGATAGACTACTGGCAAAATTGGAAAACTTGGATCTGCGACCCATGGCCCAGACACCATATATCTAAGACTCTAGAAGTCACTCTCGTCCTCTTCGAGACTGTATGCCCAACATTCCGCGATGCATGTCCTGGCAGGGATCGTGACAGCAATGGGAAATCCTCCATAGTCAGGTTCTTCGTTTGGCATGATTAGAAATTCGCCGCTCCTCGTTTCGTCACCGCCTAGCAGCTTCAATGTCGTCAACTCACAAGTCTCGCTGTTGACCTCCTTTTCTTCGGCATGCAGTATGCCAGTGAACGTCGACTTGGGATTAGTACTCTTGAAAGAGAGGTTAAATCCCCATCCCGCACAGAGAAATTTGCCGTCTCCCTGGTAGATCACCATGCCCGCACCTGGCCCTGGCTTTCCGAAAACGAAAGCGCGCTCGATAATGACTTCGAACCCCCCGATCGTCTTCGTCCAAGGCTTTTCTGAGACCTTCTGGCCCTCGACCCAATCGTCAAAGAAGAAGCCCATCATATCCTCGGGTCTCTCGGCTTGTACCTCGAGAATTTGCTTTCGGAGAGAGTGGATGAGACCGTAGTGCTTTGTGAAGGGGCTCTCTGCCGCTGTGTGGGAGTCGATACCAAACGGCGAGCAGCCCAGCGCCAGGTATGTTGCGTACGCGAGCCATACACGCCTGGCACCTTTGTCGTCTCGTCTCTGTTCGGGTATGAACAGTGGTTGGCCACCGTGTCTGTAGTTCTTACATGTTGTTTCATAATCGTGGAAGTATAGATCGGGTGCGATGAAGTCGAGACTCGGAGCGTTGAATTTGTAGACGTCGGTCGTATGAGGGCAAGGTCCACCAGATGGATATATACCGGCTTTTGCACCACCCCCTACTACGACTGGTACATCGACGAGATCGAGGTCGCCAGGTTTGTCGAAGTTGAGCCACACGTTTGCATATAGGGGGATTGGATACTCGGCCTTTCCAGCCGACGCAACGTGGTGGATGTAGCGTGAAAAAGCGTCTGCCATGAACATCTCCTCTGCGTTGATGGAGTCTTCTGCACCAAAGGCGTCCATCCATGTTGCTTCTCCAGCCGTTAAATCGTGGATACTAGAATAACGCTGTTGGAACTCAGGGTGAAGTTCTGCCTTGTTCGCCTGCAGATATTGTAACAACTCCTTGGGCATAGGTTCGCGGAATTTCTGCTCAGCAATCTTGGAGCGATCTCTGGAGTCGCCGAGCAATCCAGTCTCGTTTTCGACTTGCACCATGACAACAGTGCTGTGCTGTCCATCAAACTCCTTCAAATGTGCCATCAGCGCCGCGAAGGCCTTAGCGTCCGCCTTCCACCCCTCTTCACAAAAGGGGCTCATAAGCTCCTCCGTTCGTCGCTTGCCTCCCTTTTCCAGGACGTGCACCCTTGGGAAGCGCTTGACATCCTTCTTCACCCAAGCGGGCACATAAGTTGAGAGTGCATTTTTGAAACTGCCAAACCACAGCAAGACGAGCTTGATGCCATGTTCGCGTGCAGCCAGAATGACGGCATCGAGGTTCGAGAAATCAAAATGCCCTTCGACGGGCTCGATCTGTTCCCATGATACTGAGCCTAGCAGAGTGTTCATGTGCATGGCTCTCATGTTCTGCCAGACCTTATCGTCGGCCATATATTTGGCGGAGCTCAGTGTTGAATTGTGCAACTCGGCACTGAGCATGAGGAACGGCTCTCCATTGACGATGAGCTGGCTGGACGTCTTCGTCTTGCGAAGGTGTGGAAAAGTGGTTGCTGTCATTTTACTATCAGAGGTCTTGTTAGTCTAGCTTTACACCTTTCTCGCTTTTGTTCGACGTACCTATGGGGTTGCAGGAGCGTCTCCTGCTATTACAGCGCTTGTGTTGGTTTATCTTTCCTTAAAGATAAGCTTCGCGTGCTGTCTTGGAAGAGCAATTGACCCTCTGGAATTTCGAAGTGTCTGGAGCGATGAGGAATCTAGGAGAGACTCGAAGCTAGAGAGGTCGAGAGATGGAGAAAAGAAGGAAGGGAAGAAAGGCAAACCCCCCAACAGCAACGCGAGTGTAGCTTTCCGAGCGCGGTACGAAAGCTATGGCCTTTGACGCAAGAATTTCGGAACTCGATGCATTGGAAAATTATCGGACAATTCATGCATATCCATGTTGGGTAGGGTTCCCCGCACATGTGTTGGAATGGCGGGGCACACACGATGCGAGTCATGCAACCCGACTTAACAATGTCTCGGATGTCCAACTCGGCTTCAGACTAATACTGTGCAACACGTGAAGAAGTGTACGTTTCCATGGCTAGTTTTACCGTTCGTTATCATTTGCCGGAGGCAGGCTAGCTTGTCCGGCGGCTATATCCATGATCCGCCTTTTAGCATCCGACCATATTGATTGCAGTCTGCGAGGTCTGTTGTCCTGGGCTTGGCAACATGATTTCAATCTCATAACGCGGACTTTCATGTGATCCTCGTCTAACTCGAGACGACCTTGTCCTGAGTGTGGCATTACACAAGCACAACTTTGTAAGGTTACGCACTGAAGGACGGCTTCCATAAGATAGCGTACATATGTCTGGTGCTAACAAAAGAACATCTTGCTCAGCAGACAAAAGCTGTCAAGATGTAAGGTAATGTCTGACTTGCACTGCTATTTCTTCGAAGGTAGGAAACAACGAGATGAAATATCAAGGCACCGTCAAACACGTTTCCATCACTACAATCACGCTGTCTGAATTTCCTAGCGTTTGACCGTCTCAAAGCGGTCTGTTTCGAGACTGGGTTCTAGAAGAGATAGTTGGTCTCCCAATATCAACCTCCCGGACGGCAAAAGCTATGCGATTTCGAGTCGTACTTCACGCAACACAAACTCCTGAATATAATCTCGTCTGTTCTGCTTCATCATAATTTATGTGATGATGTGAAATCATACTTGTACCTTGCAGTCTGGGTCTTACATATGTGCGGATGGGGGCACTGATAGGCGGAACTCCGTCATCCATACTCTGCAACTCTAAATTTCAAGTTACATCGCACTTGTGCTATCATCATTTATACCATTATGTTATTGATCAGTCCCTCGTCAAAATGCGCACAAGGGTAGGGCTCCAGTGTCTAGGCGAGATAGGAAGTGAAAAAAACGTTATTAAGGCCGTCAGAGGGTTATCGTGAAGAAGCTTACCAGATGCTTGCCCGTAAATACGTGTATCTACTTGTTTTGCACGTAGAGTCTCATGGTTCTGCTATTCAGGTCCAAAGAATTAGGGTATATGAATACTGTGTATGGCTCAAGATTATATGTTGGGCTGTAGAACTCATCTCGAATGTTTATTGATACTACCTATCAGATTGTCCAACCATAAGCAGAAAACTTGTGTCATACGCCGCAAGCTGCCACCTCGTACGGAGTCTTGCCATTTCTAAGTAACTCGAACCTGCCAAGGTACTCGAAGAACTGATTCGCTGGCGACTGGTACCAGTTTCAACGTCCTGAGCCAGACTTGTGTTCCCAATGACCATCCGCACTTTTTGCAGTTAGTATAGGATCTTTGATCACAAGCAAAGCGCTCAAACTCCTTAGTTGCGAGCAACACGCTCCATTCCGAACATATCAAACGTTAACTCACGTTGATCAATAGCATAGTCACTAGTCAAACAAGAAGCGACTCTACAGTCATCCTCGAACCCATCCAAATTCGCCTCTCGGTCATGGAATCGTACTTCCGAATGCTAACAAGTTTGCGACTGAACCATGTGATGTAGAAGATAGGCGGGCTATCGTTTCCATTAGATTTGCTACGATATCTAACCCTATCTGCATGGCATGCCGGCTGTCTTGCGATAACGCGGTATTAACACCGTCAACTGACGGCGACTATGGCCGTGCTGATAGCTAGAAGACGATAAGCCATTACACCGCTGTCATAGTAGTTTTGCCTGTCTTCCCAATCATGCAAAATATGTTGAACCAGAGGAATTCAATTGCGCAAGCATCCCGCGACAAATGTGCGATTGGAGGCAACCCGAACAGTCTGAAAAAACAACCTTATCTGGTGATGAACTGAGATCGAATGACCTGCTGTCATGTGGTCTATGTACCTTGCGATCAACACACCGTATTTGAACCTTTTGTTTGGAAGAACACTTCACGTGGCTCAGCTGTAGGAGCGATCCAGCAGGCGCTTAAGCAGAAAAAAGGCGCGATTAAGATAGACACGAGAACTGACCGGACGCAGGATGCAGACATGGGTTTTCAACAGAAGTTGCGAGAACCGGTTGTTGGATAGTGATGGTCCAATCGTAGTTTTGCTCAGAGGCCGCAATAGTTGAACTGCATAAAGCAGAACAACGCCACGGTAAGCACACGTGTCAATCATCGTACAGCACCGAATAGAGAAGCAGATTTCAAGCCACGGCGGTACTGATACAGAATCATGGATCAAGCAACTAGAGACAGCATTCGGTGTTCAGTCGTGCCTACAGTTGCTCAGCTAGTTCTACCTACAAATGAAAGTATGAATCAGTTGGCGGAAATGTTCGCGAAGTTGGGCATTGATCGGAGGAAGGTAGCTATTCTGGAAGAAAAAAGAATCGAGAGATCCCTGAGCCGTGTAGTCGGTAGGCTGATCCTATGTTCTAGAAATACACGTGTACACAGTGGGTTACATATCGGCTAAGTGTTAATTGGACATTTACGCGCTTGACGAGCGCACCTACCACCGCGCCGCGCCGCGCCACCTTCGCCGCATAGTTTTCTCCCGAAACAAGTCAACGTCGTCTGGACAATCACTACGCCGCACAACACTTTGCTTCGTGACGCTTCGCAACTCACCGTCTATTCGCTTGGTGACGCAAACAAGTCCACTTTGGTTTCGCGGCAAGCTCAATACCTCACGAGATTGCCGAAAGCATAGCTATACTGTGCCACATCGTCATCAGAAGTCGACCCCTCCATGGGGCCAAAAACTAATAATAAGCCTACTTGCAGCTGCTTTCCATAAGCTGGCGGCTACAACATATACTAGGCTGCACATCTGGTTAGGTCAGCGCTTATACAGTTACTCTGTACGGCCACACCCTTACTGTCGCTGCGGTCTGACAGCTCTCGAAGTACACGCCGCACACCCACGTCCAAGGTTCACTTCTCCGTCGCTGCCCTTGGCATGCTTTGCTGGAGGTGGGAATGGGTCATGGCGTGCAGATCGCGTGGTGAATGGTGGGTATGTCGGTGAGGCACGACTATTCTAGAGAGACAGCATTGTTGGCATGCACGCCTCTAGTAGTAGCAGTGTTTGATGTTTCATGTATCTTCCAATCATTATTTTGGTGAGTAAGAGGTTACACTAGAGCCTGCATCAACAACAGTGTAGTAAAGGTAAAAGGTCAGTACGAGCTGCAGCTTCTTTCCAGCCTGGCATTTTCCCGTCCAGTGATCCGACAAGGCATTTTTTCATATTCCCCGTCTCTTTGTCTCCATCTGTCGCTCAGCTGTGTGAGCTCGACTCTGCAAATCAACATCATGCCTTATCCAATTTCTGTCCCTGGCCATACTTCGAAATCTGCCCGTCCACTTCGGATTTCGAACCAGTGGCCTATCTATCCAGGTATTCCAATCTACCTCGAAGCACACGACGAACGTGCCACGGCGAAAACCTACGGTACCACCCCCACGACACCAACTACACCTGAGACAACACCTATCGGTCGGCCGACATATCTGAGCCCAGCCTACTCTATTGCAACACAACCAAGTTCAACACAACCAAGTCCAATACAATCAAGTCCTACTCGACTGAGCCCTACTACAACAATCCAGACTTCCAGTGACCGCTCAGATATCTGGCCAGTACCTGAACCGCCACCAGAAATTCAACAGCAAGAGTCCCGACGACCAGCTCTTCGCTTCTTCCCGTCAGAGCGGCCAAGAATCCGCCTTGATTGTGCATCTTCTCTACAAATCCCACAAATCAATGAAAAGACTCCGATCAACAATACTCATTCCTCATTGGGCATTGCTGGTGGTTCCCCGAAACCGCCGTCCATTGAGATATCCTTACCGCTGGACGAAGATGTCGAAGCATCGCCCAACATCGCTGAAAGGATCGAGAAGCGCCTTTACCAATACAGTATTTCTAGTAACATTTTAAAGATATGGTTGCTTGAAATCATCAGCTGGGTCTTCAGTGCTGTCTGCATGGCGGCAGTGATCATTGTTCTCATCTACCTTAAGGACGACCCTCTTGCTAATTGGTCTTTGACTAAGATACCTGGTCTGACATTAAATGCGTATATCTCACTGCTCTCGAGAATGGCAGGTGCTGCTCTCATCATTCCTGTTTCGGAAGCTCTCGGTCAACTGAAGTGGAGCTGGTTCCAACAAAACTCGAAACAAATGTGGGATTTTGAGATCTTTGACAATGCGTCCCGAGGTCCATGGGGTTCCCTGTTACTTCTGGTTCGGACCAAAGGAAAGGCGTTGGCAGCCCTTGGAGCTATGATCACGATGTGTATGATGGCACTTGATCCATTCTTCCAACAAGTAGTCGATTTTCCTGATCGTTGGACTCTGCAAGACACTTTGAGTGCAATTCCGAGGACGACACATTATGAACGCTCTTTTGGAAGAGAATACAGAGATGGATTCGAAGTTGCTACGGATGATCCAGACATGTTTCTCGTTGTAGAGAAATTTTCCTATGGTAATGGCACTGAACCTGTCGTATTTGGAAACGGCACTCGACCCGAAATACCGCTCGTATGTATAGATCCTTTCGTTGTATTGTTCATTTATTTGCCACTTGGACCCTCGAGACAGCCCATCACAGATCGCTCGTATTGCATAAAGCGTAGTCGGAGCGTTGGGCAAGGTGCAAGATGCGCTCGGAGTCTCAATTGCACTGGCTAACATCTGGTGCTAGTCTTGTCCAACTAGCAAATGTACCTGGCCATTGTATGAAACATTAGGCGTCTGTAGTCAGTGTGCAGACATTTCAAGCCATCTCACGTTTGCCTGCCTAACGACCAAGGTTGACTGGACATCAAATACAACCGGCGGATTTGGCGATGTAGAAAGCGAATACCCGAACTCGACCATGTGTGGCTACTTTCTCAACGTCACAAGTGCAACCCCAATATTGATGTCCGGATACCTTTTCGATACAAATACATCCACCACCGGCGAGGCTCTTCTTTCGCGAACGTTACCCTTAACTACTTTGACCACGAGGGAACCTTTGTACGGTAACGGGTCTATCAACTTCAAACAAGATCGTAACACCATATTCGATGTCTTAATCGTAACCGCCGCCAACGGATCGGCCGAGACCGTATACCGCAATGAACCGCCCATTGCCCAAGAGTGCGTCCTCTCTTGGTGTGTGAAGACGATCAGATCATCATACGACTGGGGCAAATACGAGGAAGAGGTTGTGAAAACAGTCATCAATACAACTGCAGGACCCTTTCCATGGGTTGGGATTCCCTACTCTGATGAGTCTGGTAATGGGACAGACATATTCTATCTTCAGGATATCAATATAGATGTGGTTGCACCTCCAAGTAAGGACCAGGATACCAGCATAGACCTTGCAACACTTTCGAGTGGGCCCAACATCCTAAAGTTCGGCACTTCAAATAACACTGCGTCAGCCATCATTCAAGGTTTCACCGACATATTCCCGTCATTCTCAACTGTACTAGACGATCCTACCACTCCGGTTTTAAGATACAAGGTCTGGGACGATGGCCCAGCATGGAATCGTTACTTAGGCTACAATCCTTGGCTTGGTCCGAATGTGCCTCGACACCTGGAAAGGCTAGCCACAGCTATGACAAACGTAATCAGATCGGCCGACAATAAGGAAATGATCTCGGGGGAGGCATTTAGCAGAGTGACTTACGTCTCAGTACGCTGGCAATGGCTCACCCTACCTATTGGCCTCTTACTGCTCACTTTTGTTTTTCTCGCTGCGACAATATTCAAATCGGCACACGAGAAGGCCCACGTCGGTGTTATGAAAAATTCGGCTATTCTGACATTGCTGTATGGATTGCCAGACGATATGCGGAGAAGACTTACAAGATCTTCCAGCACAGGTGCTCCAAAAACTAAGGAGGTTAAGGGACTCAAAGTCAAACGCAATCGGAATATGGGCTGGACATTTTCCGAAAGCTTCTTTCCTCCTTTGACGCCACGATTGTCACGACATCAACATCCACCAGGATGGATTTAGCAAGAACCTCTTATAATCATCATTCGAGACTGAATTCAGAAATATTGTCATTACATCACGTCCCCAAAACGTCATCTTGGTGCTAAGTAGAGCCTCCACTATCATGGGTTCATGTCGATGTATTCACTAATGTGTCAAAAGAGGGTACGAGAAAAGTCATACTGTACCTGCCAGTATTTTCTCTCGAAAATCCTATGTGGGAGCCTTTAATGCTACAGGTGTCCAGCTTGGAAAGAAAATTCCAATCGAAGTAAAACAAAGATCCTCCAACGCCAGCTGGTTATGAAATCTCCACGCCTTATGTTACACTCAATACATGTGCTCATCGGGAGCCTCAAATTACATTATGTTTTCCTCGTGACCCAAGGTTCGTAGTCGAAAACCACCATCAAAGTTACGTCAATGGCCTCCGGAGTTCCATTTCCCTCGCGCCTCATTGGAGTCGACTGAAGATTGGGGCTTTGCATTGCGTCAATGGCCACCAGTATTCCACCTTGACCGCGTCTCGATGGGTTCAACAGAAGGTTGGGGCTCTGCGTTGCGTCGATGGCCTCCAGTGTTCCATCTTGACCGCGTCTCGATGGATTCAACAGAAGGTTGGGGCTCTGCGTTGCGTCGATGGCCTCCAGTGTTCCATCTTGACCGCGCCTCGATGGGTTCGACAGAGGGTTGGGGCCCTGACCGACGTCCATGGCCATCAGACGTGTCCCATCTTGTCCGGCGTACTATCTCGATGACAGGAGTGAGGTGACGGCGAAGTCCTGAAACTGATAGATCATTCGACGACGCAGCCTGAGTTTATTGTAAGAGATGCAGCTAACCAGGGTACTCAATCTGGACATACCTCGACCGTCGGGACGGGTGCTGCAAGTGCGACTAGGATGATGGAAAGAAAGACGAAAACCACACGCATATACATGTTGGCTGTGTTACGTTTCTATCAGACGAGTGTGTAGGTTGGTTTTATAAGCAGGGTAAGGAAAAAATGTTCCAAAGTCAAGCTGGCCAAGAGAAGAACTAAGATCAACAGTTATCTCAATGATGAAGCGAAGTTGTTGTCTGGTCGATTTTGCAAAGCAGAGGATATGCTTAGGTCTTTTATCTATCAACGTCACTCTATAACACCAGCAGCAACGAAGCATTGCACAACATTGTCATCATCTCCACCAGCGCTTCCATATGCGCAAGCCCACTCTATCACAACTATCCGGCACGCCACATACGTTTAGTTCTCGTCTCGAAAGGCATCTGGCATTGGGAGGCGATATGCAACGGTGGAAAGGTTGCACAATTATTGGTCAAACAACAAGAAGGTGCAACCATTGAGACACGAACTGGGCGTAATTGAAACTCCATGAACGCCAGCACCAGACCACAGCGCGTGAGGTTGGATATGGCTGAGGTCGGCACCTGCTCATGGGTCGACATGCTTCCTCACATTCTGCTATCACATTTGCAAGCGCTGATCAAGGCTGCCCATGAGATAATTTCGCATGGGTTTGCGACCGAATTTCTACATGTACGTTTGTCCTCCTGTAATCTCCCAGACCTCGAAGGACTTTGAGAACGTGTTCTGACCAATCATGGTAGGATAGCGCCTTGGCGGCGGTTTGTATGCATGTTCGGGCACAAAGCGATTGGTTGTGCGTGAGTGTCCCCTTACGCCAATGAGCCGCACCAGTACCCAAGTCACACCTCGTCCCAAACGTTCTTGTGGGCGTCACGCTGTCTCCCGCTTCACGTCGTTCTTATCATTTCAACAAACTCAGACCAGGCACGGTCCAACGTACACTTGAACCACCTGATGTTTTTCAGTTCTGGTCCAGGACGTCTCCCCCCGGAAATAACAAGAACGTGCACTGCCAAGGACAAGATCCTCACCAAAAGTAAGTCAAATCGGTCGAACACTTACACCAGTCTACTGTGGTACCTGGTGGAAGGTTTAGCAGTCAGCTGCACTGAGGAGCAGTTTGCACCTATCATAGGGAACAATCTGGATCGGTTCTAAAGTTGGAAGAACGTCTTGTACTCGCTGGGCTATATGTGTGTGGAGGTTAGCGAACTGCTGCATCTTGCACCGGACACCTTAATACACTCGATTCAAATTTGTACAGCCAACTACACAATCAAGAGATATCCAAGGAACGGAAAGAAAGCCTTTGTAAATCCCCATTTGTTGCCTTCACAAATCGTTGCAAAGTTGAATAGCATATCGGAATGTTCAACTTTCAGCCGTACACGTTCTGCCTTCTTCCGTATGGTTGCTTAGGCCCCCATGTCTTAGCTCATCAAAGTGTTTGGTTGTGTACATCCAGAAGGTGGTGGGCAAATGCTCTGGAACGCCTCGAATAGACATGTTGTTGACAGACTTGGAGAGAATTTTAAACCATTTTTCGTTCAAGATAATACTACTTAATCAGTTCCTCGTAAGTTCTAAACTGGAGATTTCTCTACTTTTTTCCGATCAGTCGATCAAACCTACGTGCAAAGGAACAACATTGGGCAGTGCCAATTCAACGCCGTGTAGTTATACAGGTAAAGCTATCCCGTCTTCCCCCTGCTACTGAGACGTTGCTTATGTTCAGGTTTCTATCAAATATCTGCTTCATTTAAAAACTTTTTGATAGACATGCTTCTAATTTGCGATAGCACTCCGTTCTGATCTTTACTACCTATATGACGTCGACAGTGCTAGATAGGTTTGAGAGAAACCAACCAATGACCGGTACTCTTTAAACGCCTCATATGAAGACTACTTTGGTACGACAGTGCAGACCTTGAACGCTCGGATGTCTACCCCTATAGGTACCTCACTTTATCGAAACGACACCCACATGCATTCTTTCTCTCATTTAATCTTTGCCGTGAACCTCGAAGCGATTCAACAGCGCTACACATTGTCCACTAGCGTCCACACTGGTTCGAGTCTTGCCACGCGCACTCGAACCATCTTAGCCTGCACCGTCAAGTCGTTCACTTTGTTCCAAGTTGTTCATTCAACTTGGGTAAACTTTATCGAATTGGTTTCACCATCGTGCATCGCTCCTTTAGGGCTCCATCTCCAGAATTCCCACCTCTGTACTTGGCTTTCGCTTCAATTAAAAAATAGTTCAAATCGATGAAGACGACGGAACAACATGGAGCCTAACAGCTATAGCAGCAAATCGCCATACTCTTCCATGTCATTTGTTTATCACTCGCTGATCTGCGAACATTGCCTCGAGACTCGGTAGCTCCTTAGGACACTTATTGTGATAGGAAGTCGCTAGTCTGACGGACATAATTATTCAAGATCTACAACAACCAAACATCATCTCGAGAGTGCAAGAGCTCCTTGTCTATCGCATTCGAAGTACATGCGACTCCCCGCTCTCTACGTGTTTGCATGAAATTTTCACAAGCATAGTGCGCTGGTGAGTATAGGTTTAATCGGATGGAGGGCGTTCGACTGTTGTGGCCACAAGACATTGTACATCACGTGCTCAACGCTGGGTTTAGTTCAGTTAAACACAACTAGGGCTCCAATGTTTTCCTGATAAGTTCAACGACCCTTATTGAAAAGTCGCGTTGATCAGATTTGACGCGCGGTACCAGCCTCACCTTTATGCAGATGACCTCGAGCCGCCGGGTTCCTGTGCCGCAGCGCTAGCGGCACAATTATTCGTCAACTTTCATCCTTAGCAGGCCCTCGCATGCAACACCAGGGATGTGCCAACCTCCTCGCGCGAAACAGGCGTTTTCGAAAGGCGGACGCTTCATCGCATGATCTCTTGAGAGATGAAGAGTTTGGTTATTCTAACTTAAGCCTTAGTGGCTTTATGAAGTCCACTCTGGTATCTTATCTTACAGGTATACTTCTTTCCCTACAGAGTACATACTTTGCGTTGTCACTTCGCACCGTTCTGAGTGTTGCGTCGCCCGTGTTTCCTGCGCAAACTCCCTCATACAGTAGTAGGAAGTTAATATCACGTTCCTGCATAATCCCCATCTACACCCTCAAGCAGACAAAGAACCTATACCCTGGGGACTTGCCCCTCGACAATGAGCAACCCGAGATTATTACCGGAATCCTCCAACTCATATCGTCGCAATCCTGTTGATGTTGGGGAACATGATGATCATCCTCCACCATCTTACAGGGCGTCAGTCCAGGAAGCATCTTCGCTAGACCTTGCTCAACGACTTGAGACAAAACTCGCAACATATAACAGATCCCAAAATCTCTTTAAAAGATGGTTGTTCGAGATCGCTAGCTTGGTGACTAGTGCACTTTGTATGGTTAGTTGATGGTTGATGATGTTAGTTTCAATCACTGGAGGTGCTAATTCTACATACGATAGGCCGCTATCGTCGGGATACTTCTATCTTCCAAAGACCAACCTTTGAGCCAGCGATCACAAGCTCTCAACATCGTAAATGTTCTGTCCAAGATTGCATCCGCTACGTTGATCCTGCCAATATCCGAAGCAATCGGCCAACTGAAATGGGCCTGGTTCCATGGCAGCAAATCCAAAGAGATGATCGACTTCGAGATCTTCGATAAAGCATCTCGAGGGGCATGGGGCTCTTTTTTGCTGCTCTTCCGTACCAAAGGAAGATCTTTAGCCGCTCTTGGTGCAGTTTTGACTCTCCTCCTACTCGCCACCGACACGTTCCTCCAACAAGTGACCGACCTACCGGAACGTTGGATCTTGGATGGTCATGGTGAAATCCCTAGGGTTGTCCGTTATGAGGGAGATAACGGGATCGTCCTTGGGGAAGGAGTGCCGCTTCTCTTAGACGAAATCAACCTCCGGGAGATCACTTTCAAGTACTTTTATTACAACGGTACGCAGCCTGTCATGTTCGGTAACGGAACTAGACCCGAGATTTCGCTTTCTTGTCCTTCAAGTAGGTGTGAGTGGGATGCGTACCAGTCGTTGGGATTATGTAGCGCCTGCACAGATGTTTCTCAGCTTCTTACGTATGCTTGCCTCACGACCAGGTTGGATTGGTTGTCAGAATTGATTGGGGCTCCAGACACGTACCCAAATGGTAAGTTCATGTTGTTCGTTTGATAGCGTAGTATTGTCCTGACTTGTGAATAGGGACTGCCTGTGGCTATTGGCTCAACGCTACGAGTACAACACCATTCCTCGCGTCCGGTTATAGAATCAACTCCACTTCTGACCCCACTCCTGGCGAAGCTCTCCTCCTTCGGACACTACCTCTGATTACGCCTCCTACCAGAAATACTTTGTTTGGCGGCTCAATCAATTTTGACCATGTATACTATCCACTCCTGGATGCTCTCATCATCAGTGCAGCAGATGGTTCCATCGAGAGCGTTTACCGGAAGGAACGTCCAGTTGCCCAAGAATGCATGCTCGCGTGGTGTGTCAAAACTATCGAATCCTCCTACCACGAAGGCAACTACGAAGAAGTGGTCACCGAAACTTTCCTGAACGCGACAGATGAACATTACCCTCACCCTTGGGTAAGCACCGAAGTTATCTCACGAGGTGAGAAAGCATGGGATGTTTTCTTCGAAACAAACATCAGTATGTACCCTCCATCAGCGGACCGGTCCACCGATGGGTATGGTGTTTCGAACGAAACTTTCGCGAGAGCAGCCGTTCTATTCGATGACATGTTTCCTTCTTCCATAACTGTCGCAAATGATACAGCACAGCCATTTTGGAAAGTCAAAGTCTGGGTCGAGGAACAAAACAATCTCCGCGTCTATACCCACTGCCCGTGGCTCGCTCCAAATAACGTTACTCAGTATATTGATCGGCTTGCCACTGCCATGACTAACATCGTCAGATCTCATTGGAGTAATGAGCTTGTGGTAGGAAGGGCATATACTCGAATCACTTTCATAGCAGTTCACTGGGAGTGGCTGGCCTTTCCGCTTGTTTTACTTTTGTTAAGTTTGATCTTTTTGTTTGCCACTATAGTTAAGACTTCCAAGAGGACAGACGAGGATATGAATATCTGGAAGACATCGGCGATGCCTGCCTTGATATACAGCTTGCCGAAGGACGTACGAAAAGATTTTACGCCCTCACACAATTGGGACAGTTCTTACAAAAGCAAGGCGAAGAAAGTGAAGATCAGACTCCTTCCGAACCAGGGCTGGAGGGTTTCAGGCCAGGTGTGTACATCTCCAACACTAGTTCGCAGAGTGGACAATCGAGCACCTCCCGGGTGGATATAGCATGGAAAGGAAGAGGTTCTGTCATAAAGTTTCAAAAAATATATTAATTTAGCTCTTGAACTGCCTCTTATCTGTTGACTTCGAATGAAATCAAGGTGTTCCTAGTTGCGATCAAAGATAACCAGCACCCGTCACCCTTCTACACCGGTATTAGGCGTAGCGTCGATCTTTCTGAAAGAGGTTAAGCATCGAGGAGTAACCGACCCACTCAACGTCGATACGGCTGGCGGCAACAGAGGCCATCTCATTTGTCACTATCTTTGTCGTGCCAAGTTGGCTTACATGCAAGAACGTTGTCGATCGTGCCCCGTAACCTGGTCGCTCGCTGTGCCGCAGCGTCAGTGATAGATTTGTTCGACGCGCCGACGGAAGAACAGACTCACAATGCAATCGTGCCTGCATCCCAGCGCTAATTATCAATGGATCATTTGGCTGAACCAGCAGCTCGACATCCACGTGGGCGGTTCGCTATCTTCGACCTGCAGGAAATGCGTTATACTCATTGCTATCTTCCATCTACAACCCATCAGTCCATATGCTTTGAAGTTACACATATCACGTTATGTCAAACACGTCCGACGAACAACAACATCTTGAGTTCAAACGCACGCCTTTTGACGACGTTCACTACAGTTTCCTTTTGTTGTTCTCGCTAAGACAGCCCCATCTATCGTTGCAGACATGGCCGGGACTCAACCAGGAACCTTTATATCCAAGACGAACCGATATCGCCCGGGAATCTACTCACCTCATCGAGATTCGCGGGGACCGTTACATACCGAGTCAGATTATGGACGGATGACACCGGACTCTATTAACTCACTCCCTGAGAAGAAACCCTCCCTGGATTTTACACAACGAATTGAACGTAAACTAGCTGAATACAACGCATCGGAAAACGTTTTGAAGAGATGGTTGATGGAAATTGCCAGCTGGGTTGTGAGTGCAGCATGCATGGGTGCCATTATTGGTATTTACCTTTGCATCAACAACCAGCGAATGACCGAGAACGAATATCTTCTCACTGTGTCGAACGTTCTGGGGAAATTTGCTTCTGCAGCACTCATTGTGCCGACCTCAGAAGCGCTTGGTCAATTGAAGTGGAATTGGTTCCATGAGTCCAATGCCATGTGGGACTTCGAAATATTCGACAAAGCAACAAGAGGCCCATGGGGTGCGGCCATGCTTTTCTTTCGCACCAAGGGCCGATCCTTAGCTGCACTGGGTGCGTTACTCATAGTTCTGCTTCTTGCAATCGACACTTTCTTTCAGCAGGTTGTTACCTTCCCAGATCGATGGGCGATTGAAACCACACTCGGTGCAATCCCCAGAGTCGTCAATTACAAGCCTGGAGATCTTCTCGAGTATTACCGTGGGTACGAGAGCAGCATGTACGATAAGAACCTTCGCCCTATTATGCAAGAGTTCTTCTACGGAAATGGAACTCAGCCTATTGATTTTGGTAATGGTACACGGCCTGACATACCATTATCATGTCCTACCAGCAGCTGCGCTTGGCCACCTTATGAGACCCTTGCTGTTTGCAGCACGTGCGAAGAAGTTTCCCACCTTCTTGATATTACGTATACTTGTCTAAACATGACAATCGACTGGAGCACCAAATGGGATGGGCCTATTGCTGAGTTTCCCTATCCTAATGGAACAGTGTGCGGTCACTTTATCAATGCGACAAGTACCGCACCAGTTCTCATGTCAGGATACAGCATCGACTTTACCGGCCCAGAATCTAAACCTGGCGAGACTTTACTGGTGCGCGCAGTTCCCCTTACTGGATTTCTTGACAAGGAACAGCTGTATGGTACTGGTTCTGTCAACTTCAAAGATAAACGACACACTATTATCGATGTTTTGATCGCCTCCGCACCCAACGGGGTGGAGAGTGTTCATCAAAAAGAGGCACCCATCATCAATGAATGCGTACTCTCGTGGTGCGTTCAGACCATGAAATCGTCATACGACTGGGGAAAATATAGTGAGGAAATCCTCGCAAAATTCGAGAATTTGACTGCTGGACCGTATCCATGGATAAGTTACCCGATGCCAGAAAGTGTTGGCGGTGGGACCTGGATCGAGTTCACAAAGAACATCACTATTATCCCACCTACTTCAAGACTGAACGGATCAACTCCTACCGCTTTTGACTCACAGTACGGAGTGGGTAATACTACAGTGTATAACGTCATATGCATTTTTGACGACATTTTTCCATCTTTCTTTACGGCCCGCACAACTGGAGACACCCATCTAAGATTCAAGAATTTTATAGATGGTTCGTACATCCGAGCACTCAACTTCAATCCGTGGCAAGCTCCGAACGACCTTTCGCGCCATATGGAGAGGTTAGCCACAGCCATGACTAATGCGATGAGGTCGTCCGTCAATACTCGAATGCTTTCTGGTGAAGCATACAATAAGGAGAAATTCGTCTCGATACAATGGGGTTGGTTAGCCTTCCCTTTGGCTCTGCTCATTCTCAGCTTGGTATTCCTGGTCGCAACAATTATCAAAACATCGAAGGATAATACAACCGGATTTTGGAAGACATCGGCCATGCCTGCTCTCATCTACAGCCTGCCGAAAGAGACACAAACCAAGATTGATCCATCTTCAACATGGAAAAGCGCACAAGAAGGGAAGAAGATCCGAATCAAGTTGCTACCTAATATGGGCTGGAGGGTATCTGGACAAAGCCACTTAAGCAAATCGCCGAGGCTTCCCCTTCATCAGAGTCGGGCACCTGAGGGATGGATATGAAATTACAGACTTCGTAGAGTATACGGAAAAGAGTTGTTCATGAAATAATATGTTAATAATAAGAGCAGTCACCATTTTCAATTACAAATCCATCTCCGAACGCATATTGTGTGATCTGTCCGTTCACGAAACCGGCATGAACAGTAAACGTCCAACTCGCTTTTCTCGTGGATTGAAGCTATCATATTTTTGTGACTGATCAAAAACTTACCTCGTCGCAATGTCTTTCGGGCCGATGACGTCCTCCCCTCCCATCGCGTATGAAACTACTTGGCCCGTGCCTCGAGCTTCGCGACCTTCGATCTCTGCCACTTCGCCAGCCAAACAGCACAAAACGACATGTCGCGCACAACCATACCGCGTCTAGCGCTCCGCCTAAACTCCAGGAGCTCACTCCCCGTACCTTCAAGGGCAATTGAGCCACCATGTCGCACTCTGTAAGCTCTACAGTGCGATCAACTTGCACAGACTCCAATAACTCATACATGGCAGTCCGCTCCTCCGATCCCAATGTGCCTCCCACACCATCCGTAGCTTCTCCATAAGCCCTCAATTTCAGAAAAAGAGCAACAAAACAAACAAATACGCCGACTCCCCACCGTCCACAAGCAAAGCCGGTCAGATTTCTCCCACAGAAGAAGCATACGATGTCTCGGGCTTGGAGATCGCCATCCTCAGGGCCATTGAGAAACTCACACATGAGTTGGGTCAGCTACGAGGCGGCAGCAGGATGAACCCTGAGATCATAGAGGAATTGAAGGTCCAACTGGGCACAGGGAAAGAAGGCAAAGAGACAGTGAGGTTGGGAGATATCGCACAAGTTGTTCCAAGGGGACGCATGCTAAATATTGTCTGTGGGGAAGAGGACGTAAGTGCCATTGACAACTAGCGAGCTTTCTCGCGTGAGAATAGGCTAATAGAGATAATAGCATATCAAATCCATAACCTCCGCCATAGCCTCGTCTCCACACTCGCTTACACCACTGACCCCCGAATCGGTCAACCCTCTCACCATTCAAGTTCCCCTACCGCCGCCAACGGGCGAAACGCGCCGCGCCGCGGTCGAATCTGCGATCAAAGCTTCCGAGAGAGCGGATAAATTGATACAGACAGCAAGGCAGGAGCATAACAAGAGGCTGAGGAAATACGAACTCAACAAGGACGTGTTACCAGATGACCTGCAGAAGGCGAAAAAGAGAATGGAGGAAGTGATTAAAAAGGGGCATACTGAGGTGAAGAGGATCACCGATGGGGCCAAGAAGGTGCTTGAGTCGCAGTAGTTGGCTTGGACGGTGTCGAATACAAAATATGTCAAGTCTCCTTGTGGGGACATGACGGCCGAACAACCACATACCCGACCAATCGTCGCGATGTCTACTTGCCAGCCAAAATAGTCTGCAGATGAAGAAACGGCTCTAGCAGCGGACTTGAGAAGTAACATCATACAGACGTGGCGGTTTCGAGCCGTCGCAAATTCATTTCACAATACCCTTGATTGGAACAAAGAGGATAGTCCAGCAAGCGAATAGGTGTCTCATCTGATCTGACTTCAGCCCGCAGCCCCTCCAGCGCCATCTCCAGTACTGATAATAAGATTCATAAGCGTGTGCCTCTTTTCTTTCTCCGCTCTGATCATACACGTCGCCGTCGCGACAATGACTTGATACAACGTACTCTTCTTCACGCGCGCGATCTTTATTGCCTCTTCGTCGCTCTTATCCTCGGTCTCCTTCTCTGTCAGTCTATCCTCTTCATCCTCATTCTGTGTCACACCTTCCTGCTCATTCATCTGGTCGACTGATTCCCGACCAAGCAACGCTGGCACATGCTCGTCCACAAGCCGTAGAATCGCCGCGTCGAATAAGACGAGTGTACCGCTCTTTTTGCTAGCGACCGAGGCTGTGTACTTGCCCAAACAAACCTCCGGTTGATGTTCGTCTGCTGTGGCCGGTGACTTGGCGACGAGTTTCAAATGACAGTACCGCAGTAGAAATCCACAACATCTGTCTTCCTTGACAGTTCCTGTGCCCTTCCACCAAAAGTCAATCCCACGATAGCTAAAGTGGTATCGTCTCGTGTGCACCGAAAATGGGTTCGTCCAGCGCAAGTACACAACCTCATCAGCCTTTGGCTTCTCTTCAAGCCCAAGTTCCTCGAAAACATCTGGGTCTATACCTTCCCCTGTTTCACGAGCCTTCTTGACACCGTGGACGTAGCTTTTTCCCGTCTCACCCCATAACCTCCACCCTCTGACCCTATACCCCTTCAGTGCGCTTTCGTCAGCTTTTCTCGTCTTCTTGTCTGCATGGTATTGCAGACCTACTACACCCCGCGAATCGAGAACCTCTACGATTGTGGGGCCGAGCTGGAGTTTGTACTCGCGCCAGAAGCAGCGGGAGTGGATGAGTATAGCGGGGGCGGCATGTTTGGTATCACCGAGGTAGAGGACCTGTGGGGGGCAATGGAAGGAGAGGTAGGGTGTATGGAGCAAGAATGCATTATCGTCTGGTGAGGTTGGGGAGAGGGGGCAGGCCTGACGGGTTTTCTTCGCCAGGCGTTTGGCCTTCTGTTCGGCGAGGGTGGGACCTAAGCGCCGGTCTTTTGTGGGATCGGGGAGTGGAGTGAGGACGAGGTGGACTTCATGTTTGTGGTAGATGTGAAATGTTGAACCAGACGTAGGAGGTGCCGGGTATATGCCTGAGTTCGGAAGACGGGATTTCTCGACACTTGACGAGGAGGGAGAGACGGTTGTGATAGAGGGTTGTGCGATCTGGGTACCGTCAGCGTCGGAATCTGCAAACATCCGATGTCGTGGATGATGATTTACTTCTACGCCAGTCATCTTGTTCTCCTTAGCGATGTACGCTGGCTTAGTCTGTGGAATGACTGCCATCTCTTTGATGAAATTATCATATCTGTGTGGATCCTTTGGAACCGGTCTACAGCATGAGGGAAGCTCGAATACTTCAACCACTCCACCCTGCGATGTTTCTGCAGCTGCAAGTCGCACAGCTTCACGGGGTCTGACGCCAAGAGAACCCAGCCTCCACAATGAAGCTCGCTTTGCTCGCGTCCATGCTGCACATGTGAGGAGCAGGCTGATTTTGGTAGAACATGGTTAGGTCATTGGCCACGAAGAGGACAGGATGGACACGAGATGCCAAGATTTGACGAGTACGAGGCAGATTTGACATGTATGGTCGAAACAGACAGTCAGGGATATTGTAGAGAATGCTATGGGTCGACTGACTTAATTAGTCAGTGTCAAGTCTACGTTACACTTGTCTGTGTGTCGATGCGATTTGAGTCTAGCGCTGTCCCGCGTTTGTGCTTGTGCTTCGTCCAAAGTCGCGGTTTCGAAAGGTGAGCAAGTACGACAACACAGGGCGGACGATCAATAGAAAGACAGTGAAGAGTAGACGATAAATGTGAGTTGTGTACATCATAACAGTGGTCTTAGCTTATCGATAAGGAAATAGCCACCATGACGTGAATGATGTTCACTTTCGCCTGAGCTACTGTTCAGACTTCTTGCAACACTGTATCATCATCCCATTGATTTCTTTCTGTATGAACCCATACATCGCATTAAGATCTAACACCTGCGCCCGCTCTTTGCGCGCAAATCGACTCCCGAGTCGTTATCATGTTGCAACTATTGCGAATGGCTCTGTGAGGCGATACACAGATGTGGCAACGCGACAGAAAGATGGTGATGATGGGCAAGATGGGCAGAGAGAAGCAGAGAAGACTAGTAATGAGAGGTTAGAAGGGCAAGAGGCAGAAGAAGGAGCATTGACGCGAAGACTGCGGGAGATGAGTGAGGAGGCTTTGGAGAGTGGAGGATCAGGCGCCCGTAAAGCCGTGGAAGACGCCGGCTTCAGTCCAGAACTCAAGGCAATCCTGGAATCCCGCATTGCTGCCGCCAACCTTGCGACGTCTGAAGCAGCCATCCCCTCGTTGGCCCCTCGCCACTCTCGCGACCTTGCCGCCACCGCAGCATGGACGGGCACCGAGTCGATCCACGACGCCAGCCTGCGCATGTTGAACGATGCCCACAAGCCCATGCGACTGGGGAGGCCACCGAGGGCTCCGGGGCCTAGCGTGCCTCTACCGCGATCCGTGGATACAGGTCACAAGAAGAGTCGCGCGGCGGCGGGCATCAGACTGGCAAACGCCCGGGACAGGAGTGGTCTGTACTCGAGTCTCAAGGAAGACGACGAATCTGAGCCCTCGGAGCGCGAGAGACGGCTCCAGGACCTCAAGGATAGATTCGACCCCAACGCACGCGCCATCATCCCCGGCACAATACAGGGCCTAGCATCGCTGGCGAACAAGAAAATTGAGGATGCCATCGCACGTGGTCAGTTCAAGAACATCCCTCGCGGCAAAGGGAAGAACGTGGAAAGGGACTACAACGCGAACAGTCCTTTCATCGACACGACCGAGTATTTCATGAACAAGATCATTCAGAAACAGGAGATCGTGCCGCCGTGGATCGAGAAGCAGCAGGAGCTCACGTCAGCGGCGAACAAGTTTCGAGGTCGATTGCGCTCTGAATGGAAGAGGCATGCTGCGCGGATCATAGCGAGCAAGGGCGGGTCGTTGCAGGACCAGGTGCGGCGAGCGGAGGCATACGCGAAGGCAGAGCTCGTCGCGAACCCACTCAAGAAGAAGCAGGAGGTTCTAACTACAGTGGATAATCAAGGTCAATTGTCACAGATTTCGCTGTCCGGCGAACTCAAAGTAGCCTCGCCATCTGCAAACTCGCCAGATGGCGAAGCAACAGTCACCGAAGAAATTGTCGCTGAAAAGATTACACTCGACCCATCGTTAGAGCCCAACGACCAGCTTTCGTCAACTCTACCAACCTTAGAGACCTCTACGCAGACCATTGAAGTCCCTCTTCCCACCGCTCCCTCATATGTTCCCCCAGCGCCCTTCCCCTTCCGCGACCCGGACTGGGAGCGCATCGAATCTGGCTACCACGCTGTTGTCATCAAAGACCTTAACGACAAAGCGCGGTCATACAATCTCCAGGCACCCGACCTTGCAAAAAAACCATACTTCAACCTCCAGCGCGAACTAAACGCTTGTTTTGCCGACGTCGCGCCGCAATTGGCTGAAGCGATCCTTGACCGCGCGCGTAAACCAGTCAAGAAAATGGAGAGCTTCGGGCTGAATACAGGAGAGAAAGGATTTTTGGGAAGCTTGGGAGGAGGCCCGGTGAGGGTCAGAGACGAGCGAAGAGAGAAACAGTACGGATTCAAGCAATTCTGGAACGAGTTGTGGGAGGACAAATCTAAGTCGTCATACTGAACATGGACACACACCAACTACCGCCAACAAGCAACCATGCAATCACCGATTACCTGCCGCCACCCCCCAATACCCGCCCGCGGACACTACTTGGGTACCTCCCTTTGCGATACCACTTCTCCGGATCAAACCGCTGCCGGCATGTGTGTCTGGAACATTGCGCTTTGTTTTTCCGCACCATCACTCAGCGAGCTGCATGTGCATATGCATTGGATCAAGGTTGAACTGGCGAATGATCAGCGCAGACGCCGGTACCGAGGGCTTGGGTTTCGATAATGCATGAGCGGCAATTCTAACATCATAGACATAACTCTCGTGGATTTGGGAGGTGGTGACGAAAGAATTGGGCAGCGGTGTGTAACTCCAACTTTGCGTGTCTAGGTATCGATTGAAGTGCTCAGTTTGGATTACCTCGGGAGTCTTTACTGTATTTCGCAGTTCACGGAGCAAAAATGGAATCTTACTAAGGCAAGCAGCGTGTTCTTGGAATGGCTAAGATGTTGTACCCATATTCTCACCCTGGAATCTAAGCTTCTGCCGTCCCGTCCCAAGGATCAATACTATCCATGTCTCGTAGAGATCTGCCGGTTATTCAAAACCCCATCACTGGGACCATCACCTGCCTGTTCCAACTGCTCCCGATTATTGATCATCCTGTCGATCCACTCTCTCATCCATCAATCAATCCAACCACACCGCTTACCGCGCTATCACTCCTAGCCCTCAAGCCCTTTCTCCTTCCTTTCCTTGCAATCCTTACATTAGGCTCCATATGCCTATCCGTGGCGTTTACCCCGGTATCCATATCCCCATGGTCACCCCTGCATAATCCGCGCTTCCCAGCCCCATCGTATGGCTGGCAGAAGCAGATTCGCAATGCATGCGCGGCGCTCGACGGCCCACACACCCCCTCCCATATATGCCTGTCAATGTGGTCGCTTATACCGGAAGTTGCCGCCACGCGTGTGTGAGGCTTTCCGGTATGTAGACCCTGGTTAGCTATGCCGCGTTTCTGGAGCGTTTTGCCCTTGGGTCTGGGCGGTAGAGGCGGCGTGCAAGACGCAGACAAGACCTGGTTGACGAATCGTAGCCTGTAGAACTCCGCTTCGCTTCTGATTGAGCGGACCATGGAGCGTGTGGAGCGGTGGTGGCGTAGATGGGCATCAGATGGACCGTTGTGCGTTTGTAGGATCCCACTCCGTGGTGAGAAGCTGTTGTTCCTCACGACGCCACCACACCCTTTGACTGCAGGTATGGGTATAAGGAACGGTTCACATGATGAGATGTGACTCAACTCAGGTTGGCGGTAGTTGTGATGATGTCGTAGATGTGATGGGAGTGGAGATTTGGAAGTAGGTGGTGTGGTCATAGGTTGTAGAGAAGGTCTGGGGGGTGGTAGACCAGATGTCGTTATGTAATCTGAAGGTAAGTTTGTCTTGTTATAACGTGATATTGTATTAGTGGGCGAGCCGCCATAGTCGGATATACTTGCTCCTGGCGTCGGGCTGCCTTCTGGCTGTATCAAGTTACCAGACGGTGAGTAGAAAGAGATCTTTGGTGTATCATAATTTCGGCGTACGATCCCGGATGCCATGGCAACGGGTAGTAGAGTCATCAACGCAGACGATGTCATGGTGTGAGATGTGGGCTCCGCTGCCGTGGGTTGCCTCCACTCAGTAGATTCAGACGGCGATGCTTGTCGCTCAAGCTCTGCCATTTGGGGCGTAAACCACACCGGTGTTGCTGGACGTGAGCGGCGCGGCTGATGAGAAAGCCCATACTGAAGATCAAGGTCGATACCGAGTACCGTCCCAGAGTACGACGTGGACATGGTGCTACAAAAGCTCGCATTGCGGCTCGTGTACCTTGCACAATCAACTTCTGCCAACGATGTTGTTTTGTTACGGGGCACTGAGGTGTCATCGAATGTGTACTTCGCCGCAATGTCATGTCTATCTTGAATTGAAGGCTTTGCAGCTTCCATCGTACCATCATCGTGCGTCGCGTTGCGTGGACCTGGAAGCACATTGTGCTCTAGCAAACAACGCTCACGCGAGTGCGTTGCAAGCGAACATGCCGGCAGACGAATTACAGGGCCGTGATCGGGCTCTGTTTGGTAGCTAGATTGAGGAACACGTAGCAAGGGCGGAGGAACATGAGCTGAGGACTGAGAATTTGCCCTCGAAATCTTACGATTTCTGGGCTGAGGTTCTGGAACAACCTCAAAAGCCACACCCGATGATGCGCTCTCAGCATGATGGTAGGTGTCAGGTTTCTGATTACTCATTTCCGGAGTCTCAAAGCTTCGACCCTGATGATGGATCTGTGGGCTATCATTGATTGTGTCTGCCGGCTCTTCTTGAGAGTCGATGATGGTGACATGTGTAAAGGAAGACGAACGAGATCGTGTTCGTGAGGCTGCTCGTACATTATGCAGTACTCCACGGAGAAACCCTCTTACTCCTCTATCATCCACAACATAATCCTGGTCGTCGATCTGAGGCTCGGGATTGTGGCGGGACTCGGGAAAATCTGATCTTGCAGGGGTATATGTATCGCATACCAAATGCAATCTCTCATTACCCTGGTTGGCAGATGGCATTGCTGGTGCCTCAACCATGACAGTCCCGTCTTGCTCGAGGAAAGCATCCTCCTGGATGTTACGAAGTATTTTTTCATCAAGGCTTCGTGATAGCCTGCTGGTGGTACGATTTGGGGATGCGTTCTCCGTAGCTACCAGAGGAGGAAAGCGACCAACACTGAGAAGAGAGCCGTAAGAGTTTAGCGTCGAGAAGGAACCCTGTTCGACGATTGTAGCCAACGGTGCTCCATTGGAACGATTCGCAAACCGAACAGCCAGATTATGGGGGACGGCTCGAGCCCTGGTTTGCTGTTGATTGCCGGGCGTTTGGCTTTCTTGCAGCCCAATGGTTTCAGTGTGGCAAATGTAACCGTTGTCGTCGTGTGCTAACCCGTTTGTTCGGGCGGCAGGCGGTACGCTCGTGTCTAAGAAGGCCTTGTAATAGGCGAAGGGATCCTGCAGGACGGCGTATCTCGGTTCAGAGTGCATATCCATCTCAGACGTTGAACGCGATACCGCAATGCCTGCTCGAGATAGCGGTGTGTTGGCACTGGAAAAGAGATCCTGGTTGTTGCTGCACTCCGGTGACTCGAATTGGCAAAAGGAGGAGACTGGCGTCATGCTCGTTGTGAACGACCAAATAATGTCGTGGACGAGAGCCCGATGATACTTAGATCATGGTGAATACGATAAACTTCTGCTATTTGGTTGCTACTGTGCTTGCGAGTCCATGTTTGTAGCAGAGAGATCACTGATGATCTACAGCAGTTCGCGACGTCTCTAGCCATTTGCCAGAGAAGGGCCGTGTTGGATGTGGTTTGGGAAGGAAGTGGCGCCGCTGTCCATACTACACAGTTCCCAAAGAGGCGGCGCTCCTATGGCACATATTCATCGAGGGCAGGCGCATCCTCGCAAAGCCCATGCAATCATCTATAATTCCCTTTTTCCACTAGCGGACGCTGCTGTTCCTCGATTGTATACTGAGTCGGTCTTATGCATCGTAGAAGAAAGGCCAATGGATACTCAACGCCCGAGCGGGAGTCTCGCTATGCCGAGTGATCGAGACCTGCCTGCCTCGCTACACATTTCTCCGGCTGGCAGAGTCTGCAGTCTAACGACGGCAACGCCCCGCTGTCTAAATCCAGAGATCAACGTGTCACAATACCCAAGGGATACCCTGCAATGTGTCCATGTGAAGACAGTGAGCCTGATGTTCCCAACGCAGCGTCTAATCAAGGATTGGACAAGGTTGCTAAACGGAATGACAATTGAAAACGACCCCTACACAAACATATAAATCTCCCACGCGTAACTGCGCCTTAGCCGCAGCAGTAAGTGAAGCAGGGGCAGCTTTCTTTCTCTGTTTTGTGAACGAAGCCATGGTTGACGATACGAAGACGCATTATCTGCTAGCTTAACGTAGACAGTGCTGAACTTTGGAGTCACTGTGCAGTAATTAGCTACTGACATCGTAGTACGTACTATGTTCAAGCTGCGCAGATAAACGACAAGCTTTCGTTCCTTCCTGATGGCTGCGAGAAGGTTTGAGACGTAATAATTGTTCTGCTACAGATGTAGGACTATCACAATCTTTCGGTGTGCTTTTACACGTGTTGGAATGGCTGCACCACTCAGAGATTGCAACCGCGTAGTCAAAATTAGAAGGTGGATTCGGTTACTTGATCAGAAGGAATCTGAATCTGAACCCGAACGGAAGGAGCGCTGTTTAGCTAGATCCAATATCAGCGAGCTCGAGCTACTGGGAACCACGAGGCGGAACTATCATAGCGAGAATGAGGGGTTGGAGTAACACGATGCGCAAGGAGCGTGCTTCTCGGGTGCTTATTCCCGCTCGAGAGCATGGCAAGCCTGCACCAGCAGTTAACGCAGTCTGCGCAGTCGATCATACCCTGTGTACCCAATGCCCCCCTTGCCCTCTCGGAGGAAGGCCTGAGCTGTGTGGTCGTAGGTGAATTCTGTGCCCTTTGCGCCATTCGCCTGAAGGTTTCTAGACAGGACATACAAACGACGAGAACCATGTCAGGGGCAACATACAAGCTGTTACTCAAATTTTCAATTTGAATACTTTGGGTTGTCTTGCAACTCTAGTAGATGTGTCCCAAGCTTGTCTCACCGGGCGTGAAATTTGCGTCCTCCACCTGAGTGTGTGTAGATCTTTCCTCAATTGGTAAGATATAGTCATAGACAATGCTCGAGGGCAGAGCCGTAAGACAGATTGCTTCTCACGCCTGACCGTAGGGACAAACGCTTCACTTTGGCTAACAGTCGCCCTTATGCATACATGAGTCGTATGTCGTTGTTTGGCGAGAATGAACTGATTCTCACGCGAGACGAATAGCGTGATCGGTTGATTTCCAAAGCTGAAACATATGTTTTGATGCATCCGTGCCCTGCACCCCTCGTAGAGTAACCTATGGCAAGCGTCTAGAGGAGATTGGAAATGACCGGCCGATGCCTTCTGTTGTCCAGCTGCATTGCGAGGGTCCAAGATTCGCAAGAGATGCCAGACTTGGTTGTTGTGATATTGTCCACGCCGCTAGCAGTTGGCAGTCTAGTGAACTTTACATCCACCAATCCAACATAGATACCTCTTGAATGGGATCAATTGCCGTTTAGTCTTCTCACAGGTGCATATATCCTAGACCTGGCTCTCGGAACGGTAACGTTTCTACCCTGATTCTATAGTTTGAGTAGCCTGGTCTTTACCAGTCGGAAGTTGTTTTGTAAATTAAGCTAAGCGTACGTCGTCTCGTTTGGTCCTGGAACGATCTGATATGTGGTCGTAGCGGATCGTCGGGTCAGATCTGGCCGCTGTGCAGCCGCCGTGGGTAAAGAGGCGCTCCTTAACACAAATCATAGTGACAGTGACAGCTCGACGTTCCTGCGCAATGATCCGCACGGGAGGCAGCATGACCATCACTTCCATGTCAACAGATCGGCGACAATCGACGCTCCAGGCCTTACTGCGCATGCACATCCAATGGTTTCTACCACCTGCGGATGGAAAGCAAGTTGATGAGACGGCAATTCGGTCCGAATAGGAAATCGGCTTTGATCAAAGTGTAATCTCACCTCCGTTCCACGCAGTTTATGCTGCAGGCGCATGTGCCTAGCGTACCCGTCTGATGGTGAGGTAGCATAACGACCACACATGACAAGCGTCGTTCCAAGCCACTGGGAATCAAGTTAGTGACTATAAATATAAGGGAAGAGAGCGATAGTAGGGTTCATATAAGTCATTGACATTGCCGCTTTTTTTGTTTGAATCTTGTTGTCTTCGACAACTACTCCGTTAGCATGCCTCTCCCGGCTCTGGCTCCCAGTACGACTAACAAGCAAGACCTTTTCAATCGACTTGAAGGGCTTACCGAAAGATACTACAGGCAGATGCTCGTGAGTAACCAGTCTCTGACTGGCAATCGTGCGCTCACTGAATGGTTTCTGCACAGGACGAAGCTGGTCGTGCAAGGGACGAATTGAGCAAAGACCCGGACAACTTAGTGCCGGAATTTAGGGACAACCCCTCCGTGGTACAGCCGTATACGCTGGGCAATCTTTCCGCAACGGCAAAACACAGGACGGTTCTGAAAATCGCCAGCGCGGCCAAGATGCACTTGAAGCCGTTTTATGACGAAGGCGCCTATACGACCACAGTCAGCGAAGAGAACTGGGTCGCGTTGTGGTACCTTTGGCACAGCTTCCGACACAGGTATGCATGATGATGTTCTACCAGTGCTCGCCAGTACTAACTCCGATGCATAGGGACAACAAGAGCAAATCTTCCAAGCCCAAAGACGGACTAGTACAAGGAGGTGAGTACCCAGACAGAATATTGAACAGATTCCTCGTGCAAGCCTTGTGAGACTGACATGCCGTAGACGGTCACGGATCCCAAAGCAGTGCCTACTATGACCCGGTTCGCGGATGCGTCGACGACAATAATAGCGGTGAAAATCGGAATGCAGAACCGCGTTAGTCGACTATGATGACACGATCCGAAATTTGCCAGACCATCGACGGTACCTATTTTTTGTAGATGTTTGGGGCCTCGAGGTTATCAGGCATGCGAAGCAGATATTGCTTCGACTTCTTTTCGGAAATCTGTTTCCTCGAGTTTGTATGGTCTTCGCGTTTCAATGTTTCCTTGCTCTTTCAGGGTGCTGTGTTTTATCTCCAATGTAGGACACCCATCCTACCGTTCTGTCCCGTATACTGATGCTTCGTCATACCATTCGCTGTCGAATATTTAAGGTTGAGAGCTCATTTCGAATAGACATTGTTAATAGGTTCTGAAGCTCGTTCTCTGCTCTGTTGTCGTGAGGTCAAAAACATAGTTCATCTGATGCCAAACAAAGTGTTGTGCCAAGAAGCCAATGTCAATAAAGGAGGAAAGCAAGTACACCATAAAGTGTCAGTTTCATTTGAACAGCCTCGTCGGGAGGTTTTACCTCGTCTGATAATCGGGCCATTTCCCTCGTGGTAGTATGCCGATCACTGCAAAGATGAGTAAAGATCGACAGATTTCGATCTAAGACAACTCGAAAATGAGTCTGCCATCGGCGGACGCTGCTCACCACGGATACCAACCAACCGCCCCACATAGGCCCTGAACTATGGTTTGTCAACTCTCAGTTCAAACGTAGTATGAGAAGGCATCATAATGATAGCAAGCTTGGGAGATAAATAATGGTACATGATCAAAGCTATGTTCTTGTAGGCGATTGGAAGTAGAGACGAATGATTGTTGTCTCCACCCGCTGCGTGAGTAAATATCATTATAGTCTCCTGCCATATGGGAACGACTGTCGGTTGGTTTAGTGAATATCACTGGTATTGAGGGCTGAGATTAGGGTTCTGACTTACGACGTCGGTATTGTTCACTACCAAGTTAAGCATGATCGACATTGAGCACTTCTTGTGTGCGTCGGCAAACGACACAGTTCGCACCTTATTTGTTGAACGAGAGCATGAAACTATTGGGTTCTGCTCAGCAAAAAGAAATACAACTGCCCATCTTGCGTCACTACCAAGGCCAAAAATAGCATAATGGCGGGACAGATCTTGTGCAGTGCTAGATCAACAAAAAAAACGGGATTATTGCATAAGTCTACGAAGAGCGAGAACTCTAGTAGCTCCTCCAAGGTCCAGCACTTGTTTCTTATATTGCGTAGATGTAATACTATATTAGTGTTGCCTTCCAGATCCCGATTCTACATCCACTTTTCATGGAGTTTGCTGTAGCTCTTCATATGTAAAGGGGTTCAGAATTGGCCGTGATCCATCAATAAATAAATTCATTAACCCCGTCGCTATGCAGAAATACAAGGATTGTCCCGTTTTGTAAAAGTTAGGCTGCGCCACGTCTCATGTTCCGTTTGATGGACCATTTTGGCTCAGCTGCTCTTGTAGAGCTTTCTGGTATTGACCACGTGCAGCATCAATAGCCCGAAACAAAGGCTCCACGATCTGGTTGACAGTGTTTGCCCCGCCTTTGATGGCGTTCGGGTCGAACCTCCTCTTCTTTCCGGTATGTTGGGTGTACACGTCGTTCTCTTTTTTCAGTCTCTCCACCTCTGCCGCTCGCTCACTTTCCGCGGCGTTGGCAACCGCTTTGATACGGTCAAGAGATCTGTCCAACGTTTCAATGAGCTTTGCTGCCTCATTGGCACGTTCCGGATCTCCGGAGTAGAACACAGCCCAGAAGTAGTGCAAGAATTCAACCGTGGTGTTATGGGTCATGGTCAAATTGTCAAGAGTTGATTCCGAAATGCCCAGTTTGAGAGCTTGTTCACTGATAGGGACGCTCTTAGAGAGTGAATAATCGTCGTCGTGCAAATGTCGCTTTTTGATAGCTGATAGGATTTGCGAAGTGGCTGCAATACGCGAAGTTTTGTTGCCAATTCTCTTGTTCTGTAGGGTCGCATTCTCTTCGTCACTGCTGCTGTCGTCATTGACACCTATCGTGGATTGCAGATTGACCCCAATGGCGTTATTCCGAGTTCCGCTGATCTCCCCGAAATCTTTTTGTATTGTCGATAGAACTTGGGCAGGAGTGCGTTTTGTGTACGTAGCGGCACTGCTCGAACTTTGCACGCTTTGCCCAGCGGAGAAGAAGCGGCTCTGGTCCTGAACTTTGAGGACTACTCTGTTGTCTTCAGCCGCACGCTGCAAATCCTGAAGCTGTAGCTCCTTGTAGGTCTCCTCGTCCAGTCCAGCGGGTGCATGACGATTGGCATCAGAGAGTGGGACCTGTTTCATCATTTTCTCACTCATTCGATTTAAGACACGCAAGATCGGCGCCTTCTCGTGATTTGCTGGTCTCATGGTGATATCGGGTCGGTTGCCTTGTTTTTGACTGTGATTCTGCTCGTTTCCCTCTACATTGATGAAATTTGGAATTGTGGAAACAAGCACCTGCTGTGACTCGTCCGCATTCTCGTCATACTTGAGGTACAGGTCAAGCTTGGGATCGTTGGGATGAGTGTCTGCAATGCGCTCGCCTTTGAGTTTCTTCATGAGCTTGCTATTCATGAAACGTTCCCAAAACTCGCCTTCCTTCATGGGAGGAACGTTTTCATTGTATGCCTTGTGGACGACTGTATGTTGCTTGAATATGAGTTGAATTTGCTCTTTGGTCAGGTTCAACGTCATACTACCGTTCACAAGCTTTGTTTTAACGACCGAAAGTACATTGTATGTTCCTGTTGCCTGTGATCTCTCAGTAGCATGCGACCTTAACATATGCACTCGAGTAGTCCAGAACTGGTTGGAGAACTGGCCTATCGAAACAGATTCGGGCTTCTCTTGAAGAGCTCGGTCGAAACGTTGTCGCAGCGCAGGACTCGTACTCAAGAGAGACATCTGAAGCTCCAGGTCTGCCAGCAGCTTTGTGTCATCGTATGTGTCTTCCTTGCCCCTTACGTCGGCTGTTGTTGTCTGAGCCACAACCATGGCAGCCGATGCGCCGCTACCGCCTCCAGCGGGAGCAGCTGGTAACACATGCTGCGACTTTGCCGCTTCGATCCACTTCCGCAATAAGCCAGTGATTGACTGCTGGTCGTCGCGGGCGGCGGCGGAGGTGAAAGTAAAGGTATGGTTGCCAGCCTGAGGAGACGGCTCTACTGCTACGATCTTGATGGACGCTTTGGCAGAGGTGGCGGGCGTCTGTTGAAGGTCTACGGGCAGTCAGTCGGCCGTCTCTAATTCTGTGACTGCAGTGAAGCCTACTTCCAATATCTGCGGTGGCTATCGACAAAGCAGCCGCACCGCTGGCAGCCTTCCATGACACACTCTTGCCGTCGGTGGACACAGAAATGGTACCATCCTGCTTTTTGTACTGAGCTGCCGCGTGGTCAGACATTTGAAGTTGGTGGAGAGTGCGGTAGTCAATCTGACGCGTTAAACCTCACACTGGGAAGCGCGGTACCGACTAGTCCTAATTTGGCTTCCCCAGATTTTGGCTCGGCACTCAGCACTCAGACTAGCAGGTTTATTGTGATACTCTCAAGACTGCCTAGTTACGTTGCCTGTGGCTGAGACATGCTTGCAATGAGCATGTTCATGTGCCGCGGGAAGACGACAGCTGATCGATATCGGTAAGTTACCTAATCGCATCTAAGACGCTTCGGCGCTGCGGATATGTTTTCCGCTTCCTGTCCTTACTCGCCGCGAGACGTCACAGCAGCGTACTGTTTTCAGTAGCTGTGGCGAATGGCCATGGAATTTGGGTTACAATTGGTCGGTTCTTTTATCCATATCGACTGTTCTTCTCTGGATACCAGTTACGGTTTGTATGCAGCGGTGTCGTCCATCAGGTAGTCATCGATGCATCAACATGTGCAATTCAAAATAGATGTCAAACGCAGCTGTGGTTGGAGATGTTTGAGGTATTTCTCAGCTGGCCTCTCAGAGCATGTCGTTTCTCGAGTGTGGCTGGTGGACAGCGTTGGGTTCTGGGCGCTAGTCCCGTGATCTGATCCGTGTGAACGCATAGAATGCCTCTTCGCCCTCGATCTCTTACAAGTGCCCGACGTCCTTTTGGATGACACCCATCCTCTCCTCCCCACTCGCCTCATAAACCATCATGTTGCGCATCCCACTGCGCCAGTGCTCCCGGCAGCTGCAGAGCTGTGCTGCGAGAGCAAGCCTTTCCACACTCGTCGGCTCGCCGGCCAGGTCTGCCATTTCGACATGTCGCAGGCCTCTTGCACTCGCCCAGCGCCGGGCGTATGCCCTCGCCGCTGAGGACACCAACAAGGGCGTGGTACGTGGCTCTGCTGTGCCTGAACGCTGGTGGTGATGGGTCCGCTGACCATGACCGCATAGGACCCCAACGACTCGTTCCTGCAGGGAAATACGGCCAACTATGTCGACGAGATGTACATGATGTGGAAGCAGGACCCCACGAGCGTTCACGTGTCGTGGCAGGTCTACTTCCGCAACATGGAGTCTGGCGACATGCCCGTCTCGCAAGCCTTCCAGCCGCCGCCTACCATCGTCCCCGGATCCACGCCCAACATCAGGCCGGGCCTAGGAATGGGGCCTGGCGAGGGCTCCGACGTCATGAACCATCTGAAGGTGCAGCTGCTCGTGCGCGCTTACCAGTCCCGTGGCCACCACAAGGCGAAGGTCGACCCTCTGGGCATCCGCACAGAAGCCGAGGAGTTTGGATACAGCAAGCCCCGCGAGCTCGAGCTGTCGCACTACAACTTCACCGAGAAGGACCTGGACGCGCAAATCGAGCTTGGCCCGGGTATCTTGCCACGCTTCAAGTCGGACAGCCGCATGACGATGACGCTAAGGGAGATTATCGCGACCTGCGAGCGCCTCTACTGTGGCTCATATGGTGTCGAGTACATCCACATTCCGGACAGAGAGCAGTGCGATTGGCTGCGTGAGCGCATCGAGGTCCCGACTCCTTTCAAATACTCGGTCGATGAGAAGCGCCGCATCCTGGACCGTCTTATCTGGGGCACCAGCTTCGAGTCTTTCCTGGCGACCAAGTACCCCAACGACAAGCGATTCGGTCTCGAGGGTGGAGAGAGTTTGATTCCTGGAATGAAAGCCTTGATTGACCGAAGTGTCGACTACGGAGTCAAGGACATCGTCATTGGTATGCCGCATCGTGGTCGTTTGAACGTCCTCTCCAACGTCGTCAGGAAGCCCAACGAGTCCATCTTCAGCGAATTTGCTGGAACCACTGAGCCTTCTGACGAGGGATCTGGAGATGTCAAATACCACCTAGGAATGAACTTCGAGCGTCCTACTCCCTCTGGCAAGCGTGTCCAGCTCTCCTTGGTCGCCAATCCATCCCATCTTGAAGCCGAAGACCCAGTCGTGCTAGGCAAGACCCGCGCTATCCTGCACTACAACAACGACGAAAAGGATGCCCGTACTGCCATGGGCGTTCTTCTACACGGTGACGCTGCCTTTGCTGGCCAAGGTATTGTGTACGAGACTATGGGCTTCCATCAGCTTCCTAGCTACCACACTGGTGGCACGATTCATTTGATTGTGAACAACCAGATTGGTTTCACTACGGACCCTCGTTTCTCTCGCTCGACCCCCTACTGCTCCGATATCGCCAAGGCGATCGATGCGCCCGTGTTCCATGTCAATGGCGATGATGTCGAAGCCCTCAACTTTGTCTGCCAGCTCGCAGCTGATTATCGTCACGAGTTCAAGAAGGATGTCGTGATCGACATGGTCTGCTACCGAAAGTCGGGTCACAACGAAACTGACCAGCCCTTCTTCACGCAGCCTTTGATGTACAAGCGCATTGCCGATCACCCGCAGACTCTCGACGTTTATGTTAAGAAGCTTCTGGCAGAAAAGACGTTCACGAAAGAGGATGTCGAGGAACATAAGGCCTGGGTTTGGGGCATGCTCGAGGAAAGCTTCAATCGCAGCAAAGACTATCAGCCGACGGCCAAGGAATGGCTTACATCTGCCTGGAACGGTTTCAAATCGCCTAAGGAACTCGCTACTGAGGTGCTTCCCCATTTGCCAACCGCTGTTGAGAAACCTCAGTTGGACTACATCGCAGAGAAGATTGGGAGTTCACCAGAAGACTTTACTGCGCACAAGAATCTGAAGCGTATCTTGGCTGGCCGAACAAAGACTGTCATCGAGGGCAAGAACATTGACATGGCTACGGCAGAGGCTTTGGCTTTTGGCACTCTTTGCATGGAAGGCCATCACGTCCGTGTTTCTGGTCAGGATGTTGAACGTGGTACATTCTCTCAGCGCCATGCTGTACTCCACGATCAAGAGACCGAGAAGACGTATACGCCCCTTCAAGATCTCGCCGATGACCAAGCTAGCTTCGTCGTTTCAAACTCTTCGCTTAGTGAGTTTGGAGTGTAAGTTCAATGTGGTCTTTCGCATTTGCAGTTCATGCTAACTTTCACTTAGTCTTGGGTTCGAATATGGTTACTCGCTTTCCTCGCCCAACGCTCTCGTTATGTGGGAAGCTCAATTCGGTGACTTTGCCAACAACGCTCAATGCATCATTGACCAGTTCATTGCCTCTGGGGAGACCAAATGGCTCCAGCGCTCAGGTCTTGTCATGAGCTTGCCTCACGGTTACGATGGCCAGGGCCCTGAGCATTCTTCCGGACGCATGGAGCGCTATCTACAGCTCTGTAACGAGGACCCACGTATTTTCCCATCGCCAGACAGGCTTGACCGTCAGCACCAGGACTGCAACATGCAAATTGCATACACGACAAAACCCTCAAACTTGTTCCACATCTTGCGCCGCCAAATGAATCGTCAGTTCCGCAAGCCTCTGATTCTCTTCTTTTCCAAGTCGCTGCTCCGACACCCAAATGCTCGTTCGAGCATTGAGGAGTTCACTGGTGATTCGCACTTCGAATGGATTGTCAAGGACCCCGCACACGAGACCGGCGAGATTGGTACAAACGAGGAGATCCAGCGTGTCATTCTTTGCACGGGTCAGGTCTACACTGCGCTCGTCAACGAGCGCAAGGCTCGCGACCTTAAAGATGTTGCCATCACTCGTGTTGAGCAACTCCACCCCTTCCCATGGCAGCAGCTCAAGGAGAACCTTGACTCATACCCCAATGCCCAGAACATCATCTGGTGCCAGGAAGAGCCGCTTAACGCGGGTGCCTGGAGCTTCACACAACCGCGAATCGAGACTCTGTTGAACGAGACAGAACACCATAACAGGCGACACGTTCTGTACGCAGGACGCAACCCCAGCGCCTCTGTTGCGACTGGTCTCAAGGCGTCTCATAAGAAGGAAGAGAAGGATCTTCTCGAGACGGCCTTCACGGTCAAGCAGGACAAGCTGAAGGGCGAGTAAATATGCGTTGAGGTGTAAGCAGGGGAATTTGCTTTTCTTCTTTTATTTCATTTAGCCTGATGCTTGCGGTACTTATTCCCCTTACTTTGCAACGATCCTGTCTCGACGTGAATCGGAGGATGCTAGGTACTACGGAAATTGGATTGGATGGGAACACATTTGCTGTACCTTTGCATGGTAAGGTGTGTATGTGTAGGAGTGTAGCATAAAATTTGGTTTACCTTGTTCAAGATTCTAGAGCCTCGATTGATCTCAACAACCGTTTCTCGTTTCACACGGCTAGCCAGCTCGGTGAGAGGTGTCCCGAGGAGGTGAATAGTCCAGGGCCACAGCTGGCTACGCCAGCCATCGGCATGCGTCGACTTTTCCGGAGAATCTGTTTGTGCACGAATATTATCCGGTTCAGCTTCGTGGAACGCGAGATATCATTGTCCCTAATACGTGAGACGTGCCTGTTGCAGACTTTAAGCTGTCAGAGGCTGCGGCGTACGAAGAGCGGCCTTATGAAAGCAAAATTCTTCCAACGCGCAAGACTTGACCCTCTGGATCCACAAGATTGTCGACTTGGGCTTCACGCGGGTGGCATCGTGATCTGAACGGAGATCCGCGGGCCGGAAGATGTCGGACAAATGTGACAATTCGCGCGCGGTCTTTTGTAAATTGCGAGATGAAAGTGCGCAGACACATTCTAAAGGTCCAGGTCTGAGGATAGTTACAGAACTATGTATTAGCAGATCAAAGGGCAAACATTTGTCAGAGCATGAAGACATGAACGCGCAGGTGTGCAGAGGCGAACTGATCGGTGGTGTTCCTTCCCGAATCGGCGTTGCATGAGTTGTACTGCCCCGCATTCTGCCCCTCCAAGCTATCCACACCTGCATCATCGCTCTACCTTTCACAAGCTTCCGCGACAAAACGCGTCAGTTGGCTTTTCCGCGAGACTGCTGGTAACAGTTCCCGCGAGATATGGCTAGAGCCTTGCACCCGGTGTATGTTGTGCTTATTTTTCCGCCGCGATTTGCTCCAATCCGGGGCCACTTTGCCGGTGATCGTGAGCCGAGGACAAGTTCCAAGTGCAACTTCCAGACACCGAACAGTGCTCCGCATGCCCGACTCTACCCTTATCCACTTGGACCCAGATCTGACTTCATAATAACATCCCCGTCTGCTCTCCGCGTCAACTGACCCTGACAAGTCTCCCCAATCCCCCAGTGCTACTCTTCTTCCCCAACTTGCCCACACCTGTTCCCACCTTATAGCCCTTACCATCTCAACCTCAACGGATACACAAGCTCTGATATAAGCGATGGCTACCAGCAACGATAGCCAGTCAGCCAAGAATGGCATCAACACTGAAATCATTACCCTTACACGGTTCCTCACAGAAGAGCAGACAAAGCACAAGGAAGCCACTGGAGATTTCACGTATGTGTTGAGTCCAGTTGATCAGGCGCACGAGGGGCTGATTTGGGTTTGATAGGCTTCTGTGTCATGCTCTTCAATTCGCATTCAAGAGTATTGCATACTACATCCGGAGAGCAACACTGATCAACGTACGCATTCCTCCCTGACTTCTCTACATAACGACAGCTAACTCCAACAGCTTACCGGTCTGGCCGGAGCTTCAAATTCCACTGGAGACGACCAGAAGAAGCTTGACGTGATCGGCGATGAGCTCTTTATCTCCGCCATGCGTTCCTGTGGACGTGTTCGATTCCTCGTTTCCGAAGAGCAGGAAGACCTGATTATGTTCGACGAGTACCCCGATGCGCGATATGCCGTAGCCTGTGACCCCATCGACGGGTCCTCTAACCTCGACGCTGGTGTTGCAGTCGGCACCATCTTCTCGATATACAAGCTGCCCGAGGGTGCAAAGGCAACTAAGGAGGACATGCTGAAGCCAGGCACAGAAATGGTCGCGTCAGGATTCACCATGTACGGTGCCTCTGCGCAATTAGTGCTGACAATGAGGGGTGGTAATGTCAACGGTTTTACCCTGGATGCCGCGTTTGGAGAGTTCATCTTGACGCATCCGGATATGAAGATCCCTAACAAGGATGCAAAGAAGATTTACTCGTGCAACGAGGGTAACTCGCTCTACTGGGAGGACCCGGTCAAGAACTGGGTCGAGTCGCTGAAGAACCCTGGGGATGGAGGCAAGCCATACAGCGCGAGGTACATTGGATCTATGGTGGCAGACGCGTATCGAACGCTGTTATACGGTGGTATCTTTGCGTACCCAGCGGATAAGAAGAGTCCCAAGGGCAAGCTGCGTATTCTGTACGAATGCGCGCCCATGGCTATGGTTTTCGAGAACGGTTCGTCTTGCCTTGTTTGTTGTGATAATTCACGGTTACTGACTATTCTTTAGCTGGCGGTCTCGCAGTCAACAGCAAGATGGTGCGCATGCTTGAAGTTGTTCCTGAGCACATCCACGACCGGTCTGGTATCTTCCTCGGCTCGAAAGACGAGGTACAGAAGGTCATCGACGCGCACAAAGCATAGGATATCAATTGGAGGAGCTGCGCGAATTCATGAATTGGGTTGCTTGTCAGCTAAAAGAAGAATGACCTTGGTTGATGGGGTGTTTGAGGACAGGCTTGGTAGTCTCCATACGCGGTAGTTTTCTTTTTTTGCAAGGGTCAAACGGAGCATTCAAGGCAGATGTAGTAATGACTTTCCTCCGCGCTCGACGCGTTAGTGTATGTGGTTCTTTGTGCTGCCAATGATATTCACTCTATCAATCCATGGAGTAACGCGCACTTTGAGGGCTTTAATGTCCGGTGTTATGCAGATGCAGGTGCTTGACATGGTGTTGCAACTGCTCTACAGCTATTTTTAGTCCAACGTGCAGGATGGACAAGCACCGCCAACACCGCTCACAAAGTGCTCCAGATAGTCCAACGCAGTGAAGATGTCACTACCAACGACTCCGCTTATCTGTAACAAAAGACCGTTACGTCTTTCGCGATCCTGATACCAAGAACAAAAGCACTGGAGCTGCACAACCCGCAACGCCTCATCCTGCGCTTAGCCGCCGACCTCAGATCACCAGGATAGACGCAGCTGCGATTCGCTGGACGAGCAAAGACAAGCTTCGTTAGAGTGCCAACCCTCGACGACTGCAGCCGTTTGGGGTTAGGAGGCACGACTCCACCACCCAGCCCTGCATCCTCATGTCCGTATCCATCCTGGCTGCTGGGCGACGAGGAGCGAATGGCGCGCCCACAACGTCGCCCTGCCGTCCCACCTCACGTCGGACGGTCACAGCATGAACCAGGATCTGTGGGTCTCTGGGCAGGCATGAGGTGACCAACCCCTTCTAGTGCTGCACGCTTTGTGAAGCCGCCCCGAGCATCGACGTCGGATTCGCCGTCGCCGTCGCTGGAACCGCCGGGCGTCAAGCCGCAGGTGGTCGCCATGTCCTCTGAGCACTATCCCGCGCCGCCTCCTCTGCGACGAGCTGCAGTGCGACCGCCGCCCCTCATCACAACGGTTTTTGCACCGCAACAAGCAACGCCGTACCTGCATGGCCAGCTACAAACAACGGCGAGTGCGACGACTCTGAGCGTGCCCTACTCGCCCTTTGCCCCCAACTCGCCCTCGACGTATGCCCCGTCGCCCGTGCCGGCCTCTCCTATGGCAATGAGGAACGCGCCGTCAGTGCCTTACAACCCGCAGCAATGGAGTCGCAATGGCCTGGCGAGCGGACAGCATGTCCCTCACGCGGCCACGCAGACGCCCATCGCGCCTGCCCGCCCCCATAATCTCACGGGAATGGAAGGTACATATAACTTTTCTCCAGCATCCATAAGCCATGTAGCCTCTGAAATCTCAACGAATGCGCCGCGCCGTTTCTTCCATGTCTACTCAATATCTCTCAGCAATGACACGAAGTGATGCTAAGTGCTTCTAGCCGCGATGCCCTCACCCCCTCCTCCGTACTCGCCTGCCCAAAGCCAGACGCCGTCGCAGAGCGTCAATTCATCGCCGCATCTGGCGAACAGAGCATTTCCTCAGACCCATCCCCATGCCCTCTCTCACGTCCATCCACCGCCACCGCCGCCATCGTCGGGTACACCGCCCTCCGCGCGAGCACGAGCACGACCAGTATCAGCATATCCTAGTCGTCCGGCGTCGATGATAATGCCGTCGAGTGCAACCAGCATGATCTCGAATCAGCAGTTCCCCCCTCCCCCTCCAAGGAATGGGAAGGAACGATCAGTGTCTCGGGACAAGCTGTCTTCCAAGTTCAGTCTGTCATCTTTTAGAAACCGGAACAACGATCTCAGTCCTGGACCGAGCGCCATCGAGTCTTTGCAGATTAACACATCCGATGCTCTTCAGCGACCACCAGCTTCTCCCGGGTTGCTTGCTGATCGTGCTTCGTCGCAGTAGGTCCACTCAATCCATAGGTGACTAACGACTGACGTTGTTGCAGCTATACGCCGACCGCGTTTCCAGAGCGTCGATGGAGTCCAGAACACCAGTCACCCCTTGTTGCTCCTGCTTCTCGAAGAGCAGCCTCAGCTGGAATACTGGGCCATGGCACAGAAACGCGGACGCCAATCGACGAATCACCCATGATTCCTCAGGGAGGTTGGGGTCCCGGTATGGCGTTACCACCTCCCCCGCCTGGCCCACCTCCACCTAGCTCGAGATCGCATAGTATTGGGCCCGGCGTTGGGTCGAGCCGCAATCTGAACCTTCTCTCTTCGCCTCCAACACGAAGACCCGGCCAAACCACACTAGGACCCATCCCCCCAACACCTCAGGGCTGGCAGGATGAGCCATCGCGTACGCGATCGAAGTCTCCAATGCCTTTGCGTATTGACACAAGTCCGGAAGCTTCTCGTTATCGGAAGCCATTCGCGCCAGGCATAGAGAACGAAGATGTTTCCATCACGTCAGGACCTAGCTCATCTTCGCATTCGAGTGGCACCCTCTACCGTGCACCGCAGCGCGAGCATAGCACTCGAAGCATCCGTGAGCGTAGAAGTGAGAGTCGTGTTGCACGTGAACGCATTGAACCTAGCAACAACCCATGGGCCCAAGATTTGGAGGTAGCATCAACAAAGCCTGCTAATCTGGATTTGGGTACGTCAGAAGGTGGGTTGAATCGTCGCGGTGCTGTCACCAAGAGCACCCCAAGAAGCGGCGGGGGTATACGTTCACCGAGGAGCTCGCATTTGCTTGACGATCCAGGATCCTCGAATTCGACTCCGCGAAACCCCACATATCAAAGAAATGTATCGGGTGCAGCACCGACTCCACCATTTTCGCCAGGTACGGCTCATCAACACCAAAAGCCTTTGGTATTGGTCTCGTCAAAGACTCTTCCTACTCCACCGCTGCGATCGTATGGTGACCCAATTGAAGCAGTTCTGACGATTCGTTCAGACGCGGCGAACCGATCAACTTCGAAACCGCCGAAATCGAGGGTCGAAGACGTTTCTGCAAGCACGCCGAAACCGCTAGGCCGTGACAGTCTTGCCCGAGCATCCATCAAGCGTCATCAGCAATTCATAGAAAGGGAGATGACGGCCGAAACTGATCAAGAGAGGCTAGAGCTGTTTGCCGAATTCATCGTGAACGAGTCTAGGCTTCGCCGTGACCTGTACTCTGGTGCTTTTGACGCAATGGCTGGAGACATTATGGATTTGACAAGAGACTTGTGGCGCTCATACAATAATACAGGGAGAAGATCAGCGACACCAAGTGCCCAAGGAACTCCGTTATTACTGAGTGGTAGAAGATCGCAAGCATCTCTTGCTGGCGAGTCTCCAGACACGAGGCTTACTGACTCGATTCCTACGACGGCTGCCAGTCCTGCGTCCTCAATGGGGAATTTTACTCCGCGCACTGAGCCTGCGTCGCCCTCCAGCGCAGCTAGTCAAAAAGCGCGTGAGATATCCTGGGGCAACAATTATCACCCTTCGCTATCGCCCATTCCAAGCATGAATGTGAGCACGGTTGCTGATGAGGAGGGCTCTAGAGGCCGATCGGCAAGTCGGTGGTGGGAGAGCGATGGCAGTTCTTCAGGGGTCGGCGGTGGTAGACGACTGGAGAGAAGCAAACGGGAATCAAAGTACATGGGTGTTCTTCCTAGGGATAGTCGCGAGCATCTACAATGGGATGACGAGGATCAGGCCACGCCACGACTCGGAGCAAGCTCTAGGAACATCCAAAACTACGGACCCAATGAGTATCCTCCGGAAAAGGTTGGGTTTCATGAAGAGGAGTCGCAAGGGCAATCTCAGCAGTCATGTGGGCATTATTCGATGTTCAGCTCAGCAACATTGGATTCACACAAGCTTGATGTTTCAAGACTTGTCACTTTGCCGCCTGCGTATCCGCGTCATCATCCTGCTGTCAACAACAGTCACCCTGATTTAGCGACTATTCGTAGTAGCCTGCGCACCCTGTCGGATTTGCAAGATGTCAAGACAACCAAGGCTGCATTCAGAACAAAATTCGACTTGCAAAGGGAACAAGAGAGTACTTCACTCAAGGATAGAAGAGTAGAGTTGCACAATAACATTCAAGACAATGTACGGAATGGCGTCATGAGCTTTGCGGACGCGGCCAAAGCGGATGCGGATTTCGAAGGTCGCGAGCAACGGCGCGCACAAGACATGGTGCAGAACGTCTTCGACTCTTTCCAGAAAGACGTCGCCAACCCACTTCATGCTATGTTCTGCGAGCGCATTACCAAGGTGACGGCATCGATAGAGCACCTCAGGGGACGATTGTCTAGCGAGGCTCAAGAGCTCAACCCAAATCAAACGCAAGAGGAGGGCGACGAGAAGCCGGAACTTTTGGAGATGCTTACACTGTTGAAGTGGTTATTCGAAATGCGAGAGCAGCTCCACAAGGAGATGTTTGAACTGGAGGACGAGCGGAACGATTTGTACCGGGACGTTATCGTTTTGCCTTATATTCAAGCGAAGAACGATCAGAAGGTGAAGGAAGCCATGGATTTCTTCCGCCGTGACGCGCAAGATCGCAAGGTGTTGTTTGAGAAAGAGATACTGAAGCGGTGCGAGAGGTTCTTGGATGTCATCGAGCAGAACGTAACTAGAGGTGTCGAGACACAGCTATCGGCGTTCTGGGACATTGCACCTGGACTGCTCGCGGTCGTGCAAAAGGTACCCCAGCGACTAGACGGCTGCGACGTCCTGATTCCTCCGCAGGAGTATGATGAGACGCCAGCATATCGCGAGTTTCCGTTACAGTACCTTTACACCCTTTTGGCGCATGCAGGTCGTTCCGCATATCAGTTCATCGAATCGCAAACCAACCTGCTCTGCTTGTTGCATGAGGTCAAAACAGGCGTCATGGTCGCGGGTTCGCGACTTCTTGAGACACAGAGGCTGCTGGAAGGGGAAGATCTGGCTGGCGTGGACCAGGAGATGAAGGCTATCAGGGCGGATGAGGAGCAGCGGTTGACGGATGATTTGAAAGAAAAGGTCGGTCTTGTGGAGAGCCAATGGGGTGAGGCTCTTGGTCAAGGGCTGGAAGATTGCAAGACGATGGTGGAGAGTTACCTCACGGGACAAGGCGGATGGGACGATAGTTTGAGGGAGTAGGCGTGGGACAGTTGGGCAGGCTTTTTGGATGATTTCGCGCTTTTGGATGAATACCCGTCTCTGCTGGTATTTGGTGAGATTAAAATGCTTGGTCAGATCAAATGAACTTGGGTAGACGCAGCTTGGTCGGAACGAATGCTGCTGTCGAGATACATCTTGATGACTGTTGTTCTCGCAAGACGTGCTGGGCCTCGTTTTCTATTGAGGCGATGCAAAGCCGTGACCAGACCTTCCTCCTATGCCTTTGACGTCACTGCCTGTTCCGTTTGCGCTCCTCCTGGCCTTGTTCGAGGTGCAGCAAGGCTCTTTCATTCACGCGGGCGGTGCCATCCCGGTTAGGCCTGGCGGGCGCACGGACCGACGACACAGAAAGCGCCCGCCAAAGAAATAAAATGCCTTTTGACCTCAGCCTCTCTCCACCCAACCGCTTATCACCCAACTACACCAAACAGTTCTCTCTGCCCGGTTCCCTAGCGGAGTGCACATAACAGAAAAAGCCACAAAAAAATACAGAAAACTACAAAAAAGCCCGTCCGCCGACCGCCCGCCTTGGTCAACTGCCTGTCGCTTGCTCTCCGCCCGGTCTTTTGCTCCAGGTAGAACGAAGCAGCGCGCCCTCTGCCTGCCCTCTTCGTCTCCCGCACGCACCGTGTCAGCCCGCAACCTGTCAGCCGCCCAAGGTGAGTGCCCAGTCCTGGCGTGCAAGCGAGCGCACCTGCACCTCGCGGCCGCTGCTCCTGCCCGCAAAATTCACACGGCCCCGCTAACACGCCGGCCAGACAGACAAGATGTCTTCCGAAGCCGCCAACTCGACGTCGCCCGTCCAGGACGGTGCTGCTGAGCCCAGCGTCGCCCAGATCGACACCAGCGTCCCCGCCGCCCAGGGCGATGCCCCCACCCCCACGACGGCCGCGCCCGCCCACCAGAACTCTGCGTCGCTCTACGTCGGCGAGCTCGACCCCTCCGTCACCGAGGCCATGCTCTTCGAGCTGTTCTCGTCCATCGGCCAGGTCGCCTCGATCCGTGTGTGCCGTGACGCCGTGACGCGTCGCTCGCTCGGCTACGCCTATGTTAACTACAACAGCTCTGAGGACGGCGAGAAGGCCCTCGAGGAGCTGAACTACACCGTCGTCAAGGGCAGGCCCTGCCGCATCATGTGGTCCCAGCGCGACCCCGCCCTGCGCAAGACCGGCCAGGGCAACGTCTTCATCAAGAACCTCGACCACGCCATCGACAACAAGGCTCTCCACGACACCTTTGCCGCTTTCGGTAACATCTTGAGCTGCAAGGTCGCTCAGGACGAGACGGGCAGCTCCAAGGGCTACGGCTTCGTCCACTACGAGACCGCCGAGGCTGCCAACAACGCCATCAAGCACGTTAACGGCATGCTTCTGAACGAAAAGAAGGTCTTCGTCGGTCACCACATCCCCAAGAAGGAGCGCATGAGCAAGTTCGAGGAGATGAAGGCCAACTTCACCAACATCTACGTCAAGAACATCGACCTGGATGTCAGCGATGACGAGTTCCGTGACCTCTTCGAGAAGCACGGCGACATCACCTCTGCCTCGATTGCTCGCGATGAGCAGGGCAAGAGCCGTGGCTTCGGCTTTGTCAACTACATCAGGCACGAGGCTGCATCCGTCGCTGTCGACACCCTCAACGACACCGACTTCCGTGGCCAGAAGCTCTACGTTGGCCGTGCGCAGAAGAAGCACGAGCGCGAGGAGGAGCTGCGCAAGCAGTACGAGGCGGCCCGCATCGAGAAGCAGTCCAAGTACCAGGGTGTCAACCTGTACATCAAGAACCTTGGCGACGAGGTCGACGATGAGAAGCTCCGCGACATGTTCACTCCTTTCGGCACCATCACATCGGCCAAGGTCATGCGTGATGCTATGCCTGCCGAGCGGTCCGACTCCCCGTCCGACGAGAAGAAGGACGACAAGGAGGAGAAGACCGAAGACAAGGAGGAGGAGAAGCCAGAGGAGAAAGAGGAGAAGAAGGAGAGCGAGGACGAGGCCAAGGAGGGTTCCTCTGACGAGAAGAAGGAGGAGACCAAGGCTGGCGACAAGGTCACCATCAAGGGCGAGAAGAAGATTCTTGGTAAGAGCAAGGGTTTCGGGTTCGTCTGCTTCAGCAACCCCGATGAGGCCACCAAGGCCGTCACAGATATGAACCAGAAGATGTTTGACGGCAAGCCTCTCTACGTTGCTCTCGCCCAGCGCAAGGAGATCCGCAAGAACCAGCTCGAGGCTACCATCCAGGCCCGCAACCAGCTCCGCATGCAACAGCAACAGCAGCAGCAGTTCGGTGCCATTCCCCAGATGTTCATTGCTCCTGGTCAGCAGCCCATGATGTTCCCCCCCAACGCTCGTGGACAGATGCCCTTCCCTGCCGGCATGCCTGGCCAGCAGGGTGGTCGTGGCGCTGGCTTCCCTGGTGGAATGCCTCAGCAAGCTGGCCGTGGTGGACCGAACGCTCAACAGATGCCCCCAATGTACATGCCACCTGGCATGGCCCCTGGTGCTTTCCCTCCGTACATGAACCCTCAGTACCTGCAGTTGGCCCAGGCTGCTCAACAGGCGATGGGTGGTCGTGGCGGACGTGGTGCTGGCCCTATGGCCCCTATGCCTGGTATGCCTCAGGCTCAGATGGCCGGTGTCCCTGGTATGCGTGGCGGTCAAGGCTTCCCTCAACAGGGTGCTGGTCGTGGTGGCATGCCCCAAGGCCGACCTGGTCAGCCTCCCATGCCTGGCTTCCCTCAGGGTGGTCGTCCCGCTACTGGCGGCCCTGCTGGAGTTGACATGTCTACACTCAACAACGCTCCTCCGGGTCAGCAGAAGCAGATGCTCGGCGAGGCTCTCTACCCCAAAATCCACGAGATGCAGCCCGAACTGGCTGGCAAGATCACCGGTATGCTCCTTGAGATGGACAACAGCGAGTTGATCAACCTGTACGTATACCCATAACCATTCGCGCCATTGTCCTGATTACTGACTTTCTTAGCACCTCCGATGAGTCCGCTCTTCGTGCCAAGGTCGATGAGGCTATGAGCGTCTATGATGAATATGTCAAGAACAAAGACGGTGAGGGCGAGAAAGAAGCTCCCAAGGAAGAGCCCAAAGAAGACAAGGCTTAAACTTTCTACAGTTGTCGCCGAGTAGGACTCGCTCCTTGTCACTCTTGATCGGCCGCAAGTTACGATGGTCCGATAAATGTCTCTCTTCGGCGAATGGCGCATGGCTTACGATTTCTTCTCCTGATGGACGGCTTCACGACCGTTTATGCCCAAAAGTTCTCTGACGATTTTTCGACGCGGCTTTCTCCCCCCGCCTTTTTTTTCCCAACAGTCGACTCCTTCACTGGACGTTGACTGGCACCCTGATCTCGATTCACCGAGCAGGGTCTTTCTTTCCGGTTTCTTCGAAGTTGCGTTATGTTATAGATGGGCAGGTCTGCGATGATAAGCGATATGAGTATGGGTGGATTTTGCAGAATTTGATACCTCACAGCAGCCTGATCAGTGGGCTGGCTTTACCTTTGGGTTTTCCCGTTTTCGACCGGAAGGGTTAATGATGGCGGATGGCATGGTGGATGGATGTGGAGTACATGCTTAGTGTGAGTGTGTCATGTGGTTCGACTGGATAGTTTACGGGTGCGATGAAGATCTTATGGATGTACTCGATACTGCCAATACATTTTCGAAGAATCATGTTTGTGTGCTTTGATTATTGGTGGTTTCGTTGCTTTATTCGATGTTGGTCAACTTCCATTGCTGTTGTTTTACCTTGTCGATGCATTTGTGTAACGACATTAATGTTGTAACAATCTCCGGTCACATAACGTAAAACAACGAACCAAATGTAACATGCCTCCCAAAGACTGCCTACTCCCATGTATGTGTCTATAATGTATATCGCTTCAAAATGCCTCCAAAACGCCTCGCTCAAGAAAAAACACACCACACGTATCCAACGCTCAACACGCACATATTCTCTCCCCACCTTCTATTTTTGATGCACCTGATCCTTCCCCCCACTGGGCTCATCATCATCCTTATCCTTGCTGCCCTCCTTCCTCTTCCGATCCTTCCTAAGCGCCTCATGCACCTTCTCATCGCCCTCCTCCTTCATCTCATCCCACTCGACGTCGTACTCGTTAGCGACGGCCTTGATCTCCTTGCGCAGCGCGTTGCCGTCCTCGATGTTGAGCTCCCACTTGCGCAGGTCGAAGTTGTGCTGGGCGTAGAGTTTCTGCTGGCGGCGCGAGATGGTGAAGTTCATGGCGGAGCGGTACGAGACTTCGCGGTTGTGGTATAGGAACCAGACGTAACCGCAGATCAGGGTGCTGAGGCCGACGAGGTACTATTCGGGGGGGGGATGGTTAGTTGGAGTTGGGAATGGGAATGGGGATGGGGATGGGAGAGGGACTTACGGTTACAGGCTCCATGACGTCCCAGCCTAATTCTGTCTCGAAGGTTGCATAGTAGACGGCGCCCCACCAACCGACCACGCCTAGGAACCCGGATTGGGCGACACGTTGCGCTGCTTTGTGCGCGAGGTGGTCGCATTCTTCCTTGATGGAGGCCATTTCGCTGATCTTCTTGGAGGTCTTGCGGAGCCGCATGCGGAGGTAGTAGGTTCGGTCGTTAAAGCTGGGTACACCGACGCGAATCTCTTCTGGGGCGCCTTCAATCTCAATGGCGAACTCTTGACCGCGAGCAGCGTCGCGGATGAAGTCGCCGATCTCGGTGGATGTGGACCAGCGCACGAATTTGCGCTCTGCGTTCTGGTCTGATGATGCTTCTTGTCCGAGGCCGGAGTAGGACTCCACGCCTCCCTCACCGTGCCCGCCGCGGAGAGCTGCTGCTTGTTCTGTTGTCTTGTTGTCTTCGCTGCTCTTGATCTTGCCTGTCCTTTCTGTTTTGCCATCGATGCGTATCTTGTCAACTTGATCAAAGTCTTCCTCGCTGACATCTGCATCTTCAGACTTTGATGGCCGCTCCTCGTCTTGCATAGAGTCCTCAGCTAGGAAGTGGACATTGGGCGGGCGCTCACGGCCTTGCTTGTCTGTAATGAAGGGCAGTTCGGCCTGGACGAGACGTTCAAGATAGGAAATAGGCTGTTGAGGGTGGACAAGGAGGGCCAGCGGCTCAATGTCTTTCCGGTCCGAGTTCATGTCTTTTGTGGTGAGGGGAAGGATGAGCTTGAGCATACGGGAGGGCGTAGTCAGGAGTTTTCCTGAACATGGCGTTAGTCTCTGGCCATCGTGGAGACCACTAACGGTCTAGCTACCCTTTGTCATTGCTCCAGCACTCCTCTGCCGCGCAACAGGCGGCTGATCACTCCCTTCTCTGTGCCATGGCGTGCGTATCTGCTTCCCCTTATCTTCGTCGAGTCTCTTCGCGAAATCGGCCTTTTCTTCCTCTGTGATGTTGTTGTTGAGGTCTGACGCGGGCCGACCATTGGAGCTGGTGAAGTCCGGCTTTGGGGGCTGAGGTCTAAGGCCTAGACGGGATGTGTACGTGAAGCCTCGAAGTTGTCCTGGCCATGATGCCGCTCCATTCTGTGTAGTCGCTCGAGGAATCGTTCGGGGGAATATCGGGGTATGGAGTGCATGCGGGTACGTCGAGACGCGGGAGAGCGAGGCTAGAGAGGAGAGACGATGCTTCATGATTGGGATTGAAGTGGAACTCTAATCACAAACTCGGGTAGGACGAGTGATAGCCGTCAAAAGGAAACGAAGAACTCCATCGTCATGTTGCTCGACTTGGCTAGCAATCAGGGGAGCTACACGCGACAAGCAGGGTTGCAAATGGGTGCTACGTCATGAATGATGTGGCTTGGCAGGGTCCAAAATGCATTTGTTTGAGATGGTGGTAATCTTCGCATGCAATTGAACAATCGTAATTGAGAGTACCATGTTTGAGCCCATGATACTACGATTAAAAAGACTATCTTTCGCTATTCTATCCATAGACTTTCCCGGCCAACCACAGGCCTTGTATCCCAAATCAGAAACGCCGCTATCGTCAACGCGTGAGAGAACTTCGTGGGACACGTAAATGGGGTATACGTACATGGTCTGGCGCAGAACAGACATGACCTGGAGCCCAAACAAATTTCTGCGAGCTACTGGCCAGACATATCATCCTAGAGCACTTCAGAGACTCCGAGGCTGGATTTGGACCGCGCACAGCTAGAGAGCGGCGTAGTCATGTTGCTGTAGAAGCTGGGGACTTGATGCAATCCTTCCCCCTCATGATGCAAATATGCGAACGCTGAGGTCTACACTGCCTGTCGCAATAACACATCGTATGCCTGCTTTGGCCGCCTCTTCTTCTTTCTTCTTGTTGGCACCGTTTGTTGATGTACCGTTTTCGCCGTTGACTGGGACGTCTTTGACCACATTGGGTGCCCATCGCATGCAGCTGACGAAATGGCTGTGGGCGTCTGTGACCACCTTGACGCATCGACCTTCTTGTGTAAGATCCCAGCAGCGAATCGTCTTGTCGTCGCTGACTGACAGGAGATATTTGCCTCCCGGATGAAATACCAACGAGCGTATCCAGTTATCGTGGCCAACGAGTGTTCTGATCAGCGTACCTCGCCCGTCCCATATCTTTATCGTCTTGTCTCTCGACCCAGTAGCAACGTACTCTGCGGAGCTGCTGAAGGGTGGTGGCTTCTTCAACCCTGCAAGCGCAGCAAGATTGGCATAGGAGGCCGGGGGTGCAATTGTCACGCACTCGATGACATGTTCGTGTCCAAGAAAAGTGCATCTGGCCTCTCCTGAGCTGGCGTCCCACAACCGTGCAGTCTGGTCGTTTCCTGCAGAGAGCAGCCACCGTCCGTCGAAACTTGGCGCAACGTCGCGTACCCAGTCGGCATGACCTCGTATTGTCTTGACGCAGTATCCTGTCGTCACGTCCCACACCCGTAGAGTCTTGTCTCGAGAGGCAGAGACGAGGAGGTTGCCGGACGAGGGTGAGCCCGCTGCTCCACTGGGAACGAATCGGATTGCAGAGACGGAATGGTCGTGACCAGGCAGTGTTCGAATGTTCTTGTACTCGTCTGAAGGGTCCCAGAGCTTGATGGTCAAGTCGCTGGAACACGATGCGAGCAGTGTGCCACCTCGAGGACCACCAAAGTCTACATCCAGCACACCTTTTGTATGCCCTTTTACAGTCCTCTCAAGCTCGCCCAGCTCCCAGTCCCAGATTTTGATCGTCGTGTCTTCCGAGCCCGAGGCGAGTGAGGAGAAGACGGGGTGGAAGGCGACGCAGGTGACGGGTGAGCGGTGAGACTGCAGGGTGTGGCGTGCAGGGGCGCGCGGTAGCCAGCTGGTGGGGTCTTGGTTTCGGCGGATGAGGGAGGTCGGTGTGGTCGAGTCCAGCTCGGCCTGGAGGGTCTGGTTGCGCTGCTCAAGCTCCAGCACCTGCAGGGCATAAGCAATGTGTGCCGCTGTGTTGGATGTGCAGGGCAGCTACCTTCTTCTGCAGCCGGACGACGCTGGTCCACTTCTTCTCCAGCAGCCCCTCGTACTTCTTCCTCGTCGCATCGTCGAAGCTGGCGGGGATGTTTGCCTCTTCGCGGAAGGCAGCGGCCGTGTCTGGGGCGCCGATGACGCCCAGGTATGCTGCTATGGCCTTGTGTCTGCGCCGCTCGTCAGTGACTTGTGCTGGGGAAGGGCGGGTGGGCGACTCACAGCTCCTCGGCTTGGCGGTCGGTCAGGATAGCACTCATGGCGAAGATGGCCTGCTCACACGCGATGGCCGCTAGTGGCTACCATGCACCGAGGACAGCGGAACGGGCTCGGGGGTGAGCTACGGGAGGTGTTGGACTCGAGTGCCCGTGTGTCTTGGCGGCGTGGTTGCGGGGATTTGCGGTGAGTGATTGGGGCAGCAAGGATAGGCGCGAATTGATGGAGCGAGTGCGGTGGAGTAATGCATGCGTGTGCGGGGCGCTGGTGTGAGGTGAATGGGCATATGGCGGGCGGGACTGGACTGGACGGGGCGGACGGCTGGCTGGGCTGCTGGAGAGGATGCTGGGGATGATGCTGCAGCAGCTGTGTGTCGGTCGCTGGGGTGACAAAGGCGACAGCCCAACACCAAATACACACCACGACACTTTTTGCATCGCCGCCCTACCGCACCCCCACCACGCGCCCTCCTTGTTCCACCGCCTGCGCACAAAGAAGCTACTCGACGCCTGGAATACTTCTTTGTCTGTTCCGACTAGATAAGGTAAGAACCCCCGGCCGCACCTGCCGTGTATATCTTCCCTTCCACGGCGCATCGCATTACCCTCCAACCCACGCGCAACGCCCCCGCATGGTCGCTGAGATCTTCTCCTCCCTACACAACACCCAGACTACACTCCCCCCAAACAGCGTGACTGACTGCCCAGCAGCCGCCCTCCCCCCGCACGTCAGCACGCGCAACCCACAGCAGCCATGGCGGACCAGGAGGAAGACTTCAGCTCGCTGCCACTCCCCGACCGCTTCACACACAAGAACTGGAAGGTGCGGAAGGAGGCATACGAAGCCGCCACCAAAGAGTTCAACCTCGCCGCCAGCGAATCCGACCCCATCGTGCGCCAGTTTGTGACGGATGCGAGCATATGGAAGGGTGTGGTAGGCGACTCCAATGTCGCAGCACAGCAAGAAGGCCTGGCCGCACTATGCGCCTTCCTGGAGATCTCAGGCCAGGCGGGCTGCACACGGTAAGCACTGCATGGCGGGGTTGTTGTGAAAGCGGCGTACTGATAAACAATGCCACAGGACGCGCCAAATCACAATCGCAACCATAGCCGAGAAGGGCCTGCCGTCAACGAGACCAGCGGCCAAGCAAAAGGCCCTCGAGGCTCTGATGCTGTACATCGAGACAGACAAGCCAGAACCAGTCATCGAAGAACTCCTCCCTTTGCTCTCGCACAAGCAGCCCAAGGTCATCGCCGCCACCATGGACGCCCTGACTCACATATACCACGCCTTTGGCTGCAAAACAGTCGACCCCAAGCCCGTCCTCAAAACCCTTACCAAGAGCTATGGTCACGCGGATAAGAACGTGCGAGCCAAAGCACAAGAACTGACCGTCGAATTCTACCGATGGCTCAAGGATGCCATGAAGCCCCTCTTCTGGAATGACCTGAAGCCTGTCCAGCAAACAGACCTCGACAAGCTATTCGAAAAGGTCAAGGACGACCCACCACCGAAACAGGAGCGACTGCTGCGCTCCCAGCAAGCCGCGAAAGAGCGTGCAGCCGCAGCACCAGCTGAAGAGGAGGAGGAAGAAGAGGAAGAAGATGCCGTCATTGACCTCGAGGCTGAGCTTGAACCTGTGGACGTATTTCCCAACATCCCCAACGACTACAATGACAGACTTGGATCATCCAAGTGGAAGGACAGGAAAGAGGTTCTTGAAGAGACTCTAAAAGCTCTGAACCACCCCAAGATCGCCGAAGGACCATTCGACGACCTGATTCGTGGTTTCGTTAAGTCCATGAAAGACGCCAATATCGCCGTCGTGTCAACCGCTGCCAACTGTGTTGAACTTCTCGCAAAGGGTCTCAAAAAGAGCTTTGGCAGGTACCGCAAAGACATTATGAACGCGATGATGGAGCGACTGAAGGAGAAGAAACAGTCAGTTACCGACGCAATCACAGCTGCCCTCGATGCGTCATTCGCCTATGCCAGCTTCCAAGACTGTTTGGAGGAGATTCTGGAGTTCTTGAAACACAAAAACCCGCAAGTCAAGCTCGAATCTACACGATTCCTCGTGCGATGTCTGAAAGTGTCCCGCGATGCACCTACACCAGAACAGGCCAAGGCGATAGCCGAATCTACAACGAAGTTGTTGACCGAATCACAAGAGGTGCAGCGATCTGCCGGTGCGGAAGTACTTGGTACGCTCTGGAAGATCATGGGAGACCGCATCATGAACGCACACATCGATGGCCTTGACGAAATCCGGAAGACCAAGATCAAGGAGTACTTTGAGTCTGCCGAAGTCAAATCTAAATACAAGCCCAAGCCCGTAGCCCCTCCCAAGCCTGCTGCAGCTCCACCAGCAGCTGCGAAGAAGAAAATTCTAGGAGGCAAACGGCCCGCTGCAAAGAAACCAGCCCCAGCAGCGGCAGCTCGACCTCCACCGCCACCAGAGGAGGAGCCCATGGCACCTCTCGCGCCAAAGCCCACATCAAGGCCAGGCGCCTCGAAGTTGGGTGGTCCAAAGTCAGGGCTCGCAGGGCCAAGGTTAGGAGGCTTGAAGAAACCAGCTCCCGCTCCCGCTTCACCAACTCGATCAATAAGATCACCGTCTCCAGAAGAAGAAGAGGCACCTCCTCCACAACCAAGGCTTGGGGCTGGACGAGGTCTCGCAGGACGTCCTCTGGGCAAGCCCGCCGCTGAACCTGCTGCCGCGCCTTTCGTCGCTCAAGCCCCTACTGGACTTAGTTTGGTAGAGCGAGCAGAGCTTGAAGAACTTCGTGCAGAAGTTGAGCGAGTCCGGCGTCAGGCTGAAGACTTACGCAGCGAGCGTACCAAGCTCACTTCCCAAATATACGAGCTACAGAACCAAAATGCCCAGCTCATTGAGGATCACACACGAGACGTACTTTCAATCAAAGCAAAGGAAACTCAACTCGTCCGTGCTCGCTCCGATTACGAAGCAGCAGAACAAACAGTACAGAACCAGCGCCGTGAAGTCGACCGTCTGAAACGCGAACTCAGTCGCCAGGTTCGCGCCAGTTCACCACCCCCCGCAGACCTAGCAGATGGAATCTACTCCGATAACAACGGCAGCGGAAACACATCTCAAACGCAGTACGCGAGAAGCGAAAGGAACTTCTCCAGTGGGGCGCTGAGTCCTCGTCTGAGCCCAGGTAGTGACGGTAAGGAGAACTTTGATAGTTTCTCCCGCCGCTCTAGTTCACATATGAGTGGAAGGCTAAGTCCTCCCCGTACAGATGCGTCTACCAAGCCCTCGTTATCGTCGAGAGGCAGTGATCGTATCAGTCCGGCTGAGAACGGCGCAGGCGCAAGACGCATCGGCAGTTCGCAAGCAGCGTCTGGTGCGGAGAGCTGGAAACGCGCGGCCGAGGTGACGCAGAACTTGAAGCAAAGGATCGAGATGATGAAGGTGAGTTCAGCGCGCACGCGAGTTTCCTTTGCACGACATGAACACTGACACGATATGCAGGCTAAACAGGGTATCGGGAGACCGGCGGCCCAGTGATGTGTCAACGTCCCCCCTTCATCCTCGCATATGCATGGACTTGCTCCGTAGGTCTAGGCTTGTAGGGGCGGTTTGACGGAACGCGTTACACAGCATCGTGCCGTCCATGTCGCTTCTCTTTGCAACTCGCTTGCTTGCGTGGTGTTTCCGGTCGGCGCGTACATCACATGGAGCATTTTACACGGCGTTCTCACGGGGTCCGCGCTGGCTTGATGTGCGTGGTTCGGACAACGAGGGCATGGGCGGGGGACCGGTGAAGGTTCCACGACTGTTTTGTTTTTGGAATAAGGACCTTCTGGCTCGTTTTCTTACATCTGGCATGATTCCCCCTTGTGTTTGGCTGGTCTGATCTGGGTTGGGTTTGCGTGATAACATATTTAATCGTGCTGGGAAGGAGGCTTGAATATATGCTTCTTTCGTTCTATCATGTCTTACCTGCCTTCCGTTGAATGACATGTTCCCCCTCGGATGTGATGACTTCCTCCTTTGTGGAAGGGTAGTCTGGTCATACTGAGGACATAGTGTGATGGGAAGCGCGAGGAGTAGCACTCAACAAACGATGCATACTTCCCTCAATCTAGATCAGTTCGACAGGAGTGCTGTAATCAAGATTCCCCTCTCCTCGATATTCAACGTCCACAACGAGATCGACCTTCCTCACACGAAAGCGACAACTGACCTTCTACTCACCGTATCCGTGAGGAGCATACAGAATGTAAGCGATGCCTTCTCTGATGCGAGTCGCATGTCTTGAGTCGAGATCTTCGCTTCGTGCGTGAAGCATCATACAGCTCCAGTTCCCTCTCCCTGCTACTAGAGCTATATGAAATTAGAGAGCAGAGCTCAAAGCTACCCGTCATGTATCAAGACAGTGTCCTCGCAGCTATCAAACCTCGGGTCTTTACGCATCGTCCCAGACGTCCAGACCTAGTTCCATCACGATCAGTGTATGTACACTTCGTGTACGAGTATGCAGCCCCTCCTCTCTCCGCCTTACATGATGGGACTATGTGTTTGGCCCCCGCGTGTGCTTACTCGACCCGTGCTTATAGGGGCATGCAAGTGCGGGCGACGGATTCGGATACCTTCGTTGATGCGCTGGTTCTATGGCGGGTGAGGAAGGAGAGTGGATGGAGAGGCTGGAATGACTTTTAGAGAAGACAGTCGGGGGTGCAAGGGAGGAGCGGTTCGGACAGTCACTCTTGATGCGAGGGCAGATGAGAGATATGATAGGGTAGTGTCGAGGATAAGGTGGAGTCAAGGTGTTCTGCTAAGTCAAAGGAGAGGCGTGCCTGTGGACAAAAGAAAAGGATTTCGGACAATCGACTGAGTGCAAGTGAATATGCTGTGCCAGAAAGATCGTGCTTATGATCAGACGTAATATCAGGGGGCACACTCCCCAACAGTGAAAACACTCTACCGCAGACGTTCCGATCACGGAACACGGATTCCCAACAACATGAGTGACTCGCCATGAACGCGCAATCATCAGCACGACAGTAAAGATTGCAAATACTCCAAGATAACGGACTCTCCACGCACCAGACTAACGTAATGGCCAAGATGCTGCCAAGATGCTGCCAAGTCTTCTCCTGAACGCTGACAGGCCGGCTATATCCATCTCGCGATGCAGATAATGAGGCGTTTCACAAAAGTTATGGGATGAAAGTTTTTGCCGTTTGCCACTTTTCGGAATCGCGATCGGATCCAACAGGTAGAGAAGCATTTCTCATTCGCTGGGCAGTTCGTCTTGGAAGGTGACGAACTGCCAAGCTTTCCACCACATACTGATAGTAGTCGCTAGGGCGGAGGAGACCGTCGCAAGTACGGCATACGCCGACGATCATGAACGTATCCCCGGGTTTTAGCCTTTCGCTACCTTTTGCGACTAGTGGCACTGGCGTGGGGAAGTTAGTGTCCGCGTGTTTGGTTCCTAATGATCTGCAGATGCCTCAGCCTATAAGCTATGCATACAGTCGTTTAAAATACACGCTTGACGTTGTTGTGATGAAGGCATAATGCATGAAATTCCCCAAGTCATTAGGCTAACACTGGTGAGAGTCCCGATGCTTCGGCTACCACATCGTGGTGATCGACTCCATAGCGTACGGATCTCCGTGAACTTGGTCCAGGTCGAGCCGACGGTGATAAAGAACACCATCCCTAAGACTTTAATCAGCGGAGGTTGCAAACTTCCGAGCATGTCACTTCTGCATGAGATAAGGCATGCACAACGAGGAATGTTCATTTGACGGCATTGGTGCGGTGATGAAGTAACAGTGAATTCTATTAGGTTATGATAAGCGAACAATATGCAACGTCGGAACATGTAAACGCTAGTGGAATATGAACGACGAATCATGATGTTAGCTTCTGATGGGTAGTCTATCGACCAATATGACCTCGAGCGAGGCTGACTACATGCCTCATGCTTGAAGGATGTCCAGATGGAGAAGCAGATGAGACTTTGGCCATGTCCACTGCGAATTGAGCAGAATGGAAACATGTGGTATGCAAATATCACAGTCCTAAAGTACGCCGATGTTGGGCGATAAGGGCAGCAGGGCCAAATGCATGAATCATAAGCGACAAGGCTCATATGCGTAGCTCACCAAGTAACTGTTCAGATTGTCAGAACGTTGTGTAGCATAATGCGCATGAAAACGAGTAGAAGAAAAACGCTGATCAGACTCTTGCCCTGTCACAGGCAGTTATCACCATTGCCGTAGCTCGGTAGACCGTCGTGATAATTAAATGTTCATCTTGGAAAGCAGTGCATGAAATTGTAATGAGATTCACATACCTTGGGAATCTCGGTACCACGCTAGACAGGCGACGACCAAGCCTATGCCACCAATCAGTTGGGGCCTCGGAAAGATGTTTTACGTGTACCAGCGAGATGGCAAGTCAGACATGACGGTTCTCGTCTTCGCCGAAGCTTGGACATATGCTTGTCTTTTGTATGTGTCGATTCATCATGATGTATGGGGAAGTGAGAAATCATGCGCGTACCGTATGGTAGGATGGTAATGACCTCCAAGTCTGATCGAACAGTCAGCAATGATCCTTGAAAAAATCAAGAAGACTGAAGATAGAGTTGTGGATCAGTTTTGGCATGAATGGTAAAATAGTATGAATCGTCACTGGGAATCCCATCGGACTCGTCATCGAGGTCGCATCATATCCAGAGTAAAGCAAAGAACAATGTAAACTTACCGAATTGAGACGCAAAGTATGCGACATAGTTGCGAGCTGCTTGAACATCAGCCGAGTTCGGCCAGATATATATACTCTCGTAAGACAACAAGACAGTATCAGTCGGCGAGGTTTCTGAGGCCTGCCATAATAGGCGTATCCGTCAAGAATTGTCGGAGCCCAGTGCCGTATCATCATAAAACGTTCGTGTTCAGATCCGAAGCGTAGAAGAGATTGATGCGTACCGGTGGGAGAGAGCGTGAAGCCACAAGACTCCAAGATTCTGTTGAACGCCAATGGTCAGCGTACAGCTTCATAAACAAGATCAATGTAAGTGAAGAATTGGTTTGTATCAGAAACAGCCATTGTATATCGCCATCGACAGAAGTCTCGGTCGGTAATTTCCAGCGTGCCGTAGCACAACAGGTCATCATTGGAAGGGTGAGTGATAGGGATATAAACATACTGAGAGTGCCGCATGGCATTGCGCGAAGAAACCTTGCGTGGCATCACATCATACAACGTTAGTTCTGAATTGGCGCGTCGAAAAGCGATTCGTTTGCTCGCGATGAAATAGTCTTTATGGAAGTTAGCCAGATGCTAACCAAGGCATAGTTTGCAAGCGAGAAGGGCTGGAGTAGTCGCGTTCAGACTGACGTGCAAGCAGGAGTTTCATTCCTCGAAAGGTCAAAGACTCTAGTTTGAATTTGGCTTTGTGTATCATCATGTTGACGTAGGATACGAAAAAGAGTATGCATACCTAGATACTCCGCAGACTGCGCCGGAATCGCCACAGCGCAGTCTAGCTGAAGGCATTGCTGTTACAAAACTCATCGTGGTTGTGTTGCAGGAGCCTAAAGCGCATTGTCGGGAAGGAGATGTGGGTGAGAGAGTGTGCGTTGAGAAAAAAAGTTAAGTGAGGATGGAAAACCTTTTTTCCGGTGGGGCACACGTGAGCCGTTGCTGAGTCAACACCACGCTAAGGATCCACACATCCTCATTGAGACTTCTACCGAGGATATCAATCACAATAAAATGGGAGTGAGGACATGGCATGGATAATCGACTTTGGTTATTGAATCATTCATTTTGAACATCATATGCTTTTAACATCAATTTCTCATTTATCCTGTGGATCATCATCATGACTTTAATGATAGTATATTGTAGAACTTCGATGTATTGTTGAGCAAGCAGGAGGAGGCTCTGATTTCCAATCTCAACATGCAGTACACTCCGCTTATCTTGTTCACGAAGGCTTTCAATAATCAACTTGCGCTTGTTAGACCAAATAATCGAGGCTCGAAGAAGTAGTCAGATAACTTTATGCATCACAGATGTGGCCATGCAAACTGGTATATGAATGCTTTCAGACTCCACTCAAAAACTGCCTATGCGTCAGTCACGGCAGCGAGTGGCGTCTAGGAAAAGCTGAAGCCTCGTCGGACTACATCGAGACACGTGTTGACGATAACTGCGCATTCGATTGTACGACAACCCAGGAAAAAGTGAAACATCAGACGTGATCGTACGACAGTCTGGTAGCAGCATATGTATGCGTCCATAGAAGGAACAAACAGAAATCAAGCACCGGTAGGCTGCTTTTGATGAGACACTGCTAATATCATGCGAAAAGTAAGAATAGGAGTCGTAGGAGAGATCCAGACTATGTGGCCAATGCGTTGCCAGTGACCTTCTAACGTACTAGACTTCTATTGTTGCACTCTCCCGTCCCGAGAAACCGCTCTCCTCAAGGGCGTTACACCTCGCGATTGGAATCTCATTGACTTACTAAATCACGTACTAACTTACTCTGTTTATCTACAGCCTGACTCGAGCCATGGCTACTATAATCGCGAAACCGGAATCTTCCAATATGCCTTATTCAAGAATGCCGTAAAGACGATACAGAGGTCGACACCAGCCTCGACGACACAGTGTCTTGCGCGCTGAACGGCCACTTGTCTTTTGGCTCGTCCATAAACATGGTACGACGCGGTAGATTTTGTTTGCTTCTTATATGTTCCTGGCCGCTCATTTCGTGTAAGCAACGACCCGCTGTCCAGGAGTTTGGCATTAGATCTACGCTGCGGCGAGCCGGATACGGTTTGAAAGTTTGAAAGTTTGAAACCTAGATGATTTAAAGCTGCGCGAACAAGAAGCAGCGGATATATGGGTATATATAGACAATCTCGACCACTTCCGAAACACGGCATTGCGGAGCCTGAATAGACGAAGTGAAAGAAACACTTGTTTAGATCTGGCCTTTCTCCGCAGCTGTTGCTAATGTAGATGTATCCTCGCTTTAAGGGATTGCCAAACGTGCGGTTTGCAGAATTTGGCGGGGTAGAGTAGTTGCGGAGGCGGGCCGCAGCCGCGAAAAGTGAAGAGATTGCGACGCATCTCCCTTTGCGAAGCGTCGTGTGTAGCGTCGTTTGTCTATGCGGTGATGGGTGTCCGGAGCCATTTGTAACGGCCAAGTCAGGGGTAAACCTCGGTTGCTAGCTCTGATATTAATATTCTTGGCAGACCAGGCAGTGGGCTAAATAGGATCTGAAAATAGTGAGCAATGGTACCGCCGACCGTGATTGCCTGCTTGTCATTGCAGCAGTCGTGTTACCATGTACATAACAGGTGCAGAATCTTAATGTCCACGGCCCCTTGCATGCGTTCTGCCGCGTAGCGAGCGGGGCTACGGTAGACTGCTCTCTGCCACCTCACATCTCACATCATCTCACATCAACTCACCACGAAGAATCACACAGTGGGCAGGGGAGGGCATGTCCAAGCTCGTACAGTTCCACCAAGACCTCCACACTTCCCAGACCGGCTTCTAGCGAGTTACCCATTTTGGTGCGACGCTCCGACTAGCTGCAGACACTGACCAAATCGCATTTGCAATCCCACCCTACTCATAGGGGCACACCGGCGCCCATCAGCATGCCAAGCATCAAAGATAGAGGAGGCGATTCCCTCGCGGAGAATGGGCGCAATTCGGCCGCTTCCGCTCTCAGCTTACGTGGAGTCCGACGGTGGTCCAAAGAAAGAAAAAAGGTGGTCACTCAGGACGATGTCGCAGGTGGGCACCCAGAAGGGTGTCGCAACAGGCGAGCTGCGCACTCCCACGCCTTACCAAAACCATCTGGCAACCCATGACGCCCAGCGCGCCGCGCTCTGAGAGCGCATGTCGGCCGGCGAGCCCTCTTCGTGATCCGCCTTGCTAGGCTCACTCTAGCAAAGGCCGATCTTCAACCTTGGGTGGTATTCCAGGGATTGGACGACGCCAAACGGCGAGACCATGCTTCGTCGCCGCCGAGCGAACCCTTATCTTTCTGGGGCGGGATGCCACAGACAGAACCTTGCAGGCTTAAATAACTTGTGATTTGCATCACCAGATTTAAAAGCACTCGTCCTCGTCCACCTTGAGTGTTGGAGCTTGTCGCAGATCATCTTCATCACCCGCATTACACTCCTTTCTTATTACCTTGGAAGGATCTCCATCAAGATGTCGGGTTGGGTTCACAACACCAATGCCGCCGTCGCGCGCTCCGCCGTGGGCAGGTACTTTCGTCTTGAGGGATCTGGTCATGTACGTGCAACCATCAAACCATGTTTGAGATGGATTCTAACAGACTTCTACAGCCCAAAGAGCGAAAGGGAAGCTACTTCTTCACTGAGTTCCGCGCCGGTCTGGCCACCTTCTTCGCCATGGCCTACATCATCTCTGTCAACTGTATGTTCAAACATCTGATTTGCGGGCCAATGCTAACGTTGGACCAGCGTCCATTCTGGCTGACAGTGGTGGCACATGTGTTTGCCCCGCAGAGAGCATGGCTGATTTGTGCGTCACAAACGAGGAGTATCTCTTGTGCAAAGAGGTCATCAAGCGAGATCTCGTTACTGCAACAGCTGCCATTTCTGCTTTGACGACGTTTTGCATGGGTTTGTTCGCCAACATGCCCATTGCTCTTGCTCCTGGAATGGGTCTCAATGCCTACTTTGCTTATACGGTTGTCGGTTTCCACGGTTCCGGTAAGTCAAGTTACACATCCACGACTTCTCCGTTTTTGTATTACCTTGTGCGCGTACTCGTCGATCTTCATCCAGGGCTGCAGTTTGCGATCTGGTTTCTTTGTTGCACAATATACCTTCGATGATGCACTTGCTAACTACTATCAGGTATGGTACCATATCGAGTTGCACTTACTGCTGTTTTCGTCGAAGGTTTCGTCTTCGTCGGCCTTACGATTCTTGGTATCCGACAGTGGCTTGCGAGGTGAGTGCCTTTTTCTCGAGTCGTCTCCTAGAGGTTGCACTGTTACCATGCACCTGGTTTTCGCATCCAAGGCAGGCTAGGCTGTCACACACGTAACTCGATTGACATCCTCACCGCCACTATCACTCTTAACAGATGGATACTAACCAGATCTTGTAGAGCTATTCCAGCCAGTATCAAGCTTGCAACGGGTGTTGGCATCGGTCTCTACCTTACCATCATCGGTCTCTCTTATTCCGCTGGTCTCGGACTCATCACCGGCGCGCAGTCGACTCCACTAGAGCTTGCGGGATGCCAGGTTGAATTCCAGGACGACTTTGGCGTCTGCCCAGGAAGCCATAAGATGAGGAACCCGACTGTGTGGATCGGCATCTTTTGCGGCGGTATCATGACGGTCATGCTGATGATGTATCGTGTCAAGGGTGCGATCATCTTCGGTATTCTTCTGGTCTCTATTATCTCCTGGCCACGTCACACTGATGTCACCTACTTCCCGTACACTACGGTCGGCAACTCCTCTTTCGACTTCTTCAAGAAGGTTGTCACGTTCCATCCGATCGAGAAGGTCTTGGCCGTACAGGAGTGGAACGTGTCCCAGCATGCAGGCCAATTTGGGCTGGCTTTCATTACCTTCCTCTATGTCGATATTCTTGATTGTGAGTACATTCAAGTCTTCGTCATGAGTTCCACTAACAACTTTAGGCACTGGTACCATGTACTCTATGGCACGATACTGCGGAGCTATCGACGAGCGCACCCAAGATTTCGAGAACTCGTCCATTGCTTACACCATTGACGCAATGGGTGTTACCATTGGCAGTCTGTTTGGTTGCTCTCCCGTCACTGCCTATATTGAGTCCGGTGCAGGTATCTCTGAAGGCGGCAAAAGTGGTCTCACATCTATATTCACGGGCCTGTGTTTCTTCATCGCCATCTTCTTTGCGCCAATCTTCGCTTCGATTCCCCCATGGGCTACCGGTAGCACTTTGATCATCGTTGGTTCTCTGATGGCTCAATCATCCAAGGATATCAACTGGCGTTACATGGGTGACGCAATTCCCGCTTTCCTCACCATTGCTATCATGCCCTTCACCTACTCGATTGCCTACGGCCTGATCGCTGGTATCGTGTCGTATATCCTCATCAACACCCTTGTCTTCATCATCGAGAAGGCTTCCGGCGGCCGTATTGTTCCTCCCAACAAAGACGAGAAGGAGCACTGGACATACCGTATTCCCGGTGGCATCCTGCCACCTTGGGTCAGGAGGCTCACCAGCGGAAAGAAAGACTTCTGGAAGCGCGAAGAGGAGATGAACGGTGTTAACGCGCCTAATACTGCACGCGAGAGCGAGAGCAGCTCCGCCCACCAGGTTGACAAGGAGTTCGTTTCCGAGAAGCAGCCTACCAAAGTTTCTTAGAAAATCTTGCAACACTAGTTGCAAGGCAAAGTTGGGTGTTTGATCAGGTGGCAGCGTTTTGTTAGCTGTGTTCACGTACACTTTTTTGGATACTCTATTTGTATAGTTGACTTGGGAAGAGCTCGTGTCGTTTGAGCGTTGAGTTTTGGTGGCTTGTGCGATATGTTCAGATGCTCGGAAAGATGTCATGCATTATGCATTGATAACTGGTTTAGATACTATTGGATATACCCTCACTTTGGTTTTGGTAAACGATTAATTAAAAGATCGCCCTAGATGATCTCGATCTGTAGCGCAATCTCATAAGTATGATTTCGCAAGTTCAATCTATCCCAGCCACTCCGATATTCTCCAAGCATATGAACCTCTCCCCGCAGCTAAAGCTCCGCTATCAACGCGCCGTGTGATGCCGTTAGCTTTCCCGACAAACAAAGGCAAATCTCGGTACCCGACAAAAATGTTTCATGGTGCCACATCTTGATTTGTGGCTTTGCCAAGACGGAGACGTCGGCCGGCGCAAAAAGACGCCGATGCAGGGACCGAGGTCTCCACCATGCCACATGATGATGAACGTTTTGTAGCAAGACTCACCGCGTCAGAGACGACCTTGCAACTTTCCACCCCACCTGCAACTCATTGGCCCAAGCTGTGAATAGCCATCCTCAGTCCACAATTCGACTTCTGATTTGCTCTTCTGTCGATCGATTACGCAGCTTCAACGAAATATTACAATATAACGACAAGATACCTCCGGCCTCGGCTTACAAAGGCGACGAAACATTTGATAAGCATTAGCAATTCGCAGACCAATCTCACAGCGCGCAATAAAGAAATAAGAGCTCGAGAGCGGGAGCCTTTGTTTGAAGAGACCTTCAGCGCAGGAGATCAAGATGCCCGCAGAAGTAAATGGCAATGGCGAGGCCAATGGTGTCAATGGCCAGGCGAGCAAACTGTCAAATCCCACACCAGCACACTCGGCCTTCGACTCGATACCAGACGTCATAGAAGCCTTTGGTACGTCTTCCGACTCCGTCTCATCATGGATAGTCGCCGTAAACTAACAACCCCTCCTACAGCCAACGATGAGTTCGTAATCGTCCTTGACTCACCCTCACGAGAAAATGAAGGCGATCTGATAATCGCCGCCTCGGCTCTCACCCCCGAAAAGGCCTCCTTCATGATCCGCTACTCCTCCGGCTACCTCTGCGCGCCCATCCCCGTCTCGCGCGCCGCCGCCCTCCACCTCCCGCAAATGGTCGCCGACAACGCAGACCCAAATCAAACCGCATACGCCGTCACCATCGATGCTGCGGATCCCTCCATATCCACGGGCATCTCCGCGCACGACCGCAGTTTGACATGTCGCATGCTTGCGGATCCGTCGGCGAAGGCGTCGCATTTCAGACGGCCAGGGCATGTGCTACCACTGCAGGCGCGTGAGGGTGGCGTGCGGGTCAGGAGGGGACATACTGAGGCAGCGGTCGATTTGTGCAGGTTAGCGGGCAAGCCGCCTGTGGGTGTGATTTGCGAGATGATTACGGATGGGGAGGAGGTGCCGGGGAAGACAGAGTTGGTGGGTGGGGGTATGATGCGGACTGACGAATGCTTGGCCTTCGGGAAGAAGTGGGGGATCAAGGTGTGCACGATAGAGGACATGGTGGCGTATATCGAGGAGAATGAGGGGAAGCTGCCTTTGAACTGAAGAGAGCTGGGATGAGAAGAGAATAACGGATTGAGCAGGTGGATGAGTAGGCGAATAGATTGGGGGTTGGTCCCACCTTCACGACGCATCTCTCTGGCGTATATGTTCCAGCATTATTGTGTTTCCAGCGCCTCCTCAACATAGACGCTCTATTGTAGATACTCAAATACAGTGCAAGCATTCAACTCCAAACGATTTCATTCACTCAAGGGTCTGACGTGGAGCAGCGAATGAAAGTGCGAGTTTGAAAAGCACAAGTACGATACAATCTCCATACGCCAATCAATAGCTAGACAGTAAGGATTGATAGAGTGAGCGAGGAAGGTGACGGGAGAAACAGCCAACGGGTTGTATGCGCATTGTCAACATGTCCATCCAACAGCACAATCATGGTTTGCCTGACAATCAGATTTAGATTTGGATTTGGATCATGTTCACTGTGTTTTCCACGGACTCTCAAGAGATCGAGGTGGTTGTGAGTTATCTGTGTGAAGGACTGCCTCTACTCTACAACCTTTTCGATGTAGTATTCGGCAGGGGTTTTCATGAAACTATACACGTGTTGATTGTCACCATGAACCCGCTATTCATTTCTTGTACAGGTCACTCCTCTGGCCTCATGGGCATACCTGAAAGCACTTTCGTACCATGACTTTCTGCCTCCCAACCTATTTTATACCAGGGATATTTTGGTCCTCGCAAACATCTTCTTTTTCTCCTTCTCTTTTGACCAACCCATCGAGTCACGAGTGCGTCTATACATGTTCCCCATCCGCGTTTCCTAGTCCTATCAACCTGTAGTCCCTTTCACCAGAGGAATAGCATTTTGACCCAGCTATGTAGAGCGAGGACCATGGGTACAGAAGAAATAATTTTCGATTCCTTGAACTTTCTTGCTACCACTGAACAGCAAGGGGGTACTACGCTTGATTTATATCTCTCTGACGACGCAGAGCATAGGGTACATCTCCAGGCACTTTCGGACATGGAGAGGCTGTTTCGGATTTTCAGTCGTCCCAACTTTTTTGGTCCGCAAAAGCTCAGCCATGGACTTTTAACCAATATTTTCAGATCATATGTGGATCAAAGTGATGCAGAAGTAGAGAGACAGAGATTCTGAATCGAATTTGATATTAAATATGCCCATGACCCATTCATTGGCTGTTGCAATATTCTTACGATCCCTTTCTCGGTCTCTGAAATGTGGACGAAGAGGTGGGCGATTTTGGCGAGTCTTCTTGAGGAACACGCCCCATCCAGTTTGTGAAATCTGTTCTTTGGTGTGACACTGAGGTTGTGATGTTGGAGGACAGAACAGGGCTCAATCAGACAAAGACACTTTCCGAAACTTTGAAATAAGACTAGAGAAAGTGACTCGCAAGGCATACTATGATCTTGAGTCGATTCTTGAAAACATGATGCTTAGTAAAATCTGAATATATTGTGTCGACAACACAGCACCCCGATCATGCAGAGATGAGAGACTGATTTTGATTTGTTAGAGTAGAAGTGTTGAGAAAAAGAGGCAAGACTCCTGCAACACTAATGTACCCTCTTCCAGATTCATACAGCTCCTTATCAGCCCTAAACACACTCCTCTGCACATATGAGCAATTGTGTTCCATTTTCGTAAATATATAAAATACGCATCCATTTCACATATATTATCGGAAACACAATTTCTTGCACAAACACATTTTGAACCACACTTTCATGAAAATGTGTGGTAGAGAAAGACAGACCAAATGGTTTGATGATACCCAAAACTATCCAGACGAGACCATGAAAGTGAATGAGAATTAATTTGTGTATGACGTGCACAGGCAGTAGACTCTTTATATGTAAGATGGTAGTGTGGTATGGTGACTGATGTCCACAATGACACCGATCTCATAGTCAGAAAGGGGAAATGTTTTGGTCCGAGAATGCGCAGACATGTTTTTTCTCCATGTTCTTTTTGGCAATTTGAAAGAGAGAAGTGAAGAAAGAAGTAAAGGAATACAGAAGCCGAGAGAGACTAGATCCAGTACAGTTGAATGTGGTCATCGTGATACAATCATCGCATTGCCTTCAACCGTTTTGCGTCTTCCTTCTCCTAATCAAATCCAGACCACATACGCGTACAATACGTGGTTTTCAGTCAAAAAGAATAAACGATCATAGGCAGGGAAACAGTTTGTTTTAGAGAAGCGAGACGTTTACATGAAGTAAAAGAGAATCACAACGAGGACAATCTTGATCTTTCGAGATTTGTATTCCTACCTGACTGATACAGGGGGATATACACCATTCCCATCATCACTCTAAAACCTATCGTTCTTCAGACATTGCAGATTCCCAAGAATGACAACATGCGATCTTGTACACATGTTCGTCCCATCCCACGAGCCAATCAACACCAACCAGACCCCAAACGCTTTTGATGAACACTTGCTAAAAGTCGAGATAGAGAAAAAGAAACTGTAAGGACACCTGCACTTCATCCGCGGATGCCTCCCAAGCGTTTAAACGCCGCCATGCAGGATATACAAGAAGATGCGAGAATATTAAAGGATGTAAGAGGTCGGCCGCGCCCGATTGGGTATCCCGTGGAACCGAAATGGTAAAGCTGGTTTACATGATGATCGAGGGAGCTATACTGTGTTAGCGAAGTACTTTGCAGATTCGAGATGGGGATGCTTACTATCGACGTTCTGCTTGATCGACTTGTGTGGCAGAACGGAGCCACCGTTGACGTAGACCTCATCGCCGATGGAGACGTCGTCACCCAGAACGGTGACGTTCTCCAGACGTGCCCACTTGCCGACGGTGCTGTTCCAGCCAACGATTGTCGACTTAACCCAGGCGTGGTCCTTGATGCGGCTGTTCTTGAGAATGACGCATCGCTGGAGACGCACACCGTCACCGACAACAACGTCTGGTCCGATTGTGACGTTGGGGCCAATGCGGCAGTTCTTGCCAATCTTTGCTGATGGGTCGATCAAGACGTTTCCGCCGTAAACGAAGGGCTCGGATGTGGGAGTCAAGAGACTCGAGTTCTTGCGCGAGAGCGAAGAGAGATATAGGCAGGTCCCCGACAGGAAGTCCTTGGGCTGTCCAACGTCCATCCAGAAGCCCTCGAGATCGAACGAGTGCAGCTGACCATCCTTGACAAGAGCAGGGAAGGTTTCCTGCTCGATGGAGGTGGGTCGGAGCTCGATGCGGCTCAGGACGCTGGGGTTGAGAATGTAGATACCGGCGTTGATGCGGTTGCCGACGAACTCGACGGGCTTCTCAACGAAGCGTTCAATCTTGGAGGGGTGGTTGGGCTGGTGCACAACGACACCGTACTTTGAGGGCTCCTCGACCTTGGTTACAACAATTGTACCCTCATTGCCGTGCTGCTTGTGGAAGTCGGCGAGCTGCTTGAAGGGATAATCGCAGGTGACGTCGGCGTTGAGGACGAAGAATGGCGACTCATCCTTGCCCAGGATGGCCTCGGCGAGCTTCAGAGGACCGGCGGTGCCGAGGGGCTCAGTCTCGACGGAGAAGGTGATTTTGACGTTGTATTGCACCTCGTACTGCACGCAGCCAGTCAGTCATATGGCCAATCATGTAAATGGCGCAGAACACTCACTGTCTTCAATGCCTCAGCCATGATCTCTGGGCGGTAGTTGACAGCGAGCACAACATCTGTGACGCCGGCAGCGGCCAAGGCCTCGATCTGGTGCTGGATCATGGGCTTGTTGGCGAACTCGACGAGCGGCTTCGGGTAAGTCAGGGTCTGCGGCGGGTGTCAGTTCTGCTTTTCTGCTATAGCATCGCGGGGCTCTCCAGCGGTGAGCGCAGGGGACGGCGTACGAGAGGCCTCAGACGGGTACCAAACCCTCCGACGAGAATGATGGCTGCACTGGTTGTTAGCTGCGAGCATCACAGGGCAATTGCGTGTGCTGACCTTTCATATTGGCGGTAGTTTGTAAAGCGGAAGATCAAGAATCTATCGTGGAGAAGTTGGAGACTGCAATTGGGCCTTCAACGCGGTGTGAGTGGGGGCAGAGTGACAATGTGACCTGATGAACAGAACACAGAGGATGCTGGGGAAGAGAATAGGCAGTTCGTGTCAAAGAGCTTGCGTGGTGAGGACAGCTTGTTCTTATGGCTCCACGTTCGCGACCCGTTTAGCGGCGGACACTCTCCCCTACCTAGCTCCCTAGCTCCAAATGCTGCTCCCAGGGGTCCAGTAATTCCTCTTTACGACCATCGCAACACCCCACGTCTATTATTTCGCTCAGGCCCGACGTTTCCAGCCCCTTGTAACGGTCCCTGAGCGCTCAGCACACCCGCTGCTAATCTCAGTCTCTGCCTGTCATCTGGGATGATTGACACGCACCGACACCATCACGAGGTACAAATAGGACAGGTACCAAGCGTTACTGTGCAGGTACAGCCGCCTCCGTCGGACCACCCCATCTGTACCGAGTCACCGCCTTGAGCCAGATCTCCTGAATTTCGTACACGTGCACCGGTTCTGCGGAAATTGAACGCGTTCGAGAACAAATCCTCTGGTCACGCCGCCCGCGCGGAAAGCATCCGGGCGTTCTGTGGCGCTAGCTGTGGCTGATCATCTCTCCGCTAGGAAGTCAAAGCGGGTCCACAGGGAGATGCTTGTTCCTGCGAGGTGCTTTGGGGACACATGATCTTGCTGTGAAGAAACAAGCCGAGTTTGCGACGTTCCAGAAGAGCGTCGTCCACGGTTCATCCCACGACAAGTACCTCACCATGTGTGCGTGTAACGATCTAACATCTGAGGTTGATTGCGACGCGCGCCCACATGCGTGGCAACTATCTTACCTTCTCCACAAACATTCGATACATACACACAGCCCTACGTAGCCTGGAACGTATCTCAAGCGTCTACGTTCTCGTTGCGATATTCCGTTTCAAAGGCTATTTCGACATCACTGATGCAGTTTCTATCAAAGTCTGAACCATCGTGCTCTATGCACATATATAACAGCGATTCGACACTCTCAGTAGACCAGCTGGAGGTCACTCGTGCTACAAATACTGCCAAGGAAAAAACACCACAGATCGACCTTCCCCCTGTAGTGGTTCACAGATCTCAAGATGCTTACTGTGTACACTTGCAACAACGTCAACACTCTCGTACTAACGTGTATCAATCAACAAGAAGTGCTGTTACCTGGAACAGTGACAATCAACTTTATTCAATAATATCCGTCGACGCCAGCCCATTGGAGACAACCTTTCCTAACTGAGAACAAACGCACCAACATTGAAAAAGGCTAAAGATTACTCAGGGTACCCATAACAAATCGAACACAAAATCATCCTTCCATTAAGGGAAAGTCCGACCAAATCGTCGAAGACTGTCCGTAATACCGCCGCGATTACACTCCGCGGACCACCCTTGCACAAAGCTCAACTCTTACGTCGAAAACTCATCGACTTCCACGCATCTCCCACAGTACTCCCACGTTTCCACATACCCGGTCTCTTTTCAGCAGCACCTCCAGGCGTCTGCTCCCCAAGACCGGGAAAGTCGTTCTTGGAGGCGACAAACCCTTCCCCACGATTGCTCCTTGTCTTGGAGAGTGTATTCTGCGGTTCGCCAAAGCTGTACTCGTTGATCCATTTCCATTTGCCAAAGTCATACAACCACAAGTCTAGTCCAAGAGCCTGGCCTTCTCGCATGTTCTCGGACAGATCCGACCGCACCGCCTCAAAAGCATGGTCAACCTCCTTCTCCTGGTTCACCTTGTTCATGACCGTCCAATGCGGACGGAAACCCCCAGCATCTTGCTCGCTCAGAAACGGCAACCACTGCGACTTCAGCTGCTGATGAACGTCTTTCATCGTTTGATACCCATGATCCACATTCACGCCCACCCCGAGGCGCATCCGAAATGGGCTGCCCGTGGTAACTTCGAAAGGTGATGTATTGGCCGACAACTGAGAAAGGTCGCTTTGCATAGTCTCAAGCTGTGAGTGCGGAAGAGCATGGAAGAGTGTAAGATGCGCCGGTGTGCGGTTCAAGTGCTTCGGGAAGTATTTCTCGCGCATCTCGTTCATGGGCCGTGCAAGCGAGTCCGTAATCTTGAGCGTCAGAACGTAGACATTTTCGTCCGGGTTCCCAGTATTCGGCTGGTGTTCTACACGTGGGTATTGTCCGGATCGTCGCTCTTCCACAACACCCTCTCTCCCTCCCTTGTCCTTTTCAGCTTTCTTGCCTAGGCTCCGGAAGTAGCTCGTCCTCGAGCGGATTCCCGCACCCGGCCGCTGCGGTCGCGGAGGTTTCTGATTATCCTCGAGTGACGAGCGCAAATCTGGATCTGAGATTTTTGTCGCAACGATCGTGGGTTGGCGAACCGCGCCGTTGGGCGTGCTGATTGCGGCAGCGTAGCTGGCTGATCCGGTCATGTTGCGTGTTGAGTACAGTCTCCTCAGTCCGAAAACAGCACTCCTCATAGGCAGAGAAAAGTGGTGCAAGAGGCGCCGAAAGACTTTCGCGAGAGGACATGAGGGTACCAGAGAATCGGGAAGACTACGTCACTTAACGGCTGCTAGCGGAGCGCCCACGCCATGTGGAGATCTTGTCAGCATCACAATTAGGACGAGATAACTTTTTGAGACTACTTTCTGCACGTTTAGCGTCAGTCCAGAGGAGGATCCACCGAACTGTATGATCTGTAAAGACTATCTTTAGAACAACAAGATACGGCGAGAGTTGGAGATGGAGCTACCAGGATATTGCATTCAGTCACTCAAACCATAGTATCGCAAGAAACCAATGGAAACCCGTAGAATATGGTTCACTATGTTGTTCGAGCCACAAAACGCCAAACTCCGGGGTATTGCCATCAAAGATCCGAAACGCCGACTGAACATCTGCTCGCATGCAGTATGCGCGTCGGACTCTATATACGCAGAATGGGCCGCTGGGTATAAGTTCTGCCACGGCGCGACCATGTCCACTCTCAAATCAATGTCTGCTGATGATGCGCCATCTTCCAACCCCCACCCTCGAGGATCCACGCGCTCGAGCAAATAGCTCTAAACGTCTCGTCTGCCCGCGTCGCCTCTACACGATAATAGATAAGCGCGCTGTCTGCTCCAAGCACAACGACCTCGTCGTGGCTTAGTTTGTATTCTGCCCATGGCTTGAACTCGGGGCCTTGCAGCATCTCATGGACCGTGGGCGATGAGACGGCGCTGAGAATCAGGTTGCCAGGGAATATCATGACGGGATTGGCAGAAAGGAGTGGGAGGAGAGAGGCGCCGGAGCTGCAGAGGGCAGTCCAAGCTTGGTGCTCCAGGCTGCATACTGCGGCTGTGAGAGCGGGGTTGGTAAGGGTTGGAATCGTCATTGTGCGTGTGTATTGCGATGGAGGTTGGGGTTGGGATGTTGGCCTCGCGATAGCTGGCGTGAGTTGTGATCGTCTGAATGCGAGCAGACTGAGGAAAGAGATGAGTGATACTGGAGGGGGAAACAAGCCACGACGCCATGTGACATCATACCTGGTTCCCTTCCACGTTTTACACCCAACATGCAGTTTTGGTCGCGTGAATATATATTTGATAGATGCGCGCCTTCACACAGGATAGTTTTCCTGTGATGTTTAAGTTCAGGCTAGCAACGCCATACGCGACCGGCTTGCTGTGGCGCAGCGGTCAGCGTTTGCACGCTGTCAAGACGCAATGAGTTCGCCAAGTCTCCGGCTTGTTGCGTCAAGCCGTGTCTAGACAATGATCATGTCGTCAGCGATGCGAGGATGAGTTGTCCGTGTCGGCTCTACTCTGATCCAGCAAGCGTATGCGGGTGCGCGCCAGTTTCCATGGTTAACGTGTCACATCGTGTACACGATGCAGAGTCGGCCGCAGGCCTGCCTCGCGATACCGGAGGGCGTTCCAAAGTTAGTGGCGTTGTGGTACTGGGCGCTCACTCATTGAATGCGCGGATTGCTGGAGGTGTTGGGAGTGAGCACCGTGGAGGCCTACTTGCCTGTTTTGATAAGACATGTCACATGGATCAGGGCGGCGATAACAAAAAGCGGGGAAGCCGTTGCGAGCATGCTTCCAGGCCATAGCGACCTAAGCATGCTCTACGATGAGACAAAGGAAGACAAAGTTCCAGTACCAGATGGAGGGTGCGAGCTGCTACACTGGCAAACAGCAAAGCGAGTGGCAATTGTCCGCGTTCACCGCGTGCGGTCGAACCTACCCGAACCTTCCCTATCGATCGCATCCTGACCGGACGCACGGACCCACTTACGCCATTACTCACTCGCCTTTGACCGTCACAGCCTCAGCTTTGCCGCCTACGCCTGCCTGACTACATATAAACCCTCGCCGCCTCTCACCCTCCGTCTCTTCTTCATCCTACTCTCACACCACTCAACCCACAGCTCCACACACACGCTGCACGCACCACACAACCACACAACTTAGACAGCACATCCACAACCATGCAGATCTTCGTCAAGACCCGTAAGTAGCGGTCACCGCCACCGTCTCCCAGTTGCGCCCCAGTTTGCTGACAGCCTCTCAGTCACCGGTAAGACTATCACCCTTGAGGTGGAGTCGTCCGACACCATCGACAATGTCAAGTCCAAGATCCAAGACAAGGAGGGCATTCCCCCAGACCAGCAGCGCCTGATCTTCGCCGGCAAGCAGCTCGAGGATGGGCGCACTCTGTCCGACTACAACATCCAGAAGGAATCGACTCTTCATCTTGTCCTCCGTCTCCGTGGTGGTATGCAGATCTTCGTCAAGACGCGTAAGTTGCCACTCGCTCGCTGCATGCTTCAACTTTGTACTAACCTCATCTCCAGTGACCGGCAAGACCATCACACTTGAAGTCGAGTCTTCCGATACCATCGACAACGTTAAATCGAAGATCCAGGATAAGGAGGGCATCCCACCTGATCAGCAGCGTTTGATCTTCGCCGGCAAGCAGCTCGAGGATGGGCGCACTCTGTCCGATTACAACATTCAGAAGGAGTCTACACTGCATCTCGTCCTGCGCCTGCGCGGTGGTATGCAGATTTTCGTCAAGACACTTACTGGCAAGACCATCACGCTCGAGGTTGAGTCTTCGGATACTATCGACAACGTGAAGAGCAAGATTCAGGACAAGGAGGGTATCCCTCCGGATCAGCAGCGCCTCATTTTCGCGGGCAAGCAACTGGAAGACGGTCGTACGCTCTCAGACTACAACATCCAGAAGGAATCCACACTCCACTTGGTCCTCCGTCTTCGTGGTGGTATGCAAATCTTTGTCAAGACCCTCACTGGCAAGACCATCACCCTCGAGGTTGAATCAAGCGACACAATCGACAACGTCAAGTCGAAGATTCAGGATAAGGAAGGCATTCCACCTGACCAGCAGCGTCTTATCTTTGCTGGTAAGCAGTTGGAAGATGGCCGAACACTCTCGGACTACAACATTCAGAAGGAGTCTACCTTGCACTTGGTGCTTCGTCTGCGTGGTGGGCAATAAGCGCATTATGGTTTGATGATTGAATTCTGGGCATGGCGTTCACGGGCATGATCATGACCTACGGGTCAAGGTTCTGACGACTGGATTTATTCGTAGTTCACACGGCTGTCAAACAGCTTTTCATCAATGCAATCTGCATGCCTACGGGCTCTCAATAACGATTCTTGCGCTTTGATGATGTACTTATTTATGACGCTCTAACCCGGTTGATCACTTTTACTATGTTCCTACAACCACAACACCATTAGTCATCGATACAGCCGGCTACTTCTCCCGAAAGCGACCACGTCCCGCGTTGCTGAGCACCTTCCGTGGCAAATTTAGACAAACCCCTCATCTGACGCAATGAACTCGGACTTTAGCTATATCCCCGAGAGAGATGCAGATGCAGGTCGAGCTATCGACAGCAGCACATTATGTGTCTATATAAGAGAACGATCAGCCGGTCTTGTATGAAAGCTAGAGGATACGAGCTTCATCGTTGCATTTAAATCAACACAGATAGGACTTTTCTAAGTGCACAGAGAACCAAACAGTATCACAATGACTGAGAACAAGATGGAATATGTCAAGTTGGTCTTTCCTCCATGGATGCAATGAGTCGGCACCCGGGCTGACGATAGCATAGGTTGGGCAAATCTGGCCTCAAGGTGTCGAAGGTCATATATGGTACCATGAGTTTAGGTACTTCGGAGTGGCAGAAGTGGGTTCTCAATGAGGAGGAGAGTCTACCGTTGCTTGAGCATGCATACAAGTGCGGTATCAACACTTGGGATACCGTAAGCCTTCATCCTCTCACTTCCCTTTCCGAGAACAACAAGCTAACACCACCGCTCCCAAGGCCGACGTATACTCCCACGGGGCCTCTGAACGCATCGTCGGCAAAGCTCTCAAGCAATACAACATCCCGCGCTCCAAAGTCGTCATCCTCTCAAAATGCTACTTTGGCGTCGTTGAATCGCAACCTGGTCTGCCCATTGCTAGCTGCAACACCAATGACGGCGATATGGTTAATCAGGTCGGGTTGAGCCGCAAGCACATCTTCGACGCCGTAGAGAGGAGCGTCGAGAGACTGGGCACGTACATTGACGTGCTGCAGATCCACCGTCTGGACCGTGACACGCCTCGTGAGGAGATCATGAAGGCGCTCAACGATGTCATCGAGAAGGGGTGGGTGCGGTACATTGGCGCGAGCTCCATGGCAGCATGGGAATTTGCTACATTACAGCATATTGCGGAGAAGAACAAGTATGCTTGGAAACCCCTTCATGTTGTTGATCAAGATGCTGACCAGGACTCTTTAGTTGGCATAAGTTTGTGTCCATGCAGAACTACTACAACCTGATCTACCGCGAGGAAGAGCGCGAGATGGTACGTCACCTATCCTGATCATTTTCGGCCGATCAACGCTCATCTCTCCCCACAGATACCCTACTGTCAGGACACCGGCGTGGGCCTCATCCCCTGGTCGCCCATTGCACGCGGCGCCCTAACCCGTCCCTGGAGCGACCGCAGTTCCAGCCGCGCGCAGACCGACAAGCCGCTCACAGCCTTGATATACAGCCGGGAGAACAAGATCGACGAGACGATTGTCGGGCGCGTCGAGGAGATTGCCAAGAAGCACGGGGTGAGCATGGCGTGCATTGCGACGGCTTGGTGTGTAAAGAAGGGCGTTGTGCCTATCATTGGGTTGAGTAGTAAGGAGAGGATCGAGGAGGCGGTGCAGAATGTGCTGTTCAAGTTGAGTGATGAGGATGCGAGTTATCTCGAGGAGGCGTATATGCCGAAGACGAGGCAGGGGTTTTAGACGAGAATGAATGAGAAGTTGCTATAAGAGATGCTTTACTCGGTATCTGGGTTGAGGACGGATGGCGGCCACAAAGTAAAAACGACGATGACGTGGAATACATGTTCAAACACAATCCATCGCCTGTCTTCACACTCGCAAACTGAACAGTTGTAACATACCAGAACATCAAAACATATGAACACAACAACGACTTACAACAACCACATCTACCCCTCTTGCTCTCTCACCCAAAACAGGATACCACCTTCTCCTCCTCACCCTTCCACCCACTCTCCCAATCAATCGAAACACCCAAGACAACCCAACATATAAGTCTCACGCCCAAATCCACATCAACGAGAACATTCCCGCTCCTACACTTTCCCTCCCCACTCCCCTTCCGGTCACCACCACACTACCCGTAACCCACAACCCACTTACCCCCACCCTCCCATACGACCCTATACATACACCCCCCACATCCTAGCGCCAGGCACAAAGGGCACAAAAAAAGCCCCGCTCTTCGGTCCACACTCGGACTCGGGTACCGTAGATCAGGTTACATGTATGCATGTACTTAGTTAAGCGGGTGTGGGTCGACGGGGGCGGCACATCGGGAGGTGGAAAAGCGGTGAAGGGAATTGGGAAGATTTTCCTTTTTTATGGGATGGGATGGGGTGATTTTTCGGAGTGTTGGGAATGGAGAGTTGATTGTTTGTTTATTTGATTGTTTTTATTCACGGGTAGGGGTTTGCAGGGTGCATGAGATGGAAAATTATTGTGGAACGTTTGTATTAGTGAGCTTTATTGCTTTTCCCCTTCTGTAGTCAGTATGTGAGAAAGAGAGTGAGTCTGAGGAACCATCCATCCATCTATCTATCAATCCAGCAAGCCCGAACGCTTCGAAGCTTTTCGAGACGGTATTAATTGTGCACAGGCACAGGCACATGCATAGGAATATTGGAAAGATGTAGTTCCGAAAATGATGGAGTTCGATATTGCCTCCCAATTTTGTGGCCCCCAATCCAACAACGATAGTTCATAGATACATATGTGATGTTGAGACTGTAAAGAGATAAAGAGGAAAAAAGAACGGGATGCCGCCGCAACTTTGCGACATCCATGAGTGGGTCGTGATGAGAGAGAAAAAGAGGTCCGACTCGCCCGCTATGCCAATAACACAATCATGAGAAGTAAACAAGGAAAGAAATGTCAAGAAGGAGAGGTATTAACCCATTCATACACATCAACAGATTAGATTGAAGTATGAGGGGGAGCCATCTGTGGACCTTCGACAGTGTGTACAAGAAATGCAGGGTATCCAGGAGTGCCATCCTGTCCTATCCTGAGAGAAGAAAAAGATAAAAATTTGTCGTGGCCATCGTATCGTGGACCATCGTAAGCCGTGAGTTAAAAGCATCGTATAAAAGTCGTCCGGTCGTCGCTCGCAAGGAGTGTGTCGCATAGTTGGATGACAGGACCGGGTTGCTATTGATGACTTGGCAATCCGAGATGCCGGGGAATCGCAAAATGCAGAGGTCGTTCATCGTTTTTTGTTCTAGTCGTCAGCCGTTGGGTGCACGTAAGTCGTGGATCGTTTGAGTCTGTGGGAGCAAGCTGCTGGATGTCGGTGATGAGGGTGGTGATTTGAAGAATGTGAGGTTAAAGTATATGCAGCCTGAAAATAGAGGTGAAGATGTAGTCGAGGACAGATCTCTAGTTCGCTCGGATGACAAGTTTCGAAAGGAACTTGTTCGACAATGAGTCAAAGTCAGTGCGATCGAACTTGCAATCGCTTCGCGATCGTAGGTACGTGTCTGAGAGTCGAGTTAGTTTGTGTTGATTTGAAAGGACAGCATATCAAACATACCATATTTAGTAACATGACCGCGGACCTCAGTCATGGCGTCGCACACAGCTGCGTTGGAGTTCAGGAGGTGGTGGTGTTTGCGGGAGTCCCACTCGGCGAACGAGGGAAGCTTCTGCGAGATGGCGGAGAACAGGCCAACGATGACACCTACTGGTGTACCCTCCATGTCGCTGCAGAACTTGTTGACGGCGCTGTGGTCAGGAACTCGGTAGTTGCAGTCGAATTGTATCAACTCCCAAACCGCCAAGAGGATGGCAGCAAGCATGAAGATGGTAGGCCAGTTCTTCAGCTTGTCGCCGCTGTAGACGGATTGGTAGAGCGAAGAAAGTTCCTCGAGAACATCCTTCTGCAACTCACGCCATGCATCGGCGAGAGCACACTTGACCTGGAAGTTGATCATGACAGGCGCCACGGTCTTACCGCAGAACTTGGACTGCTCATCATCAACCTTTCCGAGAGTAGGCTCCTCATCACCGAAGCCCTCGACCATGGTGACGTGCATGGTGAGATTGTAAGCAACAACAAGCTTCAATGCCTTGCGGATGACGGGAAGCTTCTCACGCTGGTAGAAGCGGTAGGCCGTCTTGAGGAGCTCGGTGACGAAGAAAGTACCCTCGAAGTACTCGTCGACAAAGGCCTCGAAGCCACCATCGATGTGGCGGTCAAGATAGTCTGAAAGCATAGCGCGGGAGATGCCTTCCATGCCAGCGGAGAGCTTGGCAGTCTCGATCTCGAAGTGGAGGCCGTTGATGCTCTCGTGCCAGTCGACGCCAAAGCACTTCTCGTCACGAACGTACACCTCGCGAGCCATGATGGGGAGGTAGTGGCCGTAGCCGTGGGTGACGTAGATGGGACGTTCTTGTTCCGAGAAGCCCTTGATGTTGCCGATGGAGAAGCCGAGGCTGACATGGCGCTCATAGTCGGCCTTCCAGTCCTTCATGAAGTAGGCAATGTCCTTGATGTCAATGCGCGTGCACGGAACCTGCCAAAGACGGGCGTGGGATGGCTGGCAGCCGGCGCACGGATCACCCTTGTCGCACGTCTTCTTGAGGAACTTGCACCTCAGACAAGCACGGAGTTTACGGATCTCGTGAGCCTGCTGTCGCTGATCTGGCCTGAGGGGCCCGCGTCTCCTGCCCACTCGCTTCTCGCCAGTGGCGTCCTTCTTCGTCGAGTGTGCTGGGGTCTTCTTCACGATCGTCTTGGCTGGCTTCGCTCCCATGGGCGTCGCGGCTGTGACGGGGGACTTCCTGCGGCGGGCGGGCGGCGAGCTCACGGCCGACGAGGAGGGGGAGGTCGTGTTCGAGGTCGACTGCTTGATGACGAGGGGCTCGACACGTGCCATTGGCGGGCTGACGGACTGGTTGGGCGAGATGTAATTGCGCGCAAAGTCCTGGTCGTCCCTGGGCAGGCCGTGGGTGTGGTTGCAGCCGTCCGAGTGCGAGTGCGAGTGGTGCGAGTGGTGCGAGTGGACCAGCTCGAGGTGGTTGGTCTCGGACTGCGGCGAGCTCATAGGGAACTGGATCTCCTCGAAGCTGCTGAACGAGTGGGCCGAGCGCGGGACGTCGGAGTGGTTCGAGTTGGACGAGTCGGACTTTGTGCGGATGTGCAGCGACTGGGCGGGGTTGAAGATGATGGCCGACGTGTCGGAGAAGTCGTACGAGTTGCGGTGGTTGATGTCGACCCAGCCGTTGTCGCTGCTGGACAGGGAGCGGATCTCCATCCAGCTCTCGCCCGGCGAGCCCGTCGAGACGCTGGCGGGGGGCATATTGGCGGCACCCGTGTAGTCCGGGGCGGCGGGCATGGCGGTGAACTCCTGCTGGAAGTCGGCCATCTGGAAGGGGGCGCCGTGCATGGTCTGGTGCATGCCCATGGCGGCCGGGGTCATGATGTTGAAGGGCGGGTTCATCGACATGGAGTTCATCAGGGCGGCCTGCGGGTTGATGCCAAAGTCGACGGGCGAGTTCTGCAGCTGGCCGCCGAACGTGGCGTTGTAGTCGGCGGCCATGGCCATGGTGCCCTGCGAGTAGGCGTCGTTGAAGCCGTCGGTCGTGTTGAAGTTCATCCACGTCGCCAGCATCGGGTTCATGGGCTGCATGGCCGCGGGGAAGCTGAGGCCGACGGTCGAGAGGGGCGACATGGCGCCGGTCGTCGCATGGAGGGCATTGTGGGCGCCCGACGAGGCAGCCCCGTGCAGGCGGCGCTGGTCCTGGTGGTGCTGGTGGTGTGCGTCGTGCTGCGTGTGGTGGTGCATAGTGCCCGGTGAGAGCGGCAGCGGCCACGTCTGGGTGAAGTCGTACGGCTGGCGGTTGGGGTCGTAGTTGGGGTCGAAGCTGCCGTCGACGCCGTACAGGGCGCCGTCAAAGTCGAGGTGTTGGTTCTCCATGTTGGCGGAGCAGAGGATGAGGATCGAGGGTTCGTCGCAGCCGCTCTGAGCAGGCTGGTAGCGGGCGGTGAGAGGGAGGACCGGGTCTGAGCAAGTCTGACCAAGGCCAGGGCAGCCGTCGACTACTAAATGGAATGGCGGTGAGGGCGATTCGTCTGGGCACGCCAGCCCCCACATCCGATGATCTGCCTGAGCCAGTCCGTCTTAGCGCCAGAAGCGCTGCAGCGGTCCGTACGAGCAGCGCCGCGACACCACGACGCCCTGCTTTTCTGCCACAAGTGGGCGAGGGTTCCCAGACGGGGCACAGTGGGAGCCGCGCGCTGAGTCGCCGTGCTGCTGCACTTGCTCGAGGCTGGCGGTGGTGCCTATGCAGCACTGTGTTCGCCCACCGCGTGCACTGACAGTGGATGTGCTGATGCACTGACGGTGGATGCACCGATGCACTGCTGCACTGAATGGCTGGCTGCACCGACTGCCTGCCTGCCCACTGACTGCCTGCCTGCCCTCACTCCGGCTGGCCTGGTTCAACGCCCGCTGACGCCTTACCTGCCGCAGCCACTCACACTCCACACAGCCAGGTGGTGCAATCACCGCTCCCATCTCGGCATCTAGCATCGCCAATCGAGCCGACCCCTCGTTGCTTATACCCGACGAGCGTTGGAGACGGGGGTCCAGATGGGATCAGCATGCGGAGGCAGGGACACGACGAAAAACAAAGCATTCAACGTTGAGTCGCCTCTCGTGCCTGCCTCGTACCCGTGAAGTGCTATACATCTTCATAAACACACGCCGAGCATCGCCGCCGAAATACCTGCCTCGACCACCACTAGAGCACCGCAGCGTCACGCCCATGCTCCTACCCGTACTAGGCGAGTCCAACAATATAATCCATGACTGGTCCGTCGATGCCATACGAGAGCATCGACGGACATGCTACAGCCCAGCCATGCAATTTGCCTCACGCGCATGTCCTGCCATCTACACAGTACCCTCTACCTCTCCAACTGTCAACCCGCCAAACTCGCCGAGAGGCCTCACCAGACAGTCTTCCGTCATCGTACGTTCGTCGAGTCGTTCAGAGCGAGACAGGCCCTGGCTCGTCTCCACACGCTTGCTGTGCTGGCCACCTCTCCCATGAAGGAACCGCTCTCGCCCGTTTGCTGCTTCGGCACGACGTGCATGTCAACAGCACGTTCTGTCCAACCCCGTTGCGTTGCCACTCGTACCACCCTGACCAATCCCTTGCACCTGCTTTTTTTTTCCTCTTCCAAAGAGGTGCAGACGTTTCATGTACTACTTACCATACAGCCTGTCGTGCGTTGGCGCGCGTCCCATCGCTTGTTCTCGGCAGCGTAACATGAACCCACAACGCCCTTCCCTCTTGCAATATACATGTGGAGTTTGTCCCTACCTACATGGCACCGCTTGCGTAGCAGCTACGTGACAGGGATTTCTTGTGACTGTGTTCGCCGTATGCTTCGTTTGACCTAGATACCTACCTACATTAAGTTTCTTCCCCCAGCGATGCAACGTATGTCCTGCTGCAACGTATGTCTTGCTGCAACGCATGTCCTGCAGCATCTGCTTCCGAATATTGACCGTCGTGCATCGCTCCGGACACATGAGTCCGGACACGTACACTCACGGTCGTCCAGTTGCAGACCTGTTCGGCATGATTCGCATTAAAGTTACAGATCTGGTCTGGGCGCCGTGCTTGCCGGCGCCGTACATGATCGCGTCCCTAACTCGGCTAACAAAGCTCGATTGCCGCTTTCGTCCCATCCCCCATGCAGCCTGGGCCCGGCTGCGCTGAAGCAGACTATACATATTAGCACTGCGCGGGTAGGGAAAAGACGAATTCGAAAGGATGCTCAATTCCAAAGAGTGTAATGCACTAGGTGCGCTGGTGAGGGCGTGGGCTCGGTGCTATTCCTTCGCACTGACGGAGTACGGTCGTTTCGTCCTCAACAACACCAGCACCAGCACCAGCACCAGCCCACAATACGGAGTCAAGCAAATAGTGAACCACTAAACCACGCAATTCGCAAACATATCTCCGGCCAGGGTCAAGAAGAGCCACCGTCTGTACCACAGTAACACATCGCTGCCAAGCTGCCGTTGACGAGTCAGAAGTGTTGGGCGGAGTGACATGCACGAGGGTCGCGACCGAAGGCAAAACAGTCTCGTCGTGTCTGGGCTGCGAAGGAGAGGAGAGAGCGGTGTGGAGCGGATGGTCTTTCCCTGTGGAGTTGACTATGTTTCTGTTCACCGGAAGACCTCTAGTTTAGTTGTACTACGGTGTAAGTACGCTGGGATGACTGAGCAACTAGGTAGGTAAGTGTAATGTCGTGTACGTCATCATGCCATCTAAGTTACTAGCAATAAACATGGTGATTGTTCAACTACTACCTATTCGGTGTGTTTAGTGTTGGTAGTACAATGTAACTTCACGTTGCGAGAAGTACATCCATCAGCTGCCGTGATCAAGTTATCTCATCGCCTTCAATTCACCTCCTCAACAAAGTTCTGCATATCTATCTCGTCGCCAAGTTTACCCATCGCATGAACATGTCTTGCACTCGTTGGGTAAATGCATGGTACGCGCAGAGCAGAAGGTGATGGTCGTCGATCAATCTCCACATCAGACTCACCGCGATGCCGATCTACAATAGCTCGCTGTATCTATCTGGGGTGGTTGGCTTGTGCTGCTGATCCCGTTGTAGTATTGTATATATGCTACATTTGGGGTTGCGGGCTGCCTTTGATGTGAGATGAGAGAGAGTGTGGTGGTTTTGTAGCAAGGATTCTGGGAGGCGACTTGCTGAACAAAACGCCAGTGGTTGCAAAAAGGAAACATTATGCCCACGAGACATACTGTGTGATCGTCTGGATACGAATGGAAGCAAGTCCATAGTAGGCTTCGGTCGGGAAGCTGTGGTGGAAGCGAGTATTGGAAGTGTAGGTATTGTATATGCAGTGGAATAGAGAACATCTGCTAAATGGTGATGACGACGCAATACAGCCCGAGAGTCTCTAGAAGCATTGGACGGTGCCGGCCAAACAAACCTTTGCTGTAGTACAACGTGACAACACTCATACAGGTACCTATGTCGATCCCAAGATGCGGAGAAGAAGACACGACGCCATCGGACTTCGGCTCCACACTGCATATCCGGGGACTGATGCAACCCATTCTGTGGGAGAAAGAGCAATGTTTACGAAGAGTAGGTGCATATTCACGCAACGTTTGATATATAGAAGTAACGGCCAATGGTCTTCTGCTCTTGACGTTAACTGAATACGCCTTACCTTCTCATCCGCTCTTCCACTCACAGAAACCCTCAAACAACAAACACAAGATGGCACACATCGGTGCTCTCCCCAAGATCCACCGCTACATCACCACCCATAACAATGACGGCAAAGCCATCTTCAGCAACGCTTTCGACGAAGAGAGCAAAATGAAGCCAAACGACGACGGTATCGCATTCGCACTCAGCTACACTACCAAAGGCTTCCCGGTCGACCTAGGCAGCGACAAGGACCTCGATGTATACAACACAAATCTGAAAGACGCGCCGGGACTTGTCGTCTCAGGCGGAACAGTGCTCCGTCACGTGTAAGCAGGCTCTCATCACAAATAAGACATTTACTAAGCATGACTGCACCTCAAGCGACATCCCCCCACAAACAGAGTGTAAGATGCACCGAACTGTTAGCTTGGACTATGGATGCGTTCTTGAGGGCGAGGTTGAGCTGCTGCTGGATAGCGATGAGAAGCGGATGATGAAGCGGGGTGATGTTGCGATCCAGAGGGGGACGATGCATCAATGGATTAATCACAGCAAGACGGAGTGGGCACGCATGCTGTTCGTGTTACAGGAGAGCAAGCCATTGGAGATTGCGGGACAGAAGTTTGGCGAGGATTTGGCGGGCATGCCAGGCGTGCGGTCGTCTGACTGAACGCGTCGAGTTCGAGGTAGGCGGGGAAGCGAGCATGGAATACCCATCAAAATCACTGCCATGCCAAGCGGTCCCAATCAGGCTTTACACGTGCTGCTCCACTTCACACATCTTTGCCCCATGATTTGCGCCAACATAATGAACACTCCTTGAAAACTCCATCCGCCCTGAGTGATGAGCGCACCGCAATCCATGACCATGACATGATTCCCTCCCTTTCGGCAGCCGCCCACACACACGAACAATAGTAACCACCCCACCTTTCCACCCCCCCGCCGCAAAAAAAGCCATTGTTCGCAACAGCCACACGCAAATGCCCGCTCACGTGCCCACCAAATCCAAACACCGAAACGTGCACATTAAGAAAATGGCTCTCCCCGTGCGGTCTTCCGCTCAAGCGCCTTCCTCCCGCCTGCAAGAAATCATCGCCGAGTCAGAGCGCATCGAAGAGTTATCGGATTCCGAGGGCGAGTACGAAGACATGGGCACCGCTACCATGGAAGAGCAGGCCAACATTGCGTATCTGGAGAGTGTGAAGATGCCGATAAGAGATGGACTGGAGACGGCTACGTCGAGACTGCAGGACGAGACGCTTGATGTTGTTCTGCCGTTTTTGGAGGGCAATCCGCATGACTTCCCGCTAAATGTTTATGGCTTGCCGAAACTTCAACGGAAGAGTCATATTGCTATGCTGGAGATGGCGCTGGGAGACTACCCGGCCCCGTTTGCTATGATGGATGCATCGCGACCGTGGATCATCTATTGGGGGTTGCAGGGCTTGTCGGCTTTGGGGCATGATGTGTCGAAGTATCAGAAACAGTAGGTCGGATCTCAAACAACCAAATCTGGCTTTGAATCAAGAACGCACATCTGACTCTTCTCAGAACAGCACACACATTCTCTCTAGCACAACACCCTGAAGGTGGGTATGGAGGCGGCTATGGCCAACTCCCTCATCTCGCATGTACTTATGCTACTGTGCTCTCCCTTGCCATGGCCGGGGGTGAAGAAACTTACGAGTCTATCGACCGCAAAGCCATGTGGCACTATCTAGGCCGTATGAAGCAAACAGATGGCGGCTTCACTATGGTTGCTGGCGGCGAAGAAGATATCCGTGGCGCCTTCTGCGCTGTCGTCATCCTCTCCCTCTTGAACATCCCCCTCGACCTCCCCCCGGATGCACCTGCGCGCGCCAACGGGCTCACTACCTTCGTCGACAATCTAGGCGACTGGGTATCCAAGTGCCAGTCCTGGGACGGCGGAATCTCTGCAGCGCCAGGAAACGAGGCACACGGTGCGTATGCCTTCTGCGGCTTAGGGTGTCTGTCGATCATTGGTCCACCAAAAGAAACGCTGAACAAATACCTGAACGTGCCGCTTCTGATTCACTGGCTCTCCTCCCGTCAAGCTAGCCCAGAAGGCGGCTACAACGGTCGCACCAACAAGCTCGTCGACGGCTGCTACTCCCACTGGGTAGGCGGCTGCTGGTCTCTAGTCGAAGCCGCGACCACACCCGGGCTATGGAATCGTACGGCTCTCGCGCGGTACATTCTCTCTGCCGCTCAAGACAAGAAGGGCGGGCTTAGAGACAAGCCTGGCAAGCACTCTGATGCGTATCATACGTGTTACAACCTGGCTGGCTTGAGCCATGCTCAGCACAAGTACGTGTATGATGAGGAAGTGAACAAAGGACTTGGGAGTGGGAACCTGGGGGCGCCGTATCACTGGAAGACGGAGGGGGAGTTTGAGCAGGACGACGTGTGGGGTGAGGAGGATGTAGTCAGGGGTGTGCATCCCGTGTTCATCATTCCGTACAGGGCGGTGTATGAGTGCAGGAGGTATTTCGAGGAGAAAGAGAGCTTCTGAAGAGCCCGTAGGTAGGCGACATGAAATTCAAAAACACTCGTTCTGGTTCTACCTATGCCTTTCCTCGTCCTTCGAAACAAAGGGTGACATTCAAGCGTCCATGTACACCACCAACGCCGGCCCAGCAACCTTCGGTTTCGCAAACGCTTTGATAGCCGCGTGCGCCTCGCACCCGTCGTCGTAGAACGCCATGTCCTCCTTAGACGCAAACACCGTGCGGCACACAAGCGTGTACCCTTGGTTCCGCGGATCCTCGTGTGTGGGGCTCGCGGTCGCTGTCTCGATGTACGGTTTACCGTCCTGAAGCGCGAATTAGCTCTTGCACGCACACACACTCTCGACGCTCTTCTCCGTGCGAGGGTCTTTTTTGTGATTATTCGTGGGTTAACGCTCATGCAATGTGATATGCACGTGCGATGGCGCGGTAGAGCGGGTAACTTATGCATGTCTCATTCGAGCTAGATATCTAGGTACGGAGGTTTGTTGTGAATAGGTAGGGAAATGTGGGGGTGGTGTTACTTTGACGGCGTCCCGAGTCAGGGTCGAGTATTTTTGTATCAGCGTCTGCATGTCGGCGGCATTGGGGAGCTTGAAGAGGGTGATGCGGGCGATTTTGGACATGGTGATGGGTTGGAACTGGGGATAATTGTGGAGAGGCAATATTGATAGTTTGGGAGTGGTGTTTGTGGGTGAATTGGAGCGGCTACGGGGTTGGGGACTTGTGCTGTCTATGTACATGCCAGTTCGGATGCCAGTTCGGACGTGGGAGGAGAGCCAGAGGTGGCGGAATATCATCTTCGGGTGCGGAATTACGACGACATTTTGGTACCGGAATGTATTGCTTTGCTTTGCTTTGCTTTGGTCATCTATCTTCGAGACTGGACACCGGTATGTGACTTGGGATCACGATGTGCTCAAGAGCAGAGCACATGAGAGTGGGGGTTTGGAGTTGTGATGCTGGTTAGCCTCACCCATTGGGTATGTGGAGTAGCGGTACATGTTCTGCTATTTTGGTACGAGCGTCATTCTCAGGTAAATAAATGTACGCGGGATATTGCGTCGTGCCAATGTTACACAAAGGACCCTTCGTCAGACACAAGGGTGGGTAAGCGATCCGGACCGTTCCAAACCCCCTGCGACTGCCCGTGCTGCAGCACGTCTCATATGTACACAGTAAGACTGACGAGGTTTGTTGTGGTTGGCGATGGTCGTGGTTGGCGAGGCGCTCGAACTCGTGGGTCTTCACAGGAAAGAGACCGATTCGAAGGGAGCATTTATCCACGACATCCACACTTTCAATGGCGAGGCTTCATCTTTTTCATGTCTCATGTAATGGCAGTGAAATACCGACAATCTCGTTCGCATCTGCCATTGTTGCCCCTCTCGATCGTTCCAAGTTGCCACGCAAGCTGCATTCTCTCACCGCCATTCTCCTTTCTATAGTTGCGCATTGCAGATGGCGCGAGCGCCTGTGGCCGGTGCACCCTCGCGTCATCCCCAGATTTCCTGGTCGTGCAACCGACCTGTGTCGCAGCGCTTGCTCTCTCTCTCGACGGGGTATCAGAGCAGCCAACTGATTCGCCTGGAGTCCATTGTCCAGCCTCTGTCCTCCCGTTAGTGGAGAGTTCGCGGTGTCTTTTCGTCGACGCCTGTAGGCGCAATTCCGTTCCTAGCCTGCCCAACACAGACCTCACCCAGGCTTTGGATTGACTTGAAAACGAGGCCGTTGTCGTACGAACCTTGGTCCTTCATAGACCGCCGCTCGTTGTTGAGTGTCCCTGGCCTATCGAGTGTCAAGGTCCTGTGCCGTGGTCCACTTCGTAGCTTTTCCGTTGGCGGCGTTGCTCGGTGTCCGCACCAGTTTAACGCTGCTTCAAGCGCCGCTGCCGGGCTTGTGGCCTCGTACAATCAATGCCAGTATCTGCAGACGCCTGCTTGTGTTGCTTTAATGCGATTTACCTGAGAGCCCTTGCTTGTAGATAGTTCTCTGCATGCTAATTAAACCAACCTGCAGCATTGCTGACAGAAATTGAGGCGGGGAGCAGCAACTCGCCTATCTCAAGTTGGCAGGAGCGGCTGCTGGGATCTCTACCGATTCCCTAGAAATTTCCAGATGGCTGGTCGTTCGCCAAGCAATATTGCGTCAAAGGCTCTTCAACCTCAACCTCTCAACACGTCCTGTAATTGACCTCCGCAACAGCCTACTCATGCCCACAGGCATGCCTTACAGCTAGCAGCCGTTGGTCCTTTGCCTCTTTTGGTCGCGGGCGCAGATAGTTCGACGTCCAGAGTATCAAGCGTCTTCGACAACGCATACATGCATGAGGAGCACGGTCGTCCAGGGCGCAACGACAATCGTGGTAACACCACGCCAATCGCCCTTCCTAGTCGGTCGATTCCAGCAATCAATCGACGTCCTTTGCCTTCAGGCTCCTGTCGCCGGGTAGCCTGCCACTGCTGGTATGACGCTCCTCGGCTTCAGGCCGTCGTGTTCTGCATCTGTTCGTAGTCACGATAGCGTGTCAATCCACAATCCATCCTCCGGTAGGTAGACCCTCGTCCTCCAGGCGCGACTCCCGCGCTTTCTCCTGCGGTGGATACTAGTCAGCTGTTCGCTGTCCCAGTTTTTACTGCACCAGGGCATGCACGTTCGGTCTGATCTCCAGTTCTGTTCGCCATGACCCCGTATCATCATAACATGGACGTCCACCGTTCATCCCGCCAAGCGATACTCAATTAGCTTACAGGACACCACGCAATGGCCAAGGCATCACTTTGCGCGCTTTCTCCTCACCGGAGAGCTGGGTTAGTAGGTTCCATGCATTCAGCTAGTACAGGCAGATGCTGCCTTGTCTCGCTGCGCCGGACAGAGTACTGGTACCTTGTTTTATGCCTTTGTAACAGCGGCGCTTCAATATGCCGATCTAAGCTTCCAGCCTCGACGAGCGGGTCACAACAACTAGCACCTATCAAGAAGCCGTTTGCCGCGCTACTACTGCAGGATAGTGGCAAAAGCGAAGGATATGCGCATTGGCGACGACCGGTGGAGCTGTGCCCTTTTGAGGGTTGAGTCTTTTTCTAGCTAAAATTTTGGAACCAGTCCCGGTTGGCGAAAAGTCATGACAGCACATCAATCAGTATGGGTCTCCCCTTCAGAACCACAACAAGACCCGCATATTGTTCATTTCTGGATGTCCAATTGCACTCAATTCCCAATGACGGGTGAACCTCGCGCACTTGCATTGTCTGAGATGCCCACTGTACTCGGCTACTGCAATAAATTACAACCCATCCCACACTAGAGGCATGAGGCCCGCCAACTCGTTATACATCCTGCAGACCCCTCTTCCGTGCTGCTGTCCATATCGACAACTCTTTACTCTCCGGTACAGCTGTCACTTCTTACTTTGACAGTTGTCAGCGCCTGACAAGCATTCGCCGTCGTACCACAGCAGCCACCAACCCTTTTCACAGTCTGATATCGTCGCCACCAACGAGCGGTTGCCAGTTCAGCAAAACCCTGCATCGCTCCTTTCCTGTTGAGACCTACGAGTCTGCATCGAGAACCAATATCGGCATCAATTGCTCTAGCACTTGACAACAACCTACTAAATTCATCATGTTTTACGTCATGTATCTCACAGGTATGCCGTTGCGGTCTCGTTGTATTTGTCAATCCATAACGCTACATGGTTGAGTGTTATGGTACCTGCCTAGGATAGGCCGAGCCTGTGTTCACGGGCTAGAGAAGCCGGGGGGACCTGTTCCTTGCGACTATATGTTCATCTTGCATATCATATATCATCGTGTGGTGAACAAAACCACCAGTCACGGCCTGAGCATTCTGGAGCCAAAGAAGTTTTCTCCAGTAGTTCGTTTACTAATCACGATTGTAGGCCTCTGCCAACGCCGCCACTGGCCAGAACCCATGTTCCAATCGTACCGCACTCGTTACGGCTATGGATGTACTGTTCGGGTAAACAACAGGGAGTACTCTACGGATGTGGACTACGAATCGGATGACTTGGCGAAGAACGCTGCTGCCACCCGAGCATACATGATCTGCCGCAACTTCAGCGTCAATGACGGCAGATGCCCTAGCCAAGGAGGTGTCGTCCAGGGGCTTCCCGTGGCTATCGGTACCGGAAGGAGGGACACTTGCATCTCGCAAGACTACGACAGCGCCAGCAACTCGAGTGGCGGAACCAGCCCACGCAACAGTGACTGCGGTCTTGACGCAATGGGACGACGAACCAGCAAAGTCTCCGTATCACCATCAGTATCCAACTGCTATTGTGGCCGTGGAACTGTTCGTGCTTACGAAAGATGCACAAACTGCCTTCGCGAGGCCGGATACGCATGCTGAAACGGTGACACATACAACCCCCTATACCCTATACGCACACATCGGCGTCGGCGAAATCGACACCATAACGACTCAAAATATGAAGCAAAAGACTTGACGAGCCCAGGCTCAGCGATACCACTACCACGACTATCACGAACTGCATCTCTTTCGGAAAGGACGGGTTTCTCAACACCTATGGTCTCCTGTTCTCTCTATTTCTTTCTATTGGCTTCGATGTGTTCGATCATTCTCCCCAAGTATATCTTGGGATGTATCACGACTATCCATACCTCTCGTTGGTTTAGCCTCTTCTTCTTTATTTCTGGCTGCATAGCGACGGCTTCTGGAGCGTTTTTAGCGAAAAACTGTGCTCTCTCGGGTTGGCTACCTCTTATTGAAATTGCAACTGCCTTGATGGCGTATTGTTTTGGACGGCGATTTAGCAAAAGCGACAAAAAGATTACGACGATGGGCTTCACGGCCTCATGACTATATTTACGACGATTATGAATTCTATTACACGTTCTCAACTACAATAATTTGCAAAACACAATATGCGGGGATGAGTTCTACCTTTCGATCTGTGGACTTGTTTGACATCTATCCTTATGCTGCATCGCTGTGCGTTTTACAAAGATACGCTTCTCCAACCGGCAAATTCTTTTTCAGTTGGCAACGTGCGTTCTTTTTCGTTGTCCCACCGCATTGCACAAGCTCCGTGTCGTCTCCTGCCCGAGTTCTTCGAGTGCTACGCGTGGGCTTGGACTTCTTTCCAGGCGCCTTATCAGTGCCCTTCTTTCCAGTATTACCCGTACCGCCAGTGGTAGATGTGCCTGGGCGTAAACCAAAGTGTGTTTCAAAGTACGCTGCGGTCTCTTCGTCTTCTTCTTCGGATGAGAGCAAGTCGTCGTCGGATGGGGTCTCTTCTCGAGGCTTGGGCTTCTTTGTAGACGGTCCGGGCTGGTCTTCCTCTGTCCGCTTGCGCTTTTCTGTGGGCGCTGGAGCCGGTTCGGGATCCTCGGGCGGAGGGACTTCATCTTCGGGGACAATGGGAGGAGCAACTGGAGGAGCAACAGGAGGAGCAGTAGGAGGAGCGATAGAAGGAGTAACAGGCGGAGCATGCTCAGTCTGTGTAGTTCCATCGACTCCAGTCGGTCCTAGCGGTACGAAAGGGGCTGTTTCTTCCCCAGGAAAGATGTCGATGCTCAGTGTCTGAGGTGGCGCACGCATGTACACCTCCTCGTCGACTTCCGTTGGACTCGGGGGTACAATCTCAGGTCTCCTCACGTACCTACCAGATGCAGAATCCCAGTCGGCGATTTCTGCCAGCAAGCCAGCTACCGCTACCTCGTTTTTGCCGAGCATGAACAGGAGACGTGCATAGTTGCGCGTTGCCAGGCTCTCTGCTTGGGACTCAATTTCACCGTCAGAAACAGTGCGTGCGTACCACAGACCATCGTCCTCGTAACCGACGGAAGACAGCAGTGCGAGAAAGTCGCCGGGGTTATGAATGCGATTGGCAAATGCATCAACAAGGCTGTCCAGTGTGCGACCGTCGATCTCGCACAGCCGACTCCGAACTTCTCTCGGCGTCGGGCTAGGGTTTGCGGCGAGGTAGAACGAACCTACAACGGGTGACAGAACAGTTGTTGCAAAAAGAACATCTGCGACGATCTGCTCGTTTCCAATACCGTTGGGATACACTTCCTGCAGAAGTTGCGGAAGCGTGGCAGCGCCGACAATTTCAAGATGGTCCTGGATATCTTCTTGGATCTCGAACCGTGACGGGACGCGTTTGCGCATGTATAACGACTCTGTTGGATCGCCGTCCACAGCTGGCTTGGGCGTGTATACGGCAAATCGCTCGATACGGTAGACCAGCATGTGCATATCACGGGCGTTGGGGAACGCGTGGCATATCTCCGCGAGACTCGCGCCGCTCTCGTGCCGTGTCCAAAATTCCTCCATCTCCTGACGGCTGGGTTGCTCGTCATCATGGTTGCTGTTGACATGCTCGCGCCAGACAAGGTACCGGCAGAAGAAGCGCATCATATGTTTTTCAAAGTGAGCGATCGTATCCTTGTACCCGCTATTATGCACATCCAAATGCTGTTGCCGCGTAGTCTTGAGGAATCTCTTCTTCTCCTCGACGCCCATCTTCTTCACGACTCTGCACGCTTTCGTCCATAGTTTCTTACCGTCACCCGTCGGATCGCCACCTCCTTCCTTGACATACAGTGTGCGTGGATCGGGGGGTAGGGGAAATCTGCCCGGGAATTTCAGAGCTTCCTGGATGACCCATTCTTCTTTTGGGGGTACGCTGTATGGGCCGTGGGCCCAGAGGTAGTAGTTAGTCAGTCGGATCACGTCTGCGGCTGCTGCGTAGAGGGCTGGGTGAACGAGCGGGTCGGGCAGTTCCTTGGTGGCGGGGAAAGAGGGAGGGAGGACGTCGAAGGGGTCGGTGGTGTATTCGGGATCGAGTTCTCGTGGTGGGTGGACTGTGGTGTTGGCGAGTTCGGTGGGAGAGAGCGTGTCGGGGTACTCTGGTGCGCCGGGGATGTTGAGATCAGGGTTTATGTTCCGGAAGGACATGTTGGGCTGGTAGTGGTTGGGTTTAATAGGAGGGTATTAGGAGAAGGATGGGTCAATGAGGAAATCGATCGAGTGTGTTTGCTAGGACCTGGCGAGGATTCTATCGTTCTAATCGGTACATCTGGCAGTGACATGGGAAGTTATACCGCAGTGCACAATGGAACGACGACAAGGCAAAGAACTGAACGGCGACAAAGAGAAGCCAGTACACAAAAAAGGGGAGTCGAGCCTTTGAATGCCAGAGTTGACAACAAAGCCACAAACGACGATGGGAGGAAACGCATCCCTTGTTATCTATATTCATACCAACTTGCTGAAGTTTGAAAGACAAACAAAGTCCAAACAATGGAGGCCTATCGAAAGGCCATTGCTCGTAGACAACAACAAAGGTCTTCGCGATGCCTTATGACTGACTTGTAGCTGTTAGTATGCGATTACAGTCTGCCGCATGTAATCAAGTCTTCACGAAGATAGCACCCAGAGGACACCATAATGTCAAAGTGCAGACTTTCGCGCGAAGGAAGTTTCTTCTCGTTAGCCCCGTCACTCACCATAAAAAATTGCTTATGATATATTCCCACCCAACCCCCAAACTCCCATCAAGCAAACCAAGCACAATCCGAAATAGTATAGTGGCTAGTATCCCACGCTCCGGTAAGATAAACCTGCGGATTTCGGCTAATAGAATCGTGTTATAGCGCTACATCGCAAGAACTTCAAAATTAAAGCTCTACACTAAAAATTATATATATAGATTTAAAATTTAATTATTTTTAATATAGGTTAATAGGACTAATTAAAGTTAAGATAATTGTATTTTTAGTATATTTACTATGCTAGCCTAAGCTGCGGGTACGCGTTATTACTAATAAGCTAAGATTTAAGCTCCTCCTTATTTATATAAAGAGACTAGTAAAGATAGTAAATTATTTTATTATACCTTAAATACCTAAATACTATCTTTTATAGTCTCTTATTTTAAACTAAGTTAAGATTTAAGCTTAAAATAACTTATAAAGGTATTTTTTAGGTAGCTTAGGAGCTAATCCTAGTATAAATTATATATAATTAATAATTATTTTAAGTATAGAGTTTAATAAGTTTATAGCTAATAATTAGTATAAGAATAGCTTTAATTAGGTATTATTTATAGAGAAGTATTTACTACTTTAATAAGCTCTTAAGTTTAACTATAAGGTTAAGGAGGAAGTTCTAGTAAGTACTTTATTTATAAAGTAAAGTACTATTTTTACTACTATAGAGCTTATAAGTATTTATAAGTATAATATTAAATAAGAGTATAAATAGAGGCCTTTAGGTTTTATAGTAGATATATTAAAGTAAGTAGTAACTCTAGAGTTAATTAAATTAATTAATTATATTTATAAACTTATTATAGAGATTAATTAAAACTAGAATCTCTATTTCCTTATAAAGTGTATCTCTAAAAGCTATATATATTTAAACTACCCTAGTCTATATTTTACCTAGTCTTTTCTTTAACTTAGTAATAGTAGCTACTAAATTATTAAACGTTATAGTAAATAGAATAATATTATTATTATACTAAGCTATTATCCTAACGTCTTTACTTTTTAAAGTATTATAGTAAATAGTACCCTACTTAAGTTTATTATACTAAGCCTTAATATTAATAAGATCTATTAAGAAGCTCTTAGCTAAGTTACTAAGAGTAGTTAAGGGCTTAGGCTCTAGCTCCTAACTACTCTAAGTCTCCTATATAGGCTGCGTAGGTAGGGGTAATAGTAATAATATTATTACTAGTAGCATATTTTTCTAAGGCTAGCTATACTTCTTAGGTAGCTAGGATAATATTATTAGTAGAGCTACAGCTTTATATTTTATAAAGGGCTGCTATAATACCTAAGATAGAACGTTACCTATACTAATCTTATATAGAGTCTTTTCTATCTATATAGTATTTATAGCTATAATCCTAGTGTGCTGTAACTCCTTAAGTAATAGTACTAATATAAATAAGTTATTTATAAAAATTACGTATTTATTAGGCTTTAGTAGCTATATATTAATATTACTAGTAATATAGTTTAGGGTAAGGTAGAGTATAAGAGCTTAAGTAGGACAGAAACTAAGTTCTATATAATATAAGTTAAGTTTATAAGGGCTATTACTAGGATTTAAACCTTTACTATAAAAGAGCTAGTTTAATTAATACCTAGAATCTCTAAGGTACTATATTTTATAACTTATTAAGTTAGACTTATAATTAATTATAGTCTTCTTTTTAGCGTAACTATAGAAGTAAGTTATACTTTTATCTATAGCTAAATATTACTCTAAGCTTTAGTAATATTAGCTAATATAATAGATATATTTAAAGAACTTCTATACTTACTTAAATAGATGCTTAAATAGATTATTAATATTATAAGGTTAAGTAATATAAAAGTAATAATTAATCTACTTAAATTAAATAAGGCTTATAATCTTATATAGATAGATATAGACTACTCTAAATTAATTATTAGTATACTAATAGTCTTTAACTTATACCTCCTTATATATACTTATATAGATTTATATAGCTAGGTAACTAAAGATTTTATACAGTATTACTAGTCTCTATAGACAGGAGTACTTTAGGGTAAGGCTAGGTAGGCATTATTAATAAGTATTCTTATTAGTAAAGTAGTATATTTTTATAATCTTATTATTAGTAAAGAAGAGCTTAAAAAGTTTAATAGGTATCTAATTATAAGGCTTACTATTATAGTAAGGTAGGCGTAGGCTACCTTACTTATTAAGGTTATTAAGTATAAGCAGTTCTTATATTAGCAGAGGGTTTTTAGGATAGCCTTTAAGGTATATAGGTAAAGGCTTCTACTATAATTTTTAAGTAGCTAAAGTATCCTTAGGTATAAGGTTATTATTAGCACAGCTGCGTAGAGGTATTTTAAGAATAAATAGTATTAATAATTATAAAGTAAAATATTAAAGTATAGAGTAAGTTAGTATTAAGTTAATTAATAGTTTCTAAGTTTAAAGTTTATAACGTTTACTAAACGCTAACTTACTAATACTAAGCCCTGCTCTAATTAGTTTAAAGTTAGGCCGAAATCCGCGGGTTTATCTCACCGGAGCGTGGGATACCCCGCTCTCATCAGAAACGATAGCGCCGGGGAGACCGGGGTTCAATTCCCCGTTTCGGAATCTTTTTTGCTTTTGCTTTTTGTCGAATCGCGCTTTCCTCTGCTGTTGTTGAAGCTTTGGAGGGTCTCGGGCGAGGTTTTGCTGGTGCTGTTGAGGTTTTCGTGTTGGGATTGGGTGGGTGACGGAGGTAGTTGTGGGTATCTGTGTTCTTCGACTCGTCTTTGGGTTTGTGTGGGTGTTTTGCGTGTTGAGTGGGTAAATGGTAAGTACGTAAGTTTGTTGCTGCATTCTGTTCCGCGGTCATCTGCTCAATCACCGAGTGTGAGATGGTTGCTGATTACATTGTTGATATCATTTCAATTCGTTTCATTACATGCCATTGCAAGGGCCAACACGGTGACAGCGCTCAAACATTTAGCAAGAAACACATGACATGCCCAACCCCAACCCCAGTCGCCATCTCAACGCCCCTCAAAACACCAAAGAGCATTGAAACCTATGCCAAAGCGCAGCGAAACAGATCTCCGAATCCGAAAAGTCGATTAAGCAAACACACAACAGCGGCGAAAAACGACAAGCAATGTGATGTGAATCTTCGAACGAAGCACACGCCCACCAACTTCCCCCGTATGAAAACAATCTCATATTGTACACAAAGCCAAATCACCCATCACGCCGCCGCATACTAATACGAGTCGCCGAAGAACTGGCTGGCAACCATGACATCCCTATCCCCATTCGCAAAGTCCCAGCCCACAATCGTGGGGTCCTGACTGCAGCAGATGATGCGGCGGGCGTCGAACTGCAGCTTGAAGACACGCGAGTTGGTGCCCTGGTTGTTCAGCGCGTTGGCGAGGGTATGGGGCGGGTGAGGTGGGTGGTGGTGATGGTGGTGGTGTGGCGCGGCGGCGGCGGCGACGGCGGCGTTAAGCTGCTGTTGTTGGGTGGGTTGTTGGACGGGCGCTGGGGGATGTGCAGTAGCGTTTGGAGCGTTGGCGGGTTGAATCTGATTCTGTGCAGGCGGCCTGTTGACTGTGGCTCCGTTCATGCCTTGTGTGGCTGCGTGGAGGGCCTGGGCTTGTTGGGCGAGGGTTTGCGCTGCTTGAGCTTGTATGTGCGCCTGCTGGGCTAGAGCGTGGAAGTTGTTGTGCTGCGCGTTGGTTTGCTGCTGGGGGTTGTTCTGGGCCGGGTGCTCTGCGTTTGGATTTGGCTGAGCCTGGACGGCTGGTCTCCTGGGTCGGCCTCCAGCGGCTGTGACAGCGTCGTTTTGGAACAGTGTTTTCGACTTCTCCCACGCGCCGTCAGCCCCCTTCTTCCAGATGATGACGGTCTCGTCGTAGGAGCCAGACACGATGCGCGCCCACTTGCTGCCTCCACCACCCGGCGGCAGTTTCGCTCCATACGCGAAAATGGCCTTTGGATCTCGGGAGCCAGCGTTGCGTGCGCGGCGTTGCGATCTGTCAAGCTTCTGTGAAATCAGGCCTCTGCTCTGTGCTTCGAAGAAATCTCGATCCACGGCTCGCGCCTCGGCCTCAAGCTCTTCTTCGTTTCCAGGAAGGTCTCCAAACTGGGCTTGCACGGTGCGCACAAGATTGCTGTGTCCCTGCAGGCATGCCACTTCGGCCCCAGTCACTCGATCGAATATGCGCACACTCTCGTCGCTACTTCCACTAACGATTCTTCGCCCATCAAACTGTACACAGGCGATGCCTTTGCTGTGACCCTGAAATGTCCGTGTGCAAGCACCTGTCAGCACGTCCCAGATCTTGACAGTTCTGTCGCCAGATGCGGAGACAATGTTTCCATCCAATATCTGTATAGCGTTGACAGCCGCGCCGTGACCTTCCAGAGTCATGATGAGGCTGTACGGGTGAAGCGGTTTGAAATGTAGATGTTGATTCACAACCTGTTCTTGCATATTTATAATGTACGCGGGAAATTTTGCAGCCGACTTGGTGGTAGATGTCGGGTATGTCTCGTCAGTTGGACACATCTCTTTTCTGTTCCACACCTTGATGGTTTTGTCCTTTGAGCAGGTAACTAGGTACCGATCGTCGAACCTGAGGTTCAATACTGATTCCGAATGCGCTTTCTCAATCTCCTTGATGATGCGCCCGGTGGAGAACTGCCACAGGATGACTCTGCAGTCACTTCCTCCTGAGACGACAATGTCCTGGCCAGGCCGCTCGTCAAATTGCAAACACAAGACGGAGGCCGAATGACCAACAAGGGGTGGATGCACCAGACGCAACGTGTCTAGATTCCATATCCGGATCGTCTTGTCTCTGCTCCCACTGACCAGAAAGTTGCCAGAGTATTGGATGGTGTATACACACTCTGTGTGAGCCTCGTCTGGGTGATTTGGATGCGGGAGTTGAAAATTTGAGAAGCGCCCAGCGTCCCAGTTCTCCTCCAACCTTCTTTTTTGCTTGTACAGAAACTGCCAGTTGACTTTTGGCTCGGGACCAGGAAGGAGGAGCGCGGGTCTTATGGAGTCTGCCGAGGCAGATGTGGGCGAGGCAAGTTCGATTTGAGCGGGTGCCCGGGCTTCCCGTCGTGTTGGCGTGGCCGTAGGGGACAAGTCGTGGAAAGAGACGCCCTCCATCCGGTCTTCGGTTCTACTCGAGCCATCGTCAGCCTCGACAAGGCCGTGCTGCTCGCCCCAAGGAGTATGGCCCTGCACTGAGCTGCTCAAGGACAGCGGTTTTAGCTCATCGTGAATGCTGTTCTGACGCGCAGGGCCCTGGCCAAATAGTTGCCGCTCACGAACTCGCTTCTTGCTGGGGAGTTTGTCACGGTCCATATCCTCGGCAGCCCGCGGCCGTGTTTTGCGCTCCTTCTCCCTCGACTCTATGCGTTTCTGCTTCTCTGCATTCTCGTAGGAGTGCACCCGGGAAAAGTTGGAGTTCCAGCCCTCGAGGCGGAACAGCAGCTTCCATAGTGGGCCGTCCAAGACCCTGTATCTCCAAGCGCGGGACAGGATCGAGGCGCGCAGCAGTGTTTCCGGGTCGAGGTAGGAGAGGATCTGGAAGGTGATTTCGGGCGGGAGGTGGAGGACGGGATCGAGGTGTAACAGCGGGTTGAGCTTCTCGACTATGCTAGCTACCGACGAGGTCCGCAGCGACCTCAGGATTGCGTACGCAAACTCTAGCCTTGGGTGTTAGTCATGCTGTTTTGGTGGGATGTAGTACAGCCTTACCACTGCGCTCGCTCTCACTCAGCGCCTTGACCCAGTCGGGCAGGGCGGATGGGTCGGTGTCCATGCCGGCGTCGTCCAGCCTCACGTCGGTTCGCATGAGGGTGTCGCTCCCGCTCTGGCTGCGCGTGTCCTCAGAGTAACCCTCGTCGAATCTGTTTGCGCTCATGGCGGATGCGGGGCGGAAGGGATGCATGTACGGCGGCGGTGAAAAATGGGGTGGGCCTGCCATTATCGTGCTCGGGCAGTGGGTCGAGCTGGCTTTGTAGCAGGGGGCGCGCCGAGGTCGTGGGCGTGCAGCGTCCGGTCACGAAGAGGGCGAGGGATGGGGACGTCGAGAGGCGTGGAATTGTGGGCGCGTGGTCAGGGTGCTCGGCCTGGTGGTGCGGCTCAAGACATAGGCGGTGTCAGGAAACGGCGACGGCGACAGCGACAGCGACGGCAACTTGTATGCGTAGTGGACGCAGCTTGAACAGGTTCTGGCGACACGCGCAACAACGTTTCTACAGTTCGACTTGACCATGCGATGCAGCCTAAACAGCCTCTAGTTACGTCCGATATTGCGCACGGACCACGTCTTGTCTTGCAGCATAGCATCATCTGTCGCCAGCCGCTCGTCTAGCATGTGACAAGCCTTGCACCGTTTGGTCAACTGCACAGTCTTCACGTTTCCCACAACACACGGCACTCTGTCATCTGGCAACTGGACCTGTCCGCCACACTACGACTACGCAATCCAAGCCAGGCCTCGCAGCCTCGCGTGTCATCCAGCGCCCCGGGTTGGCCGCTGTAGGCGGATGGAGCACGGTGTGCGCTCTGGCTGTAGTGCTGCGGAGGAAAGGCTGATCTACTGCGCACTCGGGCAGGTGACTGGTGATCCGGCAGAAGGCGTGCCCAGCATGGCTGTTGTTGCAACCTGATGATGGGAAGGGGATGTGGTGCAGTGGTGCAGACGGGGTGTTTTGGCCGTGTATACCTAGACAGCACGTAGCCAAGTGTGAAGCCGTCGAGGCAGCGTGGACGCAGTGATAGGCTCGAGCTGGCTGCTGGCTCTGGCTCTGGCTCTCCATGCCGACCACTTCGCTCACGTGACAATGGCGCCCGACGCAAGGGGTGTTTCACGCTCATGCGGCTTTTGTGCATCTGAGAGCCCAGTGCAGCATTTCCCACCGGCCCATCTCGACACGCGAAACCCTCTCTTGCGCCTCCCCGAGTCCCCCGCCGCCGCCCTGCCCGACCTGCGCAGTCGCACTTGCTCCCCGGCCGTCGCATGCTGCTGCCCTGCGAGGTTGCTCCTGCCCCGGGTCCCTAGCGCCACTGCCTGCTTCCCCATGCAGACCTGATGGAAGGAGGAGTCGCCTTTCACGGAGCCCTCGCTCGCTCCCACACCTCGCAGCCCACGTCTGTCGCCAACGCCCACTCGCGCATAGCCTCCAACGGCGGGCCCCCCGGCCTCATGTCCCACCAGAGCTACCAGAGCCAATACTCGAGCTATTCGCACAGCAGCGCGCGCGACACGCACTCGACCCAGGCCACGGCCACGACGACGCTGTTCGGCCAGCAGCCGCCGCCGCCGCCCGTCTTCCCCACGGGCACGCCCGTCAACGGTGGCCCCGTCGAGGCCTCGGACAACGTCCTCAACAAACGCGCCGACAAGGACACGTCGTTGTTCCAGCGATGTCTGACGCTGCCCATGCGCCTGCGCGCCATCCCCGGCTTCGAGCGCTGGATGGCCGAGGAGGAGGGCAAGGCTGACGACGACGCCGACCCCGTCACCCTGCTGTGGCGCACCTTCCGCCGTGGCTACCCGCTGATGGAGCTGTACAACGCCCTCGACCCCGACGTGCTGCTGAGCCTGCCCAGCGCCAAGAACGACGAGAAGAGCCAGAAGAAGAACGAGAAGATGGCCACGTACAAGTTCATCCAGGCCTGCGTCAGCGAGCTGGGCATCCCGCAGGAGGCCTGCTTCATCCTCGGCGACCTGTACGGCGACGACACGACTGGCTTCGTCAAGGTAGGCGCATTGCAACGCCGCGACGCCCCACGTACTCACTGAACCGCAGGTCATCAACGTCGTCAACCGCGTCCTCGACTCGCTCGTCCAGATGGGCAAGCTCACCAACGACACCGTCGACCGCTCAGAAACCGCCTCCGTCACCTCCGTCGTCAAGCGCACCCAGCGCGAGCACATCATCGACGAGCTCGTCAAGACCGAGCGCACATACGTCCAGCATCTCGAGCTGCTGCAGGAGTTCAAGAAGCTCGTCGAAGAAAAGGGCGTCATCAGCGGAGACCAGGTCTACGACATTTTCCTGAACCTCAACGCGCTCCTCGATTTCCAGCGCCGCTTCCTGATCCGCGTCGAGCAGACCAACGCACAGCCTGCCTCGGAGCAGAATTGGGGGAACCTGTTTGTGCTGTACAAGGAAGCTTTCAAGGTCTACGAGCCGTACATTGCCAACCAGAAGAGATGCGAACAGATTGCCATGCGGGAGTTCGATAAGCTCAAGGAAACCGGCGGGCCGCCTGAAATGCGACAGATGGTCGAGTCCCCAACACTCCTGGCATCTTTCCTGTTGAAGCCCTTCCAGCGCCTGACCAAGTACCCCCTGCTGCTTCGCGAACTCCGAGACAAGGGCGATCTGGACGAAGCCAGAAAAGCAGACATCTCGCGCGGTATCGAGGCAGCTTCCTCGGTTCTTGCGGGCACAAACGACGCCATCGCCAAGGAAGAACGCGCCGAGGCGGTAGAAGAGCTCAGGACTCTGGTCGAGGACTGGAAAGGTCATCGCATTGAGGGGTTTGGCGACTTGCTCCTTTACGGTCAATTCACGGTCCTGAAGGGCGAGAGCATGAGCTCGAAGAACGAGGAGCGCGAGGTGAGTGACGTCTTGTCCACGCTACATCCATGGTACTAACCGAGTATACAGTACAAAATCTACCTCTTTGAGATGATACTCCTTTGCTGCAAAGAGATCAACGTCAACAAGCCCAAGAACAAAATGACTACGAGACAACTGCTCACCAAGGACGGAAAGCCAAAACTACAGCTAAAAGGTCGAATCTTCATGCAAAATGTCACAGAGACCATCTCACTGCAGAAGCCAGGTAAGAACCGCTGCTACACAACTCCTACTTGAAAACAAGCTCACGTCGATACCACAGGTTCATATACATGCCAGATTTTCTGGAAAGGAGACCCTGGAATCGAGAACTTCATCATCCGCTTCGCGTCCGAAGAGACCATGAAAAAGTGGGCTGCTCAGGTGGACACGCAAAGACGGGCCTGGAACGAAAGTGCACGCTCGAGCGTTAGTACCACGGCGGCCAAGCCCTCAGACACACAGTTTGCCTATATGCAAGGCCAAGTATTGGAGAACCCCTACCAGGAAGATGACGACGAGGACGTCGAAGAGGACCATGACCCCCTTGTTCCCAGTTATCAACGAGATAGTTACGGAACACGACAAAACAGCTCCAGTGCCTCCATACGGTCGCGATCAACGACAGGGGAAAGCGGTCCTCCCGTTGAGGATCACAGAGTACAACCCCCACGATTTCCCATGGGCGCTTCCGCCCAACCACCACTCATGTTGCGTACTCAGCAACTCCAAAACTCAGGCAATTTCGAATCCCACTTTTCTCCGACTGTCGAGACACCCATGTCAACGTTTTCAAATCCGCGAACAAGTACATCATCTACAAGCACATTCCCTTTCCCACGCCAGGCGCCGCCGCAAAATGGTTATACAACTGAAGAAAACAACCGTTATACTGCACCAGCTCCATCTCGTCGTGAGGGATCTGGTCAGTATCAGCCACAACGAGCCCAACGACCATCATTGCCTGCCAACGCCATATCTTCTCAAGGTCGACTGAGAGCAGCTAGTAGCCCGGATATCAACATCCAACTAGGAGGCCGCAGAACACCGAGTGGACCGCAACGTCCCGTCCCTGAAGTCCCACCATTTCCAACACACTACGCTTACAATGCGGCGATTGTTAATCGCAGTGCAAGCAATTCACCAAACGGTATGCCACCTCGGACTGCGACGCAATCACCAGCCATCCAACGGGATCGTCTCATACAGCAACGTACTGCCGACGAATTGGTGAACCCGAGTTACGGGGGAGCTGCACGCCGCGATCCAAACTTCACACCGTTGTCCCGCACAATGACACCCGCCTCATCGTTCGAGCGAAGTCAGGGCACACTAACACCAGCATCGATGGACTCCCGAAACATGTCTCCGCCACTTTCGCAGCAGGAATCCCTCATCCCAAGCCAACTCAAAGTCAAGGTCGTCTGCCCATCAGCAGGCAGCACAATGGTCCTGGTCGTCAGCACAAACATCAGCTTCCAGTCCCTCAAGGACCGCATCGACGCTAAACTCCAACGCTCGACATCGGTGTCCCTCGGGTCCGGCCAGGTCAAGTTAAAATACATCGATAGCGAGGGCACGTACGTCAGCATCCAGTGCGACGACGACGTGCAAGAGGCGTTTGAAAACTGGAAGGAGCAGCAGCGCGACCTGAATCCTGGGGGCGGCCTGGGCGAGATCGAACTCTTCTGCCAACGGTAATGAATGATATCCAGGTTTGCATGGAAGGGGTACATCTGTGTGTGTGTGTGCGTGTATGGAGAAGAAGAAGGGATCATTACGGCATGGGAACGGCGTTTCAAAGGGCGATATATAGGGTGGATTTCTCTCCCCCCCCGCACCCCCCCTGATTTTTCTAATTGTTAGTGCGTTTTTTCTGTGTATGTGTGTTTGTGTGTGTGTATGGGTGTAGGGCTGGTTGGGCTGGGTCCATGGTCTTCATTCATTCATCATCATCATTACATGTTTTGTTTTTGCGACATATCCTATCGATGGCATAAAGGGGTGGGCTCTTTTTTATCGCCCCTGTGGTTGGCGGCGAGGCGCGAGAGTGGACTGAGTGAGGGGGAAGGGGTTTATGCGAATATCTTACGGCGACTTTGTGCGGGTGGTGAGATTACTGTTTCTTTTCAATATGTAGACTGGGGAGTATTGTTGTGTATGTGTGAGTGTCTGTGTGAGTGTGGTGGTGATGATTTGATGATGGAATGAAAAGATTGCTCTTACTCGTACCAACTTGTTTTTGTGTTGTCTACTGTTGTCCACTGCTGCTGTTGCTGATAGGTATCCTTGTACAGACTACTGCTGTGCGCGGAAGACGAGAGGTTCGGACTGCCTGTACATACTACTGACTCATCTCACAGTGGGAACACGGACGTAAGCAGAGCTTTGCTAGCATGTCGTATACTATACTATATCATGACGTGTTATAGCATACCACGCTACACGACACCCACACCACTGCCTGCTTCTCAATATGAATGACACATAGGGGGGCATTGACGCTTGGGCACACATCGAATCGCGCGCTGTGCGATGGTGGTGCGAAGTTCCCCTCGTTTGTGCGTGGTTGCGTTTGGAAGAATTGGCAGTAATAGAAGAGAGGAGAAGAGGTGGAGGAAGGACGAGGAGAAATGTGGTGACAGAATACGTAAAGACGTAGAAGAGTGAAGAAAATGGCAGTGTACTGCGTATCCAGACATGTGTGGATACAAAACACAAGTATCGATGTGACCTTCCATCCCTGAGGGGCTGCTGCGACCACAGTAGTCTATGGGAAAGAGCGTTGCAATGACACTTGTTTAGCTAACTAGTTAGATAGTCACCCGCTGCTTCTCCTTCCGACGAGAACGCTCTCCACCCACCCACCTGCCCACGAGATGGCACGTATGTGAATACCAGAGTTACAACAGCATGTCGTGAATCTTCATACGTAAGGTTTCCTTCCACAGGCTTTGTTTCCTCGCTGCCCGCGTGCTGGAATCGTGTCAGCTGGAGGCGTTTTGTCGTGGTACTGTTGAGGCTGTTCGACTATGGGGGTTCGTCTTTATCTACTGCTGTCACTGCTTTCTTGGACGTTCAATCCATTCCTACTCCTACTTATCCTAGGGGTTGACGATATTGACGGACTTTGCTCGAGTAGGAATTGTTACGTACTCATCTGTATCTGAATATGACGACGCACGCAGGTCAGTGGCTCTTTTCTCTGTGCACTTATGAAAGATTTGAGATGTGTATGCAACGCAAGTCATATGTGATTGAGCGCTACTCGAGCTCTTGAGATGAACGCAGCATCATACACCCTCCATCGACCAACCCAAACAGTCCCCTTGCCATCATCCACCCATGGAGCTCACCTCCAACAGACCCTCTCGACCGCCTCGTAACCGGCTCACGTCTCTACGCACAACGCACCGCCGCGCTCGACCCCCACGCCTTTACCACCCTCGCCGCCGGTCAAGCACCAGAAATCCTATGGATCGGGTGCGCCGACAGCCGCGTCCCCGAGACGACCGTGTGCCACTGCAAGCCCGGGGACATATTTGTGCACCGCAACATCGCCAATACGGTGCATGCGGATGATCTCAACGCGGCGAGTGTGGTCGAGTACGCGGTCACGCATCTGCAGGTTAAGAAGGTGGTGGTGTGCGGGCATACGAAGTGTGGGGGTGCGAATGCAGCGTTGGGAGACGCGGATTTAGGAGTAACACTGAATCAGTGGCTGGAGCCTGTTAGGGAGTGAGTTATTTGTTTTCTGAGCTTCGTGGGCGAACGTGCGTGTTGTGGTGTTGCAGTGTTTCTCATGTTATAAGGTGTGAACTAACTCTTCTCTCTCTCCCAGACTCCGCCGGAAACACAAGTTCGAGCTCGACAGCCTCCCCAGCGACGATGCACGGTCCGCCCGCCTTGCGGAACTTAATGTTCATCAGTCGATCGATGTGCTCGAGCGGCATCCTGCTGTTAGGAAAGCTATTTCTGAGCGCGGGTTGACGCTTACGGGTCTGATCTATGATCTTGCGGCAGGGGATCTGAAGGTTCTGGAGCATTCTGACGGTAAGAAGAACACTGTCCACTGGAGTCGTAACTCGGAAACGGACGACATCGCGTTGCGAGATGAGCATCTTGAACGCAGTGAGTTTGGCGGTCGTGGTGAAGGTGTTCTGAATAGTGACCATGGTATAGTTCCATTGGCGGATATGTTGGTGACGACGGATTAGTTAGACTGAGTGTACACGAAGGACTGGATGACGTTTGGGTTCTCCTAAAAGTCTATTGACTCCTCTATGACACGATAACTCATGTCGTTTGAATATTGAACGCGCTGTTCACCGTGCTGGCTTCGATGTGTTTCGTCAATGCCCGATATGAAGCCTTTGAAATACATTCACAGACCGTGACAATCATTTAAGTTTCTAGGAGAAGATATGCGGCGTAGTCCGTATAATCTGATCTTTCTTGCCAATAAAAGGCTCTTCTTTGGCCTAACTTTTCTTAAACGTCTCTTTGCGATGTTTTCCACTTGGAGGAGATGATTATACAACGGTGGAAAGCTAAGTGAACCTCATCATCACCCATCTATACGAACCATGGTTGCTCTTCAATTCCAAATCCACTAATAACGAAATGTAGGAGTCATGTATATCGACCCTAAACTCCCTCCAGTAAAATTTTACCTCCGAGACACGTATATCACGCCGCTATCCACAACCTCTACCCCAAAACAATACCACATTGTACTCTCAAGTCAATCGAGATAGCCAGAATAATGACCATCTAGTTCGCTGCATCAGCAAATCCCCAGTTCATTTCGACAAACTTCAGCCGCATCCAAATCATGGCGACTATGAACATCGACGACCCCTTCGCTTCAACGCCCTGCTACACGTCACACATCCTCACCACCATGCAGAATAATCTGGGCGTCAACATCCTCATCCAATACGCCACTCTTGTCGCCCGTGTATTTAGCGGCACATATCCCCCCGCCGCCTAGCACAACGTTCTAAAGCACCCCCTCGGCACGAACTCAATCCTTGTATTTCTGCACATCTCGCATAACACTTGACACTCCGCTTGATAATAAGCTGCCGGAACTTGAGCAATGGGGAGATACTGATGCAGATACCACAATTGGCTTTTTGGACACTGTGGATGTGTTTACTGGAACAGAAGAAGTGAGGTGGACAACACACCACTAGGGCGGCAACAGGTCATGGAGTTTCTTGGGAGGAGATCGCTGGGATGTGTAGCGAGAGAAGAAATATGGATAGGTTGATGAGGGAGGTGCGGCATCTGGGAATACGGGGAGATCATGTAAAGGTTTTCATGTAAGGTAAGTGAGGTAGAAAAAACAAGCCTAGCATATACACAGGGTAATCTGAGTCATATCAGACTATATGTAAGAGAGCGAGATGGGTGTTGTTTGTAACGCAAACCAATATTTATGCAACATGGCAGCATGAGGGTGTTGAGTGCATGTACAAAAGAAAAACGGACAAGAATGATATCAGCAGGACAAATATAAATACTTTGATAGTACGAGGTGAGAACGATACAAGGGTTCAGTGCTCGAGCGTTAGCCCTTAATCTGTATTTATCTGCAACCTAATGTGCATCAACATACTCTCTCAGACAGAATACCTGCTCGACACATCTCGAACAATCTCCTGTTATATCCAGATTTATCAACACACGAAGCCACGGATACTCATCTTAGACTCAACAGACACACCAGGTCAACCGAGCCACTACAACTCACTCCTCTTCGAACCTCTCTTGACACTATGCTTGAACGGCACCGGCACAAGACCCTTCGAATACCACTTCGCGCCAAAGCGCTCAACCTCCTTCGTCAGCGATGAATGCGTTCTGAATGGCCTAGCCTTCCCCACATGTTCAATCACCTTGCCCTCAAATTTCGCATTGAATTCGTCGACGAAACGTTTCCAGCCGTTCGTTGGCTTGCCATTGGTGAGATTGTCCAAGATCCACTTGCGCTCTTCAGCTACATACGCAACCACGACATCGCGGAAGCGAACATGGGTGTTGCGTCGGATCTGCTGCACCGTACGCTTGTTGAGCGCAGTGATAGCGACCTGATCGTTCCAATCACGCGGCGGAGGATTCGCAAAGATACGCTTTTTACCGTGGATGTCGGTGAGCTTTACGATGAGCTTAGCCTTTTGATCCGCCACAGTATTGTCGGGCTGTAGTTCGAAGCGGCCGGGGACGAATTGGGTGCTGGTAAGTCATTAGCAAGTTTTGCAATGAGTGTAGGTACACGAAAAAAGTCTTACAATTCGGGCTCAGTGGGAAACTGGGCATCGTCGGAATAGTCTGTAGCATGAGCACCCCATCTAACATTGCGAAAGAGATGCGGCTTGGTCGTATCTTTCACGGGCCCAGCCACATCGGATTCGTCGCTATCGTAGTATTCGGCGCCAACCTTAGTGGCATTAGCGACGAGCCGTGTATGCTCAGCCTTGTCCAGGTTGAGGATGCGTTTGTTTCGCTTCATAACAGGTGTCATGAGCGATAGCTTTTGTGCGTTGGCTTCGTCGGTGAACTCGCTCTCCTCGCCGGTATCAAACAGTACGTCGCCAACATCGTCGTCATCGGAGGTGCTGTGGTGGCTAAGCTTCGCTTTTTTATTCTTGTTCATGGTAGTAGTGCGAACATGCCCCTTTGTAACGGGGGATAGAGACCGCGTTTTCACAACAGGCTTGGCGGCTTTCTTAACACGCGCAGTGGGAGCGATGAGTTCAATCTCGGAGTCGGTATCATCCTCATCGTAGGTAGCTTCTTCATAAGAGGCACGCTTGTGGCGAGCAACTCCGCTAAGACTGGCGGCGACAGGCTGCATAACCGCACTCTCATTCCATTCTTGCAGCGCGCCTTGCACACCTCGGAGCTTGAGCTTCAGGCCGGAGCCGTTAGAAGAGCCGGATGTCGAGACTGGGGAGCTACTATTGATATGTTTCGCGGTGGTGTTGTTCCCAGGAGTATTTGCCTCATGGCTGGGGGGTTTCAGCTTGAGATGGCGCGGTGAAGCAATGGGCCTAGATGATGCATTTTCTTTGTTGGAGCCGGAGGAGGACTGATCTGATCAACTCTCAGAAAGATGTGGCTATCATAGAAGCGGGGAGTACTTACGCGTGGAGCTACGATGGTGTGAGCCATAGTCAGAGGTAGGTGAGCTCTTGCCAATTTCGTTGGCAATGTCGCTAGCAGGCACAAGATCATGCTCTCGGCAAGCAGTGAACTCAGGCGTCGAAGTACTGAGAATAGATGATTTGGGCTCGCTCTTGATGGTAATGGAGGTCACCGTAGAAGCCGTCTGTCCACCTATCTCGATGGTGGGTAGAGCGATGTTGGAGGTGTCGCGCTCAGGCGAGGCTTCTGAATGTTTGACAAGGCTCATCGTGGACACCGGGCGAAGTTTTGTGAGATGCGACACGCGTACAGACGAGAAAAAATTGGCTGGACGTAGCAGACGCGCTGGAAGAGAAATCGAAGAAGGGGTTCAGTGCATAGGGCAGTGTAACAAGATCGAAGGTGGTGAGTGTTGAGTCGACAAAATGGATGTGCGGTGAAGCTTAAGTTTCCAGGATAACCAGAAGCTTGCAGTGGCGTCGCTACTATTCAAGACTTTGCTATTATTCTGTACAGTGGCAATAGCCGTCGTATTTAACACCGGTGAAAGCCAATGAAGCCGGCTGTAGGAGTCAGGTGTCACGTCACGAGCAAGCTGGAACTTGAAGAAACCCCTAACTTGCCCATACTGCGTGTGATGGGAACTGATAACTTACCACCGCTTATTTATCATGTGCGCCTGCGAATGAGCAACAATAGCAGGTCGTGGGTCGGGAAGTGTCTATCGGACTGACACTCGTCTGCCCCACAAGTGGTACAAATTGAGAACCATAGATGTTTGTTTATTCAACATGGTGTATAGGCTAATATGCCTATAACCCAGAGTATCTCCACCTGTTGCACAGGATCACTCCTGAGCGTGCCTCAAGCAGATACCGGTGTACAGCTCTGTTCATCTCCTCATACCCATCTATCCTATATTTTCGGGTCGTGTCGATGAAGATCAATCCGTCCCACCGTAGTTTTGCACTTTTCTTGGCGTACACTCTCGTCATCCAAAGATGTATGATCTCAGAACATGCAGCGGCCTCCGCACTGATAGGGCCCATGTCTGTGGTTGTGGCATCTGTCCCCGATTTGGTGGTATGCTAGCCATCAACAATAGTAGGAATAGACATGATGCGATGCTTCTGGTGTATTATGGGCTTGTAATGAAAGAGGGACGCTGAGTAGCGTGCTTGTTCGGTTCACGCTAGTCTTGGTTCCATGGTCTTTCTGAGCATGACATCATCGAGTAATTGAAACAACGAACCTCAAGTGTTCTGGAAATTGTGATCGAAAGCCTATTGGGATGGCTATATTTGTTGGAGTGAGTTAACAACCATACAATCAAGTGAGATGGGTGAGGATGACACTCAGATCAATGTCAAGGCGGTAGCACCGGATACCTGCCTTTGTGAACACGATCTCCGGCATCAAATACCACCACATCGTCGGCCCCTTTCCAACCATAACCACCCTTTAGCATATAGCAGACCATCGCGGTTTTCGACCACGAGCGTGGCAGGTTCCGCAATATGAACAGTTTTGCGATCAAGAATAAGCAGCTTGAGGTGCAAAGATCTTGAGACGCAGCAGTGACAGAAGCAGCCGTTCCGTGAACTCTTGATGGCGAGGACAACACGCAAATGCCAGGTCGGTGATTCAGTCGGAGAGGAAAGGTGTAGACGATATACCTTTGGAAGTCTGCCACAGTCAGTCCTCATAGGAGCCAACGACGTTCGAAGCGCGAATTTGTCGTAGGATTTGTCGTGCGATTTAGATGGAATGAAAATTGACCTGCACATATTCACACAATGGCACCACACGCAAGCTTGGGAACTCACGTTTTGCAAGTTCTCGGCCTTCCGTATTGTCCCAGATAGGCTAGTGCGAGTTATCACGTCATGATCTTCGGTACCCCTGCCGCTTGTGGTGAGATCACGATGTTCACAGCGACGAATATTACGAAGATAACCAGCGCCCTCAGATACGGAGAAGCGCTGATCCTAGGTCTCCAGAAATCCCTTCGACAGCTGTGAGCACAGCTCGGATTTCTCAACATCATCACTCGAGCATTGAGGCCTACGTTATCAATTGAGTGCTGGTGACTCACCTTCCGCTAACAAAGAAACCACGAGCGTGCAGCGCCAGCGAAGGCAGCATGCCTCCCAAGATTCACCTTGTTCGCCATGCACAGGGCGAGCACAATGTGATCGTATGTAGACTTGTATCTATTGACGCCATGAACTTACGCGACTGCAGCGTGACTACACCATTCGCGATGCTGTCCTGACCGACAAAGGCAAAGGACAATGTCGCGATCTGAAATCTGTATTCCAACACCATAACGACATAGATATTGTGATCGCGTCACCCCTTCGCCGTACTATACAGACTGCGGCTTTATGTTTCGGGCCAACCCTAGCACGAGCAGAGGTTCCGTTCATACTGCTGCCATCACTACAAGAAGTCACCGATAAAGGATGTGACACTGGTCTGGCAGATTCTGCCGCCGATTTCCCACAAATCCTTGCTGGGCTGTTTTTAGAAGGAGAACTAGAATTCGATTTGGACAAGATTGATGCTTCGGCGGTCTCTAAGGGATGGAACGGCAAAGTCAGTTTAACTCTATAGACGTCTGTATATGCACTGACCCAGATTTCAGAAAGGCTACTGGGCGTATGAAAAACAGACTATTCTCAAACGAGCTCAGGATTTGAGAAATTGGTTGCTCCAACGTCCCGAAGAGCAGGTGCGTTCACAGTCTACGGTTGCCCCTTGGCGTACTGTATTAATTGATTAGATTCTTCTAGTCACGCACGGCGCATTTGCGCACTTCCTAACCGAGGACTGGGATGTCGCTGACCCAATGATAGGCACGGCGTACAAGAATTGTATGTACACATGATTCGACTCCATGTATTTCGGCTGACACTACACAGGCGAACATCGTGAGTTCAGATTTACAACTGAATCGACTGCCGATAATGCGCATTTGCAAGAGCTCGAGGCAAGCAGGAGAAGAAGAGGTGTGCAGGAGAAAGAATCTGACCCGCATGTATTGGATGCATTGAAGACTGTGGTATATAACACTAAGCAATAAGTTAGCGAACGAGAGCAAAGTACGCACTGTGTCACACCGCTTTGACAACAGTGTGTAGTCTTGTGCCGTTAATAGAACATCGAGACAGTGTGATACACATTCTTGGACATCCTGACACAAACATGGTTGAAATTACATACGACAGATTCTTGACTTCTTCCTCACTCCCAGGCCCACTTAGACGTTGATTGCTACCCCGGTTTACTGTCGATAGTGTTCTCAAGACGCAGATCCAGAACAATACAGACCCAGCACCGCCAGCATGCTGATCGCGGTCTTTGTGGTGTCGAACGGACGGTTCGTTCCTCTCAAACGACTTCCCCGCACGACCCCAAGCGCGCTTGCCAACCACCAACCCATGCACAGTTCCAGGGACCAAAATCTTAATCGCCCTTCACGCCGCGCAGTATCATTTCGTTCCCAACAAGATCAAGCCCACGTGGGGTATAAGAATTGCTCGAATCGTGTTCTCCTCAGATCCAAAAGTAAAGGACTACTGGTCAGCGCTCTGCTCCATACACTCGTCCCCTGGTATATCGGCGAGATAAGCTTGTTTCGTCACACGGGCCGAATCTGAACATCTTCGCGAATGAGGCGAGATCACCAGATTTAATGTCACGAATTACTTGAACTGGACTAGAGGGCGGTCAACGTCGGTTGTATTGGCGACAGAGTTTGCTCGGTGCCTATTCGGGTAATTAAGACAAGACCGCGCCACTGCCCCGCTAGCCGGGATGGCGCGGACCGAAAATGCTTGTCCCCATCATCTCTAAGGGCCGTTGCTGTGCACTTGTCGGGTAAGGCTGCATCTCGCCAGCCTCTTTCGCATGTCCTCGTCACTGTGCATCAATCACTACCGTTTATCAGGCCTTTCAACAACTGCAGCAACCACTTCCTCATCACGCGCACCTGTCGTGATGTCACGGCTCGTCTTGTATGGATCGCCAGACGCTGAGACACCGCACGTCCCTCTGTCACCTCTCTGCACGTAAAATTTTCAAAATCTTACGTCAAATGCTACGCACCAAGTGGGACGTCGAACCTATTGACTCTCAGGCATGTGGTGCAAGGTAAGTCCCCCAACGCTCGGTGGCGGTCAAACTCGGAATCCTGGGGCGCGTGGAGAGAAAGTAGTTGTGCCATTTCTATTACACACGCGGTAGTGCGGAGAGATAAGGTCTTGCAATATAAATCTACTACCGTGCCTTCTGGTGGTGGTTGTGTTTCCATCGTGAGTCGGACCGCTCGTCAGATCATCTCGTTGACATCATTGCCTCCCAGTCCCGGATTTAACGGTACCGCGACGCCTTATCTGGACCGTTGGAGTAGTTATTATAGTGTCCTTCTTGGTTCGCTAGATCTCATTCCGCTATCTTGCCCGCATCCTGTCCCAAGGTCGAAGAGGCTTTTTGCACCGCGACATCCTCCCGACAATAGCGCCGTTTTAGGAGGAAAGTCCCAACCACCAACTGTGTGCCAGCACTTTCAACTACAAAACTCGCTTCACCCGTCGACGTTTCTTCTCCACCCATCTGTTCCTTGACATTCTTTCCAAAATGCAAGAAGTACCTCACGCCCCGGGGCTCATGCAACCCACCAACAATGGCTATGCGCAGAACCCGCACCACATGGACGACTTTTCCTCGGAGGGAAAGAAGAGCGACCCTGAACTCGCCCCGATCGATCGCACTGTAACAGTGCACGAAGGATCTGAGAAGTTCCACAGGTTAGGTTGGAAACGACTCACCGTCTGCCTGATTGTCGAGGCCATTGCCCTCGGTTCGCTCAGTATCCCTAGCGCCTTCGCAACGCTTGGTATGGTTGCTGGTGTGATCATGTGCGTTGGGCTCGGCCTCATCGCCATCTACACATCCTACGTCGTTGGCCAAGTCAAGCTGAAATATCCGCATGTCAACCATTACTCAGACGCTGTACAGCTCATCTGGGGACGTTTTGGTTACGAGTTGACGGGTGTCATGTTTGCATTGTTCTTGATCCTGCTAGTCGGGTCGCACGCCTTAACTGGAACCATTGCGTTCATCACCATCATCGACAACTACGCCATTTGCGCACTTGTCTGGGGTGTCATCTCCATGATCATCCTGTTGATCCTGTCTCTGCCACCGTCTTTCGCTGAATTCGCTATCCTCGGCTACATCGACTTTGCCAGTATTCTGATTGCCATCATGATCACCATCGTCGCAACGGGTGTTCAAGCTCACGACGCGCCCGGAGGCCTCAGTGCTGTGAACTGGTCCGCATGGCCACCAGCAGACGTTACATTCTACCAAGCTTTCTTGGCAACCACCAACATCATCTTCGCGTACTCGTTCGCTGTCTGCCAGTTTTCGTTCATGTCCGAAATGCACACACCCAAGGATTACGTCAAATCTATCTGGGCGCTCGGACTCATCGAAATCTTCATCTACACCGTCACTGGTGCGCTCATTTACGCTTTTGTTGGGCGTGATGTGGGGTCACCTGCGCTACTGTCTGCCGGTCATACCGTTTCGCGTATCGCCTTCGGTGTTGCTCTGCCCGTTATTTTCATATCTGGTAGCATCAACGGCACCGTTGTTGGACGCTACATTCTCGACCGTGCTTTTGCTGAAAACCCAACCATTCGATATGTCAAGGGTATGAAGGGTTGGATTGTCTGGGTCGGTCTGATCACCACCATCACGATCATCGGCTGGGTCATTGCTGAGGCCATCCCCTTCTTTAACGCACTGCTTGGTCTGATATCCTCGCTGTTCATTTCTGGCTTCACGTTTTACTTTCCAGCACTCTTCTGGTTCCAGCTCGTCAAAGTCGGCAAGTGGAATGCGAACGCACACAACATCGCCTTGAGCATTGTGAATGCCATCTGTTTTGTGATTGGTATCATAGTCCTTGGTTGCGGTACGTACGCGTCTGTGCAGGATATTTTGAGCCAGTACACAGGTGGCTCTGTGCGTAGCCCGTTCACCTGCGATTCAAGCTCATACGCGTAAGAAGTGTAAGAAGACCTTAGATACCCATTTTTATCAGGTTCGGGGCCAAGTCGTACGTTCAGTTACTACGAAATGAATTGCATGCATTACTTTTCACAATTACTTGACGTGTTCGTTGAGGCATGTCGTGATGTTCGGTCAGACCATAACACAAGTAAGAGAATGCAGCGCCAACTCATCCGCGGACAACAAAAGCCGTGTTGGTAAACAGGACAACACATTGGGTATGCGGGCACAGATAAAACAGGACTCTCGTGATGTGGGCTGGGGAACGATATCCAGAACTGTGGTCAGCCTTGCCGTCACTGGGACACTGGGGCCCTCAAATACTCTAGCTCGGCCTGTGACCCGTTAGAGCAAGCCTGCTTACTGCACCAGAAGCTCACGTCCAGATATGAGTACCCTCTCAGTGCTGTTGATAGATATTTTGCTCGAATATTGGGCAAACTTGGTCTTGAGTTCAGCTCCGCAGTCCTCACCTTCATCTAGCTGTACCTTCCTCACCTTCACCAATCACTCCTGGTTCGACGAATCGGGTTAGTACTGTTGTGCGACGCTCTTGACCTGGTCACCACTCCAGTCTCTCTCTTACAACTCTCCATCTTTGGGTCAGCGAGTTTCTCGCACATTACTCCGATACAGTTCGCCAGCTTCCAAAAACACCACGTCACCCGGAAACCGACATGGAGCGACTGCACGAACTATTCACAACTGTGGACCTTGACAAAAAGCAGTTGCACGAAGCGAGCTCAAATTCAGAGGGCCCAGCCACTTCCACGAGATTCTACTCAACTGATTTACGACCAAGCAACATCTCAACCACGGATGATGCTCTAGTCGGGCGAGCAGGACCGCAAATGCACGATGGCGAAGACTGTATATTGAGTTCTGAGCACGAGTGTCAGGGTGAACCGTCTTCCATGGCAAAACTGACAATTCCCATGAGCCCCCCTCCCTCAACAGTCACCAACGCCATGACAGTCAACAACGGCACAGAGAAGGATGGTATACCCAGCATTACCTCTCTCTCGTTTCTTGACCTAGTCATTGACGCTGCCACCAAGTTCATTGCACAAGAGCGCAGGCGCAACTTTTCCTTTCTCGCCAGATACAGCCACAAATACACGGACACGAAAGATCTCCTCGTGGTTACTTGCGCAAACTCCGACGATGTCAAGGCTCTACACAGCCACATGAACTGTAGCAGTGTGCCGGACGTTCATGACCACCAGTGGTATACCTTCAGCGAACCCCTATGTTCGAATGGCTTCCGGCGCACCGTTGCCATCGATATCGTTCCCGGTGAGCCCTCAGTCGCTGCGAACATGTTTGTTTCCGATCTACGTCGTGATGGTCGTATGACGATGCTAGATGCGTGGATCCGAGAGTCCTACGAATGGCACGATGTCTACGAGATGCGATTCCGTGAGCTCCAGCAGAACGAACAGCAGCTCTGGTGGGAGAGTACCGGCCAGACATTTAGGCTCTTGGATCTTCCCTTGGAACTGCGCGAAGCCGTATACCTCCAGGTTATAGGATCTGTTGTCCTACCAGACATTGACCCGTCTAGCACTCAACCAACCACCCTTGGGGCCGGTTGTTCGTATGGAAGCAAATTTCGTACTGGCTCTGAGCTTGATCCGGACGTCCATGTCCCCAACCTGACGATTACAAGGGTTAACAAGCAGGTCAAGGAGGAGGTCATGCAGGTGGCACATCGAGATACGTTCAAACGCTTTCGAGCCGTAGGCGAGAAGGGTTACTCACGGGCTCAGCCGAGTCGTCGATCGTCCTTTCACACGAATCTCACCGGGATCCAGTCCTTGGCACCCCATGTTGCCTTCCTGCGCAACGTACAGCTGGAGATGTCCGCAGCGTGTTATTTCTCTTTCGTCGGCATCATACCCACACGCGGCGATCCCTTCGGGCTTGATGCTTCATCTCCCGCACAGTACTCACATGTACACATGGTTCAAGCAAGCGTGCTAACCACGTTCAAGGCCCTACAAAAGCTCGACTTACGATTCATCAGCCCCAAGCACCAAGAAGCCGCGTGTCCGTGGCATATTATCTCGTTGTGTTCCTCCCAAGCAAACACATATGCTACCCATTCTTGCCAGAAGGTCTGGATTGACTGGTTTCTCACTTTCGCCTGGGATTACCTCAAAGCCCTCAGGGGTGTCAAGTTCAGTCTCAGTGGCTGCGTGAAGGACTCTACTCGTACACACTGGGAGCGTGTTCTGAACGATTTGCGCAACGACTGGACATCAGATATCAAGGACTTGGAACTTCAGATCAAGCAGAACAAGACGGATTGTATACCTATCCCGTGTGATTGTTCAGTTTCGTGTTCAACGTCAAACTATCCACCTTCGTGGACCCAGCATGAATTGGAGAGGATAGAAGGTCTGAAGGAAGAGGTGAATGAGATCTACTGGAGCTTCAAAGACTGAGAGCTCGTTCGTGAACTATGTGGGGTTACAGGATGAAACATCGGTGATGTTGGATACGGCCGGCGAAGTCGTGTCATGGGTAGAGTTTTGATCTTCACTTTTCATTCGTGTGTTTCGGAAATTCAAGTGTTTATATCATGGTTCAGAACCAGGTTGCGTATGGGGTTCTCAAATGATGGTTTTTTTCTACTATTCCAACTGTACTGACCCCCGGTCACATATTGCGGCCTATAGAAGTGTTGTACATGAGCAACGAACCAAAACACAATACATACTATTGAATCTTCTTTTCTCACGCACTCACCCGCCTATCTACACCTCATAACAAACTTACTTCTCGATGTCTTGAGGATCTCGGAATTCACTCCGCTCTTCACGCGAGCAGGGATTCTGACAACGGTAGCGGATGCGGGCCGACTCATGCGCGCCACCACGATGGCGCTATGAAAACCCAGATCTAACAACACAGTATCTATGCACGTGGACTTTGCATCAAACGTTAGCGAGGGTCATTGACAACCGCTTGATACATCCTTGCTTAATTTATCTGTCAAGGACATAGAAAGCCGGGCATACACAACTAGTGACTCTGATCCTTTGTACATCCATCCTTATCGACGGCACACCGACCCAAGTGCAGCATGGCACAAACAACCAACGATGTCGAACCATCGGTCCTTATTATTGGCGCCGGTACATTTGGCACATCGACTGCTCTCCATCTCAGCAAAACATACCGCGACCCATCCCGGATAACAATCGTTGACCGTTGGGCACCTGACGATTCCCATGACAAAAGAGTCGCAGCCGCAATTGATAGTAGTCGTATCATCCACACACATTATGCAAATGAAGCATATCGAAAAACGGTGCAAGAAGTGATGCATACGTGGAGTTGGACGATGGGGTATCTGGGGCATTTCCAACAGACTGGACTGGTCGTATACGACGATCGCAACACAGATAAGAAATGTGAGAACCCAGAGGAGTGGTGGGGCGTGGGAGTGAGGGGGTTAGAGGAGCTTGGGTTGGAGACGAGGGGGAAACAAGGTGAATACGACTCCAAGGCGGGGTGGGTCGATGCAGCGAGTGCGACAGCGAGTTTCATGCGTTTTGCCGAGAGCAGAGGTGTTCGTCGTGTCACGGGAGAGGCAGAAGAGCTCGTTCTCAACGCAGAGAGATGTAATATTGAGGGTGTACGATTGATCACTGGCGAAGTGCTGAAGGCGGATAAGATCGTGCTGGCGGCAGGTGCATGGACGACTGTGCTTCTTGCACCAGTCGAACACGTCTTGCAAACCCAGGAAGTGGGTAGCATTGCCCAACAGATTACCGCAGTGGGCCGTATCTCAGCATACTACCACCTCAGCGAAGAAGCAACACGGAAGCTAGTCGATGCCAAAACGCCCATCGTCGTCATACCAGGAGTCGTCGAGATCATTCCACCAAGCTTGCAAAATCGCACACTGAAAATCAACGATTTGAGAACAGAAGTTGTCAACACTATCACCACATCCTCTGGGCGGAAGATCTCAGTTCCATCTGCGAGGAAACAATACGAGGTACCCGAAGATTTGCAAAGAAAGAGCGAGTATGTGATAAGAACCGCATTGCCAGGTTTCCTGCACGACAGGCGACCAGATCGCTGGCGAATGTGCCATGATGCTGTTACACCAACAGGAGATTGGATCATGTGTCAATATCCAGATAAGAGAGTGGGAAACCTATATGTCGCAGTCGGCGGGAGTTTCCATTCATATAAATTCCTGCCGATCGCGGGCAAATACGTGGTCAATATCTTGGATGGAGCGAGTAATGGCGCCGAGAAGGATGAGTCGTGGGGATGGAAGTCGGCGGAGTGCATAGCAAAGGAGAGGAGAGAAGTGAGGGAATTTGAGGGAGGCAAGCAAGTCGAAAGGAAGAGTAGGCTGTGATGTGTTGACTATACGAAGCCAGAAATATGTATCGATCGAGGGACAGGTCCGTCACATTCTTACACAGAAGACTCGAAGACCGCATGGACAGGACGTAAAGGCGAGATAACAAAGTGAATATTGCCGAATGTACCCATCTATATATAGATTGAGGACCTGGACTCAGTTCTGATAGTAACCATACCTTATGTTTTAGTCACGAACTATGTTGTTACCTAGATCATTATCTGTTTACTACCGATCTCCCTAGATAGCGATTAAGTGCCAAGCTATGAACCCCGTACATCAATGCAACCATCGTATCTCAGTAAAAGAGGCATTCCAATACTTCGACTGCTTAAAACAGGGGATCCCATATCGTAGTTGGAGTGTAGAACTCTACCTGAAATCACCATATGTATTTAAAGATAATCAGGTCATCAACGATGTCTTTGCCGCTAGCAACTGGATATATCACAATGATAAAGGGTTTCAAAGATGGACTGTTATCACCGTGGTTATGCTTTGGATGTTTTGAGGTAATACAAAAGGTTTGACCTATGGGAGGCAAAAGTGGGAGACAGCAGATGATAGCTTGCTATATGAATGCGAAGAATCGGTCTCGTTAACAACAAATTATACTTTTATCGTTTAGGAATAGGAGAGTGTGCCCAAAAAGAGCGGTACACTTTAGAAAACGTTTGGAAAATGGATCAGGAACTTGCCTGAACGATGTATGTGACATCAGGCGCAAACCCGACCACAAGCGTTTTGCTATCCCAATCTCGGGCCGTCTAGCAGGGCAGAACTGACCGGACCATGGGATACTGTACTTACCAGCTGAGCACAAGCATTGCTCAATCGTTGTTATGTTTACGATGCCTCACACTGCGCACGATCTACGATGCCATATGTATGATATAATGCTGAGCCGTGACTACACCTCACGAAGCACCGAATAGTCCTTTTCCGTTAAGTTAGCGCCACTGCAAGTAACACTGAGTTGATAGTTAATACATATGAGCACTTGGAAAATTCTTAGCAATGCGCATCAATAGTCTACTTGTCCAGATTCTCGTCCAACTCAGGCCTTTACCTTGATAACAACTTTTCCAAAATGTCCTCCACTAAACAGATAATGTAGCGCTTCATTCGCCTCGTCAAACGTGAAAGTTCGATCAACGACCGGCCTGATCTGCTTTTGCTCATAGAACCTCAACATCCTCTCCAGTTCGTCCCTTGGCCCATTAAGAATACCCTTCAACGTAACGTTCCTCTTCAAGCACAGCAAGTTGGTATTCGTTCTGTCCCCCTCTTCATCTTGCTTGCCACTCAAATATCCAATGCATGCAATCAGACCGCCGAATCGCACGCACTCAAAGGACTTGCGGAGAGTCGTGGCGCCGCCAACTTCGATCACAATATCGGCGCCGCGGGTTGAGGTTTTCTCAAGAACTATGGCATCCCAGTTAGGGTTGGTACGGTAATTGATTACATCTTTCGCGCCGAGTTGGGCTGCGCGTTGCAATTTCTCGTCGCTAGAGGAAGTGACGATAGTGTGCGCGCCGGCCGCGGAAGCAATCTGAGCTGCCGAGATGGAGACTCCTCCGGTTCCTTGGCATACAACCGTTTCGCCTTTGCCAATGATTTCCCCATTGGAGCGCATACAGTTCAGACTCATCCATGCAGTCATTGCAGCGATAGAGAGACATGCTGCCTCATCGTCGGACATGTATTCAGGAACCTTCACAAGGCCGTAAGTGGGGAACACACGGTACTGGGTGAGCACTCCAGGTGCTGGACCTCCGAGGCCGCTCCCCAGATCTTTGGCTTCGATTTGACCTGTGAGATGGGTCTGCGCGAAAGTACTCATGACTCGATCACCGATTTGAAGACCGAATGCCGGGTTTTTGTAGGGATCAGAAGAGTTCTTAGACACTGGACCGACTGCAACAACGATACCACACATGTCGCTGCAAGGTACGACTGCAGGTAATTGCTCGACGGAATTGTGATGATTATAGAGACCCATGCAAACTGACGACTTTTAGCACAGTAAAATCCATATGCGCATCTGTGATAATCACAGTGGTGTGTACATACCCTCAGTGTCCCGATAATTCAAACTAACAGAATGAATTTCCACAAGCACCTCATCTTCACCTGGTATGGAACAATTCGTCTCTTCCAGTCTCAACTTATCAAGTCCGTCCTGGTCGGTAAGCCACTGCTTGATCTTTTGCGGAAGCACCATCTTTCAAATCAACAGCCGAATCGCAAGCTTTCAAGGTTACACTTTGGAAATTTCCTTTCTGGATGCTATTCGCAGTCGTTTTCTTCAACCCTTTGCTCTGATCTTTCTTCGTAAATATCTCAAAAACCTCGTTCAACCAGTCTCGACGGTGTTGCGAAAAGGGCGGTGTGGGCATTACGGGCAATTTTATTTCTATTCGAACAAGTTCCTCGATGGGGCACAGAAAAAGTGGAACAGGTGAACGTCGCCGAAAACCAGAAGATGTGGGGAAGAGGATTAGCAATAAATGGTAACGGCATGGCAGTCTAGGCGTTCAGTTGGGTGCTCGTGTGCGCGATGCAGTGCGTCATCTGCCGTATTCGCCCGAATAGCGGGCCGAGGTCAGGGTGTTTTCGGGAAATGCCTACCGCACATGAACGTGAACCCAATATTTAAAATCTAGTGTTGTAGACCATATGGTTTGTAATCAGAAATCACTAAGAAGTTATGGCTTAGTTAGTAGGATACGTGTTTGAACAATGTAGATATTCGCAAAGCTTTCACGAAGAACAAGCTAGTCTACTCATCAATGTTAGTCGTCTCAATTAGGGTTATGTCGATTCGGACTCGCCGTGACGAGGATTTTCTTATACATTGGTATCCGGAACCTCTTTTACAACGCTTTGTATGGTAAACAATTGAGGATGACAAGCAGGCTGAACCGTAAACTGTCACCTTGTCAAATGGGTCAAACTACCGCACTTAATTCGTGGGGTTGTCAAAGTACTACTCACGTACACTATCACTTAATTTTACCTCTCTCTACCAGTTCTTACAGTCATCTGGTACCTCTGGCCACTCGTCCACCCCTTCAAATATCACCACCGCCACGCCCCACTCAAATGACTTTGAATATGACAGTGCAACATGAATGCTCCTGGATTGACAACATGGTATCGAACCGCCAGCCACATGGGCCGCAGCGCAGAAGATGGCGTGTCAAAGTTGTCTCGGTACGGCGGAGACATAAGATTTAAATTCTGAGGAATGACTGCGGTTGCCTCTACGATCGAGGTCCAATTGGACGATCCTCCGCCGCTGCCAATGATGAAGTCACGATTCGAATGCTTATGAATAGGGTGAGGAGGTTGGTTACCACCTGCAACGAAGAAAATCAGATCAACCTCTGTGTTGTTCTTTGTAAAGATAGTCAAGTTAGCACCGAGGTTGTTGGCATCTGGACTTTGGTAGAGGTGTGGTGGGTTGGTGTTGTCGAACGTGAGATGGTCGAAGGGAGTTGCATTCATGGCTCAAGTGTATGAATTGACTGCGCTACTCAAATAAATGAAGAAGGTTTGATCGGCTTCCGGTGCGGGCTGCGGGAACTGAGGTGGAAAAGAGATCATTCGTGTTTGATCAAATACCTTGACACCCTCCGAAACAGGTCGACCAACTGCATTGTCTCAATCTGGAGTCAAATTCACAATGAAGCATTTCTATCACGCTCATGATCGTCCTTTCATACGTGTACTACAGTTTATAGCCGTAGTTTGGCTCCTCAGCCTCTAAGTAAAAAAGTCTTGTACAGTTGGCTCTCGTCCAGTGTTAACCAGGCCAGATTGTGTATAAAACGCTACTAGACATATCGTGACATTAGCATGATTCACATCCGTTTGTCGAGATGATCAGCCTTCTGAGTGTTGTTTTATGAGAGTAGTTGAGGCCCAGGACACAGGAGAAGGTGGCACTTATTCGGTTCCGTGGCCCTGAGTCATGCGCCTCTGCTACTACGTCGATTAGTAAAAACGCGTTCTTAGTGACACATGAACTGGTTAACCTGTAATTTATTCGCTACTCTGCATCGTGTATGACTGACCCTCGTACGTCCTGTCTGAAGGCTGTACTTGCGTGCTCTTGCTTGATAAGTCCCCCAGTGCTCAAAAAAAGTGCCAAAATGTGTAACAATGATTCCTCTATCTATGCAGAAAACGTGATACGGCTGACAAACTCCTGTATATAACATTATACGACTGGATAGATCTTGAACAGACGTCAGATGCTCGAGGGTGTCATATCGTTCAAGCCAGATATCTATCACTGGGCAGAGCCCAGAAGTTCTACGACACATTACATCTAGTTGAAGTCTTTCAAAGATACAGATATTCGAGGTTGGCTCTTGTGGTCTTCCCCATGATTGGAATTCTTTTTTGTAGGGATCTACTATCACGATATCCGTCCACTGCGAACAAATCGCGAAGAAGGTGCAAAATCGATGCATTACACGGTCTGGCTCTACCTACTTATTCTCTAAAAGTAGTTCTCGATCCGCCCCACGTATTATAGTTGATGTATCGATCGTCTTTTTCTTATCCTGAATGTGAGTACATCTCTTTGCCAGAGAGCGCTCCGACCAATCACCTATATCATAGTTTTGTGAGCACCTATCTGGACCCAATGGTAGCTGGAACACCTTCACATAGCTGTTCACTTGTGCTCAAAGCAACTTTCCACGGCAGTTGTGAGATGCCTCAATGACAGCTAGAGAGGTTGACGATACGCGCAGTTTACATGTCCTTCTACCGCAATTCGAAATTTATTAGCTCGTTCGAATTACGGGTGGTACCCTTATATGTTGTAATCGGCGTTTGGTGTGTTCTCCTCCCGAGCATAGCTTTCATTTGAGCAAAGCTGCTGATAAGGCTCGTTTCGTTCGCCTGCGGACGTTTGGAAGTCTCTCAACAACTGACAGAAGGTTTATCTCCAAAGAGAGGCCTCAGGATATTCAGAACTTTTGTCCTTGTATTACAACTTCATCCCGAGGTGCATCAAAGGGGGAACCAATCTTGTGCGACACGGACGGTCCTTTATGAAACGGTGATCCAGGTGCCGGTGATCCCTCTTCAAGGCTCTGAGTCAGCTCTGTCGTTACTACGATCCCACTATCTGCTTGTTCAGCGTCATGATCGATCGGATATCCCGCTTGCCTGAACAGCTCTTCTTGGGAGTCGGTATCTCTCACATCGTGTTCCAAGTGTGTGATGCTGCCCCTTGATAACTTATTCCTTCTTGCTTGACGGGAGGACCCCCCGATCGTTCCAAGATCCTGAGATGCTCCTTTCATAGAACTCAACTTGTATCTCCCGTCCTTGGAGCGGCCAGGATTTGAGCCAGATGAGCTGCCCCCCCCAGTCAATCTGAGCCACAGAGCTTTCATCGAGGGTAAATTTATGGCGATTATGGCAAGTTGGATTTCAAATGCGGCAACGACAACTATCTTGCCGAGCACATAAGAGAAGTCGGCCGATGAGTTCAACTCCACAAGCGGAATGAGCCGGAGAAGGGCAACAAGAACTGTCGACGCGCCAAAGCTAATGACCGAGAGAACACCAATTTTGCGCCGTATAGACATCTGGAGACCGAGTACTGTTGATATAGGAATGACAAGAATATAGATGTCTTCGATGATGTTCTATTAATGTGTCAACTTTGTCAATATGTAATCTTGAAGTTCAAGACTGACGTACCAGAACAGATGGGACGATTAGAAGAATAATCTTGTGTAAGCACTTTGCATCTGGATGTGTTCCAGGGTGGAAGATTTCATCAAATGGGGTGCATTGAAGAACAGCGATCAAACTGATTTTATTGTCAGTTGGTGAAATATCGAAGCTTCGGTCATTAACTTACGTGTTGGCGATGAATATGGCCATGTTTGTGGCCATACCGATAAAAACAAACATTCGGAATGTCTTCTTTGGCGACAATCGCAGATAGAAGAATAAGAATGCCGATTTGATGACCCAATGAACGAAGTAGTAGTACACTTCTTCGACAAACAGAATCTTTATCACTCCGAGTTGCTGCTCAACAGTGAGTGTGTTGACATGCCTACATCATATCATTAGCATGATTATCTATTACTCCGTAGGTGGCATAGTTAGCCGTACAAGCCACACCCCCAATATAGGAATAAATGTAGAACGATCTGTTGGCCGCAGCTTACTACCTATGAAATGAAATCATTAGCGGGTAGCTTCTCAAGCAAGTGTCTAGGACAAACTTACTCCCACAAAAATTGCGAAGTAATCATCCCATCCCCATGCTCTCAGTATTGTCAAACGACAATAAACCCTCAGAATAAGGCTGCCGAGCCCCAAAGCGAAAGTAGCGTATGCGACGGCATATGCAAGTGTGCGAAGCTGCGATTCTGCCATCAGTACAAGTTTACATCAACGACAAGAGGTTCTGTTGCACCCGAGGAAAAGGGAAGGAATAAAACATGCTTTTAGCCGTCGGGACAGTCAAGGACAAGGATCCTGTCCACGGACCACAATTTGGCGTTGGGTGCTGGGCTCAGACATCTCCTGTATGTAACCCGGAGAAAGTCTCCTAGACAGCTTCGGTGACCCCCAAGTGCTGCGTGCAAAGGTCGATGTCGATCGTTTCAGTTTTTCGGCGTAAATGGCGGCTTGTCGGTTCTGCTCCATTCGACAATGGAAGACTCTGAAGTCCATTTTAATTTGCTTGTTTTGGATCCTGCGGAGATATTCGACTAGACTCACAAGAAGAAGGGATCTTCGAGCAGAACGGAACTTGCCTGCCAACAGCCCGACTACATGGTAAGCTATTCATCTTTCGGGTAGTAAATCGACCTGGTTAGGAACCAATCTTTGTAAGCAGTCATGTATTATTTACCATACTCAAGAAAGCCTGCATATCTGTGGCGAAGGAAGTATCATGGTCGCTTCCAAAACGTGTCCACTTGAACATGCGTACTCATCCCGCCTACTGTCTCCTTGGGGTGTTATAATTGTAGCGCTGATGCCGAAAGTAGATCTAGGATCAACGGAACACGCGTGGCCTACCACGACGCATTGTGTGCTTCCTGTCATCATATGGTTTGATTCCATACCTGATCGAACATATTCCAGCACGGGTATTGTGACGGAACCCGAAAGTGTAACGTCAATCACCTCTTGAGGCAACAAGTCCATGGGCGCTATCATATGTTATCACCAAGCAGCTAAGATGGAGGCTTGATTGGGCAAAACTAAAAATTTCCCCTGCAAATCACTTAGTCAAGAACGCACGATTGGGTTGAGTGCGGGATCGTGTCCAGGGTCTTGATGTATGCAGTTGTTGAAGAGGTTAGTACTGCGCAGACCCATGTCCGCCCACTGCAGCCCGATTTTCCAGGCCTTCAGGCCTTACCTCGGTAACTTTTCTAGGAACTCCAAACCCGATCTTGCGTATCATCAATGAAAATCGGTGCTAGCGCTTAGGCGGTCCGACAAGGTGGGTTCCATGTAGCATGACAGGCCAGATCCAAGGCCTGTGCATCGCGGGGCATCACAACCATGCTTTAACGATGCGAACACCACCTTTTTCGGCAATGTCAAGCAGCTGATAGATTGCTGGGATTGGAAATGAGCGTACAATAACGTAGTATTGACATTTCTGATCATATAGAAACCTGTTGTATACCGAACTTAGGCCTGCCTATACTCAGGCCTTCGTGATAGGGGAGACAGAACTGGGCGCTTACACAAGTTGGGATGGCGTGTTATCAAGGGTCGGCAAAATAAAACCGCGTAACACTCGAGCAATTGATGCGCGGATAACGAGGAACCAACAACGACAAACGTCCCGAAACACGGGACGCAACGAAATTCCCCGTATCGCCCTGCATCCCCGGCCAATAAAATGTCTGTGCTACCTGAATAAGGCCATCCTTCGAGTCAGTCGCGGAATCCATCCATTCCTTTCCAGTTAGACGAAGACCATGGATCCTACCGTTCCAAACCCCGCATGTGCAAGCCTGGGGGAAACTGAGCCGTGATTGCGGCGAGGCCGGCATTTCTCTGTAGCGGTGCCTCGTATAACATATGTCCGCTCGTTCCCCTGCCTCTTTTTTCGGAATTGACGAAGCTTCTTACGCGATCAAAGCGTGAACATGGCTTCTTTCTTCAATTCTTTCTTTCAAGATGCGTATAGCACAGCTGGCTCGGCCGCTCTGTTGGGAATTCTGCTCCATCAGGCAATTCGCAATGTTGAGTTCGAGTTATACATGTTCCACTTCATGGCCGCCTCCGTTGTATCGTTCTTTGGTCTGATCTATGGTTCTGTCCATTTCGGTGGGCACAGCGTTCCGAGCGCATTTGCAAGAGCTTCTCTATTCGCAACAAGCTTCAATACAGCACTTCTTTCCAGCATTGCTGTGTATCGTCTTGTATTTCATAGATGTCGGAGCTTCCCAGGTCCATTCGGCGCCAAGGTTACACGCTTCTACGCTGCATACCTGAGTTCGAGGAAGGTGCAGTATTACAAAGATCTGGCTGAGATGCACGCCACATACGGAGACTTTGTCCGCACAGGTGAGAAGTACCATCCGATTCTTTTTACGGACAGCACTCTGACAACATTCTAGGTCCACGAGAAATTTCCATTCTCCGCAAATCTGCAGTTCCTACACTGTATGGGCCTAATAGTGAGTTGAGGAAGTCAACCATGTATGGCCAGACCGGAAACGACCAAAAGAAGACTTCTATCCATATGACCCGTGACCGCGCCTCACACAGGGTGCGGAGGAGAGCATGGGATAGAGGATTCTCCATGAAGGGTAAGTGATTCTTCAGCTCGAACTCAAATGCAGTCTTTAACACTGAACCTGTGCAGCCCTTGCCACATACGAACCACGCATCAAAACTAAAGCCGACGCCTTGATTCACCAACTTCGCAACTCGTATGAGAAACCTATGAACGTGTCGTCTTGGGCCATGTACTTCAGCTTCGATGTGATGGGTGAAGTCGGACTAGGAAAAGATTTCAACAACCTAACAAGTGGAGTCGAACATGGTGCTATCCAAGGCGTGCACGACCATATGACCATGCTAGGGATATTGAGTACTGTTCCGTGGCTTCTGAATGTCCTCAGTTCCATACCGGGTGCAGCATCAGGGTACACCGACTTCTTCAATTTCTGTTCCAGTGAAATCCGGGAGAAGAACAAGCACTGGGACAAGGAGAAACAACCTCAGGACGTAATATCTTGGCTTTTGAAGGCAATGAAGGACAAAGACGCGTCTGCTGCGCCCTCGCCCGAAGCCATGGAGGATGATACACGAGTCATAATCATTGCTGGAAGGTATGTTGTACTCTGCTTTCCGCATGTTGTTGCAAGCTGAAGTCCATAACATGATGCTGATGAACGTCAGTGAAACAACCGCTACCACGCTTGCTGGAGTGTTGTACTTTCTTGCCAAGAATCCAGACAAGCAAAAGAAACTTCAGGCGTTAGTAGACCAAGCAATTCCAACATACAACGAGTGGAGCTACGACAAGGTCAGAGGCATAACGTATATCGACGACTGGATTAACGAAACTCTTCGTCTGCGACCAGCACTCTTGAACGGTGGACCTCGCGAAACTACAAGTAAGGGAATCCAGATCGATGAAGTTTATATTCCAGGCAACACCAACGTCTGCGTCCCCGTTCAACTCATCCAAAAGGACCCTAGGTGGTGGCCCCAGGCAGAAGAGTTCGTGCCTGAGCGTTTTGGCGAGAGGCGGGCAGAGATGGGAACTGAGAACGCGCCATATATGCCATTCTCTCTGGGTATGACTCCTACAGGTTGTCAATGTTGCGAGCTGATCACTAACATCATGTTGCAGGTGCCTACAGCTGCCCGGGAAAGAACCTTGCGCAACTCAGTCTTCGCATTTCGATCTCCAGCATTGTCAAGAACTTTGACGTATCGTTCGCGCAGGGCGAGACAGGCGAGGAGTTTGCGAACGAAGTACTGGACACGTTTACTGTGACACTTCCTCCACTTCAGCTGTCATTCAAACCGAGGGACCGAGCTTAAAGCATCAATGTATAAGGGGTTCTCTAGACTGAGACACGGGTCGATAAAAATCGATGATTCCAGTCATACGCTTTCCCGCATGTAGACCTTTTCCAAGTAAACCCTTGCGCGTATCGATTGATGATTAACTAAATTTGGTGCATCACCGACCCTTTATTTCGGGCAATCGCGCTCTTTGGGCAGCGGAATATGAGAATGGCGTAAACCTAAAGCACGTTACATAACTGTCTATCACACAATAACTGTGAGAGAGTCATAACCTCGTCAAGGGTGCTGCATGGAGCTTAGTGTACTGGGTGTTGACAGTTCTGACAGTAGTGACAGCTGGTGGATGCGAATCCGACTGAAAGCATGGGGACGGAAGGGAAAGCCCTGGGAACGAGCGGGGCTAGATACGTTTCAAGATGCGATTCCCTATTCGGCCAGTTTATCAGCCCCACATCGACTCTGACTCGACCACGGTAAGTGGTCTTTGTCTCCGTCACACACCGTCGGGCACTTTGCATAACAGATTTTCCGGCTTGTCTCATCGGACCAGCGTTGATAAAGCATAGGCTGTTTGTCAGGACTGACCAACCACCTAAGAAGACACGAACAACTGTTAAGGTCATCAATTAGTCGTGTTCTCTGGCGAGGCTCTACCGTTGGATGTGTTACGTCTCCCACCGTCAAATTTCAGGATTGGATTAAGTAGACTGGCAGAAAGGCCTTCTATAATTGATCGACTTAATCCTGCCCTTTCGAAACATGATGGTTTGCGAGTCAGGAGACTTCGATTGGCACCGCCTTTGTGGAACTCACAAGCATTGATTTCCCGGTGATTCTCCTCTATTCTGGTAGGTTAACCTTCAACTTCCGTCCACGCCAGTATTCATCAATGCTTCCACCATCGCCACCTGGACAGATCATCCATGGCAAACAACATAGATGTGGCGATGAAAAAGTTTCTGGAGAACAGCTACCGGACAAGGAACAAAATATGGACTCCTTTCGCCATTCATCGAAAATTCCGACGTAGAACGATGGGCAATGTCATGTTCAACACTTTGGAATGCATCTCAGGGACTCGAGTTTGAACAAGAAAGCGCAAGCAAGATTCCGAATACTAGACTCGGTCCATTGGCGACGTGTAACAGGTTATGCGCCGAAATTACACCGTATTCCTCAGGTCGAAGCTGGGATTATGCGCATTGCCACGCGGCCTGGCTCGTCCCCTCAGCACGGCCTGGGAGTCGCGATATGTAGGTTTCAAATATTCGTAATGTCGAGAGTAGAAAGACCTGCTCTTGCCTATACCTTACAGGCTCGATATTCGGATGAAAGGACGCATTCGTCGGCTCTCGGACAAAGGGTTCGCTGCATCACTGACTCGGGCAGGTCTGACATTGGACAGCTTCATATCAATATTTTCTTGAAACATCTATCTACCCTATTCGTATGGATATGCCGTTGGCAGCATTGAGTCGTGGCCTAGGACCAAAAAGCTACAGTTACCTGGAGCGCCCTGACTTCTATAGATCCTACAAACGGGGGCGCAATCTGGCGCCAACTTGATAGTGTTCTATCCACTGGAACGGGATGAGTTCCTCCTGTCAGCTCGAGTAGCCTCCGAGATGAAAAACGGTGTCATGCACATAATTATACACAACAATGCTTGTGTCGTCGAGGATGCGGTTCATGAATATGGCTACTTTATCCTTAGTCACAAGTTGTTCCCTAATGTTTCCCAGCTCGTGCTCAATTGAAAAACGTTGTGGAACAGGCTATTCTTGATCACTGATCAACTCAGTGAACCAGTTTCTGATCACTTTCGCTTACGCCGTAGGATTTAGCATTGCTCCCCAACCCCCAAGAGCTCCCACAGCCTCATCATGTACTCATGGTCAACCTACGATGGCGCCTATTCGACCCAACACACCAATCAAGCTTGACACAGTTGACATGTAGCACGTCGGGTCATCGAAGAACTTCCTGAAGCGAGAATATTACTTTGTCACCTCGACATAGGGGTGGGAAGTACTTTTCGATACGTTCACAGCTACTGGTCAGTTCTCCAAGCTGCGATGTGTCAAAGATTGATTTTCTGTTTTGAGCAATCTTAGTGACTGCAAATGAGGGGTATACGATTAGCATCTCGCGAGATGTTCAAAAGTTTGGAACATGAGACTTGGTAGCGAAAACCAGGGTCGCACAAAACACACTCGAGAGCGAAAAGGACTTCACACCAAAACCAACACCAAAAAGACTTTGATCCGCTCAGACGATTCATCTCAGGACTCAGACCGACAGAGCACAATCTCCCCAGACCAATTTGTTCCTCAAAAGTAGCTACGTCTTGGACCCAGGCTCCAACCAACCCAATACGGCAATCAACCTCCAAGCCTACCGCAAATCCTACTCCAATCTACCTCCAAGCCCAACAACACCCGAGCCCCAACTTCTCACGATCCTACTCCACCCCAATGCCCCATCCCCACACCTACCCCGGAGATGAAGAGCAAATCCTCCTCCTCATTCTCCCCCTTTGGGGCCTGCTAGTCTGCCTATGTTTCTGGATCCTGCTATCCATCTACATTTGCAGCGAGAAGCCGGCACAAACATCCTCCTTCACCGACGAAGAAACTCCCCTCCTACACACCCACGTCGACGCAGCAACACTGCGTCTCCCGCCCATTCCCCACCCCACATTCGTCGTGCACGTCTGTGTCGCACTGGAATCCCGCCCGGGGAGGTACACGCCCTTGTTCGCATTCCCGCACTCGCTTTATATCGGCGTGCCCGGGGAGTTCTACGTCGAGAGGGGGCGCTGGAATGCGGGTGTGGGGCACGCGAGACGACAGGGCAGGGCGGTGAGGGTGCGGTGCTATAGATGGGATGGGACGGCGTTTACGGTGCCGGTGGAGACTTTTCGGCATATGCATATGGGTGCTGAGAGGGTGAGGATGAGGGACCAGGATGTGAGGGTTAGTGTGAGGAGTAGGTCGGTTAGTAGTTCAGCTATTAGCTCGAGTTGAAGACGACGGGGAGGTGTCAGTTGCTGGGAGATGGGGTTGGGGGGCTTTGTATTCCTCATGCATGTGCGTGTGCTTGTTTAAGAGGTTGGGAAATTGGCGTTGTCCATTCCAAGGAAGACTGTTTTGAGAACACTGAATAGATGAAATGTCAAGAAGTGGTACTTCAAGCACTCATCTACTACACTGAATGTTCGCAAATTACTACCGATCTAATCAAATAGCAACATAAAACCGCCGGCATCTCCTCCACCTCGCAACTCCCACCAACAGCCCTCCCAACACCAAAGCCCCCGCAGATATCATCAGCGCCATCTTCTCTCCCCGCTCAAAATACTCCAGTATAAACGCCGTAACCATCAACCCCGCCGCCGCACTCATCCCTCCAAGCGCCATCATGACAGCAGCCCGGGCCGGCATATCCACATGCCAACTCTCGTCCCCCCAGTGGAAAGTCGCAGTGACTTTATTATGCAGCGTAAGGATCGCGCCGAGTAAAACGCCATACGCCGCCGCACAGCCGATTTGCATCCAGAAGTTCGGCATCCAGACGTGCGGGATAGAACTTACGCCGGCGAACACAGTGGCTAGGATGAATGTGTTAACGGGTCCGAGACGTCTGCGGAAGTGCGGTTGAGCGACTATCGTCGCGCTGAGTGCCGCGGCGCCTAGGGTAGCGAGGAGTGCGTAGGCGCCGTCGTCTGGCCAGGAGTGAGACGTTGAGCTGGATTGGATCAGGATGAGGTAGGTGGGCCAGGTAAAGAGGCCGTAGAAGATGAGCATATAGCCTGGGATGAACCATCGTGTGCCGTTCTCGTTTAGAATCTGTCGCCAGCTCTTAGGGAGCTGCATGGCGATTTGGTATTTCTTTGTCCATGGTCTTGTTTCGTCGGGTTCGAGCTTGGTCATGAGAGTGTATGCGATGATTAGTGTAATGACTGTGATTCCTGCGCTAGTAGCATGTGCAAAGGGTTTGTGGCCTTCTTCTTGTCGTCGGAAACACTGCCATGCTATAATAGTGTGGACGACTGCTCCGGTAAGACCTATGAACCCACTTTGCATGGAGACCAGTGGAAAGTTGTTCTTATAATGAGAGCTGAGCACCAATGTGCTGATTGTGAAGATTGCACCGAGTGCAGTGCCTAGGACGGGGCCTTGGAGGATCAGAATTACAATGTAATCGTTGCACCATTGTGTAGCAAGCTGCACGGCGAATGTCAGTGTGCCAAAGCAGAAGAACAACCCGGACCACCACCTGGTATTCCGTAGTTGATTGTATATCCAGCCGATAGGAAACGGCGTAGCAAATATGCACAGAACCTGCAACGCAACGATGAGCGAAAGCGACCAGATAGGTTTTGTAGGTAGTGCCGTCGTGTAGTAGTATTCCAGGTACGGGCCGAACGAGAGAGGGATACCGTAGACGTTAAACAGGACGAGAGAATGTGCCCAGACTGTCCGGTTTCGATATCGAGTGTGTCGCTCCACTCCTACACGCTGCAGGTTTCCTTGCGTATCAAAACCTGTTACCCAGCCACCACGTGGTTTATTAGAGTCGACGCCTTGCCTCGAGTTCATCTGTGCGACATGACTAGGCATTGGTTGGTGATTCGCCATGAGATCTTGCCAGATCGCCTCCGTAAGGCGCGACACGCGTTGTTTTGATAACGAAGTGCGCGCTCCAACGGCGCGTACAGACCTCGAGAAGAGCAAATGACGCGGCTGTCGTTCAAGAGGGACGATGTAAAATACCACTATAGAAGGTGGGGCTGTTGGCAGAAGTAGGAACAACAGCAATGGCTCTGACGAACGCACATACTTGCGTGTCAGGATTGGAGTTGATTGCGCCATTGTCAATCCGCCGTCTTGTGAATGGATCATGTCTGTTTGTGAAGCGCTGTGATTCGTAATATTCGAGGCGATAGTACGCAGTGAAGACGTGGATGGTGTGAAGTTTGGTGGGGTGCAACAAGAATGGCAGGAGCAACCCAGTAATCACACTGCGCGATGAGGCATGACGGTGATACCACTGCTAGTGATAAGAAATGGGGAACGAGTCGATCTAGAATTGGAATAGAAAAACGCCATGCTACTTTCGATATTGAAGTCATCCTCGTGCACACTAACCACACGCGTAAATGGACGCAAATCCCAAAGACCCAAAGCGCCAAACTCGAAAGCCAATTTGAAGACGGCGAACAGACAAACTCGTTCAACCCGTCCATAGCACTTTAGAAGATGCTGTTCACAATGTTACTTCCAATAGTCGCACCCGCACCAAAGATGGCCGCATTCCCCAGCTTCTTGCCAAACTTCTTACCAGTCTGCTCCGCCTTGCTCGGCTCGTGCGGCTGCTGCGCGCTGTTGCTTACATCCAGCGGCATGTTGCCGTAGTTGGTCGGTGCCGGCGCACCTGCAGGCACCATGCTCTTCTCGTCCTTACGCACGTAGCTCGCAGGGAAGATACCCTCAGCGCCAGTGCGCTGGTTGCGGCCCTTCCACCATTCGGCGTTCATGTACTCTGTGACAGCAACCTGGTCGTTGGGCATGAGCGCAAGGTCGCCCGCGTCTTGCGCGTTGTACTGGTACATTGCGGAAGCGTAGGTGAGGACGGGGGGCCCGACGGGGGCAGTGGGCGCAGAGGGGTAAGCTGGCGGAGGGGCATTGTGAGACGCGTTGGCGTAGTAGCCGATGGCCTCGGACTTCTTCTCCGGGGGAGGAGTCGGCTCGCTCTTGATGTTCAGCTGCGAGAGCTGTTGCACGGGGAGTTGCTGGACAGGGGCGGCCGGGAGAGCGCGCGTGCTGTTCTCGGCGGAAATGGGAAGTTGAGACGTGGCGGTGTCGTGCTGCGCTGCGGTGATCACGTTGGCTTCGACAAGGAATTGGAGGTTCTGTATGTTGTTGTTAGAGCGCGTCGGGGTGGGCTGTTGGGAGACCAACGTTCTTGATGTCGCCCAGGGCACGGTTGATCATCGCATTCTTGAAACCGTCTGCCATTTTGAGGATATGTCTCTTTTGTTATGGGGTAAGTGAGTGTCGACGAATACAGAAGGCGCGAAGAATATGCGCACTCGACTTTATTTGCGGAAAGGGCTGAACAGGCTTGCGAGTGGTGAGACAAAGGTTCGAAGTTCCGGCGGAGCTGATCACCCACTAACGTTAGTGGGCCCCACGCGGCAGGGCTGTGCCGTGGAGGCTGTGCAAGCTGGTTGCGCAACATGGCGTTCACTCGAAGCCTATTTTGGGGGAGAGATTGTCGCTGTGTTGTTCGACAAATGTGCATTCTCTCCGTCAAGAGGAGGTTCGATTACTATAGGTTCACTCCATCGCCCTTTACTCCTACCACCTAGTGCATTCCTTCCTTCAAGGTAGGTACCATGATCTTCTGGAAGATTTCCTGTCTCTGCTTCTCAAATCCATTGAACGCATTTACCGAAGTTCCTACTGGAACCTGGTCGTCCCCGTTCACCAGCTTCCCCCACGCGTCCGCTGTAAACTCTGCCAGCGGCATGCCGATATTTCCTCCGTCCTTGACATCTGGCTGATGTTTCGCATCATGCAACTCCGTCTGTACCGCTGGCGGGAAGATCTCAATGACTTTGATGTTTCCTGGTCCTTGCTTGAGTTGTTCTCGGAGCGAGAGAATCATGTGGTGCAGCGCAGCCTTTGAGGCGCAGTAGTTGGGGCATCTAGGGAGAGGCAGGAGAGCAAGACCGGAAGTCGTGTAAATGAGACTTGTCTCGCCAGATTGATTTTGGAAGAAAGGAATGAATGCCTTTGTGAAGTACATATACGATAGGTAGTTTGTCTTGAATTCGAGCTCCAACAGGTCCAAGTCCACGGTTTCAGGTTTGGAGAAGTCGAACGAGCGCTGCATTCCCGAGTTGAGGAAGACAGAGTCAAGGTCAGGATGCTTCTTCGTGACGTCTTGCGCAAATTTGGAAATTTGATCGAGCTCTGTGATGTCAAAGACCATCGAGTCGACTTTGTCGCTACCGTGCTTCTTGACGAACTCATCGAGCTTTTCTTGTCGACGTCCGACAATGATGATGTGCTTTCCGTCTTGAACCATCTTCTCGGCAAGAGCCCAGCCGATTCCGGAAGTCGCGCCTACAATAAGGATCTTGTTGTATTTGAAAGACATGGTGGCAGATATAGAGTTGGAAAATTGGACACAAGCCGGCACTCTGGTTCGTTTTTATACAATGCCGTTGTTGTTGTAAGCATGATGATGACAGAGCTCGGCAGGTGAATCTACGAATCTGTAGATACTCATGATTAAAATTGACGCCATAGACCTCGACGCAACGCAGGGGTTATAGAAAATCAACGGCTTTAGCGGACTTGGGGCGACCAGACTTATGCAAATTGAAGGTCTGGAATAATTTTTCTTGCTGAGATAGTCATGATGTAAGTACCTGCAGCCCTATGAGTGATTTACTTGACAGCGGCGTAAGACACCGTTAAATCCGGACATCTGGTGAACACCATCTAGAGATGCCTTCAACGTAGGAAGTTAATATTGTAGACACAAGGAATGTCGTATTCGTCGTATCCGGCGTATCCACGCGATGACATCACGTCTAGACAATTCGTCGTTCGAACATCTCCCACTCACCTTAACTTCAACATTCCACGGCAACGCTCTCTCAACTTGCCATTATGTGAATCACACCCCTCCAAGATCTCAGTCCCACAATCCATTCACGCGGACGACGCGCGTTTACGACAATGCTACCAACCTCGGCTTACATCCGTCTTGCGCTCAATCTCGGCATACGCTTCCATGACTGAACAAGCGACACGCACATTGCATGCAGCTGTTAGGTCCCAGGTCAAGAGTGAGAAGCATCGGTCCCATACAATAGCAAAGACAAACTCACGTTGAGTTGACGTGAGTTGCTCGGCATTACAACGCGGTATATTGAAGAGCCCCGTGTGAGCAGACGTGCCTGCGATGTAAGTATTACTTTTGTTCAAGCATTCCTCATCAGCTCATAGACCATCGAGTCGGCCCCTTAATCGCTGTGCATCTCGTCGACGTTCTCTCATGCAGCATATTCCGGACTTGATTTATGTGTATATGGAAGCGCGTCTCTCGTACGAACGCAATGGATGTCGATGTACGGTCGATAGTTATCGCTTCACTGCAACCGCACCCACCTTTACTATGTGGTAGCCATCATCACGTGAACACCTCATCTTCCGGTTGATTAAAGTTCCGCTAACCGCCTCACTACATACTCTTTAAGCCAGTACTACTCACTACTATCGGCCAGTAGTCGGCGAATTCCTCGGCGACTCTCACCAGGCACTCTACATGTTACGGAACTTGGGTGAGCCGACAGAGGTAGCGTATTGTCAATACTGTCAACACCATGGCGCGATGATATGAGACATAGTTCGTTCTACGGTTAAAGTCATGAAAAACTCTTGAGACATGCATCTGTACCACGGAGCATGGGTTTGAGTCTCACATAGTGAGGTCATTACAGTGACTCTCGACTATTTGTCTGAATGGCAAACTTATATAAACGTATACTGCAGGAGCTTCTCATGATCGCTATTGTAGCAGTTCGACACATCGCTCAGTAGTCCAAGGATTACCATGTCACTACAAGTGATTAACTTACTGGCCTGCTGTTCAACCATCGAGGCAATGGCTAACAATGGTATACGAGCCAAGCCTCAGTATCGTGTTGCTCGATTGAGTGGAGAAAGGAAGCCCACATCGCGAAACAACCTCAACCCAGCGAAAGGATCGTATCGTATTACCATAGCGCAAAGAAATCTAGATGTCAAGGTTAGGTGGCGAAGATCACCACTTCAATTGGGCTACAGAACACCCGCCATCAGCCTCCTCGCCGAAAGTCCCGATCCCGTCATACCACCGCTCGAACCCGTTCGCAGGTACGATCCAGTATCGCAATGCGGAACTGCCCCCAATTGCTCGTGGGACAAACGCACGGCTCGATGAAGGGGTGCAGATCATCGCCAAAAGTATCTCCACCCCACACTCGACATATGTAGTACAAAGCTTCTGTTTGGGGGTTCCACGTTTTCACGCCAACATTCGCCATACAAGGGTCTCCTGACTCGCTGCCCATCGTTCAGTAATCCTCGACGATAAGATTGTGATGGACAGTATGTATGCTGCCTTGTCGCAACACATATCGATTTCGCAGTGTCGAGAGTTCATGCTATCCCATATTGGGGTACATCTGTTAGGAACGTCGAGGTGATGCGAGATGCTGGTGTTAAAACTGAACAGAACGTTGCATAGTGCATGTTTCGTTTCAGGAGAGCGTTGAACACAAAGAAACGCTATAACGTAACCGTGTAAAGCATTTCGTGCCGCCTCGCATATTTTTCCGTGCCGCCTCGCATATTTTTCCATGCCGCCTCGCATATTGTTCCATGCCGCCTCTCATATTATTCCATGGCAACGCACGGAGTAGGTATTCGAAAAAGGCAATTCGGCGACCCGTGGTACGCAACGAACCGTGATCTATTGCGGGTCAGGGGCCGGACGTTGTTAGTTCCTGCCGCTAACAACAGAACCCAAATCCGAGTTTGTCGACTATGACGATGGCTCAAATGCGGGCAACCGTGTATACATCTTAAACTCTTATGTTCCAACCTCACCAAACTCTATGTTTGTGCTCGCCTGTTGAGTTTGTAACAAGCGAAAAAACCCATACAAATATGTGCCATGATTCAAGTGAAGCAGACGTAAGTTTCCTGGTCATTAAACCAAGATCAGCACTCCTGCAGATGGTGTCTCATGGCAGCTGCCAGAGACTTTCACTCGGTATTCGCGCCCGATTCCCGGGACGGGAACTAACTGGTTTAGTGAGTGATCTGGGCTATCACGACCACTGCTGTGGCCCGGAATGAATGCCGAATCTGGTAGCGCCACGCTATCAATCTGCTCCACTACTGATTGTCGATGTCCTGACGATCCGGGTTCCGAACAAGATGAGATCTATGCAGTCTTCCGCCGAACATCCTGGTGCCTTGCTTGGTCTTGGGAGTGACATCTTAGCACTATTGGTACATGTGGAGCGTATCTGTATAAGTAAGCCTAACCTCCTCAATCATGTGAATTTCGTCCTTGTAAACGAAAACTTCAACGACCTCTTCTTCCAAGCATTCATGCACCGTCAGAATGCCGTCATTTCTTTTAGACTCGACCGGATGGACCTACATGGGTATGATGATCGTCTGGACGGTTGCTTTCATCGCCGGTGTAGGTTACCTATGGATTAATCGCCAGCTTCAGTCACTCCGCATGCGAAGAATTCCACTCCTTCTTGCTGGTCTCATCCCCCTACATCTTTATGGAGTCGTCTGCCTCTTGTCCTATCTTCTCGGTCCACTCCTCCCTTGCACAGCTGAGTACTGGGTAATGAATCTATACCTTCCCTTCGGTATTGCTATCTTCCACGCAACGAATAGCCAGTTCTTGCACATCGCGAGTCGACAGAAACAATTTGCGCATATGAGCACACTGAAAGCCTCCAAATCAATAGACCAAGAGAGAGCGCAACGGGTCGCAAACAGTCGCTGGAGGAGGATATTCGCTGGCGTAGAGAGATCTGACAACATCGAACGTACATTACTACTTATCGGTGTCGGGATAGCTATCCAGGTAAGACTGAAACCTCCTGTCTTGACATGTGCACCCACTAACATATCGGTTTAGATCCTACTCGCTCTTTTCATTTTCCTCGGCTCTGAAAAGTTCCACCCTGGCTGGGGACTTTTCAACTACACCATAGATGGCACTGGCATGGAAGCAAGAATGAACTGTAGCAAAGGCTGGGAGTGGTGGTTGTCTATCATTTGGCAATTCTTCTGGGCATGGTTCTACGCTCCCTACATGCTGTGGAAGTCTCGTGGAGTACGAGACGTGCACGGCTGGCGAATCCAGACGATTTGCTGCTGCATCGTTGGGTATGCTGTCCTCCGAATCGAAACAATGCAAGCTCAATGCTAACATGTCCAGTCTTCCGGCGACTCCTCTCTGGCTAGCAGGCCTATATATTCCCCAGATGGCCCCGGTCAACGCTGTAATGCCTCCTCCCGTCTGGTTCTCTGCCTGCATCTTCTTCATGGAGATCTTCACGTTAGGGTTTCCCATTGCTGGAGTCATCAAAGGCAATAAACTGCGTCAAGAGACCCTTGAAGCCATCGCAGACTGGGAAAAACGTCAGGAACGGAACAGCGTTGCTTTTGTCGATGGCTCGCTAAACGACCTCAGCCTTTACTCCGACACAACCGCTCTCAGCATCGGCGGTACAGCCACTTTGAAAGGCAAAACGTCTTTTGAGTCTTCCAAATCTGACCTGCTCACAATGACTGCCCTAGAGAACGCTCTTCGAACCAACGCCCTCCCACTTCTGGAGTTCGCTGCTCTCAAAGATTTCTCGGGTGAGAACGTAAGCTTCCTAACCCTCGTGGCAGATTGGCGACGATACTGGCTCTCGCCAAGGTCCACAATGACCCAGCACCGTCGCAGACAATTCCTTGCGGCTGTCCGCATCTACGCTCACTTTATTTCCCTTGAGTTCTCCGAGTTCCCAATCAACATCTCTTCAAAAGAAATGAAGACCTTACACAGCATATTCGAGAAGGCGGCCGTTGTCATGTACCGCACCCGACACAACTCGCTATCATCAGAGGTATCCGATTCAATCACACCGTTCGACAACGTACAGCCAGAGGAATGGCCTGAGTCTCCTACACTTCCATCCTACTTGGGGGAAGCCTTTGACTCAAAGTCCAGTCCGAAGTCAACCGTATCGGATCTCGACAGCCTCGGTCGTGCAAACCTCAAGGCCGTGTCACACATACAGATGATCTGCGAGGATGATATGTTTGCCAACGTAGCGGTTCCGGACGCATTCAATGAAATGGTGTTTGATGCTGCCGAGACAGAGATCAAGTACCTTACACTGATCAATACCTGGCCACGCTTTGTAAACGCCGGACGTGCTGCTAGTCAAGCGAGTATAAACGATGAGGAAAAGGGTAATGGATGGAAGGGGAAGATGTTGTGCTCCCGTTAATCCGACTATTACCACATCATCGCGGTATCCTTCTTGTCTTAGCGTTCAAGTCGTCGTGGTCCTTTTCCTTTATTAGGGTCAGCATCTGTCCGACACTCACGAGCGGACGTTACATCGGAATTCTTCTCCGACATATTTGTAATTCATGAGCCGAGGCATATTCTCACGAATGTTGTAGCTTTGATACCCAATCACATTCGTATCCAACAATCAAGATATTACCTAATCCATTTGTGACGTATCACTTCTGTCTACCTTCCGATTTTGGCCTAGCTTATCTGGCGTCACTAGTTACGTCTGCTTAACCTCAACCTTCCTAAACATCACCATGGCCAAATCTTCAATTCCACAGGCACTAGCCAAGTCTGAGAAACCCAGGAGTTTCTGGATCGCATCGCATTCGCTTCGACTTATTCTGCCCATTGGAGCTCTATTGCTCCTGCTTCAGCATTACATCATCGCAGACAGAACGCCGCGATGGCATCTTCCTGGATCAGACCTCACCGATTCGAAATCCAAGTGTAATCAGGTTGAACCTCTCTTCCCATCGAAGAAGACGAAAGAGTTGGAGGATGTTGAACTTTACCTGAAGTCTGACGCTTTTCGGGAGGTTGCGATTAATCGTTTGTCGGGTGCCGTACAGGTGCCAACTCAGAGCTATGACGATATGGGAGACGTCGACGTGGACCCACGCTGGGACATCTTCTACTCTTTCGCGGACTACCTCGGCAGGACCTTCCCGCTCACACATGCAAGCCTACAGCTCGAGAAGATCAATACCCATGGCTTGCTGTACACCTGGACTGGTACGGATTCGTCGCTGAAGCCTACGCTGCTGATGGCACATCAAGATGTCGTGCCTGTTCCGGATAGCACGGTTAAGCAATGGACTCATCCGCCTTTCTCGGGTCACTACGACGGAACGTTTGTGTGGGGCAGAGGGGCTAGTGACTGCAAGAACCAGCTTATGGGTATCCTGGGCGCAGTTGAGGCGCTCGTCTCCGCTGACTTCAAGCCACGCCGCACGCTCATCTTGTCGTTTGGTTTCGACGAAGAGGTCTCGGGTCAGAGAGGCGCTAGGGAGTTGTCTAATCACCTCCAGTCAAAGTACGGACACCATGCCATCGCTGCCATTATCGATGAAGGCGCGGTAAATATTGAAAGTTGGGGTGCCGATTTCGCAATTCCCGGCGTTGTAGAAAAAGGTTACATTGATGTCGATGTGGTTATCAGAATGCCGGGCGGCCATTCGAGCATTCCGCCAAAGCACAACGGTATCGGAGTGGCCAGCGAGTTGATCACGTTGATCGAAGCGAATACCTACGAGCCAGAACTTGTAGACGGGAACCCATACCTGGATCTTCTATACTGCGGAGCCGAACACGCTCAAGAGTTTCCCAAACAGGTCAAGAAGCTTCTGAACAAGCGATCCACTCGAAGCATGACGTGCTCGAGAAAACACCACAAGGACGAACTTGCGCTGGAGGCTGCAAAAGCCGGATTAGCTACCAAATACCTTTTCACGACCTCAGTTGCAGTTGACATCATCCAGGGAGGCGTGAAGAGCAACGCCCTGCCCGAGCGCACACACATGACCGTCAACCACCGTATTAACGTCGGATCGAACTCAGACGCCGTCAAGAAGCACATCACCTCCATAGCTGCCCAAGTCGCACACAAGTACAACCTCACGCTAAACGCCTTCAACGCAACCGAGTCCCCCTCCAGCATAACCCTCTCCCACAACGATAAGATTCTCGAGCCCTCGCCCCTAACACCCACGTCCCTTCACCCAGCCTCCAACACGACGCGCGTCACTCCGTTCTCGGTCCTTTCCGGCACGACGCGCGCGCTGTATGGCACGGATCTGCTGGTCTCGCCGGGCATTATGACGGGCAATACGGATACGCGCTTTTACTGGGATCTGAGCGAGAATATCTTCCGATATGGGCCGGGCTGGGATAAGGATCAGGTTGGGCTTGGGAATATACACACTGTTAATGAGAAGGTGGGCGTTGATGCGCATTTGGATACTGTGCGGTGGATGTGGGGGTTCATTCGGAATATGGATGAGGCGGAGTTGTGAGGGTGTGTTTGTGGGTGGAGAGAAGTGAGGTATTGGAAAAGCGCTCGTTTTTAGTAGGGCCTTGTAAAGTTGGATGACGGGAGACTGTTCTTGTGGTTTTTGACTGCGACGAGGTGTTTTTCCGCCTTATGAAGGTCTCTGCTGGAGATCAAGTCCACAGTCTTCCACTTCGGTGTCTTTGACGAAGTGAAACATGTCGTTGTATTCGTCAAGGCGCGTCTCTTACACAGCTAGCCTGGCCTGGTCTACACAGTGACAAACTAGTGACCAACCTTTTCGTAGCGTCAAAGCAGTGACCAACCACCTTTCCCTCAAGTCTCACTCATAAGCGACTTTTACACCACTACCATACACTGATCGGCTCTACCATGGTTCGAATGTGTAGTTTTTTTTGAGTACCTCACATCACAAAGTGCCATCGTGATTTTATCTTGCATGATTTCCAGTCGAGAACCCCACACCCTCGACCAAAATACCAGCTATGTGTTTACCAATTATTGGTTGGGAGGATGTTCTTTTCTGGAATCGGTACATCTGGGAGCCGTTCTTCTTCATATGCATGAGCGTTTTGGAACGCAGAAGACCATGTCCTGCTTTGCATTTCCCTTTTTTAGGAGGATGAGAATAGAAAAAGACAATCTATTCGATAGGAAGAGGGCCATGGAGTTTTTCATCGCATCTTAGTGTACCCTGCTTTATTCAGGAGGTTGTAAATACGTTCTGCATGCAACGTCTGTATTGAGGATTTAGATAACGCATCGCATGCACACATCCGATACATAATTCCTCTTTTTCAGCACGGGGAAAACTCATAGAAAGACATTACTGCCCATTTTCGTGGAGTTAAAATCAAACAAACAACAGATGGAAAAGGTAGAAGGTGTACCGAAACTACACCACCACACCATACTAGATTCTCGTTCCCTTTTCGTTGCGAGACACCAGCCTCCCATCAAACCATCGTTGACGGTTTTCAATTTAAGATTTTCACAGACTACTTGCGAGACGGTAGATTTCTGGTGCAACAATATGCCAGCAAGCCAAGACAAGACAAGACATATAGTGGTGGGAACGGTTTTCAGACCATAATTTTCTTGTTCTACCCTTTTGTCTCGCCACATATCATGTTGTATGAAGTTTTTTGGTACTGAACCCCGACGAACCACGATGCGAGGATTGGGCCCAGACATTTACGTACAAGCAATTTCTGCCCAGAACGAGCATGTAAGCACTCTGCAAATCTTTTAGAAAGGGGAAAAACCCCACATAGCCCGAACTTCCATAACTTTTGGTTCGTTTTTCTCAGGGAACCAAATCGTCTAGAACAGCATTGCAAGTAGAAAAGTCTGGGACCAGGAGAACAGCAACCCATACACTGTTTCACGTGACGTAAACAACGCAGAATATGACTGTAATGCAGCCTGGGATTTGAACTTGAACCTATGGAAGCGCAATGGGAGAAAGACTGGTATGATGTTCTTACTGGGTCGCTTGTCAAAATCTGGATGTCAAAGTCTGGACGTTATGTGGCAGGATGGTGGTATCGACCGGTTTATCTTGTGGATGTGTAAGAGTCGGCGTGTGTGTACCGTGGTTCGAGGGCTGGGGGGAGAGGGAGGCAGCCTGGTGTGCGAGGAGCGGGTTGGTATAAAGTGCCTGTTTGCGTTGAATTCCTCTTTTACTCATCTCTCATACACATATACAGACTTACATACACACACTTACACACACACACACACACACACACACACTACAATGGCCTCCCTGATGGACCTACCGCGCGAGCTGCGCGACATGATCATCGACGACGTCCTGGGCTCTCTTGCACCGGCCCCTGTGCCCTCACACACGGATGCCACCGACGGCGAGGACACGGAACCTCCCTCGTCAATCGTGCACACGTACGACACCCCCTATCCGCGCATCCCATGGCACATCAACCCCCTCCTCCACACGTGTGCACAGCTCCGCGTCGAAGTCTCCCAGCGCGCAGCGTTTCTCAAAACCCCCCTCGTCCTCGACATGCTCATCCTCTCGGACGGAAACATCAAAAGCACCTTCCTCACCCCGCTGAGCCGGCCCCTGGGAAGTAAGATCCACATGCAAGTCCACATCCGCGTGCGGCCCGTCAAAGTCCGCTTCTACGAGACGCGCGTGCACAACGAGACGTTTAGGACTGTGGGGCCGGTGCGCGCACCGTGGCTCATCACGTTTGCGAAACTCACGCATGTACAGCGGATCCCGGAGCGGGTCGTGGCCGCGTTGAAAGAAGCTGTTCTAGGGGTTTTGTTCGCGGATGGGATGAGTGTTTCTGAACGGGCGGAGAGAGCGGAGACTACGAAGTGTACGCCTGTGCTGTTCATCGCGGAGGTGCGCATGGTTGTGCAGCGAGCGGAGGGTGTTGATGGAAAGGTATTGGAGATCCCGCACGGTGAGGATCCAGCGGAGTACTACCAGCCTGGTGATGAGCTCGACGAGTTTCCGGAGCGTGTGGGCGACACTTGGCTTAACGGGCTGCTGGACATCCGGACGGCGTGGTGGTGTGCGGACTTTGAGCGCGAGGCGGGGTCGCTGCTGGCGAGGGTTGGAAAGATGAGACTGGATTTTGAGGGGAAGCATACTCGTGAGTGGAAGATTGGTGGGCTTTTGAGGATGATGAAGGAGGAGATTGAGGTGAGTGCGGCACAGAAGCTGGGGAAGGGTGAGTGGGGGGAGGGGGCGATGATGTTGGAGATGAAGAGGAGGTGTGCTGCGGTTCGTCGGCAGCGCAATGTCCTGAAGAGGACTGACAGGATGTAGATGGATAGATGTGTTTGCAGTGTGGGGTGATAAGTAGGCAGGATATGGAAAAACGCTTAGAATGAATCTCGATGCAGCGACGAACGTGTCTACTGAGTGATTTGATTGTTAGTAGTCAATATAATTATGGATGAGAATGCAGTGTGCAAGACGTCTCGCCCAGTCTCTTACTCCACAGTGGTGGTTCGTCGCGTTACATGAGGCGTATTTTAGGTGCATGTGCTGAGTCATCTCCCCCACCTGCTTCTCGATCTTGATGGAGTCGGTGAGGTGAAGGCGCAAGGGGTTCGACGCTAGGATGCGATCCCCAACACCCGTCACACCGCTTGCACTGATTCGCCGTGCAGCCGGCTCGGGGGTGAGGTCTGGCAGTGGTGAGTGTGCCCTTTGTTTGCGTGGAAAGGCGTGGACATGCGAGCATTCGCTGGAAGAGACAGCAGAGGCGAAAATAAGGTGCGAACCACGAGCGTGCATGAAGCACAAGCATGGCGCCATGATGTCGCGAGACGCCGCATCGACCAGCAATTGGCCCAGGGGCGCGTGGGCACAGACGCTGCAATTCGCACTGGGATACGCTAGCCAGCCTTGCCGAGAACCTCCTAATGCTCCTGTCGAGTCCCCTCGCCCGTTGCAGCGTCTCTGCCTTTGCTTTTGCTGTGCCTGTCCGCTGTGCTGTTGCCGTTCACTGTACTCGGACTTTGTTGCTTTAGGGAGTGAGGGCCCCGTGACGCGTTGCATTGCTGCTCCTTTTGTCTGGAACGGGCGGGTCAAGATTTCGGTCCCTTGAAACACTTCCCACGCCAGCGCCGCTTGACTCTCGACTGGGCGCTGGACTGACGAGATCAGCCATTCGCAGCGCACACGGCACCCGCGGCGCCTGTCAGTCTTTGTTGCGGGACCCTGAACACGCGATACCCCACGACAGAATGACAGACACGATGCATGTCGAGGAGCCCGCCATGGGAGCCGACAAACTCAAATTGGACGTGGAGAATGCCATGACGGTCCCCAGCAATGAAGAGACGCCAGTGCGCTCGCCCAGGTCACACATTGACAGCTCGCCGCTGCCGACCGACTCGATGGTGACAGTGCCGCTGTCCGAGGCCGACAGCGAAGACGCGCCAGACGAGCAGAACACACACGCAGAGGAGAAGGGCATAATGTCACGCCCGAGCTCCGACGAGATTCACAAGGCCTTTGGCCGCCGCGACAGCCCCACCAGCGTCCATGTGCCGGCCATGACAGTCCACGACACGGACGCGCCTGAGATGGCCAAGTTGTCTGGCCACTCGAGAAGCGACAGCAACAGCTCGGCAAAGAGCCAGCAGGTCGATTGGGAGGAGCTGGAGAAGAAGGAATCGCTGGAGCCTGAGGGGGCTGGGCAGGATGAGGTGAGGAGTGGCCGTGATTTATCGTCCCAGTCGCAATACTAACGCTCAACCAGGCCATGGCCCTGCTGCTCGCCCGTCTGGAGCAGGAGAACAACGCCCTCATGTCCGACTCCAAGGCCACGCTGAAAGCAAAGAACAAGTCTGCACGCTCCCGCAGTCAGTCCCGCCCGCCGTCGTTCAACCAGCTCAAGCGCCTGGTGCAGGACGAAGAAGCCTCGCAAGTGCGCTTTTCGCAACTGCCCTCGCCGCCGCCCATGACAGAGCTCGAGTTTTGGGCCGCCCTCGTGCGCGACTACCCCCAGACCGTACAACGCCTGCCCACCCTCAGCCTCAATAAGATCCGCGGCGGCATTCCTGCGCCATTGCGCGGCGTTGTATGGCAGAGCGCATCGGGTGCCAGGGACAAGCTCATCGAGGACCAGTACGACACGCTGTGCGGCGAGTCGAGCCCATACGAGAACATCATCAACAAGGACCTCGGCCGAAGCTTCCCCGGCGTCGAGATGTTCAAGGACCCTGAGGGTGAGGGGCAGAAGATGCTGGGCCGCGTGCTCAAGTGCTTCAGCCTGTACGACAACAAGATTGGGTACTGCCAGGGTCTGGGCTTCCTCGTGGGGCCGCTGCTGATGCAGATGGGCGACAAGGAGGCCTTTTGCGTGCTCGTCAGGTACGTCACACACATAATAAACTCAACACATGCTAACACGCTGCAGGCTCATGGAAGACTACGACTTGCGCTCGTGTTTTCTGCCTGACCTCTCGGGTCTCCACCTCCGCATCTTCCAGTTCCAGAAACTGCTGCACCAGCACATGCCACAGCTGGCTCAGCACCTCGACGAACTGCAAATCGGGTCCGCATACCTATCGCAGTGGTTTCTGTCCTTCTTCGCCGTCACGTGTCCGCTTCCCATGCTATTCCGCATTTACGATGTGCTGTTCGCAGAGGGCGCATCTGAGACCATCATGCGCGTAGCCCTCGCCCTGATGAAGAGGAACGAACAGAAGCTTCTCTCGCTCTCCGAGTTCGAAGATGTTATGCAACTGCTTCTAGGACGACAACTATGGGATCCTTATGGTCGCAAAGCAGGGTCTGCCGATGAGCTGGTCGGTGACTTTGTGGGCTTCACCAACGATGTTACACGAGAGAGATTGCAGGGGCTGGAGCAACAGTACAAGGAAGCGCAGGACAGGGATGCGGCCAAGCAGCAGGTGCAGAAGTCGGCCACTTCGTTCCTGGGTCGCTTGTGGGGCCCGTCCAACTCATCCACCAAATCCGTATCTCTCAGCCCAGGCCTCTCTGCGCCCTCGCGGCCGGTTAGCTTCCTGAGACGCACTCCCTCAAAACAGAGTCTTGCATCAACACTCAACTCCACTGAAGGTTCCGAGGCTTCGAATGCTACCCACAGCACTGCCCTGACAGACCTGTCTCGCGGGTCGAATGGAGACGCCTTGTCAATGAGATCAGGTCACGGGTCCATCGCTATGGGTCACTCTGCAAAGGACAGGGATCTGCACTACCAGATCGAGCAGCTGCTCATGTCGGTGAGCCAGCTGCAACGCCAGAACGTTGAGCTCGAATCGGCACTGCAGAAGCAACGCGAAGACCGCAAAGATGACCATCGTCTCGTGCGCACAGTCGTTGAGAAACTTCGAAAGAAGCAGTCGTCCCTCTCGGCCCCCTCAACCCGGTCGGACCGCCGCCGAACAACCATCACCGCCAGTACTATGGTGCCAACACTTGACGACTCAAACCTCTCTCTATCAGACGAGGCAATAGAGATTGTCGACAGTCTGGAAACCCGCTTCCCAACCGAGCAATACCACACCCGCACATCGTCGATGTTCGAAACTAAGCAGATGCTCCGCGACACGCTCGCACGCACAAAAGAACAGCTTTCCTCTGAAAGCGTACGTGCCCAAGCGCTAGCCCGCGATCTTAACGATCGTGACACGGAGCTCATCTTTGCGCGTGACACGATAAAAGACACAAGACAGCGCCTCGCAGACAGCTACAACCAAAACCAGAAACTGGAAAGGACGATCCAAGAACTACGCCAGACGGCGCGCAAAACATCTGCAGCAGTGTCTTGGTCCGCGTCGGACAGTTCCGACACGCCGCCGAGTCTCTCGCGGTCAACGACAAGCGAGAGCATGGCAGGAGGCTTGCGCGAACTCCGGCTCGGGAGAACAAACTCGACCAAGAGCGTGCGCCCAACCAGCATGATGTTCAACAAGCGCTCGTCCAGTCTCGCCACACAGCAAGTCCTCACAACAGACAACAACACGCCTGCCGACAACGAGGCCCTTCTCCTCGAGCTCGTCAACGCCAAGACAGCAGAGGCGATCGCGCGGCAGGAGCTGGAGGAGATGCGCGGCCGGTTCGAGGGCATGAAGCGCGTCGTCAGCGCGAGTAGTGCCGGCGCCGCGGCGGCGGCGGGCAACGGCTGGTTCGCCAAACCCGCCACCCCGCCGACGATGAAGTCTCCCACCGTTACCGCCGTGTCTGTCGCGTCGCCCCCGACTACGACGACGAGCCCCATGCCGGCGACTGGCACCACGGGCTGGACGTGGGGCGGCTGGAAGAGGACGCCCAGTACGAGTAACGCGACTATCTCGTAGACTGGGATATGTTGGATTCTTGGGACCGTGTATATATCTGTCTGTATATGGGATGGGCGAGGGCATGTTTCTACGACTGTGTTTTTATGTCGATATGTGTGGAGAAGGGGGGTGATGGACGGCCCGGCCCCATCTTCCGTTGTTTTTCTTATGATTGCTTTTTTCAGCGAAGCGGGGGGTTTGCGCACCGATTTTAATGACACTTTTACTGCTCGTTCATATGATGTGCCCTCTCGTTTCTTGTGTGTTTTGAGGTCTTGCTGGTGGTGGTTGTGGTGTTGCTGTTCGAGTGAGAATGCGTGGATGGTATCTTCTACATACTACATATTATGTTGAGCGAATGGAGATAGAACGGCGACGGCTGGTTTGTACTCTTTGCCTTGTACATATACATGTATAAACAAAGGCGCTCTGTATGTCCAAGTAAGTCCCCTGGTCCCTCGCCACCATTGTCAGCCCATACTCGCGCAGTCATACACGACTACCACGACACCCAGCGGACTTATGCGCAGAAAGAGATGAAGTTGAGCATACTGAACGAGGGGAACAATACTCCGTACCCTACTATCTACAATTGCACGTCGAGGTTCATGCAGATGAATAGGAAAAGCGAAGTATAAGTTCTCGACAGCAAGAGTACCATCGGGCAGATACAATACTCGATCGTTTTTCTGGCTTGCAGCGCGTGGGCGGATACGATGGATTGTGGCGCACTGGGGTGGAATACAGGCACGGTGTGTCATGTATGGGTTGTGTGGGATGGGGTAGGGAGCGGGAGGTCTAAGGTAGTCGGGTGCACACTTTGTGAAGGGAATTGCCATGGAAGAATGGCCGGGTCTGACGAGATCACATGTACAGTTTCGGTACGTCTTCGACGAGTACGACTCCCGCACTTGCGATACGGGGATTTTATCGTCCAGTGACACTCTCATCGAGAGAAGGATGGAATTGTAGTGGGAAAAGGGGATGAGGCTAGTAGAACACTGGTAGGAGGAGAGGTCTGGTAATGAGATGGTGTAGAATGTGTAGGAGCAGACAAAAGACACAAGTAGGAGGATGGTTCTTCTATACGTGTGGCGCCTACATGGTGTAAAACCACCGCAACAGAATTTACTGAAGTGCACGCTTTGCGTATACTGCTAGAAGCTTAGGTGTAAAACTCATATACTAATTCTATATGTAGTTGTCACGCTGTTGCAAGATTTGGCGGAGACTCGACTTCTACACTGACAGACCTTGTGATATCTCCTAGAGAAAGGTACAAAAGTGACGTTGTTTCTAACTCTGCGAGAATCTAGTATGCCTGAAGCGGTTTATGGGCAGCCGGCTTCCTCTGAACTACGAATCCGATGCTGTATACGAGATGAAAGATATCATGGAGCCCTACTTCATGAGCACCTTGTTCTGTGCTTTCCGGTCAGAGGAGAAAGCAATTCCTGCACAGAGAGGCCGCTCGCCATTCCATTAACGCGGCGCAGAAGGCCGTCAAAGCCAACCAAGAAACACGAGCTGTCGAAAGCACCCAGAATTTGCAGAGATGAGGGAGTTGATGGTTACGACAATGTCAAAAAAAACTGCGTCTGTTCCATGGAGTCTGCAAATCCATTCACGTAGATACGCTGACGGGTTCTTTGCACCGAGCTCAGGCTTGCTTTGCACACTACCGCAGCTGGCTAGATACTTGGAGTTCGTTTGTGGCGGGTCGTCTGTCCTGCAGAATTTCGTTTGGTGTGTTGCGCAGATGGGCCTTTTCCTTAAACCTTGAAGGGACGGCGATCGGATTGCACACGACGACCAGCATGCGAGAGACTCCGCTCCAGACTATGCGCACTTCCAGGACAGGTCGGTCAACTGCAAGCTTGGTGTCGGGAATAAACACAGGCTCTCTAAATACCTGGACTCTCGGTCAATCGAAATACCAGGAACGAGGGGGCAGCAAAATTATGCAACAGCTGGACAACTACAACTGAGTTTAGTATAAGAACTGTGTGTATGAATTTAGAGTAGTATACGCCTTATGTTTATTTTAACAACTTTTAGTCGTGTAGTTCTGCGACTTGTAGGAGCCACAAAGAATGTAGCTTACTTCCCGCTTTTACAGTTGACCGAGAGCTGGAGTCAAGCTGCGTTCCTCACTACAGATAGCAACTCAACAACAAGACTAAAAGCCAAAAGTCGAGGCGGCTGGACAAATACCAGTACTTCTTCACGAGCAGAAGTTTCACTCGAATTTTGCATGTAGTTGTCCAGCTGTTGTAAGATTTCGATGCAGCTTCGATTCCGGGTATTTTGACAGACCAAGAGAAACAGACACTCTGAACACGATGAGCGCAACTAGACTAAATCCTAGAAATAGATACAACACTTAGGATGTAATAGGCGCATACCGACCGACATCAGGTCACGAAAGTTTTTGTCAGATCTGCATGTACCACCGGGTCTCGCGATGAAATTCAGTCACGAGATGAGACTTGGCCTAGCTTAGCTAGTATATATAACCACGTGACTGAATTTCATCGCGAGACCCGGTGGTAGTTGTCCAGCTGTTACAAGACTCAGCTGCAGCTTGACTCTGGCTCACACCCGGAAGTCGGGCTCTGGGGGCGGCCGCCGCGCAGCGGCGCCCCAGAGAAGATTAGCATGGCCCCTGCACTAAGGATGACACGCTCAATCAAAGAGAAGCTACCATTTTTTTCTTGCGATTGAGCTGCCTCATCACGAAGTGCATTGAACAGATGGTGGGGCGTGCATCTAGGTTCGCGCAAAAATACAAAAATAAAAATGTGACATCTGCTGTATTTGAACTTAACATTGTCGTCAAAATCTGCAAAGTCTCTCTTTCAACACACGCTGATGTGATACTTTTGGTTCTTATAACGAGAGGTTGATGTTCTCACAGAGTGATGTGGTAGCTCAATCGCAAGAAAAAAATGGTAGCTTCTCTTTGATTGAGCGTGTCATCCTTAGTGCAGGGGCCATGCTAATCTTCTCTGTATCGTTTCAAATTGACCAAATGCCCGAAGGCGAAGCAAAGCAAAACTAGAACAATTATATTCACAATCGCAAAAATCCATTTGCCGCAAGCTGCAAAAAAACCGGATTGCTAACGTGGCCCGGGGCTGGCGGCACGAGGCCGCCAGCATATACCAGGTGGTCAGTGCCCACATGGTTAGCGCTTACGCCGTTGATCCTGTGCCTTGCATAACTAAGCTTAAAATCACAATACCTTGCTTTCTCTTCTTTCTTAGTCTTTGATTGTGTTAGTGAAATAACGCACGCTCTATATTATCTTGTAGTCGAAATTCTTGCCGTGGCGGTAGACAATAGACTGGACAGGACGTTCTAGTCCTGTATTCACCACCTGTAGTCGTCTCGCTGATCTTCGCTCGATGTCGGCGACGTCCTGCGTAATCGTGTTTAACATAGCAATATCTTCTTTTCTCTCAAACTCAGTTGCTTTGTCACTACATTCAGTGCTATAGCACTTTTTTCATAACATCATGTCGTGAAGTTATTCAACGCTGTGAACGGGCTAATACAATCCAGGATTTATCGCTCGTAGTCGCCACACCACATAGGACAAGGCGGCAGGGGTATAGATGTTTGATTATACGGTCGTGTTGTTCGGTCGGATCCACCACGTCTTCAACCGTAGTCCCGTAGACATCCCCGGATCGAAGGGCAAGTATTCCGAGCATGAGCTTGACCGCACATACAACGTTGTGTGAGTATTGCATAGACAAACTTTGCATGTAGTCGCCAGGTTGTTGCAACACTTCGCTGAAACTCGATTCCAGCTTTTTTTTAGAGTATCCTGAAGGCCACACACTTTGTGTGGTAGCGCAACAAAACTACAGGAACATATTCGACGAACAAGGTACCCCAGACGTATACCAGCAAGCATAAAGGCACACAAGTTTTCAACAAACGTTGCATGTATTTGTCCAGCTGTTACACGACTGCACAGCGACATAATTTCAGCTCACTGTTTCTTTACACAGCGACAATACCGATCTTGACGCGAGGACATAGTTTGTACAGAAGCGAAACAAATCGACGGTAATAAACATAACTAATAAGGCGCGCTAGACGTATACTAGCATGAATCGAGGCACACAAGTACTCTACAAATATTGTATGTAGTTGTCCAGCTGCTGCACGGGTTTGCTTTTCCCCCCTGCACCATAAGAGTATCTTGGAGTAAGGACAGGAGATCACATGGTTCTTACGGAAGCAAGACAAAATCGCTGGAACCAGTAAGGCACGCTGGGCGTACACCGGCATAAATTAAGGCACACAAGTCCTCCACAAACCTTGTATGTAGTTGTCCAGTTGTCACAAGGCTTCACTGCAGTTGGATTCCAGCTCTTGTACTCGACCGAGAGACAACATACTTCTCGAGGCTTGAGGAGCGAAAAAGTGAGAAGACACTACATGAATCATTGCCAGTTCAAATACAACGAACAATCGGAGTACTTCAGTTCACCATAAACCATCGTCACCATGCTGCCAAAACTTGACTGACGTTCGCCAGCTTTGCCATAATCCTTACCAAGAAAGAAATACCACACTTCCCTCCTCCGTTCATCGAAACAAACAGCCAAATGACTGGGCGAAAAGGTGTTCTCAAGTACGATACAATCGTGCATGGGCTTGGTTCTCTTCTCAAGGCTCTCACCTTCAAGTATGAGCACTTTGATGTCAAGCCCTTCTGGACTATGAGAATTCAAGGCGCAATGACCGGACTCGAGGAGGAAGGACTTCTCTCGCGAGCGATAGTAGTGGACAAGGAACCAGCTGGCGCAGTTGTGGTGCGTCGTTTGGTCAAAGCCGCATATCGCAACGCAGTGTTGAACGGGTACTGGTTCGTGGGACGTCACCCTGAACGACACTGCCGCAATCCTCCTACTCGCCTGCCTCGGTGTCAGATGTGGAGATATCCTGGGTGAGATGAAGGATACCAGGGTCGACCTTCAGGGGCTGAGATAATCCGACGTGACTATATAACCCCCAGGTCGTCAACGCCGATTCAAAGACCACTGTAGTCTTCTGGCATTGTGGATCTAGATGACTCAATGGCCTCTAGTCTTCCACATTGGACTGGTTTACTATGGTCATAGTTCACAGAAGACTGATATGACTGCGGGCTGGATGGCTACATTCATCTGAAGATCTGATATCAAGACGAAAATTCGGGGCAAGCCTGCTGAGAGTAGGGAAAGTGGTGTGACTTGTGGAGACTACAAGACTAATAGATAGTTCGAAGTAACAAGAAAACAGGAAGTCTGGATCAATTCATAACTACATGGATCTCTTGTCAGCGTAGGCAAACTACCTTGTGGCCTTCACGATTCCCTACATATCCCTCCACTTACCCGCCCGATATCCATCCCTACCCCACAGAACGAAGTAAGAGGAGAAACTGTTACGTGAACCTTGGAGTGGGAGCCACGTCAAGGGGTTTGTCCTGAGCGTGGCGTATATATCCTCTCCAGCGGAGCTGACTAGTTCAGCAGACCTATACATATACATGACCAGTATCTTATGCGCCATACAACCGTATCTCCCCCCAACAGAAATTTATATCTATAATGGCAAACGTAAGGCATGCTTAGAGTCCACGCGCAGTGCGGGCCACTTCTACATCGTCGCCCACCTCCAGTGCTTTGAGTGTTGCCATGCGGTCTGCAAGTCCTTTCGGGACGTCGTCATTGGCCTGTTGTTGCGTATTAAGCGCCTCAACTGTTTGTATGTAGTTATCAAGCTGCAGCGAAAGTTTATAATAGCTTCACAACTACATCGAGAATTTGTGCCACATTGGTATGTCTTTATTGCTCTCCGTTTTCGACACTCTATCAAATAGATCAGGGATAGAGTTGAGATTTCGCAAGTAAAATCAAAGAGACGAGCCAGGAGATGTTGTGCTGGCACATGTAATTCACCCGTCCGCCGCACTTCTTCACCTTACTCAACTCCCCTAGATACAAAGAAAGCAACGCACTCTCAACCGATCAATCGATCGAGTCTGTCAGAATCCCAAATCCATACCCGACATCCGCCCGTGTTCCCCGATTTCCACCGCGCGTTCTACTCTTCTGTCTTGTCCTTGCGGGCTTCCTGTGGGGTGAGAAGGGAATGTGTCGAGGCGTTTGGAGGGAAGTGTACTTGGTAGGGAGGATCAGTGCCGTGCTGTCTCATCACCATAGGCTGTTGTGCTACACGGAGGCTTAGCTTTATCACTCGGTTGCACAAAAGCGAAGCATACTTGAAGTAGTCCTTGACACACCTGACATAACCAGACCATGCTGCTCAGTAGCAGGCGACGGCAGCAAAGTAGCAGCTTCCTTGAGAGCTAGTTCGTCGGCCTTCGATGCTGTCTTTCCAGCTTCAGGCGGCGAAGCTTCCAGAGGTGCACTCGCCGGAAGTGCCCTTGCTTTCGCGTCTTCCAGGAGCTCAAGCGCTAGCTCGAGCTGTATGGTAGGGAATGCCTCTGGACGTAGCAACTTGCGAACCTCAACGTCGAGCAGCGCCACAGCTGTCTCAGCATACTGTACAGCGAGTGGCCCGTACTTTAGAGAAAGCATCATGTAGCACCGAGCTCGAATAAGTGCTGGGAGATTTGCTTTCTAGGTACAGATTAGCTGAGATAATATGATGTGGGTAACATGATCAGTTGTATACCGTGAGGAGCTGCGCAGCAAGCCTGAAGCAGCCTCTACCGTCGTGGTTGGCGTACATCTTCATCATGGCATCGTGCAGGGCAATGTACGTGCGCTCTTCCATGTCTAGTCCCGAGTTCGGATCGTCTTCCATGACGATAAGCAATTTGCCAGACAGCTTGTATTTGTGATTGTGATAGTGCACTGCTTCTAATGGTTGTAGCAGTTGAAAGTGAGGGACAGAAGTGCGGGGAGAAGTTAACAGAGCTTCCGCGTTTACCATGTCTGTGCGTGTGACGCGTGCCTTGGCGTAATGTACAGTGAATGATATCGACGCGCTAATCTATTTTCCATTTCTTCTAAATGATTGGGTCTGACCGTTATCTTGATGCACGCGATTACCGAAATGGTAATTTTTCAAAGGCCACAACCCGAGCTTACCAGAATGGCGGACGATACGACTAGTCGCAGTAAGCGCAAGTGAAAGACGATCGATTACAATGAAGAAGCCCTTAGTGCTGCGGTACCATCCGCGAAAAAGCACACAACCGACAAGGCTCAAGGCAGGAACACTAAGAAGTACGACACATCGAACGACAAGCTAAGATCGGAAGCAGCTGCGTTCGTACCAGAAGAAGAAGTCTCAGAAGCTGACACACCACAAGATGAAGATCTCATTTGCAGTTTCACCCAGTGTTTGGACGCGACGCTGCCAATCTGTCTTACACTGAGAGAGTAGCGATGCAATATACGTTCGAGTCGGCTATCTACACAAATCGTAATCTAAGCTTCGTACAGAAGATCAAGACCGCGTTCGAAATTCCTTCTTCTAATGATCGCTCTTGTGCCTGATGATCATCGTCAACGACACTGCTGTCCTCATCGCCATCGTCAAAGAAGTTGTCTGCTCCTTAGTCAAGTGTGAAAGCAGAAAGTAAGCTGTATGCTTCGTAACTTCGAAACGCACAACAATGAGCTTACAAAAGGGCATGCTAGGCGTATACTATTAGAAATCAACGTACACAACCTATACGCTAAGATTCATTGTAGTTGTCCAACTTGGTTCCGGCTTTCACACAAGATAAAGGGCCTGCCTTCCGGGAATTAGACGTCTCATAGAACACAACAGAACTACGGGAGTAAACTCTGGAAAAAATGCAGACTAGACTTATACATGTATAAATCGTGATATGAAGATGTAGCTTGAAATCTCTATGTAGTTGTCAAGCTGTTACAAAATTTCAATGCACCTCAGCAACAGAGATAAAGCGAAATCTTTTCAATTCTGTCTACTATCCGTCATCCCTCACCCCACCCCTCCCTGTAACTACTCATGTAACGTTCCTAATGAAGCATTTTGAAACTCCCTAGTCGAACCAAGAAAAAGCAAGTCCCAGTGATATACGAACGCGCACGAAGAAAAGCAGCACTGACGTCGACTATCTATCGACCGCGCGGAAAAAAAGATACAAGAAATCGATTATCCAGTCTGTTAAAAAATGTTAAAAAGCACCATTCAACATCGAATCAACGTCGAATCAACGTCTAGTGTTTGGGACAGCAGCATACATGGGGGCCGGCCTTGAGAACCGCAGGCGTAGACTGGTCCTCGTATTTCTTAAAGTTCTCCATGAACAGCGTGCCGAGCTTCTCGACCTCGGTCTTGAAGTTGGCAGTTCCAGTCCAAGCCTTGGCCGGGTTGAGCAGTTCGTCGGGGACGTTGGGGCACGACTTGGGGATGGACAGGTTGAACGTCTCGTAGACCTCGTACTCGACGTTGGCGAGCTCGCCCGAGTGGATGGCGTCGAGGATGGCGCGTGTGTACTTTAGGGGGCATCGCTTGCCATTATTAAGCGCGCCCGCGCCGACCCAGCCAGTGTTAAGGAGCCAGGCGTTGGTGTTGTGTTGTTGAATCTTCTCCGCGAGCATCTTGGCGTAGCGCATGGGGTGGAGGGCGAGGAAGGGCTGGGCGAAGCACGACGAGAAGGTGGCCTGGGGCTCAGTGACACCCTGCTCAGTACCGGCCATCTTGGAGGTGTATCCAGAGATGAAGTGGTACATGGTTTGCTCGGGGTTGAGTTTCGAGATGGGTGGCAGAACACCGCGGGCGTCGCAGGTGAGAAGGATGATGTTCTTGGGGTGAGAGCTGGAGATGCAGGGGATCTTGGTGTTCTCAATGAACTCGATTGGATATGCGCAGCGGGTATTCTCGGTCAGAGTGTCATCATCATAGTCAACCTGGCGTGTGGCGGGGTCGAAGACGACGTTCTCCAGGATCGAACCAAAGCGAATGGCGTTGAAAATATCAGGCTCCTTCTGAGCAGACAGACCAATAGTTTTGGCGTAGCAACCACCCTCGATGTTGAAGACACCGGTGTCGCTCCAGCAGTGCTCGTCGTCACCGATGAGCGCACGCTTGGGGTCAGCTGACAACGTGGTCTTGCCGGTACCCGACAAACCAAAGAAGACGGTGACATCTCCGTCCTTGCCCTCGTTCGCCGACGAGTGGAGAGTGAGGACGTTGTGCTTGACGGGCATCTCGTAGAAAAGAACCGTAAAGACCCCCTTTTTCATTTCACCTGCGTATTCAGTACCAAGGATAACCATCTCCTTCTCGGCGAAGTTGATAGCGACCGACGTTGCCGAAGTCATACCGGAAGTGAACCTGTTAGCTGGGAAACCGCCTCCGTTGTAGATGACATAGTCGGGGTGGAAGTGCTCAAGCTCCTCTCGCGATGGGCGGATCAACATGTTGCGCATGAAGAGGGCATGGTACGCGCGGGCGCATACAACGCGGACACGAATCCTGTAACGCTCATCCCATCCGGCGAACCCATCGACGACGTAGATGCGCTTGCGGGTGTTGAGGTAGTCGATGGCACGCTCGCGGTTGATACGCCAGACCTTTGGAAGTCGTTAGCTCACGTGCTCGATAACCACAATAGGAAATTTGCGGGGGAGCGGGGTCTAGCAGGGATCTGGGGAACGCCACCCTCGGATGCGTCTGGCTAGCTGGTGTGCATGACGTCTGCAGCAAATTTCACAAGCCAACGCGTTGCAGATTCAAGGGTAAACGAAAATGGAAAAGGCTTACATCGGGAGCCATCGGCTTGTTCACAGGACCCCACCAGACATCGTCCTTGGAGGACTCCTCCTCAACGATACGCTTATCCGAGGGCGAACGGCCGGTCTTAGCACCCGAGTATGCTGATAGTGCGCCGGAAGCTGTGATGGCGGAACCGGTCTCGTACACGAGGGCATCCTCGTAGAGTGTAGCAACTGAGGGGTTGGCGACCTGGGAGAGGGGTCAGTTTGAAAGCTCCAGCTAGTGGAAGTTGAATGAACTTACAATAGCAACACGGTCATAGTCGATGTGTGCCTTGTCGTGAAGCTCCTCCTCAATCTCAGTGTGTTCCACAACCGGCCTGAAAGATGCATGTTAGTTGTTGTGCTCAGATTCATGACCAAATGATCAAGAGGCGACGAGGTCACATACTTGATACCGGAAGGGTGGAGATTTGTCTTATTGACGCTCGGCATTGTGAATGTTTATGGGGATAGATGGATGATAGAGAGTATGAAGGGATGGTAATATGTTACTGCTTGGACACCTGATGACGGACAAAGTCTTGGGCCAAAGGAGCTGTGTTTGATACTTCAAGTACGGGGTCTCCAGCTTCTTTAATAGCGCTCATACTTCCATCCTGACGACCGTCACTGACGCTCAATCTGTATGTGGACCGGACTCCATCTAGCGCCCTCGCCGCTGATTGGGTGATACGCGTCTACTTGTTGTACGGGTGCCGTTCGGCCTACAGGTGACGAAAATAAAGCGGAAAAGAGCACGAGGGCTGGGTGTGCCCGGAACAAGCGACCGGCAAGTACGCAAGTACCTCCATCTCAAGACTGTTATGCATGTGATTTTTGATGTTATGCTTGTCAAGGTGTCGATGAAGTCAAGTTGCATAGAGATTACACGCCGTGTTGTGTCACCTCTACGCCGTCTTCTCAGCAGCAAAAGCCCGCGTGACAGCATCCGAGAAGTCTGCTTGACAATGAAAGTTTCGGTATTGGCTGCCTTGGGCAAGGTGCTTGGACGGCCCCAGGCGATCACTCTACCCCACAGTCAAGGCAAGCCTTGCGTCACACATGGTTCGGAAACGGGAGCAAGCCACACGTCTTCATTACCTCTTCACCGATCATGCCTAAGATCATTACATATTATGAGGCGAGCTGGCCATCCTCTTGAGATTTTTCGTCGTGCAGAACTTTGCAGTCATACCTCAAGGCAATCGTCGGCTTTGCACGTCCCACACCTTCATGGCTGACTTACGGGGCGCGCATCAATGTCGGGCTGCATCACGATAGTCGGTAGGGCCACAAAAAAGAGGCTGTGCACCTAGAAAGAGTTCCGATTCCAGCTCGTGGACCAACACCCCTGCATGCGATGATAAACCGAAACCTCGATTTAGTGCGATGCACGAATCAGTGCCTCTGGGTATCCGGATGGATGGTAGTCTCAAACCACACTGCTTAGCCGAAAAATAAACTTGAGGCATTTCAGGCCCTCTCATGCTTTATGGCTCACGATGGAGCGGATGTGCTTCCGATGTTGACAGATTGCCGTCTGTGTGTGTTACATCTTTATCTGCGAACCTCTGGATATATTAATCGCTCAGCTGTCCGCACAAGATTGGCAGCTGTCATGCACCGTACCTATCACTTAACGTGGCACGACCAGATGCACAGCCGTTTCGTTCCTGCTTGTGTCAAAGCAAGGAGAGCCCTGGATGAACACGCCAATATGTTTATCCATGGAAGTATGCCACGGCAGTTGCAGAGAGGGAAAAGACAGTAAACATTATCATTAAAGTATATATAAGTCGACGACTGCAAAAGTTTAGCACCCGATCTTCAAATCGGAGTCCAGATGGTTCTGGATGGTATTTCGCGGGGAAGATCCATGATGCGGGAATGTAACATAGCTAGACCCCACTGGGGATAGAGCTCTGGAAAAACACGCTAATGTCCGCGGCCGCGAGTTTTCCCGAGTTCAGGAACCGACACTACACTGTTCCGACCTCTACGCAGCGTTCTCACCATTCTGCCTCTTCTTCGCCTCCTTCTTCTGTTTACGTGCGGCGGGGCTGAAGAATGCCTTAATCTTACGCGCACCACCAAGATAGAGCCAAGTACAGGCAAACACGACTGCGAAATTGAAGAAGACGTACATCCTGCAGACGTTAGCAGTGCACAATCAGATCTGGACTCGCGTGACTTACCACATGAGGCCGAAGTCCCGCCATATGTTTTTGGGGAAGACGTTAAAGGACGCTGCAAAGGCATCGCCTGTTGAGTACTGGCAGAACCCACAGTTCCCGTCTGGCTGCGTCTGCACATACCCGCCTGCCTGCTGCGAGACTTGACCGGCATATGTCTGACAGTCTTGACCCGGTGGGGGAGGGAAGATTGCAAGCTCCTTGGTCTCACACCTAATCTCTTGGCCATGGAGGAGTAACCCAAGGAATGCTTCGAGTAGATAATGGAACGGCGTCAACCAGTACATCCAACTCTGCCAGAACGTGGGAAGTCCAGCGTATGGCACTACGACACCACAGAAAGAAACAACTTCATGGAGTTAGCACAAGAGGCATGCGGCAAGGTAGGGGCACTTACTGAAAGTGAAGAATAGCGGTACCAATAGAGACGCAAGAAGCTCGTTCGGGCAAAAAGAGGCAATAGCTTGGCCAAAACCAAGATAGAACATTTCGAACAGCATCATAAACATCCATACACTGGCAGCCGTGTAAGTGTCACGAGGGAAGCCAGGCGGGAAGTACCAGCAGCACCCTGTTATTCATTAGCATATCATTTCACAAGTGAGTGGAAGAACTTACAGTAGATTGTTCCGGCAATGAGACGATAAGGTACCTCGCTGAGGATTGTACCCCATACCCACGCAGTCCACGAGTAAATCTTTGCGTTACCTTCTCTCGATTCATAGATGCCTCGCACAGAGATAAAGCGTGGCTGCAACTGCTGGATCAATGGAGGAGCGATGGTCAGTGTCATGAAAATAGAGAACAAACGCGATTGCATATCGACCTGAGAGTTTCCGAGATCCCAGAACGTGAAGCCGTTGAAAAGGCCGGTAGCTATGTGGAGCATGGTAATTCCCACCACGAAAGGCGGGTCACGCCAGATCGCAATGAAGCTTCGCTGCACGACGGCAAGCCACTGTTGGGGATAGGGCATCGCATACTCTCGGTCGTCACGCGCCTCGTCGTTCTTGGACGCGTCTCGTCGCTTGGAAATGATGTCCTGGATCTCCTTGCCGAGTTTTTCGTTCGCTGAAGACTTAGCCCAAGTTTCACCCCAATCGTCGCCTTTGTAGTCGGGATTGCCAGCACCTATAGCCTCTAGCATGTACTCCGCTGGATTCTCGTTTGGCGCGCACTTCTTTGCTCCGTTTTGTTCGAAATATTCCAACAAGTTCTTGCTGTCGTGTCCCAGTTCACCAAAGTAGACTGTGCGGCCACCAGACTTCAAGAGAAGGAGTTGGTCGAAGTGTTCAAAGAGGACAGCACTCGGTTGATGAATGGTACAGAGAATAGCCTGTCCAGCATCGGCGAGCTTTCGCAAAAACCGTACAATGTTGAAGGCAGCGCCAGAGTCGAGCCCACTGGTAGGCTCGTCAAGAAAGAGGAGAAGCTCAGGCTTGCTGGCCAGCTCAACACCGATCGTAAGACGTTTGCGCTGTTCTTGGTTTAGACCATTCCCACTCTCACCGATTGCAGCTCCGGCAATGTCCCTCATCTCGAGTAGGTCAATAATCTTCTCCACATAGTCGTACTTCTCCTTGATAGGGACTTCTTTCGGTTGTCGAAGGCGTGCTGAAAACCGGAGAGCTTCGCGCACTGTGGCTCTAGATTCATGAATATCCATCTGTTCTGCAAAACCAGTTGAGCGCTGGAAGGACGATGGAAGCGGCTTGCCATCGACGAGGAAGTCTCCTTGAACGACACCAAAATTGATCCGCTGTGCAAGGGCGTTGAGAAGTGTGGTTTTGCCGGCTCCGCTAGCACCCATGAGAGCAGTCAACTTGCCAGGTTTCACGTATCTAAAGTTGGAGTATTAGCCGTGTTCAACAACAAGTCGGAGACTACAAACCCTTGAACGTTTTGCAGCAACTTCCTCTCGCCCTTCTCGTATGGGATAGTCAGATTAATGTCCTGGAACGTGAAGATGGTCTCATTCTTCGCGATGCCTTCAACAGTTTTCTTGGAGTCGTCATTGTCGTCAGCCGAATGCTTCTCGTTCGTCGCAGCTGAGTCTGCCGACCCTGACTCCTCATCGTTAGGCAGCTTCTTGGCATCAAGTTCCTGTTCAACGGTTTTTGGCACTTGACCCCTCTTGTAGATGGTCACAGCTCCACCGCCCTTATTTGGCTTCTGGAATTCCATACCGGCAGCAGTCAATGCGACAAAGGCGAGAAACATTGCGCAGATGATTCCAAAGTTCCTCCAGAGATGCGAACGCTTATACCCGAAAGCAACATCGACATAGTTTGCCCCGCTAACGGTTAGTGAGCCAGGAGTACTACCTTGAATTGCGCAAGACTGGTATTGTTCTTGCCCGTTCGGAATAGGTGGAGCAATATACGGAGAAACACATTGTAGTTCCAAGTTATAGAACTCGTTTACGAGTAGCCCTTCGAATCCATACTGAATTGGATTGATCCATCTGGTATATTTAGTACTGGTCTAGAGAAGTTAATGGAGTCACTTACCTCAACCAAGAAAACCAAGGATGCATCTTGCTGGGAGGGATCAAATAACCAGTGTACACAACCAAGGCTTGGATGGCCAACCCGGTAATCCTAGTGGCGACATCGAGTGATCCCACAAGAGCACCAACAGCCCTAAAGAAGGCATACATGGTCATCGTGATGATCCATAGAAGCAGAAGTGATATGAAGAACTGCGAAGCTGTCCGTTGTAGGCCTGCCATGAAGTAGACAACAATGTCGAAGAGGAAGACTTGGACGAAAACAAGTGGGATATCGATGATGGTTTGCGCGATTGCGTAAGCAGATGGCCGGTAGAAGGAAAAGCTCTTGTGCTTCATTAAGACCGGGCGAGATACAAAGGCAGACGTCAACTCTGCCAAAGCAAGCAGAGCGTTGAAAAGCAGCATGAAGAAAATAACACCACCTCGCGGGAACGCTCCCGCAGCAGTCGCTGGCAGGTTGTAGAACAATGATCCTACGATAAGAGCCTGGAAAAGGATACCACCCCATTTTCTGTGGCAGTTAGCACGGGTTCTGGATACTATACCACTTCCAAGACGTTCAACAAGTGGTTGGACACGTCTTGATAGCAGGCACATACAAACACGGATTTAGATATATGGAAGAAAGGAGTGACTTACCCTATAAGGGATTGAGGGTCGCCAACCATGACCAGAAACTGGCGCTTAGTGCACGCCATAACTTGCTTGGGGAACGACAAGGTATAATTCTTCTTCTTCGTGGCTTTGGTTGCTGCCGCTCGACGGTCTTCGGCCTGACGCTGGGTCTCTTTCTCAAATTCTTCAACCTCCTCTAGATTCTCCCGGTGTTGTTGACTGTCGAGGAACGCCTTTCCAAATTGGGCGCCAGTCCTTGGAATGCGGTCTTCCCAGCCATCCTTGACATGTCGCTCATGGTCATCTGTCACCGATGTCAAGAAATCAGCGGTCGTCCAACGCTCAGGCTGTACAAATCCAAGACTCTTGAAGTACTCTGCAGCGCGTTCCGATGGACCATAGTAGCAGCATCGACCTTCGTGGATCAAGATCACTTTGTCGAACAAATCGTAGAGTGATTCACCGGCCTGATATAGCGCCACCAAGGTCGAAATGTGTGCCATGTTTGTAAGTGACCGTAAACTCTGTACGTATTCCAGAGCAGTACTGGAATCGAGCCCTTTCGTGGAGTTGTCCCAGGCCTGAACACTAGCCTTGGTTATCATCGCTTCGGCGATGGATACACGCTTTTTCTCACCGCCCGACACACCTCGAATGAGTTCGTTTCCCACCTTTGTGCCGAGAGTGTGCTCGATCCAGAAGAGTTTGGTGACGACGCGCAGAAATTCGTTGACGTAGTCTGCTCTCGACTCACCCTCCTTTCTTGAGTCTTTGCCTGGCGTTCTGGTCTTCAGGGCAAACTTCAGCGTGTCCTTGACCTTGAGAGTGGCGTAGTGTAAGTCTTCTTCAGGGTTGTACAGCACCTCGCTCCGGTATTTCTTGCCCATCTCCTCACTAGATGTTCCCCCATACTTCACAGTGCCTTCTATATCCTGGAAGCCAAATCTCTGGTTTCCAATGACCTTCAAGAACGTCGAGCAGCCAGCGCCGGGACGTCCCAACACCAGAAGCATTTCTCCTGGCTTGATGCATCCGGAGAAGTTGTCGATTAGCGTACGAACAGGCGGCTTGCCTGCTGTTTGGCGAGGACCTTTTGAGGTCAGATTCTTAATGAGCCTGATGGGATTCATGAAAATATCGCCGACTGAAGGCTGCAGCGCTGCTCCAACACCCATGCCCTTCACGGTCAGGTCTTTGAAGATCACACCTTGATGTCTTGTCTTCTCCTCCTCGGAGGCCTCTTGTCGAGTGTGCCCAAACATCCTTGACATGAGTCTGTTGATCTCATCTCGTTCATCGTCGTCGCTTGACACCGTTGCCGTGGTATCCCTACGGCTGAGTCCATTCGATTGACTGGTTCTTCGTCTGGAAAGCATGCGGAACAGATCGTCTTCAGTCATGGGTTTCGACTGACGTTGTTGCAGAGCAGGCCTGCTGTCAGCTTCTGTCGACTTTGTCGCAGCAAATCCCCTGGTGCCTTCATCTTCAGAGTCGGAAGAATCATCTTCCAAAATCACATGTTCCTCTACTGGCTCTCCGACCTCGTTGTCTCGAGGTTCCGCTAATGGAGTGGTGTTGGGCGATGGGACCACGGTGCTGGGACTTGACTCTACAAATGGACCTGCTCCATTTCTGTGGTCCGTATCTGTGAGTCGCCCTGCCGATTTCCCGTCTTCATGTGCGCCGTAAAAACTCTCACTGCTGGTGTGGAGAGCGTTGGCGATGAATGTTCGAGCTGCGGGTTCTTCGCGATGTGTGGCAAGAGCTTCATGCGGTATCTGCTGATGTGTTCCAATGTACGAGTGTTGTCGACTAGGCTCTGCAGGTGTTTCTATCCAACCCCCAGGAAGTTCCGATGCTGAGGGAGTGGGCCGTTCCATTGAAGCTATAGCGATGGCTCAACCCTCCCTACGTGGGTGGTTAGTACTAGTTTTTGGTTCGACAAGATGTCAAAACACAAGCGTCGCTGCAGGGACTAACCATATATCCAAAGACTATTTGTAAGCCCGTGTGATGTTCGCGTTGATGAATCACGTTGATGAGTCGCGATGATTGCAGGCAAGGTGAAGAACGTGAGAATGTCAACAACGCCACGATAAAGTGATCAGAGCGTCGATTTGTACGACTAAAAGCACGTTCGCCGCCATTTTGGACGCGTCGACGATAAGTTTCGCAATATCGAAGTCGTGATGTCATATCGCGATTGTCGGAACCTCGCTCTTGACAAGGACCGGGGCCGGGCGGGTAGAGATCTATGATCGGCACATCAAACCGATCATTACACATGCGCATGTAAGGCCAAAGGCGCCCGCGGAGCCCGGGGTCCGAAGCTCCTTACTGTGTAGAAATTCATGGGGTGCTGATAGGTGCACTATCTGGTACTTGATCCAGTATTTGGTTTCGTATGCACGGTAAGAGCGTACTCGTTGGCATGATGCAATGCTTTTCAGTGCAAGACAATGAAGTTAGCCCGCACTGTCATGTTTAGAGAAAAACGTTGTTATCACCGAGTCAGTTGGATCACTATGGCGTTAAGCAAGACGATAACGCCAAGTGTTGCTTGTCTCAACAACTCTTTGAAGAGCTTTTTCGTTCATTATTCGGCCAAGGACCGATAATTCTTTTCGTATCCGCCCTGTTCCGCCGTTGCTTTGATGGAGTTTCAGGTATTGTTCGACTTTGCCCACTCTTTGAACAACGTAGTTGTTTTAGGGAAGAACTCGTTAATGCTAAAACTTCCCAGGTCTGTCGCTATAGCCAACTTCAAGAGCCGCAGACAAAAGCTCCTGCAAGGCGATGATTAATTGGGGTGGAAAACGAATCAAACCTAACACTTACCAAGCTTAAAATTTGGCAAAATCATGCATCGCCCTGGAGGTTGGCAGTTTTAAGGGATATTGAAGGACGTGAAGCAAGCCATACTCGCAAGGCTCTCGGGATGTTTTTTTGATACGAACTATGCATCTGCCCAGACTTAGACTATCAAATATAAGCCCAGCCAAATCAGGCAACATAAAGATATCGAGGATGAAAATGACAGCAACGATACCACAAACCCCTCTAGAAGAAGTCGATAGACTCAAGAAGAAAACACGGATCAATTGAACCAGAAGCTGACACTAAAGCTCGGCGTCAAACTTCTGATATAATGCCACCACCCCACAGGGAGGTATAAACACTCTCCAGGCCCGAGAATACCCTCAATATACCTTGCATCCTTGAACTCAGGAAACTGTTCTTCGAAATCCCTCCTTCTTTCAACCAAATCATGCTCATCGCCATCCCCATGCACCCCCTCCGCACCACCACATCCTTCCCAACAAGACACTTCCTCATGGACAGCCATGCCCTCGTCCAAATCTACTTGGCTGGTATTACTCATGTCTACTCCACTCTCATCTATACTTCTGGGATAGAGTCTCCTCGTCTCTTCTGGCGCATACAACCTTACATACTTATACCCGACGACCTGCGCCAGAACATTATGATACGGATCTGTATGCAACGGGGAGATCGTGCCTGGGGGTCCAAACCATGCATTCAGAAGCGGTTCTTCTAACTTCGCCGTAGCCTTGACGTGCGGTAAAGAGGTCGGGATAGGCTCGCAATAGCAGTAATCTGGAATGCAAATATCGGCGCGTAAAGAGGGAATCTGAGCGAAGAGGTCGTGCTGCGCTAGGTAGCCTGTTGCTTCATTCTCCTTTTTGAGAGGGGTTTGTGTGCTTAATATGTAGTCCTGCATGAACGAGCTGAAGGTGACGATGCGCTGGCCCCAGCCTTCGGATGTGTAACTTTTCCCTATCTCTACAGGGATCAGGCGTCGCCCGCCGAGCGTCTGCTCAAGCAGATACTCCGAATTATTCCATGGTCGGTCGTCGAGTGCGGGCCAGTGCTCTATAGCACCTTCGATTATGATGGGAGTGTGTGTTTGTGGGTTGGAGAGCTTGGTTTGGAAAGATGCCAGGGACGGATTCGTTGCACGGGCAATGGGGTGGCGGACTGCTGGGCGAAGGTGCGGAAGCTGTGCAGATAAGGTCGACTGCATAGACGGTGAGAGTTTGCGTCGCTTCGCTGGTCGATCGGAGGACTCAAAGTCGGGTTGGAAGGTGACGAGTACGGCCTTGATGGCGGAAAACCACAGCTCCACCAACTCTTCTCTTTCCGGTGCACCCGTGAGGATGAGCGCCATGTCTAAAAGCTTGACCACTTCATCTATCCAGTCGCCCTCTCCTCTGTTCTCGTCACCACCTTCTCTTGTGTCCTCACCTGGTGCACCACGCCCCTTAGACTCCAGCTCTCCCACAACCCTCACCACCTTCCAGAGACTCGCATCCGTGTACAACCGTCTCCAACATGTTTTCACGTCCTTGTACGGCACGTCATGCAATTTCTGATACGCAAGCTTCAAGCAAAGCTCAGGATCATCGGGAAGCAGCAACAGAGCGGCGCGTCCGCATTCGCGGATTGGATCTGATTTTCTAGCTGTAGTAAGTTCTTGGCGGGTTAGTTGGGTGATTTCTTCCAGTGTTGGAGCTGCAGTGGTCATTGTTGCAGTGTGTGCTTTCTGGTGGATGGTGGTGAAGGGCTGTCGAAGGGAAGGGTTTGAAGATGCATGGCTTTGGCGCTATGATCCTTCCCGTCCTTCGCTTCTTCCCGCTTCAACAAGGGCATCAATCGAGAATAACTATCAAAAGCCGATGCATATGCCGAGTTAATTAAGATGGTGTTCCATCCCACCGGCGCGAACAAATATTTCGCACAATCACAAGGTCAAGATTCGCGAGTGCAAGTATTAGTTGAAATAATAAAAAATTGATATTACATTGTTCGTCCAAGAACTTATTATTTCCAAAGCCATTGTATCAGCGATAAACTTCATGTATCAACACAATAGAAACGACGTAGTAATCCATCAACCCATATTCTCCTAGATACCTTCAAGCCAAATCCTGAGGCCCAACACCTCCTCGAAGGGAACAATCCCGCCCACTTCTGGACACATCGTGACACGTAAAACATGAACCCGTCAACGCCAACCATTTGGGGATATCATGAACAAGGAATATAAAATACAGGGAGAGACAGGCAGGCTATGCAAAAAGACAAAAGGTCCACAGGTGGACAGGGGTATCACGCAAGAGGAAAATGTTTCGAATGTGGAGACGACGAAAGGAGACCGCCTGCATCCTGTAGGGATGGGGCATCATAGTTGGGCTGGGTGGGATTGCTCTGTATAGACATCGATGGCCGTGGAAGGAGGAGGCCACCTGCATCTTGCAATGATGGAGCATCGTAGCTGGTTTGCGTCAAAGTACGATGTACCGGCGCAGTCTGTCCAGTTTGTGGAGGAGAGCTAGTTGGAGAGACAGAATGTGGCGACGAGGACGCCTGCTCTTCTGCCTCCATTGCGAGCTCATGGTCTTCCGAAAGGAAGCCGCCAATATCCTGTAATTGATTGCTTGGTCGTATGGATAACTCGTGGTCTTCAGATTGCTGAGAAAGACGCGATGACCGACGTACTGCTGGGGGATAGGCACGGCCATTACTCATGAGGGTGGAGGCTCTTGAACCTCGCCGAGGGTGAGGCGCAAAGTCGTGAGCGACGACCGAGTCGGTAGGTGAGGGAGCTGAGACTGAATTTTCAAGAAGGCCACCGACGTCGAAGAACGACACTCGCCTGCCATGACGTGGACTTGGCATTGGGTCTCGAATGTCTGTTATTTTCATACTGGTGTTCGAATTGCATGGTTGTACACCACCGTTTTGGCTAGGAAACTGCCAGTTGTTGTTTGCAAAAGGGCCGGATTGCCTGCTGGGTGGTAGAAGGTCCAGATCAGCAACAGGTGCCGGTCTCGGTACACTTGATGTCTTGTCTGCGAGTTCTGGCTTCGTCCGGTAACCAAGCGAACGCGCAAGGTCTTCATCACTGCCCCATTGTCGAGCAGTGTAGCGTCGCATTGAGCCCCTACGTTCTATGCTGTCACATGTTGAGGGTGCCTTGAACTTGGCTTTCTTGACACCCCTATCACGCAGGAACGACCCTAGGATGATAGCGTTGGAAACGACGGTGGCCGCAAGAATCTCGGAAGAGGCGAAGACTGTACGGAATTGTTGAAGGCCACTTCTATTGATGACCATGGGCATCCGAGCTCCAGTAATGGCGATGAGAACGATCGATAAGGAAAACAGCGCGACGAGTGAGACCTTGCGCTTCATGCTCATATTAGAACGAACAATGATCGGGATGGGGAAGGCAACTAGGAGAATATCCGTTATCATGTCGGCGATACCCATGGTAAGGAGTTGCGCATAGCCTTGTCGACATTCGGGTGTTGGACTTGGTATGACTTGCCAGTAGTGGTCAACTGGCTGACACTCGGCAAACGTGGCGATTACAACCATGATGAAGGTAACGACGAGAAAGATACGTATGCAGCGCAAACCCCACTCATAGCCTTTTTTCCAAAAGCGTTCTGTCAGACGTTTCAAGAATTCGGAAACTGTGAATTTGGCCATCCAGATGCTAGTCATGCGTTAGTTAAGGTTTGACAGGTGGGACTAGGAACAAGTACAAGAGCGCATAGAAGATCCTCGCTGCGAGGACCATCTGCGAGCCGATCTCGCGATGCCGAATTCTGATGGGGTCTGTCAAATGGCTGGTATTGACGTTGTTGGTGCCGTAGATGAGGACGACATGCACAAATCCCATGCGTGCTATAAGCGGAAGCGTACTCCATAACGTGATCCAGTCCTCGCGGAAGAGTCGTTCATTTCGAATGTAGCGCCCAGACAGTCGGAAGCCTATGATGACGAGGGAGAAGATAGTGCACCACCAGCTGTAGAGGAGAGTCGGGTTGTTGGTAGCACGGGTGCGGGGCTCTGGTGGTGAGTCGTTGTATAAGCTGCGCGGTAATATCATGCTGCTGGACAGTATGAGCAGACCCCCGCCTCCGTAGAGGGAGAGCTGTTGGGTTGTCGTGTGCTCAGTATCGATTTTGGGTCGTCGCGATAACGACGGTTGATGCAAGATTGCGATGCGCAAGCGCCTTGACCATGTCGTTTTTCTGTCTTGCGTCGCTGGCGTACCGAGGGTCCGGAAGCGCGAGGTGACAATGACTTGGAGCCGGGTGTCGACGTGTTTACGGACGACGGTCTGCGAGGAACGAGGAGAGGAAGAGGAAGTGAGGAGGCTGAGGACAGAAAGGGAAGACGGTCCGAAAGGAGATCCAAGTGACTTATCGCAGCCGTGGTAAGAAAGCGATCGAACGTGGCGGTGATAACGCCGCGTCCGCATGAATCCTTGTCAGCGTCCGCCTGCCGCCAAAACGGCCGGGCTTTTTGGATTCAATGCCTGACACGGCTCCCCTACCAAGTGACCGACAGCCGGTGAAGTTCGACGACTGTGCAAACATTCTGTCAAGACTCCCAGCGACCGTCACCCTTCTGTCTGTGAGGGCGTGTGTACCTCCTCCATCACTGCGCATTCTTATCACGCGGCCAAACTGCGAGCGTGGTGGGCTTCCCGTAATGGCGCTCGCTAGAGATTGCTATCGGAGAGGCTTGTGGAGGAGGCGTTCGACCTGCATGCTGAGACTCGCCCGCGCATGTCACTGGTGCTGTGTCTCGATACCGGTACGAGGCAGACCACCGGCTATGCTCTCCGCTGCTCTATCTACCGGTTCCGAAACCCAGGACGAAGCTGCAGAAGATGGGCGTCAACCCAGTCTTTGACGAAGCGTGCATCGTCGCATCAACATACGCTACACAAGGCCAGCGCTTGCATATGCGAAATACAGTAGTGCACTCGCCAGCTCTGGACTGGGCGAAGACCCCACCTGCGCTCGCGTGGTTGTTCCCCGCCATGGACGGATGCCGTCAGCTGCCTACATTTCTCCAGCGCATACACAGTAGAGGATGGTAAGACGGGCTCTCATCTCTTATGCCCTGGAGCATTTACCTACCTATTGGAAGTACAAGCAGCATCCCAGGACCGTCGCCCTCTGTCCGCCTTGTCATTTGCTCGCTGTGTATCAAGAAGCGAAGCGCCCTCATCCCGCGGCTGTGCCTTGGACGTCACATGCCATCACTCACGCTATTCGTACCAACATCGCTACAAAGTACTGTATAGGCCGGCGGCCCTGCGCAACTCTGCGCTTGTACCTGACGGTTAAACCAGGCTCGTGAGATCGGCCAAAGATATCACTTGCATACAACTCACGTGGCCTGAGTGGAATTCATGAGTGTGAAGCTCTGCAGGGCATTGTGCTATTGGTAGAAAACATGTAGTTTGTTGCATGGATCTGTGCTTGCCCCCATGCGTGCCGGATCAAGTGGTCGATAACGTCTGGGGAATGCCATCGTGTTCACATTTAGCTGATGGTGTGATATGCTGCGTTTCTTCGGCCACTCAGGCTAGCCGTATCCTTATCTGTCTGAAAGTGGATCGGCACAAGGAAGCGGCACCGCTCGACATGGCAAACGATGGTGAGGTGCCTCTTGGTCAATGTAAAAGCGGGAAGCCGTGTTCTTGTGGCTCCTACAAGCCGCAAAACCATACTAACACAATTTTACAAAGTGCACGCTGGGCGTTTGACACCACGATTTCAAGCACAAGACCCTTGATTCGATACTAGACGTGGTTGTTAAGCTGTTGCAAGATTTCACTGCGCCATATTTCCTGGTATTTTGACCAACCGAGAGGGTGCGAGCAAACAAGCCACAGTACTGCGAATCCGGGTCAGAGCGCGGGCAGCTACGTCAGTTTTCACATGCCTGCCCAACACAAATTAGGCGCACGCGAGCATCGTGGGCAGCAAGCGACGTTACAAAGACGTTCAGCTTGCGAGAGCAAGACTGTGTAGTTGAAGACACGGGGAGCCCAAGAGCTTGGTCGTATGAATGACATAGTACATATGCAGCCTGCAGCTTGAAGTGCAAGGCATTATTGGCTATGCCTTGACTTCTTTGTGTCTAAGACCTCAAACAATTATGACGCACCCTAGCATCATAGCGGGAAATCTGGAAACTCGCGCCTGCAGAAAAGCAAACCGTCTCCTGTTCTTCTGCCTTTCCCACCCCCACCTCACACACTCACATTCACACTGACATTCAATTTTGTCAATTGCCACGACTTCTTTAACTTCCACCCACCATAACCACAGAAGAACTGTCAATAGCAAGAATGTCTGAAGCACCGCGAGTCCAGCTCACCAGCACGGATCTGTCTGATCTTGACCCCTCTGCGCCCTCCAACCAGTACTCCTCGGACCCGTACTCCAACCAGTACTCTTCCAACCAGCGCTCGGCGAGGCAGAACGGAGACGTTGACCAATACGCATCGAACGCCGCACAGAACGCACAGCAAGCAGGAAGCAGCATCCTGGCCTGTAAGGTGAGTAACAGAGCACGTTCCGAATCCTGCCGAGACCTCCGCTAACCCGACAACTGCAGTCTTCCCATGTGAATCTCTCATATTCCTAGACCCTCGACTAATAACCACAAAGCAGCACAGAACGCCATGAATGCCGCTGCGAGCCACCCCGCTGTGCAGAACACGAAGGAGACTGTCCTGAATGGTGAGGTAAGTGCAGCTCAACACCCCACCTTGTGTCAGCGAATGCGATGCTAACATGTTTTTGCAACACAGATACTTGAACTTGATTTTTTCAACACAATTACTAAATTTCGTAGGACCTGTTGCACAAAACGTCAAGGCAGAGGGTGCGAGGACCCGCGACGAATTTGCCGACCTCGCGAATTCCCGAACCATTCCTGAGCATAAGACAGCCACAGGCCAGAACCTTACCCGTAAGTGGTTCCTACATGCCACAAGTGGCATGATGGCTGACCTCAATCAGACTACCACAGCATGTTCTACCGTCTCCTGAGCTGGAAGAACCCGCGCGCAACTGGTATCGCCTTTGGTGTTACCGTCATGTTCATCTTTGCTGCCCGATACCTGAACGTGATCCACTACATACTCAAGGGTCTCTACATAACACTTGGAGCAACTGCCTCTGCAGAGCTTGTCGGACAACTGGCTATTGGACGTGGTCTTACCACCCAGATCAGGCCACAGCAGTACTTCACCATCCCCAAGGCGTCGCTTGAGCGTCTCCTGGATGATGTTGAGCAGCTCATCAACTTTTTCGTCATCGAGTCCCAGCGAATAGTCTTCGCTGAGAACGTGTATGCCACGCTCGCTGTAAGTCAATCCTCTCATCGTTGAACCCCGCTCACGACATCTTCCACTTGATGCTTGCAACACCCCGCCACGTATTCTATATTATGGATGATGACAGCTGACATCTTCCGCGTCCAGGCTTTTGTCGCGTCCTTGACTTCGTACTTCCTCATCAAGTTCGTTCCTCTCTGGGGCTTGGCTTTGATTGCGACTCTTGTTACCTACCTTGGTCCCCTCGTCTACATCAAGAACAAGGCGGTCATTGATGCTCAACTCGAGAAGGGTTACAACATTGCCAGTCAACAGGCCGTCCAGCTCAAGGAAGTCGCCAGCAAGAACGCCGTCAACGCCGCACACTCCGTTCAGGGTATCACCAACCAATACACCGCTAAGGCTACTGAGACCATCAACCAGTACCGCGGCGGTCGCCCCACTTCCCCAGAGGCCAAGAGGACCGACTTCCCTGTCGCCCCCAAGCACGAGCCTTTGGCATCCCAGTCCCAGTACGAGTCGAACATGCCGGCTGCTCAGCCAATCGCTCAGCCTGTCTTGTAAGCTCTCACGAAATAAGTCAGGAAGTGCAGAACACCTGTTTTGCCCGATCGATCTATCGCAAGCTCTCAGTGTTTCCGCTACTACCTATGATGAGCTTCTCGCATAGGCACAAATCTTCACGATGACCACGGATGACGATTCACATGCTCAGTCTCGACACAACCACAAAGCCCTGAAATTGGACACACCGAGCGTTAAGTGTTTCACCTTGTTCCTAAAAGCCCTTTTCCCTAGATATCTATTTTAGCGTTAGTATACTTCCTCTTTCGATGCTTCTTCTTTGTAGGCTGTCTCTACGGAGTCGCTTGATATGAATGAATGGTTGTCACTATGGGCATGGAAGTATAGGAGTTGGTTTTCCTTTTGATATCTCGACAGGATATAATGAATACTCGTTCCCGTAATATTCTGTTTTTATGTTGAATCGCAAAACCTCGATGATCCTGGTGAGCTTCCGAAATGTTTGTCGTTGGGGCCGTTGGGCTCAACCAAGCACCGGTTTATGTGGCTTTCACCTTCAGTGAATGACTTCCATCAAACTCCATCGTCAACTTGGATTCTCATGTGGCTGAGTAATACATCCCAACTCCGCGCCTAGAACAGGTTTCTCGCGTTTATCGATTGGCCACCGAGACAAGTGGCCAAAAATAGAGCAGAAGCTAAGCCTTGTATGATGCACGTGGTCAATGCACGCCAGGCAACTGCGTCAGCTTCGCCTCCTTTGCCGCTGTGACATGCGAACATTCAAAGGTTGGCTACAGTAGCTAACTCTATCTCCTCCATAACATCCCTTCTCTTCTTTTGTACCTGTTGACTGGTTCCTTTACTTCACAAACACAAGGCAAGATGATTGCCGACGCTGTCCGCCGTGCGGTTCTGCATCCCAACGCGGTGTCGTTCGTCAAGCGCGCTGTAAACGTACAGGGAGGACCATCGAGCGGTAATGGCGAGAACGAAGGGGACGAGATCGAGCTGCCTACCTGGGGCTTTGCGTTGCTCTACGTGAGCTTCGTGGCTTCTATGGTATTCATCAGTCTGGTAAGTCTTTACACAACCGCTACGGGCGCAGTTGCTGTGAACCATAGCTGACATGACATGAACAGATGTCCTACATGCTCAACGAAGTCATCACTACACTTTGCATGGTCGAGACTCCCACCGCTGCCATCACCATCTCTCCCTCCGTCGCCGAGCCCGCAGACAAAGAGGAGAAGGAAGGCCTCCTTGAGGCTGGCCCTACCATCACACTCGTCCACCAGAAGCCCATCACGTCCAGCATCCGCGGCACAATCAAGCACCTCGTTGCCAACGCCGGCCGCTGGTCGCGCTTCAGGGGTCTCAGGATCCACGCACTGTACAGCTTTGCCTTTGTCTTCGTCGCACAAATCTTCGACTCCGTTCTTCCCCACTTTTGTGGCCAGGCTGTCCTCGTTGCCGCTCTGAGCGGCGCAGTCGTCGCCCCTGTACACGCAGCCTGGACCCACAAGGTTGTTTCCCTGCCATCCGAGCAAAGCTTCTGGCAGCGCATCCCCGCTAAGAGCCACTGGAAGACCCTTGCGCTCCCCGCTGCCATCAAGTCTGCTATGCCGTACATCAGCGTGTACATCATTGCTGGTGTTGCCATGCTGTTCGGTCTGCACAACATTGACCAGGAGACCTTCGACTCGTACGACGCTGCGCAGGTGGCATCGCTCATCTTCCGCGGCATCGCCACCCTCCTCATCGCTGTGTCCTGCACGCTATTCCTCTGCATCCCCGCCATCGTCACCCTCGTCCGCATCGAGTCTTCCGTTCTCCCTGAGGACCAGGACACCATCGTCCCATTCGACCGCACTTTTGGCGGAAAGGTCGTTTCTCAGCACCTCGGCGGATCTGGAAAGATCGCCTTCTTGGATGCGTGGAGGAGCTTCAACTGGGAGGCTCGCCGTCGTCTCATCGCGCTCTACGTCAAGTCTTTCGCCATGGTGACGGGTATGGCTTTTGTCGTCCTGCACATCCTTGCCTTTGAGGTGTTTGTCATCATGGGCCCCGCCCTTGGCAAGCTCCTTGCTCAGGCGCAGCACAGCGGTTAGACGGGTGGTGCGTGAGGAGACGGACGCCAGATGTTGGATGGCAGTCATGGCGTTCTAGCGTAGTTTTCAAGTGGCTCAGATTGGTTATCATGGGAATTGGCACTGGAAGGAGTTTGAATCGAGAAAAGAACACTGTATACTAGTCACAAGTGCATATTTTAGTTTTTACCTATCAACATGTTCATCACGTCGATCGATGCTTGCACAAGTCCCTGTCCAACTATCATGTGCAGCCAGCAATCACATGGCGTTCACCCGTCACAGTTGACATTCATTCAAGAGGAAAAGTGTTTTCATTGTGACTATATTCACAAGTGGTCAACGACCCAGTAGACGAAATCTATACATCCTACCATAACTCCACGCTATGCAATGCCCTATACCTACGCCGAGAGTGCTAAAAAAGAAACAAGAACCGATCCTTTATCCATGATCGACGTGTAGGAGCTACGGGTATATACGCCTATTCCACAACTCCTCCTTCGATCAAACCCCATACGTGGAAGCATACTCAGCCCTTGCCATTACGAGCCCGCAATCCTGACCTGTTTCCTGACCTGATCGTTCTCAATGCACGATTTCTGTATGTCGACGCCCATGGGGCTCTTCATCTCGTCGACACTGTCAAGCGTCACACTGCGTCCCACGGTCTCGGCTCGCTCTTTCTCCTGTTGAAACTCCAGGGTTGTCTTGTCCTGGCCGACAATGACGCCCTTGAGCACAGCTTCCAGATCGGCTAGTCGGACTGGTTTGATGAGGAACAGGTTAATCCCGCTCGCGCTGGCTTCTTGCTGGATGTCCGCGTCGGCGACACCCGTCAATGCGATGATGGTGGTCTTGGGCAGTCCGTTTCTGATCTCGTGAGCGCGGATCTGGCGCGTTGCTTCGAGGCCGTCCATGACGGGCATGTTGATATCCATGAGTACGACGTCGATACGAGAGGCTGCGTTGGTGGGATGATTGAGAGAAGCAGTGGTTAGTGGTGGCGTCTGGACGGCTTTGTATTCTTCCAGCGCTTCCAAACCGTTCGCGGCAAGTACGTGGCGATGACCTAACTTGTCGACAAAAGTACGGAGAAGCCGGAGATTGATGGGGTTATCGTCGACAGCAAGGCAGTTCAATGACCGACTAGGCTTGGAGTACATCGACTTCCTGATAGGGACTGGAGTAGTCGACCGTATCTCAGGAGCACTACTCACCGAGGTCAAGAGCGGCCGAGACGGATCAACATCAGACATAGCCATAAGTCGATGAGGTAGGGTGTTCTCTTTAAGATTCAAACTTGATACTTCTTGGAGGGATGGGTCTGTTGTGGTATCCACAATCATTGGCGGGTTGGCGTATCGATCGAGACAGGATGACAGGGCCTTTGCCATCTTGTGAGGCCCAACGGGCTGGCCAATACATTCGAAAATAATTCCCGGCACTGTCATAGCCATGGCTGATTGTGCGGAGGCTGCTCCCTGACAAATAACGATAACTGGCGTCGCGCAGGCCTTGTCCGGATTCTGGCTGTGTCGCTCGCGCAATTCTGCAGCAACAGATTCCGTGGCAACGATAAGATCCGGCTCTGCTGGTGCTGGACCTTTAGTGCCACCGCAAATTTCCATTCCGAACCAATCAGCACAGAGACTATGGAGAGCCTTTAGTGAAAGTTTGGCCGCTGTCTGATTCTTGAGATCTTTGACGAAGTATTCGCCTGTCTCTTCAAAACCAATAAAGCGCACTCTCATGCCTTTTGTGCGTTTACTGATATCTTGTAGATGTCGCTCCTTCTCTTTCTCAGGACCGGTGGCGCAGAACGTGGGGGACATAACCGACTCTTTCAACGGGCAGCTGACTGTAATCTTGGTACCTCGTCCCTTTTCGCTTCTAACCTCCACTTCACCGCCAAGAGACTCGACGATTTGTTTCACGATGCTTAGACCGAGACCGGTACCTTGACTTAGAGGGTTTTCCTGTGCAAACGAGTGGAAGAGTCTGTTGTTGACGTAGTCTTCAGACATTCCAATGCCAGAGTCAGTCACCGTAAATCGGAATTCGCAGCATCCATCAGTAGACTTCGACTTGCGCTTTACCTCGAGCTTAACCTTAATATAGCCTGCAGGTGAGTACTTCAAACTGTTCCCAAAGAGGTTCATGATGACGCGTCGCCATGCGCCTGGTTGGGTTCGGAAAACGTAGTTGTCGCTGCGATTGATGTCGAGTACAAGTGAAATGGGAGGTACGTTTGATTTTGACGGAATCGCGTCGTAAGCCTGAGCCGATGTCTTTGCGTAAGTGTAGCCTGCGAAGACGCTCTCGACCACATCCTCCGTCAGAACACTCATGTCGACGTCGTTGATCAGTGTCATGATATCGTTTGTATGACCCTGGCCGGGGCTAATCATCTGCTTGGCGCCATGTGAACGTTTCTTTTGCCGCTTTGCAGAACCTCGAGTTAGGTTGTTGATCTTGGCGAAGTCGAGTACCTGTAGAAGTCAGTCGATATGCTTACTCCTTATTCGGTTGAGATGGTTTTATCCCGAGGACATCAACTGTAAAACTGTGCATCTTTATCGAAAGAAAAACCCCAGCTTCTTTCGACAGATTATGACTATTGACTGGTGGTTCGCTATTTGGCGAAAACAACAACAGAGATAGGGAGATCTGCTCTTTGTACTTACATGGTTGATCGTTTCAAGCAGAGTCTTTCCACACGTTTCTATTGTTGCGACGTGAGAAGTTTGCTGGTTGTCAATGGGAGAATCTTTGAGAAGATCAGTCATTCCAAGGATGCCGTGAAGTGGAGATCGAAGCTCGTGACTGATGGAGGAAATGAAATCAGCCTTTGCAGCGTCTGCCAGTTTTGTGTCAAGCCGAGCAACCTCTGCCATGACAGAGTTGCTGAAGGCCGCCAAATAACTGAGCTCTTGTTCGCTGGTGAACACGCGCATGGGATCAGAACTCCAAATCACGGCACTGGCAAACCATCGATCGCGATGAGGGTCCCATAACGGATATAGGACCAAACTCTTGGCCTTTGGGAAAGCGCTTCTCAAGAAATTCTCATCGTCTAAACTGCGGGTTGACTCGGACCTGCGCGATGCCGTGAAGGGAAACCCATCGGAAGTTTCCTGCTCACTACTGGCGGATGGGGAGTTTATGGGCGAATTAGAGGCATTGTCGTCGAAATTGAAAATCTGGCCATGCGCGTACGACCGAAGAAGATGGCGCAAAACGCTTTCAGACATCGCGTACTCGGTATCAGATGCTGATGCAGAGTCTCTGCCGTACTTGCTGAGAGCCGCACCTAGAAGAATGCAGGGTTTATCGGGTTCCGGCAGTTGCTCTGACACAAAGTCATCGTCAACCAGTCCACCGAATGTACTAATCTTGGCATCGAAGAACGCGGCACCGTCTGCCTCAGTCGCTTCCACGATCATGTTTGCGGCTCGGGTGAAGGCCGCTTTGATTTCGGGCGCAACTCTGTTCGTCTGGTCGTCCTTGTTGGATGACGTCCTAAATGCCACTTCAGAAGGCCGGACTTCGGGAATAGCATCCGAGGTTGGAGTCATAGCCGTACTGGGAGGCTGAACACTCGAGGTCGGGCTCCGCACGGTCACGACACTCGAAGCGGCACTATCGTTTCGCTCAAACATGGGAGAATGTTGAGAAGCATTCGAAAGAGCTGCAGGACGTTGGCGTTGTGAGGGCGCTCCTGGTGTTCCCGCAGATAATGGCTGTTCTTGCTCCTGATCCCACCACCACTCTTCTAGCCCACTCTTGCCCTCAGCGAATGATCCCAGGCTTTTGACCATGATCTTGCCTCTGCGTTGATCTTCGGTAGCTCTTGTCATCTCCAGATGGCGCATGACGGTGGCGCCCATGTCCTTGAGAAAGTTCATTTCGTGTGGGGACAGACCATTCCGCGGCTTGTCGTCCAGAACGCAGTATGTGCCAATGCTATGGCCACTTGGGCTTCGGATAGGCACACCGGCATAAAACCGGGAGTAAGGAGGACCCACAACGAACGGATAGTGCTTGAATCGGTCATCCTTGCTCAAGTCGTTGACAACCAGGGAGGGGACGTTGGCGTAGCTTTCGACGGGCAGAGTGTACTCTACTGGAACCAGGTTGACCGTGTAATAGCATATGCTCTTTTCCTTTGAGAATATGGTGCTGCCCCAGCACAACGCGTCCTCCCCGAACTCTGCTTGCCCACTTTGTAGAGAAAGCGATCGTGTGGCCTCAGCAAGGATAAAGCAGTTCTTCCGGTCGAAGAACGAGATCAGACATCGCCGCGTGTTTAGACGGAGTGCGCCCAGCTGTGCAAAGGCAGTCAAAGCCCTATCGTCAGACGGATGCGGAACATCGTCTTCTGGTAAAGATGGCGGAGGAGTAGACGGTCGTGATTTCAAGCGTTCGGCAGGTGCTGGCACGGGCGCGGGCGAGGGCTGGCGGCTGACGGGATTCGATCGCGTGTGCTGCGGATAGTACCTGCAGGATGTTGAGCAGTCGTCTCCTATGCGCGTTCTGCGTATGCAAATACAAACCTGTAGAACTCGCGCTCCTTTGCTAAATCAACCTGCTCCATCTTCTTTCTCGCTCTGGCGTACGAGCGCGCAAGCGCTTCGCTGGGGCCGAGCATGCTGATTTAAGACAACGGTTAGTGCGCGGAGAAGGACTAAGGAAAGCCAACCATGCCTCGCGCACGTCACTAGCTAAGCCAGAAATCCGACTGTGAGTTTGTAAATCCCTTCGAGACCGCGCCTGGTGTGGAAAGGGCCTCCTCCAGCCGCACAAAAACGGGCAGTAGCAGCTAGGTGCAGTCCTAGCAGCAAGAAGCCTTCGAATCAGAACGGCGCGTTTGGGCGGTCAGGGTCTAGTGGCGTGTTGTTAATCGTATCAGAAAAGAAGGACGTGTTCGATGATGTAACAACGTCTCACCCGTCGCGAGAATAAGACCAACGTGCTCCGCGAATTTTCAACGGGAGACGGAGAGTTCGCCGGAGTTCAAGTATGCGCACGCTCCAGCGTGCTGCAAGCTGCCAGTCAGGAACAGCCTGAGGGTGGAGTAGGACCGAATGCAATGTCAAATCAGCAGAATAACGCAATCCTGCACACATCTGGATAGTGCAACTCTGACGACCCCTTCTAGGTCTACTGCTCTTTCCTATAGTGTGTGGATGCAGCGTCGTGGCCGTATGGCTTGTGCAGATACGGATCCTACTTCCGCCTTTCACGTTGACGCTAGAGGCAGATCGCTCCCTACTTGCTATCGCTGTGAGCACGAGTGCCGCGTTGCGAGCTTGTAGATTGGATCCATTGGCCATGATGTCTTGTTTTTCTGTCGAATCTCAGAGACCGAAGATGAAAAATACTTTCGCTGCAACTGTCGACTGCAATAACAATTATGATGTGTTTCGAGGTTCTTTTTACACATGATACGCAGGGAGGAACGTGCGGAATCCAGCCTCGCCGATTGCCCCTCGCATGCCCCACCACAGCGATTGGCGAACTCCATATCACATTCGCCGCAACCGGACATACACCTTCTCTTTGTGCTGAGCTACAACTCGAGCATCACTGTGTCGGTACTTACCTAACCTGGATTCCTTGGTAACTTCTTGCTGTACCGCACAAGTCTCGAGTCACGACCACTTCAAGCTCTACTGCAATCTCTCACACCCATCTCAACCATATTCTGTCCCTTGCAAGAAGCAGTCACCTCAGAAGATACGACTGATTTCTCTAACCTAACAGCGTGACTTGCTGACAGCTCAACTACTTCATCAACCAACCTGACTTGGGCAACGGCCACGATGAAGCTTATCACAGTAGCAACTTGCAGTCTCAATCAAGTACGCACCACCATATCAGCACCTATCGCCCTACTGATCATCATGTAGTGGGCACTCGATTTCATTGGGAACAAGAACCGGATCGTCGAATCGATTCACATCGCAAAATCAAAAGGCGCGACTCTGAGGTCTGCAAATCTTGACCAGCACTCCATCACGAACATATGTTGACCCTTTGTTGTAGAGTCGGGCCAGAACTGGAGTTGAGTGGTTATGGGTGCCTCGATCACTTGTAAGTTCTCCAATCGCGTCTTGAGTTATGTTTTGTCAAATGCTTCACACACCGTTTTTGTGATTCTTGGATGAGATTTCACAAGCTCCTGCTTCTTATCCCACATTTCGTACATGGCTGACCACCTTTTTTAGTCTCGAGATGGAGACCATTAATAACTCATGGGCAATGTTGGCGGAGATACTGTAAGTGCTGTAATGCCGGCCTCTATCGAGCAGGAAAACCATCTGTGTGTACTGCTAACAGCTAGACAAGGTTGGATGAGTCCTGCCACGGTATACTGATCGATATCGGCATGCCTCTTTTACATCGAGGGAACCGCTATAACGCTCGGGTCATTGCTCTCAATGGAAAAATACTACTTATGAGGCCGAAGATTTGGTTAGCCAATTCTGGTAACTATCGAGAGATGCGATATTTTATACCATGGTCCAGACCTCATCACGTCGTGAGTCACCATCAAATCCACCAGTCGATTGGGTTTGTGTAGAAATGACTGCTAATAAGAGTACCAGGAAGAGTATGAACTGAGAGAACTACCCGAAGCTTGCATAAAGCTACAGGGCTCTACGACAGTCCCCATTGGAGACGGCATCATCTCTGCTCTTGACTGCACTATCGGTGCCGAAACTTGCGAGGAGTTGTTCACTCCTCAGAGTCCTCATCTCAGCATGTCTCTTGCTGGAACGGAGATCATCTGCAACAGCTCTGGGAGCCACCATGAATTGCGGAAGCTTGATACCAGAATATCCTTGATCCAGGAAGCCACACGGAAATGCGGGGGGATCTACTTATACGCGTAAGTTTCCGTACTATTTGAACTGGTTTTCTCTATCTAGACATCGTACTAACTTCTCCATAGGAACCAACAGGGATGTACGTATTGACACAGAAGGAACACCTTCCGAGCTGATGTACTAATTCACATCAGGTGACGGCGACCGGCTGTATTATGATGGATGCGCCATGATTCTTGTGAACGGAAATATTGTTGCGCAAGGTTCACAGTTTTCTCTCCAGGATGTAGAGGTTGTGACTGCAACTGTTGACTTGGAAGAAGTCTGGGCCTATCGGTGTGCCCCTAGCCGTGGTTCGCAAGTTGCTGTCACGCCTGAATATCAGCGCTTCAAAGCAGATTTCAGACTCGGCAACCCAAGCGATGATTTCGACCCAAGCATTGTTCCCAGCCAGAGCCGGCCTTTGAAGATCCACGTCCCGGAAGAGGAAATTGCCCTTGGTCCGGCTTGCTGGCTTTGGGATTATCTCCGCAGATCAGGCGCTGCAGGTTTCCTTATTCCGCTCTCCGGAGGTCTGGACTCTTGCTCTACAGCAACTCTAGTGTACAGCATGTGCCGTGAAGTTTGCAAAGCCATATCCCAAGATAATAAACAGGTCATTGCAGATGTCCAGAGAATCGCAGGTCCCTACCACGAGCAGGGCTGGTTGCCAAAAGATGCGCAAGAGCTCGCCAACTCCCTGTTCTCCAGTGTTTACCTTGGCATGAAAGAACAGAGCAGCTTCGAAACACGTGATAGGGCTCAACGGCTCAGCCAAGCCATTGGCAGTCATCATCTTGTAGGCAATCCTCTTGAGACAATTGGCTGGCGCAGCATTAACAGGTTCAGGACCTTGATATCGACAATGCGTTTCACTCGGTCACAGGAATTGTCACTAAAGCCACGAATTTCGAGCCTTCATTCGATGGCTCAGCAACGGAGGATCTTGCGCTTCAGAACATACAAGCTAGGTTGAGACTTGTCCATGCGTAAGATCTTCCCCATGTTCAGACTTATACTTACTCGGTGGCCTGACAAAACCTGCGAACCGAGTGCCGGCTCACTAAATCAAGTTTTTGCGTGGTTTAGAGTATCAGCTGATCATTACAGGTACACATTTGCACAGCTGATACCGACGATCCGACAACGACCTGGCGGTGGCGGTCTCCTTGTTCTTGGATCGGGCAATGTGGACGAGTATGTCCCCCCCTCCGCCCAGTCCTATCTTGCTACCCTACGTCATATATGTACACCTCCATTCCGTATTGCTGACACACAACAGGTGCCTCCGCGGCTATTTGACCAAATACGATTGCTCGTCAGCCGACATAAACCCTATTGGATCGATCAGCAAAGTCGACTTGAAAAGATTCCTCCGCTGGTCGCAAACAAAATTCGACCTTGAGATTTTGGGAGAATTCCTCGACGCGACACCAACCGCAGAGCTCCGTCCCATCAAGGAGGACTACTCCCAGAGCGACGAAGCAGACATGGGCATGACCTACGCCGAACTAAGCGTATTCGGCAGGCTTCGCAAAGAAGAGAAACTGGGCCCGTACGGCATGTGGTCAAGGCTCTGTCACGTGTGGAAAGACTCCCTCTCACCCCGAGATGTGGCAGTCAAGGTCAAGAGATTTCACCATTTCTACGCTATCAACAGACACAAGATGACTACGATGACTCCGGCGTACCACGCGGAAGCTTACTCGCCAGATGATAATCGGTTCGACTTGCGCCCCTTTTTGTACCCTCCGTTCTACCAGTCCTGGAGCTTCAAGAAGATCGATGAGGCGGTTGACAAGATCGAGCAGAAGGCGAAGAAGTGAGGTGGCTGGGGATGATGCGGGTTGGTCGGGTACTTTGGAGCCGCAGGAATCGTACCGTTCCAAGCGATGATGATGACGGGGCTCGAGACACCAAACTCCAGACTTGGTGCGCTCACGAACAGATTTTCGAGACCCACTGCAAATTCGAATCTTTCGCACACGGGACCTGGCTTTGTTTGGTCTCGTCCCATGTATCCGCACATCCCCCCTTTTTCATGCTCATATTCACAGAACAACACAGAAGACCTGAAAATAGTAAGCAAACTGCACACAACACATAGCAACAAGACAACAACAAAAAACCACACACATACCATATATCAATCCGCAAACGAAACAAACCCCCTAATCCACTCCGCCTCCTCCCTAGCATCCACCTTCCCCTCCCCCCTCCCATCCCACACATCAACCCACGTCGCTAGATCTACCCCCCCTTCCTCATCGTCCTCTTCATCTTCTTCTTCTGCCACCCCCCTTCCCTTCTCCCTGCTGCTCATCGTCCGCGCACAGAGTGCCAGAAACTTAACAACAAGAAGCTCCCGCTTAAACAGCCGCTGCATGGTGAGTTGCTTGGGCGTGCTGATGTCGCGGGAGAGGGAGTGGGGGAAGAGACGCCGCTTGAGGGTGTGGAGGCGGGGGGTGGGACGCGCGGGGCCGCGCGCGAAGAGGAGGAGGATGCACATTGTTATGTTGTGCGGTGTGTTGTGTTGGGATAAGGTGTGGTATGTGAGGATGCAATGCGTTGTATGCGTTGTATCGTATTGGGTGTTGAGAGAAGTGTTTTCGCGGTGTGCGAGGCGTCGTGTTGGTATCGGTTTGAAGATAGAAAGAAAGAGATAGTCTTGATGATGATAGTAGTGATGGTGGTGTAGAAAGTTGAGAGGAACGGGGGGAGACGGGGGGGAGTATGTCGAGGGGAGAGAGTTTGGTCGACATTGTGCTGGGTCAGGCAGTGCAGAGGAGAGGATGGGGAGTTGTGGTTGTGGGTGTGGATGTGATTTGGGTTGTGGATTTGGATTCGGATGGTGGTTGCGGTTGAGATGCCTTGAATTGGATTGGATTCGGATTGGGTCGTGGTTATTTGGTTCTGCTTCTGATTCTGACTCTGAATCTGGTTCTTTGGTTCTGGTTCTGGTTCTGAATGGGAAAACTGTGATCCATATCTGCGCTTTACACATACATACCCACTCGACCGCGACGATAAACCAGTAAGAGAGAAGAAGGGTGGGAAAAACGACATGAAGTAGGCCACTCAATCTAGAAGAAAAAGGGTGACCAAAAAAAAAAGTTTCTCAGTTGAGTTGAAATACTGGGTGAGCAAGAAAAAAGGAGATGAAAGAAAAAAAACGAAAGACTCCACAAGAGATGCAGAAAAACGCTAATGTTGCCCGAACCCAAATATCCATTCCTATTCCACACACACAAACATCCCTAGTTTCGCAGTGCGCAGTGCGCAAAAATATCCCTCATCCTGACCTTCACCCTAACCCTGACCCTGACCCTGGGTATCTATCGCTATCGCTGGTCTGACTCCCCCGTACCGTGCCGTGCCGTCCCACCACACCTTCACCCCGTACCGGTCCGCAAATCTCCAATGGATCGTCGCACGATATGGATGGGTAAGTATAACGGGCGGAAAAAAATGAGGTGAAACCGTTGCGCCGCGCCTCCCGCCCTAATCATCCGTGTACATTCTGCAAGTTTGGAAGTAATACCCGTGTGGAAAAAGTGCAGTCTGTGAGAAAATATGATTTCGCATGTCGATCTCGCGATGTCGAATCAGGCAGACAGGCTCAGGCGACAGCGAGTGTTCAGGTAACCATCGTTGTCGTTGGGGTGGGAGTAGGGGTAAGCGTGTCATCCGCCTCGTCCGGGTCCTCGGCCATAAACTCCTCAATAAACGCGCTCTCGGCATCTGCGTCGACTTCGTCTGTGTCGACATCCGCTTCTTCACCCGTGTCGTTCGTGTCCTCATGTTGTGGTGCCGGCGGAGGATGCTGCGTGATAACCGTAGTTGACGTCTGCATCGAGAGATGGACCAGAGCCATGTGCTGCTCCAGCGTCATGGCATGCATATCATCATGCAGATCCTCGATCATTTCCGCGTTGCTCTCTTCCTCCTCTTGCTCTTCTTCTTCTTCATCGTTGTCATCGTTATCATGGTACGACGGAGGCAGCCCCGCAGCCGAGATGATGGTGACATTCCCCGTCTCCTCCAAGACGCCAAACTCCGTCGTGACTGTGATAGAGTCCGGGCTGGAAAGGGGCAGTTCCGTGATGGAGGAGCTCATGTACCCCTCGCCTGGCGCCGTGGCATGGTAGTCGATCTCATCGTCATAACCCACCGCAGCGAGGAACTCGTTCAGTGCGCCGGCCAACTCATCTGCCTGGCCACGCTCCTCTCGGTCCTTCTCCAGCCGAGCTTTGACGCGCAGTTCGGCTTCTTTCTTAGCTCGGAGTTCGGCTTCAAGACGGCACTTGGCCTGTACGCTGGGCTTGCGGGTACAAGTGGGGCAATGATAGTTAACTGTGCAGAAGGTACATGTGCAAGTTGGGGTTGCCCCTGCGCATTGCTGTGAACATACATTAGCATCTGATTTCAGACATGGGATGATAGGTAGATTTAACTCACATCGCAAACCAGCACAGCACATTCAGAGCACTCCTTCAATATCGCTGGACACTGTGGACGGTTGTCACCCACCGTACGTGGATACTGGCAGAAGTAAGCCCCACACCCCTCCCATTGAACGGGGTGGCGTGGGTTGCAAGGTAGTGGTGGAGGGTTCGATATTGTGTTTGGAGGGGCACGCGGCGAGTTCGGCCATGAAGCCAAGTTGCGGCTGCGGACACCCGATGTACTGAAGGAGCGGGGACGAGCCGAGCTGACGGGGACGAAGGACAAAGAGGCGGTGAGGGAGAAAGGGTTGGCAGACGGAGTTGCGTTGAAGGAGGTGGAAGCGGCCATTTCGAGGGTAGAAGGTGGGGCAAGAATCTGCGATTGCGACAGAGGCGTGGCATCAGACATTTCAGACTCGTTATCGGCGATGGAAGGAAGATCGTTTTGTGACAGTGCTGTTGGTGTGCGTTCCGGGTCCTGGATGCTCGGCCTGTTGGGGTTGAACTCAGGGATGACCATGTGTTGAAGAGGTTCGTTGTGCGCTCGAACGTGATCACGCTCGATATGCATGTCTCGATAACCGCATTTGCGGACCTTTAGCGCTCTGAAGTCGTGCTCTTTGCAGATGGGGTTCTTGCAAGCCCGACAAGACACCTTCCACCTGAAGCTTCGATAGCAGTCCTGACACAGGCCTCGCGGACATGTCTGTTGTTGCAGCTCGAGACTGTCTTGCTTCAGGTACTGCAGGATATCGACGTCCTCGCCGAGAACATATTCGTACAGGCCGTTGTTCCGAAGTTCCCGGATGTAGTCCACTGGGCGAAGCTGGTTCGAAAAGTCTGGATCCTCAAACTGCTTCTCACGCGGTAGAGGTGCCGCTCGAATCTTATCTGCGCCCCTGCCGCCTAATCCGGTACCCAAGACAGCAATACCGCCGCCACCCGAGAAGATGGGCTCCAAGCAACACCAGTGCATATTCAGCTTTGGAGGTTCTCGATTTGCCGGTGGCACGTGCATACCATTGTTGAAGTTGCCACCGTCCTCTGAATCCGAGGAGTCATCATCATGAGCACTCTCGTTCATGAGATTTGGTGATCGAGACGCGCCTGGAGCCCACCAGAAGCGGTTGCTCTCGGCCTTGTCGTCCTGGGTGCGGTTCTCAAGCGAGATGGACGATCCAGCTGCCTGTCCTAGTGTGCTACCCAGGGTTGTGCTGTTCCCAAAGGCTAGATTTGCAAAATGGCGTGTCTTTACTCGCTTCCTGGGTATGGGCCGGTTGAAGGCACAACTTGCGCAGAGCGTCTTGCGACAGCCCATGCAATGCATGCGAACACTGCAAGACTCACAGCGCTCCAGAATGACATCGTCGCACTGCGTACACTTGACGTCGTCGATGAAGGTACTGTGACTCTTCCGTAGGTGCACAGGAACGTTTTTGCCTTCTCCGTGCGAATGGCCGTTCTCTGTCCCCAGTGGCTCGCCGTCCTCTCCCGTTTCGGCAATCTCCCACAGTCTGCCGTCGTGGTGGCCTAGTTTTGTGGTGCCTTGGACAGGGCCGATGCGGTTGCTCGACCTCCACAGCCTGTCAAAGGGCACCCAGACCTCCATGTTCTGCGGCCCGGCCCTCCCCGCGTGGTAGTCTTTCCTCCGGAAGCAGCGTCCTCCCTGCGACGGACACCACGCCGTGTCCGTCCATATCCCCAGCTGGTGGCATATCTCGATCAGCTGGTGGGTCGGGTCGGAGTCGGAGTCCCGCCGTATCAGCGACGAGGGCAGGTAGGGGCGGCGGCGGTGGTGGCGACAGCGGTAGGTGTAGAGGCTCTTGAGGGCGAGGTCGTTCTGCATCCACGGCGCGTCCTTGAGGGTGTAGGGCTCGAGGAACGGCACGAGGTGGTACTTGATCGAGACGTTCTTACAGCCCCGGACGGAGAGGTGCTGCAGGACGTCGATGCGCGGGGCGAGCACGCTGCCGACGAGGGCGATGCCCGTGACGGCCGTGTTGCACAGGTCGAGGCTCGTCAGGCGGGTGCCGTTGGGGGCGACGATCTGCTTCAGCAGGGCGTCGAACGAGTAGGCCTTGGACTGGCGCTCCCTGCTGTCGGGCGTCTCGGTGCCGGGGGTGCCCACGGCGACGGCGGGCTGGGGCAGGCGGAAGGACAGGGTGCGCCAGGCCAGCGGGTAGCGGCGCAGGAAGTCGCGCAGGTGGCGCGACGTGTGGTAGAGGCCGAGCAGGGCGGGCGTGGGGATCTGGGCGAGGAAGGACTCGAGGACGGGCGGATACGACGTGAGGACCGCCTCGAACAGGCTGAGCGGGACGGCGTGCGCCCCGCCATGGCCCGCGGCCGCCGTGCCCGCGTCGGCGTCGCAGAAGAGGGCCGTCGGGCGGTGTTGGTGGGTGCTCATGGCGGCGAGGTGCGGCGCGTCGGGTCCGTCGGCCAGCTGGCTGCCTTCAGCACAGTCGTGGGGGAGGGCGAGGCGGCAGGGCGACATGCACAGGAGACATGCAGAGGGGCCGAGGGCGGGTGCCGGTAGAGGCGTCGAGAGACGAGTCGCACGAGGTCGTGTGCCCAGCGTGCCCGGCGAGAGTGTGCGGCGTCAGGGCGGGCAGGCGTCAGGTCACGGCCGCGGCGAGCTGATCCGCAGCAGGGGATTGTTTTTGCCTCAGCACACCCGGCCGCCTTACAACGCTACCTACTTGCACTTGCACTTGCACTTGCTTTGCCTCGACTCCAGCACGCAATCGTCTTATCGACGGCGTCGTGTCTGCCAGATAAGACTGCTGGGGACTGCTGGTACGAGTGCGCTTGCCAATCTGGCCTATCACAGAGCCTCACATTACAGCAACGCAACCGTGGTACGCGATGGGTAGAGACTGTGACAGGCACTCGTGGATAGCGCGTCAACTGTGCATGACTCATGGCCACGCAGGCACATCTGTTCCGTGGTTTTCGCGAACCCTTTTCACCCCAGCCACCTCATCGTCAGACAACCACGCAGCACCGTCACATGACATAACATGAGACGCCGAATATCGCCCTCGCTGTGCGACCGGCGTTGCTTGGGGAACACCCTGTTCCAGAAGACACCGGCCAAGAAACTATCCATTGCTAACCCCCAGTCAATACACCCAGGTATCCATGTTGAATTGCGCCATCCCTACCCTTCTAGAACTCCATTGTTTACTCCGCGAGACGATCGCTTCCCTCCCAAGCCACACGACGTCGTGTCTCGTGAACTGTAGGGGGCGACACTGTCAAAACACCCAATTCCCTTCCACATCCCTATCCTCCAGCCCGTCGAAGAGCACAATATCCCAATCCAGACCGTCATCCCCCGCCGCCGTCGGCCACAGCGCATTACTAACAAACGAGAATACCGGAAAATGCCGCCCCTCGTCCATCGTGCTGCCTGTATCCGAGTCGAGATCGAATGCCGGTCTGACAGGCACTTTCGTAAACTCCAACAGCACAGTGCCAAAGTACGGCATGGTGAGCCGAGCCTTCCCGGTATCTTGTCTACTCGGATCAAGGGAAGAAAGTATCTTCTTAAGCACAATTGCGCTTCGCGCTGCAATCTTCTCGCGCTCACTCGCTTTGGCCAGTGCTTCCATCTCCCCAATAAGACGGCAGATCATGGCAAAGTCTGGCCCTTTAGACTTCTTCACTTCACTCTTCTCTCGTGTGCTGAGTTCGATGACAATGTCCAGTGCGAGCGTGACTGCAGCGATGAAGACACCAATCTCCGCGAATCGACAACAGGCTTGCGTCATGCTTGCGCTCCTGAGCGCGAACCATCGCATCACAATGTTGCGGCTTGCTTGGAGAGCTGTGGCTTTTGAAAACGCGTATCGATTATCCCTATGGTGGCGTAAGAGGTAGGGTAAGTGGATAAAGACCTTCATTTCGAAATGCCACAATTGCACCATCAGTTTCTCGAGCACTGCGAAGCACTCTGGTGACCGGACTGTAGAGGAGATGTTGGGCACGTCCCAGAAGTCTTTCGGGACTTCTTTCACAATCAACTCCAATTCCTCGTCGAGACTGAGCGCTCGCGCATAAGAGTGTGGTGAGACGTCGCGATCGAGTTCGGCTATCTGCCTCGAAATCGCGTTGACCTTTGAGCGGTAGATGAGATGCAAATGAGTGTCGTCTACAAGCGGATAGTCCTCTGAACCAAAAGGAAGGCGCATATGCAATCCCAAGTATCGATCCATATTAACAAGCTGTGTCCATATCGCCTTGGCACTACAAGACCCTGGTATCGGCGGCTTACAATCTGGCTGTGTGATGATGCGTTGAAATCCCATGAGGTGCGCCAGACTCAGGCCCCGTCTGACGATGAGCCACGATTGACGAAAACTGCCACTGTTTATGTGGTAGATGGCGAGAAGCAGCAGCATCTCAAGTCCGTGGAGAGTCAGCATTTTCTCGTCTGAGGAGGTAATTAAAGAAGTAACAGTGTTGACATAGACAAGCGTGGTGGCCTCCAGCGATCCCAGATTTGATATTCGTGCCGGATCGAATTCTGGTGGAAGTACATTGATGCAGACTGCTAGATGGAGGAGGGTGCGAGCCACAATTATTGATGGATTATGAGCAACAGCTGCCATGTCTAGGGCGTAGGACTGCACATCCCTGTTAACGTATATGTCTTGAGAGGCTTTGTAAACGCTATCCAGGATCATCCATCCGTTAGACGACTCAAATATGATATCCGCATCATGCTGCGAGGGCAGAAGGGCAACTAGGGTCCGGCGGATGGTGTCATTAGTGGACAAGTGCGCGCTGTCCTGTTCATCGACCAGTGTACGGATGGAGGGTGATGAAGTCCATGTTTGCGCGCTACGCTAGTCTAATAAGCATGTCTCCTGATAGGCCTGGAGAGAATAGTAGTAGACTCACGGTTCCATCACCGAAAGACGAGATGCTCCGGACATCTTTCGCTATCTCAGGTAGACCCTGTCCTGACTGCTTCTTGCTACATTCTCCCGACATCGGGTTCGAGGGGGAATCCGAAGGGGTAGCGATGGCGAAACTCTTGCGACCAGCAAACTTTTCAAAGAAGTTCTCAAGCTTGTTCAGCCGCTCCCCAATGTGTAATGAGCATGCATTGGTCTGATCAGCACGCTCCGGCTCGAGGCTGTCGACACTGGAGTGCGGGCTTATGCTCGTTTTGCTCGAACCTTTTTGGACATTTCGCCTCTTGCCTGGATAGACACATCAGTATGCATGTCAGGAAGACACGATCAACAATTTGAAGGTATCAGCCTCACATTCCCAACAGGCTCGGCGTAATCCTTTCGCCGGACGCTTTGTTCCTGTCTCTCGGTTTGTGGTGTTGGCAATGTCCATGATATATTAATAAGAGTTGAAAAGAATCAAAGATCGTAAGGAAACATTATGCAAATGCTATAACCGACACGCAGGGTTGTGTAGTAGGAAACAATCCGATTCTGTTGTGGGGTAAGGGTGAGATCAAGTAAATGGTACGTGTGAGTTTATTCGGGCTCGGCCGTCGATTCGTCCGCATGCACGTGGGTAGTAACTCCGGATCAGATCAATCCACCTTGGCGTGTGGTACAACATGTAGTTGTGAATTGTAATATAGTGTTGCAATGACGCGTCTTTGGAGTGTTGGTAAAGATCAAATGCGCCACACTACCTACTCATCACAACTGTCCAGGCGTTACGCAAGGGTGTATGCCAGAAAGTTCCGTGTGGAGCGCTCGGTCATCTAAGCGCAGGTGATATCAAATGCTTACTTTCGCCGGTTGCGGACTTACCAGATTTACACACTAGCACAAGAAAATATACAACAGCCGAACGGGAGAGCGGGCGGAGATAGAGGAGTTAGAGGCGATGATGTGAGATGGGAAGACTAGACTTGAACGAGATAAGCGACAAAAGGTGGTTGAGGGCTGAACTTGGGAAGGCCCGTTTAGTCCTTAGGTAATCGAAGACGTGTCTATAGGTAGTTCATGAGTGATCGCAACCCAATTCAACGCTCGTCTCCGAGTGGAAACGAATACTGTTTCTGCGATAAGATCGAGAACAATCTTAAGCTGGCCCCCTCTTATAGATTGTGACACCTTGGTATATATACCTCAACTCTGTAGGAACTGGAGTGAGAACCAGCAACTCCGTTGCAATGCTGCCATACGTCAAGTTGCGCTCAAGCGTACATTTCGTCGTAGTCCTCTTCATCGTCGTCTACCGGTGGCGGCTGCGGTTGCTTCTTCTTCAGAAGTTCCTTGCGATCAAGAGGGCAAGTTGAGTTGAGTTTGAGCCAGGGTGCTATGCAGTCCAAGTCGAATCGATGGTCTTTATGGCAGGGTAGTTGGACTACAAGCGGGTATTCGTCTGTTTGGCTCATAGTTAGTCAAGTTTTCAATCTTTTCGTGAGGTGTCGCGACTCACCCTCGAGAAATGGGTTCACGCAAATCGGACATGTATCTGTTGGCTTCAGAGCCTTCTTTGGAACCCTCTCTAGCTCGTCCAAGAAGCTGTCAGGCACGCCCTTGAGCTCTGCAGGCGGGTCGTCTGCATTCTCACGTAACACCTCGATCATATTTGCCAGCAAGTCGTTGCCCTCGCTACCCTCGTCTGCAGGCCGTCCGCGCATCACCTCGAAGGCGTTCGCCAGCAGGCGAAACGCTGCCGCCATGTTCTCGGGCTGAGGCAAAGCATTGGCGTTTGTGTGCGCTTGCGGATCTGAGGTGTCTACCAGTTCGAGCTGGGAGAAGAAGGTAGAGAGGTCTGGCCGACGTGGAGGTTGTTGCGCCTTGTCATTTTTGGTCTGTATGTTATGTTCAACTGCTCAATGTCAGCCGGGGTGTCTACTTGACAGTATGCTATCTGAGTACTCGCCTTCGTAACCAGACATGATGGCGGTAGGAGTAGTTCTCTGGGATGACAACGTGTTTGGTTGCTCGGGCGCGAAGAAATGATGACACTATTGAAGGAACGCGTCCGCCATGGATGCCTACGCGACCTTGCCCCGCGGTGACTGAGCCGTGCCGCAATCCCGCCAAGACATTATTTCTACGAGCATTCTCGTTGTCGGTGAAAACACTCGACAATATGTGTATTAATTCGAACTTACGACAATTCATCGCGCAATTCTAAATCTACGGTCTATTTAACACCATGAGGTGCAGTCAAGCCATAAGAAATCCCATTGCAAATGTACACAATGCATATGTTCGCAAAACTTCTCAAAACGAGAAAATACCTCAATCAGGAATACTCGTTCTCGAGTCTTCAGCCATGAAAAATGCTACACTTGTTCAGCGTCGCAAATAGACCAACAAATCATGCCGAGAGTAGAACTGCCCTTGCTTGTAAAGATGCACAACGAACATATGATCTTTTATCATCATATTCATACTCATACTCATACTCACACAATGCAGTAGGCTAGAAGCGCCTGCCCGGATGTGTCGCCACCCAACCTTACTCAAGTCTCTCTACTTTCTCATCTGTAAGGTCCAGATGCGTTTTCTCTCAGATGCTCCGTCTCATAAACCTGCCGAGTAACGCCTACATACTGAGGCGACATGGCGGTTCGTCTCATCATGGATCAAGTTCGACAACTTTGGAGATCGAGGACAGCCCGGGCAACTAACATGAACAAAGGTAGCATGAGCGAAAGCCCCTGAACAGGCAGATAAGATTGGGAAAAACTGGATGTAGCAGGATGTCTAGATATCACTACCATAAGTTAGGTTATCTTGATTAAGAAAAACACTTCATGGAGGACGTGTGTTTGATAGCGAAAGATGAATTGAACTTTTACATTTGCTTCAGCGGGTATGCTGAATGTTGTCTAAGCTAGCCATCGCATGTGGCTCGGCCCTTCCCAGTTCCTGTATCAGGAGTGACTGAGACCAACCGTCGTGATCTTCATGGTATCGTTTGAAGGTATCCGTTACGCCACCCAAAACCATACGATCCGCTTAGTTCATCTGCTTGACAAGCTGGTTGATGAAATCCTCGCGGTTACCGAGGTCACCGCCCTCAATGAAATGCCTGAACTTCCTCTTGCGGAAGCCACCGGTAGGGGAGGACAGCTTGAAGGGCCACAGGAAGTTGCAGGCCTGCTTGAAGTTGGGGCCGGTGGTGAAGATCTCGTGGATGAGGTCCTCCATGCAGACAATGCCGAACTTGCCGAGGTTCTCCTCGATGATCTCGTTGTCAGTAAGGGGAATGCGCTGCTTGTTGACCTTTCCGTATCCGCGCTTGTAGATGAGCTCACGGACGGTCTTCAAGTTGGGGTAGCCGTAGGCGACGAAGGGCTCGACAATCTTCAGCATCTCAGTGGTGGCCTTGGTGAGCCTGATGAAGACACCATTGTTGATCTGGAGGAGACGGAGGAGCTGGAGAGTCTTGCGCTTCTTGGGGTCGATCTTGTTGATACTGTGATGGTGGTCAGTACAGGATAAGTACGGATATATCAGTGAGAAGCGTACCCCTTGATACGGACAACGAAGGCGAGCTTGGACTCGGCGGGGACGAAGAAAGAGTTGTCCTTCTTCGCGGCGCGCTTGGCCTCGATGATGTCGCGCTCGCGCTTGACGTACTCCTTCTGGTACTCCTCGGCGCGCTTGAAGATGGCTTCGCGCTTCTGCTTGTTGGCCTAAGAGAGTCTTAGCCAACTGTGATACTCCTATCCGCTTTCGCAGGTCTTGGGAGATATTATCGCACCTCACGCTTCTTCTGGGTGGCAGCCGCACGGTCGTCGGTCTGCTTCTGCTGAGCCTTCTGCTTCTTCAGAATTGTCTCGGGGACGGCGATGTCATTCTGGGTGGGGACGCTGGAGACAAGATTGTTAGATTGATATATTGGGCTATTGTACACTGCAACTTACGATGAGCGGGCCATTTTGCTGGTGGTTAGTCGGCTGGTCGATTGTCAGAAAGCTGGAGTGCAGAAGTTGGGTTCTCGCGGGCAAAATGAGTGTGCGCGCTCGGACCAAGCCAAGATTTATTTGAGCTAACAAACCCCACCAATGCGGTTCCACTTTTTCGGCCTGCAGCTGCTCACATTTTCTAAAGCTCTCTCCAATCCGCGACAGCTGTAGTAGCTACCCATTAAGCTTACCTTTTCCCGATCTACACGCAGCAAAAATGGGCAGAGGAGGTCGCGTGAGTATTCGCTCAATGCGCCAAACACTTTGGACGGCAATTGACTCCAATAGGGCGGTCGCAAGACGTTTCGTGGTAAAGGAAGAGGTCGAGGTGGTGGCGGCGGTGGAGGTGCAAGCAGAGACACCAGATCGGACGCATGGTCAGACATTTCGCGCCAAAATGAGCTCTTCGAAAGCTACTATCGCACCGGTGGCTTCATGGAGGAGGCAGAGTTCGAGGAGATGTGGGACACGCTCAAGACGGACCTGCCCAACAGTTTCCGCTTCACGGGCACAAAGTCCGACGCCCTAGCCGTTCGCGAGATCTTCAAGCAGCGATACGTTCCCACGCTTGCCTCTACCAAGTTCGAAGGCAAGCCTGTCGCGCCTCCGGAAGCAGTGCAGGCCTTCCCGGACGAGCTAGTGTGGCACATGAAGACTCACAAGAAGATTATCCGACGACATGCGCCCTTCGCCGACTTCCAGAAGTTCCTCGTCGCAGAGGCCGCATCCGGGAACATCAGCAGACAGGAGGTGGTCAGTATGATCCCGCCGCATTTCCTCGACGTAAAGCCGGGTATGGTGGTCCTCGACATGTGCGCTGCGCCAGGAAGCAAGTCTGCGCAACTCGCTGAAATGATTCACGGCGACGAGGAGGAGCGTGTAAGGAGGGCAGCGAACAACGAGCCTATCGGCACCAGCGAGGAAGGCGACTACAGCGACGACGGGCGATCGACTGGTCTGCTCATTGCGAACGACACCGACTACAAGCGCGCCGGCATGTTGGTCCACCAGGTCAAGCGATTGAACTTCCCCAATCTGATTGTTTCGCAACACGATGCATCGATATTCCCCTCGATCGAGTTGCCCAGCAAAGACGGTCAGAAGAAGCAGTACCTCAAGTATGATCGTATCCTGGCCGATGTGCCATGCTCTGGCGACGGAACAGCTCGCAAAAACCCCAATGTTTGGCAGAAGTGGACGCCCAAGGATGGGCTTGGTCTACACACTCTGCAACTGCGCATTCTGTTCCGTGGTCTTCAAATATTGAAGAAGGGTGGCCGCATGGTCTACTCGACATGCAGCATGAACCCTGTAGAGAACGAGGCTGTCGTTGCTGCGGCTATCCAAGCGTGTGGCGGAACCTCCAAGGTTCAGCTTGTTGACTGCTCTAGTCACCTGCCCAACCTCATTCGACGACCGGGTCTCAATTCGTGGAAGGTACTCGACACGTCGGCAGTCTCTGGAGGAGGAGACAAGACTGCCCACATGTTCACCAGCTGGGAAGCTTACCAGAAGGCGAAGGCAAAGTATGAGGTCGACGAGCCTGAGCGCCAGTTTTCTACCAAGATCACCTCTGGGTGTTTCCCACCAATCACCAAGTCGGAGGAGGAACGCATCCCGCTCGAACGATGCATTCGCGTGTACCCTCATCTGCAGGACACGGGTGGCTTCTTCATCGCGATCCTCGAGAAGTTGGACGACATCAAAGCTGCGCAGATACAAAATCCAGAGAACGCAGCGAAGAAGTCTCAAGAACAGGCCGAGAAGACAACAGATTCATCCATTCCGACTCCGGAGGAAAACATTATCGAGGCTGATGCCACCAAAGGGGAAGCCGAAGGTGACGCCACCGATACTGCCGCCCCTCTCAAGCGCAAGTTGGAAGACTCAGAACAGACCGCTCCCCCAAAGAAGTCCAAGACCGAGGATGAGGAAACATCTGTCGAGCCTACAGAGGATGGCCCAACACCAAAGGAGGAAGCTACCCCCACCGCCAGCGGACCCGCAAAACCCGCCTCCTCAAAGCAAGTCGCCAAAGTCAAGTCCGACTCTGCAGGCCAAAAAGAATACTTCGAATACCTTGCCTCTGACGACCCAACCATCACCGCCATCCTCGACTTCTTCGGCATCCAGTCCCGCTTCCCACGCGACCGCTTCATGGTCAAGAACAAAGAAGGCCTATCCCTCAACAAAATCTACTACACGTCCGAGTTCGCCAAGAAGATCATCTCGCAGAACAAGGACCGCGGCATGAAGTTCATCCACTGCGGCGTCGTCATGTTCGTCGCCCACAAGACGCGCGACACTGACAACGTACCCGCGCCCTGGCGCCTCCAGAGCGAGGGCATCCGCATCATAGAGCCCTGGGCCACCAAGCGCATCGTAACCTGCACGTCCAAAGCCACGCTGCACCAACTCATCGTCGAAATGTTCCCCAAGCTCCCGCGCGACGGGCCCCACGGCCTCGCAGAGGTGGGCGATCAGCTGCAGAATATAGATATTGGTTGCTGCTTTGTTCGCGTCGAGAAGGATGACGAGCAGGGCATCCCGTTCCGTATGGTCCTGCCGCTGTGGAGACACCCTGGGTCTGCGAATCTCATGGTCGACAAGGATGATCGCAAGGCCATGCTGTTGAGGCTGTTTAATGAGAAGGAGGTCGATATTATCAACCATGTTGCTGAGAAGGCGAAGGCGGAGGCTGAGAAGGAGAGTAGGGATGCGGAGGCGAAGGATGCAGATGAGAAGGATGTGGATATGGCAGATGCGGAGGAGGTTGAGGAAGCTGTGGCTGCCGAGGAAGAGGGTGTAGCCGTCGATATGGATGCGTAGACATTTGTGGAAAAGCGTTAACACGGGTTGACGATGGGGAAGTGTGTATATGATATGCATTGGGTTCGGCGTTCATTTAGGTATTTACACGACCAATATTACGATGATTTTACGTTCACTCTTGCATTTCGCCAGTTCATCGTTTCATATTTCATCATCGACAAATCAATGGTCGTACAGTCATTTCATATATATAACTTTTCAACCCTTTCCCCACGCGAATACTTAATCCTTCTTCGCGCCCAAAACCTCCTTAACAACCTCAATCACGCGTGCAAACACCTCCTTAGGTGCAGCAACAACGCCCTTGTTCTCCTTCAACGTGCGCCCGATGCTGAAATTCAGCGGCTTCCCCCATGCATCGCTGACCTCGCCACCAGCCTCCTGCACGATAACTACGCCAGCAGCATGGTCCCAGATCTTCTCCTCGTACGACTTGCTGACAGGCAGGCGGAGGTACAAGTCTCCGGCTCCACGCGCAATGGAGCCGTATTTTGCCTGGGAGTCCATGCGAACCGAGGGCTTCGTGATGCCGAGTTTCTGCGCGATGGCGGCGTTGTCGCCGTGGCTGGAATGGCCTGCCTCGACGCTCTCGCAGAAAGTAGCTTGGGCGACGTCGGGGAGGGGGGACATTGTGATTTTCTGTGCGTCGAGGAGGGAGCCGTTGCCGAGGGGGCGGGAGGTGGCGCCCTCGTTCTTGACAGCGCCGAATAGGACGCCCTTTCCTTCTTTGTCGTCGGCGTCGACGCCTGTTGAGGAGTCGAGGGGTGCTTTGTCGTCGACGGGTAGGTTGGGACACCCGATTACGCCGACGGTGGGCACGCCGTCGACCATCAGCGCGAGGCAGACGGCGTACTGGCCGCCGCGCAGGAAGCCCTTTGTTCCGTCGATGGGGTCCAGCGCCCAGATCCTGCCCTTGGGTCCTCCGGCGCTCCTCCCGTTGTCGATTGCCGTCAGCATGTCGTCCGCGCTCTTGATAGGCCCTCCAATCTTGTCCTCTGCCGCGCTGTCGGTGAGCTTCGCGGCCTGCACGAGGTCCCAGACGAGATCGCGCTCGGCGTCGTTTTTGCGGAGGTCATCGGCGTCTTCTTCGCCAACTACCTCATCTTGTGGGAAGGCGTGCTTGATCGAGGATATGATGAGGGCTTGTGCGCCAAAGTCACCGATTGTGACGGGGGAGGAGTCGCTTTTGGAGAGGGTGCCCTTGGAGTGGCTGGAGTAGACTGATTTTGTGAGGAGTGTGGCGCGTTGCACAGCGAGGAGGGCGATTTCGAGCTCCTTTTCGTAGGCCATGGTGCGTAGTGTTGTGGATGTGGATATGTTTGTGGACGTGGATATGTTTGTGGACGTGGAGAGTGGTTTTGGGTGGAGGATGTGTATGGTGGGGGAAGCGTGGATGTGCTGCTTCAATTGCGACAGACGAGCTAGACTCCGTGACAGCAGCGGGGTGGTGAAGATTGAGATGGCCAGAATGACGACGGCTAGCTGGAAATATCTGTATGGCGCGATCTGGAGGGGCATGGGAGAGCTGTGCACCAGCGTTTTGGTGGGGGAGTGGAGTGAATGTCGTAAGGATTGCTTTAGCGCGACGGGGACGACGCGCTAGCAACAACCCTTGTCAACGACATCACCTCTCCACTCAGAAGCGGATAGTAGAAAAGCGTGAACAGACCACACAAGTTGACTTGACCATGTTAAATCCAATCGCAAGACGTAAAGGTAGGGCTTGGAAATAAAGAATGAATCAACAGCGACATCAGAATGTTCGAGCTCCCTACTTTGCATAGCCAAAAGTCCTGTAACCACCAACTACACGACAAACTCGTTCAACACTATCTGCTCAGCTACACTTAGTAGCCTAATTCGACAAGCAGACCATCTCCAACCGTCAAGATCTTGATCCTGGTCGTGGACGACATCGAAATGACGAAACGAGTTGTACTATTTTGGAGTGTAAAATCTTCCTTCCTATAATAACACCTAGATACAACATACACCTTTTTCGTTCAGCATAGGTAAAAGACCTGTATAGCAAGAATATTGGTATACATCTCACGTCCAGACTTCCAGAATCATGCCTTCAAACCAAAACATGGGTTAATCAAAGCCCAAGTAAGGTGGCACGAAGTACAAAGTTATTTGCAGGTTACATGATACAGTATGAAGTATCAAGTCTTACAGAAGTACAGTATAGCCCGAGTCGAATACTCTCAAGCCCCTACTCAATCACAAGACAACAACAACACCACCCCACCAAACACAGCCATACAAAGAAAAGCCAGGACCGCCTAATTCGTGCACCCAGTCCCACGATTAGACAGGCACTGCGCAACGCCAACCTCCAAATAGCCCTTAGCAACCCCACTCACCAACGGCTCCCCATTCCCATTGACCCCGTTCCTGCACTGATCCGTCGTATCAGCCGCAGCATAGTAAAGACTCGACTGATCCTTATTCACAACCGCAGACCAGCTGATATAGCAGTTGCCATAGACGATCTGGCGCGGCGAGCGCGGGATGGGAGATCTAGAGTTCCGGACCGAGTCGGCTAGGACGCGGCACTGCGTCGCTTCTGCTTTGTTGCTGTCGTGGCATTGGATCTCCCAGCGCTTGTCTAGCGTGAGAGAGGCGGAGCGGCGGGCGAGCGCGGATGTTGTGGTGCCGGGGCTGGTGTCGACGTGCGCGGGGATGTTGGCGTCGAGGAGCCGCCAGACTGCGTCTTCGCCTGTTCCCTCGAGGACGAGCTTGAGGTCGTGGCTTGGGATGGTGGGCTCGGTGCTCGTGGGAGCGGCGCTGATGAGTGCTGCTAGGGGCAGGATGGTGTGGATAAATCTCATGTTGGAGGATTGTGAGTTGAGATGGTGGTTTTGCGGAATGACGGAGTGAAGTGATTGAGGGGCGTCGAATGAGAGACGATGTGCTGTTGGGGATTGTGGATGGAGAAACCGGATGTCCGTTTATATAGCATAACAGCTGGCTGAGAGAGTCGAAAAGAAGGACTCGAGATGCTTGAAGCACGGATGCTCATACTACTCCACAGCCTTAGCGTTGGATGGTCATGGACCAAGAGTACCTTGATGAATGTGGGTCATGGCTTAAGATTACGATGCCAACAAACAGCACGGTTCTTAGTCCGATTGGTGGCATTGTTGATGGCGAATGGTCCATTACCGACCCGTTGCTTGGGTGGAGTATGCGTTATGGAAGAAACAGCAGGTCGACTTCGGTAGAGATGATCAGAAGACTGCGAGGTAGAATGGTCTCGACGCAAGGCCTCAAGCCACTGTTAGGATAGTGTCTAGCTACATGCGACAACTATCTGTACGTCGACCACGCCAGCATGGGACCAGTTGGCCGAGCTTCCTGGACCAATACAGCTTCAAGTAGCAGTTACTAGACCACGCTGAAACCGGAAGCTCAGCTGTCGAAGTGATTTTTCCCGTTCACTAGCTTATACTCCAGCGTTGCAAGAACCATTTCCAAGGCCCATTTCCAAGGCGGATGAGCATCGCCAATGAGACTAGATTAGTAGCAGGCTCTCTGCACTCTGCACTTGCATGTAGAGTAGACGTCGCTTAGAAGACGCACCAGTAGTGATGTGACCCAACCATCCAGTGCATAGGCTCGGCCCGCATGCAGTAGATCCCGCTTAAAACGTGCACTTCCCGTCCGGCCAGCCTTCACCCGTAACACGGTCCAATTGAAGTCCGACACAACATCACGCGATAGAGAGTACATCTTACGCCTGAGTCCTTGATTAAGCCAGCGACAGCGGATGTAGCTCGGCAATATGTCCTCATGCTGGGATGTGCAGCGACGCTTCAGGCGACGTAACTAAATGAAGGAGGTGGTGAACATGCGTATTCCGCTTGTAGCCACCCCGTAGGAACCGGATCTATTCATCCCCGCTTGGGTAGTCAGCGTTTTCCTCCGGATATTCCCAATGGCTGTTGACCAGGTCACGGGGAGACCAGGCTTGATTTTGGGGGGTTTGCGAGGTTCCTTGTACATCAGCCCATGTTGTGGATGGCTTGGGACTATCTGTGTAGGTAGGCTGTCAACACTGCCAAGAGGCTAGGCTTTTAGCACAACTCACTACATTGGCCGTGAAGTCTGCGATTTGCCTACCTCTAAAGAATGAGTGTGTATGTAGCTATGCGTTGATTGGGGTAGTAGACACTATAGTAACCAGAACTCCATTAACCTCCAGCCCGCTTCATCCCCAATTTGAAGTGTACATTGTATTCCGCAAGTCATTATACCCAGTAGATAGTATATAGAGGTGCGGCTCAACACGGTGCGGAGATAGAGTTAAACCCTCTTCTCCAATCAGAAGTCTGGATCAACAGACTAGTCGTTGAATATAAATGCCGTACTCCCGCTCCTCTGCATTACTAGTACACTGTATCGCACCCTTTGTAGATATATGACCAAGATGTGCAGTACATGATGCATGCGTGTTACCGTCGCATTAAGGCCTCCTGTCTAAGTATTCTGTATACGAGATCAATACGACCGACGTTATTCTGCGGCTAGATTTCATGTACCTACTATGTATTGCATATTGAAGCATCGGTTAACTATGCAAGGGAATGTCTTGGACTAAGTTGCTTTTTGTCAGTGGTATTGGTCGCTTGACAGTGCCGTATTCTGTTTCTTCAGCATACAGTTCCAGGCCATCCGTACTAGGTTGGGGACTCGATGGAAAGTGATAGTTTGTGCAGGTAGGCAGTATCCGCAAAGGTGCTTCTACGGATGCGAGCAGACCATCGGGGTGATGCCGAGTTTGCACACTCGGCATAGTTGCTCAAAGCAGGATGGTCAGAACTGCTTGACAAGACAAAACTGGAACCGAGGTCGACGGGTGGAGGGAGAACAGGAGCTCGAGGCCTCAGAGACGATGGCGGAGGAGTGACCTCGTCTGGCATGCCTTTGGTGTCGAAGAAGCTCATAGACCATACCTAACTCTTGGAATCCTTTTCGTGTGTATATATAGTCCAGTGACCACGAGTAAGCAGAGGTACTACCACATTCATCTTTTTTCCTTCACACACACAATTCAAAGTCGAACCCCTACACAATCCTACCATCATGCAGTTCCTCACCATCCTATCTCTTCTCTGCAGCGTCGCCTCCAGCGCAACCCTCACCACCCGTCAAGACCACGACGCCTACCCCCTGAACCTAACGCTCGCCGGACCCCCAGACGCGCAATACTGGCTCCTGAGCGAGGAAAACATGCCCCCGGGAATCAGCCGCACCACATTCGACGAAGAAGATGCTTCTCCCCGTCTTATCCGACGAGCCACCGAGTGCAGCGGGGACCACCGCGCCAACACAGGCGACTGTGTTGCACTCATCAACGCTCTCAACGGGGACTCGAATCTGATCCAGAACTCGCCGCGGAACATCAGGTATAACAACTGCTACGTGAGCTGGTCGAGTGTGGTGTCGGGGGTGCGGTGGGAGTTTACGCCCCATGCGAGGGACGTGTACAATGTGTGTAATAGCAATGGGGCTGTTAGTGGGTTGAAGAGGGATGCTAGTATTGGTGGGAGGTCGACGACGGTCTGCTTGTCGAATCGGGCGAGTGGGTGTAGTTGAGCAGATAGAATTGGATAAGGAGGGTTTCTACTCTATGCTTGGCCGTGTTGTGAGAGTCTGTGGTATGGGTGGTGAGGGTTGGATTTTGACTATCTGTGTTAGTAAAGTCAATGGATGTACTGTTGCTGTCTATCCAAGATTTTACGAATTGAGCTATTCCAGTCTCATATCTCCTTCTATATTCTGTGCTCTGCTTCTCCACTTCTAAGTGGAGAGGTGATGTCGTTGACAAGGGTCCCGCTAGCGCGACGGCAACGCATCCGTCACGCTTGGACCCGCATGGCGCATACGTTGGCCCGGAAACGAACATGGACGCGAAGAAACGCTCCGACGTCGACATCATCCAAAGGCGCTGCACCAGCTCCCTCCAGATCCAGCTCCCAGCCCCCAGACCACAAACCCGTACCCGAAACATCCCACAACGACCATGGCAGACCACCAACCCGCCCTCGCAACAACAAAGCGCAAGTTCCACAAGCTCCTCGACAACCTCACCGCCGCCAGCACATCCACCACATCCCTAGCCAGCACGCTGCAAGAATCAAACGCCTCGACGCCATCCCTCACACTCCCCCCCTCGCCCGAACCCCCGTCCAAGCGCCCTAGAAGCGCAAACGCATCAACCGCCAGCCTCGACCGCCAGCGCAACATCTCAGCCGGCCAGGAGCGCATCCGCGCCCTGAAAGAGCAGCTCCTCACCCCGCGCCGCGAGCGCACGATAAAAGTCGTCGGAAACACACAGGCGCAACCACCCAGCGATGCCACGCCGCGCAAGGCGCCCAATTTCCTGCCCTACAGCCAGGAGCAGTTCCTGGGCCGGCTGAAGACGTTTGCAGACGTGAAGAAGTGGACTAGCAAGCCCGATGGGATTCGCGAGGTTGAGTGGGCGAAGCGCGGATGGTCGTGCGAGTCGTGGAATACCGTCGCGTGCATGGGCGGGTGCGAGAAACACGTTGCTGTTAAGCTGCGGCCGAAGCGGAGGGATGGCGAGGGCAAGGAGATCGACATGACCGAGGACATGAGCTCGCCGTTTGACAGCGGGCTGGTAGCGCGATACGAGGACCTGCTCGTCAACGGTCACCAGGCGGATTGCTTGTGGAGGAAACGCGGATGTCAGGGTAAGCTGAACTAACCATCCACCACTGCCTTGGAAAAAAACACAAACTAATAAATCACAACAGAAGACATCCACCACATCCCCATCGCCTCACGCGCAAAAACCTCCTCAGACCTCCTCGCCCGCTACCACGCCATGGAATCCCTAACCCCAGACCTCCCCCTCCTAACAAACCTCACCCACCCCGGCCCCCCAATCCCAACCATCCTCCAACGCCTCCCCCCCACATTCTTCACCACCAACTCCCCCCCCTCCCATGCGCCCCCCTCCCCCGCAGCCCTAGCCTTCGCCCTCTTCGGCTGGACCGGCGTGCGCGAATCCCGCATCAGCCTCGCCGTGTGCACGCACTGTTTCCAGCGCCTGGGACTGTGGCTCTCATCCGACGCGCGTCTGCGCGAAATGAGCGCTAAGCTCGCTGTGCCTATGGCGTCGCTGCGTTTGGATCTTCTGGAGTCGCATCGCGAGCATTGTCCGTGGAAGAATGCGGTTGTGCAGGCGAATCCGCTGGATGGGCCGATTGCGCATATGGCTGCGTGGCAGACACTGCAGTTTGTGCTGTTGGGGAAGAGGCGCGAGGTTGAGGGCGTGCAGGAGAGGGAGGGGCGGCATGAGAGGGTGGAGAGTGGGGATGCGGGGGTGGAGGAGTATCCTAGGGGGAGTTTGGATAGTGGGGGGAGGAGTCTGGAGATGGGGGGTGTGGATGGGGAGGGGGAGGGCGATGGGGAAGATGAGGGAGAGGGCTCGCTGCAGGATAAGTGGAGGAAGTTTAAGGCTAAGCTTAGGAGGACGACGAGTAAGAAGAGTTTGAAGGATGCGAAGAGTATTAAGAGTGTTAAGAGCGCGAAGAGTGGGAAGAGTATTGTGGTGAAGAAGGGGAGGGATAAGGATAAGGATAAGGAGAATAATAAGGCGTAAAGTGGTGATGGGTGGACGTAATGGTAAAAATGGCAGTAAATTTCTTTCTTTACTTGTTGTCTACGAGCGAGGTTCACCGGCCTGACTGACTGGCTGGTCTGTAATATCACCTGTAATGTTTTGTTTACGTAGTTATTCATATGATACCCCGTCTTATCCACACAATGCAATGCAATACACCTCAATCCAATACAACCCACCCGCACATCTCACCTCTCACCCGTTACTTCCCCTCCCTCAAGCGTCCCCCTCCCCCCTCCTCCCCGCCGCATGCACACTCCTCCTTATATCAAACAGCGCATCATCAATCTGCCTCTCCTCCTCACTCCCCAACACCAAACTCGGCGCATTAAACAAGTAATCCTTCAAGTTCCTCAACTGATTAATGATACTCCTAGGCGAGAGGATAACGCGCTCAGCGAAAGACTGGCTAGGCGTAGCCGTAACTGGCGTGTCTTGTGCAGGTGGAGGAGTCGCCGTATCATCTTGTGGACTCGTCGTTGCGGTAGAGATGGTGGGTTTCGACGGAGCAGCGACCTGAACGTGACTGAGGCGTTTCGTCGTACTACTCTTCGCCTCGCTGACATCCTGATGCGCGGCCTGTCTTGCACGTTTCGGCGCGGGCGAGTCTCGGACGAAGACGTCCTGCGAGTTCTCGACCTGGCTGAGCGATGACTGCGAGCGGAGCATGCTGCGCTTGCGACTGCTTCCCGGAACGACGACGGGGCTGTCTGGCTGGGAGGACATGGAGTCGCTTCTCAGTTTTCTCTTTTTGCTCTTGTTTGTGCTGGGGGAGGGGACCTCGACGACGATGGTGTCGAGGATTGTGTCTCCGTCATTTGTTTCTTCGTCTGCTTCTGCTTCTGCGGCTGGGGCGGGGTGTTTGGATGGTGTTTCTGTTTCGCGGATTTCTTCTGTCCTGCTCTTTTTGCCTTTCTTGCCTTGCTTTGCGGACCCTTGTTTGCGCTTCTTTCCGCTGGGCGAGGGTGTGGGGCTGGCGACTGCCGAGTGGCGCGATGAGCGACGGATGCTCTGGTTCTTTGGCGTTCCTCTTTCTGAGCTGGGCTTGGTGAAGGAATCGTCGACACGACTTGTGCCGCTGGTGTCGAATTCAGACTCCTTGTTAACTGCGCGTGCTTGTGAGTCTTCCACTTCTGTATCGTCGCCGTCTTGATCAGCGTCGACGAGAGATATGCGTGGGTCGGACCCGTTGTCTACAACCCCAACATACGACTCTTGACTTGCTTCATCGCCTTGTTGAGTAGCGTCGACGTGGGCTTGGATATCCGCGTCAAGCTGCGCAGTGACCTGGAGGTCAATGGCCGAGCTGGGTGGTTCGGACATGGTGATGTCTGTGGGGAAATCGTAGTCCATGAGGTCCTCAGCGGCGATAGCGTCGGACAATGCTATCTCATCAATCGTGGTCCCCTCGTCAAAGGACATGGAGTATGAACTGTCTGGCTGTCGCTGCCCAAAACTGTCCTCCACTACATCCTCTCCAGGAATACCGCTAGACAGCTTCCTCATTCTTGAGCCAACTTCTTTCGCAATGTGCGGCGGGGAAGATCCTAGATCGTCGTTGTCGTCCGCGTGCTGCACCGTACGGATAGCGGTCGGAGTGGCCACACTGGTATCGTCGCTAACAATATGCTGCCTACTCCTTCGAGCGTGTGGTGTGGGCGACGATCCCAAGTAGGCATCCATAGGGCCCATTCCTGCCAACGTCTTCATTGGAGTGACCCGAGATTTGCGAGGAGGTAGTTCGTCTGCACTCGGCGCATCTGAGTGAAACTGCATTGGAGATGGCGCTGTGTCTTCCGGCGAAACAGCCCTCATATCGGCAAAGAGGCCACCAGCGAGTCTGTGGCGCTCCAACACCTCCTTCTGCCTTTCAGTCAAGACCTGCGACTCTTGATTGAACGGATTCGAGGGCGACGAAACGATTGCCTCGAACTGGACTTGCGAGTTGTCATGTCGAAGACGGACCTTGGGTGTTTGCCGTCCAGGCGTCCTCTTACTTCCGGGTGTGGGCACTGCAGGTGATCCAGGTTTAGATTTGCGTGCAGACCTGGCAATCTTGAAAGGTGACGCCTTGACTCGAGGACTCTTGAACGTAGATCGAACCGCTTCCGCACTGGTGTCTGAGTCGTAAAAGGAGATCTCGTCGTTCTGAAATTGCATTAGCGTTGTCATACATCTGGGTAACAATGAGTCTTACCGAATCTCCCTTTTGGATATCCAGTGAAGGCAAGAGAAGATCGACCGTGTTGTATAATCGGCGAAGTGCCTGCTCGAGGCGAGCTGGGTATCGCAAGCTCTCCTCTTTCCCAAACGTGGTGTTCCAAGTCGTGATCGAGACGTTGGCAATGCTGCGACGTCTGCTCACGAAACCTGCCGTGATCAACGATTCCAGATGCGATAGAATCTGGCCATCTTTACGAGGCAGTCGCTCGATCGCTTTGCTGACTTCTCGCCATAGGTTGACGACCTACAATCTGTTAGTTTATGCCGAGTCAAGTGGATAACATGCTCACCTCTTTGTGAAGAATCTTCATCGGTTGCTCTCTAGTCTGCATCTTCTTCTCGGGGTCTTCAACCCAAAGTCGAATCACGTCCTGAGTCTTTCGAAGGTAAACTGCCAACAAGGAGGTCGTGCAGTTGTGTATAGAAGCCCCGAGAGCAGCAACGAAGTCTTTTGTAGACTCGAGGTCCTCGCTGTTAAGATCACGGTATGCTGCTAATCCTGTAGACACCACAGCACCATAGAGGTGGTTGTAGGGATCGAAGTCGGCATTTCGTCCAACTCCCGGAGACGAAGGCCATAGCTTTTGTCGTGCTTGGTCCAGGACCCGACGGCTCATATTCGCCGGGAGGTTTCGAAGCAGGATGCTGGCATAAGGCAAGCAGGAAGTTTTGTCGTCGTCCGCAACACGCTTCAGGACGCACTCCGAAACTTTTTCGACCACGGCAAGGACAAGCGCCCCGTCCCCGGCTTCGCGCCGAACTGTGTCAACAAAGGATACTAACACTTCCTGGCCTCGGGGTCTATTCAAAATGTAGGTGGAACCCAGCCCGAGTATTTCCACCACAACTTCGTACTCCTTTCCAAGCGGACGCGAGACATGCTCATTTGTGTCGGAGGCTCGTTCCTGGAACGAAGACTTGAGCAATGCAGCGATTTGAGCCCAGAAATTTAAAGCTACAACAGCCCTCAACGAGCCATCTACAGTCGCTGAGCAGTCGCGTAGCAACTCCAGCTTACTTTGGCGGGTGTTTTGAATATTGAAGCATGGCTCCAGGATTAGTTTCATTGCTCGTAGTCGGACGTCGTCTGGGAGTTTGCCCTCAGACTGGTTGATCAGAAGGTCGACAAAGTATAGAAGAGGTGATATCCGAGGGCCGTTTTGTCGTGAGCGAACGGATGGAGTCGAAGCCACTTCGAAATCGTCCTCGCCGTTCCGAGTAAGGCTTTTGTCTGCGAATTGGAATGCGCCCAGTTTCTGTATCACTGTCTCGATCAGGAAGCAGAATTTGTCCGCCCAACTATCCTCCTTTTGTTGTGGTAACGCCAACTGAGCGGTATGTCTGTCCCACACTCTACGAAGCAAATTGACAATGTGGGCCATTGCATCTTTGGTCTCGCTCGAAGCCATAACCTCCTTACTGCTTGCTTCAACTAGGGATTTCAGGACAGCCAGCCACATGGTCTTGACAGGTTGGTCCTCCTCGTTCTCATTCGTAGACCAAGGCGTAGCATCAAGGAGGGTTTCCACAAGGCTAAGCACCGTTGGGAGTGACTTTCGGACCCATCTAGGATCCAGCAGTGGTAGTTCCGCACGCTGGACCATAAACTGCGATCGGATTTCCAGGACTCGTTGCTCATTCCAAGGCTTTCTCGAGCCGTCGAGAAGAGCAGAAACGATACGGCATGCAACGAGTGCGTATGTAGAGGGTGACAAATTCACCAGTGGGGTCCAAAAGGTTGCAACGTATTCGCGCCAGTATCGGTCGAGTTGTTCGTGGGAGGCTGTTGGTCGAAGTGCATAGTATAGCAGGGTGATGTATGCTGAGGTGGTGGCTTCCCGCTCAGGCTTCTTAACGCGTCGCTGTAGCTGTTGTCGCAGGATGTCGTGCAGCATCTTCGTCCATGTGTCCGAGGTACTTGGAGAGAGATTGACAGCATAGAGAAGAAAGCACAAAGCGACATTGGTTGGGACTTTGACAGCATCCTTTTCGGATCGTATGCACTTTTCGAAGACCTTGAGCCAATCTCCCAAAGCAGCAAACATACCAGGCTGCATACCGTCTCGCAGGAGTCCGGTGACTGCTGACCAAATCTGCGGCACCATGGAGGCATTGTCTCCATCCAGCATCTTCTCTAGTTCTTGTGCTATGAGCTTCGCAAAGGTTTCGCCGTCGCTTCTAGCGCGGTTGAGAACAGAGAGCACGGATTTGGTGACGAGGCGATCATGCCCAATTGTCTTTGCGGCAGAGAGGGCAGTATCCAGTGCACTCTGATTGATATCCTTCTGGCCAGAGAGCAACGCTTTGACCGTGTGCTTGAACCATCGTTCCGTGTGCTTGATCATGATCTCGGGACGTTGCTGAATCATCTTCCTGTAGATGCGAAGACGGTACGCTTGCACGGAGAAGCCACTGACGCGCTCGTGTATTGTGTCGAGCACATCCATGACCTTTTCCACGCGTATTGGTGTCATTGTCCTGGGCCGGAAGTTCTGCTGCATGAGCACCGCAAGATGAGTGTTGACGACAAGCTTGGGCATCGAGGCATCGGCGGCGACTTGGATACTGCGGTCCATGACGAAGGCGCAGAAGTCCTCATTCATGACTGTGATCAGATCCGGAGTGCGCAACAGAGCCAGCAGCAGCTTGAGGGCCTGGCCGATCAGCTGCGAGTCTGGGCCGGTGCCTGTCTGGCTCACGGCTTGTATGTCTCGTCGCATGAACTGGGTCAAGAGAGACATTTTGTTCTTGAGTGCCTGCTCGTCGGGGACCTTCTCGTAGGCCTGCATGGTGCGCTGCAGCGAATGGTATGCGTCCAGCCTCGAGGAGCGCTCCCCCTGTGCCAACTGCTTGACTATCGACTCGAGCATGTCGGCGAACGTGGTGAACTTGTCTGCCGAGGCGCCGTCGTCGGTCGGTGGGGGTGTCGAGGCCGCGTCCGAGGGCTTGAGGATGGAGCGGAGCGGTTTCAGGCCGCGCAGATGGGGCAGCGGTCGCAGCGGCGAGCTACGCGTGGGGGTCCAGGACTGTGCGACTGCCTTCTTCTGCGGGCTGGTGCATGCTGTGAGCTGGAAAATAACGCGCTTCTTCGCGCTGGCCAGGCTGGACGGAATATCGATCTCCGACGACGGCGACTGCAAGGGCGTGTTCAGCAGCGTCTTCTTGGGCAGTGCGAGTTTCGGCAGCGTGGGCTTCTCGCCAAAGGGGTCCTCGAGGAACTGCAGCGTCTCGTCGGCGTCCTTGTCGTTTTCTTCAATGTCTTTGGGCGGCGTCGGTGGGCGGACAGAAAGCGACTCCAACTTGGACACCATGGCGATGCTGCTGACAAACTAACCCAAACAAGAAGCCAAAGTAGAGCACTGCACTTGCATCGCTGGGTCGCAAGATTCGAGTCGGGTCGGGTGCGTGTGGGCGTGTCGAGGTCGAGGTTGGACTTGCAAGGGCTGGTCGCGATCGCGACGCGATGGATCCGCGTAAAGTGCATGAGCGTTTCCCGGCAACCAACCGCGCTTCCTTGCTTTGGCCAGTCCACTCGATGCAGCAATCCCCCGAGAGTTAGTAGAATGTAGGAATGCAAAAATCTTTGCAGTACCCAGAATTGAATGATAAAGAGTATTTGAAACACGTGTGAGCTATTGAATGCACATTTTCCATCTCGCTTCTAATTTCACCGTTTTGATGCACTGTGGACCCTGGGCAGATGCATCTGCAGATCCCCAGGTTCGGTGGGGCCATGAGCTTCGAGCTTCCTCCACAGCTCTGAAACCTACGCCACACCAATACACGGGACTTCCAAGCTTCTTTTTTTCAAGACCATGAATTCATCTGGGAGAGGTTCGTATACTACAACAGCCAGTGCTTCAACACAAACCTGCAGCCATTGCTAACTTTGACAAGCGAAACTCGACCAAGTCACCCAGATACTCACCAATCTTCAAAACGACCTCAAAGCCCCCAAGCTCTCCGTCCAGCGTACACCATACCCTTTCCGCTTCAAACATATAGCGCGCTCATCAACCCAACAGAACGGAAGCAGCTGCTCGAACAGCTCAAAGTCCACGGTCGATCGGTCGAGAACTCGGACCCCATATTCACAAAGAATGTACGATGGTCGCAGAACACAACCCAAGAAGATGACGTTGACGAAACTAGGGCCTGCAAACATTGAGTCGCTATGCGACTGAGGAAAAAGCTTCCGCGACGTCGCAGGAAGCTCTGCGCTGCATCGCCAATGCCTTGCTCCTCGTACCTGCAACGCGCCAGATTCTGGTAGACCTGGATTTTGGCCCGTGGGCAGCGGAGAAACTGGATGTGAGCACATACTCTGTTTGTGCTCGGAGAAGCCAATCGTTCTAATCGTTTTACAGAGCGAGAGCACCGACGATGAATTCCTCCTCTCCCGCGTCCTCTTCCTCCTGACCTACGAAACGACGCTCGACTACACGAACCTCGTCCAAGAAAACCACCTAGCAGACAACCTCAACGCAGCCATAACACGCCATGCGAAGCGCTATTCGAAATCAACGCCCCAGCACGCGCGTGGCCACACATCACTAATGGACCTCATGGCGCTCTCCGAAACGCTCAAACTCCTCTTCAACATCACACACCGCAGCCCAGACCTCAGCCCTTCCTTCTCGCCCTGCATACCCCACATATTCAAGATCCTCCTCCGACGCGGCATCCCCACCCCACCCCTCAAAGACCCCACCAACTTCCTCATAAACGCGCTCATGAACCTCGACCTCGAAGACACGCAACACACCCACCCGGGGACCCAAACCGCCATCTTCCCCTCCTTCGACCCCCCCTGCAACGCCTCGCACCTCATCGCCATCCTCGACAAAGCACTCACCTCGTACCCAGACCCCGAACTCGACGCCACAGTCTCCCCCCTCCTAACCCTCCTCCGCCGCATCTACCCCCTCGCCCCACCCCCCGTCCAAACACACATGCAAACCCTCCTACTCCCCACGCCCGCAGAGCGCAGCAAACCGCTCGGCAAATCCGACACCTTTTTCTCGCGCCTGCTCAACTTGTCCACATCCGCGCTGACGCCTACGCTGCGCGGATCCATCTCCGCGATGCTGTTCGAGCTCTCGGATAAAGACGCCGCGACATTCGTGCATAACGTCGGCTACGGATATGCGTCGGGCTTCCTCATGTCGAATAATATACCCATGCCTGAGAGCGTGGCGAGGGCTAACGCGGAGACGGACGGCGTGCTGGTTAACCCCATCACGGGACAGCGGCTGGATCGCGAGGATGTGGTGGAGCAGCAGCCTATGACGCAGGAGGAGAAGGAGAGGGAGGCTGAGAGGCTGTTTGTTTTGTTTGAGAGGTATGTGATGAGCTGTTTGGGGGTTGGGATGCGTGTACTGATTCTTAACTAGGCTGAAGGCGACGGGCGTTATGGATGTGCAGAACCCTGTTGAAGAGGCGTTTCGGTCGGGGAGGATTGAGGAGCTGGCTGATGATGAGGATTGAGGGGTTGTGTAGTTGGATGTGTGGTACAGTATCGTGCATGGCGTTGAGATGATAATAGCAAAGGAGGTATCAGAGGTATCACCTGCCCCCTTTCGGGAAGTATTGTGCAAGAAGATGAGAAGAATTAGATTTTTGTTAGGTATATGAAGAGGAATCTAATCATTGCCCGGCCGTACATGTTAAGACTAATCACTCTCCCCCTCCTATTACTCTACCCGTGACGCGGAATCCTGCACCTGGAACAACGCCGATTCCGTCCGCGTATGAATAGTTCCCGAAGAAGCATGCTCGCTGTATTTAGATGAAAACCTTGCCGGATGATGTTTGGACTCTGCAGTAAACCGGCGAAACGCGACCTGAGAATGAATATGAATATATGGCTAGTATTGAAAATCATAGCCGAGACTGTTGGTGAAGAGAAGACATATGTGAGGGGTATATTCTAGCGTCGTAAGTATCGTGATATCGTTATTGTTTTTGTTGTGGTGAGACTCGGAGAGTACGCGTTGAAAGGGAAAATGATAAGTCGTTGATTTGGTGGAATAGATGTCATGTAGTGGTGATACATGTAGAAACCGCCTCGCCGTCGAGTCGTCTACGCCTCGACCGGGCACGACGCCTCCCGCTCGAATCCCAGAGGCCTGATGGGACGGAAGTTGTTACCGGACAAGTCAACCATGCGCTGTGGAATCTTGTCAGGGATCTCAACACTGGGCAGAAAGCCGACTCCGCCTTCGTTCTGGTACTGGCGGATCCAGTATGCGCTGAGGAGTCGGTTGAGGGTAGTGCCGAGAAGGTGACCGAAGAATGAGTTGACCTGCGACACCGGGTATGCGCAGGCCCAGAGAAGAAGGATGATGGCTGCGCCTCTTTGTGTGGCGGACAGATCGGTGATTGAAGGGAGGATGCGTTGGCTATGGGCGTGGGCATCTGCTGTGCGAGAGAAGGCGTTGCCGAGCCATTGATATACGCCGCAAATGTGGAGGAGATACGCTGAGCTGCATGCACCCGCAGTATGCACAGCAAGCTTCCTGCTGAACTTGTAGAGCAAGGCGAATAAGAACAAGATACCTGCTGTAGCAATAAGGGTGCGGACAAGAGATGTGATGAAGTCTGGTATCCCGCTGAAGAATGCGAAACCGTTCGCGATATGCTCTGCCCTGCTCGAAAGGGTTTCCAAACGCTGCTGAATAGTATCAATCTTCGTCAATGACGAGTTGGTAGTGTGGTTGATCTTCATTGCGGCATGGTGAATCTCGCCCATGTAATCAGACAAAACATTATAACTGTCCAGCTGCGCTTCGTGGTTGATTTGAAGACTGATCAGAGCTCGATCGTGGTGCTTCTGGAGTTCGCCCGTCAGAGACTTTGCCATACCTGAACTTTCTAGGATCATATCTTGGGAAAACAGCTGCATCTCCTCACGTATCCGAATAATGGCGTCGCTCTGACCTTGAGTAAGTGCCTGAATAAGACCGGTAATCGATATGTCCATGAAAGAATGGAACTTGTTGTCGAGCGATCCGACGGTTGCAATGGCCTTGTCGTGCACATCCTGTATGTCTTGTTTGGCTTGCTCTTGGGCCTCGCGTATGGCATTAGCAAACTCCTTCTGATCTCTGACCAAAGATTCGTATTCTTCAGTGGTATCCTTCATGGTTGATGAGACGGCACTCATAACTTGCGTCAAGTTCTTGAAAATCTCCAGATGGTTCTCCCTCTCAATAGCATCTCTGCTTGCCTGGCACATAACAACCGCGTTCTGCCGCGCATTGCTGAACGAGGTCCAATATTGTGGCGACGATTGAAGCGTTTTCAAACACTGGCTATACTGGTAACCGTTGAAATCAGGGTAGCACTGCTTGTCGTCCGAAGTCGTTGGCTTCGAGTTGTACCACCAACTACCACCCTTGCCACATGCCCTCGACGATGGAACAAAAATATCACAATGTGCAGGGGGGAGTGGATTGCTTGTATGAGGTTGAGCGCTCAGTAATTCGCAAACAGCCAGCTTGGCCGCGTATTCAGTTTTGACATTGTCCAAGTATGCCTCTGGACGTGTTTTCGCAAATTCTGGTGCATTCTCAAGTAGTTTGCATTCGTTCATGAGATGCGAGGCGGCCATTCGAGTGCACGTCGGCGCTGTTTGCATTGAAACAACGAACTCGACAGCCTGTGATATGACTTTGTGGTTTCGAGACGTCGTGTACTGGAAGAGCGTATCAAGGTCAGCGTTCATGCTTGGAGCCGCATTTCCGGACGGAGAGTGATGATAGGCCGATATGGCTGGAGAGTGGAAAAGGAGAGTTGTGAGCATCAAGCAGAAGGTCGGTTCGATTGTGAACCACATCTTGCCGATTGAACGCCGACTGCGTAGGTAGAACAAGAGAAATAGGAACGTTGATTCAAAGTTGAAATTGAGGAGTGAAGCGTAGCATGAGAGCAGAAGAACGAAACACGGGAACATATAATCCTGAGAGGGCTCCATTGCGAACATGCACGCCTGTCTAAGCAGAAGTGAGAGAACGATGATGGACGACTCGAAGCATGAGATCTGGCTGCGATGGGTGAGTGAGAGCGAAGACTGCAGTGAGTGGACGACGCGTGGTTAATCGAAGAGCAATCGGCTGCAGTACAAGTAAGAAACTGCGAACTGGACAGTTCAATATTAAAAAGCGACGGCCATCATACAAAACCACCGCGTTTGATGAAGATGGGAAGATTAGTGTTGAGGTGTGACGAGAGGGTTGAGGGGCATGCACGAGCCATGGAAGGAAGGCGCGGATCATGTCGCGCAGGCACGGGATCAGACGACTGACTAAGCTCTCGTAAGGCTGGACATTGAACATCCGCACATCGTCTCTCCAGAAAACTTCGCCAAGACCGACTTTCCCATCCACATCATGTTCGCATCAGCGCGAAGGCGGTGCGCGAAAAGCGTCACACAGGCCTCAATTACATCCACCGACTCTATACCGACATTCCTGCTGCCCGCGCTCCAGAGACCCACATCCTCAAGGACCTTTACTACAACCGCACCATGCCAGTCCAAGATTGGCTCCGCACCGCTCTCAGTGCCTCCCGGGGTGACATTCAACGTACTCGCACCTTCAACACGAGGTAGAGGATCCAGAGTCCAACCAATGTCTACCGTACAAATCAAGGGACCCCTCGGCGAGCTCTCGATGGAAGTTCCTCCCTACCTCAACATCAACCAAGACCCGACCCTGAGCGGACCAACGTTGACGATAGCGGATTCGACAGATGCGAAGCAGAAAGCTATGTGGGGTACGTTCTCTCGCACCTCACCTATCTACAACCTTGATTGACAAGCGAACAGGCACAATGCGCGCATACCTTCAAAACCATATCCTCGGCGTCAGCGAAGGCCACAGTGCCATTCTTCGTTTTGTGGGTGTCGGTTTCCGTGCCTCGGTCGAGAACACTGCTACGACCGTTGAATCGGAGTTCCCTGGCCAGAAGTTCGTGAATCTCAAGGTCGGATACTCTCACCCTGTCGAGCTCGGCATACCAAAGGGCGTAACTGCGAGCACACCACAACCGACACGTTTACTGATAGAAGGGCCGGAAAAAGAGGTGGTTATGCAGTTTGCAGCCAACATAAAAAAATGGAGGAAGCCGGAGCCATACAAGGGCAAGGGTATCTTCGTAAACGGGGAGACGATCAAGTTGAAGAACAAGAAGATCAAGTGAGGGCTGCGTGTACTGTATCGTATATGTATCATATGCATGGAAGGTGTATTATACTGGCACGCAGGAAGGCTTGCAGGAGTAGCTATATGGTGCATGCTAGAGGAAGGACTCGCGTGAACAACACGTTGAAACCATTCCAGCAGGCCTTTATGGCCTGCAATCCCCCTTTGCAAAACTTTTTCACTACTATACGATGTCGTAAGGCTGTGCAGAAAACTGAGAGGGTGCCGCAGGTCATCGATCGAGATTTATTGCCCCGATGAAATTCAGCTTTGGTATGGTCACAACGAACAGATGTAATACTGGCGTTCACTGGAACAAGAGCGCCATGTTCGAGTGATTGAGACTCAGCCAGATATATTCTGACATCATCCCAACCTATCTCTACAGAGATTAATAGCTACATCTGCTGTCGCTCCATCGAAGAAGTCGTTCAATAACACAACGACACTCTCCTCCTTCACCAAGTTCTTCCCCGTATCACCACTTAACAGTGGCAAAATCTTGCTGTCGCACACTGGCTTCGTCGCCAATATTGGACTAGTACTGACATCCGAATCAAGCACGCTCGCCACGATAACGTCTCGGATATTCGTCGCGGTCGCCTGGCATTGCAGAAGTGTGATCGGATGGCCCTGCGGAGGATGCTGCGACATATCGTTCAACTTGACAACCATGGAGTCGCCAGTCAGTGTAGCGTTTGCCGCGTCATCGTAGTTGGAGACCTGATTCACGTCGCGCAGGACGATAAGTCTTTTCTTCTCGGCGCGAAGATCTCGGATACTCTTCCGCATCATGTCGTCCTGGTTGCCGACCTGAATTTCTTTGTCTTTGAGTACATCATTCAAGATGTTTCTCAGATCATCGTCGTTGGGCTTTGGACAATCTTGAGGCACACCGTCCCATCGGTTTTGCACAACGACGATCTCATCGCTGTGGTCTTGCAGGAACTGGATGATGTCGGAGAGGAACTGTTTGTAGGACATCCCTGGGATCGCGCCGTGTTGGAAATACCATGTGTCTGCCAGTGGGCTGACTTTCTGAATCTCGCGATGGCATTTGGCGGGTCTAAATTCAAAGTATCTCGCTCCGATTTTGAGGATCGTGGCTAAGGTGTCTTTCTGCGTAACGGCCAGGGCGCGGATAATGTTTGGCGCGATGCGATTTATCGCTCCATTAGACACCTTGTTCAAGACTTCGAGCGGAGCTGGTAAGCTCTTCCCCAAAATCTCCTTGATGATGCCTGTCCCAGCGTTCTTCAGTAGCTCGAGACTGGTTTGCATACTGTTCATGCCAATATCGTGTGCTGAGGGAAGAACCATCCTGTGAAATGGCTTATTCGATTTTTCATCGTCTTGGGGAATGACCTCTCTCATCCAGTTCTCACAATTCTTCGTCACTGTCACATAACACTGGTGTTGTTTTGGCAGCTCCGCGACGCCCGGCCCAGCATCGTAGAATCCGTAACATATAATCACATCCTCCACAAGTACACTTGGGGTCTGGTCCATGGTGATCATGGTCCCGCTCTCGAGACGCCCGGTCAGGACATTCACGTTGACTGATTGCTTGGTCAATTCTCGACCGTCGCGCCGCACGACGAACGCAAAATTTCCAGCAAATTTGAAGCGGCCCAGGTTTTTGAGGTCGACTTCCAGGTGGTCAGTTGTGAATTGGTGTGGACTGTTTCTTTTGACGCTTTGCTTTGGCACCGAGAACTCAATTTCGATGCCACCGACGGCGATATAGGCAAAGCATTTCACGCCTTTAGACGGCATAATAACGGCGAATCTTTTTCTTTCCGGTCGGGAGGTAAGGTGTCTTAACGAATATGATGTCTTCTCGTATTTTTTGGTTGTAACTCATCACAACAAGCTTCAGCGCGGGATAACGTGGGAGGCCAACAGCGCCAGATGACGATGGCGAGGTGCCATGCGCTATATGCCAGGAAATGAACGACCCTCCGACGCCATCTCAGCTTCTCGCGCCAGTGTCTAGACGTCTAGACCCTGCAGGCCTCAGCTGTGGTGGTGTCGCAAACCAGCCACATCAGGTGAACATAGCAAGAAAACATAGAGGTATGGTGAATATCTGTGAGATCAAGCAATGATCTTCCATCGGACCAATAGGCGAATTGCAAAGTAGTTCGCCTGAAACAGATTCGCGTTTGACGATGGGAAGGTGCGTCTGGCTGTCATGGTGGGGCTCCACGACCGAGCTATTGCCCCTCGTTTCCTCTCGTAAACACTCTCCGTTAAGAGATCATCACCCCGTAGAGATTGAAGTAGCGGTGAGTGTTCTATTAAATACTCTAGATTAAAAGTCTAAATATCGTAAACAGCCACTCGAAAACACCCTATAGTTCCATCAAGCCTCCACGAGCTTCATTGTCTACCCCGCCATCACCTTGAACCACCGAAACATCTACAAACCGTCATAATGGTTGACCGTGCGAACCGTCCGTCCGCGCTTAGTTCAACGACCGCATCTGGGCCTGAAGCTCAAGTCGACATCAATGGACAGGGTGGAAGCCAGAAAGTCGTAGCCACGCTGCCATCTGGGGAGAGTGTGGAGGTCATGCTCTTTGGAGCCACTGTGACCAGCTGGAAGAGCGACGGTGGCAAGACAGAGAACCTGTGGTTGAGCGAGAAGGCGGATCTTACGGGAGGAAAGCCTGTGAGGGGTGGTGTTCCTGTGGTGTTCCCGGTATGTGATAACTAAAGCTACCCAGCAACGATGAACATGTCCATTGGGAAATTGTGGGCATTGGCTGACTTGTCTCAACTCAGGTCTTCGGTCCCCCACCCAAGTCAGGTCATCCTACATCTTCGCTCCCGCAACACGGTTTCGCTCGTGGATCTCGCTGGGAGTTTCTAGGCAAGTCGACTTCCGAGGATGTTGCCTCTAACTCCGTCAAGCTTGACTTCGGTCTGGACCGCTCAGGTCTTAGCGAGGAGTCGCGCAAAGCGTGGCCGTCGGAATTCGGCCTGGTCTACAGTGTTACACTGAGCAAGGAGAGCTTGCAGACTGTCCTCACAGTGCGCAATGAGGGAGAGGAGAGCTTTGAGTTCCAGTTCTTGCTGCACACTTATTTCAAGATCAAGGCAAGTCTAGAACCGCGCAGCTACATTTGAAGCGACACTGACGGATCATTTGCAGGACATCACCAAGCTCGAAGTCACCGGCCTTCTGGGTGTCGAATACGTCGACAAGGTTCTCAACGCGTCGACTCACACGCAGTCTGACAACTCTCTCAAGTTCACGGGCGAGGTTGACCGCGTCTACAAGTCCATCCCGCAAGACACTACATCGATTCTGGAGGATGGCAAGCCGCGTTTTGATATCATTCGCGACAATGTCAAGGACACTGTTACTTGGAATCCTTGGGTCGAGAAGGCCAAGTCGATGGGCGACTTCTCGCCGGATGACGGCTACAAGAACATGGTCTGCGTTGAGATCGGTGCAGTCGACGGTTGGCAGAAGCTGGACAAGGGTGAGGTTTGGGAGGGTGGCATGTTGGTCAAGAGCTTGCTTTGAGGAAACTGTCCCAGAGGCCGCGACAACCGACTTGAAAACGATTGAATGCGCCTGACTCGGGAAGAGGATACACTAAGTACCGACAGCACGAGTCGTGTGTAACAACAATTATGAACGGGCTGAACACAGTCAATATTTGTGACAGACTACGTATGATGCGCGTTTTCATGTTTGTGGTGCAAATGTTGTTTCTTCCTCACACCGTGTAAACAGATTGCCTGTTGAGGATGGTTCCCTTGTCTTTGCAGGGTCCTCACCGGATCTGCCCCGAACGTCGACACGGCATCACAACATCCACTTTACTGTTGTCATGTTCGGCCATAGTAACATTGAAGCGCTCCTCCCTCCGTACTCATATCGCTCTAGGGCAATTGATTGAAGGCACCTTTGGAGGGAGCTTACCATCGAGCACCCCGCTTCCCCGCTCACGACAGTCAGGGTTATCCTCGTAAATATCGCTGTTGTGAAGGTTGGACAGATTACTCAAGGACCGAGGGTTTGCTTCATTCTAACGACGCGTTTGCGCTGACGTGGTAACGACGTTGCGCCATCTTCCGGTCGATGTGGACAGTGGAGGCTCGTGGGGCATACATTCACGGAAACCATGGATGATCGCGAACGACACAGAAGTATGTCGCTAATACCTTATGCGCCAGCGGAGTCGCGGGAAATCGTTTTGTATGTCTGAGACACGTTCAAAGTCACGACAGACGTCAAAAAGTATGGACTAATCATGATTGCAGGCGCCACGGTTCCGCAGTAGTGGTATTCGACCAACAGTCCAAGCAGCTCTCCCTGCGCGATGCCTCGCGATCCACCACTGTGGAAGCTACATCATGCCCATACTGTCGCCGATCATACCGCGACCCGTCGCCTCACGAGCCAGAACATGACGAACAGCATGAACACACTCCAAACATACCAGATCCGGACAATGGCTTCGTCAACCCTGCGTATTTTGGCATGCTGCGCAGCAGCCAACCTGGGTCAGCAGATATATCTCGCCCACCATCGCCGCATAAGCAGCTAGCACCGGCTCCTGTTCGAAACACACCGAGAGAATATCATGCGCCTGAGGGAGCCGAGTTCGTCGGAAGCACACCCATACCTCCCACAAGAAGCCAGGGTATATCCGCGAGAGCTTTCAGTCCCAACTACTTCAAGACCTTCTTCGTAGAAGAAAGGGAGCTTGGGAGAGGGGGCAAGGGTGTGGTGCTACTTGTACACCATGTTCTCGACGGCGTACAACTTGGCAAGTTCGCATGCAAACGAGTCCCAGTGGGCGACGACCATGAGTGGCTTGAGAAAGTCCTGATCGAGGTCCAGCTGCTCCAAAATCTATCGCATCAAAATCTAGTGTCATACCGACATGTGTGGTTGGAAGATTTCCAAATATCGAACTTCGGTCCGAGCGTGCCTTGCGCTTTCATTCTACAACAGTACTGTAATGGTGGTGATCTACACGACTACATACTAGACTCTGCTAAAACGACGGTCACCACAGAGCAGTTGAAGGAACGCCTCAGAAGGAGATCGAAAGGACAACTGGATGAACCAGAAGACATGATTGGGCCGCGTCGTATGCACTTCGAGGAGATCATATCGTTCTTCAAGGACATTACGTCGGGATTGAGCCACCTGCATGCGAATGGGTATATTCATCGGGATCTGAAGCCAAGTAACTGCTTGCTACACAATGACGGACACAAAATCAAAGTCTTAGTTAGCGATTTCGGTGAAGTACAGTCAGCAAACACGGCGAGAAATTCATCCGGGGCTACGGGGACCATATCATACTGTGCGCCCGAGGTCCTGCGGCAAGAAATACCAGGAGGTCCTTTCGGTAACTTCACGACCAAGTCGGACATATTCTCTCTCGGTATGATCGTCTACTTCATGTGTTTTGCGCGGCTGCCATATAGGAATGCAGATGGTATCGACGAGGACAATGAAGATCTCGAACAGCTTCGAGAAGAAATTTCAACATGGGCTGGCATAGACGATGAATACCGCGTGCGGTCAGACCTACCTGAGAAACTGTACAGATCACTCAAACGTCTGCTTGGTCTAACTCCAGACGAGCGTCCAGGAGCAGAAGAGATATTACATGTCCTGAAATCGCCGTTAGTCTTCGACGAATTCAATGCGTACGCTGGACCGTCGGGCCTCGATGAACTCAGCCCCCGCATCTCGCGCGCAGACACACCCACTCCTTCACCAGCACAAACTGGCAGAAAGAGAAGCTCCGTGCAATACACCCGACCAGGACGTTCAAAACTCGGTGCTACGGTAATGGACCGCTCGCCCAGCCCTCCACAGCCACAACCCATGCAGAGGACATTATCCTCAGAGGATGCTGTTGTTCTCCGCGCTCGGAAAATCGACTTTCTTCCATCAGCAACTGTGGTCAGAACGCCTTCGCCGCAAAGGTTGATGCTCCCCCCTCCTCCGCCACAACCGCTAGACATGCCTTCGAGAATTTATCGTATGATAGAACATCCGACTTTTGTTGGTGTTGCAAAGGTCGTGCTGTTTTTCGCAAAAGTAGTGACATTGTTCAGTCCTTGTCAACCCTTTGCAGCCAATTCGTGGGTAGCGTATCCACTGCTTTGTTTTGCGTCTCTTGATTTTATAGATGTTAATATGGAGGTCGAATTGAGACGAAGGCATGTTCGGCTCGGAGGATTGAGTGTGTCAACCTTACTCTTGCTGTTGCATGGGGTTGTGGTGGGAATGCTGTGGAGGCGGGACACGCTGTGCGCAAGGAGAGGAATTGTGTGGGATGGGCTTTGAATGGTAACACAATTTGCGTGTTTACCTGAGATGAGAGCACGACGATGTAAACTCACGATAGTGATGCTGGTCAGCTTGTTGACTAGTTTATGTGTGCTTATAGTGAACGATGCAATCTGAATTACGCGGCACTACAAATGCCTAGTCTTGCTGCTGTAAAAGCAACGAGGAATATCTAACATTCTACACGTAACGGTCTGCCGCTTCTGTCATCATACGACGGTGCCCTGTTTTGTTTGTTTGGGGAAGGTTGACGTTGATTGGTTCAGAGTGCACGGTTGCCGCGCGCTATGTGGGGCCTTTGTTGATGTTCCAAGACCGCGTTGTTGTGGTTTACCTTCTCTCTTTCCATTGCACTTTCCACTTCAACTCACATCAGGTCGTTCCCTTGACGCCGACTTGAACAGTGTTTTTTTTGGACGCGTTCTTCTTGCTTCGGCAGTCCTTACGGAGCATTCTTCTATCTTCTATCACGTATTTTCGACGCGATACAGATAACCCAGGAAATCCAGCCGACAGTTGCTCCAGCCTCATTCCAGTTCGATGCAGTCTTCCCCTCCTACAAGTGCCGGGAAAGCGCGCACTCTTCGCGAGCTCTCACGTAGCCTCATCCACAGCCCACGCGACATTCCATCTCCGTCACCACCACCAAGCGACTCGAATCCCACCAAACGTTCGGGCTTTGACACAGAAACATCTAACTTCTTCAACGACCCAGATATTCTCATGTCAACACTACACAAGTTCGAAGAAGATACCAACAACACACTGCCACAGTACCCGCGCATTCGCTCAACGGCAAAGAAGCTCAACACCTGGCAAATGTTCCGATCGGAGCAGATTAACCCCGACACATCCATGGTAAACAAAGAGTTCGGTGATTTCGACCATAGCTTCTCAGACGAGGAGGCCGTCTCTGTGGAACAAGCGCGTGGAGCCAACCGCAGCAATCGAGGCACGCCATCCAAAATGAGCTCTCAATTCAACAGCCTCTACGACGTCACGCCTCCCACTAATCGCTCGCGCAAGTCATACGCAGCCGATACGGGGAGCCTTCGACGCGACGCACAAATCCGACGCGCGTCGCGTAACGACATGGATACCGCGTCACCACGTCCTACAAGCAAGCGCAACTCTCCCGCCATGTCTGCAGATCGTAGGCGCACATCGCTCGCTCAATTGCACGCGAAGGTCTCAGAAGACGAGTCGTCCTTCATGCAGGAACGACCACCCACACTGACCATCGACTCGACCAAGAACACACGCTGGGGCAATCGTAGTCGACAAACCTCTCTTCAGACTGATGGCAATGTCGACGCGTCTCCACGCGTCAACGCGACATCCCGGTCACGGCCAACCACTGCTCAAAACGCGACTGCGCAGTCTTTCATCCTACCCGATCTTCCCAACCTCACCGAGCTGGTCTCAGGTGTTTTTGATGATGGAACGCCCGTTTTCTCTAAGACTGCTCCGGCTCGATCGAGATTCGCCGCCCCTCCGAACGGTGGACGCCCACAGCACACCCCTATTGAGGGCGTTCCGATCCCCGAAGAAGAGAAGGCTATATTCGTGGCACTTCAGATGCTCCAGGATAAGGTGGCTCAAATAGAACTTGAGCGCACAGAGCAACAGAAGAGGATTGATGAGCAAGATTTGGAACTCATTGAGCTGAGAGCCACCACCAAGGCCCAAGACCAACTGCGACGAAGTGAGGGTGCTGTTGGTTCAGACGGCGATAGCAAAGGCAGTTGGAAGGTTGAAAAGACGCGTAAGCATGGCCTGCACGAGCGGTAGAAGAAGTTGCTAACCCACCAAATAGGACTCGATGCAACCGTACAGACGCTCCGAACGAAACTAGACCGTGCCGACCGCAAAGTTGCTGTTCTCGAGATTGAGAAGAAGCGACTGACTTCGGAGCGAGACAACATGGCTGGCCAACTTGGCGTGGCTTTCCAGACCTGCGAGGAGCTCAAGAACGAAAACGAGGCCCTCAGCACGGAGAACGATATGCTTCGCCAGGAAGTTGACAACCTTCGAGGCGATAACGAGGCCTTGCAAGATCAGTTGGAGCAAGAACTGACTCACCACCGAGAAGAGACAGTCCAACTTCGACAACAGTTCAACCAAGCCGCAAACGCGACCGAGAAGGAAAACGCAACACTCCATGAGGAACTAGCCCGAGTACGTGCGCAACATGACGAGAACACCCAACAATTGTCTCGCAAAGATATCGAGCTGCGTAAGGCGCGTCAAGAGCAGGCGGAGTTTGATGGACTCAAGGCTGATCACGAGTCGCTCAAGGCGCAACTTGCGAGTCTGAAAGCTAAACGTGAAGAGGAGGCCAAGCGCTGGTCTCGCAGCCAAGCTGCTTTGAAGGCGCAGGTCGATCGACGTGATGAGACCATCCGACACTTCCAGGACATGACCCAGGGAGAGACTAACGAGGCAATGCGATTGGACAACGACAACCTCCGTCAAGAGCTTGCGCAGCTCTCTGCGCAGCAGCAGGATGAAACCGAGCAGTGGGCTAGGAAGGAGGCGGACATGAAGCGCAAGATCAAGCAGCGTGAGAACGAGGCTCGAGATGCGTATGATGTCACACGCGAGCTTTTGAGCACCCGCGGAGGAAATGGACAGCAGGCCTATACTGCGCCTGCTCCAATCTCAGCAGAACGAGAGAACGTGTTCGAGGATACCCTTCAGCGAAGACCCAGTTATCGTCGAGAAGACACACGCACCCGCATCAGGAACCGTGTTCAGCAGGAAGTTTGCAACAGCAAAGCCGTCAGCGCATTACAGCAACCCAGCCACATTGAAGAGAGTCCACGGAAGTCGTATACTGGCTTTTCCAGGTTCTCGCAGCGAAGCGTCTCCGCACCTGTACCAGCCGATAAGAACGCATACATCGAGAGCAACGCAGAGTCGACTACAGATCTTTCGCTTGCACCACGCAGCACTCCATACACTGCGCGAAGCGTAGCGTCCACGAGACCGTCGACCAGCGTCCAACATCCTGCTGATATGAGTCTGACTGAGCTGAGCTTGATCGATAGCAACCAAATTGCTCAGCTTCGACGGGCTCTGGAAGAAGAGCGAGCTGCTGCACGTCGTGGAGCTTCTTCTGCTCCGATCGAACAGCGAGCTCGTGAGGATACTGTTCGGTCTCAGCGACAGATGCGTGAAGATACTCTCCGTTCTGTCGCGTCTGCTAAGAGCGAGCGTCGACCGTCCTTGCCTAGGAAGTCGTCCCTGAAGGATAACACGCAGCGAACGAATGCCACTCAACTCGAGGAAGATGCCACCGGCAAGATGTCGAACCTGGATGCCGATGGAGAGGCTACGCAGACGAAGGACTCATTTGTCGATGCTTCAATGCTCAGTAACACAAGCCGTCGTCGCCGCAGCGCGTTCAACGAGATGACATCTGCTTTCATCCTACCAGATATCAAGATCGATAGCCGCAAGCAGACTACTGGTACCTTGAACATCCCGCATAACGCCACCAACAAGGACCACGATAACACCAACTGCACTGTTTGCCGTAGAGAAGGCCTCACCACTTCCACAAACGACCTGCGCGTACCCAAGCTTGTCCCGGTATCCTCTCGCACACCGGACGAGATTGACGCCACGCTCCGACCTGCCCGCTCACCCAAGGAGGCTCTTGCGTTTGTGGTCAAAGAGCTTCAAGATGAGCGCGCACACTTGCATATTGAGCTTGCTGTACAACGTACCATGCTCGAATCTCACGATGCAAGCCAAGGGAACCGCAAGCGCCGCGAACTGAACGATTCTATCCGCGAGATCCTTCGCCGCCTCGAGATCAAGGACATGCAGATCTACAACCTCTACGACGTCCTTGAGGGCCAACAACAAGACCAAGAGCTTACGGAGCTGGACGTTGAGAACCTCACGCAGCAAATTCGCGCTGAGGATGAGCAGGCTGAGGTTGAAACTCAGAAGAAAGTCAAGAAGGTTACCATTCGTAGCTTTGTCGATGAGGATGATAGCGTCGAGATTGGTAGGGGTGCAGGTCATGCTTTGGAGGAGCAGACGGAGGAGTTGCCATGGGAGGGGTTCGAGGATACGGCGGGACTAGAGGGCGATGTTAGTTACGGAGCGCTTGCGGGCTGGAAGACCAGTGTGCAGGTTTAAGTGTGGTTTCTTGGATACATATCCTGCCGTTTTGGCCAAAGATCTTAGGTTGTAAGGACGGGTTTTTTCTGGAGTTTCTGGGTTACGGGCGCTTTTGCATTGTTATGCAAGGTTGGGTACCTGGAGTTGGTTTTACGGGCTTTTCTTCTTTTTTTCTCCTTCTCTACCTGTTTTTCCTCGACGCCACTGTTGCGCCTTTCCCTTCCTCCTACCCCGTTCTCTTTTACCTCTATACCTCTGGGCTTTTGGCGCGCGCACAGCCATCTGGACTCCTATCTCGCTCAGCTGCGACCTTGACTCACCCTTTCCAGGGTTCGAGTTGGTCTCATTGAGAGAAATGGTCGAGATTAGTGGCTCTGTGGGTGCTATGAGCTAGAGGTTGTGAGGTGCAAAATGACTGGATCGGGTCGAGAGATTGGTATAATAGAGTAGTCGAGGCTAGATAAATAACAGGCATTTATATCAATTGCTTTGCCTACTTCGTGTGATTTGCTCATGTTGTCCATCTGGTTCTTGCTATGTTCGATTGCCACCGGGCACATATCTACACAAGCCGCCGACCCCCGGACGGTAACGCTGATGTTCCGCAGCGAAGCGTGATTCTTGACGGGCTCTCAGTATGGATTCTTGTGTCTTGTCCCCAAGTGCAATCACTTCCAAGAAGAAGAGACGAAGATGTGAAAGCATGAAATACATAGTATATTATCCAGGTGAAGAAATACACCTTGAATCAACTTGCCCTCCCTTTACAATCCAGCCAAGCCTGCAGATGCAAGCTCCCCTCACCCATCAGTTATCGCTTTCAATGCTCGAGTTGTCGTCATTGCCATTGTCGTCATCCCACGAACAACCCGTCAATACCTGGAGAATCTCGACGGGCACACTCTCCGCATGCCATATCTCCAACGTGTCATACCGCTCAAAGCACTCGTCGCCATACATCTGCAGCACCCACTTGTCCTCTCCACTCAATTTGCGCCAACCCTTCATGTCGCCATATGCGGAGAGACGGCCAACTTCCATGCTGACTTTGTAGCTTAACTCAATGTGGTGAACGGATTCCTGGAGAAGGTCATGGTAAAGAACACCAACCGAAGGGCTTGGTACGCGCTTGTAGGTAGGATAGAGCGAGGGAAGGACTGGATAATTAGTACGCTCACGGCATGCGAAGATTTCATCCTTGCTTGGGAAGATGGAGAGATCGTAACCAGGGCCGAAAGCCGCATTCATGTCCTCCTGGTCGCCGTCGAAGATCTCGGTCAACTTCTTCGCTCGGGCGTCGGGCTTCATTGCAGCATATCTTTTCGCTGCGCTGGCGTAGTATGTTTCTTCGGACTCAAAGTACTTCTCGAATGGTTCATCGGGGTTGTCTTTGAGTTTGTGTGCGAGGTTCAGTGCGATGAAGGGGTTTTTGACGCCGAGGCCACCACATGCCTGAGGTAGGTAGATGATTGCATCAAGGGCGAATGAAGGGCTGTCGAGACTGACGCCAACATGTGTACTCAACAAAGTCTTGACGTGGTCCGTCAAAGTACCACCTTCGAAGATAATGTCGTACATCTGGTTGTATGCTTTCTTCACTGCTTGAATGTGGGATTGGCCAAACACTTCAGCGGGAGGACCGAAGAGATGGGCTGCGTACGTTCCAACAGAGCTGTTCCATACACGAACCCATTCCAAAACGGTTTTGCAGGCTGCGAGTCGCTTTTTCGTGCGGTGCGCGTAGGTTTCGACTTTGGAAGTCATGACATTGAACGATGAGTATGGAGCTGATTGTGCGCCTCGTGGTCTCAAGGTCAAGAAGCCGATGGAGAGCTCGTCGGTAGCATGTTTTTCGTCAAGCTTCAGACCCATTACACCGACAAACTGACAGATTGCGTCGATAGCTCCGTGTCGCTGACTCTGTGTCCCAACGAAATCGCACTTGTCCCCAATACGATACAAGTACGAGCCTGTCTTCACGTGAACAGCCAGTTCAATGAAGAACAACACTGCTTCACTAAAGAACAGACTCATACCGTGACCAGCAGGTACTCCACGCGTACGAGTAACTATACGATCTGGAGCGCCGCGCATGGCAGGGCCGAAGTTCAGCTTTGCTTCGAGAAAGCGGGTAAAAAAGCTCAGGAAGGATTCTGGAACTCCGAGAAATTTCAGAACGGTCAAAACAGTCTTATGCGGAAGTGAGGGCGCAAGCTTGTCAAAGCTCACAGCGGCAACATGTGCTTTGCTGTCAAAAGCTTCCTGAATTTTGGCTTGGACGGCTAGTGACTTGATCAGTTTGGCTTGAATATCTTCTGGTTGCGGAACACTTGGGGTGCATCCAACTCGCGTAGGAAGTCTGGACATGAAGAAGTTTCCCATGTAAATTCGAAACCTCTCTTGGCTGAGACTTCCGTAGAACGCCGGTGAGACGGGCAGGGGAGGCGGAGGAGGCGGAGGAGGCGGAGGCGAGAACATGGGTGGCGGTGGAGGTGGTGGCGTGGGGGAGGACCACTTCTTTTGCTTTCTTCCCGAAACTTCGATCATCTTTGGGGAATTATATTGCATTGAAATTGGCGGCGGTGGAGGTGGATAGTCCTGCGAGTGACATCTGTAGGTTCTTGGTTTCTCCAGGAAGAATGCTTGTTTATCCATCTCATGATCGGTAAGATAGTTATTGCCTTTAAAGCCTCCCTGTTGAGCGAAAATTCTCAGCGATTCCTTAAGCTCGGTTGCCCATCCAATGGCAATGGTGTGTAGGAACAGCATGTCGAGAATGTCTTCTTCGACGGTTATGCAATACTGGCCCTCAGAGTTTTGGCGAGCAGTCACTGGCAGTCCTTTGTCCGCATTCTTCCAGTTCCAATGGCAAGCAGACTTGAAGTTGAGCGTAATCACTAGCTCTCGCATGATCAACGGAGACTGTGCGTAGCCTTCGAGGATTTTCTTTTTGTCTGCACTGATCAGATCGTTCTTGAGTAAATCGATGATACACCACATCAGGACCTCCTGGTCCACTTCGCCGATCATAGCATCACCGTATTGCTTGATATCTCTGCGCAGATTTTCAAGTAATTGCTTGCTGTTGTCGGTCTCGAAGAGGCTCGAGAGATGCTCTTCAATTGCTTCGACATCAGTATCTTTAGCGGTGAGTGTGTTTCTCTTGAACTCTTCAAGGACCTCGTCAAGCTCGTTCTCGACTACCTCGAAATCGTCGTCGATAGTCGTTTTGTCCAGCTCGGTCGCAATTGATGTGGATGGGTTGTCTGCGTCCATGACCTCTTTCATCAGGTCTATATGTAGCGACGAGACTTCGAAGCGATTGAGGCGCTTCTTCAGCTTGCCCCATAGTTGCTCTTCATACTTCAGAAGCTTCGATTCGGAGACAGTGCGATCATCCTTGGCTTGCTCAATATAGCGAGACATGATACTAAGGTCGTCATCATTTTCGAGGCCAGGGTCGAACTTCTTGATGTCTTCGAGAAGAGTGGCTACCCTTTTGAGTGGGCTGTTGTCCTCAGAGTGTGTACGATCGAGATGATAACGTAGTTTGAAAGCCTGTTTGAATTGCTCAAACTCTTCGAACTTCAACTCGGCTGCTTCCCTGAGCACCGGAGTGACGGTGAAAGGCGGACTGAAACCCATGATGAATTGAAGTTGAGATTGAGGGACTCATATCGAAGTACAGGCTGAAACTGCGCAGTTATATAAGATAACTTTTTCGCACTTTTTCGCATCTCCAATTAGCGCACTTTGTCAACTGCGTGGTCAACAAGGCAACAACTGAGATAAACGAACAAGAGCGTTTCGTCGACGACAAGATTACAGCGCATAATGTCGCACGAAGGCAGCAAGAGCAGTAGAGCCACTCGCAAGCGAGACCTAAGCCGACATGGGATTAGTCCCTCACCCCGCTTTCTTCACCGGTTTCACGCCTCATTCAGCTTGAGCAGTAAAGTTCATGATTGCCTTTTTCAGTAATGCACAGTGACGATGAGACCTGTCAGAGATAGTGTGTCAGAGCTGAGAGTCTGAAATTGTCCAACTCGAGTGAGTTGTAAAAAACACTTCGTAAGATTACAACGAACTCATCCCGATTGACAAAACTCGTTCTGGTTGACAACTCATCTTGATTGACAAAACTCAGTTCGGGTGATAGAACTCACATTTGAAGACAGCTACTCACATAAATCTGTATGTCAAGCTATAACCCAGCTCATCTGCATGACCTCTTCCGATTTCGTACAGGCCTCCATCTAAAGGTGCACAGCTACACGATTCGTCTGATACTTCTTCGTGCTTGGCAACAAGAGCGTACAAACAATCGCCATGCTTCCAAACGCGATACTGGTAAGCCAGACATACTTCAGACTCTCGCTGTACGCCCACTGCGTGCCCTTTGCTGCGCCTCCCAAGACTGCTTGAGTAACGCCCGGTATCGGTGTGGTCGCCAATTTCGCAGGCGCTGTGAGGTACAGACCGACGAATGTCTCAACAGAGGCAAGCGGTAGACCAGCTTTGATAGCGTATTCTGCAACATAGGCAGGAAGGTTCTTCTCGAGTTTGTTGGCAAAGACGTTGTAGTAGATGGAATACCCGATCGAGCCCCCGACAGTGCGGATGGAGAGCGACAGTGCAGCAGCAGTTGTGATCAACGCGTCAGGGCAGACTAACATTGCAACTGTGGCAGCAGGAACGAGAACGCCACCCACACCAAATGTCGCAAGGGAGCCAAGCGCTACGATAAGTTTTGGATTTTCTGGTGTCATAACAGCGAGAGAGCCAGTAAACCCAGTCATCATCAATACAGCGAGGAGCAAGACCTCTCTTGTACGGTTGGGATACGCTGATAGTGCGGCGTTGAAGGCGATGGCTCCCAGTGCGGTCGCGAACGAGGGACCCAAACCCTTGAGACCAATTTGCACTGGGTCAGGGTCGTAGACAGAGGTAAATGCGACTGGAAAAAGATTTAGTACACTAAAGAATGACATGCCGGCGACAAAGGCAATGCCGTATGCGAGGCCGACGATGCGTTGGCCTTTGAAAAGTTCTCCAGGGACCATAGGATGGCGCGCAAACTTCGACTCCCAGACAACCCATGCGGCGATCAGTGCAAGACCGAGCAGCAAAGTGCAAAGGACGTATGCACTGGTCCAACTATGGGTATAGCCACCTGATTGTAAAGCCACAAGGCTACGTCGTGTTAGAAGACGTGGCTCATGCGAGACAGAACGGGAGTGAAGGGCAGCTTACAACAGCGTTAATCCAATTATGGACAAAGCACCCCCCACAAAATCGATACGCTTCAGGATTGCCATGTGCGAGAAGCCTTCAGCTCGAGTGTGGTTGTGAGGGAAGTAGGTGAACGCCAACCCAATCCCAACAATGCCGTTGAAAATGAGAGCGCACCATGGTCCCCAGCGCCATCCAACTGTTTTATCATGATGTGACCACATCTCGACATACATGAGGTAGGGGCAGAACGGCAGCACGAACGCAGTTACTATGGCGAGCGAGAATCCTCGATGCTTAACTGGGACTACCTCCGCGAGCCTGAAATGATATCAGTAAGATATGGTACTTGACTTTCGACTTGTTAGTAACTTACCCAGCCAGCCCGGTCAATTCTCCAATTGCAGCACCCACACCAGAGATAGCCATACCGGCAAGAAGCTGTGCGAAGTTGTGTCCTGTGCCAACAAGGGCGCAACCGACACAAATACAGAGCGATCCGAATAGGGCAATGGATCTTTTGCCGAAGAGATCCTGCAGGTATCCGGCAAAAGGGCAAGTGGCGGCAATAGCGAGGATATTAGCTGTTGGGAGCCAGCCCGAGCCACTCGTGAGCCCAAGATCTGCTACAATGAAACCTATAGAGCCACCGGTGAAATACAAAATAATTTGAGAGCCTGGATACCAGTAAGTGGTTTGTACAGTGTAAAGAAGCCAGGAGGTATAGGATGGTTAACGTACCAGTGTAAAGGGCCGCAAGGAAGATGGCTGCGAAGATGGACCGCGTAGTCCAAACCACTTTACCGTCTGATTCGTCACCTTTGAAGGCTGCTGTATTGTTCATGTCAACGCCATCAAGCGTATGTTCTTTGTGTAAGTTGAGATCTGACTCGGTCGAAGTGTCTGTACGTTCAATATAGCGAACATCCTGTTTCTCGTTGCCGAAGTCTGTCGCGGTTGTGTGATGAGTAGCCATGATGGGCTCAACTTTGTTCGGGCCAAGTCCAAATCCTGGACTTCAGAAGCTCGATAGAAGTATGAAAGATCTATGAAAGATGTATGAAGAGGAGAAGCGATGGCCTGCATAGATCTCTACATCACGATGGACATGCAGACTTTCTATACTGTTGCTCAATGCCAACGCGCAAGCCACCACAAATGAAGTAATGCACTCCTAGTGATCTAGATCATCACTAAAGCACGCAGTCGATATACTTCAACAGAGGCTAAGAGCAAGTCTAGCGCCTCCATGCTCCAGATGTGATCCACTTTTTCATCCAGTGGAAGCAAAAACCTGGGGTAGTGGCTCCAGTAAGTGCGGGGAAGTGATAGCGGAACAAGTTTCCGAAGTCTGGGGCCGTCCAAATCCCATGGTTGTTCATTGTGGTGTTGACTCGACTGTCACGACACTTGAGAACATCAACCTTGTGTAAATGCTAGTCTTCGGTAAGAAACCTCAACACCCCGCAATGCAAGCCGCAAAAGATTCAAAGTGAACGAATTGTGTTGCCAGCATGACCTAGTTGCGGTTAAGTGGCTGGTGGTACGTCGTGAATCTCTCATAGCTGTACGGCCTTCTTGGAGCTGAAGATGCTGAGGGCCAATTGCGGCAGTTCTGAACCCTAGACACTGCATTGCATATCCCGATGACACGCAGAACCAATGCAATGTTGAAGGTTTCGTCTAAACTTCGGAAGCTATGCGATCTTTGTACCATAGTACTGGGAATGCAGCATCTCCGCTGATCTAACGGTCATGGTATCCAAGTAGCAAAGTGGCACACCGTGAGAAAGATCTTACTCACCAGTGACTCCAGCAATTGCAAGCTGCCGATGTGAGAACGCAGTCATTCCGGTTTTACTCTCAGATGGTACAAATACTTTGCACAGAACATCGATAACCCATGCGTGTAGCCTCATGAGCAAGTAGAGCTTGTAGTGAAGATTATTTCCGAAAAACACCGGCGGGAGCATCCCTACCGGACGCGTGTCAATGGCGAGGAGCGTTGTGCAGATGAGTCTGGGTTCAAGGTCTCGAACCATGCAGGCGAAACTAGGAGTTGCACAATGTTCGGCAAATTTTCGGCGTGTTTACGGTACTCCATAACTGTAGAGAAGTGAATTGGCTGAGCATGCAAGCGTTGCACCGTTGACTTCGTCATGTGTTAAACAGGGAACAGCCTGGAAAAGGGTTGTATTTTGCGTCGTCAATGTACATACGGTTTCCAGCTGATCGGATACGGGAAAGCTACCGTCCCGTTCCACTGGCCAAGGGCGCCGATAGGAGCAGTGTCCTGTTGCACATATCCATTGCTATCCCGCTTGAGGGTTCGGCAAAGGCAACCGATGTATCGAGATGTGCTATGAAACGAAGAGACAGACAGAGAAAGAATGGGTTGATCATTTCTTCTCTGCCTCCTCAGCAATCAAAGTCTCAACGTCTCGCTCCATAAGCCAGCTGCGGACGCTCTCCATGACATTTTCGAGAGTTTGGCCGCCCCCCATGACATCGTCGAGATCATGTACAGTCATCCCACTTCTGTGGTCCGTAACTCTTTGTTGATTCCAATTGTAGGTTCGTACCTTGTCTCCGCGGCCCATTTTGGCCACGCCCACAACGCTCCGTCGCATATTCACCATCTCCTCTTCCCGTTTCTCACGTCGCGTCTGAGCGATACGCGAGCGAAGCAGTCCCCAAGCCTTCTCTTTATTTTTGTGCTGGGATCTCGAATCTTGCATGGAAACGACCGTGTTGGTGGGTATATGCGTAAGCCGCACTGCTGATTCTGTTTTATTGACGTGCTGGCCGCCAGCACCGCTCGCTCTCATGACCTCCTGTCTCACCTCCTTGAGGTCGATATAGTAATCGCTTTCTGGGTTGTTGAAGTCTTCTTGTATGGCTGAATCTTCCTCCAGACTAGGCAATACATGCACTGATACTGCACTGGTGTGCGTACGCCCCTTTGTTTCGGTGGCAGGCACACGTTGCACCCGGTGTATGCCCGCCTCGCATCTGAACACGCTATACGCACCGTCGTTTTCCACCTCGATTATAGCTTCGGCGAGTGGAATTCCCGCTTCTGATGTTCCATTGATGTTCTCGTACTTCAAGATGTTGGTGCGAAAGTCATGGTGGTTGCAGAAGGCTTGGTACATGCGGAACAGGTCGCCTGCAAAGATGGCAGCTTCCGATCCACCTGCTCCGGGGCGAATTTCGAGCAAACATGGCAGATGTGCGAATGGGTGTACTGGTACAAGGGAAGTGATGAGGCTTTGTGAGGCACTGGTGAGCTCTGTCCGTGTCTCTGTGAGATCGTCGGCCGCCAGAGATCGTAGTTCAGGGTCGGTGGTAGAGTCGTGGATCAGCGATGTCAGCTCTGCTACAGACTTAGTCCATATCAGTACGGTTGTTGTCTCGAGATAATTCGAGATCAGCGCACCTCATTGGCCTTGTCCCAATCCTTCAGCGCATTGACGACGGGGCTATATTCTCCCAATTTCTTCGCGGCGCGCGTGTCGAAGCCATTGGCAAGTTGGTCTGTCAGACTCTGGGACTCGGAAGCAAGAGTGCGGGCCCTGGTGAGGAGAGCAGGCGGTATGGACTCGGTTTTCGCAACTTTCGCAATCTCAGCAAAACTTTCATGGAGGAGCCACTTCAAAAACAGCACCCACCTGTTGACTGCAACCGAATGTGTCGTCTAAATAGTGGCCTTGCAACACGCGAAAGACAATTGCGACAAACCCAGGGCGATGCCAACACCATTGCTTATTTTGTGAGTCGAAGCTTGAAGAGCCAACCACCAGCGACGCGCTTTCGAAACTCTCCAGGGTTCATCACGTCACGCTACACGTGATCGAACCTTCCACTTCGACTCCACTTTCGCCTTGCCAATGCATCAGTATTGCACCAAAGAACGTCATGAATAGAGAACGGGTCGCTGGGAGTTGCTCCGAGGTAGCTTGCAGCGAAATCGGCAGTTGCCCCAGTCCGTGGATAACCGTTGACATCAGCTATCTAAATCGCGTCTCCAGATATACCTACCCCGCAAAGTACTCCATTACATATAAATCTACCACGACTTGAGTTTAGTCCTGATAGAAAGAGAGAGCAAGTTTCGGTGGCGCATCCAAGTATATATCAAAATGACCAACGTCTATCTTCACCCCGAACCTCAGTTCGCCCACTTCTCGAGTCGACGTTCAGTCATACACAGCACCAAAGGGATAGTCTCGTGTACACAACCACTTGCAACTTCTGCGGGGCTCGACATACTCAGGAAGGGGGGCAATGCGGCGGTATGATATATCGATCATTATGTCGGAATAAGGCTCACAGTGGGTTAGGACGCAGCTGTGGCTGTTGCTGCAGCCATCAATGTCACAGAGCCAGGGTCAACAGGCATTGGAGGCGACTTGTTCTGCCTGTTCTACGAAGCCAAGACGAAAAAGGTCCATGCTATGAACGGATCTGGTCGATCTGGCGCCAACGTTACGCTTGATAGGATTCGCAAAGACCTCAACATAAAAGATGGAGAGGATGGCCAGATCCCTATGATGAGTGTTCATACAGCAACTATTCCTGGCGCTGCTGCGGGATGGGTCGATTGTGTGGAGCGATTTGGTAGTGGAAAAGTCAGCCTGGAAGAGGTGCTTGCGCCTGCGATTGAGCTTGCTGAGAAGGGCTTCCCAGTGTCTGAGCTCTCTGCTACTTTTGTCAGTCTCGACATGAGCAACTACCAATGAAATGCTAACGGATGGTTAGTGGGTTGAGAGCGAGAAAAATATTAGAAGAGCATCACCAAACGGGCACGAGATGCTGAAGAAAGATCCGTCCGCGCAAGATGGATGCAGAGCACCCAAAGCCGGTGAAATCATGAAGAACCCAACGATTGGCAACACATTCAGATTACTGGCCAAACACGGCAAGAAAGGCTTCTACGAGGGCGAAGTAGCAGAGCAGCTCGTAAAGGTCGTCTCAGACCTAGGCGGCCACCTTACTCTCGACGACCTGAAGCATCACGCCGAGACTGGTTCTGAACCCGTTGAGCCCATCTCCCTAAAATACACTGGCCAAGGCGTAGGCGAGACAGAAGGCGGTATCGAGCTCTGGGAACACCCCCCCAACGGGCAAGGCATCGTCGCATTAATGGCGCTCGGCATCATCCAAGAGCTCGAGAAGGAAGGTAAAATCTCCAAATGGCACCACAGCGACCACAACAGCACCGCGCATCTCCACGCCGTGATCGAAGCCCTCCGCATCGCCTTCTCCGACGCGCACTGGTTCGTCACCGACCCCAACGTCGTCAAAGTCCCATCCGCAGACCTAATCTCACAACCCTACCTCGCCGAGCGCGCCAAACTCTTCAACCCAAAGAAAGCAATCGACGCGCCCATCCACGGCTCCCCAGCCCACCTGCAAAGCGACACCGTCTACTTCTGCTGCTCGGACCCAGACGGCAACGCAATCTCCTTCATCAACAGCAATTACGGCGGCTTCGGCACGGGCATCATCCCCAAGGGATGCGGCTTCACGCTGCAGAACCGCGGCGCGAACTTCAGCCTCGATAAAAATCACCCTAATGTACTCGCGCCGCGGAAGAGACCGTACCATACTATCATCCCGGGTCTGACGACTTACGTCAACGACGGAAGTCTGCATTCTGTCTATGGCGTTATGGGCGGCTTCATGCAACCCCAGGGACACGTGCAGGTCTTGCTCAATCAGGAAGTCTTCAAGCTGAACCCACAAGCCGCGCTTGATTCTCCGCGTATCTGTATCGGAGCGGGTATGCCCAGTGCAGATGGAAAGATGACCGACGCGACGATCTACATCGAAGAGGGCATTGATTCGAAAGTAGTCGAGGAGCTGAGAGCTTTGGGTCATAGTGTTGAGCAGCTGGATGGGTATGGTAGGGGTATGTTTGGACGAGGGCAGATTATCAGACGACATGTCGATGATGGCATTACGGTGTGGAGTGGTGGGAGTGACTTGCGAGGCGATGGAGCTGCGGTGCCTTTGTAAGTATCCTGTATAGGAGATATCTTAGTTAAGAACTTGAGAACCATATGTATTGCGTTGGCCAATTCCGATCACATACCCTCCCAACCCCCCAATTGGGACACTCCAGTTTGACATCTAAAACCCAATCATCGGTATATAAACCCCCGGCATCTCCCACCAGTACTTCTCACATCCTCCCAAACTCTATACCCCCCAAAAATGCGGCTATATATGGACATGGCTTCCCCGACCCTCCAAAATCAAACTGGCCTTCGACCATGTCTCCCTCCAACCCTCTCTTATAGAACACTTCCCATAAAAACACTGTCCAAAGTCTTCACCCTTTCCAAGTCTACAAACCCCCCAAAACATTTCAAAACACAGCTGCCTACTGTATATGAGCGCCCTCTGTCCAACCCCTCAAAAACACTAGTCGGGTCGATGCATGTTTGTCCAAAACCTTTCTTCTCCACAACGATGCCCAAGTCTGCCTGCGCACCCCATTCCATCTAACCCGCTGGCGAAAAACATCAAAAATGAAAAAGCAATCATGCATGTCTTTCGTCTCGCCCTGCCTCGCCCCGTCCCGTCGAGAACTATCACCCCTTCTCATCCTCCTTCCGCTTCTCAAAACCGACAAAGCACCTTCTCCATGGGTCCATGTGTCCTCGCCTCCAAAAAGCAGACATTTGCTGTGCATGACCTTGCGTCGTCCACTCCAAAAGTTCCAACCCAGAATCTGCATGTCGCCTCAATCTTAGCTCATGCAGATCTAAAGTTTCGCAACTGTGTGGCTGTGCAAACTCTCCGACTAAAAATACATGTCAAAAAAAATGATGTGTGTCCGACTTTCTTGTTCCCCAACATACGTACTATGTGCTAAACCCATCAACCCCAACGCACAAAATCCGCTAGCACGATGACCCATGTGCGAGCTTGCCTTTCGCGGTGTTTGAGCAGAAGGCGGGAAGACTGCTACAGACGGGATGGAACAGTACAAACCCATCGCAGCAGAGAAAATGGTGCGGATTCTGGGGATGTGGATATGGAAATGGGAGGTTATCAGGAGTGAGGGGCAGAAACGAAAAAACACAACACTGTCAGATAGACTATAGACTAGAACGGAGTGAGTGGTGGGCGTACGTGGAGTTGATGTTTTGAGCAACGGGAGCGGGGGGGGAGGGGGGGGAGGGCAATTCCTGTTTTGTGAAACCCATACAATATAACAGAGTAAACTCGACGTAACTCGACTCGACTCCGCTGTTATTCGCAACTGCATGACCAACCAACCAACCAACCAACCAATCAAACATACATACACAGAACCAAACCTGCCTCTCCAACACTACGCTACAAGCACACCAAACACTACCCCCTCCCTATCCCTCACCCTCCCCACACCTACCTCCTAAAAGCACTCCCCACCTCCCCAACCCCCCAATCCACCTCAACCTCCCCCGTATAAACATCCTGATTAACCCTGACCACGCGCTCCGCAACCTCACCATACTTCCTCTCACACTCCTTCAGCACCTTGAACACCAAATCCCTGCTAATCCCCGGATCATCCGCATCCCCAAAATGCTTATCGACGCGCTTCTTGAGCGCCTCAATACCCTTGCGCAGCTCCTTGCCGTCGTGCGCGTGGACTAGTTTCTTGAACACGTGGCGCGAGTGCGAGGAGCGCTGGGCGATGGCGGAGGGGCTGGCGCCGGGCTGGGAGAGCAGGGTTTCGGTGGATTCGATGAATTCCTTTGTGGGGTTAGTGCGGGTGTGCGTGGTTGGGGAATAGGGGGTGCGTACCAAGAGTTTACCCAACGGCCGACGAATCACAGCATCGACGTATAGATCCATATGCTCACTATATTCCTCCTGCGCTTTAGCCTTCCAGAACTCCAGGACCGAGTCTGCGCGCGCGTCGACTTCCTCCATGTAGTGGTTCATATTCTCGATGAGGAGGATGTGGTAGTTCAGCGCTTCCTTGTCTTCGGGATCGCCTTGCCCCTGGGTGCCCATTACGGCGGGTGATTCTTTGGCGATGACTTTCAGGCTTTCGAAGATGGCTTTGTTGATTCGCTGGTAGGCGTCGTTGATCATGCGGCGGATTTCTAGCTGCTCGCCGCCGTCGGCTGCAGAGGGGAGCATGTTCTCGATTGCGACGGAGAAGTGGGGGAATGTCTTTACAAAGGTTATGACGCCCTTGCGCTTCTTGATCTTGACTTTGGTGTCTTCGATGGCGCGGATTTGCTCGTCGAGGAAGCGGCGGAATAGGCCAGTCAAGCGCTCGTGGATTTTGTGCAGGTTCTTCGTTAGGAAATCTTGGTTCGAGTCTTCGATGTCGAGTAGCTTGCGGTCGACGGCGCTCAGTATGCCTACTCCTTGCCTGATTATCATTAGCATACGATTCATCAATATGATTATTCTTCGCTTACAGAGGATCTGACGTTACTGCCCAATCCACCAGACTTTGCAGCTCAGCGGGCCAGAACGAGAAGATATCCTCCATAACGTCTGCAACGCGCTTCGCCATCGTCCGGTCAGATTCGTACTGCTTGCGTATCCAGAGGTTCGGGCTCCGGCGACCCTCAGGCGGCGCAGCCTGCACTGCGTCTGCAAAGTCGATAGAATCGGTGGACGTAGCATGGAAGAACTCGGTGACGAAGTTCTGTTCCGTCAAGAGCACAGGACCAATGTCATCAAGAACCCGAGAGAAGACGTCGAAAGCGAAAAGCTTCCCATCTTGGCTTTTGCTCACTTTAGTCTCCTTTTCTCCAGATGCAGACCGCAGACCACGTGCCAGAGTCTGACTTCGCTTCACGGTGAGTTTCCTCACTGAACCGGTGCTACTCTCTGTTTCTTTTTCCTGTGCAGTGAATAGCAATTCCTGCTCTTCGCCTGAAGGCTTTCGAGCGAATCGTCTCCACGACAAAATGTTGTCACGGACCTCCTGTTGGTACAGGGTAGCGGCTTGGGTTTGATACATCCGAATGAGCATCTCCCACGAAGCTCGGTCGATTTCTTTAGCAAAGAGGATGACGGGGCTCAGCATCCACAGCTCTTTTCGACCAACGTCGTGCGCTTCTATGTTCTTCCTGAGAGAGGGCATGGTGCCCTGGTCAATGCTGACAAGAGCGTCCTTGGTTTGCAAGAAGGCTGCACCGAACGTGATATCCATGTGCTTCTTCAAACGGTCCAAGAACATGGCTCCCTCGCCGAGATATCGGTCCCGTTTTTCTTGTAACGCGTGCATTGACGCGAGTTCGCTGTGACCGATACCTGACCTGCTGGTGACCTTGCTAAGCTCTCCTTCAGCAGCACCTGCAACAAACGAAGGATCAATTGTGATGAGTGCCTTGTAGAGTAGTACCAAGGCAGACTCAATGTCCATGAGGCCGTTGACTTTGCCTATAGGAGCACGTCGAAGTGACTCCAACTGGTCGGGAGTAATCGATATCGTCTCAACGAGTTGCTGAAGTTCGTGCTGCAGCAGGCGCTGGTTGGCTGTCTGTACTTGCAAACCCTGACTCTGCGCTTCAATGAAGGCGATGTCATCATTCAGACTCTGTTGAAAGATGTGTTAGTATATATTGCTGTATTCAGGCCTGTAGGCTGAGAAGGGTCTTGCACTTACGCTCAGTTCGACATTGTACAATGTCAGCAGACCTTCCAGTTCATCGCACTCTGCGATTGCGCGGTCAAGCATACGTTCGACGGCGTCAACACGGTCGTCCTTCTGTTCGAGATGGTTGAGCCAGCTGCCTGCTTCGACACGGGCGATCTCGCGTTTGATATCAACCTCCAAGGACTCAATGTTCTTAGCCGAAAGCTCATTACTGCCCCAGCCAAGCTCTGACAGCAAGCTTTCAAACTCGAGGCCTCGCTCATCAATCATACTCGGATCAATGCCAAGCTGGGAAATAGCCATGGTCTGTTGCTTCGATCTTCGCTTCTTACGCCTTGCTGGTAGTTCCGGTTCAACGGTTTTCGTCATCGGGATTTCTGGGCTTGGGGACGCGGTCCTCTCCTCTTCTACTGGCACGGGCGTGGGTGGAGTCGGCTCGAGCGGGCTGGACACAGTTACAGCTGGGACAACATCGGTTTTGATGCTCGGTAGCTCTCTTGACGATCGATCGGGCACGACCTCAGGGACTACCTCCAACGTCTTCTCTGGCTCTTCCCTAGGGGTCTCTACAGGTGGCTCTTGAGGTATTACTCGCTGAGGTACGAATACTCCACTGATACCATCGGGTTCGTCGGATGTCTTGGGCTCCTCCTTTGCGAGTAACTTGGCAGCAGCTCCGCCAACACGAGGTTTGAAGGTGCCAGCAGCCGCAGCAGCTTTGCGAAATTTGTTTGCTGCATCTTTCTTTACCAGGGGATTGACAGTGGGAGAGCGCGTAGCATCAGCTTCTTTCTCTTCGATGGGCGGTGTCATAGTTCGAATGGGCTCGAGTACGACAGGACTAGGCTGTTCGACAGAAGGTGTCTCGACTGGCGGAACCCAGGCTACATATGGTGTGGGCGCAGGAGCTGTTGGTATTTGTGGAAGTGGAGATGTGGGAGGTGGCGTAGGCTGTGGAGGAGGCATCATGTTTCGAGGAGATCCCGTGCTATCCTGGGAAGCGGTCTTGGGTCTCTCGGGAATTTCCTGAGGCCGTCTTCTTGGTGGGACTTCGATTGGTGGGGCTGAAAACTGCGTGGGAGTGTAGATTTCGGGGCGCGCCTCAACTCCTGGCGTGGCAACGCTACGTTGCGACGCTTGTGACGGACGAGGCTCCATCAGGGGTCTTCTTCGTTGAGGAGGTTCTTCTGGAGGTGCGTCCTCGCCGCGTGCAAGATTCGAGCTTGAGTTGCTCTGCGCAGTTCCGGGTCTTAGTCCTCTTGGGGAGGGGTCCCTTCTGGGCGAGCCGTATCCGTTTGGTCTTTGTTGCTCTGGTGGGGGGAAACTTGGTGGCGGCCCGTTGAGTGGAGCATCTTCCAGAGGCCTCTGCGGCCTTTGTGGTGGTGTTCCATCGCCTTGCATTCTTCGCGCAGGGTTTAGACTGGGTGGGACAACCCCAACCTCTGGAGTTGCTGATTGCCCAGCAAACTCGGATGAGCTTGATTGTGGTGTCAATCTCTGCGGTGGGGCGTATGGGGTGTATTGCATTGGCTCTTGACCCTGGCCAGGGCGCATTCTCATAGCTTCACCACTAGGTCGTGCCCGAAGGCCCTGCTCCATGGAACGCTTCTGCCGGAGATTGGGCATAGACGGAGTAGCTTGATTGAGGCCAAAGGGCGCGGGTCTGCGACTATCGTCCCCCGTTCCAGGTCTGTTGCCACTGCGAAACTGGTCGTCGGGAGGTCCTGGCCGCCTAGGGCCACCCTGATACTCTCCCGGATTTCTCCTAAAATTCGGGTTTGCGGCAGGTAAAGGTGGTGCCCTCCTCGCCTCGTCAGATGGCACAAGAGGTGACTCTCCTGATCTTCTGGGTGGCGGACCAGGAGACTTGGGTGGAAGTTGTCGTAACTCAGGGGTAGCTTGTCGCGGTGGCCTGGGTTCTTGTACACTTCCGCCGCCAGCAGTAAAGGCAGAACGACCCTCTGGGGTTGCCAGATGTGGTTTCCCTGTTGTGAGGCTGTTTATCTCGGCATCGCTGAAGCCTGACAAGACGGGGTAGTTGCCCTTTGTATATTTGTTGTATATTTTGACCATGCTTCCGATGAAGAACTCCTTTTCCTTTGCAGTGCCAGCCTCCCAGTAGTATGGCTTGGTGACGGTGACTGTGAAGCCCTTGTCGCCAGCCCACTGCTTCCGCTGCGCCTCCTCGTCGTTTCTCGGGTTCAAGAAAAGGTAGTTTTCGACGGCAGAGAGTTCCTCCATTGGCCATGACTTGCCAATGGAAAAGGTGCCGTTTGCGTTTTCTCTCGCCTTGTGCAGCTTCACTCTTCCCGTGTTTCTAACCGAGATCATGACTATGCGAGGCTTCTTGTTGGCCGGGGCCGAGGTTGGAGGCGGCGGGGACTGCGGGAACTGGCCATCTTCCTGGACACGGATGTGGGTGATGTATGATTCCTGGACTAGCACACGTCAGTGTAGGTCCAACGATGTCGACACAGTACGTATGCGTATGATGTGGGAGAACATACGCTGTCCCTGCTCGTCCATCTTGGAGAAGCAGCTTTCGGTGATTCTGCGCCGCTCGTCATCGAACCGCTCGGCGCGAGACATTGCAGAGGGTACAGAGCCCGAGCTGGCCGTGGACGGTGGCCCTCGAGCTGAGCCTCCTGGCGTGGGAGCTCGCGGGTCCCCCAGCCCGTTCGGGTAGTTCATGCGCGGCCTGCCGTCCATGTTGCGTGCTGCTGCCGTGGCCAATCACTGCGTCTACTGGGCGAGAGCAGCAGCCTCATACAGCTGTCTGTCGAGGAAACGGCCGCTAGGCGCAAGCGGAGGCGTGGGTGTATGTGGCCATGAATCGCGAGGGGTGAGCTCGAGGCGCAATGGGCCGAGCAGAGCACAGGCTGGGAATGGGACGGGCCGGCGGTCAGAGAGGGTGGGCGAGTGGGCGAGCTGGGCTCCAGTGCACGGCGGGTGCAGCAATGGCGGGGGCGGCGAGTGAATGGGCGCACGTCGATCGCGACGTCTGGTGTCGCGGTGTTCGTTCGCAAGACAGGGATCACGCTTACGGGCTAGCGCGCTGTGGCTTGCGATGAAATGTCTCTGCCTGCAACTTTTTTCCGCGCCTTGGTTCTGCACGACAAACCGTCCACCACCGCCATTCACGCCATTTCCTTGCTATATACGAGGCCAATTGTGTACCATGGGCTCCGAAAAGAAGATCCAGAAGAAGGAGAAGAAGTCCAAGCCGGCGCTCGAGGCCAAGACGACGAGCGATGTCACGGCCTCTCTCGATCTCGTGCAGACCTTTTTGAAGCAACAAGGGCAAAAGGACGCTGCGACCAAGCTCACCGAGTTTGAGGAGTGGGCAAAGAGCCAGACGACCAAGCAGCAAGACGCGCCCGAGCCCATGGACGTGGACGAGGAGAGCGCATCGAGCAGCGACGCTAGCAGTGACTCGGACAGCGACGAGTCCAGCAGCGATTCCAGCGATGAGGCTAGCGACGAGGCTAGCGAGGATTCTAGTGACGATTCCAGCAGCGAGTCGGAAGCGGAAGTAAAGACACCCGCAAAGAAGGAAAAGGTCGCCGTGAAGAAGGTTGCTGCGAAAGAGGACGCCTCCGACTCTTCGAGCGCTAGCTCAGACTCGGACTCGTCAAGCTCGAGCTCAGACTCTGATTCCGAGTCGGAGAAGGAAAGCGCGCCAGCTCCTGCAAAGGTCAAGAAGGCCAAGAAGGCTGCGTCAGTTTCGTCGTCCTCGTCGTCGTCCTCGTCTTCCAGCGACTCCTCCAGCGACTCCTCCAGCGACTCCTCCAGCGACTCCTCGGACGACGAGCCCGAGAACGTAGCCCTCCCCGAATCCGACTCCGACTCTTCCAGCGCATCGAGCGATTCATCCTCAAGCGATTCGGACAGCGACAGCAGTTCCGAGTCGGAGGCTGAGAAGCCTGTCGCAAAGAAAGAGAAAGCGAAGAAAGTCAAGAAGGCTGCCTCGGTCTCGTCGTCGTCAGCGTCGAGCTCCTCAGACTCGTCCAGCGACTCCAGCTCCTCTGAGAGCGAGTCAGAGGCCGAGCCTGTAAAGGAGGTCAAGGCCAAGTCTAAGAAGGCAAAGAAGGCCGCCACTCCATCGGCGTCCAGCGACTCCAGCTCGTCCGACAGCTCATCAGACAGCTCCTCCGACTCCGACTCCGACGATGAAGCAAAGCCTGCACCCGCCGAGCGCAAGGGCTCTTCCACCGACTCATCCGCAACGCTCCCCGCTGCCTCGCCCGAGCCAAGCGCCGACAAGAAGCGCAAGTTCGACGGCTCACCCGAGGCCCCCGTAAAGTCCAAGAAGAACCACGTCGAGAACCGCTTCCAGCGCATCAAGGCTGATACCGCCGTCAGACCAGAACTCGCTAGCAACGCTTACGTTTCTTACGACTACGCCGACCGCGCGCACGCCAAGCTCATCGTCACAAAGGGCAAGGGGTTTACAAAAGAGAAGAACAAGGGGAAGAAGGGGTCGTACCGGGGAGGTTTGATTGATACGGCCGGTGGCAAGGGCTTCAAGTTTGATGATTGAGGGGTTGGTTTGAATATACAGTATTGACGGATAATGGGGTGGGAGGAAACGACTTATACAAGAAGGATGAATGACGGGAGCTATGGAGTGGATGACGGTTTTAAAGTTTAGTGAGGGTACTTTGCGTTGATAAAAAACGACAAAGCATGCGTGGAATAGAATATCTTTGGGAACAAAAAACTGCAGGGAGTTTGGAGAGGGAAATTGAACCCGTTTCATACCATTGATTGGTGACTTGCGTGTTGCAAGTTGAAGGAAAGATGTATAGATTATTTTCCAGCCGCTCATAATAGACAACATCCCGTTTCCCTCACTCTTACACGTGCCGTACACAGCTCCGTAATCCATACACCTCTTCCCCAAAACTCCCCTTCCTCTCTCCTCCCCGTCCACCCCACCCTCCCTACTCCTTCCCCCCCTCCCCCACAAACTCAACCGGAAGATTCATCCCCACCCTCCTCGCACTCAGCCTAACCCGCTCCTCCTCACTCATCCCCATACCGGGATTATACCGCTCAATCAGCGTCGCATACATGCGCTGCGCCTGCACATACTGGACAAACTGCTCCGCCTGCTGAATCTGGCCCGTTTTATTCGCGTGCGGCGTCGAGAGGAGCTGGCGGATGCGCGTTTGCAGGTGAGAGGGTGCGGAGAGCTTTTGGTGCGAGGTGCGGGTTAAGGCCGTGGAGGTGGGGAGCTCGCGGAGGAGGTGGCGGTAGAGGGATGTGGGGTGGGACATCTTTTTTTTTCTTGAGGGGGGAGGTGGCTGGCTGGGGGTGTAGATATGGTTGTGTGGTTGTGTGGTTGTTGGAGGGATGTCGACTGCGGAGGTGAGTGCGGCGAAAAGTTGCGGAGGACGGAGCTCGGAGGTTGGGGTACTTTACTTTACTTTACTTTCCTTTCCTTTCATCCCAATCCCCTCTTCACCGCGAACTCCAACAATGGCTTCCGTCCCGCCCAATTCGACGTATATATGCCGGCGCTGCATCCAGTCTCTCCGCCCGCCTTTCACTACCCGTTCGCAGTTCCGCCCCAGCTCGACAGACGCCTTCGCGCTCAGAGATGCAAATATAGCCCGCTCACGTCCCCCGCGCATAACAAGACACTTGACCATCGGCCACTCCGAGCGTCTCAGCGAACCAGCCCAGCAGCAAAATGCCACAAGCACACGACCTCCAGGCCGCATCCGCCCAGCCAGACCCCGCCGCGTGCTAATCGTCCCCAACCCCATAATCCCCCCACGCGAGCTCTCCAACACGCCCAAGCAAGAAACCCACCGACCATGGAGCACAAACACCATCAAACGGCGAACCGAGCGCCACACCGCCCAAGAACTCACTCCCTCCCCACCCCCCCCACCCCCCCCCATCCAAAAACCCCAAGACGACCCACCCGCCCCCCCAATCTGGGCCCCCGACCGCCCAACAACCCACGTAAAAGCGCACTACACCGCCCAGCAAGACCTAAACTGGCACTGGGAATCCCTCCCGCCGACCATCGCCCAAACCGCACAGGCAAACCACTTCTTCACCACTTACGGCAAGACCGCAAAACTCCTCCGCAGCATCCCCCTCTTCCGCCTCACCCCGGAATCCGACGTGCCGGAGATAGCCTTCGTCGGGCGCAGTAACGTGGGCAAATCCTCGCTCCTAAACGCCATCGTAAACGCAGATATCAAGGCCCTCCTCGCACGCACATCCGCAACCCCAGGCTTCACAAAGACAATGAACATGTACGGCCTCGGCCCGCACGGCGGCGTAACACTCAAGTCTAAAGCGGGCCAGCGCGAGAAGATCACGGGTTTGGGTGGCCTGACTATAGTCGACATGCCGGGCTACGGACAGGGCTCGCTCGCCTCCTGGGGCGCAGAGATCATGAAATACATTCAGTCGCGCAAGCAGCTGCGTCGTGTCTTTGTGCTTCTCGACGCCCAGCACGGGATCAAGGATAAGGACCGCTCGCTGCTCGCTTCGCTGCGTCTAGCGGGCGTCAGCCACCAAGTTATCTTGTCGAAGGTGGATAAGATTTTCCTGCCCCCTGCGCGCGTTATCAAGCACTTCAATGGCAAGGAGCTGAGTAGCCTGCGCCCCAAGGGCACGCGCGAGGGCCTTATGCAGGAGATGCAGAAGCTCAAGGCCGAGATTCAACCCCCTGTTGGAGGCGGTGCGTTGGGCGAGATCCTGGCGTGCAGTGCTGAGACGCTGGTTGATGGGAAGAGGCTGGGTATTGATCAGGTGAGGTGGGCGATTCTTAAGGCGGCGGGGCTGGAGGGGAAGGTTAAGGGGCAGAAAAAGGTTAAGGGGGTTGTGGGGATGAATGTGAGGACGCATTTTGTGGAGTAGGTTTTTTTGTGTTTGGGAGGGGTCGCGTCATGTATTGTTCATGCATGGTGGATGGGATGGGGTGGATATCTCTATCATCTACGCGGATGGTAATCCAAGCTCCAACATTCTCGTCCGAGCGAACTATCGATACGCCCTAATTAGCCGGTGTCGGCTGCCCACGAGGCCTCACCTGCATAGCCTGCCCAGGGTGCTCAATGAACCTACCAACCCATTAGTCCACGCACTCAACCACAACATCAGGGGAAAGGAGAAACTCACTTCTTAACAATCCTCTCAATCGAATCCAGCCCCTTAGCAAGCACCTCCATCCTGGGCCCATAACTCAGCCTAACAAAGTGATGACACGGGCTATCAAACAGATCCCTCCGCTTACTCGGATTCAAATCGAAAAAGATGCCCGGCACAACAATGACCTTCTCCTCGAGACACGCATTGAAGAAGTTCAGCCCATCGTTGATGCCCTCCGGCAGCCCCGACAAATCCAACCACAGGTAAAACGTCGAGTTGGGCATGTAGGGGAACTTGAAGCCAATGTCCTGCAGCCGGCCGATGACATAGTCGCGCTTCGTGCGGAAATGCGTCTGCAGCGCGCGCATCTCTGTGCGCACGCGCGGCGGGGATAGCATCTCCACGGCCGCTTCTTGGAACGGCACGTTGCACCCGCCGTCGAGGTACGAGCCACACGACCCAATCGCCTGGATGAACTCCTTGGGGCCGATGACCCACGCGACGCGCCATCCAGGGAGGCGGAAGCGCTTCGTCAAGCCATCAATGATGAGGACATCATCCTCGTCGACGTCCTCGACGTTATCGGCTGCCGAGATGACAGTACCGTCGCAGTTAGTCGTGTAGTTATATCCGCAATAGAATTCGTCCATGATGAGTGTTGCGCGATCGCGGCAGATGTTTTGGATCTGAGCGAGTTCGGGGTTGGTAACCATTTGGCCTGTGGGGTTTCGCGGGTTGGAGGTTAGGATTACGGAGGTGCCGCGTGCGATTTCCTCTGCGATCTTGTCGGGGGACATGTGGTATTGGTCTGCTTCGCCGAGGGGTACGGGGATGGCGGCGATGTTCTTGAAGAGCGATAACATCTCGTTGTAGGCCGTGTAGTCTGGGAATTCGTCAGTGATGGTTCCCCACTCTAGATATGTGATCAGGCGGAAAACTCACCAGGGATGAAAAAACCCAGGTAGCAGTTGCCCAGCACAGCAGCAATACGAATCAAACCCGCACGTCCACCGGGCACAATGCACACGTTCTCCCATGTGTACTGGCTCTCCTTGCCCTTGCGGTGGTGCTCGTTGTACAGCGTCGCGACGGCCTCTCTCAGCGGCCTGATACCCGCCGTGGGGCCGTACTCTCTGCCATGAGCCGTGATGTCGACTTCCTTGGGCCTCTGGAAGCAGCCCTCGATGTTGTCGTCGACTTCAGGCGCTCCCTGGCCCAGGTTTGCCCACTCCTCGGGGTTCTCGAGGAAGCCGTGCTTGTATGCTTGCTCGGACGTCCACACGACACCGGTCGAAGCACGACTGGCGTCTAGACCAGCGTGCGGCTTGTGGCCCTCATGCGACTGGCGGAACTGGCGATGGATCTTGGAGCCGAGTTCTGTCATTGGAAATAAGCAATGTTTTCTGGTTATGTAGAGAAGTAGTAGTGATGAAACACAGTGTGTGATATTCGAACCGTGCAGAAATCGACAAAGACCTCCGAGTTCCTAGAGCTCCAAGCTCTACCCACTCTCCAGTAATGAGAAAACGAGCATTCCCATGTGGGGCCCCTTCTCTCGGAGAATATCACGCATTGAGCTTCCTTCCCGCGCGAAAGCTCTCCAGAACAGAAAAACATGACGTAGCTCAGGAACGAAACTTGCAAGGAGGAAAACAAGAAAACTCACCAGTATCGCTGGGATCCTTGGAGGTGGAGAATCTCCTGCTCTTCAAGATATTGACCCTGTCTGCCGAGAAAGACATTGTTGGGTTGTTGTTCGGAGAATTTAGTGGTGGTAGGGTAGGGTAAGGGTCAAGCTTTTGCCAATGCTGGGAAAGAGGGGCAGATAAGCAGAGTGGACCCTGGAATGTTAGCTGTGAGATCGGAGATGGATCTGAGATCTTGGTGTGGGGAGGAACCTACAAAGTGTCTCTTTCAACAAGACGTCTTCGCACAGAAGAAGAAGAAGATTGCACAAAGACGACCAGAAAAAAGACGAGAAAACTACCCAGATGGAAGTGGGGTCAAGCTCGAGGTCCTTTATGTAAAAAGACGCGCACGCAAAACACCGGCCTTTTATGTACGTTACAGCTACCTTGCCCCATCCCACCCCACCATGCACACCTTTCCCCACACGCGCAGCTCTCGGCTCGTCATACAACGTCGACCCTCCCCCCCTCCATGCCCAGCTCTCGCAACCCACGTGTCACACCCTGAAGCCCTCAACACTGATATCCTGCCAAAAACGCCAATCAATACTTGTCTCACGCACTCTTCAGCGCTGACCTTCACCGCCAGAGCCTGCATTCCGTGGGGTTGCATGCACTACAGCAACACGGCATGGATGGTGGAGGGAGGGGTACACGACGATCTAGAATGCATGTCAGGTATGTACACTTATCAGCTGGGGGAACCGAGTATCTACCCCAGCTGTGATGCATCTGCGTCTGCATACATATCATGCAGGTTTTGGGGGATTTCACCAGAGAGATCAGCCACGCCTGTCAGCTTATGATGCGCCATACAGGCTGCTAGTAACAACTCGTACATGGCCATAGGTACATGAGTGTTACTAGCTGTGTAGACTTGATGAGCTTGAGTAGTACGGTGCACATTCAGCCGCAGGACCGCGGCCCGCTGCCGTCGTTAATGCCTCATCACCTCAGCTTGCCATTGTTTCTATCATTGCCGTATTCCTCTCGTCAAACGTCAGACATATCAATGTTTCACACGTTGCGTCGAGTAGGAGCCTGGAATAGAAAGCACATGAAGGACGAAATGAGATGCGATACCATAGAACTCATACAACTTGACAGAGTCCATTGTGCATTCTATATACATAGCCCACGATTAAAGGTCCAGCATAATCCTACAGTACGCAAACAAACGAAACGACAATTACTGCACTGGATCCTCCTCCAACAGAACCTTGAAACTGAATGGCTCAAATGCCACACCGTCACCCATGAAATGCTTACTCATGGCCTCGACCCAGTGGAGACGCAGTGAGTGCAACATGGCACTAGTACCCTCCATAACACAGAGCACCATCACAGTAAGCGCGAACCAGAAACCAAACACGAATACCATGATGAAAGATCCAGCCACGCCGGTGAAAGCAAAGGCGTTCTTCATGGTCATCTCCCAAAGCACAATCGACAGACGTTGATGGGCGAGGGACAGGGCCCAAAGACGGAGGTAAGACGCCGTGTGGGAAACGCAGTTGAGACAGAATTCTAGTCATGTTAGCGACTGTTGCGACAAGTAGAGCGAGAATGTACTTACCGATAGTGTGGATGACTTGGTGAATCATAGCCTCGCTGAATTCAAACTCCTCGTGTTCTTCGCTGTGACCAATGTCCTGCGTGATCATGGCAACACCATCCTCGTCGTCGCCGAAGCTTTCTCGGTTGCCATTGAGGTGAGGTCCATCCTCGTTGTCATCGTCGTCGAGCGCACTGACGCGAGAGCTCTCGCCGATACCGCGGTAGCCCATGGCGCGAGCCTTGTTGTTCTCATATCGGAGGTAGAGAGGCTTCAGGAAGAGAAGAATAGGGACACAGGCAAGAGCCATGAGCACCAAGATGACCTGGATGCCAGCCTGTCCAGGATAGAGAGGTTGGTCCGGATCTTCAAGAGTACCAGGCTGCAAGAACATGAAAATCAACATGTTCAACAAACTGGGAGGGTCTGTTCCACGTGCAGGCCAATCAATGGACCACTTGTAGACAATGGTGAACGCCAGGTATCCAAAGATGGACTGGAAGAAGATCATTCCAGGAACGAAGTTACCCCAGATATCGATAGGCGTCTTGAAGTAACGAGCGTTGACGAGGGACCACATGAGGGAGAAGGTCATGTGGGTCCAACCAAGAAGAATACTGAGCTTCATCTTGTAACTGTTCGAGAACAGCAAGTCGTTCTCAGTATCGTGCCAGCGGTAATCCAGGCCGAATGGGTAGGTGTAACCCTCCACTCGCGAAGCAGTCGGGCCCGCGCCATCGTTGTCCCAAACCCACATAGACTTGAACCATGGAAGTCCAATGGAGAAAGCATCGCAGTAGAGGAGACCAGTGTAGATGGAGAAGATTCCCATCATCAAGACAATGTATCGACCGTAGAACATCATGGAGAACAACTCGTCAAGCTTGCTGCGTTCGAGTCTGCGCTCGTAGTAAATCATAGCAATGGCGGCGCAGAGGAGGATGACACCGTGTCCGGTATCACCGAACATGACAGCGAACATGAACGGGAAGGTAACAATCGAGGGTAGGGCGGGGTTGACTTCACGGTACTTGATCGTTCCGTAGGCGTCGATGATGGTCTGGAACCCGACAGTGAACCTATTCGTCTTGAAGTAAGTCGGTGGGGTCTTGGTCGTCTTGACCTGGTTGACAATGGTTGGTACCGAGAGGCCAGCGCGCTCGTTGACGTCTGACAGGGTGGACTTGATCAAGCCAAGGGAGTTCGTAGGAGCCCACGCTTCCGCGATGAGCGTCTTACGTTGGTGGTCATATGAGAACTTGTTCAGCGTCTCATAAGTGGCCTTCTCCTTCTTGATGATGACCATCCAAGCTGCCAGGTTGCGGCTGATAGCTGTCAACTCCGCATCGAGAGTGGACTTGGTGTTCTTCAACACGCTAGCAAGATCACTCAGACGGGTGTTGACCTCACGGATCTGGTCGCGACGCAGCTCGCTGTTCTCATCAACGCTGTACAGATCAGCGCCAAGAGACTCAGAGATCTTTCGGATCTTGGCAATGATCTCCTTGCCGTGGGCGAAGATGATGAACACGTTCTTGCTCGTCTCCTCGTTGGTCTCGGGGTTGATGATGGGCTCTGGGATCTCGGACTGGTTCATGTACAAGTTGCCACGGAGCGTGCGCCACAAGATCCTCTCAAAGGCGGCAATGCGCTCACGAGGAATGACACCGGCAACGAAGCCAATATTCATGACGGTGAAGGATCGCTCTGCGCCATCAGCTTGGCCGTTCTGCTCGACATCCTGAAGGAGGGGCGCGTCATCATCGTCGACGGACTGTCGGATCTCGTCGGTCTGACCGCGCGCCCTGTCGAAGAAGCCACCTGCCTCTCTCAAGACCCAGCGCCACTCGGTGAGCTCGACTTCGCGCTTCTTCAGCGTCTCGTAGCTCTCATTCAGCGAGGAGATTCTCTGCTCCAAGCTTTGGCTCTTGTCGGCAAGCTCGTCGATCTCGGAGGCAGATGGCGCGGTGAAGGGGTTGTTGAAGTCGTAGATCGATCGCATCGAGATGCTGGCCTTGTCCATCTGGGCATGGAAGTACCCTAAACATTATTAGTCATGCCCTCAATGTTGCGCTCACTACGCGACGTACTGAGCTGTCTTTCTACATTGTCGAGACGTCGGATCTCCTGAGTGAAGGTACGTTGGAAGGCGGTCGTCTCCGAGTTGAGCTAAAACCACTTCATCAGCCTCCATCCATCTACCAAGCTTGAGAGGAAGCTTCAATCTTCCTCGCCACCAACTTACATCTCTAAAGTCCATGACACCAAGCTCTCCAAGCGCAGAGACGACCTCGCGGCCAATCTCGTTGGATATGTAGAGCTGCGTCAAGGACATGTCCGCGGAGCGGAACATGGTGTCCTTGGGGGGCGCCATCGTGGCAGCTCGTGGGACAAGTCTTCGCGTGAAGGGTGCTTGTCTCGAGGTTTGTTGGAGGCGATCGGGGTGATGAAGGGTGATGATGAACAGCTGCCTCTGGCTGCGAGGCGTTCATGCAATGATGCGGCAAATCAGGGCTAACACACTTAGCGTGAAAAGTCACGTGCAGCGGCTGTGTTGTTTGCTGATGTCATTGTGCTTGGTCTCTACCAACATGCACTCCGCAATGAGTAGAATTCATAATTTCTAAAATATTTGGGCTGTAGCTACTTTTCTTTTTGATCTTACATGTATATGTTGGGCTTTTGTCATAAAACCACAAGGGTTTCTGACCTATGTTCTTGGGGGCTGGTCAACCTCGTCCAAAACCCAGCCTCTTTCCCCTTCCAAGCCCAACATGGAACATCATGTATGTTTCTATTTCTCATGAAAGCTAGATACACGATTAATCAATACGCGTAGGAAATATAAAGGTATTCTTTGACATCACTTCTTCCTTCCCTTCACACGTCAAGCTGGCCTCTACTTTTTCAAAATGCCACAGTGCCTCGATTATGTTCGGGTTCTGAGCCTTGGCCAAGAAAACCTCAGGTTCGGTTTATGTTTTTTAACCTCGAAAGTTCTTACACGGCATTCCAACACAACATCCAAACCATGACGCTCGATCTTTGTTTCTGATATTCCTCCATACCGTTCATCTACAGCCTACGAAAAGCACAGACCAGTGATAACATGTCTCTGTTTCTTGGTACTTCTTCAAAGCAGGATCCAGCGACGTTGTGTCCATTCGTTGATCAATCTCGAAAACCCCGAATCACTATGTTATGTGAGAGTATGGTATACTTAGAGCTTATTTGCTCTTGCGAGCGTGGTTGTACCGTCACGTAAATCTTTTACAACAACATCTTGCTTTCGAGACCTACCTTGTTGTACACTTGAAACGAAACTTGCCGAATCGTGTTTTATGCATCACAACGCTGCTTCTTCCCACATCACAGTGGTATTTCCTCGCTGAACTCTGCAAAGAATGCTGGAAAGCATATTATGTTCTCTCTCTTGGGCCCATTCGATGTATCCCTTCCTTGACTGATCTTCGTATCCACAATGGCTATTTGTGTTTAAATGATCGAAAGGACGTACCCACTCTTGAATGGGGAAGTAGATAGCATCACTGCTAGAGATATCCAAAGTGAGGGATTCCGCAGGAACCAAACAGACCATTCGACTTCCACAAATACTGCAGCCCTGGTTCTCCATCATAGAAATCGTATACGCCGTTTCATGTGGTGTGTCCCTCTCTCCTCCACCCGATAACACCTTAGTCAAAACGAGGCAGGAATAACGCCATGGTTTCCAAACTAAAACAACCCACATCTTATTCTCCAAACCCGAAAACCTCTGCGCGACAATAGATGGTCGTGGTCTGGAGAGATCTCATCAATATTGAAATATCAAAAAGGCGTCTTAATCAGATTATTCTCAAAACGAAAAAACACGAGAACATGACGCTATCGCTATTGTGAAAACTACGTCGAACCGTATCATGTCACCGATATGAATTCGAGCAAATCTCACTCCATAGATGTCGGTACAAAAATGTCAGACTGACAGGCTGATGCTTTGAAGCGACAATTTCTCTGTCAACCATATCCGAGAGGAGTATAAAATCATGTGTCTCTACACTCTTCCCTCTACACCACCTTCCACATTATGAATCCAAAACAATCGAAGCTCCCTTGCATGGCTGAGGACATGTCGAGATTCGAAAACATCAAAAACTGAAGTGTCGCCCTTATGGCTCTGCTGGAAACGTCTACTCGCAATCAAAAGCACTGTGCTGTGTTTGTGGTTGGTATACTCAAAAAGACGTAAATACGATCCATGGAGCATGTGTGAGCCCGGGAATTCACGATGTTCGAAGTGTGTTGTGGAGCTTCGTGTCGGGAGTATAACTACCCTCCCTCTTCCACTTCTCTGGTCTTCTCTCTATCTTCCACTGAAACCCTATTCTCATTCGGCTTCGCTTAAAAGAAAAAAGACGTACAGTTTATGTCTAGAGGACTTATAAACCATCTATATGGTCTTCTCTCTATCTTCTACTCGAAATCCATTTTCATTTGGCTTTGCTCAGAAACATAAACCAATATCCTGATGTCTGGAGGAATTCTCTACCACCCATAAAACTCCCAATGCTCAACACTTGCCCATAATGTGACACGTCTTCTTCACAAAACTCTACTACAAAAAGACGGCATCAAAAGCACACCTCAGTCTTGAAGAGCCCAAAAGTACAAGCCATCAAGAATATGTGCTTGGCCAGCCAGATCAAAAAAAACACTAAATGCGGCCTTCACAACAAGTATGCGGTGCCGTACTACGGCGCTCAACGGGACTCCATTTCATCACAGCTCTAAACCTACAATTCTACTCCAATCCAGAATTACAGAAGCGCACCTCATATTTCGGAACAACTACCATGTATAAATATACATCTAGAAAACCTTCCCTCCTCATCCATCCTCATCTTCTTCCACTCTACTTCAAAAACGCCAGAATTTCTATTTCTAAAAAAATCGAAACCTTTGCGACATGTCGTTGCTGGAAGTTCCCAGTCTCTACTGCGTGCAAAGCACCGCGAAGACTATAATATGTTTCGGGTCAATGACGATAAAACTGTATTCTAACTTCGTCTTTCGGACGCCTTCTTTGTCTTGTACTCCTCCTGCTCGAAAATACAAGAGTTTCTGGTTGTACAAAAACAAATCAGCCAGTTTTCATGTCGCGGACGGAAGTTCTTGATTTTGTATACATCGAAATCGGCACTGTTCCAAATTATGTCCTTCTCCTTCTTCTCCACGAAAACACTCAAGTTATCACCCCAACCGTTCATGTGCGCCGCGTTGTGTCGAGTCCCTCCTCCCCACTCATTCAAGTGTTGAAAATAGGACTAAGCCATATACATGTGCGTGTCCGAACCCAGAAAGTACACTACATTGGACCCATGCCTTTCTCCCCCCTTATACTTAGTCCAAACCCCACGTTGTCACTGCTACACACAAAGCCAGAGTTTCTGCCCTTCCAAAAAGATATATATCACTTCAATGTCTGGTCCAGAAGTCAGTTGTTATTCCTACATACCAAAAGGATAATAAAAGACAGCTGTGTGCTTGCCGGATTCCAGTCTCCCGATAACCCTTGATTTTACTCTACATATCAAAAACTCATGCCCTTCACGCGATGTGGAAATCTCTGTCACATCACTAAAGTTTCTCCCTGGCTTTTTGATGTGCGTGGAGACTTAAAAACCTAGAATTACTAGCCATGTCTGTTCCAAGCACAACAAAAGAAGAACAAGCACGGCGTATGTAAAAAATGCCAACGAGAAGACTTCATGTCGTCCTCCGCGCCGCATGCAAAGAACTATGACCGGAAGAAGTTTTTCCACGCCATTTCTGCTATACTGTACACACACTCTCCGCTTCTTGGGAGTAAGAAGTGTGATACCCACCATACAACCCCCACACCCCCAAAACATATGAAAAAGGACATATCTACATCCCGCGAGCTCAACACGACCAAACAAAAACAACTACATCACACCGGCAATGTTTTCTCCCGAAAAACACAAGAAAAAGGCGTCCCATGCGCCGAGCGTCGAGGAGTAGAAATACAGTGCGGACATCTGTATGGAAGGCGCGCTGTGAGATGTTGCGATATATTTGAGTGAAAAGGGAGAGAAGACGGGGAGTATACCAAGCAATGAAGTGTGAGGAAACGAAAACCAGAAAACGACAACGGAATGTGCTCCTCGTGCTTGACCTTGATACACAAAACTTTCCCCCTCCCCTCACTTGAAACGTATACTCGCAAAAAGCGTGTAAAAGCTAACATCATGAAAGCGATGCAACGAAAAGACGGGATACATCCACAACACACACCATCTACTCATCTACAAACCCCCATCCATCCCTCCCTCCCTTCCGTCCCAAAACCCCCAAACCCCCAACCCCCACCAAACCTCCGCAAAGAAAGAGAGAAAGAAGAAAAAACAGGGGGAATCAAACACGCCACCAGCACTTAAAAACGCACAAAACGCAGAAAAAGCTCATTCATCAACAACAACAACAACAAAAAACGCCATATCATACGATACGACACCCGTACGTTAACGATTCCGCGTCGCCCTGTCCCGCCTCATCATATCACGTCGTGTGTGTGAGCGTTTTGCCATCCCCACACCAGACCATACCATCGATGACATTCAACCAACAATCGTAAAGAAAAACGCCAAATAGAAAACCCCAGACCACGTAAAGAAAAAGACGCCCAAAGAAGACGAAAAGGCAATGCACGCTTACCAACCCAAACAAACAAACGCAAAAAAAAGGAAGAAAATATAAATCCAAACCCCACCAACACAAAACCCCCCTACCACACATCCCCACCCCCACCTACTGCGGCGCATAAAACCCCGCCTGCCCCATCTGCTGCGGATAATAATACGCGCCATCCGGCCCGGGCGTCATCATCCCGCCCATACCCGGCACAGCAAAGCTAGGCTGCGCGTACGTCTCCACAGTTGGAGCAGAATACAGCGTCGACGAGTCAACGTAATAAGTCATACCATTAGACTCATACGCGACCATATTAGGCTGAGCGGCGGGCGGTGGAGGGGGGGCGGGGGCAGGCATAGCGTAGCCTGGTTGCTGAGCGGCGGGGACGAACATGGGGAGCATTGCGGCGGGGGGTAGGAAGGGCGGTTGGGCGGGGTTGGGCGGGTAGAAGTAGGGTTGTGGGACGAAGGGTTGGGGTGGGAAGTTGGCTTGTTGGTAGGGTTGGAAGGCGGGTGCGTGGATGGCGCGCTCGGGGATGTTGGATAGGGGGGTGCTGCCTGGGATGTGGGTTGGGTAGGAGGGCTGGCGGGCGTGGTGGTAGAAGGCTTGCTGGTCGGTGGAGGGGCCGGCGCCGTTCATGTGGGTGGGGACTTGTTGGTGGAAGGGCTGTTGTTCTTGCTGGGGCGGGGCGTTGAAGTTCATGGATGCGGGGGACTCGATGCCCGCGACGGATACCGTTTTCTGGGGACGAGGTTGGTGCATTGGGAGCGAGCCTTGCCAGTTTTCGCGGAAGGTCGGCTTTTGTGGGAGAGGGTATGAGTGAAGACCGTTTGTCGGTGAGATGATGGAGGGTGCGTTGGGCATGCGGGGGCCGCCAGGTGGCAACCTAACGACTGGTCGACTGGGGTCGAAGGCGCCGTTTCGGGACATGATGGACCCTGATGGAGACACGAGCGTGTCGCGTCCCATCTCGCGTGCCATTGATGACCGTCTGCTCATGGCGACACTGGGAGAGTACACACTGCCCCCGTATGCACTTGTGCGCCTGCTTGAGAAGCCTCCGCCAAATGATCCGAATCGTCCGCGTCCCCGACCAAAGCCTTGTTGATTGGGTCGAAGGGCACGTGGGATGAAGATAAAGGACCGGTCGACTGTGGGGAAAATGTATCGCGGTGCAGCTGGCGGGAGAGAGATGCGGACAGGCTTGTCACGGCGGAGGGGTGGTCGGTGATTGGGTAGGCGGGTGTGCTGCTTGATTGGCACGTTCTGGAACTGGATGGGCGCTTTCATGGCTGGCAGGAACACTCTGACCAGCGCGTTGTGTGTGTGTACTGTGGTGGAGAAGTTGCGCGTCTGCGGGGCCTTTGGAGCAGGCGCGGGTGCTGTTCGTGCAGGGTGATGTGTGGTGGCCGATGGGTGGTGGGCGGGGACATGTGCAAGAGGAGCTGGCTGGGCTTGGTGGGGGACGTTGATGGTCTCGTGGAGATCGTGCTGCCACGGCGAGTCGGTGGCTTCTTGGGCCTGTGGTCTCATGCTGCGGTAGCCGGTTAGCGGTGTGTCCCCAGAGCGTGGGGTGTGGATGTGTGCGTACTTTGCTGGAGAGAAAGGCCCTCCGATGCCTCCGCCTCCGCCCCCGCCCCGTCCTCGTCCGCGCGCGCCGCCGCCTCTGAAGCCGTTCTGGCCGTGTGCAGATCGCTGGTCGTGCATGAAGAAGGCGCCGCGGTTGGGGATGAAGGCGGGGTCTGCGTCGCGCTTCTGCTTGTACTCGTCGTGCTCCCGCCGTCTGCGCTCGCCCAGCGTCTCTGACCGTCCGGGCGGGGCCCTCACTGCGGGCGCGGGCTCTGTTGCCGACTGCCCCGTCTCGAAGTCGACCACCTCAGCATCCTTTGCGTCGTCGGCAATCTTCAGCCCGTTCATCATCAGCTGCGTGTCCTTGAGGGCGGTGAAGGCGGCATCGGAGCGGGCAATTGGCGGGGACGGTTGGCGATGGCTGGTGTCGGTCCGGGGCTTTGCATTCCGAGCGCCATTGGCTTTCCTCTTCGTCTTCGCTCCCGCCTGTGAGGGGGCGCTGTCGACGTCGCTCAGGTCGCTGTTGTCGGCGTCGGCATTCTCCTCAATGTCGCTCGGCACCGACACGTCGCTCTGTGAGTCGTCGGCCCACGTTGCCACGGACTTGTTCTCGTCCTCATCGCTCAGCCGCCGGCGACGTGCGACAATGTTTGTCCTTTTCTGCACGGGAGCCATGTTTGCGGCGAGAGAGCGTGGTAGCGTGATGGTGTCGACGTGGGGTTGTGGACCGGCTTCGTGGTCGGAACGGCGATTTGGCGTTCGGGGGCGGTGGTGCGAGTGATTGTCAGCGGCGGGAGGATGGCGGGCAGGGCGATGCGGCAGGCTGCAAATCGTGCAGTCGTGATGGGGGGCGATGTTGAGGTCGACGAGTGTTGAGACTGGCCTTGGTAGCTAGCTATGATGTCGTTTCCGTCATGTCTTGATGCCTAAGAAAATGCGACGGCATTTGCCGCCGAGCCGTGCGTGCGGGAAAGCCTGCGGATCTGCACCGTGAAGCCACTCCACACCTTAGTTGGATGGACAATATGTGTGAGTTGCCATTGGGCAGGCTGGAGAGCAGTAACGGTGATGCAATGGCGTGTCATGCATGGCCAAGTCATGCTGCTGTTTGATGAGATAGCATGGTTCAACACCACATGGCGTCTTTAGCACAGGCTGCCTTGACTGCAAAGCATAGACATCTCGAAATTCGCAAAGACTGCATGTTGATGACGATCACACATTTCAAGTTTTGGTCAGAGGGATTACAATGTGTCATTCAACCTCTCAGAAGTCCTCTCCTCCGGGACAAGCTCCCGAACTCTAATCCCTAGATACGGTAGTGCCAGCCATGTATGATAAAATAGTACACCCATGCCCCGATCCCAGAGTACCACGCTATGCTAATGCTGCCACAGAGGGCTGAAAGATAAACGCCGCCAGATGCTAAGTCCTGCTAAACATACAGGTGTGCAGTTGGGTATGCATACAGATAGGAGATGTGAAAAGAGAATTAAAAAACTAAAAATTGAAGATGCAGAAACTCCGTACCATGCCTCAGAAGACCCAGCTTCGATGCTGACAGAACATGCTCTAGCAACAAGTAGATGATCGGATATGCTGATGGCGATGCGACATACTCCATGTAAGACGAACACGCTTATAGGTTGAGATCGTGAATGTAAGTGCAACTGTCGCCCTTGTTGCACGTCCCCTTCTGGAAGAACTTGCAAGCTAACACCTTATGAGGGCGATCGCTGCGGTTCTTAGTCTTTTTGCCCTGGCCCCGCTCAAACCCGTTGTTGCTGTCATCCCGTTGTCTTTTTGCTGTACCGTTCGCCGGTTGGTTGTACTGGCTCGGTTGTGCTTGGTACAATGAGGCATCTGGTTGTTGTGGTTGTTGTTGTGGCTGCGCTTGTTGTAGGAATGAGAAATCAAACGGCGGGAAGCCAGATGGTGGGAAACCGGGCGGAGGTGGTGGTAGAGGAGCGCCATTTGCTGCTTGTGATTGCAAGGCAGACATAATGACAGCAAGATCGAACCCTGGAGCTGGTGCTAGCGGCTGTTGCACGGGAGCCATTATTGGCATCGACATAGGCAGCTGCGGCGGCGCCGAAGCTTGACCTTGCAGGGCATTGAGGATGCTCGCGAGGTCGGGCGCGGCGGGAGCCGCAGGGGGCAATGCGTATGACGTTTGAACCGGAGCCTGCATCACCGCTGGTTGTGGTTGACTCGTGCCAGGCGTGGCAAATTGCTTGAAAATTTCCTCGAGGTTGCTGAGATCAGGCATCGGCGCTGATGCGGGCGCAGGTGCTGTCAAGGCCGGCTGGGGTGCTCTATGGAGGACTTTGTCAGGTGGCGTTCCGAAGTGGGTAACTTGGATCGCCGACTCCTGGGTTTGTTCTGGGGGTGGTTCGTTGGGAGAAGATGGTATATCACCGGGGTGTGAGTAAAAGACCATCAACGTGGCGTTTTCGCGCCGTATGTTTGCTTCCTTCTCAGGGCACGACGGCAATCTCTCTCCACCACCGAATGGTATGTAGTTGCGTTCGCGGTCTTCAGAAGATATGACGCTAAAGTCTACCTGAGATGGTTCTGTCCATGGCCGGCTATCGACCTCAGGATCATCATCGTCTTCGTCAACATCAAGCTCCTTGTGTTGCTTGAACATGCGGCCTTCACCTCCAATATCACCCGCGTCCCGGACGAAGTTTTCATCGTGGCCCTCGTCGTCCTCAGGTTCGTGATCGAAGTACTTGATAGCCACTAGAGACTGTTCAGGGCGGAAGGTGACGCGCAAATGTCGCCTGGATTCTTTTCGCAAGCGTTTGGTCTTCTCCTCAGGAGTCTCCGGTGGAACCTGCTTTTCGGACTTGACGGGCGCTGCCTCCTGTTCTTTGGGTTTCAGCAGCGAGGCCATAGTAGAGGCGAAGGAGAATGACGACTTTGACGCCGCTGTTGCAGGCTTCTTGTCTTTGGATGCCACGGGAGCAGGTTTCTGCTGGGCGTTTGCCTTTGCGTTTGTGGGAGCAGTTGCAGCAGGTGCTGGTCTCTTGCTCGCAGCATTGAGGGACGCGAATATACCGGATGGTTTGTTTGTTACCTGGTTGACTCGGGCCTTGATTGGCACAGACGCTGCTCCGGGCTTCTCACCAGGCTTCTTCCGTTGTAGTATTGGTAAAATGGGTTTTGATGTTGTTGTTGTAGTCGTTTCAGTGTCTTTTTTCGCAGAGTTGGCAGAGAGATCAAGAGGCTTAAGCTTTTTTATTGCTGGCCCTTCATTTGGTTGGCGAGTCACCGAGTCTGTTGCAGGGCGCTTGGCGCCCTTCACCTCTACAGGCTCAGCCCGTGGCGGAGAGCTGACCTTGGCCTTCTTGCTGCCAGAAGCAGCGCCATCAATCACCTGCTGGATCAAGGTTTTGTGCTTCTCATTTGCATGTTTCTTCATTGACACCAGCGCCTTGTTGACCTTGGTTTCTTCGAGAAGCTCAGTGGTCAAAGTTCCACACCTCGACAGGATCTCGTAGATGACGGCAGGCAACGAACCATCATAATCCTTCCCTTTGAATCGATTCGCTAGAAACTGATAGCAAAGATACAACAAAGGCTTTATTTGCCCAAGATGGTAAAGAACATCAGGATGAGCATGATCAAGCGCAGCCTTTAAGGCAGATTGAAGCAAATCGCGCTGACTGGCGACACGGCTTTTCAGCACAGGTAGCTCACCCGTCTTCTTCTGTTCTTCCGCATCCGACACAGCCTTGCTGTCAGCTCGCCAACGCTTCTGGATTGTGTTGAGTACTTCCCAGATATCGCGCATGCTAGTTTTGATTTTCTCTGGACCTGGTTGTGATCTTCGAGGATACCAAGTGGCTTTGATGATGTCGTAGCAGACAGCAGCATGTGGTTCGTCGGGTCTTGACTTTGGTAGCGGAGATGGTTCCTCATCTTCATCGTCCGTGTATTCGCTATCATCGTCGGAAGAGTCAGTGTAACTTTCGCTATCAGTAACCTCCCTCTTCAGGCCCAAAGCGCTGTTCGTCGACTTGTCCAGTTTGCGAGCTCTTGAAATGGACAGCTTGACGGATGAAAGTTTTGCCAGTTTCTTGTTATCGGCACCAGCCCTCTTCAGGTCTTTCAGAGACTGTCGAGCGGTGTACAACGGAAGCGCAGCTACAAGGTGGTCAGATGATTCATTACAAGGCATTGCTTCACAGCAGAAAGGCTTACTTCTATTCGTAGCTAGATGATGGACTTGGGTGCCGAGATTCACAAGCTTGTTTAGAGCAGTAGATTTAGTGGCGTTTGCCAACGCAGCCTGATCTAGAACATACAGCCCACCTGATTTCCTGCCATTTGGGATATCATACTCTGGGTTTGGCGCGTACTTGATGTAAGCTGCCGGATTTGAATTTTGCACAAACTGCTCTACTGGGGGTTTCGATATCTGGTGTGGTGTTAGTTGTTGCTTGTGATGTATGGCTGTAAAGAAACTCACTTGGAAGGGAGAAGTCGTTGCACGTGTGTTCTGAAGTGAGGATACGTTTTGTTGAAGTGCCTGAGGTGTCACTGTCCCGGGGTGAGCCTGCGGAGTAGTATTCCGCAATGGCATCGGATAGGGCGAGTGCTGCTGTTGTCGAATGGCAGCAGGGTCCATTCCCAGGGAGGGGTCCACATTTGGCGAGTGTCCATAACTGCCTATCGACCCGTGCTGGTTGAACTGACCGTACTGATATGGTGAGGCCGTCCGGGATCCATGGTCTTGGGCTCCATATGCTTGGCTTAGAACGTTGACTGGTTGTTGTGGAAAAGCGCGCTGATGCCATTGGTGGGTCGACGAATTGGGCACCAGGCCAGAATGTTGGTTGAGTTGCGATTCCCAAGACGGGGTACCATACCGATCGACAGACGAGAAGAGGTTCTGGTAGGACGGATCGGTGTAGATGGTCTGTCCTGGCATGGGCACTTGTTCACTGGGCACGTGATTGGAAGCCATGATGTGATGCGCGAATAGTTGACTTGGCCAAGCGATTCACTTATGCTGATGTGATTGGCTAGTGGATACTTGACCCACAAGTCTTTGATCTGGCAAACAAACAAGAATTATGCGACAATGCAGAGCGCGCTAGACGTTAACGGGGTTGGCGCAGAGTCACAAGGTGTAGGAAATGCCGTTTCGGGGTCGCGAAAGCTGGAATGACCGGTAACACTTCCGGTTCAAGCTGTAGTGTCGTGGAGCGGAGTTTCTGGTTCGCAGAAGCTGTCGTGGTCCCTGGAATCCTGTTGGAAAAGCTGCGACAGCAACGGATGATCCAACGCGCAGCACTCGTGTTCCGACGCCCGCAATGCCGTGATCCCCAGTCCACGAAAGTGTAGCTTTGGCTTTATGAGGATGGCACTTGGCCTCGCGTTTAGTGCGATGAGAACACTGCTGATGCGTCACTTGACGTTTGCGTACCCAAATACACGGCACACGCGTCCACTCTGCCGTTTGCTGCCTGCGACGACCTGTCCTGTGCGCGAGCGTCTGCCCAAGCCTCCCTGAGTAGAGCCTGGTCGTCGGTCGGTGACGCTGTGTTAGTAGCAGAAACTGCGATGATGGTCACTCTGCTCTCCCACGACCGCGAGCCTCTCAATAAACACCGTTGCCAGCCTGATTGCACACTTCCCACAAAGCGCAGATCCGAAGAAATCTAGCCTTGTATTCAGAAGCCCTTATTAGGTGGGCGGGAGTTCACTGAGAAGTTGCATGTAGTTCAAAGGGAAGAAAGGAGGGGGATGGTGTGGGCGAAGTGAGTTGAGGAGCGAGAGCGGCAGCGCAAGGGAGGCAATGGTTTTGGGCCTGCCGGCGCCAAGCGTCTAGGCTCGGTCGGGTAAGGCTGACATCACTCTCGACCTGTGGAAGAGACCACGAAGGCACACGGGTGAGAGCATTCGACAGGCAGACGCGCCACGGCCTCTTTTGCTTTTGCTGTACGTCTACCACCCTGCGCTCGACGGCCCTGCTATATTCTCTCTCGCGTATGAGGTAATCTGCGCAACGGCGGGCGCCAGCCATCATATACCATCACCATGGCCGTCACATTGCGGGACAAGCAAATAGGTAGTCTGAGCTCTTCTAGATTACACGACCATCGCTGACAGATATTATGTAGCTAGCATAAAACGCATCTTGAACCTGAATGCTCCCATCACCGACGTCGACGCGCAAAACGACTCGAGCGATGCGCCCGAGACCACATCCCCGAACGGCGCAGTATGGAAGGTGCTGGTGTTCGACGAGATGGGCAGGGATGTCATAAGCTCAGTTCTGCGAGTGAACGATCTGAGATCTTCTGGGGTATTTGCGCACCATTCAAGGTGGAGCGATATGCTGAGCATGATACTAGGTCACAATACATTTGAACATTGGTACCACGCGCCATATGATACCTGATGTATGTGGTATTTCGCACTTGAAAAGGTAGAGAGACTAAATTGTGCAGGTTCCAGTGATCTATCTCGTCGAGCCGACTGCGCAAAATCTCCACCTGGTGACCTCGGACCTCTCCCGCGGACTCTACAGTCAGTACTCCCAAGTTTGCGCAGTCACTGGGAGTGTTGCTGATTCCCAACCATAGGTCCCGCATACATCAACTTCCTCTCGAGTATTCCAAGACCTCTTCTCGAAGACTTTGGCGCGCAAACGGTGGCATCTGGGACAGCAGAGCATTTGGCTCAGGTTTACGATCAGTACCTGAACTTTATCGTGTCGGAGCCGGATCTGTTCCACCTGAACATGAAGGGCGCCTACCACACCCTCAACAGTGGCCAAACACCGGATGAGGAGCTTGACGTTGTCATGGATCGCATTGTGTCTGGCCTCTTCTCGGTCGTGGTGACGATGGGAGTTGTTCCTATCATTCGTTGTCCGAAGGGAGGCGCAGCAGAGGATATTTGCGCAAAGCTCGACCGCAAGCTGCGAGACCACATCTTGAACTCTAAGACAAACCTCTTCTCTGATCAGAAATCATCTTCGGTCGCCTCACGGCCAGTGCTCATCATAGGCAAGTACGACTTCATTGCATTGTCTTTCCTATGCTGACTTTTTCTAGTGGATCGAAATGTGGATTTGGTGCCTATGTTCAGCCACTCATGGATAGTAAGTGCGCATCAGTTTGTCCAAGATGTTCGGCTCTGACATGTAACAGTACCAAAGTTTGATTTACGATGTGCTCGACTTCAATCTGAACAAGATAACCATCTCCGTCCCAGTCGACAAAGACCATCCTGAAAAGGGCTCAAAGAAACAGTCGTACGACCTCACAGCTTCCGACTACTTCTGGGCCAAAAATGCAGCGTTGCCCTTTCCAAACGTCGCCGAGGATGTCACAACGGAGTGGAACAAATATCAAGAAGACGCAGATAGTGTCACAAGAAAGACTGGCACTTCTTCCATCGATGACTTGTCGGGAGAAAGCAACCAGTTTGCGGCTCATTTGAAGGGCGCTATGGCTCTACTCCCAGAGTTGCGAGAAAGGAAAGCCACAATAGAGGTGAGATCGTGCTAAAATAGGGGTTTTCTCTAAATTAACACATCATAGATGCACATGAATATACTCGAGGCTGTCATGGAGGGTATCAAGAGTGAGTGCGCTCATATCGTACGATGTAAAAATGCAAACTGACCCGGATAGATCGCAAAATCGATTTCTACTTTCAGCTAGAAGAAGAGCTGTCCAAACAGACGAAAGCGCAGATTTTAGAACTGATCAAAGATTCCGACAAGGGCACGGTACCGCTAGACAAACTCAGACTGTTCCTACAGTGGTACTTGACGACCGAGCAAGAAATGTCCCGCGCCGACCTCGACAGCTTCACACAAGCCCTTGACGCTGCAGGTGCAGACACCACAGCCATCAAGTATGTCAAGACCGTTCGCCAACTCACCCGCATGACCATGATCTCGTCCGCCCCCACACAACCCGCCCAGGGCACGTCGCAGCTCTTCGGAGGCTTCTCCAGTCTGTCTTCGCGCGTCACCGATCGATTCAAGGAAGCCGGTCTTGGTGCCAACTTCGAAGGTGTTCTTTCGGGAATCAAAGGCTTCCTTCCCCAGAACAGCGATCTCACGCTCACGAAGATTACCGAGTCGCTCATGGACCCGCAAAATGCGTCGTCGAGTGCCATCAGCAAAACGGAGAGCTATCTGTACTTCGACCCGCGGTCTGCGAATGCACGCGGTACTCTGCCTCCAGCGAGCCAGTCTCGCAACCAGCAAGGCGCTGTTGGACGGGGCATTGATGCCACGTTTGGACAGAGGCGGCAGGGCTTCAGCGAGGCGATTGTGTTCACCGTCGGTGGTGGATCAATGGATGAATACGGTAACCTGCAGGAGTGGGCCAAGAGGACGAGCGCGAGCGGTGCTGGGGGGACTGGGCAGAAGAGGCGGGTCGTCTACGGAAGCACGGCGCTCTACTCTGCGACGGAGTTTGTCAACAACGATCTGGCGCAGTTGGGCAGGGAGAGTACGTGATTTTGTAGAGGATGAGGGAAAAGCACTTTATATGATTAGATCATGATACTACGAAATGTGTATGTTGTGCTTGTCTTCGCGCATGGTGTTGAGCTAGTAACTCTGCAACCCTTCCCTCTCTTCGATCGTGTTCGTTATGCCTGTTTGTCCCCGTTCCTCGCCCTAATCTCTCCCTCCTGCTCTCGACACTTGCGCGAACATGTAGATGCTACTTCTCTGTGGATGTTATTTGGGGAATCGGGTTTGCATGCGCGACCCCAGACTTCAGCTTCGTCGCACAGCGTGGGCGGACGTGTGGATTGCTTGGTGCAGATCGTGCAGCTGTAGGTTGTGATTGTGCACATTTTGGGTTCTTTGTAGAGGGACGCAAGAGGGAGTGTGTAAATAATGGGGCCTGTAGGGGAAGTGGTGAAAAGATATATATACCATGTCTGGGTGGCGAAGTGAATCATTGAATTTAGGTAAGTTAAAAGCTTATTCGAGTGGCTTCGAGAGGTACAATATTGAATGCAAGCATATACGCTCAGTTGTACATCACCAGCGTTCATGAAGATATTCACAGTACGCCGTACTCATAAGTACACGCCAGGCTCTTCTTTTGAAATCTTCAAGATTCACGTGTTGGATTGTGTATTTGCCAATGCTGCTTATGAGATAAGTTTGACCTATTCGTATGATTTCCAATCACCTCAGTGTGTAAATTCCATGGTTCGTCTAGGAGATGGTCTGCCTGAGCAGGAACAAGTCGGATGGAACCTTTAACTCCCACCTTGACTGAGACGACATATAGAATTGCAGGACTGAGATGAACAAGGAAAAACTACACAGGCTCGAGAGCGCATGCGTGTAACCATATTCAATATCACTGAGTCACACGTGTGTTTTCAGGTGGCATTCCGCTCCCATTCCTTGGAGTAAAACCATCTCGAGATAGACCTGTCTGTGGCCAACTTGTCTGCAAACCCAAAAGGGAAGCACAGGTTCCTCTCTACTAACTCACTCACCATCGAGTAGAGTTCTGTAGCAAAAAAGATGTTGTCAACTAAGGGATTCGAACCCTTGCCACTTTCGTGATGAGAAACCCCAACTGCTGTTGGAAAGCTTTCGCTTGAGTCACACGCCATAACCACTCGGCCAAATTGACGGCTGTTTTGATGAAAGAATGATTCATTATATCGTATATATACTAACAGCATTGATAGCTTTGAGTCTCCCGTCAAATTCGAACTTCGAAGAGTGGGGCAGTTGAATGTCCCCATACAGGTCGGACGTCACACACCTACCTCTTTTTCCAACGTTTTCAGTATATTTGTGGTCAGACGAAGTTTGAAAAGCATGCACTAACCCTCTGTCCATCATGCGTCAATGATATATAATTACAGGTAAGCCTGGAGGTCTTCGACACGAGCAACAAAACTATAGAACAATTAAAAAGGGGGTTGACTTCATCCAGCCCTACATGTGATGTTCGCGGGTTTTCGACACCGATTCACTTGTAGTCTCCAAATTATATTTTATGCCTGACAAAAAGCTCATACGAATACCACTCGCAGTAAACTTTTGGCCTCTATCTATCCAATGCTTAATGCCATCTCACCCCCTTTGCCTTCGAACATATACTCCTCAGCCCTTCTATCTTACTACTGCCCAACATCTACTACAATCGCAGGAACATAACTCTAAGAGATGTTAGGGTATAGTAAGTAATTTGGTAACGCAAACAACATAGCATGCCATTAATCGACTGATCAAGTTGAACCGCCAGAGGCCTACACCCATATCGAGTCGGTCTGCACCCTCAGCAATGACTTCTGCGACAAGCTCTCGCCATGCCAAACACCAGTTTTCGACTTCGGCTTCGTCCTGATCTGCACCTAGCGCTGGTATCTCTGGCTCTGGGACTTCCTGGATCTGCTCTGGGATAGAAAGACGGTCAGTTTTGAGAACTGTCTTCAGCCGCTCGACTCGGCAGGACTCAGCCTGGTGTTCGCGAAAGGTCTTGTCGTCGTGCTCCGAAATTTGCAACCTATCGATGCAATGTCCAACATTGTGCAGATCGAATTTGACCTCCACATCCTGCATGAAACGCTCCAGGGTATAGCCACAAAACTGACGGAACGTCATTCGCGCCGGATGGCCGTTGTCTTCTAGGCTCAAGGGTATGTTATCCCAGGTAACGGTGGCGACGCCCGCTTGTGGATCCAAACCCAAACCCTCTTCTACATCTGAAGAACTTGGTTCTGGAGACACTGACTTCCTACGTGTTTCGGCCTTGCCAGTCTTGGGTGATTTGGCGTTTGCTGCTGTTTTCGCCGCCCGGCTCTTGTTCCGCAACTTGTTCTTGATCATGTTCCACATTGCACGATGCATTTCGATGTCGCTCAGACCTTTTCCATAGAAACACCCGCTTCGATTTGTGTTGTTGTTGAGCACCACCTGGTAGAGCAACCATGCTTGCCAGTCGAGCCCGGTAGCCAACTTGAGCTCAGCATCGCGTGCAGAGTAACGACAGGCGCCATTGGCCTGGCCGTCGCGAATTTGCTCGAACACATGCTGAAACTCAGCCCCCTTCTTGCCGTCGTTGAAGCGATCGGTTGCCAGATAGCCCTTCTCGAAAATGTCCCAGTGCGGCTTGAACAAACCTGACGCATGCCATTTGGTGAATGCAGTCTTGTCGTTGAGCCCTAAACCTGCTCGAACTGGTTCTGTAGCTTTGCCCACGTATCAATGAGCTCGTCGATGGCTTTGTCGCCTCCAGGGCGTTCTTTAAGCCCCTGGAGAACGCGAGTGGGGCTGTGGCTTGCCCAGTACACTCCATGGTGCAACGTCACAAAGCGATCTGACATTCCGTAGTGGAGCTTGTTCATTCGCAGCTCAAGGTTGAACTGGAGATTGTGGCCTTATAGCCACGGAAGAAGCATCCTCACGTCTGAGACCCAGCCATCTAAGCCGACAGAGAGCAACGTCGGCGTTATTCCTGCCTCGCTGGCAGCTTCGATGTCTTTTAGGATCGCCTGCGTGAACCCCCAAGCGGTGTGTTTGCTCCACCGACCAGATTGTTGCGCTTCCAGATGAGAGTCTTTGAGGTCAGGAGCGGGCAGATCCCTTGTAACCACATGGCAAGCCACATATACAACACCAGAACCCTGCTGACCACTATACGCAGCGTAGTGATCAAGGATCTTCTTCCCCCAAATCGGTAGGCCAGCGTATATTGTATCCTGACCGGCTTTCCACGACTCTGGTGGCCAAGAGGAACTGCGGCCAACGATGATGATAGATGGGGGGGAGATCTCGACAGCCTCGCCCAGAAGATACCGGTGGCTAGCCGGCCGGACTACCGCCCCAGTGCCCTTGCATCGCTCCTCATGCATGTCAAGCTTTGCTAGGTCTGCATGGTACTCTTCGCACCTGTTTTGGCACTGGAAAGGGCCCCGAACATCGTTGATATGTGTACGATAGTGGTTCGCCGCACCTTTCTCGTCAAAGGATATCATCGTACATCCATTGACAGAACCCGATGGGCACTCATCGATTGTAATAACCACGCCGTCTTTTGAAAGCGTGGCGGATACATGCTTGTTAAAAGCGTTTTTGTAATAACCAGGCCGTCCTTGAAATGGGCGGTCGATGGGTGTTAGTTCAAGGCTTTCTTGCTGCCGAAAAGACCGCTTTGGCGGCTACATGAACGTCTAATGGTCTTGGATGGGCACCTGTACTCCGGCTTTGGCGCAAACGGCCGTGTTGTGCTTGATGTCTCCTTCGGTTTGAAAAAGCCCAGTATACTTTTGTTTGCCTTCGCATTTGGCTTGGGCTTCGGCATTGTGAACGCTTGTGATAATTTTGGTACGTTTGGGATGACGAGATAGAACGAAGACGTGCGGGAATACCGCACCCATCCCGACACGGAACCTCGAGCGTGCTATCTTCCAATGGCGACTTATCGAATGTAATAACCATGCCGTCCCGGGAGTACGTAGCTGACACATGCTCCTCCAGAGCTGCCTTGTCGCCGAAAAGGTCAGTTTGGCGAATACAAGATTTTGAGGATGTACTTACAGTCGGAGATGACTCGGACAGGCAGAGTCTGGAGTGAGGTAGCGTGTGATGTGTGTAGTTCTGTCAGACAAGTACAAGGCACCCACGTCCACGAAAGGCGGGTTGAACCTTATGCATGGATTCGGCAAGTCAGGCGTGGATGTGTTCTTTTCGCCGGTGAGGCACTCTCCGTCGGCGTCCATCCCTATGTGTTTAGCGGGACTGCCCTCGATCTCCGCCACGGAGTCGGACGCCGTTGCGAGAGAGGATAAGCTGCTTTGACTCGGCCATGATCTGCCTCTGCTTTCGGCGAAGGAGGTGTTGTCGATTTCTGCCCTTTCTGGCTTGGGAGATAGAGTTGTTGTGTGCGGAAGCGAGATTGATGTGGATGGTGAGATGGTGAAGCGCAGTGTTGAAAATTTTATCATTAGCGCTTTGTTCGAGCCTGCTTCACTTCGGTTTCCGTGTTCTTTCACTTTGGCCTTCACCTCTGGACTTGGCAAAAGCTGGAAACTGACCTATGCATGTATGATATGCTCTTGGTAATTGACAGCCTGAGAGATAAGGTGGGACATCCATTGAAAACTACGAGGTCAATGACGTGAACTATCATCTCACTACAAGAATAAGAGAACTATGAGATTGTGAAGCACTGAAGCAACAGTGAGGGACTTCCCGGTAGTTCTTCCATTCATGGTTAGTATATTCAATCAAATAGATATAGAAACTATGAAAGATATCAGATGACTGGCAGGAAAACGTGAGCCCGTTAAACTCTAATAATGTCTAAAATGACAGGAAGTCACCAAAACCCTATTTTTCTGCTACTCGACCTCCAACGGGACGCGTATCACTAAAAAACTCAGTCCCGTCGAGCCGCAACAAAAAAATGAAGGAAAAGATCAGCTCAAAGCCTACACGGAAGTAAGGGTGAGAGGACCCAGCGAAGATTCAAAGACGTATCTGACAATCACCTCAAGAATCAGACTACCCGACCTCGCGTCCCCCATCAGACCACGACTCGCGCCCCCATCACGCACGCATATCCGCTTCCAGCACACCGAAACGTCATATCTGACAATATCCACCCGCGAACCCAACCCACAGTCTGCCCACGATCATCCATCATACCACAAACTCAAAAAGCAAACAATACTCCACGCACCGACTGCAAAACACTCACCGGCAACGCGCATGACACGACGAAGACATCTGAAACGCACCCCTGCCCATGCGTATCGGTATCCATCGGTATGATCGCCGGCCTAGAAAGGCGGCTTGCAGCTTCATTATGGGGCGTGAATCTATCGATGGCGTGTACCTGTATGTGCGTTAGATGGGATGGGGGAGCGCGGTCGGAGGATGCATGGAATGGGCTGATTGCGTGGGCATGCAGCTGTGCGTTTCGGGGGCGGGCAGACGGGGTTCATCGTTGTAGTGGGGAGGAAGGGGTGTTGACTCGTTGATTGCAGGGTTAGGGATCGTGGACGAGCGGTTAGATGTGGGTACGGTGTGGGAGTGAGTAAGACAGGGGATATGGAAGGATTGTGGAAGTGTTGTGGAAGGACATGAAACGTGGATCATCGTGGTGTGTTCAGCTCTGTGTGATGGGTGGGTGTTGCGTGTGTGTAGGAGTGTGCAAGACGTGTCGAGGTCTGTCAACTGAGAACTCCAACGTTGTGTTTGTGGGTATCGCGATAATTCGGCAAAGTGCAAGTGTGCGATAATACTTGACATATACTACAAATACATATACAAACAACCAAACTATATACACTCCAATACCCAAATACTCTATATGCAATCATCTATGCAGGAGCCCATCGAGAACACTAAGAAAACGCCCATAACATCATAACCATTACATCACTATACTCACACCATCTCAAACACTCCGCTCACGGCCCGTAGACACGATGATTCCTCACATCCTGCTCCCCCGCCCTCGCCAACGCGACATTAAAGTTTCCATCCCCAAAAACAGCACCCTTACTCTGCAAAGTCCAACTCACAGTTGGTTTCGGACTCCCCGTAAACGGATTCATGCTCGTCAATATCCAACCCCTCGCGAGACCATCGTACTCCGCGCCCTTGACTGCATCGGGCACGGCGATGAGGAGCGTCTTCGAGTGTGCAAAGGGCGCGAATACGAGCGCTTTGCCGGCGTACATCTGTGCAAACGATGAATCGAAGGTCTCAGAGTATGAAGGCGCAGATATGATGAGCGGACCGTGGGTGCGTTCTGATGCGCCCGAGGCCCAGGGTATGCCGGATGCGATCAGGGTTGATACGAAGTTCAGGAGGAGACGAAGTGCGGCTTGGCCTTCGGTGAGGAGGATGTAGTTTTGGATGATGAGTTGTGGGTTCAGCAGTATCTCAGTGGTGTGTGGCTCGAATCGTGGGGTGTGTGGTTGTTGAAGTGTGGAGGACACTTCGAGCAGCCATTGCGGTCCGCATTCAAACACGCAAGCAAGCGCTTGTATGTAGATGTTCTGCATGGCGAGTGCGCGCGGATGGTTCGGTGCTTGCCAGAAGTTCCACATGGCGGAGCTTTGAACTTGGTACTGTACGCAGAGATCGATAAATACGCGAGCTCGAGCGACGTGTGATGGAAAGTGCGGATTTGGCTGTGCGCGATGCGGAATGTCGAGGAAGATGAGATCCAGTTGTGCGTACTCGGCGCGACCATCTGAAGCTTGTGTGATCTGGCCTGTGTTACGGGAGAATCGCGATGGCAGAGGTCGATTTGGGTTAACGTCCAAAGTCGATGGTCGACACAGCCAGGAAACAGATCCATCATGAAGCTGCAGTGACTTGCCGGTGGTGCAGAGTGCGACTGGATCTCGTGCCGCCAGAGCAACGAGAAGAAGTGATCGGAGACATTCATCCTCCAAGTTTGGTCTCTGGAATATGTTCGCAGGGGCAAGAGCTAAAGGCAATCCAGAAGCATTGAGGGCTATGCATGTCTTATCGCGGTTTGCGTCTAGTCTCCGTAGGTACTCTGGTAGTCTTGGGTCTCCCCCAGTTTTCATGCCGAACACCTCTGCGATCATGGGAACAAACGACGCGGGCTGAGGTGTCGAACTCTGGGGGGTGTCGGGCCTCTGTACAGCAAACGTATGCTCTCCATTTCTTGTGACTCGCCGATGGAAGAAATCCGATAGCGACTTTATCTTCGTTTGCGTCGCGGGCATGAAGGTGTTGAGTTCGCTTGATAGAACCAACATGTGCAGGAAGAACGCTCCGGTAAATCGTATGACCGTTTCAGCCTCGTCTTCGTAATATTGATAGCATGGGAGAAGAAAGATATGTTCTTGTCCCATCCTCATCTCGTGTGCACACCAGGCTCGCTCGAACCATGTCGAGCTGAGGATCCGCTCGAAGAAAGACCGTAGCGGAACAAACTGGTGCATGAATGGAGGGTTCATTCCCATGTGCGGTTGTTGATCGAATGGCAGATTTGAGCAGTTGTATTGTTCCACGTAGTATCTCAAACACTGAGTCTCCTCTGCAGTCGCAACAACATCGTCCAGCGCTATAACAACAACTCTCGCGTTGGCGTAGACAGTGTCGATGGCTCCGGCTGTCGTGGCCCGTTCGGCTTCGTTTGCTTCAATGCACACCTGGTCGAACCAAAGCCCTTCTCCAATCCTCCGCTCTTGTAAAACAGCCTGGAATATGGAGCCTCTTGTGGGCAGCGGAAATTGTTCCACCTCTTTCATCCACCCAAAAGGTAGGTCTCCCAAAGGGGTCACGACTCTTCTTGGTGTGTCTCGATTGGCTCTGTTGCAATAGCTTATGGCGATGTATCCATCCTCCTGGCCACGAAAGTCGACATCGTTGATCAGCCGAAAAGGGAAAGAGCCTCGGACATGGCTCTTGGGAATGAAGTCTTTCGCAACCGATGAAACCAGCCGTCCCAAGTCAGAGAGAAAGGTATTCGCATCGATGTCTGCCCGGGAAGATGAGGGAGTCCAGGAACGCCGATCGGATAACAAGATTTCTCTTGTTGGAGACTCAATAAGTCGTGTCTGAAGACTCGACATATCCAGATCATCGTCAATCTCCAAAAACTCGCATTGACCGACGCGAGAAAAGTAATGAGTTGGTGAAGCCATGTGTACGTACATTGTACAATAGAATGGACAGAAGAAATGAATTCGTTAGACGATGTGGCCCTCTTCCTCGGCCACCTGATGTTATACATACATACCCCTCCCGGGCACCCCTGCTACTTCTTCTTGCCCAGCATTTCACACGACACGCTTTCGCACCCATAACGTCCAAGATATGACAGGAGCGTGGCCTGCATGGGTCTTGTCACGAGGCTAGCAGCGTTAAAAACGTCTCCTCACCCGTAGTCTGTGCGTGCAGTTCGAGGGCAACACTAAGGTTGTCAACGAGAACGCCAGAACGCGGGAGGGTCAAGTGCAGAGCAAGGCGAACCGGAAGCTTGGGTATGGTCGGTTTCGCATACAAAAAAAGCACAGGCCCTTCCGCATATCTGCACAAGGGTGATCGAGATGACGTCGGGAGAAGTCGCCGGGTTGAAAAAAGGAATATGAATATGAAACATCGAACGCAATTCTGTGGCGTGCTCGAAGCGCGGTAAAACTTCTAGAAAGAAAAAAGAAGAATAGGATTCAGACATCCTTTAATTTATTGGATGGGTGCGTTGCCGGCCCTACGCATCGTAATTCGTTATGCAGCACCTTCCGCTAAGAGCAAGTTCCGGGGTATGCAAAAATAGATCCTTGATCCCACGGCTGACGGAATACATGTAACGAGTGGAGACGCCTACAGTGTATGCATGAGAGTATTTGCCCATCCCTCAGCATGATATCACTAAGCCAAGCAACGTCTCTCCAACTGTCAGACTGCGCTCGTTTCATCGAGACTGACCTTGACCCTCTTGCAAGCCTCACCAACTCTGAGATCCGCGGAACATCTCGACGATTATCCAGATAAACATCTCAATCAACCTTGGCATTAGCCAGTCGATCACTGGGGTTCGCGAGGACGTTGGACATGCGGATGTTTTGCCGTTTGTACTTGCTGTGTTTCCGAAGTCGTTTACGCGCAACCATCACCGGCACTGATGACTTGGTAACGAGGTAGTTACTGAAGGAACCGAGCAATACACTGTCACAATTAGCATGATGCAAATCCATCCCAAACAAAAGACTAACCCTTTGAGGGCGCTGCGGCCTCTCGAACCAAGGATGACGAGCGTTGGCTCAAGGAAGTCGATCTGTTGAGCATCTGTCAGCCACACATGCATCAGAGTGTCAGAGATATACCGAGAATCTTACCACTTCAGTAATCATGTGCTTGGGGCTCTTGCAGTGAAACACTTCAACGACGACTCGGGCCTGCAAGCGGGTCTTCTTGAGAAGTTTGACGACTCGATCAGACACTTCTACGGCCGCTTGGTATCTTTCCTTCTCTGCCTTGCCCATAGCACTAACATCCGCTTCGGTAGCCATTATCGAATTGGACAACGCCGAAATTCCGGGTTTCGCCGATGTAGTCGATAGACTACCATGATCGGACAGAGTCCTTTTGAGTGCGTCGGATTCCAGTCTTCCAGTAGTACCTCGACTGACGGGGAGCCCTGATGCGTCAGTTGTAGCCACACCAACTTCTTCGTCAACAGCATATACAGCCAACAAGGTATCGCCGTCTCTCAGAACCGTGCCGATAGTCCATTCAAGAGCATACGCGGCCTCATCACTAAGGTCGGTTGAAACCAAATATACACGCTGGCGTCGCAACCCTTTCTGGGCTTCATCGGCAAACTGACTATAGTCGCCCCGGATGATTTGTCGGACACATCGATGGGCCTCGGGACTTGACTGGATAGGAGATATGTTCAGAGTCAGCTGCTGCGCCGATCTGATCTCGGCGAGATGATCCTCAGTGTCCGAGTGCACGGGCGACGTGACGGTAGAACCCCCCTGGTCAAAGCTGGTATGTGGGTGAACTACGCCTGACGAAGTCCTCCTCACCATGCGCTCCCCATTAGGCCCAGTGATGTTCACAGCCGGCTGGAGCACCGACCGGGCCTTGTAGGAAGTCGCAACATCCCTGCCTGCGAACAAGTTAGATCATGATCACCAGGAGTAGTGACAGCTTTGAAAACCTACCCTCCTTCTTCGCTGCAGCCAGCAAGCTTTGTGCAGATACAATCTCTCGTCCCATTGTATCAGTGCCATCAGACTCGGCCCTGGTGCGGCGTCTACCCCTCTCCTTTCTCTTCGCGGCGTTGGCAATAGCGCCCGCATCCCATCCATCATCCCAATCTGAACTGTCGGAGTCGTCGTCACTGCTTTCCACCGCTGCGCTATCATCACCATCGTCGCCATCATCGTCGGTAGTCAAGCGCACGCCCCCGCCAGGTGCTGTGGCTTCTCCTATGAGAGGATACGAGTCTTTGCGATCCGGAACCGGGGACGGACTGCGGGCGTCTGAGGGTTTGCGATCCGTCGTCTCAATATCGCCGTCATCGTCGACATCTGTAGAAGACGTGAGGGCCAAATTTGTGCGGATAGCAGGATTCAAGGTAATCGGACGTGTACCCGGAGACACCGATCTACCAGGTCCGGGAGAGCCTGATTGTGATCTCCTGCCCAAGGAGTCGCTCATTGAATTGTGACGGTTTTTGCTCGACGATGGATTCAGAAAGCCTGTCTGATTGCCGTACACAGACGACATGGCACGGGGCTTAGGGGTGAAGTCCTGCTTGCCACCTTGGGAGGCTCGTTTCGGCATGGTCTTGGCTTCGATGGAGGGCATCATGTCGAACTTGAAGGCTGTTTCGGGATTTACCCTGCGCGGGGACGACGGCATGCTGAAGGGGATACCAGTGCTGCCTCTACTAGAGCTGCGGCGCTGGCCCAAATGGTCGGCATCGAGCAGGCCGCGTATGGGCGAAGCAGGGCTTCCTGCGCGCGCGCTAACGTGTGGGCTCTCAAGACGACGGCCTCGGCTCTTGTTCCTCCTGTCTGGTACGCCCCGGACCTCCTTCATCTCCTCGTCAATCGCAGCTTCGAGTGACGCCATAGCTTCAGTGCCTATGGAACCAAGGTAGAGGAGGCCGACGTTGTGGTAATCGCGTGGTTGAACGTGCGTGAGGCGTGTTTGGGGTGTGGTTGTTTTCGCGAAACGTGAGGTAGCTGGATGCGGTCGTGGTCGCGGGGTAGCTTGGGTGGGGTAGCTGGAGACTGAATTTAGCGTTTGTCCCTATCGCATCAGAGGCCCAGCTAGCTGTCGCGTGGAAGAGTTTGTCAACGTCTGCCACTGGTTGTGTAATGAGCGCTTGACGTAAGATTGTCTATCGATGCCAGCGGTGTGGTTGAGAACCGAAAGTCGGTGATTGAAAGCGGTGGCGGGCCGAACCGTAAGTGTAAGCCGCCGATAAAGAAGAATGGCACCTAACCGCTGTCGGAGAAGAGGTTGTTCCCGAGTAAGTTTATGGAGGCGGACGACATGTGGGAGGAAGCCGGAAGAGAGCGAGACAAGTAGGTAGCCCAGGATCAGTAAGCGCAGTGTGGTGCATTGTCAGTGCTCCGGTCCAGGCGATCACGGAGGGATGCCACTGACGAGGCAAGAGCGTCCTTGGCCCTTGGCACATCAAGTCCACGACGTAGAGTTTTGTGTAATACGTCTACCGCTAGCTAGGGTTAAAGCCAATCAACCCTGCGACGTGACATCGAAGCCAACATTGCTCAGTACTGTAGTGAACCCGTTGCGCAAAACTGTAGGTACGGTAGCAAGGTTCGCGTCCTTGTGTATAGGTTCACAGCTCGCGAAAAGATTGACACATCTCTACATTGAGTGACGTCGCAAACTAGTTTTCACATGACAGTACCAACGGCGACTGGGGCAGCTAGTGAAGTGGCTGTGTAGGATCCGCTGTGGAGCTCTCCACACTCGCGATTCTCGCCAATGCACAACAACAGGGAAGGCGTTTCGAGGTAGACAAGTCAATGGCACAAAACATGCCTAAGAAGGCGACTTTGCGTCACAGTAGTATACATGCATTTTTTTTTACACTGGTTGTTACTTCGCCTGCCCAACTGCTTCTACCTCTTCCTGGGCAGAATAATGTTTGCTCGAGCAGCAACACCCAGCTTGTGGATAGCATTGCGCCTGTCCCAAATGCCGCTTCGCCCCTCGACTACAGCAACAAGTTCTTGTGCAATCCGCTGTCCGAAGTTGTTCTTTCCACTGCCCATATTCCTCCTCTTTGATGCGGCACCCATGATCCATTCAACTGCCGCTCGCCGACGCTGCCTCTGTCCCAGAGGAACGGGGATTTGCAGCGCAACACCACCACCAGCCGCACCCCTCTGGCTACGGATACGCATGAGAGGAGCAACAGAATCGATGGCGAGGGTGAGGTATAGAATAGGATTAAGAGGAAGGTGAGACGGTGGAGGCGCGCCAGGAAGTAGAGGCTTTGCGGGGTTGATGGTTGGGATGGGCGATGTTCGTAGATGTTGCAAGATTGTCGCCATGTTCTGCCATATCAAGTCAGTCTTTCGAGCTCTTATTGCCGAACGGCGCAACGTACTCGCTGGGCCACACTCTTCTTACCGTGTCGCATGAGCAAGTTAGTGACCTGCTCCACGACCGGATCGTACCGGTGCTTTACATGACCATCTTTCGGAAGGGGAAGAGTCGGCATGTCGAATTTCAGGCCTGGTGTCTCTGCCAATTTGGACGCAGCCTCCAAGTCAACAAGACCCATATCCAATCCACCGTTTCCGCTAGTCTGTGTCGTCATCGTTGAGTATGAGCGTGAGCCCTTTGGCGGCGAGCCTGAAGCTTTCGCTTTGATCGCATCCTGCATCACTTTTGGAAGGTTCTCCTGCGCTGCTTTGTCTCCCTTGACGACCTGGCAAACATTGGTTCACAGTTCTGTAAAGTGTGTGATGGACAATCTCACCTCCTCAATGGGCGTGCCTCGACTCAGATCAGGGCCCTCCTCGCCCTTGATCTCCGCTATCTTCGCTGCTTCCTGGGAGACATGTTCAATTGGTTGAGCATCAGCTCGGTTCGATCGGTCGGCGGATGGGCCATCTTTCGACTCAGAGTAGAGGCGATATTGCGACGGCGCCAGACGCATCGTTGAGCGGGCAGACCATTGTGTCTGAGGCTTCGTCCTGAAGGCGATTGATCGTGCGAAAGTCGTGATAGGTACTCGTGGAGGCATGGTGGTGCGTTATGAAATTGTTGATTGTCTTCGTGTGTTCCAAAATCATGACGAGAATTGGGCGAGATCGGCGCTAAGTGGCACGTGCCTGAACTTCACCTACTTACATCGGTAAATGTTTATTTCACGAGACTTATGACTGGGCTTTGAAAGGTTATCGAATGTTTCGATGAGCATTTACTGTCAGGCTTGTTAAATGATGAACGATTTTGATCCCTACGCGGACGACGAACTCTGGTTCACAGACGTAGCAAGGCTCATCTGACCATATATACTGGAACAATCTTCCAAAACTCTTCATACACTCGATTGAACCCACTTAACTGAGTATACTCAAGCGGAGACAATACAATGGGATCTTTTACCGAGTTTAGACGCAGCCTGTCATAACCTGCAGATCACAGGACAGGCGGCATTCGTCCATTGGTGATTGCAAGCAAGGAGCAGCAAAGGATGTGGAGAGATACAGAATAGACGCGTGTGCAATGGTCCAATTCCAGAGCAGTCAAGGTTGTACAGAACGCGGAGTTTCCGGTGAAGAGACGATATGCCGAGCTGGGCTAAAGGTTCTCGAATGGGATTTGCTGTTGCTCTTGCGGGGAACCGCCCCATGACGCATGGCGTTTGAGGTGTGGTGGAATTCGTGAAGCGACATAGCCACGGGAAGGCATAGAACACACCACTTGGCTGTTGCGAGCTGCGAACTCAAAAGTGATGGAAAGTGCCATTGTTTATGACTGCCCCACAACTCACCGCTCCTCCCACGCGAACCCTTGCCAAACGTGACAACGCGTTCAGGCGCTTAGGCAGCTAAAACCCATCTTCCCCACTACTTGTTCTCATCACACTTACACCTCACACCACATAACCCGACTTCGTTATATTGTATTTTGCAGCAGTTATTGTTACAACCTCACATCGTTTTCATTAGTTTGACGGTCATTACGACCTTGCGGACGAGACCTGGTTGCTGTCTCGATTCAAAGGTGAGTGGTCTCATTGTCTCTAGACGACGTTGGACGCACGATTCGTCCGCCGGCCTATGCTTTACTGCTTCCACTCGTATCGTCGAGACGTCTTGCATCGATGTTTCTAGCATTTGGAACTGTTTGGCCTGGATCAAGTCTCTTTGTTACGTGTTTGCTTTGGAAGCAGTCGTTGGTTTGCTACGCTTCTTAAAGTGCAGCACAGATGCAGTGTTCTTTCTCCTGCCTATCATCACACTACAAGAACCGATCGATACAATTTTGGACCAAGGCTAAACAATCTCCAGCTCAACGTCCCACCTAAACAGCAGCAACCACATCGATCAGCTCATCGGTCGAAACATACATGGCGGACCGTGGACGAGGTAGAGGAGGTGGCGGTGCCCCACGGGGAGACTTCCGTGGTCGTGGAAGAGGTGACGGCGGCAACTTTGGAGGTGGTCGAGGAAGAGGAGGCGGCGATGGAGGCTACGATGGCGGTGGAAGAGGAGGAGGAAGAGGCGGGTTTGATGGCGGTGATCGAGGTGGCCGTGGTGGCTTCCGAGGTGGTGGAAGAGGCGACTTCCGCGGTGACTTCCGTGGCGGTGGAGGTGGATTCCGTGGTGGTCGAGGTGGCTTCGAAGGTCCCAAGGTGTTCAGGTACGTTTGCTCAGGATGTCCCCATCACTCTGCTCGCTAACTCTCGCAGTACCGGCACAATCTCTCAGCCTGACGCCGAGGTCACGAAACTTGAGAATACCATGATCAGCAGTAGCCTGTCTACGGCTCTCGCGACCACTTCCTTGGGAGTGGCGTTCCCAAAACGCCCTGGTTATGGTACAGCCGGCCGTGCAATCGTATTGTTTACGAACTACTTCGAGGTGAAGGGTGTCAATGCTGATACTGTCTTGTATCGGTATTCGCTTGCCTTTCAACCCGATAACGAGATTCCGAAGGGAAAGAAGCGTCGTTTGGTCGAGATCCTTTTGAAGACCGAGCCGTTTGCTGGGCTTCCTGTCGCTACCGACTGGGCGCAGATACTGATTTCGCCGAAAAAGATTCCACTGAAAGCGCAACGCACCGAGCATTCGCTTGAATGGTACCCTGCTGACGGAACTCCTCATCCACCTCCAGCTGCAGGTGAAGCAGCTAACATCACGGCATCTCGTCAAAGGAACACCCACCAAGCTCTCATTGAAGAGTTGGGCACTGTATCCCTCAACGATCTCTTGAGGGACGTTTCCCAGCCAGCGAACGTCTATCCCTTGAAGCTGGAAACTATCCAGGCTCTGAACGTGCTTATGACTTACGCACCTAGCAGCGACCCGAATCATACGACTGCTGCCGGTAACAAGTTCTATCCATTTGCAGGACCACAACTCCAGATCCATGATCTAGGGGGCGGATTACAAGCGCTTCGCGGGTACTTCTCGAGCGTTCGCACTAGTGTGAATCGAATCCTCGTGAATGTCAACGTTGCCACCGGCGCATTCTACAGGTCTGGACCGCTTCTCGATGCGATGAGGGAGTTCACTGGTGGCTCTCCGCCGGCAAACGAACCGCAACAGCGGAAGGTGTCTGCCTTCTTTCGCAAGCTTAGAATTGAGACCAATTATCTCCCTGATAAAGACAATAAGGGCAAGACCAAGCTGGACAAGAACAATCGACCCATGACCAAGCGTAAAGTCCACACGATTTTCGATTTCTCTCCACACGGAAAACACGCCGAAAACACTACGTTCATGGAGACAGGGGCTAATGGCGCAGTGACTCAAGTCTCTGTAGTGCAATACTTCCAACGAAAGTACGGCATACGACTAAAGTTTCCGCAGGCGCCATTGGTCAACTATGGCTCGAAGGAGGACAAGAAGTGGATCCCAGCTGAGTTGTGTACCATCTTGCCTGGCCAGCTAGCGAAACGTATGTTGCTTGGGCCGCAGACGAGTGAAATGATCAGGTTTGCCGCTCGTCGGCCCCATGAGAACGCCGAGTCTATCATGGGAAATGGTCTCCAGGTCACCAAGATCAACCCGATAGCAAACGGTTTGAACACTCACTTGACTCCCTTCGGAATCAAGGTCAATCCCAATTTGCTTACGGTTCCGGGCCGGATTCTGCCTCCTCCACGTCTTCAGTACAGGGCGCAGTCGACCTGCAACCCGAGAAATGGCGCGTGGAATCTCGATCCTCGCCAGCTTGGACAGAAGCCCTTCCGCGTTGCAAAGACACTGGGTCCCTGGAACACGCTCGTCATCAACTCCGGTAATCGCGACACCATTTTTGGAGGTATGCAGGCGGTCGTGCAACACCTGAACCAGTTCAGACAGGCTTTGGACGTTTACGGGTTGAGTCCTGGCCCAGTGCAGGAGCCCGTTGCAATCAACGTTGCTTTCAATGATTTGCAGAACAAGAACGTTGCGAAGATCCAAAACGAGATTGCCGTCGCGCTCCGAACCAAGTTCAGGGCGAAGCCAAACTTCCTTTTCGTGATCTTGCCCAGCGATAATGCCGTTCTGTATGACTGCATCAAGCATGTCTGCGACGTTCAACTTGGTGTTCCCAATATTTGCAATATCGGCAGCAAGTTTTCGAAAGAAAAAGGCCAACAGCAATACTTTGCAAACGTTGCCATGAAGTTTAACCAGAAACTTGGAGGCGTCAACCACACTGTTGAGTTTAAAGCACCTCTTGATGCGCAGACAATCCTGTTTGGCATCGACGTCACGCATCCGTCACCGGGAAGCGCAGACTCTTCGCCGAGTATTGCTGGCGTAGTTGCTTCGGTCGACGCTGTTTTCTCGCAATACCCTGCGAGTATGCGAGTGCAAGAGGGTCGCAAAGAGATGGTCACTGAACTTCAGGAGATGGTCGAGGAGCGCCTGAAGTTGTGGAGGGATCGAAACAAGAAATTGCCTACCAAGGTCATCGTCTATCGTGACGGTGTTTCCGAGGGTCAGTACAAGATTGTTCTTGAACAAGAGTACCCTGCATTCAAGAAGGCCTTCGACAAGTTGTACGGTGCCGAAAGCAAGCACCCAAAGATATCGATCATCGTTGTCGGCAAGCGCCACCACACGCGCTTCTACCCAACGAAAGAAGAAGATACCGATGGGAAGACGGGCAACCCACAGCCTGGTACTATCGTCGACCGAGGTGTAACGGGCGAGAAGTTGTTCGACTTCTTCCTGCTCGCTCACCAGGGTCTCCAGGGCACGTCGAAGCCTGCCCACTACGTCGTACTCAAGGACGATAACAAGCTGGGAGCCGACCAGCTTCAGCAACTGACGCACAGCCTTTGCTACACGTTTGCTCGTGCCACTCGATCCGTCAGCATCTGCCCTCCCGCCTATTACGCCGACTTGCTCTGCGAGCGCGGCCGGTGCTACCTCCAGGGCGTACTCAAGGGTGAGGGCGCTGTGACGATGGATGCCAGCCAGTGGCAGGGGGGCGTGCACGCTGCTCTGAAAGACACGATGTTCTACCTCTAGGTACAATCACTCACCCGTCGCCCTCGCGCCTACCGACTTATCTTCACGATAACATTAACATATTTAACGAACTTTTCAACTCTACCAGTTGAACTCACTGAGCCATTCAGCAACTTCAAGTTGTGTAAATCACCATCAAACATTCTTTTAGGAGTAGGTTGATGGAGAGTCAACCAGCGTCTTACTTCGTCTGAAGTGAGTGTTGGCTGACTCACGAGCAAGCACGACGACCTGCACGTCATCGTTTGGTCCTGTTATGGGACGCAGATTCAGCGATCTGGCTCGATTTCCTATCTTGGTTGCTACACATTATTTTCTTTCTTGCACACCGACACATACACTCGTTGCACATTTCTCACGCCTGATTGCTTAGCTTGGGCGGTTTTTGCACTTTCCCGTTTGGGTTTGCAGAGATAGCTGGAAGCGTTCAATCATGGACTATTCTTCATTGGTTTCTACCGTTTTCGCACATTCTTTCAGGTAGTACCGCAATTGTTTCTGTCTGGGTTTAGGTAGCTGCGTATTTAATCAAGTCACTCGTTTGAATTTGTGCACGATGAATGAAGGGCCAGTGACTTGTGAGCCTCGTGACCTAGGGCATTGGTTAGGGCTGGTCGCATTGATCCGACTGCAGCATGCTGGTCGCGATAAGTACTTTCGCCACCGCGCTAGTGCAATCGCTGGCCAATGAGAGCGCGGACCCTTGGGACGCAGTGCGTGATGCATCGCGCCGTGTTGCGCAAGGCCGTGGCAGCAGATGAGGAAGGGCCGAAAGCATCGATCTGACGGCTGAATGCGACTCCATGTGTGTCTTGGTTCAGTGCGTGGGAATGGTTCAGGGCAGCAGTAGAAAACGTGGGCGCGGTGATGGAGGGAGGGAATGGGGTGAAACGATACCCCGCTTCTCACCGCCTGGGCCGGGAGACGTCAGTGGCCAATGGCTGGTGCGAGCCAGCCCCCTCTGTTTCGCGCATGTCAATCCCTGGCTACTGGCTCGCCGCACGCCAGGCAGGTCATGGCCCGCCCCGCGCTGGCACTGGCCTTGCTCTGCCATGGCAGGCTATGGCGCGGGTTAGCCTATCGTGAACGGGCGCGAATACTGGGCCTCTTGCCCTCTGTCTACGCCATTATCGCTCTCTCTCCACAATTCACGACTAGCCACTATCGCTGGAGACCAACGTCACGAGGCCGTTCCATGCGCAGCGCTCAAGTAGACTGCCCGCGCACCGTTGCACCCCGACTGCTACCCCGACTGCCACCACGCCCGCAACCCACCCGCCGAACCAAAGTCCCCGCCAACTACCCCGAGCACGCCCACCCCGAACACGCCCACCACCCGCCGCCGATCGCGCACCCGACATGATGGACACTATGGATCGCGGGAGCATCTACGACCACGACATACCCTCGCTGAGCGCATCGCTCGAGGCCTTCGACCCCGAGCGCAGCATGCACTCGGCGTACAGCGGCCGCTCCGCCATGCACTCGTCGCGCTGGAGCATCCCACAGGAGGCCGACGAGTCCGAGGCAGAGTCGGACGGGCCGTGGGCGCCGCCCGCCTGGCAAAAGTCAAACAGCCACTGGTACCGCAAGTCGCTGCTGAGCGAGAGCCGCCGCCGCTCCAGCACCTCGCGCTCGCCCTTTGAGTACCGCGCCGACCGCGAAGTCACGCCGTCGCGCATACCCCTCCCCGAGTCGCCGCGCAGGATGACGCCGCGCACCAGCCCAGAGCCCATCCCCGAGTACGAGCACAGGTATGTTTCAGACAACATCGCCTCGCGCATGCAGAGCCCGTGCGACGAGCGCCAGCCAGACGCGGGTGCCCAGCCCGACGACGAGACGCTGCTGTCGCCCGACGACGAGGCGAGCAATCTGGACGGATGTACGTAGCGTTGCTTTGTGCGCGCGGTACCAGTACTGACAGACGTAGTCGTCCGGTTCGCGATCAGAGGAGAGACGCTGTTCCGGACTGCGCCCATTGAAGAGACGCTGACGTCTGTCGCGAACGGTTTGCACATGTTCACGCGATCGAGGGCTAACGTCTTGTGCACCCTCACTGCCCTGTTCTTCTCCTGGCTCCTGCTGCAGCCATGGACCGCCAGCTTGATCCCAGACGTCGCAAACGTCGCGGGCATGGCCAAGCAGTTTGAGCCGCTCATGTATGCGTCCGAGAACGTCATACCGCGGTCGCGCGAGCTTGCAGAGGCCAGTATTGCAGTGCAGGACCTCGGCGAGAGCGTGCGCGCGACCAACATGTCGGCCTCGACGGTCATCATAGACCAGCTGGACGATCTGGGCGACAGTCTCAAGATCCTGTCAGAGAAGATTACGAGCTTTTTCACAAACGTTGACGGAGACATGGACTCGTACGTATTCTCACATCCGCGTTGAGCGCATCGACTGACCAGCCCAGCATCCTCATAACCATGGAATGGGCCAAACGCGAACTCCAAAGCATCAGAGGCCCCAAAGTCGGCATGATCGACAACGTAATCGGTAACATCCACGGCGGCCTCAGCAAAGTCGGCCTCCTCGAGCGCAACGGCTCGCCCACAACCATCGGCCGCGTCGTCAACGACGTACTCGGCCACACCACCCAGCAGCGCTCCAAAGCAACCCTCCAACGCACATTCGACTACCTCCTCTCGACGCTGGAAGAAAACATCGCAAACGAGCTCTCCCGCGCAGACACGCTCTTCCAACTCTTCGAAAGCGTCGACCGCCAATTCCAAAACCTACACCGCTCCGTCGCAAAAGAAGAAGACAGCCTCGCGACGAAAAAAGACGAATTCCTCGCTAGCATGTGGCGCATGACCATCAACAATAAAATGAAGATCAAGAAATACGAGAAGAACCTCAAGCTGCTGAAAGATGTGCGCGCGTCGACACTGACGAATAAGTCCGAGCTCAAGAGCCATATTCAGATCATTCATTCGGTGAAGGATCAGCTGGATAAGGCGAGGAAAAATCTCATCTCCCCGCTTATCAGGCGCGCGCAGAGTAATAGCTTTGGGTTGGAGTCCCAGCTGCAGGATCTTAGTGGGACGTATGGGTTTCTCAAGGGATTGAGGGAGACGCAGAAACATAAGGTGCTGCAGCAGCTTTGGGGGGAGCCGAAGAGGCGCGTGGCTATTACGGCGGGGGCGGGTAGGGAGGAGGATAATGAGGATGAGTATTGAGGGGGGTGTACTCTTCTGATGTTTCTTGTCTTGACTTCTTGCGACTTGCTTTTTGAGCGTTGCGTCTTGTCTTGTCTGGATTTCTGCATAGCGCTTGCGACTGCCGATTGGATAGACAAATGTGCGTTGTGTTTGTTGTGCGCTTTTTCTTGCTGGAGGCGTTCGGCGCGGATGGAATGGAATGGAATGGAATTGGTGGGTCGGTCGGGTATGCATGGTCATGGTTTGAGGCTTCGACTACCACGGGCGCAACTGCAGGCGTTCTCTTGGTTTGGGTTGTCGCTGAGCTACGGCATGGGCATGGTATCGCATGGGGGGGTTGTGAGCGTATATGGCGTGTGGAGTTTTGGGCGTTTCCATTGTCTTGTGTAGCTTTCTTTCCTTGTAGGTATTGATTCGCAGTAGTTAGTAAGTTTAACTGTCAATTCACCACTTTATATTCATTTCGTTCGATTATATGCCATGTCAGCCTTAATACTTTGACTTCCACTCCACCCCCTCTTATATATTCACAAAACGCCCATCCTCAACATCTTATTCCCGAACTCCAAAAGATAGTAATCCGCATACACCAACCCATGGTCCTTATACTTGACATGCGCATCCGCATTCCAATTCGCCGTCGAATGCCGTAGAATAGCATCGAACCCGCTTTCTCTCACGCTGACCTGCTCGTCCGGACTCCTGTTTCCATTCACCACATCCTTCCCCAGCGGTGCCGTCGCGAAAGACGCTAAATCCGAATCATACGCCATCTCCAGCGTCTGGCCCACAATCCGCACCGCAGTGTCCAGGAAATCCATATCACTCTCGCCCACGATCTGCGCCGCGCTCTCCGACGGAAGGGCCTGCAGCGCCCGATGCACAAGCAGCAACCCATTCGCCGCAATCAAACCCGCAGACACATCGCGCAGCACACCCCCCTCCTCTCGCGGGGCGTCAAAATCCCACCTCGGAACAAGCGGATACGTCCACTTCCCCTCGCCCTCGCGCGCGCGGCGCAGGAAGTACTGCGCGCAATCCACCGCCGTAGCGAGGTACTTCCCATCCTTCGTCCAGGCATAAACCTGCGCGAAGCCGAGGATACACCACGCCTGGCCTCTACTCCACGTCGAGTCGTCATCCCAGCCCTGGTTCGTGAGTTTCGCCTGCGGACGCCCCGTAGCGGGATCGAAGTTGACGAGGTGGAACGTCGAGTGATCGGGGCGGATGATAGCTTGCATAACCGTGTCAGCATGGCGCGTCGCAAGAGCAGCGAGCGCGGGATCGCCAACATGGTGCGCGACGTAGTACAGGAGGTCGAGATTACACATGCTGTCTACGATGACGAGGAAATTCCTCCCCATATCCGTCAGTGCGTAGCGGTTGTTAACCGCAACATCCCAGCTGCGTATCGCGCCTACGCGCTCGTCCCAGCGCGATGAAAGCGCATATGCTGCGTCGACGACGCAGGCTAGACTCGCCGCGTTGCCGGTTAGCTCCCAGTCGGACTGCAGCGCGGGCTGTACTATGAAACCCATGTCGTGGGTATCGGTGCGGCGCGACATGTGCGCGATGGCGACGCTCCAGTGGCGGCCGAGGGCGAGGAGCTGCGCGCTGAGCTGCGGGCGGAGGGATGTTGGGATGCGGAGGGCTTGGGGGTAGCGGGTTGCGCGCTCGAGGAGGGCGTAGATGCTGCCGGGGAAGAAACCGCAGGTCCAGAAGTCGGCTTCGCGCTCTTCGTATGTGCCTGCGTTTGGGCCTGTTTGGGGGACTGTGTGGGGGTAGGTTTTGAGGGGGGCCTGGGGGTGTTGGGTGAGCTGCTGTTGTTGGGAGATTGACTGGAGGTGGATGGTTGGGGGCGGCGTACTGGGTTTTTCATGCCTCTTTGGGCTACTTGGAGGATTTTTGCGGCGACATTTTCGGAGAAGATCTCGCTGATGTCTATGCCTTTGACACTGCGGTGGCGGGTGGTCAGCTTTGTATTTGTTGGGGAGATTGGGGGTTTTGTACATTGCTGGTTGGTTCATGCTCTTCTTCTGTGCTGGAGCGTTTGCCATCTTGAATTTCTCAAGTGTAGAAGGTTAGATGTGGTGTTGTTCAATGCAATCCAAGATCTCAAGACCAAGTCAAAAAGACCAAGTTTGGACAAAACGAAAAGTACCGGTCCAAAGGCCAAGAAATCCATCCTTGCCAAATACATACCACTACCTTGCAAGCAGTCGAGCATACCGCAAGCGCGCCATGAGATAATGGTACAGTTCACGAGCAAGTGAGGTGGTTCAACACGGGATCGGCAATGCTCCGCTGCCCGCCACCCGCATGCAGCCCGACAAGTCCTGCCTCGAAAAAAAAACGGCCGACATTACTCGGCAGAAATCGTGCCGAAAATTAATCAACCTGCATGCGCCTAATTCCGTAACCTCACACACACGCAATGAGTGCATGGCTCAGCTACTGTTCGAGTAAAGCTTCCGGACTCAAGAAGATGACGTGTGACGATCGTGCGAGGAAATTGCCCTTCATGGAAAGATGCTCGTATTTTGAAACCATCGGAAGATCTTCACTGGGTTCTCCGCGATATGAGTATAGTGTCCGTGGAAGAACTGCGTAGAGTGGATGTCGTCGGTTGAACATCATTGAGCAAGTCGCGTTTGAATGCCAGGAATGATGGACAGTGTATAAAGTGCAATCATACACCGAGCGTCGAAGTTTTTTTACATCCCTTTGTTGATACGCAACCATGTTGTTCGACTGCCTTGTCCCAGGGCTCCTTCTGAGCTCTTTGGCGTTAGCTTTTCCGTCGCCCAAACCCAGACAAGCCGCCTCAGTGCTTCCCCTATCGACGAAAGGGCGAGATATCGTCGATGCCAACGGCGATGTTTTCCACTACGTTTCGAGTAACTGGCCCGGTCATCAAGAGATCATGATTCCCGAGGGTCTTCAGCACTCCTCGGTGAAGGACATCGTATCTTGGTTCCCAAAACTTGGCCTCAACTCCGTCCGGTTGACGTTTGCCATCGAGATGGTCGATGACTACTACAGCAACAGCACAAACCAGAGTCTTGAGAAGAGCGTAATCAACGCCCTGGGGCAAACGAATGGAACGATTGTGCTCGATCAAATCCTGTCGAACAACCCACAGTTCACCAAGGAGACGACGAGGTTGGAGGTTTTTGACGATGTTGCTAAAGAACTCGCCAGTCAGGGGGTGATCCTCCACTTAGATAACCACGTGAGCAAGGCATTCTGGTGCTGCGGAGATGACGACGGGAATGGCTGGTTCGGCGAGAAGTACTTCGATGTTGAGAACTGGAAGCGAGGTCTGGCGTTTATGGCGAAGCACGTAAGTGTTCCCTGAAAACTCAGTCGAGGCTGGAAAGGCTGACAATCCACAGGCAAAAGAGAACTGGGGGTCGTTTTCATCCATCGGCCTGCGCAACGAGTTGCGGAGTGCGAAGAGTGCTGAACCTGTTGACTGGTATACGTGGTACGTCCACATGACGGCTGCTGCAGATGCAGTTCACGAAGCGAATTCCGATGCTCTGATCTTCTTCTCTGGGATGTCGTACGATATCTACATTGATCCGATCCCCCTTGGCAAGACCTTGAACGGCACTGCTGGAACGTCAACAGCCAACAAGACTGCCAAATTCGTCCCCGACGACTTCGCTTTCAAGAACAAGATTGTACTTGAGATCCACAAATACGATTTCGAAAACACGCAGGACGACTGCGCAACCTTCATCAGCAAGTGGTACCAGCAAGGGTTTCAATCAGTTAACCCGGACGACCCGGCCACGAAATACCTCTTCCCCATGGTGATTTCGGAATGGGGGTTCATTCAAAACGGAGTTTACTGGAACCAGACGACGTACGCAGAGTGTTTGATTGAGATGGTCGACAAATATCAGGTTGGCTGGCAGCATTGGGACCTTGCTGGTAGCTATTACTTGCAGACACGACCGGGTAGGACGCCAGAGACGATTCAGGCGATGGACGAGTCTTGGGGTTTGTTGAACTACGATTGGACGGCTATCCGCTCCCCGGTTACTCTTGAGAACAGCTTGTACAAGATGATCGACGTGTTGAAATGAGCGGTTGCATGAGAGACACTTAATGCGAGTGCGGTTTCCTGCTGAAGTATGGTAACTTATATCAATTGAGGACTGGTAGATATGTCCTATCGGCGGATGTGGAGGTACAACGCCCTAGGAGGTGCAAGATAAAGCATAGTCTGTACTTCAACCAAGAAGTTGTATCAGTAATACATAAATGATCCGTTACCATCAGACTTGCAAACCAGAGATTTGTGAACCGTACAACATGTTGAGAAGTGAGCAGGACTCCAAGTCGCGGTACAGGAGCTGTCCAACGCGACGCGTCCCAGCTTCAGCCAGATAGAACAGCTGGCATTGATAGAATGCAAAGCGGTTGTCCGAATAGAGTTCTGCGATGAAACACCAGCCGTGGACGCGACGAGATGACGAAGAAGTGCGGCAGGCTAGATCTCCAGGAGCACGCTAGTCACTGGCGTGTTCTTCACGTGTGCGTCACTTCCACCAGCCACCACCATGCGTCAATCGTTACAACGAAACTCGTACTGTTGTATCACACGACCGTGCTTCGTAACGTTATGTACAACACTCTGCAGGCTATATTGACCAGCGAATCCAGCCCAAATCTCAGTCAATACTAGACCTCGGCACGACCTTTTGGAAGCTTCCAAGGTCAAAGTCTTGCCGTTGATCCCGTCATGCCGCTAACCCTATCTTTTCTGCTGTGGTATCTTTCACGTCCATCGCTCATTAGGGAAATGCGTCTTAAATGTAACTTTAGCTGATGTATAGAAATATCACTATTTGATCTGTCTAGAGTGGAGTATAGGTCATGCTTCAAAAGAGGCCATGGTACGCGAGAGGAGGCTATTCGGGCACCGGGACATCTCTACCCAGATCGTTCACTCGTGCAGGATTTACCCCAGATAATCGCCCCGCACAGAACCAGCCCAAAATCGGAATACCCCGATGCCCGCGCTCTCAGCGATTCCAGCGATTCCATCACTTACCCGTCTTGATATTGAAGGATCGATGACTTACATACTGAGGCGTTGATCATAAGCAGACATTCTCTTTAACCACGAGAACTTTCATTTAATTACATTTACCTCTTTGCCGGACCTGAACCGCGGGTGAACACTAATGGCGACGGCCACACAACCCAGAGACGAGACTTCCGGCGTTGAAGCCAGAGCTGGGGAGTTCGATACTACTTACATAGCGCCTGCGGATGCTCCGAAGCGCTCGCCGTGGAAAGCATGGATGTACCTTTGGGAATGGTATCCAAAACACTATTCGGTTGAAGAGCGGAAGCTATTGAAAAAGATGGATGCGTGTTTACTCAGCTTTTGCTCATTCATGTGTGAGTACATTCTCGAGTCATTGCAGGTCAGCAGAAGGGGGAAATATGGTTCCTGTTTGGAATACAGGCCATGTTCCACTGTCTGAGTTCGAGAATCTATACTTCACTATTTCTGTCTTATAAAACACGTTCTTGTCGGGTTGAAGAGTTTACGAACTGACACCTTCAGTCTTCCTCAAATGGCTCGATTCATCCAACATCAACAATGCCTATGTTTCCGGGATGAAAGAAGAACTCAAGCTCAACGGCAACCAGTACTCACTCTTTGGAACCTTTTACAACTTGGGATATCTCGTTTTCCAGATTCCCTCCCTTCTTCTGCTCTCTCGACCGAAGATTGCCAAATACTACTTGCCAACGATGGAGGTCTTGTGGTCGATCGTTACCTTTACTCAGTCGCAAATGCGAAACGAGCGCGACATCTATGGCACTAGGTTTCTGCTTGGTATACTGGAGACCCCGGTTGCGTCCGGTACTACGTATGTGCTGGGCTCGTGGTACAGGCCTGAGGAGGTGTTTAAGCGCACCGGTGTGTGGTACATATCGAACAACATTGCGGTCATGTTTGGTGGTTATCTTCAGTCTGCTGCATACAAAAATCTCAATGGGTAAGCATTCCTCCATGGCTACCACAACTTCTTAAGACGGTTCATCACACCTATCATGACCTACACCTGACTGATTGTCCTGTTTGTACGAGACTCACTAACGCAACAACAGTGTTGGAGGAATGGCTGGCTGGCGTTGGCTGTTTCTGATCGATGGAGTCATCAGTCTCCCCATCGCTTTTGCTGGATTCTTCATCTTCCCCGGTCTACCAAGCAGCGCGAAGCCTTGGTGGTTGACACCTGCGCAGCACCAGCTCGCAAAGCAACGAATGCTGCACGCCGGCATCGCCCCGAGTCAAAAGCTCAGTTGGAGCATAGTCAAGCGCACGCTTCGACGATGGGAGTTCTACACGGGCGTTCTGGCTTATACTTTGTAAGATTCTGACTTCCGTGTACCCACGAGTTAATCTAATATGCATGCAGTTTCCTCTCGTCTTCTTACCCCCACGGCCAAATGGCTATCTGGCTCAAGGATCTGGCAGCGAAGCACCCCGGCGCCTACACCATTCCGCAAATCAACAACATTCCGACTGGTGCACAAGCTGTGTCTGTCGTGACCGCTCTACTGGCCACTTCACTGTGCATGATCTACCCGCTATGGTCGATCTTCTCAATCGTCCAAACCATCTACTTGTTCGCCAACGTTTGTCTACTCATATGGGTCATTCCCAAAGGTCTTCACTGTATGCTACTCCACCCGCAACCTTCAAACACCACAAATCTAACACATGAAAAGTCGCATGCTATTACCTCCTCGGAGTGTCTGCCGCCATCACACCCATCCTCATGCCCTTCATCAACATGGCCATGCGTGACGACTCCGAAGCACGCGCCATTACCGTCGGAGCGATGCTCACTGCTGGCTGGGCTGTCTTCTCGTTCTATCCCATCACCGTGTTTCCTATTGTTGAAGGCCCGCGCTGGACCAAAGGGTATTCTGTCAATATCGCGTTTATATTCGGGTGCTGGGCTACCTTTTTAGTTTCGCAATACATGTATTTGAAGAGTGAAAGGAGGAAGCAGGGGCAGATGATTGGGGCTGTTGCGAAGGATGAGGAGGATGGTGCGGGGTCGGATATCGATCGTAAGCATGCGAGTGAAGTTAGAGAGATTGTGGAGGAGAGGACGTAGAAGAGTGCTTTTTCAATGTTGTATGGTAGTAGTTACTACCATTATGTCATCAGCAAACAACGATGTAGTCTCATTTCTAGTAATGGCTGAACTTCGCTTGACTGTTCTGACAATTTATACGTCGAAATAACTTAAGCCATCAAAGCGACACGTCTGGCTAATTCATGAATGTTGTGAGGGCGTCAACAACTGGTAAGTATATTATACTCTCACAAGGTACCACAGTACACATTGACTTGTATGATAATTTCATATCTTGTCGCGTAGTGACAACGTTGACACTCTAGAAAGATGAAACCGCGCCTGCCAGGGTCCACCACCAAGCCCAAAGCACCCTAGCTCCCAAACGGACCAACTGTCCTTCCGTCGACACTTCCGACAGCTGTACATCTCTCCGGCCCACCACCTTGGCCAACTCGCGAGCGTCACACACCCAATCGCCATGGACCGGTTACTGCGACTGCTGCACTGCCTCCTCCTGGTGGTCATCCCGCTCGCGGCGGCCCTGAAATTCGACCTGCACGCCGTCGCCCCACACGACGCGGCCAAGTACGAGCGATGCATTCGCAACTTTGTGCAGAAGGACCAGCTGGTGGTTGTCACGGCGAATCTGGACGGGTATAGAGGGGATGGACAGAAGGTTGATATGCATGTACGTGGTCCTGCATTACGATACGATATGGGGATGTGAATGCGCAATGCAAACATTCGAAGACATGGACTTGAATATGCGGATATGGTGTTAATTCCTCCTCTAGATCCGCGACGCAATGGGCAACGACTACCACCGTCCCAAGGATGTCGCCGGCGAAAACCGCTACGCTTTTACCTCCCACGCCGACTCGGCTTTTGACGTCTGCTTCGAGAACGTCCTGACGGCCGGCACGAAGATGGCGTCTACCCGCCATGTGGAGCTCGACATTGATATTGGAGCCGATGCCAAGGACTGGAGCGCTATCCAGGCGGGCGAGAAGCTGAAGCCTGTCGAGGGAGAGCTGCGTCGCATCGAGGAGATTATCAACGAGGTCGTTACCGAGATGGACTATTTGAGGACTAGGGAGCAGAAGCTGAGGGACACGAATGAGAGCACAAATGAGCGCGTCAAGTGGTTTGCGTTTGGGACAATGGGCATGTTGGTTGGTTTGGGCGTGTGGCAGGTTGTGTACTTGAGGGCTTACTTCAGGAGCAAGCATCTCATCTAGATGGGGAGGAGATGGTTACCACCTACGAATGAAGGAGATGAGATGGCAGACCATAGGAATGGCTACCGTGAGTGTACGAACAGGAGGATGAAGCGTCATTGATTGCATGCTTGCTACTTGACACGGGAAAAGGGATGGCGTTGGTAGGGACATATCCATGTCGAGTTTACATTTCATACTTTTACCCTCCCAAGGTCATTCCGAGCTTCTGCATCACATTGCTTAGACCTCAACCCTGGACATGTTCCTCTCCTTGCCCACCGTCAGTACTGTTATCCATAGTCCTTATCCCCTTACTGCTGCCCTCAAATCCGTTCCCTCAGCCAGACAGTAGCATCATTTCCATTCTCGTCCATCAACTCACGCTTTTCCCTCTTTCTCCTCCTCAGTCCCTTTTCGCCCAAAGATGTATTCTTCCAGCTCGCCAAGTTCCCTAGCCAGCACCTTTATCTCACCAACATTCACAATTCCCTTCTCGGTAACATACGCATCGACAAGACCCGCAGATATCCATTCAATCCCGGTCTTGCCCTCTAGTATATTCATCGTCGCCGGATCCGCATGCGGATTACGTCGCATACTAGCACCGATCTCCGCGCCCGGGGCAGCAATCTTGTCCATATCGCTGAGCACCACGACCGCAACGCCCGCATTGAGCATCCTAGCACACTGCACGGCAGCCAGAGTACCGGTCTTGTTCCTAACGGCGCCCTTGGACGAGATCTGCTCGGCACCCAGGAGCATGACGTCGATGTCGCGGGCTGCCGCGCGCATTGCTGAACAAGACACTACGTGGACGGAAAGGCGGGTGCGATCGCTCCACGACATGAGGATCTGGTGCGCCATCTGCGCGCCCTCGGTCTTGGATCGCGCCTCCAGGATCGTAACGTTCAGGACTAGTGTCGGGATAGTAGTAAGGGCATGTAGAATCGCCGTTCGAATCGCACTCGAGTTCCCCAGCGTGAGGACACGCACCGCACCGCTCCCAATACCTTCTTCCACCTCTTTCGAAGCGCGTTCCAACTTAGCGCAACACGTCGTCAGCCACTGCACAAAGCTCCTACCGATATGTTCATCTACTATCTTCCTCTCCATGAGGACATTGTCGAACGTCGAGGCCGCAATGCGCGCTAGCTCCGCCGTGCCCGCGCACCCCTGCTCCTGCTTCTCGTTGAAGAGGCTCGCGGTAGTCGACAGGGCGCGTAGTAAGCACGGCGTCACGGCTGCGTAGGCGTCGCGGCGCGCGAGGCGCAGATGCTTCGATGCGTACAACAGCATGGCCCAGAGCTCGCCCCAGGTGTCGGCGTAGCGGGCGGCTTGGTCGCCGATGTGAGCGAGGTGCGCGAGGGCGGCGTCGGCGATTTGGCGGGCGGTGGGGCCGCGGGCGTACTTGAGGTCTTCGACGGCGGCTTTCAGCGCGCTGTCGTAGAGGGCGGATGCGTCTTGTGGTGGGAGGGGAGGGGTTGATGGGCGGTTTGTGGGGTCGGACATGTGCCTGATGGACCGGATGGGTATGCCGGGCCTGAGGGGTACGCCGGGCCTGGTGGGTATGCTGTGTGTTGTTAGACGGTGTGTTGGGGAGGTCATACTTAGGGGATATTCGAGTATTGTTCGTCCTTGTAGACGCGGTGAGATGAGGTGAACCGGTCGGTGTGCGTCCACCCTCATACCCTATCCGTTGAGAACGACTGAGAAAAAGACATCAACAGCCCACCACGACGCAAGGTCTCCTTCCCTTCAACCCAACCCAACCCAACCCCCCAAGAAAAAAACCCACAACGCCCAAAAGAATCAAAGAAAAACACTCAACTCACCTCCCCTGCCTCAACACCTCCCTCACCGCCTCCCTCGCCTCCAGCCTCTCGGGCGTCCACTCAAAAGGCAGCTTCGCCGCACTCGCCTTCTTACCCTTCTTCCTAAACAGCACCAGATTCTTCATCGAAGAGCCGAGACTGCCATACCTTGAAGGTGGAGGCGAGGGTGTTCTCGCAAAGTCTGCTGGCGTGGCGGGGACGTGAACGTATTTCTTCTTCTCTTTTATGGTGCTGGATGCGCGCGGGCGGTAGGCCTCGGCCATTGCGAGTTCGAGCATCGTGGTGGTGTGTGTGTGTGGTGGATGGGATTTGGGGGTGGGGTGGGTTGGGAGAGAAAGGAGAAGGGGAGAGAGGGGCGGGATAGAAATATGGATTTTGGGAGGGGGGGTGAATGTGATGGGTTGATGGTGAGGGTGATGGTGAGGGTGAGTAGAGTGCGGGGTGCAGTGTAGGGGACGGTGAATGCGGAAGTGCCTCGATGGCGAACTGGAATGCTGTGCAGTGCAAACGCAGATCCGAACATGCGTACATAGTTACGGTGAAGCGCAGGCGTATGTTCGTATGAATTGTCTGGCAGATACAAAGCCTACGTGATAGTGAAAGCGAATACAAAACGGTATAGCGTAGAGGTCTTTGCGTTAGTTTTTCCGCGAGTATCAAATTTTGCCTTTGCTACGCTTTGTGGATACAATATCGAGAACAGAAAAGTGCAGTATTCTAAAACCTGATGCTCTGGAGGCTGCAACGCATATTGGAAAGATTATCTGGTCGAGTAAACCATATCGTAGGCACTACGGTTCCAGTCATCCGAACAATGCACCTATCAACGAGAAGTGAAAGTAAGCCCAACCCACGAAAACCCTGGGTCTACCACCCAGAACCACACCTCCCCCATAATCAAACCAGAAATCCAGTGGACCACATCTTTGAACCAAAAACCCATCAACAGGCAGCAATGCAAAATCCACATTCTCAACCAAGGTATGGCTCTAAACCAGGGTCCTCCACCCAAACAATCAATATCAGAGTTTACATATAAGTCTTCCCCAATCCGCCCACTGCTAAGAATTATCTTCCAAGTGACTTATCAACTGATACTCTTATAACCAAGACTCAAGTACGAGTACCAATAATCCCCCTTAACCTTTAACCACCACCTTCCCAATCCACCACACCACACCACACCAAAACAATGTTCCAACTGAACCTCATCAACATCGACAACCGCTCCCACGCCGCAATCGCCGCTTCACGCGCAATGGGATTCATCGAGGAGAAGCCAATCGCCTCGTCCTCGTCCTCATCCTCGGCTGCCCGCACCGCCTCGTGGGTGTCGTCGACCACTCTACGGCCCAGCGACTCCGTCTCGTCGCGGGGATCGAGCGTCGGTGCATCCATAGGGGACAGGACGCTCCGACAGCCCGCCCCATCCGCCGTTTCTCGGGCGGCTAGTGTGCGGCCCAGCGATCCCGTTCCGTCGCGGGGATCGAGCGGCAGTATCTGGGGAGCCAGGACGCTCCCACAGACGCTCCGACAGCCTGTCCCATCCACTGTTTCTCGGGCGGCTAGTGTGCGGCCCAGCGATCCCGTCCCGTCGAGGGGATCGACCGTCGGTGCCCCCATGGGGGGAAAGACGCTCCGACAGACGCTCCGACAGACGCTCCGGCGTACGCCCGCAGCGACGTCGAAGAAGTCGAGCAGGCCTGTTGCTGCGGCTGCATGTGTAGCTGTGGCGCCTACGAGGGCGCCTAGGTCTGTCGATGCTCCGCCGCTTATGGTGGTCCAGCAGACGACGAAGGAAGTCATCACGAGGACGACGACGACAACGTGGACACCCGTCGCCTTGTCGGCGCCAGCGCACTCATCCCACGACGGTGGAGGGAGGACCTGGACGTGCTATGCTTGCGGACGGATAAACCACTGGGCTAGGCAGGCCTGTGGCGGGTGTGGGACGCCTAGCTAGGTTGTCGAGTATAGGGGTTGACGGGCGGGAAGGAGAAAGATTGTCTCCTAGTATTGTGTGGTTTTTCTGATTGTGTCTTTCTGTAATTTGTCGGGGTTGTGTTTTGTCTTGGTTTATTCTGTTCTTTCGATTTTGAAGGAGTTAGTTATGTCAACGTCGGTTTATACTTTACTCATGTCTGTCTTCGCACATCAGCACGTACATATTACTCAATAAAAATGATCATGAATAGAAGGTATCATTTGCTTTTCGACCAGTTCTTTCATCAAACTGTCCAGAACCCATCCGTAGAAAGACCCGCGCCAAAGGAAAGCGCAGTCATGATTCCGACGCCAATACTAACAAGACATACATATCTACACATTTTCATCTACTTCGTTGCTGTCATTCCAACACTTGCTCAGAGAACACGTTTACTTGGTGTTCTCGGGGCGGAGGGAGCGAACAGCCTTTCCGGCGCGCCAGATCTCAAGGTCGTCAATCTCCTTGAGCTCCGCATTGTACTTCTCACGGTAGTCGGGCTGCGAGTTGTACTCGAGCGAGCGCTTGGTCTCGCTGCCGTCCTTGACGGAAGTGTAAAGGTCGTCGAAGACGGGCTTGAGGGCATCCTTGAAGCGTTTGCTCCAGTCAATGGCACCACGACGGGCGGTGGTCGAGCAGGCAGCGTACATGTAGTCCATGCCGTTGGCGCCGATCAAGGGGTAGAGGGACTGGGTAGCCTCCTCGACGGTCTCGTTGAAAGCCTCAGATGGGCTGTGGCCGCGCTCACGGAGAACCTCGTACTGGGCGAGGAACATGCCGTGGATACCGCCCATCAGGCAGCCACGCTCGCCGTACAGGTCGGAGTAGACCTCCTTCTCGAAGGTGGTCTCGTACAGGTATCCGGAACCGACGGCAACACCGAGGGCGACGGCCTTCTCCTTGGCCTTGCCGGTGACGTCCTGGAAGACGGCGACGGAGGAGTTGATACCACGGCCCTCACGGAAGAGGGAGCGGACAGTGCGGCCGGAGCCCTTGGGGGCGACGAGGATGACGTCGATGTCGGTGGGGACCTCGACCTTGGTGAGGTCCTTGAAGACGGGTGAGAAACCGTGGGAGAAGTAGAGAGTCTGCAGTCATCAGCAGTGTCTTCCACAGATGTTGATCGAATGTCCTTACCTTGCCCTTGAGCTGGGGCTTGATGGCGGGCCATGTCTCAGACTGAGCGGCATCTGAGAGCAGGTTCATGACAATGGTCGACTTGCCAATAGCCTCGTCAATGTCGAAGAGGTTCTTGCCGGGGACCCAGCCATCTTCCTCAGCCTCCTTCCACGAGGCACCGCCCTTTCGGACACCGACAATGACGTTGAGGCCGTTGTCACGGAGGTTGAGACCTTGGCCGTGACCCTGAGACCCGTAGCCGATGAGGGCGAGAGTGTCATCCTTGAAGTATTCCTGCTCGATTGTTAGCAGACGACCCCATTGAGATTGATTTTTATGCCATTGTGGCAGACTTGACTCACCAAAAGCTTTTCTCTTGGCCAGTCAGCACGCTCTGTGTGCTTCGTTAGCCGCAGCTCAACCACAACACCACACAGTCAATTCCTACCGTAGACGGTCTCCTTGGTACCGGCGAAGTCAATCGTCTTGATACCGCGGGTCTGCTGGAACTGGGACGTGACAGCCGCCTTGGGGGCAGCGGCCACACCAGCGCGGACAGCGTTCAAAGCCGAGACAAAGGTGCGCTTCTGGGCAGGAGCGACAGCCAATTGCCTGGCGGACTGGCGGAGAGCACGGGCAGCAGGTCGGGAAGCCATTGTGAATGTGTGAATGGGTATCTTGGGTTCAAAATTGAGGAGCTGGGGATGACGAGGCTTTATGGCTGTCGTCTGCTTTGTCTGGGGAATTTTGAACCATGTCCGAGCTTCCCTGCCACTCTTGCAGCCGAGATCGGCCCGCGTCCAGATCACCTCAGCACTGTTCAATTCCAAGTCATCAGCCAATGGTATTGCTTGATTGCGAATTTTATGGGCCGGGGAGAATTCTGCCTCTCCGAAGCCGTCAGACAGACACAGACATCATCGTCTGACGTCCCACAGTTGATTGACAGGTGCGGCAAAGTGAACTGCTGAGAGTCATCATACATGGGCCGATTGTGATCAATAAGTTTCACCGCTCCACTGCAGAATACGAGGATGAGTGGAAAAAGCAATCTCGAACACTGCAAGTGCTCCAATGGTAGTAGAGCAGAAATCTTTAAAGTAGGGCTCAATAACCTCAACGCGCTTCATGCTTATCTATGATTATCATGATGTTAACCATGCTGTAACTATCCAGACCCATATATCCACTATCTCTCACACACAATACTTGTCATATTGTTGTGGAAGAGCCTACCCATAATCAATATCATCCAACCCGTTCACACCTACAAATTGAATACAACAAACTCACATGGAACAACGTCACAGCAAAATTCACAGACAGAGCTTTGATAGCGGGCATTCATTATGCAGCCACGCGAATACTTATTCACCTCACAAGAAAGAACGTCAAGAAGCAAGGAAAACAACCTGTACACTGACGCCGCGCTCCCAATACGCCATACCTCAGACGCTCTATGCGCGCACATGAGCGCCCCTCATACTACTTGTGCTTGTCTTCTGCCGCGTCTTCCCGTGATTGTTATTGCGTGGAGCGTCGTGGGATCGTCGTAGTCTCGGGAGAGATGCCCAGCCATCGAGGGCTGTAAGTTCAGAGTGTGTCGTCGACTCGTAGCTACACGTGCTCATTTGAGCACGCGGTCGAATATCTGTCCCTTGACCTGTCCTCCCCCAAGCGATGCGCGCACATTGCGCTTGAAGCCCTCGCGGTTTGCCTTCAGGTCCTCGGCTGCCTCCTTGTTGAGTGGGTCCGACGCGTTTGGCTCGAGGAAGAGAAACTATTGTTTGTCAGCTCATGTCCGTTTCATTCCCTATCCTCACGATGTGCACATACCTGCAACCCCACCACCACCGCATTCAGATTCAGCACCGGCTTCCAATCCTCTCGGAGGATGTTCAAACATACGTTCCCCTCGAGATCGATGTTGGGGTGATATATCTTCTGCGTGCACTTTACTTTCGGCGGGTCGTGGGGAAAGTTCTGGTTGATCTTGAAGTCGAACTCGAAACGGCCACCCTTGTACATGCCCTCGTCAGGGTCGATGGTGAGCTTGAAGTTGAGGATATCGTCTGGGTTGGGGAAGTGTGTCTTCATTGTCGTGCCGAGGGAGAGCTCTTCGAGATCTGGGGACTACGGGTGAGTATGTTTGTATACGTGAAGAGGGGGACCAGGTAGGAGAATATACCTTTTTGAGCGCGCAGCTGGGCGGGTGTGACCTTCTTCTTCTTGCTTGTTGCGGCTGCAGCAGCTTCATCTTGCTGCTGCTGCTTCTTCTGGAGCCGGTGTTAGCATTCTGACTCTCTTGCTAGCCGCGTCTGTATGCGCTCAAGTACACTAAGACGTACCATAGACCATATTTTCATCATCTTGGCGGTAGTGTGTGAGGTATCCTCTATTGAAGGCTGTGGAGGTGAAGATCGCGTATGATGAGAGGTGGTCGCGCAATGTCGCGCGCGAGTGAGGGAAGCGTGGGGCAAACGGCGGCAAGACGTGGACGGCGGAGACGACGGCGGTGAGATGTGGGCTTGGTGAACCCAAGCGTAGCAGCAAGTACAAGCAGAACAGAAACTGTGAGCCTCGCGCAGAGAAAATACCAAAGAGAAGACGACGAAGAGATATAGAGGTAGGGTAAACAGCTGAGCAGGCTACCGCTACGTAGATTGTCGGGCACCCAAACCAGGGTCGGCGAACGTGGGGTCAACGCGCCACGTCTACGCCACATCACGTTGATCAGTTAGCATGTCAAACACTTTACTTGCAGTGATGTGAAGTGAACAGTTCTTGAGGTCGATTTATGATTTTGAGAAGTAGGAATCCAGAATCTGAATAGTAACCATCCATTGAAATCAGCAAGTTCGAAAGGCACATCAAAAGCATCTCAACCTTGTCTTTCAAATCCAGCACAGCTCTTCTGAAGCCTCAGCATTAAGAAGGGATCTTGACCTCGAGTTCATCGCCTGGAATCAAAGGAAATTCCTACCATCTGATCGCGTCTCATAAGTCGATATTGATCAAAGTTCCTGTTATGGCAGCACCACGAGAAGCTTTGTATTTCCCCGCTTCTCAGCGTCAGCAACTAGACTCGTACTTGCCCTCCCCCTCGATCACGTCTACGTCTTCAGTTTCATCCAAACCCCATGTAACTCTCACCTTCGCCACTTCTCTCGACAGCCAGCTCGCCCTCGCTCCCGGCGTCCAAACAGCGCTATCGGGCCCAGAGTCAAAAGCCATGACGCACTACCTGCGTTCCAAGCACGACGCCATCCTGATCGGTGTCGGGACCGCCATAGCCGACAACCCATCGCTAAACTGCCGGATCGAGGGCGTTGGAGGTTATGGCGGGGAGGGGCTTTATGGACAACCAAGACCGATCGTCTTGGATCCGAAAGGGCGATGGGAGATTTCGGCGGAGAGTAAGGTTGTGAAACTTGCTAGAGAAGGGAAGGGGAAAGCACCCTGGATAATCACTAAGACGGACGTTGGCGAACAGAAGAGGAGTCTTTTGGAGAGTGTAGGCGGGAAGTTTCTGAGATATGGGGATTCGTTCGGAGGCGTGGAAGCTTCCTTATCGGCGCGCATGGAATGGCGTGGAATGCTTCAGTTGTTGTCTCGTGAAGGTATCCAGGGCGTGATGATCGAAGGTGGTGGGGTGGTCATTAACGATCTGCTTTCTGCAGATAATCTGGAGTTGGTGGATTCTGTTATTCTGACGATTGCGCCGACATGGTTGGGGAGAGGGGGTGTGCAAGTTTGTCCTGAGCAGAGGCAGGGGCTGGGAAGAAGTCTGCCAGCGGGGAGACTAAAGGATGTCAATTGGATGCCGTTGGGAGAGGACGTGGTACTTTGTGGACGGCCGCAATAGAAACGAGGTTTGGAAGTTTATAGAATATGTATAAATCGATTAGTACAACTACTTCAGGACGAAGAATTTGTATCCTCTGGGAGTTTCGCCGCCAATTGTTCCCAAGGCAAGGTATTGGGGACTGTGCCTCGGACCAGCTCTATAACGCTCTTTTCCAAGTCCTGTGTCAGCTCTTCCATGACACCCCCATCCCATCCACGTTCCCTCCTCTTGCTATTCAGAAGCCCTCCCGTGCCTAAAGGATCCTGTTTCCACGGCGCACATCCGTACTCTCGCTCACCACGTAACGTAGTCTCGAGCTCTGCACTCGACATAACCGGATCGATACCTTGAACCAGCACCCGATCCTTTGGCCATCGGATCGCAGGTGCGTGTAGTTCCAGAAAGCGTTCCGCCTTGAATGCATGCGTAATGACACGAATACGCTTTGGATATACTCCTGTCGTCCTTCTGAAGAGGAGAATGCTGAATAACAAATTTTGAAAGGAATCTGTAGCGTGTTCCTCGAGCAGTATCCAGCCCTTCCGGAACGCCTGGTGCGCACGACCCCCGCCCAGATATCCCTGGGCAAGCTCCCGTGCTAGCGCTGCGTGGTAGTATGAGCGTGCTTCGCTCAGAGGCGTGAGAGATGGCTTGGTCGCACCACCGCTCAGCACAAGAAGGCTCTTGATTGGCGTTTCTGCATCCACCCCAACGAGCAGCGCATCAAGTCCGGCTTGCACGTGCTGAATGAACGTCTCGTGCTCGCCTGGTTTTCCTGTTTCCGCGTTCGATTTCTGGAATGGTGCAAGGTGCCAGTTCTTCTCGTCGTAGGGGCTGTTGAGTGGGAAGGAAGGGGATTCAACATCTGGGTGGAAGATGGCGTGGCAGCAGACGACGATAAGGTTTTCTATTCCGCTGTACATTCGCGGCGGGACAACATGATCTGGATGAACAAAGTCTAGATTCTCGGTGTCCTGGGGCTCGAGCTCGAGCTCCTTGTGTAAGTGTAATGCCGCATTATCTGAGGCTGTTGAGGCTGTGGTTGGTGCCGATACTTTTGTCTTAGATCTTGGTAAGCTTTTGGGAAGCGCTGCTGAGGCCATGGAAATAGCTGGATCAGTTTGATAGGGTGAACGCCTAAATGGAAGTATAGGGCTGTGGCTGGAACTGTCTAGGATTTGGTACGGTCCGGGCAGGGGCTGTCTGACGGTTGAGCAGTGTGTGGCTAATATGACAGCCGTGACAGCTAGCGCACGATTAGAGTAGGTACGGCGGCGATGGTGAACGTCTGCGATATCTCGCGAGATGATCGTGAAGTCAAGATCAGTAGTTTTGAAATTTGGTGCAATGTGGATGTTGTTGGGTGACGTGCGTTTGGGAAAGCGCGTTCCTCCCTGCAGCACAACGTCATCTCAACAGGAGATGGCATCTCGCTATCGAAGATGTGCACCCAAGTACCTACTTCTCAACACTGCATCTATCCTCTGTCTCGCCGCAGATGGACTTTCATGTTGTGAGACTGAAGCTGCGAGGCGGCCAGGATCATGGTCGCCTACAGCAACAAGAGGATCCAGGAACAGCCCATCATCAGGGCCCCACTTTACATTGATTGCTCACGTCAGACAACATAACGACACCAGATCTAGAGGTGTTCAGGCGTTTGTCGGTTACTTAGATTTAGACGCATCGGTTCATTCATTCACTCTCGTGATAAACACAACTATTTGGCATCTGATTAATGGCTCATTCATGAATCATTGGGGCGCAGGTGCCCTCAATCAAAGCAGCGCTCACTCGGTGGTATGTGGCTGATCCCTGTCAAGGTACCGTTGCGTGGTGAGATTTTGGTGTAACAATGCATGCTGTGCCCGCAGACGCCTTGTACGGCTGAGATCGTCAGCCGAACACACAGCAACCATGGCTTTTGACGATGACTTAGTCTACCACCTGGTATTCTCTATTATGAGATGAGAGACGTGCTCACGACAGGAGATCGATCTGCGCTAGGATCTCGGTCTGCCAGTACTGGATTGGTATGGTCGGCAAGCTTGCTGACGTTGCCAGCCAGTGCGACGCCTAGCTTGACGGACCAAATACAATTCCGCCGCAAAGATGCAGACGTGTTGAAGCTGATGTGTCTACCATGCAGCGGTGAGCACACAGAAAGTCCTGGGGAATACCTGGACTGCGGCACACCCGAACGACTGCTGAGTATGTGCATGGGTGAGGCTGAGCATAAGCGTACGGTGTAGAAGTGATTAAGGTGTGTGTCTAAAATTAGGCCTGGTCAGGGTCTGCTAGTCTTGCGCCACAACTGTCGAAGACGACGTTGAAAAGGCAGAGTGGCCACGCGGTCCTTGGCCGTGTACAAAGAGTGCCCCCAAGCCGACGATCAGTATCCAGTGCAAGGTGGTGTGGGCAAATACATGTATTGACGCAGGACTGTCCACAGGCATTGCGAAACCACTTCACCAGCCAACCAGGATTGCTGTAGCGTTTCAGCCGTTTAGCGCACCTTCCCCGATTTTCCCAAGTGGCTTAGCGCCGCCGTCTCCTTCAGCTTTCAGCCCTGGACGACTTTCTCCCTCACCTTTATCAAGCGGCCACCCCAGCTGTGCGCTTGTCCTCTGCATTCCTCCACCCACCATCGACCACGCCCTTATTGATCATCGCCATCTCTAGTGCCAGCTCGCCGACCGCTGCACGTCATGGCGTACAACAACCAGAACTACGGAGACCCTCACACGGGCGTGCGTACCCTCCACCTCTGCCCTCGACCTCCTGTATCGACTGCATGCTGACTAAGCCTCCAGTATGACCGCGAGCACGAAGATGAGGTCGCCCGCTCGCTGCTCCACGAGAATGCCGCAGGCACCGCCCAGGACCCCTTCTACGGCAACCCCGATGCCGCCCGCCCCCACTCGACATACAGTCTAACAGAGACATACGCGAGCGACAGGCAGACCAACTACCCGCCACAGGGCCACGATGGCTCGGATGTCTACTCGGCCACGGGCGGCTACGACGCGGCGGCTGACTTTGGCGCACCACAACGGGCGCCATCGCCATACCAGCGCAGCGAGACCAGCTCGACAGAGGCCTGGCGCCAGCGACAGCAGCCCGGCGGCGGCGCTGCAGGCGGCCTGAAGCGTGGCCTGACGCGTAAGGTTAAGCTTGTGCAGGGCTCCGTCCTCAGTGCGGATTACCCCGTGCCCAGCGCCATCCAGAACGCCATCCAGGCAAAGTACCGCAACGACCTCGAGAGCGGCAGTGAGGAGTTTACGCACATGCGCTGTGAGTGACCCGATTTGTGATGTTCTCGCGAATGCGACGCTGACGACTGCTAGACACGGCCGCAACATGCGACCCCAACGACTTCACACTCAAGAACGGCTACAATCTGCGCCCAGCTATGTACAACCGCCACACGGAGCTACTCATTGCCGTCACATACTACAACGAAGACAAGGTTCTCACGGCCCGCACACTGCACGGTGTCATGCAGAACATCCGCGACATTGTCAACCTCAAGAAGTCCGAGTTCTGGAACAAGGGCGGTCCTGCCTGGCAGAAGATTGTCGTCTGCTTGGTCTTCGATGGTATCGACCCCTGTGACAAGGGCACTCTCGACTTGCTTGCCACTATCGGTATCTACCAGGACGGTGTCATGAAGAAGGACATTGACGGCAAAGAGACGGTTGCCCACATTGTAAGCACATCGACCATCTAATCTACCGGGACAGCTCCTGACAGCATGCAGTTCGAATACACAACCCAACTTTCCGTTACCCCCAACCAGCAGCTGATCCGCCCGCATGACGACAGCGCCAGCACGCTTCCCCCCGTCCAGATGATGTTCTGCCTGAAGCAGAAGAACACCAAGAAGATTAACTCACACAGATGGCTCTTCACTGCCATTGGCCGCATCCTGAACCCTGAAGTTTGCATTCTGCTCGATGCCGGAACCAAGCCCGGCCCGAAATCCCTTCTTGCGCTCTGGGAGGCTTTCTACAACGACAAGGATTTGGGCGGTGCCTGCGGTGAGATTCATGCTATGCTCGGTAAAGGTTGGAAAAATCTGCTCAACCCGCTCATTGCCGCACAAAATTTCGAGTACAAAATCAGTAACATTCTCGACAAGCCTCTAGAGTCGTCGTTCGGATACGTCTCTGTGTTGCCTGGTGCTTTCTCTGCCTATCGTTACCGCGCTATCATGGGCAGGCCGCTTGAGCAGTACTTCCACGGTGACCACACGCTTGCCAAGATCCTCGGAAAGAAGGGTATTGAGGGTATGAACATTTTCAAGAAGAACATGTTTTTGGCTGAAGATCGTATTCTCTGTTTCGAACTCGTCGCCAAAGCTGGCTCCAAATGGCATCTTACATACGTGAAGGCCTCCAAGGGCGAGACTGATGTACCCGAGGGTGTTGCTGAATTCATCGGTCAACGTCGTCGTTGGCTCAACGGTTCGTTCGCTGCCGGTATCTACTCGCTCTTGCACTTCGGCCGCATGTACAAGAGTGGTCACAATATCGTCCGCATGTTCTTCCTCCACATTCAGATGCTTTACACTTGGTTCAACACGATTCTCTCCTGGTTCTCTCTGGCTTCCTTTTGGCTTACCACTGCCGTCATCATGAATCTCGTCGGTTCCGAAAAGCCCGAACAACCCGATTACAGAGCCTGGCCTTTTGGAAACACCGTCACTCCCATCTTCAACACCGTCCTTCAATACATCTATCTGGCCACTCTGGTCCTGCAGTTCATTCTCGCTTTCGGTAACAGGCCAAAGGGTTCGCAATGGTCTTACTTGACCTCCTTCTTCGTCTTTGGCTTCATCCAGTTTTACATCGTTGTCCTATCCATTTATTTGGTTATTCAGGCCTTCGTTTCACCCACATCACAGAAACTCGATACCTCATCCCCGTCTGCGTTTGCCAGTTCATTCTTCGCTTCAGACGGTGTGGGTATCATCATCATCGCTCTCTCGGCTACGTATGGTCTGTACTTTGTGGCTTCGTTCATGTACCTCGACCCGTGGCACATGTTTACTTCGTTCCCTCAGTACCTCCTGGTCATGTCATCCTATGTCAACATCCTCAACGTCTACGCCTTCTCCAACTGGCATGATGTGTCTTGGGGTACCAAGGGATCTGACAAGGCTGAAGCGCTTCCATCGGCTACTACGCAGAAGGATGCGAACGGTAAACACACGGTCATTGAAGAGCCAGATCTGCCACAAGCCGATATCGACAGCCAATTCGAGGCCACCGTCAAGCGTGCTTTGGCTCCTTACGTAGCTCCGGTTGAGAAGAACGAGAAGTCACTTGAGGATTCCTACAAGTCCTTCCGTACTCATCTTTGCACGTTGTGGATTGGGTCGAACGCTCTTCTTTCGATTGGTGTTACCACAAAAGATCTGAACTCGTTCACCATTTCGGTAAGCCTACTCTACTATATACTGTGAGAACACCTGCTAACACATCACAGACTTCAGCCTCCGAGCGTACCACGCGTTTCTTCCAGGCTCTCCTATGGTCTACGGCCCTTCTTGCCATTATCCGTTTCGCCGGTTGCTGTTGGTTCCTCGGTCGTACCGGTATCTTCTTCTGCGTCAGGAAGAGGTAAACGCCAAATCACAGATACGGTTGCGATACCTCGCACCGCCCTTGCGACGGCCAATCTCAGAGCATGTTTCTCGATTTTCCCGATGTTTTTTCAATCTTGCAGGTGCTGGCGTTCTGGATATCCTCGACTCCAGCTGGCTGGTGCTGCGCAGTCTTTGTCACTTTTATCCATTGGCAAACCAAAAATATCGACTTATACCAGATGGATAACGAAACTAGCCCCTTTTGTATCATTTCATCGGCTATGTGCACATTTGAAGCACGTTGCTTGATGTAGTATTTTCATATCAATCACTTGACGGCAAACCATCTGAGCCTGGGAAATCTCGATTGCAGATCAAGGACATGTTGGTTGAGAGTCCTTTTATGAATGGGTACATGGACGCAAATCTTGCTTGTTTATCTCGGACGCTGTCCACTTTAGAATGAATCTCATTTTAGTTTTACAATCATGCTCTTTCTCTTTCCGCTTGCTGTGATGAAGGTGATCCTAACCGACGTCATACAGAGCTAGATAATGATGGTGAGTCGACGAAAATGAGATGAATCTGTTCATTCCAATTACTCGATAACAATGCACTCCCCCTCCGGTTCCCATGCCGACGCAGCAATGACCGGTATATCATTCCACAGCTCCGCAATATCCAGGGCTGCATACCGCGTCTCACTCTCTGACGTCCTGCCCAGGCCAAACACGGCACACGCAAAGCTCACCTCGCTGCTACTGCTGGACACTGTTACATGGAGATTCAGCGTGGGAATCAGTGTCCGCTGGTGGATGAGGTTTGTATTTGCATCTGGTTTGAGGATGTGTGGCTGTATCTTGATCTCCTCGGGGGTTACACCCGCAGCAGCTGACCTAAATGTAGAAAGGGAGCGGATACCGCTTGAGCCTGCGTCTGAACAGACGAGGACTCCGTCGCGGGTTTGCAGTGTGCCCTCAGGGACATCTTTCGCGGTGAGGCTTTGCGGGGTTTCATATGCGGGCAGGGCTTCGCCACGTGTTGCGCTGCGCGCTTGGATTGCGAAACCGCCTTGCACGGCTTTTATGGGGACGGGGCTTGACCCGTGGTTTGTGATGGTGTGGACGCGGACGTAGTGGTTTGGCCAGCGGGTGCAGGGTGCGACGAGGAGGGTGTGGACGGATATATCTGCGTCGACCCAGGGCGTCCATGTACACGAGAGCGTTGGTATGGATTCTATGACTTTGCCTTCGCGCCAGAGGTGCGCTTCTCCGAATTGGGGGCTCCGCGCCTTCCACGGCACGCGCCATGTGTCTCCGCCGTCTTTGCTTAGTGCAAGTGTGCTGTCGGGGGCGCTTTGCTGGATCAACGGCCCTGTGGGCACGCTGAAGCCGAAGTGTGATGAGTAGGCGTATTTGCCGTACTTGGCCTCTGTTGCTTTGAGCGGCCAGGGGCAGAATTGGCCCGCCGAGAGGAGGAAATGGTGGTTTCCTGTGTTGCAGAGGATGTGCATTGGAGGTTTGACGGGAACAGCGAGGTCGTGTTTCGTCTGGGGGAGGGGTTTTTCCTCGGCGGTCCAGAAGGGGTGCGTGGCTGGGAGGCCGAGTGCCAAGTAGGATTTTAGGGCCCAGTAGGGGGATTGCGGTGAGTTGTAGTCTTCGCTCATGTACATGTTGGGATAGGTGAAGCCGATTGTCAGAGTGCCGTCGCTGTTGAATATGTCGTGCTTGCTGCTCCACCAACGGAAGTGCCGCAGCAAAAGGCCCTTGACGACGCCCCAGTCGTTCAGGGGCGCGGGGAGTTGCACGTCAGCAAAGGCCACGGCTGACCAGAAGCCCGCGAATGCAAAACGGTACGTGAGACTGCGTCCAAACGGTATTGCCGCACCTGGGATGCCCCATCAGTAACGGACTCCTGGGAAGAAGAATGCTGTGAAATCTCACCACTTGCATCAAAGTACCGCCAAAACGACACAGCAAACTTCCTCGCCCTATTCCGAAACCTCTCGCACCGCTCTGGATCCAAGTCTTGCGCCATCTTGGCGTATACCAACTGTGAGAACTGTATAGCAAAGCTCCCCGAATAATAATCCGCCTGCCTCCCCTCATCGCCCCAAACCCCATCACTGGCCCACCCCTCACCTAGATAGAATCCCTCCAACATCTCCAGATCCTGTTCCATCGCCCCTCGAACATCTGCATACGGCACGCCACACACCCTAACAAGCGCCAGATTCGTCATAACTCGGAACCACAACCAATTCGTAGCCGGAAAGTCCTTGCCATTGATTGTCTGCAGCCACACCGTTATATCCCTCTTTGCACACTCAGTCTGTGCATGGAACATGAACTCCGGCGCGGCGAGCAGCGCATACGAAATGATCTCCATCTCCACCATGCGCTGGTCGCGCTCTACGACGGGGCCCCAGTACTCCGGGTGCTGGGGATTTGTCCCGCTTGCTAGGCCGCGGGCGTAGGGTTCCAGGAGCTCTTTTTGCTCGTCTGGCGTGGCGGTGTTGGAGTGCAAGAGCGTGCCTATGGCCCATAGTGCGCGGGCGTAGCCTTCGAGCTGGGCGGCGATGTCGTCGAAGTGGGTTCCGGTGGATAGGGGGAGCTTTATGCGCGCGCCGTAGGGGGATTGATAGAGTTTTAGGGCGCGGAGGAGGGCGATGCAGGATATTTTTAGGTCTTGGTGGGTGAGGAAGGAGTTGTTGGAGAAGCCTTGTAGAGGGGGCATTTTTTCGGTTGCTCTTGGAGTAAGGTTGAGGGGCAACCGTCGTTCAGATGAGAGTTCCAACGCAGAGTCGTTGATGTGTGATAAGACTAGATGTTGATGTTTTTTGGTTGGCCTGAAATCTCGCAATTAAGAACTTCTCGTGTTTTTAGTATCTTGAAAATATGAAGGCCCGCAGACTACTGTATTCTCTTTCATGCGTTTCAGAGAAAATGCATTAGATCTGATCATATTGAACGCGCCAATTGATATTGCCGTGTAATAAATGACATCCCACATGCTATCACCACTCAAGCCACCTTTTTGGAAGTGCATCCGCCGCCCTCGATGGGGCATTGCTGTCAACAATTCTCCGCAAAAACCGCATAGTTTCATTGATGGAGACGGAAGATCTTCCAAGACGGTTGGTCGATCCGAGTTGCTGCGGGGTTTTACGAACTCTGGGGGTTTCGTGAAATACTCCGCTGCCCGCGCTTGCAGCTCCACATTCCTCCACAATTCTTCGTCACCAACGCCTCGAGAATGTGATGTCGGCTGGTTGGTCAAATCTTTCCGTGAGCAATGGAAGTCTCGCAGGCGATGTTGATGGTCCTGTCAGCACCGGCGAGGAGGGTCCAGCCTGCGCATCTTGCAAGAAGCGGAAACTGCGCTGCTCGAGAGAAGCGCCTACGTGCTCGCATTGTCTGAGACTTTGTGAGTATGATGATCGATATTTGTGCTGTACTTTCTGATGTAAAGTATAGTAACGGCGTGTGTGTACACGGCCAAACAGAAGCCAGGGCTGAAACCTGGGGCCGTTGACGCGTTGACGCGTCGCGTATGTAAATACCAGCCACCACCATACTAGTGATCGAAGTTAATCTTGGCAGCATTCTTGGAGCGAATACTTTTGGACGATGCTGGAAATATTCGCTCACAATTCAGTGATGAGAACCAAATCGGTCGCAGTACCTTCCCCGTTGACATTGCCACGGCTGGGGAAGTCGCAGTCCAGATCGACCATACAACTCCCCATGTTGAAGCTTCTTCCCACAATCACCAAAGAAACGACACGATAAGAAAAGACTCTGCGGATGAAGCACATAATAAATCTACATCTAATGTTTTAAAACGCAAGTTCGACCATTCGCTCATGGACAGCTGGCTGTATGAAACCGACGATATCGACACTGCGCAACATTTACCACCTCACTCCCTTCTGCTGAAGGTTGTTGACTTTTATTGTGGCTCTTTCCACCACTGGATTCCCTATATCCACAAGCAAAGGTTACAAACGCGCGTTCGCGAAGGATTTCATCATCCAGGATTAACTCTTTTCCTACACGCCTTGGTCACTGTGTCGTTGCGACATATGGACCCTGGTGCCTTATTTCTAGACGACGATCAGATTCGGCAACAGACTAGGCTTTCCCGCCTGATTGTGGAAACACAGGCAATGAAAAGCGTGTCCGTGGAGAGTCTACAAGCATTGATATTTCTTGTCTTCGATCATGTAAGTCGGGAGATTCGCTGTTTGTCACCTCTAGGCTTGGCTGACAAGAGTAGCTCAACGACGGCCACCCCGAGAAAGCATGGCCGATTATTGGATCGCTGACCAGAACCATCGACTACCTCCAACTCACTATTGAGCCCTCAGCATCAAGTTCCGGTGCGCTCATGAAGCCTGTACGTTTGGTACAGCCCTCTGAAGACTGGACAGAGCTTGAAGAGCGTCGGCGGTTGTTCTGGATCATCTTCCTACTTGACCGATTCTGCTCGGTATCCACTGGCTGGAACACCAGTCTTACATCTGATGATGTTCATAGAAGACTGCCAGCAGATGGGGGCTACTTCACCCGTGAAGAACCTGTTACTACGCCGTATTTTGGTATCTGGGACAAGGCAGCCGCTAGAATTGGACGATCTCTGGCACATGTACCTACGCAATACAACGAAGACGATACATCTGTTGAACAACCGTCAGGGTCAAGCCCTAACTCGGCTAACAGCTACATCGATGCCTCCAAGTTGGGAGCATTTGCGTATTGTGTTGAGGCAACGGAATCTCTGAGCCAAGTGACGACATTTTTCCTGCAACAACAAATGAATTGGCATGATAAGGAGCATGCCATTAGTTGGCTGACCCGCTTCAAGGAGTTGGACCTAAGGCTCGTACATTGGAAGCTATTCCTGCCGCCTCGATGGAAGGACTCCAACATTTCCTTGGACCGAACCATCGTAGACATGGATCCAAACCTGACACTGGCTCATCTTACCCACAATACGTCCATGATATTACTCCATCATCCTATAGCTCATCCTCCATCAAACTGGAACAACATAGTTGCTTTACCAAAGGAATGTAGTGCTCAGACCTGCGAGCTTGCAGCTATCGAGACGTCGAACATCGTCGATAAGTTTCTTGCACATACATCAATCCCATTTGTTAACGTGCAGTTTTCATTCTGCACATTTGTTGCCGCAAAAGCCTTGCTATACGAGCACCAAGCCTCTCAGCAAACACTTCGTCCCGAATTTCATCGCCTCACTAAAGACCTATGGGAAATGTCAGCTCGATGGAGTGGGAAAATTCGGAGCCCTGATAAGCCAGCTCAAGGATCAGAGACTAATCAAGCAGGAGTCTACGCACGCCATCTTGAGTGTCTTCACGAAGAAGGTCAACGGAATTCCCATTTCAGATTCGACTTCTACGATCACTCATGCACATCACGTAGGTCCAACGAGCAGTTCAGTCCAACACAGATCCGTACGCCACATCAGCGCTCTGGGAGCTTTACTAAACCACCACACTTCCCTGCAACTCATGCGCGCCAGAAAAGTTTCAACAGCCCTCGATGTGCGCCCAATCTGAGGAGAACCCCTTCCAGCACCGCACCGTACACAAGGGCAATGGATTCATCACCTCGGCATTCACAGCATCAAGCCCAGGTTCATAGCGCTCAGTATGTGTCGCCCAACGGGATACCTTTGTCATATGCGACGCCGTATTCATCAGCTGTATCTCCAGGCCCTGATACCGTTCGTATACCCGACCTGTCGGATCACCAATTTCAGGCAAGCAACGGGATGATAAACAATGTCCCAAATGTGCAGGATCAATCACTGCTCAACCTTTCAGACGCATTCACCAACTCGCACTTTTTGGATATGGATCGAGTTATCACTTTCGAGGACGCAAATTTCTTACTACCTGGCGACGCATTCAGATGGCAGTGAGATCTCTTGTGATGGAAAGTATGTCGTATTTCACCATGCAGGTTCATAGCTTATCATTTAAGATTTAGGCATAGGTGGCTGGAACAGGCCAGATGAAAACCCAGGGTCTGACGACCACACTGCAGTTTTAGCTAAAAATACCCTCTTGTATCTCACTGCAACTATCGTCAGAATCATGGTAGAAGAAGATATCGATCTAGCCTTTGGTGTCTTCACATTTGCCACCGTCTATGTTCATCAAGCTCAATTATTTACAATGCATCGAAAGCCTTGACCGCCTCCTCGGCCGTCTTATGCGCACTGGCAGGATTTGCTCCAGTCACGACGCGTCCATCCGTGATTGCGAAGCTATCCCAAGGACCTGGTGGGCTAATATACTGTGCACCAGCATCCGCTGCACTAGCTTCGATAGTGGGTCTGTTCCAGCTCTTGATTGTGTCAAGTACGCCTTCCTCCTCCTCACCCCGAGTGGTGAAGCCAGTCACGCGCTTACCGGAGATGATAGGCTTCTTGGTCTCGGGGTCCAGGACACCGGGGAAAATAGCTCCTCCATGGCAGACGGCGGACAAGATGCCGGTGTTTTTGGCATAGATGTCAGCTGCGAGAGATTGCAGACCCGTAGCCTCAGGGTAGTCGATGAGAGATGCGTGACCAGCTGAAGCAAAGAAGAGACCGTAGTCTTTCGAGCTGATATCAGATGGTTTGAGGAGTTTGTCGAGCTTAGTGCGGAACTCGCTGCTGTGGTCTTCGTAGACTTTGCGGTCTTCCTCCGGAAGCCAGTCTTTCTGCTGGCTCAGCCAGTCTGGCTGGTATGTGCCGGTCTCTGAGACGAGATCGACATCGAATCCAGCGGCTTTGAAGACGTTGAAGGGGTGGAGAGCTTCGGTAATGAACAATCCTGCATATTGGTTAGAGTTTATCTTGCATTGGTGGTTGTGGGAAGCATACCAGTTTCCTTTCCCTCGGGATACAGGGGGGCATGCGCCGATGTGATGGCAATGAGAGCTTTGCGTGGAGGTGCCATTTTAATTTGAACGTTTGTCCGCGGAGCGAAATGATCTTGATGAAATTCCGTACGATTGGGTCAATGAGGGGTATCTTAAGTATGTACGTCGATCTTCCCTTCATTGAGTCAATGCGATGTGTGACGTCATCGGACCTCTTTCGGGGGTATGTTTTCAGCAGTAGACCAATTCCATAGAATTCGGGCTCTTGGAAAATAGGCTAGTATCGTATATGTGAGGCTCGACATAAATAGTAACGTAACAGAGGCTAACGGCCCGAATTAGACCAAGTTTATCTCGCAAACAACAACAGACCTAGCCAATTAACAAGACTCTGATAATCTTCGATAGTGTTGATCACGTTAGAACTATCCTAAACAGCACAATGTCCACGATGAAGGAATATCTTTGCATCAGATTCTACTGTCACCGTGATCTTGAGCCAAGATAAGTACCCGGTGGGAGTTAGTCTCTCTCAAGGCAGGAAGGGCGAGCAAAACCCGGCGTGAATTCTGTAGTTTACATGTGAGATAAAAGTAGTAGTTTGATGAAGCACATTGTATCCAGGTTTCATAGACTGATGAACTGTCGTGGTGTCACATCCTCAGCCATTCACTATACATAATCATCTAAATCGTAACCAACGAGAAGAGCAAGACATAGAGTGAGTAGTTTAAGATAAGAAAGCATGCAGCAACCGAGTCAGAGCATGACCAGCAAAGTCACGTTTTACCACGATCCGGACTTGCCGGAAGATATGAGATGTATTTGGAACAAGGAAACTTTGCCAAACTTCTTACTACAGACGTGTTGGAGGAAGAGGAGATGATTGCTAAGTAGAAACCAGAACAGACAGCACCTAGAGAGTTTCTTGCCGATGAATATGCCAATGAAAATAAATCACAGTTTGCATACTGAAGCCGACTCTCAGACTCGCTTATGATCGGTGATGTCATTGGGGTTCTGCATTCGACAACGATTTTCCTTCCCCAATTCTTTGCTCATCTGCTGATTCCACTGCTGTTGAAAATAAAGCTTCTACGACACAACGTACGAGGTGTTTCGTTTTGTTTTTGTGCGACTAAACAAGACCCAATGACTGCGTTCACCTTCAGCATATGTACTTCAGAGCTGACAATCGCAATATTTGTTGAACACGTAAAGGTGATCGATCGCTTCTGCACCATGACATTCATAGATCCTTTTCATTTCAAAAGTTTTGGTTGTCTATCTCGTCAATCTTTAATATTAGTATTTCCGGAACCTCGAAATTTATAACCGGAAGAATTGACATGCATCGCATACGCGGGGAATCAGCTCATCAGGGTTGTTCCTTCGGTGACTTTTACCCCGGAACACGGGTGCCCCATAGAGTGTCTCGAATTATGAGAGCAAACGCTGTCCTAGTGTGAAGTACAAAGCTTCTTTACATACACCGCGAGGAACATCAAGACCAAATACGACACTAGACCCAGTCTTAGTGTTGTAAGATAGTCAATATGCGTCTCTCGTTCGCAAGTGCGTATTGTGTACTCACAGCACCCCACCTAGTGCAAGGGAAAATCGATAGGTATCTCAAGTCTTTGCCCGTATCATCAAGTTCATTTCTGACGTTGGAAGGCAACACGTCGTTTCGCAATTCAACATCATCCGCACGAACCTCATTGACAATGAGACGACACCACTCCAAGTCGGCAATGGCAATTTCGCCTTCAATGTCGATAACACAGGCATGCAGGTACTACAATGTGTTTTTAGGTCCCCAGCACATCTCTGATAGTTCTTCCGTAGACGTTTTTGCCTTTCAACACCATGTCAAGTTGGGCGTGGCATAACGATTCACTGCCAGCAAACGGGTACGAACAGAACGTGTGATTGTTGAAGTTCAACATCTAATCTCAAATATAGCGAACTAATATCCGACTACATTGGGTTGCCGCGCGATACATACGGCCGGGAAGTCTTCTATCCATTTCCAGACCCCAAACTCAAGGAGGCAACGCAATGGCTGATTGGGAATCCAAATCGCGTCAACCTTGGCCGTATTGGGCTACGATACAAGGGCGCTACGATCAAACAGTCCTCAATTACTGATCCTAACCAAAAATTGGATTTGTGGAGTGGGACCATCACATCAACGTTCAAGATTGATGGGAAGGAAGTTCACGTTGTGACACAGGGTGACTTCGACACTGATGCTGTCGCTTTTAAAATTGATTCCGACCTCGTCAAGAGTGGTGATTTGCAAGTCGAGATGGACTTTCCATACCCGCCGATTCACTCTACCAAATACAAGTACGAGGTCAGTGCATCATCTTACTAGTCAGATCTTCCTGATTGTTTAATCTTGAACATAGGTTTTCGCTGGTGTATATGACTTTCCAACAAACCATACTACTTTGCTCGTTCAGGATGGAACAAATAATACCTCTGCACACATCCAGCATACCATGCAGGAACTGAGCTACTTTACAAATCTCAGGTGGTCCCACGACAGTCCGTTAGAGCTTTCCAGGAACGAGCCAGCAAACTCAACGGCAATCACCTCACACAGATACACCCTCAGCTCGACCTCCAACTCCTCAGCAATAGAATTCACCACTGAGTTCTCGCCGGATGAACGTGTTGCGAGCTTTCCTGCGAAGATCCAGGAAACGAACTCTAGAGCTTGGAACGAGTACTGGGAACAAGGCGGCTTTGTAGACCTGACTGCTTCTTCTAATCCCAATGCAACTGAGCTCCAGCGACGTATCATAACGTCTCAGTACCATGTACGCGTCAACAGTGCAGGCCAAGGACAAATACCGCAAGAGAGTGGGCTTATGAATAACGGGTGGTATGGTAAGTTTTGTTCATAGCATATATTCTCATGGGGTAGAAACTGACATTGGTCAGGCAAGTTCCACATGGAGATGGTCATTTGGCACGCTGCGCATTTCGCGGTATGGGGGAGGCAAGAACACTTCGACAACATCTTCCCAGGAATCTACGAAAGGCTTCTGCCTTCATCTCTAGCTCGCGCTAGTGCAATGGGCTGGAAGGGGGCCAGATGGCCGAAGATGACAGAGCTCAACACCGGCTTCAGCTCACCGGGCGCGGTCAATGCCGTTCTCATGTGGCAGCAACCCCATCCGATGTAAGAAACTTCCCAAAAGAAGTTCAGGGAGATTTCTAATATCCCAGGTATCTCGCCCAATTGGCATATCAAGCCAACCCGACCAGGGAGACACTGCAACGCTGGGACAAAGTTGTGACTGCCACCGCCGATTACATGGCATCCTACCCCGGACTGAATGCAACAACAGGTAAATACGACCTAGGACCACCAGCATACGGCGTAACGGAAAACACTCCTCCCAACTCCACTCGAAACCTAGCTTACGAAGTACGTCTCCACCCTCTATCCATTACTTCGCTCTAACATCACCAAGCTAGCATACTGGCGCTACGGCCTCGACACGGCCATAGACTGGAAGCGTAAACTCAACCAGTCCATTCCCTCAGCGTGGGAACACGTTGCCTCCAACCTCGCCCTTCCCCCTCAGATCAACGGTCTGTACGCCGTCTACGACGGCCTAAACAGCACCTGGTGGTCGGACCCCGAACTCACCAGTGACCCCCGTAGCCTCATCATGCTACAGGGCATACTACCCGACACGCCGGCCGTGGACCCCGAAGTCGCGCGCCGCACCGCAGACAAAGTGTGGGAGATCTGGGGTGACGCTCAGATCCGCGGGTGGGGTCGTCCTGTCCTCGCTATAAATAGTGCACGGATTGGGAATCCCGAGCGGGCTATTTATCATCTCACTGCGTTTGATTATTGGAAGTTTGACGATGCGGGGTTTGCGATTCGAGGCGGGGATGGGGGCACGCCGCCGCCGTTTATGCCGGGGAATGCGGGGTTTTTGCTGGCGGTTGCGTATTGCGTGATGGGGTGGAAGGGCTTCGAGGGTGATGCGCCGGGGTTTCCGAAGGATGGGAGTTGGGACGTTAGGCATGAGGGACTGGTGAAGAGCTTGTGAACGGTTGGCTTCACATGTGGGTTCGATAGTAATGGTTGATTGACTAGTCGAAGGTTGTAGGGTTATAAATAGACTGCATCTATCGTCTCCGAAACCCAGGAGGTCTCTACATCTCTCCAATTGTCCTCATCATCTCGTTCGTCACTGTCCTCTACCTTTTACTTCTTCAGCCCCTCGCAATTCCCCAAGAACTTGGATAGCAATCCCTCGAACAACTCTGGTGATTCCCAGAACGGTGCGTGACCCAAGCCTTCTAAGCGCATACACTCACCTCCCCACAACCTCTTCCACTTGATCCCCTCAAGATACTCCAAGTTGACATACGGTTCCTCTCCGCCATTCACCACTGCAGTGAGCACATCTTCCGTTTCCATGAGCTTGCGTTGATCAGCCGACCGCCCATATTCACCGTCGCCCTGCTCCGCAGCAAACCTCTTCCACATCATCATGCGACTCCGCCCATCAGTGCGCTTCGCATCGACTTCCATCCACGGCTCAAACAACTCCTCTTTCCCCCGAGGCGCACTCTCCCTCGCAAACGCGCCCGCCTCCTCGTCCGTCCAGTCCACCTTCGCCGCGACTCCCAGATGCGCGTCCTGGAACTTGAAACCCCTACCGATCTCTTCTTTTCCACGCGCCGGCGGCGTGCCGATGATCATCAATCCGCTCACTTCCACAGCGCTCTGGGTCCGAGGAAGCTCAGACGGCGATGACACTTCGACCGCGGAATCATATCCAGCCGCAGACGAAGAAAGTAATCCCACCATCTCAATACCTACATGTCCGCCCAAACTCCATCCGACGATTACCACGCGCTCGATGTTCAGATGCTGCAATACTTGTACTGCTAGCTCTGCGTAGCCTCGCATGCAATACGTTGTCTCGGGGTCCGGCGCGTTGGAACTAGCCCCGTGACCTGGTAGGTCGAATGCTACGACGCGGTACTTTTGCGTGATGTGGGGCGAGTCGAAGATGTGGCGCCATATTTTGGACGAGGAGGAGTTTCCGTGCAGGAGTAGGAGGGTGGGGGTGGATGTTTTGAGGGCCGTGTCGGTTACGCTTATTAGGCCGTGGGGGGTGTCGAGGGTGAAAGACGACATTATGGTTGAGTTCTTTCTGCTTCGAGGACGTCTTTTTCTTCTGTGGAGTTTGGGCTATCTAGTGAAGTTGATGCAGTGTTGTAATGTTTTGTGGGCTCGTTGATAGGATTATAAGGTGATTCTGTCGATTCGTAGGATGTGAGTTTGGAAGCACTAGAAATAAGCAGGCCTAAGGCTTAGCAAGAAGACGTTGCGGTATCGCGACTATCTGGTGTACCTACCTTCCAAGAATTTCGGAAGCTGCAGCCGCGATGTAGTCGCACCTGGCCAACGACACGTCAACGTCAAACGTTGAAACAGAAGATCATGTCACACACGTGTATACAGAGTACTTGAAGGTCATGCAACAAGACGTAAGCTTGACGTCGAACGTACGGCGTAAGCAGGGAATGCGAGATCTGCATCACCGTTCCTGCATGGATGTTGGTGGGGCGCCTACGGGACTGACGGATGCCACCAAACATATTTCAAGGTGGAGCGCGCATGTGAATACTCAGGTGATATGCATAAGCAAGAACAGTCGAATCACTTGAGATAATCAGATGAAGTGATATTTCAGATCAACACATGAACTCAGTAGATAAACGAATTGATCATGAAGGACATGATAATATGATCCTACTTTTTGTCGCTCTCCTTCTCTTCCGTCTCCTCGTCTTCCTCGTCTTCATCCTCTTCTTCTTCTTCTTCTTCTTCGTCGTCGTCCTCGCCCTCCTCGTCTTCTTCTTGCTCTTCGTCATCCTCGTCATCGTCTGCATCCTCATCTTCATCGTCGTCTTCAGCATCCGAGACCTCTTCTCCCAATTCCTTGAGCCGTTTCTGTTATCGGTCAGCTGATGAACTTTGTCAAGACCTCAATTACGGAATGAGCTCACCTTGTCCTTGCTCCTCTTCTCCTCCATATCACTGAGCAACACAAACAAATCGTCAAGCTCAGTCTGCTTCTCCTGCTCGCTCTCCTGAGCCTTGCGCAACTTGTCATGCAAGTCTTTGATCTCCTTGACCTTGGCATCTCTAGCGCTAGCCTCGGACTTTCTCAGCTTCTCCTCAGATTCTTTGGCTTTCCATATCTGATCTTGCGCCTTGGTTTTCAGATCTTGGTTCTCTGCTTTGAGCTTGTCCACAGCAGACTGATTTTCAGAGTGTAGTCTGTCAATGGTGGAGTGAAGCGTGTCCCGCTCTTCTTCGAGCAATTGAATCTGTGCTTCCTGCTCTTGTGCCTGAGCTTCTGAGTCATGCAGCTTTCCGGTGATCGTGGCGATGTCGTCTCGTGCTTTTTGTTGAGTTTGCTCGAGGTTGCGGATGATTTCGAGGGACTCTTGGCGAGTCTTCTCCGAGATGCTCAATCGACGCTCGAGTTCCGCAAGGTGATTGTTTGCGTTGCGCAGCTTCTCATCGTACTCCTGCTTGACGGTAGTGACCGCGGTTGTTCTGTCCTTCGTCGCCTGTTGCAGCCTGTTATTTAGTGCCACGATCTGAAGACTGCCCTTGTTCTCTAGCTCCAACACTGCTTGCTTGTGATCGCGCTCTTTGTTCGTGACTTCCTTGGCGTATTCCGCATGAAGCTTATCGTTGATTCGCTTGAGTGCGTTATGCTGTTCATTGGCCGATTGCTGTGTCTTCCGATGTTCTGCTTGTTCCTGGTCGAGCTTTTGCTCTAAAGCCATAAGGTGTGACTTCAGCTCCTGGATAGCTCGTTCTTTCTCGTCACTTTGTCCTCGCAATGCATCAACGACATCGCGATCAACACCATCATGTGACTGGTGTTGCTCGATGTTCGGATTGCGGTCAATTGCGCGAGACAACCTGCTGAAGTTGTCTTTCAGAAAGTCTACAAATCCTTCTTCTAGAAAGACCTCGGGTAGGCTCCCTCCTCCCCCGCCGTTGCGAGGTAACACTTCGAAGTCGCGCACAAGGGGATGGTGTCGTAATTCTGTGATGGCGTTCAGGTACTTCTCACGACCGAGCTTTGAGATGAGTACAGGTTGCAAGTCGCGCCGCGGCACTGGCGAGTCTTTTGTCGAGAACTCATAGATGATGCCCAGTAGAGCCGCGCAAAGACCCCGAGTAACGACTTTATCGTCGCCGGGAGTCAGTGCGGCTTGCACTAGACTCTGCAAACTGCTTGCCTCGCCAAGGAAATCATTCACCGCAGCAGCGTCTTCGAATAACCATCCAGATAGAAGCATGAGATATGCGATGGATATCCGCTCATCCTCACCGAGCTGTAGGCTTGCGATCAAGTTCGCGGTTAATGTCTGAATGCATGTCACGACTTCCTCCCCACTCTCTGCATCGCCTTCTTTGACCTGCATCAATGTGTGTTTTGCCTGGAGATCGTCGAAGATGAGGTGGAATATCATAGTAGCTGCGAACCAGGTTGTATAGGGGTCACTGGACTGAGAGGCTTGCGGCCCCGCCATGAGAATAGATAAAGCATTTGCTGTTTCGTCACCCTCTTCATGGCCACCAACTGCTCGGTTGAGAAAGTGTTCTCGGACTAGCATGTGGTTGTAGAAATAGGCTTTGATGCAGTCGCAAGCTGCAGTGCGCACATCGAACATATCGTTGGGTGCAGGGGTGAGAACCAAATTTAGCAGTGCCTCGATGACATACACAGTTGCAACGCTCTTTGGAGAGGACACGCCATTTGTAGCTGGTTCTACCATAGGGCGTACTTGCTCCTGAGCGAAGCCTTCTTGCAGTCTAGTGTTTCCTCTGATCATGTCGGCGCAAGTATTCAGAGCTTCAATCTTGATAGGCATGGCTGTTGCGGGGTCAAACGCGATGCTAAGCAGTTGTCGGACGAGCCCGTGTTTCTGAAAAGCATCCTGGTTCTGTAGAGTGCCTACGGCCCCTTTGACGAGAAACATACGCATGATTGCTAGCAGACCCCATATATTCTTGTCACTCTGTGGACTGACCCAGTCGTCCTCTTCCTCAGGACCAGCACGCGACTTCTTTTGCTTCTTCGCACCTGGCAATAGGGCCGCCAACCTAGCGCCGTTGCCCATCTCTCGAAAGTTTGTCTGGTTCGATGCGTTGAAACGTACAAGACTGGCGAGAAGCTTCAGACAGTCCTGTACGACTATGGCGCCTTGGGTGAGGCCACCGTCGGCCTGGATCATGTTGAATATTTTCGTGAAAGCATCCTCGAAGACAAAAAGCTTCTGCAGATCGGACGAGGATCGGGCGAGGTCGGTGAGCACAACGAGGCTTTCATTGCGGACAGCCTCCCTGGGGTCGTCCAGCATTGCTACCAGCCGCGAAGTGCCCAGAGGTGCTATGAGGATGCATTCTTGCGTTCGTTCTGGTCGTGCGAGGGCAATAGCGCGGATCAGTTGCAGCGAGTATAGGCGCGAGTAGAAGTTGGGGGTTTCGAGCAGGTCGAGGAGTAGGGTAATGTTATCTTGCCTCTATCATAAGCTCAGCACTAGCAGTTGCGTGTGGGCAAGGCGCGTACCTGGGTGAACTCGTCTGCCAGCCACAGGGCAATCTCATCGGATGCTTCTGGACTGTTCTCAGCCGGGTGGAAGAGCATAATCAGTGTCTCCAGCACCACCTTGAGCGTGTCGACATCGTCGCCATCTTTGGTCAGAGACGCAATGAGCCCACGCAGAGCTCCCGACGCAACAGAGGCGGGGTATTCTTTTGCAAAGCTTCGAAGGCCAAGAATGGCAGCCCGGCGGTCTTCGAGGAGCGTCGCACTGGCAAGTCGGCTGCTCAGCGTACTAATGGTGTCCGTGGCCGTCTGCTTGGGCGGCGCCTGGGCCTCGAGTACTCGGAGCATCTTGGAAGGCGTTGGCTACACTTGCATAGTGGGGAGTCGAGTTCACGTGCAGTGGGTGGGTGGTGGGCGGATGGAAGAGCGAATGCAGGTTCACGTGAGACTCTCAGAAGCAATTCATAGGCAACTGCCGTGTGGAGATGTTGCAACGGTGAATCGTGGTCTCTCACAAAATGCGGCTCCCAGACCCTGGTCGACACGTCGGCTGAAGCCCGGCTCCCCGGTCTTGGCGCGGATTCCCAGCGCGTTTCTTGTCGCAAAGCTCTCTCTCCGTCTCACCAACCTCACCTCACTCTTGCACATTGCGCTGCACCAGGTCACAGGGCGCCGTGATATATCTCTACACCTCAAGTAGTCGCCATTCCTTTGGTCGACTATCGCGCCAGCCTAATCGAGGCGACGCTCAGTTTCATTTATTCGCCTCCAGGCTTCCTTTTCGCTTTGTCTGCGCTCATCGACGTAGCGTCGAGAAAGCCATCTCCCAACTTTGTATAGTGTCGCAAATATACTATCAGAAACTCTCTAGTTCTAGTGTACGCGCTCTCGCTTCTTCAGTGCTGCTCTACTACCGCTTCGAATCACCAGCATCATCTCATACCCTCCGCAGCCGTAAACAGCGCGCCATCGCACGCCAACTGCAGCCATGGGTGTCCCCGCCATGTTTCGCTGGCTCAGCCAGAAATACCCCAAGATTGTGTCCACGGTCGCAGAAGACACGCCAAAGAAGGTCGGTGATCAGGTTATCCCAGTAGACCGTACTAAGCCCAACCCCAACGGCGAGGAATTCGACAACCTCTACCTCGACATGAATGGAATTGTTCACCCGTGTTCGCATCCCGAAGATAAGCCCGCGCCCAAGACAGAGGCTGACATGATGATGGCCATCTTCGACTACACTGATCGCGTCGTTGGCATGGTCCGACCTCGCAAGCTGTTATACATGGCAGTCGATGGCGTCGCGCCTCGTGCCAAGATGAACCAACAGCGTTCGCGTCGTTTCCGCTCTGCCAGGGAGGCTCAGGAGAAAGACGAGGAACGCGCTGAGTTTGTCAAGTTGCTCAACTCCCAAAAGGCCAGTCGCGGCGAGGACATCAATAGCATAGAAGAGGTCGTCGAAAAGACCTGGGACTCCAACGCCATCACCCCCGGCACACCCTTCATGCACATGCTTGCCGAGAGTCTCCAGTATTGGTGTGCGTATAAGTTCACTACTGATCCATCGTGGAAGGATATGAAAGTCATCATTTCGGATGCTTCAGTACCCGGTGAAGGCGAGCACAAGATCATGAACTTTGTGCGTTCGCAGCGCGCTATGCCTACACATGATCCCAACACTTCGCATGTTATTTATGGATTGGATGCTGATTTGATCATGTTGAGTCTGGCAACCCATGAACCTCATTTCCGTGTTCTTAGAGAAGACGTCTTCTATGACTCTGGTAAGACCAAAACGTGCGAGCGTTGTGGACGTAAAGGACACATTCGTGCCAATTGTGAATTTCCCGACGACGGGAAGAAACTCACCGAGGAGGAGGCTGATGAAGATTGGGCCACTTCTGAACATCAACTCAAGCCGTACATTTGGCTACACACCGGAATTCTGCGAGAATACCTCGCAGTAGAGATGGACAATCCCAAGCGCAAGTTCAAGTATGATCTAGAGCGCTCTCTGGATGACTGGGTGTTCATGTGTTTCTTCGTCGGAAACGATTTCCTTCCTCATCTGCCTAGCTTGGAGATTCGCGACCAAGGTATCGACTTACTCATCAGCATCTGGCGCGATCTCGCGGCTGAGATGGATGACTACGTAACGAAAGACGGTTACCCAGATATGCGCCGTGTGCAGCAGATTCTCACTGCATTGGCTGGGAAAGAGGCCGATATTTTCAAAAAGCGAAAAGAGGTCTCTGATCGTCAGGCTGCGAACCGCGCCCGCCGCGAAGCACAGAATTCTGGTAGACGTGGTGGACGAGGTGGTGGGCGAGGGGGCTACAATGATGCTGCTGCACCCCCGCCCAAGCGTGTGAAGGAGGATACCAGTACTTATCTTAACTCTGGTGTTATGTTCTTCGCTCCTCAAGACGCGCAATCAAACACAGTGCGCGATGCACACAAGGACGTTCTCCACAACCGAGACACGCAAACGAACAAGAGTGCTGCTGCTCGTCTGAAGGAACTGATGAAGGCCAAAGCGGATGGGACCGCGGTTCCCGATACAGAGATGACACAAGACCCCGAACCAGCGTCTGGTGCTGATACCCCTGTTCAACTAGGAAAACGTAAGGTTGATGAGATAGAGGATGCTGACAACGGTACACCTGGTCGAAACACTCCCGTTGTGCCTGAATCGTCGTCCGAGAAGCCCAAATTGAACGAGGATGGCACTCCTGCAGATACTGTCATGCTCTGGGAGCCCGGCTACGAAGAGCGGTACTACGCGCAAAAGTTTCACGTCGACCCCAATGACGTTAAATTCCGCAACACAGTTGCGCGCCAGTATGCCGAAGGTCTTTGTTGGGTTCTTGCCTACTATATGCAAGGCTGCCCATCTTGGACCTGGTATTTCCCCCACCACTACGCCCCCTTCGCTGCGGACTTCGTAGGTTTGGAGGATATGGAACCTCGTGATCTCTTTGAGAAGGGGAAACCATTCCATCCATACGAGCAACTCATGGGTGTCATGCCTGCGGCCTCGAACCACACTATTCCAGAGCCATTCCGGGAGCTCATGTCAGATCCCAACAGTCCAATTGTCGACTTCTACCCTGAAGACTTCCTCATCGACTTGAACGGCAAGAAGTTCGCCTGGCAGGGTGTCGCTGTCCTACCATTCATTGACGAGAAGCGACTACTCGAGGCCATGGCGACGAAATACCCGGAACTCTCTGAGGACGAGCAGAAGCGAAACGAATTTGGCAAGGAGACTCTGATGTTCTCGCAAGAGGGCGGGATGTTTGAGGATGTCAACTTGGCACTGTACCGCAAGGGTGTGCAGAAGCACGAAATCGATCCCGAGAAAAGCCGTGCACTACACGGTCACATCGAGCCACACGATATGTTTGTGCTAGATAGTCAACTAGTCCCGCCGTTCGATGTGGACGGCGACACCGACTTCGAGATCGTGCAAGACGGCTCAATGAGGTATGTTGCTCCTGTCAATATCCTGTATCGTTAACTAACATTGTCTTAGGGTTTACTACGAAATGCCGCCTGTCAGCTCCGACCAAGCCCACCGCTCCGTCCTCCTCAAAGGCGTAAAGCTCAACACTCCCGCCCTCAACGCTGGTGATGCTGCCGCCGTACGTCGCAATCAAGATCGTGGTGGCCAACGTGGCGGATACCGTGGACGTGGCGGCGGAGGTGGTGGACGAGGAGGATACAACGACAACCGTGGCGACTTCCAGAATGGCGGTGGACGAGGAGGCTACTCGAACGGCCGTGGCGGATACAACGACAACCGGGGCGGGTATAACAACAACAACAACAACAACCGCGGAGGCTACGGAGGCCAGCAAAACTACCCTCCCCCGCCTTTCCCCGGGGGCAACGGTTGGGCACCTCCTCAGAACGGCAACTTCGTCCCTCCGCCTCCTCCCGGCTGGGTTCCTCCCCCAATGAACGGCGGCTGGCAGGGTCAGGGTGGATATGCCGCCCCGCCTGCACAGCGCCCGGCTTGGATGAACAACCCGCAGCAACATCAACAGCAGCAGCAGTATCAGAGCGGACCACCACCGCGCCAGGCTCCAAACAACAACTCGCTTCGTGACGAGAGGTTCTATCGCCCCGCAGACGAAATCCTCGGACGCAACGGTGGTGATGGAGGAAGAGGCGGGTATCAGGGTAATGACAGGGGTGGACGCGGTGGCAGGGGAGGCCGTGGTGGCGGTGGAGGAGGGGGAAATAGGCAGTATAGTTCGAGTGACTACCAGTGAGGGAAGGGTGAGACACGTGGTAATGAAAAGGGAACATGGGATACTGGAAAAGAGATTGAATGTAGGATAGGATTGACGCGCTCTGATGGGTTTTTGGGGCGTACTAAAATGGACGTATCTTGGAACTCTGTGTTTCCAGCCTTGGTATTGAATTGATAATGCTTCTGTGTGGTATGGAACTGTGCTTGTTTGGCTAACATACGGCCATTTCACTGTAGCCATAGGCTTTTTGGGAGCTGGGAACGAGAAAGGCAGAGGTAAGGTGAGGGATAGTCCGCTCATGTTTATGCAGGTCTTTGACATGGGGATTATTTGCACATCATCCAGTCAACACTATAATTCCGTCCACACTATTGGCAGAAGAAAGAAGTTTTCGCTCATCGAGTGTAGCAAACCATGTCTGAACATGATCTTGCCCATCAGTCTTTTTAGAACACCGTTTTTGCTACTGTGTATGTATTGGAATATGCTGGGTTGATGTTAAATAAGGAAGATGTATATTCATGGAGTAACCTGGCAGTATCAATATATGCGGATGAAACTCAGACCTCAAATCGTTCGGGAATTCAGTCATGTGATGGGCGGTCGGTGTGGGTATATATAAACCGCTCTCCCACTATTCGAGTTTCTCCCTCGTCACCCTACCTCATAAGTTCAAAATGAACAACAACAAGGGCATAGATTGAATGCCTGTTCCTAAACTACACATTTATTTGCAGTATCTCTTTTGTTCGATACTTTATCCCGAAAACCTCTAATGCATGTCACCATGTTTTCATGTCTGCTTGCTTGTCCCATCCATATAAAACGGATCCAATTTTCGCCATGATCTTTTCCTCACTCACTATACTATTTCTGCCAAATCCGAAGGTGGTTCTGATGATGGCTGCGGTGTCTCCTCACTCACCGTCTTTTACAATGCCTCATCTTCTAAACCCCAAAGGTATGTTTCTATGGCTTTGGTACCTTCTGCTCAATGATACATACATCTACTTCAAAAGCTTTGTGTTACGCGAACATGTTTGTGACCTCTTCTTCCCCCTGAGATAAAACGTCTGCGTCCTGCGGACTATGGACTGTCCAAACTCGACCACACGAGTCTCGATGTGTTTTCAAAACCATACCAACGGCTATCATGAGACGTGGTGTTGAATGAAAAGGTGACCGAACACATGTTTGTCTACATATGCATAGTACTATATGGCTTTGGAGCTGAGGGCTTGTGTTACACGATACCATGATCATGGATAGAGATCTTCAAGAGAATGCAGAAATGCTATGTTCTTTGTAACGATGTAGACATAGAGTCGTCATCGTCTTTTTGTGCTGTCGTTTCGCCATCACATCTTGTTTCGGGGCTGTATAGCGGAGGAGAAGGAAGTTCTCATAACTCAGAACGGCAGCCTTTTTAGATGTTGGATTGTTGACTGGTGCACCGAAATCTCATGGTTATTTGGTGGTGTAGTTTTGTGTGCTGATAGAGTGTCGTCGTAGAGAGGAAAGAAAGTAACTCACATCATATCTCTTTAATTGTGTTTCTGGACATTGAGATATTGATTGGTATCCCGGTTACTCATCACTTTCTCATGTTTCTTTTTTTGTGTAACCATAGAGTTTACAACAGGGAGCAGAGAAGCGAGAAACTCACATTGCTTGTCCCCTGTTGCATTTTTGGATGTTGAGATATCGATTAATATTCTCGACACTCATAAGTCTGTCGTAGTTATTGTTTTTTTATGTAAAGATAAAACAAAATAGCAGGAAGCAGAGAACAAGATGCCAGATGCGTTTACATCAGTCGGTTTGTATCCATTCGTCGTCATTTGGGAAGTTTTCGATTCAGGGGGTTTTGACGTTGACGTTTTCATAGTGTGCGTAGTATTCCATTTCGAATTTTAGAGTCATGTGAGAAAGTGGAAGGAAACGAGCTTTTTTATTAGTGTCCGCCGGGCCAAACTTCCCATGATGTCGTTGAGAGTCATTTTTGAACCGTCATGAGCCATCATGCGTTATACTTTGGATTATGAATGGCAAACATCATATCGAGAAAGAAACAGGAGCTCAAAAATCTTGGTCCCTATTGGCTCATTCGTGTTTTTGGTACTTCATGAAACCGTAGTGGGGATGTTTTTGGTATATATGTTTGGTTTCTCGTTCTGCTTGGAAACTTATGAGTAAAAGAATGACCTTTGTAGTAGAATCTCCCGATCTGTTCCAAGAAAAAGACATAGGATTTATGGATTCAAATGCCTAGTAAAGCACTAAGTTGTTCTTTTTTGAACAGCTGAGGCATAGAAGTGAGTATGCTTGGTACACAGTTTCAAGGGGAGGAGCAGAGATTGACAGTAGCATCTCGGTACATGAGGGTCGGAGACTTCGGTTGGGTTCTTTGGCGCTCAAAGTAGTGGTGGTGAACAGAAAACAAAACATGACGGAATTAGTATCTTGACTGACAGTAGAGGCAAAGCACTGCATTAAGACAAGACCAATCTTCGTCCTGCATGAGATGCCGATAGGTTAGAGTATATTCCAGTATGCAAGCCGACAGCATTGAAGCACTAATTCTACCAAACAGATCATTATATAGTACAATCAAAACACACCCAAAATACCTCATTCCACACTCCGCCCCTTCTGACCATCTACATGACGTGAATCTTTCGAATCCAGGACGCCAATGCAAAACTGAGGCAAACACCCTCATATCGAGCGCGCACATATAACTGCCTCTTACAGACAATCTTATAAACCTGCTCATCCCCATTCAAAAACGCTTCGAGACGGTCGCGAGCAAGACGCATACAATCCACAGCCAACTGGCAACGGGCGTGGTCAAGCTCTTCCCAACCACGGTAATCTAAGCCATATACTAATCCTTGCACGTAGTTTAGTGTTTGAAGGGGTGCCTCAAAACCCATCTCACGGTCCGTCCAGTTCGCAAAGTTGAAATACTCCGAGGAGTAATCTGGCGCGGGAAGTGCGGACGGGAGCTTTGCCAGGTATGCGCTCACGATTGGGAGTAGGTACTTGGCATATTTAGAGCATGGTAATGTACCGTTTAGGAAGAGCGGTTTGATGTGGCTTATATCCTCGTTCAGTTCTTTCTCGTTCATCTGCTGCGGGGTTGGTGGTGACAGTGCGGTGCTACAAATCGGGCAACCCACTGCCGCTTCGCTAGTATTGTCGGTGAAGCAGCGGAAACACATGATGTGTTTGCAGCGTAGTTGGACCGGAGTAGGTCTAGTATGGTCCCAGGGATTCAATGCCGACGTATTGACTCGGTCGTATGTAGAGGAACACATTGGACACATCTCGTCGGGCAATTCATACCCCTGCATAGGTACACACCAGTCCTGCTTATTCGCACAATGCTCTTGAAAGCTGAGGTTCTGGATAAAACTACTCGCTTCGTTCTCCAAGATGAAGAACTCCTGGTCGAACAGATTACATTCTGTTTTCAAAGGTTCGTCCTGGAATTCCCTGCTGCGCCAATACGTAAGGTCATGTACAGCTCTTTTATCGATTTCTGCCCCCCATCGGGCCATGGCATCTTTTCCAATCTCGAACCCGGTCAGGAATTCCAGTGTGTGCCTTTCGCTGAGAGAATTCCATTCACAGGCAACCTTCTGTCCGGCATGCCAGGTTCGCAGGTACTCGTTCGAGACCATGGCATCCATGAAATACACGTAAAGATCCTTCAACGTATCATGTATTGGTTTGCCGTTGTCGTGCGTGTTCGAAACGGAGTGGTACAAAATACCTTTCAAAAGCTCATCTCTTGATAGCATTATGGTGTCGTCGGCAACCCGTTCGTCTTCGCCAGGGCCACATTCTTGGAATGGTCCGTTGGTTGTGTACCCTGTGAAAACCCATCGAAGCAGCATATGATCATGCGGGAATCGTTCTGCGGACAGTTTCAACCCGAAATGAAGGAATCTGAACAATAGCAGCCTTGCGCGTCGGAGATGATAGTTTGGGATGCTTGGATCATCGACCTGGTCGTTGTGGTAGAAGTGTAGTGTTCGTACCGAAAGGTGCAATTGGAAAAACCGGGTTAATCGACGCAGCACATGATCTTTCTTGGCTTGATCCATCGTATAGTATAGAATGTAAGGTGTGAACGATCAGCCGTAATTGAGGTATACAAGAAATTTTAGGCTCTCTGTCAAAAGAAGCTTAGTTACGGGGGTTTGTGTTTTTACTAAGATCAACAAGAGCAGGAACTTATACGATTCGACTTACATGGTTCAATATTCAGCCTCTTTACATTGTGCTCACACTTTGCATCGCACCTGCGACTGAGCACAATGTTCATATAACAATCATGGCATACCAACAAAAGCAACTCGGCATGCTAACCACAATGATGAACTGGGCATTAGAAAAGGTTGGAAGCTCTGTATACTCTTTGAGAGAAAGTGAAGAAACAACGAATGTATCTACGAGCTGTCGTATATGTACATGCAAGTACACAAACAAAGGAGTTTCACATGTTCAAGACAATATGTTACGAATTGACTGGTTTCAGTGGCAAGCCAACCTGTGCCAGAGTGCCAGAGTGCCAGAGTTGATCTAATCTATAGTATCGTGGTGGTTTTTGCAACTCGTCCTTGTCCTTGCAGGACTGCGAGATCAAATAATGCATATTAACTCTTAAGAAGTGTCTGGTCATATACACTTCTTAAGAGTTCACGTCTGCCTTGCACAACCAAAACCCATTAACAATTTTCCTGACCCGACCACACCTGGTAAACGCCTAGCCGGTCTTGAATATTGCGTTGATTCCTGCAATTTTAATTCGAGAACAAAACACACACATGCCATTCCACCAGGAAACCTTTTGCTTTACTGAGTGTAAAGGCGGAGTATCCAGATATATCCACAGCCCATCGTTAATCAACACATACACATACACATTCATGAGAAACTTTTCTATCATACAAGTCCGCGTCCGCGTCTGCATTCAAACCCAAGCCCCAAGTCCAGACCTGACTAAGCGCACCCCATCGGAGGTCGCCGACCCCCGCTTTCACCCAACCCCACGCCATCGCACCGGTGAGACACACCATGCATCACGCACAACCCACACAAACAGCGCAAGCCACCCGCCCCCACAAACCCATCCCCCACACGCACATCAGCGGGCATCATTTCCAATAGAGCAGAGCAAAACACGGCAAGTCAAGTCAAGCCAGCGAATCAATGCACTACATACCCGTACCCCCAGGGCCGAAGAAAAACCCATCGAACAAATCAAACCCATTCCCATCGCTCCAATCATGCGTCCCGTCGCCAAACCCCATGCCGAACCCAATCCCCACGTCCTGCATTGCGTTGCCGCTGGCACTCGCACCACTAGCGTTTCCGTCTGCGGCGACGCTGCCGCCGTGCACGGGGAAGCTGTCGAGGAAGTCGAGGTCGTTGAAGCCGAGATCTGGGTAGGAGGGGTTGATATTCTGTGTGAAAGCGTTGTAGGGGAGTTGGTTTGGGAGGTGGTAGGGGGAGGGGAGGGTGTTTGGTTGTGCTGGGGGCGGGGAGAAGGATTGCCGGGGTTGGGGGTGATTTTGCTGTGGAGAGTGGATTGTTTGGGCAGTCGGGAAGGCGAAGCCGTGGGTTCGGAGTTGGGGGCTGATTTTTAGGTCGGCTGTGAAGATGTTCTCTTTTACTGCTGGGGTTGGTGGGGGGCGCATGGCGTTGACCTGGTTGCTGACACGGCTGAAGGATCGTTTGTCTGTTTCGTCGTCGGAGAATAGGTCTTTGAGGTTCATGTCGAAGCGTGGTATAGGGCGTCGCGAGTGCTGTTGTTGGAAGTAGTTGGGGTTCCTGGCCGTGTCCGTATATGTTGTGGTAGGTGAAGTGGATGGCTGACGGTGGTGCTGCATTTGTGGGAGTGCACGGAGGGCTTGTGGGCCGAAGCCGGTTGTGGACATGCACATCTGGATGGTCGCTTTGCTCATCCGGTCGAAGGCGTCTCGACAGGCTTCTGCTGGTGGGCACTTGTCCATAAGGTCGCCTAGGACGGATGTTGCAGCTAAGACGGTGAAGTCGACGTCGTCGAGAGACTGCAGACAGTCAGTACACTGCTATGAGATGATACTCAGGAGGGAGCCAAACGTACCAGTAGGCTGCGTACATGTATACTGTGCCACACAGCGTACAAAAAGGAAATACCTGGGAGGAGTCAGCTTCGTCAGTGATAATAACTGCTAGAGGACTGACCAGCCATGAACAAATGATGGGTAGCCAGAAACGTGTAGTTGACAAGGTGCACGCGATGCAGCTGTCGATACAACTTCAGGACCTTCTGGCCCGCTTCAGCCACCTTGAGGAAGACCAAGTCTTCGTCTTCCCGTTCCTCCATGCTGGCAATAGATGGACTGCCAACATCAGACCCCGTAGCACCAAGCTCACTCTGTAGGCCAGAGGGGACCACCAGACTTTGCCGGTACAGCATAATCAGGGCTTGCCAGTAGTTAAGTTCCAAGAAAAGCGGCGAGAACTGCACGCCCGCATCCATTTGTGATGGGGCAGCGTCCTTCCATTCCAGCAAGCGTCTGTCAATGTCGGCTCGCCAGGCGCGGAACGAGTCGAAGTTTGCCAAGAAAGGCGAAGGCAGTTTTGTGTGCATAAACTCATTGGCTTGATTTGCACCACTAACTCGTGCCTGCTGTGCCTGGCGGTGCTGCAGAACCTGTAGAATTTCAGACTGCAGCAGTCTGAGGCGGAAATAGTGATGGGCAACAATCTTGTACGTCGGCTGTGCTTGGTGTGGAGGCGGATCGAGAAATCCCTCCTTGGTGATGTAGCGATCATCGAGGAGCGAGGGGAACTCAGTCGTCACGATTTGATCTGTGATACCCTGTGATTTGTTAGCTTCCTGGCGCAGGTTGAGAAGGGCGCAGAAAAACACTCACAAATGGTCTGCCTACACATGTGCTGACCAGCCGATCCAACGAATACACACACCACCACAGCCGCCGTCGCAGATCGCGTACCCACTGTCTGCGACCCCTCTCCTTTGCGTCTATTTTGGGAGAGTTTGCACGACCTGCAGCCGCGGTGGGGCCATTCTGGCAGTCCTCGGCTTTGAATTCGGGCTTCCCAGCAGCGTGGTCCTCCGAGCCTGCCCCGTCAATTCCCACACCGTCTTCGTAGTGCAACCCCAAGTCGACTCCGAGACGGACGGCCACACCAACAATGTACCACAAGCCAGGGGCGACGGGTCGCAGCAGGGCAAAGCCGGCAAGAAGCAATACAGCCTGCAGCTCCTCCAGCCCCCCACCGAAACCGTCGGGACGGTCCGCAGCGGGCGAAGAGCCGAGAAAGTTTTCGAGGTGGACGATTGCAGAGGCGTGGTACTCCTCGGGCTGGTGCTGCTGGCCTGCAAGTCGCCGTCGCTTGCTGCTGGGGGGCGAGGAGCGGGACTTGTTCGGCGACACGGGATTGTCTGAGGGCGGCGAGTCGGCGGCGTCGGAGCTGCCCAGTATAATACCGGCGCCTATGGCAAAGACGATGTTCAGCATGTACGACTCGCGCGAGGTGCGGTGGCGCTCCCCGTTGGCGTAGACGCGCTCAAACAGCTCCATGAACTCGCCGCGGTGCAGGATGGGGATCTGCGGATTCGCGTGCTCAAAGTACAGCTCGACTAGGCGGGCGCCGAGGTCGCGGTCGGGGAAGGGGGCCTGGCGGAACGTGGGCTTGGTGTGCAGGCCGAAGAAGGAGTCGCGCATCGAGGTCCCGCCGTCGACAGCCGCCATAGTCGCCTTGCCGCCGCGGTTACTGCCGCGCTCAGAGGACGAGCCCGACACGGAGCTCTTGACGGCGGCGAAGACAACGCGGGCGAACGAGATGCCAGACGTAGAGCCTAGATAGCGCGGGTCGCTGGCGCCCTGGACCGACACCATGCCGATGTTGGACACGAGCTTGGTGAGCTTCTCGCGGTCGTACTTTTCGTTCTCCTCCTTGGTGGACGCATTGGACGGGACGGCTGTGCTGCCATTGCGGTTTTGGGGCGCCGAGACGGGCCTGACTGCGGAGCTGTCGTCGGCGTGGAAGGCCGGGTTGAAGTCTTGGGCGGGCTGGAAGGGGACGGCGTGCTCGTTCAGCAGCGACTCGAGGTAGGCGACGCGTGTTTCGAGGTACCACACATAGCTGGGGCGGGTTAGTCTACACCGAGCACTGCTACTACGACCTCTACTGCTGCAACAAGAGCTATAGCTGCAGCACCAACATCAACACCAACAGACGACATACCTGCGGGGAATCTCGCGCTTCGTAATGGGATCGTAGCCCGTGCACTTGACGCCCGCCTTGTCGCACGACGCGCACGAGGGCAGGCGCTGGTCGCAGCGGTTCTTGCGCAGGCGGCAGCGGTTGCAGGCGCTGACATTGCGGAACGACGACGCGTTGCTCGCAGCAGCAGCGACCGTGGGCGAGGGCGGTTTGGCCGAGGCGATCGAGTCCGAGGGCGAAGGGAGCTCGGCGTCATGAGACTCCTCCAGAGGGCGCTTCATCATCAGGGCGCATGGCAGTTCCGCGCGCGCGCTGGCAATGTCGTGCACAAGCTTGACCGACCTCTCACTCGTCGGCAAGCTCATGTGCCCCCGCACCGCGCAGTGTCAGACGGCTTGCTGGGCAGAGACTGGGTCGTCGACGGCGACGGCAAGGCCAGGATTAATGGGCAGTGGCAGGGCGGGCTGGGTGTCGTCGTCTGGTGCCCTCCATCTCTCATGGCTGACTGGGAAGGCATTCGACGGGAGCATGGACTAACACATCCCTTATCGGTCGTGGGCAAGATAGCTACCTTTGCCGCGGCTTATGATTCATGTGGAGGTGGACCCTATCACTCGCGCCTCTGACCCCTCTATCAAACACCACCGCCATCAGACATTGCTATTATCAATACTACTGTCGACTTGGACAACCACTTGACTTGATCAGTGCGCAAGTCGTAGTCACCCCAGTGCACTCCGTGATGTGCGTGCAGCAAGTCGACATGACATGCTTGGACGTGGACAGAACCATCGCGGAAGAAGAAGCGCCGCGAGCGGAGTTCCTCCAATGAGGAGAGGAAGTGCTGCCTCGACAAAAAGGATACCTGTAGCCGTCAACAACAGCGACAGAACCGTCCAGGATGCCACTCCATGTGATTGCGGCGAGTGAGCGACAGGTAGGAAGAAGTCCAGGTCTGCAAGCAAGTGGGTGAGGTGAGACGACGAGACAATGAAGAGGATCGTGGCTGCTCCATGTAACAAGCGACAACCTGGCCCCATTGGACCAGCACAACGACAAACAGTGGATGCAAACCTCAACAATAACCGTCGAGGGCCTGTTTCAACAAGCACATGCGAACATGCAAACCATTGCATTGCGAGGTAGTCTACCCAACAAGATCACGTTGTCAGCATGGCCCCCCTAGCATACCGTGTAACCAAAGCAGAGCCCATCACATCTGCAAGGCCATCACATCGGCGTAATCAAACCCCATCCAAGCCCCCCCCCCCTTCGCGCTGCTGCCAACCCACACGCGTTCCCCCCCAACGAACCATCAAACGAGTCCAAGCGACACATCAACAGAAGATCGTCCACCCACCTCCCCAATAGCAATCGAGAATGGAAAGTGGGGGACCAGGGCAAGCAAAGCACACCAACCAACCAACCAGCCAACCAACCCAGACCGACCTAAACCCAGACCCAGGCACAGGCACAGGGCACAAACAGACATGACATGAGCACACCACATCATCGTCGCGCCCAAGATCAAGATCGCCCTCCCCCCGGCAACTTCCACCCATCAACCACCAGCTATGATCACTCGCCTCCCCACCGCAGCAAAGCGCAACGCACAAACCTCCCTTCACCACAACACAAGTCGAAACTCACCTCCCCGGCCCCAAAACCAAGCATCCCCCCCGGCCCTCAGACGACCAACAAATAGCCCTCCATACCCACCGCCCCTGACTCGCACCACCCACGACTAAGCACCCTAGCCACCTTCCCCTAGTACGCGCACGCACGCGCGCACGCACATACGCACGCACCTGGCCCCAGCGTGGAAGGCGGATGGAAGGCAGCATGGAAGCAGCAATAGAACAACCGTTTCGCGTCGGTCGTTTTGTCGTTTCAAATTTCGCACCGGGAGGAAAATAGCCCGACCGGGGGTGGCAGGGGCGAGAGAGACTAGGGTACACGAGTCACCCTTTCAGCACGGGGACTTAACTGCTGATTTACGCAGACTAGGGGAGGTGGGCTGGCGGTCTGTCTGTCCTGTCGGAGGCGGAGGGCTGGATCTTGCTCCGATGATTTGTGATTTGCTTGGTTTGATGATGGATGGGATGGATGGAGTCATTGATTGATTACGTCGGCTGGTTGGTCGGTCATGCTGTTTTGCCTTGCCTTGCCTCTTGCTTGCCCTGTCTGGGATGCCGAGTTGGACCGGTAAGGGTAGAGTGTTTCCTGGTCCAAAAAGGCCGCGCGGTGAAAAAGTGAAGCAAAGTTTCGCCTTGAGCAAGTCCCTCTGTTTAACCCCAGCGCGTAACAAACTAAACTTGCTCACAACGAATCAGCGCAAGATGCCATCATATGTGCGTTGTGAAAAGAACCTGTATTTCTCCAATGCCCATCATATCTGCTTTTGCAAGCAAGCCCAGCTTAGCTAGCAAAAGCGACCCTATTCTAAACCCCCCTACTACCTAGTCCATGTGTCCAAAAACTAATACAAAAAAGCCAATCGATGAGTCGGAAATAAATGAAAATACAAAGAGAGCTATCTATCTACTGGGGGTATTCTGTTCTTGTGCAATGCAACAAACAAACGCCTTTTGCTCATATAGCATCACCATCGCTGGTGTGAGGTTATGAGCCTTTCCTTTCCTTTCCCTTCCATCTATAAATATTCATCCGACAAAAAACCCGCAAAAGGACCACCCATTAAAATAATAAAGTACAATGCCGCTGTAAAGATGAAAAAGTCGTGTGAAGATTTTGCGCCGAGTGATATGCAGTGTGAGGTTGGAGAATCCCGAGATAAAGAAACTCCGAAATGTTCTTTTTTGCTGAACCCTGGTATGTCTAATAATGCCGTGTTTTGCGCCGTTTCTTTTTTGTGTGTGTGTGGTCGTTGATGTGTGTGTAAGCGTGTCTATTTGGAGAGGACCGTTTCCACGGGCTCATCGGCCGTGAGTGTGATGATGGACGCCGTGTCGGACATGGAGTCGGCCAGCGACTCCTCGTCCTCGGGTATTCTGGCGTAGATCGATCGCTTGTTGCCCTCTTGCAGGAAGAAACCTGGTGCCCAGCCGAGAAACGCGACACCTGCGATTGTCCACCAAGCGAGGCCAGACATGCCAATGTGCTCACCCCAGCTGTCCATGGCACCGGATATTGTTGGGCCGAAACCGCGCGAGATGCTGGCTGCCGATGCAGCGGCCCCGTTTAACGTTCCAAGAACTCGTTTCGATGGCGAAGAATTGGCCAAGATGATGGCGAGAGATGGGTAGGAAAGCGATTGGAACGTGACTTTGGCCACAAGCAGCACCATAAGGCCGGGAGTTCGAAGGTTTGTCGGAAGGAGCGCCAGGTAGGGGGCGAGGATGTAAAGAAGCGGGTACAAAGATAGGGTGATCCAGAATGTGCGCAGACTCCCAAGCTTCTTGCTGAGGTAGGGGAAGAGGAAGACCTGGGCAATCATTTGGAGAGCACCTTGCATGGCCAGAAACCCTCCTGTCTTCTGCGTCGTCCAGCCGAATCCTCCGGAGAAGTAGAATGGGAGTTGCTGCGCCTCGTGCTTTGGCACTTGTTTCGACATCATGATAGGCAGGAGTTGTTCCAGGGAAATTGTGTGGCTGCAGATCAATTAGCATTTGTTAATAGTTTGGCAGAACTGACGTACAAGGCAAGGATGCCGTAGCACACAATGTTCAAACACACTTGCTTCGAGAAGGCCTGTCGAAGAGTCGGCGCTTGTGGCGCTTCCTTGTCGAGGAAAAATGAAGGCGGTTCCGAAATTGAAGTACGGGTGCTGCACAGGGTTGGCGAGCTGTTGTTGCTTTGGAAGCCTTGTGGTTTGCTGTCGTGATCTGCGAGCATGCTCCTCATCTCGTCAAGCAGCGCATCCTTGTCGGAAAATGTCGCGGGTACATCTCGCTTCCAGACTTTTCGCAGGAGCCACTGCCCTGCCGCGCATCCAGAATCCCGGTCGAATTTCCGATCTTCGTGCGTCTCTTCCAAAAAGAGGATACCAACAGCCAGCCCAAACACCACCACTGCAGCGCAAACCAGATTCGGAAGAAGGTACGGGTATGTTTCGAAAATGGTGCCAACGAAAGGTGTCCATGCCTTCGCGGGACGTGCAAGGACACCGCCAAGTGTTGCGCCGATGATAGTGCTGCAAATAGCGGTCAGTCGTGTTCCAAATAAACTCCCGAGAACAAACTTACCCAAGGCACCATACGAAAGGCATAATGGAATAAGCACGCGCTATTGAAGTCAGCCCTGCCCGAAACCGTAGTAGCATGCGCGGAAAACTTACGTTGGTGCTTTTCATCCGTCACCAGCTCCGCAACCGTTGTTTGGAGAACGCCGATGTTCCTGCATATTCGGTTAGCGGAAAGTTCAAGCGCTAGCTGGCACGATGACCTCACCCGTTCAGTAAACCTCCGAGAGCCCGAGCAACCAATGCCATGGGCAGACTTCGCGCAAATCCGAAAAGAAGCATGCTCAACCCAGTGCCGAACAGGCCCCCAAGTAGAACCTTTTTTCGCCCAATCCTGTCGCTCAATCGGCCCCAGAAGATTCCGCTGATGCACTCCATGAAGGCAAATGACGATGTAACCATGCCTGTGTACATGGCTATTTCGGCCTTGCCTTTTCCAACCGAGAAGTCTTCGACCATGAAGTATGCGTAAGGGAAGATGGACATGAATGCTATTGGCTCACATATCCGGCAAAGTGCTGCTATGGTTAGCAATGGCCTTCCCTATCTTCAGACATGACAGAAGAACGTACCCAGGATAGCCATCTGTCGAGTTGGGAAGGGTGCATTGCCACTACCAAGGGTAGAGAGCCTGCCGTACGGAGCCATGGATGTGGTGTTGGAGCAGTGGAGTAGAATTCGGGAGGCTGAGAAACACCAAGGCTAGTGGGAGAGGACAGTATTTAAGTGAGTTGATCGAGGCAAATAAGACATGTGCAAGTTGCGTCAGATCGGTTGCAAGGGCGAGAGTCAGGTTGTATAAGGGAGAGAGAGCAAGATTTAAGTGGCGTCCTGGATGGACAAGGATGTGACGGCGGGGAGGAAACGGAGAAAGGAGCGGTGATTGTTCAGGGTAAGGATACGTCGTATGGACGGATGAGCACAGCACGGAAGGACCAGCGAATATAAGATGAGAGCGGATCCGTGGTGCCGTAACTTTGACAACAACGGCGTCATGCCTGCCGGCAGCTCGGAGTGTGTTGGCAGCCAAATTGCTGCTAGCCTCAGATCATTTGTGACTCCAGGTCGCCGGTTGAGAAGAGCAATTGTGTGCCCCTGAGTAACAGGCATGGCCGGAGTAGCTCTGGTCCCAACGTAGGACTGGGACCGACTGCGCGGATCCATGGCATTGGTCCGGCTAAGCGCAAACAAGTAAGGCGTTTGCAAGAGCGTTGGGCTCGCGAAAGTAGATCAGCAGCGCACGCCCCCGGAAAAGCATGCGGGCTGAAATAAACCCAAGCTCGCGGATGCGGCTACAGAAGACTAGTCTTAACTCGACAACCAAGTCTAGGGCTCCCTGCTGTGACCACGAGTTTTGCGGACGCCGTGCTGTAACTGGCCATAATAGGTAAGAAGCGGAAGATGCTTCCCGTTCCCCGACAGCCAATGCAGCAAATAGGACTTCTTCCGACTGATTTCCAGGGGGCACCCGAATAACGCCGACGTAAGTAGCGATGGAATAAATTTTGGGCTTGCGAGTCAGCAAGGGGGAACGGGCGACAGTAACTTTCTAGAAAGACTGCATGGACCAATGGGCAGAGGCCTGTCGCTGTCCATGTCGTCGTGTCGCCGGCATCGTGGCATCGAGCCGCAATTGCTCTGCCAAGCCAAACTGTTGGCGGTGTAATCTGTAGCCGGCAACAAAAGCGACCGCATAAAAAAGCAACTTTTGCCCAAATGTGTCACGCGCGCACAGCGAGGCGCATGGTTTTTTGCGTAGCCTTGCTGCAAAACATGCCGATACAGATCATCGTCAGGGCGACGCGCCCCGTTTGGTACAACAAAAAAACGACGACTCGGCGTCACCAAGATCAGTTCCCTAGCGCTCCGCATCCGGCGAATTTACTTGCTGACCCATGTGCCATCCCCGCGTAACAGTGCGATTATCAAATTGAATTGCAGGCTACGTGACTGTTGCTCAAACATTCATCCATCGCTCGACGCAAGGTTCCGTCATCGGGAATCATCATCTCATAAACTTTGAGTCGTCAATGGCCTCATTTACATCAGCTGACAGAGTTTTGTGCCAACGTAGGTCTGTGTTGCTGCCCAGTCCAACGCTTCCCAGCGTTCTGGTGGCTTCGGGTGTTCTTCCGTGGCGTATCGCAAGCTGAGTTGTCGCAGCACGGTGGCTATGGTTTGCAAGCGTGCCCTGCTCACGGCCAAAACGGTAAGGTATAACGGTTGTCTCGACGCAAGTTTGAGTGGGCCGTGCCCCATACAAGATGATGGCGGTGTGGACATAAGGCTGCTGCAGAAATCGACTAGGAGGTGGCTTGTAACTTCCACGCGAGACTTTGCGACGGGCAGGGTACAAGGCAGTAGCTTGAGACGACCAGTCCTTCTTGGTGGCTTCTGGTAGCGCCAGGCTTCCGGCCCTGGTGGTCTGATTGCTTCAAACGAATCTCGAGGTGGGGTTACCGCTGGCTGTTACTTTCGCCTACGCAGGAATGAGTCGGTGCTTTGCATCCGTAGCCGTGAGATACGTCGAGATGCCGGTGAGCTGCGTGCGTCCACGCGCACTTGGAATTGTGGGATTGTGGGATTCCAAGGGATCTTGGGCATGCATTGAGAAAGCCCTACCGTCAAGATTGTGGATCGATGGTAGAAGCAAAGCGAGGATAACAATAGGACCCGACAGCGTGGATCGATTTCTCCGATCATCTCAATTGCTGCAGCCCTCCCCAGTCAAACGCCAGCGGTGTGCATGTGAGGTGGCCCCTCGGCAGTGGTGTTTGGATGCCATCGTATCCTTTTGTACCCGGTTTCGCGTCGACTGGAGCCAGCACACTCCAGATCTGTGTGGTCGCACAAACTCTCGTCACATCCGACTTGCATTTGGGTTTCGGGCACTCGAACAACAAGTTGAAGGAAGAGTCGGAAGCACTGCAGCTTGCGCACTACCGCTGTTGGCGGCCGCTCTCTACGGGAAGCTTTGCCGCGACATAGGCCAATCTGAACGACCAAAGGCAAACAGATGAGGGTCGAAAAAATCATCGCCGTGTCACCGTGAAAGACTTGCCGTCCTGGTGAGTGATTGTGGATCGCGAGCAGCGCCCACGTGGGAATGCTCGCCAGTGCGGCGCTGACACGTCGACGGACATGAGCGCGAGGAAGGTGAGCGCGCACCACGAGACCATCAAGCTGCTGCTGGCCATGTCTTTTGCGGTTGCGGTGAGACGTCGTGGTGTTGCAGGCTCAAGATGTACCGTCTGGTGGATCGGACATGCATTGCTAGCGTGAAACCAGCATCCGCTTCGACTCGACTGCCGGCCTACAGCCGTCGTCGCCAAACCGCCTTCACTGTGCCCCACGATATGTCGCCGTCCATTGCGTCTTTCCGCCGGCAGCATTTGCTGGTCGAGTTGTAGGTCGAGGTCATTGGCTACGCGTACTGATCTGACCGCCCACAGCTCTAGTCTGCGCTATGCACAGCTCGACGGCGTCTTCGTGAGCATCACACCAGGCGACCCGTCGCTGTGGGTAGGCGTCATCTTCGTGCGGAAAGGTATTGACATACTGAGCCCTAAGCCAGAGCTGGCCGTGCTGCGTTGATGCCCAGTTCCGTGCATTGTTAATCCCGTTTGGCAGGTCCATATGCACCTGCAGTCTTGCGTTTCCAAGTATCCTTCCCACCCAACTATCCTACTCTGCCACCTCTCGTGACCTTTTCCACCGATGTGTTCCACCCGTTGCTCACGCCACTGACGACGTACACTTACACGACTGGGTCTTCGGATACCGATACCGTCAGTGCAACGGATGATGAAAGGCTGCCGCCGGGAGGATTCAGTCTTCGACACGGCTTCCCACAGTGGTTTGGACGGGCCGGAAAATCTGCAACAGAACCTCGCAAAGCGAGTGGCTCGACTGTAGGCAGTCCGGCCCGGAGTGTTACGTCCGTACGTGCAGACTTTGATAGCGTTACCATGAACTCATCCGACGTTGCTCCGCCTACCATAGAAGTTCCAATGGTCATCATGCTGGATTACATCCGCTCAACCTTTAGCGAAGAGTCGGTTTTGGACTCTGTGCCACTCCAAGCTGCAGCAAATCCAGGCGCGTATCATGCCTGGCGAGCACACCGGGCCCCTTTCTTGCAGACGCAGCAGTCTCCCTCCGAGACTCTTCAGGGCACCTCAGAGAGCACACCTGAGAGTCCATCACTGGGACGAAATCGTCGCCCAGCAGAATGGAACTGGGAGGGTGTGTGGGAAGAGCGTGTGAAGAAAGCAGTAAACGCCACCCTCTCTGAGCCTATACTCTTCGGCGCTGGCGCCGGGGAAGACATAGTAAGGCTTCCGAAGAAGTTGTAAGTATACAGTCATTCTGATCTCGACCCCAGATTCGCTTTCGCAACGGCGACGTTGAGACCGCAGAGGATATGAAGAAGCAGCTAGAAGCGGTTGTATCGAGGATTGCAAAGACGTAAACGATGTTCTCTGAGACGTGCAACATCCCATGGGACGAGGTAGTATGCTTGTATCTTGACAAATGCATCCAGGAGGAGCCACAAGTGGAATGCAGCACCTGCCTTCGCATTTGAAAACATATTACCTGGTGTCAGACCATTCCAGATGTCTCAAGTTCATACTGCAAAGGCCTTTCCCCGCGTATTTGATGGTTTGCTCTAGAAAGGAAGGCAATGACGTACTCGAGATACCAGACGGCAGGCGTCCACGATGTGCTCTTTCCAAACGATCAAGTAGGTGACTTCTATTCAATTCTTTCTTGACTTTTCACACTCTTGAATCAGCTATTCCACGTCCCGAATAGCAGCCTCCAGGTTTTGATATCTGTCATCGGCAGACGTATTGTATTGGCTACTCTTTCTATTCATTCTGTTACATCTTGCAGCTGCATTATCGATAGGCAGAGCTTTGCCTGCCGTCAGGGTTGAGCTGGTGGTGAAAGCGCACGCAACGGTGAAGGAAGAGTTTCATCTGTCACGCTACGACATGTCCATAATGGCTACAATAACAACAACAAATGTGCTATCGCACCATGCCGCGCTTTGTCCTCCCCCACTTTTCATCCAGAAAAAGTCACGCAGAGCAACCTTTGGCCGTCGCATGCTTCGTAAATCTATACACCTTCAGCAGACCGATCAGTGCGTGTTTGGTCCATTAGACGATATCATCGACGAGATCAAGAGCAACATCTGGCGCTCGCCGCTAGATTACAGTCTCGAAACACGCGAGTTTTATTGGACAAACCCACTCAAGGCACAGTCAACGTGGGCCGTGACACCACTGCCTGTTAGCCAGATCCCCAGCGGACAGCCTCTGACGATACGTAAGAACAGGCACAGTCGCTCTTCGGCATCAGACTCGAGCATGGAGGATGCAATGCCCTACTCACGCAACAACAGTCAGGACCAGTGCAAGAACGGCGGTCCAGCAGTCATATCCTCCCCAGTAGAAACTACCCCCTGGCCGCTGTATGAAGCTTCGACGTCACACGAACCCCCGCTACCTAGCTCGTCTGTTGATATTGCCCGCAGCGAACGCAATTCTGCGCAACAGGCTCTCGAGAGCGTGATTCAGAATGATGGAAGCCGTCCGGAAGCAGCAAAACGTCGGTCGTCACGCCTGCGCCTCTTCACGAATAGCTTCCCGCGCTTGCGTCGTACGGGAACAGGAGAGACCAGTGGTGATAGTGGCGATGTTTCTGAGGGCCACTTGCCGATCATCTCTTCGCCGTCAATTGTGGTCTGCGAGGATGTCGCCGATGACGATGACATTGAAGCGGCAACGGACGATGCGATAATCGAAGCGTTTACTAGGAAGTATGCGCGCAAGTGAGTTGCCGCGTTCCAGGATTCCGTCACCAAATCGTTGTGTCATACCCTGCTTGACAATGTCATCTCAGAGGCCACGCCAGATTAACCAGAGCACTTTGCTGACTCCCTGCAGCGGCAACAAGCTCGCTTCCGTTATGGGACACTTGGCCAGACAACTCCCTACTGCCATGGACTCTCATCACGACCAGCTGGATGACCAGCCGGATGTCCATGCCCTAGCAAAGTCAATACCAATACCCAGTACTCTACGAGCAGCGGTGAGGATATTTCCCCAAGTTAAGCTGTTGACTTGCGACTACGAAGAATTTGCTGTTGCTGTGGAGGTTGAAGGAGTCCTACACAACCAAACACCGCTTCCGGACACAACTATCGATGTGATATTCGTAGTGGACAATGGGTGGGTGTCCTGAGGACGCACTATCTTGCGACGCTGACTAGTGACTGCTGCAGATACTATGTAACAAAAGAATGCCTCAAAAAGGCTCTGGATGCAGTCAACGGGGCCTTCTACTATATGAATCACGGTGATCGTGTCGCCCTCTATACAACGCACTGCACGCATCATATGATTTCTGGCAACCGGCCCGACTTACACTACCCACTCCGACCTCATGGTAAAGATACCGGAGAAATCTTTCGCGACTTGACAGCAAGTATTGGACAACATGGTACGCAAACATGCCATCCGCCTCGTCCAAACCCAACCATGACCGAAGTCGTTCTCAGCGTGGTGAAGTCGTTCAAGGGCCAAAACCTGAAGAATGGACGAACTCACATCATCTTGCTTTCTCCTGCAGCATACACTCTGCACAACGTGTCGGAAGTATTTCCGGATATTTACATCCACAAGCTTAATCCCGCAATTCTGCCTTATCGACGTGATCCTGAGCTTCAAGACACTGTCTGCGTCGAACGCTGCTGTGAAAACGTCTTCATCAGTAACTGGGCTTCTTACCAGTCGGTTCATGGCCGCATCAAGCGGATCCTCAAGCATGCTCGTTCTCAGAAGCCTGTTGGAAACATCACCGATGTGTGTATCGATCTACGTACAAGGAACGGCTGCGAGGTCATTGAGCTCGTCGGAAGTAAAGACATCCCGTACCTGCGCCTTGGACAGGTTCACTCACTCTTTGCCCGCGTTCGCGTTACTAAGCACGAAACTTCATATGTCGATCTTGATTCCAGCGATCCCGTTTTCAACTCGAGTCTGGACGTGGAGGAATTGAGGCAGGAATTGCTCAATGCCACCATCAAAGGTGCTACGAAAGTCCACCTCTTCGACGTACAAGTGTACCACCGAAACTCGCTGCATACAACGGACTGCTGGAACTACACTGAGACTCCCTTCTTCATCATCCGCGACCTGGGCGACCTTGCGCCCCCAATTGACACCGCTCTAGAAGTCTACAAGCGCCAATACTTTTCCCACTTCATCTCGATGACGGCGGACGTGGCGAAAGCCGAAGCAGATAACATTCTCGCCCTCCTCGACGACGACAACGAACAAGCAAAAGAGGTCGTCGAACGCATGGCTGCTGAGATTAGATATCATCAACACGTCTTGGAATACGAGAAGAATCATCGGCAAAAACTTCCACTATGTCCCGGCCCAGTCGCAATTGAGGCTTCACCCCATGAATGGCTCGTAGACCTGTGGGATCGGAAGAAAACTAAGCGCAAGGGCGTGGCGGGCGTCAAGGGGGAAGATGCCGGCCATCTGATCGGCGACAGCAATGGGCGGGAGCAACTCGGCTAAGCACCGTCCGTCCGGTGTGCTTTTGGAACAAGAGTAATGGTGCATGTTGCGGGTGGTAATAATTTCGCTTTCTTTGTCAGACGATGGGATTGCCATGTTCTGGAACAAGCTTTGCCATTGTGTTTGCTTTGGTAGATCTTGGCGCCGATTGACGTCGTCGATGAGTCTAGGAAAGAAAACCAAAAAATCTTACTCGCCGAGTTCGCACGTGGTTCTAGGTTAGGTGCACGGTCACGGTATGTGCCATAACGAAACATGTAACTATTTCCAACCAGCGACCTAGATGCAGAAAAACCGCCAAGCCACAAAGCATGGCCGCCTCTTTTCCCCAAACTAAAAAAAAACCCCAACGTGTTTTTTGTTTTCTCCCCCCCCCATGCAAAACCACAGAGCCCCCAATAGAAACGGCCCTTCGCCCCCCGGGAGTCTAGCTCCGCCACCCACATCCCAATCACATCCCACATCCCAACCACATCCCAGCAAGCAAGCATCACGAAGCGTATCGCCCGTTCGGCGAAGGCGTTAAACTTTCCCCCCTCACCTAGCTAGCCAGCCAGCCAGCTAGCGCAGTGGCGTTCCGCGCTCCCCCGAACATGCCCCTTTTTACACACCCCATACACATACGCATACGACATACGCATACGCATACTAAAAAGCACGCCGCTGCGCGGGGAACCAAAGTTCGCCTGCCGCGGGGGGCCTGGTTTTTGCCTTTTTGAGATGGCTTGCGCTGGGGGGGGGGGGGTTTGTTTGCTTGGTGGGCTAGTGGGTTTGGGCGTAGTGTGGTTAGGATGGTGGAGGGGGGAAATTCTCCGTGTCACTTCCGCGTTGATATGTGTGTGTACCTGAGTTGGGGTGGGTGCATGGATGGGTAGATGGGCCGACAGACGTTTGGTGACAGGCGCTGACTAGGTAGATGGGTACTGGGGATAGGCTGCGCGACTCGATGTGCGCGTAATAGTGACGGTGGTTTGCTAGGGAGGAAAGAGTGTTTTCACGCAGAGGTAAGGTAAAGTGGTGTTGTGTGAAGTATATTTCTTTATCTCTTCCGCTTTGGGAATGTTGTATGTATGGATTGAGCGAGCATTGGGATTTGCAGCTGGGATGTTTTGCGCTGTTCATGCAGTGCAACGCGTTGCAGTGCGTTGCAGTGAAGCGTAGCCGTAGGTATACCAACCCTACCGAACCGTCCCGAACCGAATTGGACTGAACCGAACCGAAGCAAAACGGACAAAGCCGATGCAGAGATTCAAACATTGGGGAATAACGGAAAATAGGGTTTCTTTCCCCGTCGTGATGTAAGAGAGACAGAAGAAAGGAAATTGCGCTGTTTGCTGCTGCATGGGTATAATCGCAGATCTGTGAGGTAGTGTAGTGTAGAGTTTGCCGGGGGGCCTTCAACAAAGGAGAAAGACAAAGACAAAGAAGAAGAATATGTACATGTGACATGCCAAAAAGCAAAGACAAAAATCATGGAAACGGACACATGTCCCCGCATACTATCTATCGTTCGTGCAGAGAAAACTAAAACGGGTGACTTGGTATACCTCATTTCATTTTCATTTCATTTCATTTTTACTCCATTTCCTCCCCGCTCAGAAACTCCGCCCGATGAGCCCTGGGTCAGCAAACTCCGTCTCCGCTCTCCGCGCGTTGTGGATAGCGGAATCAGTCGAGTACACGCTCGATGTGAGCGTGGGACTATCACCCCGCATGCCCCGCGCGTTTGGCAGGTCGAATGAGAGGGGCTCTTCGTAGTGGGACGAGGGTAGGAGGGGTCCAGCGTTGGAAATCGCAAGGCCCTGCTGCTGCGGGGAGTTTCTTTCCATCGGCGGGGGAGCGAGATTCAGTGGTGAGCGTTTTGGCGCGGAAAGAGATGGGTCGTTGCGTGGGATGGGGGAGAGGTATGTGGTTGATGTGTTTGTGTCGTACGCGAGCGAGAAGCGCTTTATCTCTCCGAAACCCTTGTGGGCAGGTGTTAATGGCGGCATGGCGAGGGGGGAGGGTTTGCCTTTCTTGTTGCTTGGTGCGAGGTAAGTGGCTGAGGTGTTGTTGTCGTATGCGAGGGAGAAGCGGCCTGTGGATGAGGACGTGTTGGACTCGAGGCTTTGTCCGGAAGAGAGGCGTGGTTGCAGTGTGGGCCTGTATAGGGGACCCTTGGTGCTCGTTGGACTGGTTCTCGCCCGTGCTCTGACGGGTAGGCGTGGGCCGACGGGTGTGCGTGTTGATGGTGCGCGCGCAAGTGTGGGCGATGTGATGACGGTGACGAAATCCGAACCCTCGCTTCGCGCGTCTACGTGCATGATCAAGTCGTGTTCGAAGGGGTCGTGGTCGCCATGTCTCGGTTCTTGTACCATGGTCAAACTCGACCGTCCGTAGGGTGACAAGGTTGGGTATTGCAAGGCAGCTGGGCTAACAAGAGCGTGGGTAGCGTTCTTGTGTTGCGCGTTGTAGCTCTGGATGCTGTTTCTACTCAGTGCCCTCGCATAGCTGTGTCTTGGAGAGAAAGTCGGACTGAACGTGGGTGCCGGTCGGAAAAGTTGTGATCGCCCAGACGGGTAGCGGTTCATGGGATGAGATCTTTGTGAAGTCACCGCGTATCCCACGTTTGCAGTAGAGTGGGTGGTGGTAGCGTAGTTGGAGTCGTGAAGTGAGTTTGCCATGGGTAGACTCGGATCATCTTGATGAGGGTATTGATGGTTTTTGAAGAGGTTCCCAGGATTCTGTGCCAGCGAGGTTGAACCAGTGCCAGGGCGTTGACCATGATCGAACATAAACCTAGTCGAGTGTCCACGGGATGGTTGACCACGAGGTCTCCCGTACGTCAGAGCCTCGGCATCGAAATCGCCTCTTCCTTTGCTACCCTGACCACCTTTAGAATCATAGAGGTATGTTTCTTTTGGGAGAAGTTTCCGGTTTGCACGTTTGGTGAGGTAACGGCGAGCAACGAAGATGATTACAACAGCGGCAAAGACAACGGCTAATGTACCTCCTACCGCCACGCCTGTTTTTTGTGTTGCTGTTAGAGTTGACGAACTCGCCACGGCTGTTGTCTCTGCGCTGGGTGAGGAAAATTGTGGACTGATGGTGTTTTGCGGCTCCAATGCCATACCCAAACGTGAAGGTTCTGTCGAGATTGAGACACCTAATCCTGTGGCAAGGTTGCTACCTGGAGTCGTAGTAGTGGCAGTTGTGGAAGCCAAGCTGGATAGCTGTGTTGTCAAGGAAGACCGGGAAATCCTCACTGAAGCCGAGGATGAAGTGGAAAGGACGTTCGTAGGAAGAACCGACTGTATCGGCGGTGTGTTGAGTGAAGTTGTGGTGGTGAGTGACGAAAGAGTGGAGCTAGCTTGACCCATAGGGATGTCTGGCATCAAATGGGTCGAAGTTGGATCGATCCGATGAGGACCATCACCGTGAAGCGTCTGTGTTACAACAGGTGTGCTGGTGATTATCAACGGGGGAGGCTTTTCTGTCGGGTTAACTATGGCTAGTGCGCTCAAGGAAGTCTGACTGGTTGCTGTTGAAGTAGAGCCCAACAAAGAGAAGAACACAGCGTCGATATTTGCCATGCTGGACGGCGTCCCCATATGAAACAGAGTCGATGAGTTTGATGCAACCGATCCAGACTCGCAGGGTATTGTTGGAACAGTACTCGATACGGCCGTTATGGAAGAAGTAAGGGTTAACAGCTCACTGACTCTAGACAGCACTCCAGTGCCAGCAGCAGCAGAATAGTTAACTCCATCGGGGATATGGCTTGCATTTGGTACAGAGTATGGCGTGGTTGTAGATGGATCGGGCACAACTAAAGTCGTCGATGTAGTGTTCCCATGGCTGAACTGTGCTTTAGTTGAGATTGAAGCGTATGGAGTAGACGACACCACCGTCTGAGCTGCACTCTCTCGGTTTGTCGAAGTGTTCATGGCGGTACCGTTTCTGTAGGTCGACATAACACCCACAGTCGTATCAGACAGAATGGTAGCCGTGGTAGACATACTATCCAGAGGAGTAGACATGGAAAATACTGAAGTCATCGTCGTGGTCCGAACGCGTATGAACGAGCTGTCTTCCGTCGAGCCTTGGTTTGGAGAAGTGGGTACAATGATCGTATGGCCAAACCCATCGCTAGTGGTAGGTTTATCCCCAGAAATCGCACTGATGAGCACAGGGGTGGTGGTCGATATCAACGATAGTTCGGGTTGCAGAATCTGAGTAGTCGTAATGGCTGCCGGTAATGTAGTCGTGGAAGTAAGGATTTGCGGCGAATTGGTCGTACTCGAGCTGGCATTTGTGAACTCAGTAAGGACAGGACTTGGTGATGCTAACGAGTGTAGCGACAGTTGAGTTTCCGAAGCAGTGACAACATCCGTAGTAACGGAATCATTGCTGTCACCTGTCGCGATATAAACCAACGACAAGCCGCTTGGAATTGGTGGCTTGATAGCAGGAGTGATGCTTGGCGTTAGCGCTGTATGTGAAACATTCGACGTAAATAGCAGTGTGGTCAATGTTGGCCGGAGCCTCAACAACGAGTTCATCGCACCCTCATCCATGGCCGAAATATAAGGAGCTTCTCATGAGCAAAACTAGATTGGGTTGGTGGTATATTTTCCCTCCAAGTAGGCACAGGTTCAAGTGCAATAACTAAAGTTAATGGCGACTCAGAATACGTAGGGGTAGGTACAACGCGCGTCAAGGGCTGCAGTTCTTGATATGACGTGAATCCTCGGGATGCGTTGCTCGTGGTTGTGTTTGGAGTTGAGTCTAGTGTCGGCACTTTCAAGGTCTCCACGATAGAGGCATGATTCAGTAAGGTCCTTGGCTGTGAGTCCCAATCGGAAGATACTGGGTTTGGGAGGAAGGAGCTATAAGGTCCCGCGTCAGCATATCCTGGGGTTGTCGGCTGAGCAATGGACGTCTGCGGCAGAGTTGCAAGGTTCGTTGGTGGTTGTGATAGACGCTCAGTTGTTGACATCTGGTTGCTCGTTGACCTCGGCGATTTGAACCTTGTCTGGAAGAAAACATGTTCATGGCCATGGACCGACGGGATGTTTTCTGTCATGACTTCTGGAATCGCAGTCGATGTTCCGTGATCCAGGGTCGCATGATACGCTAACAACATACAAGGCAAGTGTAGTCGTTTCAGGTGGTTGTTTCAACCGTCTCGCACTATGCGGAGATGTCGCGGGTGTGTTATCCAAATTGGAGGGCGAGGAACATCGCTGCTATATCCATGTGAAGTGTCCAGAAATGATTATGTTTCCGACACTGGTGCTTGGCGAGTAAATGACGTGCTTGGCGTTTGCGTCGTCACCATCAATAGCGCGTCATGTTCTCTAGATAATTATGCCGTTCGAAGATCATGTTTGAGAAAACACTGACAGCGGGGGTCCTGGTACTCGTTTCGAGAGGGTGGGGGATTTTCGTGTCATGGCGCGTATATCTCTCACCATGTTGTCGTGAGGGCAATGAAAGCAGTTCGACTGTGTGCGATTTTCGTAGGATATCTAATCTGTCCGTTCTTTCTAAGCATCGCAAAGGCTTGATAACAGTAGAAGGGTACTGAACAACATACCTTGGTTGAACGTAGTTGCATCGCTTTTCACTACGAGCAACATAACGAAACAAACCCTCGCCGACTCAAGTAGCCATCCACCCAACAGTCCCGAACCCAGCTCAGAGTCAGGAATAACAAGAAATTTCTCTGTCATCTTATCAGAACCTTGGTCCGTATCCGGTTTGTCAGCCCAATATGCAAATATCACTGCTGTACATGCATGTCAACTCGTCTTTCTAGGGAACAGTGGTTGACGTTCATTCTAGAAGTATTGCGATTCGATGCTATGTGTAAGCCGTACTGTGTATCGCTACCGCGAATAGTATGGCGAAAACAGTAACGCGTCGTTATGTAGCCATCCTATCGCGTGAGTAAACAAGACATAGTCGGACTGCACTTTATCCAAAGTAACCGCTGTCGTCCATTTCCCTGCATCAGAGCCAAACGCCCGCCTACCCCGACGCCGTAGTCACCGACGCCGTAGTCCCACCCCCACTCACGATACCCGCCTGACTATCCCGAATAAGCTCCTGTATCCAAAGCGGCAGTGCGCGAATCTTCGGCGCCAGCCCCGGCCCCAACACAATCTGCCCGCTCTTCGCCGCGAGAATCTGCTTCACCATAGCATCCGCAACATCCTGCGGCTCCAACAACCCAACCCCAACGCTCTTCAGCCCAGCTTCCATGGCAGGATGCGCCGTAATAGCCGAGCGCGTCCAATTCGGATGCACGATCGTCGTCTTGATCTGCGGGCACTTATACCGATGTTTAAGCTCCTGCGTGAGGCCCTCGTGAAACGCCAGCAGCGCCGCTTTAGTGCAGCTATAATCCACCGCGCCGGCGAGGGCGACAAACGACGCCAAGCTGGCGACGCTCATGATGTGGCCTTTCTTTTTGGCGAGCATGTCTGGTAGGAATTCTTGCACTGTGGTCCATTGGCTGAGGAGGTTGATGTCGAAGAGCTTGCGCAGGTTGGAGGGCGGGATGTCGAGGATCGTGTAGGCGTTGCCGATGCCCGCGTTGTTTATTAGGATTGAGGGGGGGCCGAGGGCGGAGCGGATGGCTTCTGCGGCGTGGTGGATGGCGGGTTGGGAGGTGATGTCGCATTGGTAGTGGTGGATTGAGGGGAGCTCGTCTGGGAGGTGCGTGTTAGTTTGTGGCTGCATAGATCTGAGTGAGTAGTAGGGTATTTCGCACCTTGACTGAAGTCATTCGACAGTGGCTCGACATCTAGAACCGCGACTTTGACCCCATGTGACACCAGCTTTTTTACCACGCAAGCTCCAATGCCCTTTGATCCACCGGTTACGACGGCTACTTCGCTCTTCCAGTTCCAGTTACTCTTGTCGCTCTTCCACACCCATCTATTCGCTGCCCAAGAGTTCAACAAAGTGTTGACTTCGTTGACAGCTCCCAGACCTAGGACGCATTTCATGAACCAAACAAGGGTTGCATATCGGTCATCGGAGAGGTTCATGCGGTACGAGAGGGCAGACCTGGTAGAGGACAGCAGGAAGCATGATGCGAAGAGTGTGAGGTAGCGAATCATGATGGCGGGTGGCTGGCGTAGTTCAAAAGACAAAGCACGACATCAGCTTATTCAAGACTTTACAGCTCGATATAAATGCTAGAACTATGGAAGAGGGGGAAGACATAAAGAGTACCTAGTGAGCAGGCCTCGGTTCGTTGGACGAACAGACGTCATATGTCGGAGCGGGACTCCCTGGCGCTGTGATTGGCTGGCTGAAATCCAGACTTTCTCTCAGACAAGGCGAGGCGGGGAGCTCGATTCGCACGCCCACCCATCACCACGCATGCCTTCTGTTCGACCGGTTTTCCTCAGCGGGACACTGACGCCGTTCCTGTACCCTGCCTTCGCCGACACCCTACTCGTCTCTGTCGCGCGCACGTGTCCGCTCCGCAGACGGCGATTTCCTCTGCAGTCAAGATGTAGCTCGACAGCAGCCGAATATCCAGACACGCACCAAGACGCACAATCGCGCCTCGACCCTGCGGCGGATGACTACTCGCTGACGCCCTTTGCGGATCGATGCCTGCTGGCGGTGGAAGCTGGCGCGGGCGGCCACGGATGCGTATCCTTTCTGCGTGAGAAGTACATTGAAGAGGGGCCGGCCAACGGCGGAGACGGCGGGAGCGGAGGCAACGTGTACATCCAAGCGGTGCGCGGGGAGACGTCGCTGCACAAGCTCGCGCGCCGCCGCCTGATCAAAGCCGGACGCGGGCGCAACGGGCAGGGCAAGGTCAAGGGCGGCGAGCGCGGGTCCGACATCCTCATCACCGTCCCCGTCGGCACCATTGTGCGCGAGATACAGCGCCACGACCCCATCGCCCTGCTGGAGGAGGAGCACGACAAGGCGCCCGAGTTCGAGGACGAGGAGGGTGGGGAGGAAGGGGGCAGCTACCAGAAGGAACGATGGCTCGTCTACCCGGGCACCATCCCCTCGGAGCTGAACCGCATGAAGTTCCCCACGCTCCCCCGACCACGACGCTCACACCTCGCCGCCCTCGAGCCCGAGGCCCCCATGTGGCTAGACCTCGACAAGCACATGGAGACGCCGCTGCTCATCGCCGCCGGCGCAATGGGCGGCCTAGGCAACCCGCACTTCATGACGCCCTTCAACGCGCGCCCCAAGATGGCCACGCGCGGCGAAGAAGGCCTCAAAATCTCCCTACAGCTCGAACTCAAGATCCTCGCCGACCTGGGCCTCGTCGGCCTCCCCAACGCGGGGAAAAGCACCCTCCTCCGCGCCCTGAGCAACAGCCGCGCCCGCGTCGGAAACTGGGCTTTCACCACCCTCCAGCCCAACGTCGGCACCGTCGTGCTCGACAACCACAAGGGTCGTCCGCGCGTCACGTCGCGCCGGCCAAACGGCGAGCTGCGCGAGAACTTCACCGTCGCTGACGTCCCCGGCTTGATCGAAGACGCGCATCTCGATAAAGGCCTGGGGCTAGGCTTCCTGCGCCATATCGAGCGCGCCGCCGTGCTGGCCTTCGTCGTCGACTTGTCTGCCGGCGACGCAGTCCAGGCTACCAAGCTCCTCTGGCGCGAGGTCTCAGAGTACGAAGCCCTCCGCGGTAAGGAGCTCAACGCCGAGACCGAGCGCAGAATGGTTACATACCAGCCTCCTGGCCGCGCTCCCAAACCCCACCCATCATCGTCGTCGTCGTCGTCCTCAGAGGGTGAAGAAGACCTACCACACCTCGACCCCTCGCCCTCACCCCTGCCCTTCCTAACCTCCACGCCCATCTCCTCGAAGCCGTGGTTCGTCGTCGCCACAAAAGCTGATCTCGACGGCACGCAGGAGAATTACGAGGCCCTGGAGGCGTATCTAAGCGATGTTAAGAGCGGGGTGCAGCCCCATCCGAGTAGTCGCCCCAATGCGTGGAAGCATGATGTCCAGGCTGTGCCGGTGAGTGCTATTAAGGCGCAGGGCGTGCAGGTTATTCCGCAGTTGGTTATGGATTTGCTGGAGGAGTAGGTGGGGGGATGGTGTGGTGGTGTGGTTGGTGTGGTGGTGGTGGTGGTGTGAATGATACCCCGTTTTTCCTCTCCTCGCCTGTGGGCATTTATCATGTGTTGATGCCCTTTTTTCGGATGTGAAGCAATGCCGTTGGACTGGAAATCGTGTGCTCAGTGCGCGCGATATCACTGTTCTCGCCGTTGGTAAGTAGATGTAATAGGCGTTTTGTCTACACGTAAAACCATACTTCTCTACCTCGCTCAACTCCCCTGATAAAGGAATCAACCAAGCCTACCCCTACTCCCACACGCACAATCCTCACCACATGTACTCAACCAATACCAGTTTTTTTCTCAGGGAGGCGGTGGGGAAAGTGCTTGGAAGGGGAGGGATGGAAGAGGGTGTTTGGTTGTAAGCACGCCATCGATCGCAATCTTCATTGTTTTTATACGACATTTGGGGCTGTGGAGAGGAGTTTCAAGACGGGAAGACATGTGCATCTAGGCTCGGGGTTTGTGTAGATAGTTATAAGGCTCCAGAAGAGAACAGGCTAGGTTGTTGGGCGCTGGATGGTAGATAGTAAAACTCCTTTTTTTGCAGACGCATGGTAGGTATCATGTCCTGGGTTTTCAATACCTTTGTTCAATTTATCAGGGACGCAGAAAACAACAAGATCATGAATAGACAAAACCCCATATCCCGCGTCTTTGTAAAGACTGGGCGTTGAGTGGGACACCCCGGAACGGATCATGAGCTCAACGTTGTCGTGTTTCTTTTAGAGAGGGCGGGCGAGATGTCTTTTTGTGTATACTTTGGATGGGGACGGGGACATACGAATGGTATGCTTCTCCTTTTGAAGGTTTTGGGGAGATGCGAACATAGATTCTTGATGTTATGGATTTCGGTGGTAAATCTCTGGTAGATGTGATTGTTTTGACATCATCCTGAGGAAGGTAGCTTCTTTCAACTGCTGGCTTCTGCAGTAGTAACGACAAGTCGTGAGGTTGAAAATGTGGGTTTGCAGAGAGGGCAGGCGGAACATCATCTTTATCGTGTAGGGTTTCTTGGAAGTAGAGCGCGACATGACTACCCGTGTGTGATGCTTTGAAGCTTTTGCGGAAATATTACATGTTTTCTATGTATAGTGAGCTTTGGAAGGAAATTTTGGGTATTGGCATAGTCTGTTAAAACTCGGGTTTGGAAGAGAGGAGAGCACAGCACATGTATCGTGGATACATCGGTTTTTGGAATTCCTGGGTTTGAGGAAGAAATGATGGAGTATACTTGAGTGGAGAGGGAGATGCGCTTTTGTACACACAGTCAGGCGTGCATGTGCAGAAGAGATTGGTGAAGTGACAGAGGAGGGGATGAGGCTTTGGGTTACATGTTTGATAAGATAGATATTTTTAGTCTCTACTATCCAGCATACAGTGAAGTGTGCAACATTTTGGCATAGACATAAGTAAAGAGTGTGTCGTGCAATAAACTCACCATCAAATATGTTGTTCGTTTTTTAGCCCACCTAGCCACTGACAAAAGACAGAGATCATGTACTGTGCTTGCAGGTCTTTTTTTATCCAACTTCGCAATTGAAGCGCAGTCCCACAAACTACATTTTCATTGTTTGAATGCCAGGGGAAACACATAACCTGACTTTTGTCTCATTTTAAGCAGTTTCGTAAAGTAGTATTGTGGAATTGGTATCTAGGCTTTGGACAGTGGAGGAGTTTGTAAGTGAATTGGTAGGTGGTGGCTTCGGCACATTTCGGCCATATCCGCTTCATTTTGTTTTTTTGGATGTGGAAGATGTGTGTGATTATTCGTTTGTTTTATCACAACGAAGTATAAATGCGTTTCTTCATAGACTAGCACTCGTTGTAGGGGCGAATGGGACTTTTGGACTTTTACTGACAAGATTGCCAGGCTTTTTGTGTGCTGAATGAGGGCCTGCACGCTACATATCCGGGTTTTTGGATGTATACTACCTCCATGCAATGGCAAGCAGAACGGAGGAGATGAGTGAACATACTTCCTAGTTCATTCCATGGGAAATTATGGTCAGGTTTTTGTAAACAGGGAATATAGAGGATAGACCTATGTGCTATACGTCTTGCAAAGAACGAGCCATATAGCAACCATTCTTTGATGTTTTCAAGTTGCATAGTAAAAGACAGATCGTGCTCAGAGCCAAACATAAACTTTCACGAATTGAAATTTTATACTTGCACAAAAGAATCTATGACTTTTTGTTCGTAGTCAGCTGGTTGCTGAGATCTGACTCTACGTTCAAGAACATGGCATTAGCGAAGACATGATGTTCATGAAGGAGTCTTGTGGGACGCACAACATGTATTATGGCGCATATTTTCGAGATTCGAAAGACGAGGGTTTTTGCGTGCTTTTTCGAAGTGGAGTTGCAGTGGGTGTAAGAAACGACCTGCTGAGTTTTATAATGATTGACTAGAAGACGAGACCATGAATCCTTTTGGATTACTTTTTGAAGCATACGGACAAACTTGTAGTTGATATAAGACATATACTCGTGTCATGTGACTGGGTGTCCCATGCGTTGGTAAGTAGACAAATATAGGAATCAGAAGTACCGAAGCTTCGTACTGAGCTTGAGTATGAATGGATTCCAAACGCGAGAACGTCATAATCATTTGGTCTATTTGGTTGAAGAAATAGCCCATATGGCTGGTTGAAATACATTTTAGACTAGAGATAAGAAAAAAGTCCATAACTTCGTCCCCTTTGAGTTTTGAGTATGATTTTCGAGGACTGAATACACCCAGTTGGGATCGAGACGAGAGAAGTTTAGTTTTTATCAGAGGGAGGAATCATATGAGCTAGCTATTATTGTTTTCGTATAATTTGATCATCTGCTATGTCGATTGGTGTTTTATGCTTGGAGAGAGACAGACAAACCTCATGCTATCTTCGTCAAAGTGTTTTAGCATCACAGCACTAAGTCAATAGACCATTTTAGATGAGACAAAGTCGGAATGTGGGTAAATGAATGTAGGAGTTGAAGACATGAGGTGCTTGGCTGTTCATTTAGTTAACTCATGGTTGTTTTAGTTTTGAGAAAGCACCCGAGACCGGCCATCATGTCGTTCAGCTTCTAATTTGGAAAATACAGAAGCGCATAGGCAGGACAAGCCATATGATCGGAGAACATATCATTTTCGAAGGCTCCATTCACAGTTTGCTAGAACACGAAGATGAGCAAAACAGAGACGTGAAATCTTGAAAAAAAAAACTATATGCAGAACACCCTAGATCATGGACTTTGGAGCCAGGTAATTTGCCACATTTCGGACCAAGTTGTTGACGAGAAAAATAATGTACTGACAAATCTCAGACTCGAGCTATAGTTACGATCGGTACAATTTTGAACCATGAAGTGCTTAAGAGTGTTTTTCGACGAAAGGAAACATGCGTGGAGTCGAGCCCATCTTTGGTCCGAAAGCTAGAAAGAAAATGCCCAAGATAAGAAGAACATCCGATACTTAGACGTACAGCAACCACAGTCGGCGCTGGATGTAGGAAATGTCCTAGACCTTGGTGTTTTTGGAGAACGGGATACCAGAGGACATATCGTACGTCATCTGGGCTTTTTGCACAGCAACATGTTCGAGGTCTTTTCAAAAACTGGTTTTGAGGTATAAAGTAGAAATCAGAGACACTAAGGAGGAGAAAGGGTATGGACAATGTTGATCACATCTGGAGCCAAGCAGCAGGTCATCATCAAACTTGCCGATTCTTTTGTAACGAGAGGTAGCGCCAAGTGCCGCTTTCAAGGAGAGAGAAGAAATAATTTATATCAGTCAAAAGGTGGAATAGCACAAGTCTATTGATTTGCACGCTGTCGATTTCGAAACATGCGCAAACACACCAACAGAGAAGAACATAAGCCGAATCTCTCACTCTTTTGAAGTATAAGTGCTTGTTCTACAAAATTCCAAAATTCTTTAGAAGTATACAGCGAAGAAACCTCTGGAGACATAGTTGTGGGCGCGGTCCTTTTTAGTTATCGGAGCTGTTCTTTTTGAAAATATCCAACACTGGGGTGTTGCTGAGAAGAAAAACACACCGCACCAAAAAGAAGTTTTCACATGCTGTTGCGTGCTGGTGACACTAAAAACAAAGCATGATACACTGAAGTGTCAGTTTTTCGACATTGCGCCTCCTTCAAGTTTCGCTAGAAGATGCCGGTAATGAAGTGGCATGTGGATGCTCTCCCAAGCATGCATCAGCAGCGGTAGCATTTTAGACCAGGGAAAGAGAAGAACCATCAGCAAGTATCTTTTTGGTTTTTGATCTCATCCGAGCATATGGTCAATAGTTTGGAGTTCTTTGTACAGAGTGAGTAGAGGAAGGGAGAGGTGGCGAGTAAGAAAGAAAGAAAGAATAACGCATCAACATCTCCTTATGGAAACACAGGGCAGCCCGTGTAATACTCGTTCCAACGTTTTAGAGAGAGAGAAACATTTTCGTGTGTAACTCGATGTTTTGAACAACACAGGCAAAGTCCATGACTCTGTTGGCGTGGGACTTTTAGTTCCATACAGTTTTTTGATGTCCTCGGTTCCAACGTCATTGTGTAGGGCAGAAAAGATAGGAGAAAGACAGGACATGGCCAGCTGTGCCACTGCTTTTCAACCCGCTCACCGCAGTGACTTAGAAGTTCGAGGATAGGAAAACAAACCATTGGTCTTAAGCTCGGTCTCTTTTGAACTAACATTCGGCACAATTAATGTCGTTTGGAAAGAAGAGAGAGGAAGGACGAGCAAATCTGTTTGCATTCGAATTTATGAGAAGAGAGAGCCCATAGGTCGACACTGAGGGTGATTTTTAATCCCATGTGTTCAAGAATTCCAGGTTTTGGAAGAAACAAAGCAAAGCGGAGGATGTGGAGAGAAGATGAGAGAGTGTTGGAGCGGGGTTTATAGGGATTATAAATCACGTGCTGTCTTGATAGTTGTGGCTGCCATCATATGGCGATAGAAGAGGTCATGGTCGGCAGAAGAAAAAGACGCCCGTGTTCCTCAGCTGCTGTTAGTTTATTGGCACACGGAAAATGGTCAAACGTAGGGCTAAAAGGTTTAAGCAAAGATCTGCTGCAAGTTGATCATTTAAAGGTATACTGCAATCACACCCAAATAATATAATGCCTTTGAAATGACAGACCCACCAACGCCGTCGCTAAACACAAACATCGTCCTATCTTCGCATCGCAGAAAAGTCCATCAGCGACCCTGCCATATGCGTGTTCGTGACCTTTCCACCCCGACGAGCGGCGCGTTTCTTCTTCTGCTTTGGTCCAGCATCTACTGGAGCTCGAGCCAGTGTCGCTGGCTTCAGACCCACACTCGCCAGCGTATTGCGCAGATCGTCTGGATTCGCTGGAATACCGATTTTGTGCCACATGCCGACGAATTCCGGGTCGATCGTGTGCATGAGTGAGGGATCATTGCCCCATACTGTCTTGGGGACACCGTCCTTTGTGTGCTTGACCAAAACTTCCTTCTTCTCCTCCATGGCCTTGATGTCGTCCGCCACGGTTGCCCAGCCATCCTTGAGGTCCTTGATAGAAAGGCCCTGCGCCGACTTTTGTGTCTGAAGATAGCCCTTCAGTTGAGCGGGGTTGCGGATGTCGAGCTTTGGTCTGTAGCGGTACGTGTCGTTGGCGGCATTGTACGCGATGCGACTCGTAGAATTGTCAGAACGGAAGTACATGCGCAGTTGCTCTCGCTGGATGTCGCCTTCGGGAACGTTAAGGTAGGCCATGAGCTCGTCGAAAGTGTGCCATCGCTGATTCTGTCGGAGATAGTCGATCGTGTATGTGAGGCGCGTGTAGACGTGTTCGCCAGTACCGCTATCCTGTGGCTGGGAGAACACTACGGGCTCAGCAGGGCGCTTGCGCTTTGTCGTAGAGGTGTTGGATGGCGTAGGCGACGGCGCGGCCATGGGCTTCTTGAGGAAACTCATTTTGGTGTGTGTCGTGAAGTTGTGAGTTGTGCAGAGAAAAGAGGAATTCGATTGAAGGCAGACGTAAAGAACCCTTGCCTAGGTAGCTCAGTAATGAAGTGGGGCGGTGGAGCCACGCTAACTTCCAATCGGCGGGGAAGCGGTTGTGGCTTGCAGACCTGAGCCGTACCTTGGTAGTGGGACTAACTCTCCCACCTGCATGCGTAGGATGCAGTTTAGTACTTAGGTGATCCTCGAGAGTATGAGAGAATCAGAGCTTTCTAGGCCTCTTGGCTAGGATTTACGTCAATTCCAAGACTCAACAGAAGTCACTCAAGCTGACAGGGAGAGGGAACTGAAAAAATACTTAAATACGTAGACATAAGATACTGTTGGCTATGTGTAGAACACCCCCTCCGAAATTTTCTTGATTATGTGTAGGGTATCTTGCGTTGATCAAAGAGTCTATCGACCCAGGGTTGAGGAACCAAAGTTCGATCAACGGCTCTCGAACACGCGTGTCGCATTCGTACGCTGAGTAGCCAGCCGTCAAGAGACCGCTTACTGATCGGCTCTGCTTCTGTTACTATTTATGTGTAGCCTTCCTGATAGTCACTGCGTGTAAAAGCGTTAAGGCTAAGCTCTTATACTACGTTAAATCCGTTGGTATATCGTGTTGCGTCTGTCTGCTTCTATAACAAGCGTAAGTACGCTAAAGATGAGTTGAAAACAATTGACTGAAGACACATACGCTAGATGTATAACATCTAATATGCTGGAGTAGACATCCTTTAACAAGCTACGCAGTAGCAATATCAAATGGCTTTTAGCGTATCATACATATTCTCGATGATGTGATTCTAGGTATCCGTACTGTTACCACTAGGTAGATACTCGAACGTTGCGAGATAAAAATGTGGTCACAACTCATATATCAGTTCCAGCGACTGTTTGCTATCGTTGGAGGTGGCCAGCAAGTCCACCATAGAAGTGTGTAGAGTGAGAAGACCTACAAATCTGAGACATACCGCTACACAACACAGCGAGTGGTATCTTCGAACTATGTTGAAATCCACTGGTCAAAATAATGAAAACACAGAGGACAATGAACTTGAAATGCACGTAAGAATGGTTGCCGTAAGCGTAGAAGAGTCAGCATGAGATTGGACGTTTTCTCACACATGATTGATGATAACATAAGGTAGACGCGCATGCACGTGTTCGTTAACACCGGTGATCTATAGTTATGAGTAAATGAGTCGCCAGCGGGAGCTAGATCTACAGTATGGCGTCGTACTGAGCCGCTCGTAGACGTTTGTGGCTCAGGACCGAACGTCCATGGCGGTGTACGGAGTGAGCATAGGAGGAAAGCGCATCTGATCTCGACCACCAGACGAACTAGCCACCAAAGTTGAAACAGTCGAAGGGAAGAGGAGAGAGATGACAACATCGATCCAAAGTCGTGGTGAGACGGTGAAGGCGTATGCGGCTCTTACATTAGCGTCTTGCCAAGGATCAGCGCGCGTAGTACACGTCGAGAGCTCTTCGCGTGTAGTGCACTCGCCCATTGTATCGCCCAACTTCGACTCTCCTTTGTCTTTCTTTCAGCTGACCCCATTCATCGCCCCGAGGATGCGTGTGATCCTCAACTAATCTACACACCACCATGGCTGCGACAGCAGTTGACGTCGGCTACCTAGCCGCGTCCTATTCCGTGCCAGACACAACTTTCCAGTCGTTACTCTCCGAGCCCACAGTCGAGCTGGTGCAATCGCTGCTTACTCAGATCGAATCTAAGGCACGCGCATACGATGATCTACAGTCAGAGAAGTTGAAGGTCGATGTCGAGCTCGACACGGCGGTTCAGGATGGAGAGAGGGCTGCGCGAACATTGAAATCGGCCACCGAGACCGCACAGAAAGAGACAGAAGAACTGCGGCAGAAGCTTGCGCAAGAAGGTGCGTACCATCTCTATACGATCGGCCAGGTACTCCTATGCTGACACGACATCAGAAAATGTGCGCCAGCAAATCGAGACGGAGCTGCAAAATCTCCAAAATGCGGCCACGAGCTCGACGTCTGAGGTGCAGGCGCTAGAATCGCGCGTCAAGACGCTCGAATCGCAGAACCGCGACGCGCTTGCCATGCACGAAGCAAAGGTCGCCGCATACGATCGCCTCGCCAAAGAGCTGTCCGAGCAGCACCAGAAGTTCGTCGACCTGCGCAAGCAAGTGTCGACGCTTGAAGAGAAGAACCAGTCGCTCGAGAACGCGGCTACCAGCGTAAAGTTTCGCGAGACCAACTTCCAGCAAGAGATCGAGCTGCTGCGAAAGAACAATGAGTGGTATACGACAGAGCTGAAGACGCGCTCCGACGACCACGCCAAGTACCGCAAGGAAAAGAACGCCCAAATTTCAGAACTGCAACGCGCCAACGCAGACGCCTCTGCGACCATCGACACCCTGCAGCGCACCGAGACGTCACAGAGTCAGCGCATCGAAGAGCTAAAGCAGCAGGTCGACGAGTACTTCACGCGTATTGAGCAGCTCGAGAATGAAGCCACGCAAAAAGAGGGTTCCTTCCGCTCCGAACTCGATGGCGCGCGACGACTGGCTACACTTCACCAGGAGAGCGCCGAGCTTGTCAAGGGCCGACTACAACAAGTGCTGGCAGAATTGGAGACGCTGAAGGACAACGCAGCTCTCGAGATTGGACAGCTCCAGGCTGAAGTCGAGTCGGAGCAGAACAAGGTTGCTGAGCTTGATGGTCAGATTGCGGAGTTGGAGTTAGGCAAAGAGAACCTCGAAAACCAAGTCTCTGAACTCAGAAGCTCCGCCGCCATGCCAAGCACACCGCGACGCCCCATGAACAGTTCATTCGACACTCCCGGCAGGGCGGGCTCGCCAGCCCTCTTCTCCCCTGGAGGATCGCGATTCAAGGGCGGCATGTCCGTTACACAATTGTATGCTGAGAATGCGCAATTGAAGACAAAGGAACGCGAGACTCGTGAGCGTGAGGAGCAGCAAGCGAAGATGATGAAGGACATGATGGATGAACTGGAGCGCTGGCAGCCAGAGATCGAAGAGCTCCGTAGGGACAACGAGGTCTTGACTGCGCAGACTGGCGAGATTAGTGCTCTCCTGGATGAGGCTACGACGGAGAGAGAAGCAGCACGAAAGGAGGCTCGCAAGGCCCTCGGCGACCTTGAGGGCGTCCACCGCGAATGCAAGCTACTTCGTCAACACGTCCAGGACCTCACAATACAGATGCAGACTCTGCTCTGGCGACAAGCAGAGAAGGACCAGGAACTCGAACCGCTCACGCAGGAGCAGCGACAGTGGGTCGAGGCTACGCGAGACAACAGGATTCCGGAAGAGCAGATCCAGGACGTCACTGCCACGGATCGTATCATTTCCGAGCATTTGCTATTGTTCACCAACGTTACAGACCTACAGACTAAGAACGCGGAATTGCTACGCACTATTCGACAAGTCGCCGAGTCTTTCGAGGGTGTAGAGGCTCAGAACAAACTGGAACAACAGGAGAAGGACCGAGAGGAGCTTGGAAACCTGCGTTCCAAATTGGCCGAAGCGGATGATCAAATCAGGTCACTCGAGCTTCGATCGCAGAGCGTATCGAAGGAACGCGACATGTATCGTCGCATCGTCAACAATCGGGGTCACTTACAATCTGGTGCGGATTTTGATGAGTCTTTCGGGAATAGATCTACAACAACGCCGCCGCCAGGGAGAGCTTCGCAGTTCATCGAACAGACTCCCCATTCCAAGGAAATTGCAGGATACGAGAAACTCATTAAGGACCTTCAGTCTCATCTAGACCTACTGAGGGAGGAGAACGCCACCGATCGCGCTACTCTGAAACAACAGGTCGACTCACTAACGAAAGAGACCAACAGCCTCCAGAGTGAACGACTCCGTCTCGACAATCAAGTACGACGGGAGCAGGACCGCTATGTCCATCTCGAACGAACTATCAAGGTGCTGCAGTCTGAAAAGGACCTTCTTCAACAACGTTACGACGATCTTCACATCGCCTCCACCAAACGGGACAATCAAGATCATCAAGCTACTGTGGATCTTGCCGATGCACATGCCAAGATCGATGGCTTGGGGCGTGAAATTGCGCACCTCAAGGCCTCACAAGATATGTGGAAGACAATCGAGGCGCGCCTTACGGAGCGGAACAAGGAGCTATCAGAGGAGAAAGATCGACTCAGCAAGATGGTGGATAGTATCCAGAGCTTGCGAAACGAGCAGGAATTGACAAATGCCGAGAACCGCCGCCGACTGCAAGACCGAGTGAGTGCGCTCGAGGCAGAATTACAGATTGCGCAACAGAAGCTGGAGAGTGAAATCGACAGCCACAACAAGGCAACTCTGCAGCGTGATTACGAGCGAACTGAGGCACAGCGGAGAGTCGATGATCTTGTCAAAGCCAAGAACGACGCTGAAGTCAAGTTTGCATCTGCAGACACTGCTCGTCAGCAGCTTGAGCAACGCGTCAGTGAACTACAATCCCAACTTCAATCCGCCGAAGACCGCGCGCAGTCTCTTCGACCACACCCAACTCCGCGAAACAACGGCTCTAGTGCGGGCGAGGATGATATGGCGACCCGCGAAGAAGAGCTCACCGCACAGGTTGCGGAACTGGAACACAAGCTTGAGCGCAAGCAAGAAGATCTTGAGGCAGTCAATTCCCAGATCGCGGACTACCAGGCTATCGCGCAAGAGTGCGAGGACCGATTGCAGAGCTTTATGGAGGCGCATGAGCAACTCCAAGAGGAACTTAACGCAGCACAGGAAGAGAAGGATGCGACAATCAACGATCTGCAACAACGAGTGGAAGAGATCTCTTCTGAGCTTGCTACGTCGAACACTGAGCTTACTGAGCTAAGGGGTGAGCACGAGCAAGAAACCCTGCGACTTACTCAAGAGAAGGATACCCTGGAAGCGGAAATCGTCCGATTGAAGGACGATGTAAATGACTACAAGGCTGAGGTCGAGAATCAATCGCAGCTCGTGGCGTCGCAAGCGCAGATCGCAACTCGCGCTCAGCAAGACTACGAACACGAGCTTGCGAAACACGGCGAGACCATGAAGAGCCTTCGAACGATCCGTGACGAGCACACTCAGGTAAAGACAGAAATCGCGCAATTCAGCGCGCAAGCCGAAGCTGCTCGCACTTCTTTGACTCAGAGCGAGGACCACTGGAAGACACTCCGACAACAATATGAAGATCAAGTCGCAGAGGCCAAGAGAAGTCACGATGGCCTCAAGGAACACAACCAGGCATTGCTCCGACAATTCGACGACTACAAGGCGCAAATCGAAAACCTCAAGGGTAGTCGTGGCAGCGCTGCTGCCGGCGACGCAGGAAGTGCCGATGCTGGCTCGAATGGTCTGCAAGACATCGTTGACTATCTCCGACGCGAGAAGGAAATTTTGGAGGTGCAGCTGAATCTTAAAGACCAGGAAGTCAAACGCCTGGAGCAGCAACTCACACACGCTCAAAACCAACTCGACCAGACACGCGAGAAGCTTATCGCAGAACAGTCCAAGTCTCATAGCTCACAGGGTGGCATGAACTTGGAGAGTATTCAGAAGCAAATCGAGCAACTCAATGTCTACCGCGAAAGCACAACTACCTTGCGGAACGAGAACGGACGTCTCGAAGTTCAACTCACAGAGAAGAACAAAGAGATGGAGGATCTTCATAACCAACTTGAGCCTCTCCAAGCTCGTGTATCGGACCTGGAGGGTGAGATCGAGCTTCATGTCGGCCATCTCAAGGCTGTCGAAGAAGACCGTGATCGCTGGCAGAAGCGTCATCAGGATGTACTCCAAAGGTATGATCGCATCGATCCCAAGGAGCTTGAAGACCTGAAGCAGCGTATCGAAGACCTCCAATCTGAGCGCGACCAAGCTACGGAGCAAGTTCAGGGTCTTAACGAAAAGATACAAGATGTGGAAGCTGCCAAAGCAACTGCCATTGAGGAGGCCCGGGAGACTATTACCGCCGAGGTAGGAGAAGCTGAGAGGACGAAAGCGAGAACGGGATTCAACAAGGTCCATAACCTGAAGATGGCTGAAAAGGCAGCTGTGATTAAGGAGCTGCAAGACAACCTCACAGCCGTCCAGCAGGAACTCGAAGAATCAAAACAGCAGTCCGAAGCGGCGCAAACACAGGCCGATCAGTCGCGAGAGCAGCTCACATTGCTTCAGCAAGAGCTTGAGCAATCAAACACCAACCTCGGCGCGGCCCAGCAAGAGCTCCAGGCTGCCAATACCGCCCGCGACGAAGCGTTGGCTCGCACGGCCGGCAATGGCGATGCGAACGCCGACGTGGACATGGGCGAGGAAGGACAGATCAACGAGAATACTTCCGGTGTTTCGAACGAAGAGATCGAGCAACTGAAGTCCCAGCTCGTTGATGCCCAAAAGCGAGCCTCCGAGGCTCAGAACAACGTTTTCGCGGCGCAAAACCAGGCGGCTAAGACACAGGTGGAGCTTTCAGAGGAGAGAGAGAAGGTCAAGAAGCTTGACAAGGCTGCTGTAAGTTTTAATACTCATCTGTCGGCTGAACTAAGGCTAACGGCTGTCCAGACTGAGAATGTGCAACGCATCGTTCAGCTTCAAGAGGAAATTGATGCTGTACGAGCAGCAGCACCGCAACCAGAATCTACTTCTGTCCCTGTTGAGCAATCGGCACCTTCATCAACACCCGAAGATCTTGAGAAGCTTCAGGAGGAAATTGCAAAACTCAAGGAAGAGCTCGCTGCGGCGCATAAGGATGTTGAAGACCTGCGAGCCCAGGCTGAGGTGACGGACTCCACTGAGGCCAAACCAGAGAGCGGCGCAAAGGTTGAAGATCAAGAGAACGATCAACGACTCGCTGCCGCCGATGCCGAACTCAAGGAGCGGGAAGCTAAGCTGGCTCAACGTGAGACACGAATCACGAACAGAGAGGCTAAAGCGGAAGCCCTACGAGAGCTGCTGAACAACAAGTTGAAAGAAGCCAAGCAAGGATTCGTTGCTCAGACCGAACAACTCAAAGCAGAGCACCAGGCCGAAATTGACCGTGTCCGACAAGAAGTCCAGGCTAGCAGTGTACAGAACAGTGCGCCTGCTGGTCAAGACGCTCCGAATTCGTCGACGAACTCCAAACCCGAAGCCGCGGTCAAGATCGAAGGCTTGCCCACTGTCGATGCTGAAGATGAGGAGGTCAAAACGTTCTTCGCAAAGAACCCGACCGCTCTCAGTATATTGCGCAAGAATGTCAACGGCCAAGTGGAAAACGCCAAGCGCAAGATCAGTGAGGAGCACAACAAGCTCAAGGCTGAACTCGAATCGACCAAGGGAGAATACGAGAAGCTCAAGGCCGAGAAAGCGGACGCCGTTCCCAAAGATACTCAGCCAGAGAGCACTACTCAGAATCTGGAAGCTGAGCTGGCTAAAGCCAAGGCCGAGTTCGAGAAGACGCTGAAGGAAGCATTAGAGAAGAGGGAGGCCGAAGTGAAGCATGCAGAAGGATTGAAGGCAAGACTCAAGGATGGCCAACTTGGTCAAGCCAGAGCGAGATGGGGTGTAGTGGAGAAAGCCGCCAAAGAGACGCCCACCGAGGAAGTTTTCAAGGTCTACGAGGTGGCAAAGAACGCCAAAGCACCACAGAAGCCGGCCGTCCAGCCAAACACCCCTGCGAAGCCGCAGGCTCCAGCGTTGACACTGCAACCGGGCCAAACCAGGCCTGCAGCACCTGTGCAGTCTACACCAACATCGACACCAAGCCAACAACAATTTCCAGCTGGAACACCTGTGGTCGCTCACACTAATGGCACAAATGTCAATACTCCGGTCCAGACTGCCCAGCCTGGTCCTGGCCCGTTGAATGCAGGCCAGCCCCAACCAAACCCGTTCTTCCAAGCTCAAGCTGGTCAAGCCGTTGCACCGAATCCGTTCGTGCAGCCGCAAAACCAGATGGGTCGTGGCTTCGGCATCTCCAGCGGTATCGCAGCTCCTGGTTTCACTGGCCAGGGTCCTCCCGTCTCACAAATCCACCCTCCGCATCAACAACAAGCCGGTCGAGGCCGTGGTGACGGCTTCGGTACCGGTCCTCGAGCGCTGCAAAACATCATTGGTGCGCAGATTCAGAATCAGAATCCTCCAAATTCCGGCATTCCGCGAGGTGGTGCGAGCAGCATTCCTCTTCCCGGTGGTCGGGGAGGCGGCCGTGGCCAGCATCCAAACCAGGCCCAGAACCCGGCACAGAACCAGCAAACGAGCCAAATTGGACGTGGTGGTGGTCGTGGCGCAGGTGTAGGCGCAGGTCGTGGACGCGGCCAGAACAACAACAGTCCGAGGACTAGCTTGAATGCCGGAGCTCAGCAATTTCAGCCTGGGAGTGGCAGAGGACAAAAGCGCGGGCCTGAAGATGAAGGTGATAATGCCGCGAGGGGAGGGAAGAGACCTAGGGGCCGAGGTGGACAGGGAGGTGGGCCGGGTGCAGCGGAGTAACTTGAGTGTCAACACGAGGAAAAAGAACGAGTTTGAGGTGCATGAGTAGCGGAGTAGATGTGTTTCATCATATGTCCTTTTTACATTTTCTTTCTTTGGGAGTTTTTTTATTTGAGATGCGTGTTTCAAAATTTGGTAGCATAGGTATTCGAAGGAGTGTATTGACTTATGGTAATATCACACGGTATCAATGTAACATGTGGGGACCTATGATTTGCTTATTAAGAAGTTGCTCCTTCGTTGCTGTGCGTGACGGTCTAGTTCGCAAAAGGAGAAGATGGGGGCCTGAGGGTGGCGGAGTGACGGGATGGACTTGGCAATACGGGCCTTCAAACATGACCTGAAGGACGGCGGGAAAGGGCTGATGAAACTGTGTTGTGCTTTGTAAAACTTACAAAAGTTCCCAATCAACTCTGAAAATGATATTTCCTTCCCTATCAAACGTCACTGACCCTGGGTCAAGATCGACGCTGCATCCTGGTTGCATGACGTCTCGGCAGCGGAAAGACCCCGCTTTCTGATTGCTGTCTGCTCAATTGGATCTTCGCGCATGGCGTTCTTGATCTGGGGTCGCTAATGCAAGCCCCAGGGCTGACTGCAACTCATAAGAGAACATCGTGCCGCCCAGCTCAGCCGAGGACTTACGGCGCAGCGAAGCTCCCTTTTTCGCGCCGAACACTCTGCGACGCTTTGTATAACCTGTATTGAACAACCGCGCCCTTAAACTGATCGCGACTTCGCGACGCTCCATACGCGCATCCTTGTACGATCAGCAGAATTCCGCAAGCATCATGGGTAGCAAGACGGCGTCCGCGTCGCTGGGCGGCGTGTCGATGAAGCATCTTTCTCTTGTAACGGTATGCGCGACCCTGGTTTATGTGTTTGGTGGACCACGGCTAATATGTGTACAGCTCACTTTTCAGAATTCCGCACTCATCTTGGTATGACAACCCGCCCGCTTCCGTCGCGGACCCCACTCACGTCACTATGTTCGCGACGCGATCTACAAAACATTGGGAAGAGAGTTCTGGGTTTGGGCTGACATGATGTAGATTATGCATTATTCGCGCGTCATGCCTACGGTGAACGGGCAGAGATATCATACGAGTACGAGTGTCTTTTTGAACGAGGTCATAAAGTTGGGGATCAGCTTGACTATGGTACGCTGGTCGCAAACTATATAATGTTATACTGAGATCTGACGCGTTTCCACAGGCACTTTATGATATATCGAGAACCCTCCCCTCGAATACGACTGTTGCGACCCTTGCTTCAAGCTTCACGACCGCCATGTTCACAAACGAGAGCTGGAAACTCGCAGTACCAGCCCTACTATACACTTTACAAAACACGCTACAATACGTAGCCGTCAGTAATTTGGACGCAGCATCGTTCCAGGTCACATATCAGCTCAAAATTCTTACTACCGCCATGTTCAGCGTCATCATGCTGGGCAGGACCCTTACACCACGAAAATGGACGTCGCTACTACTCCTTATCATCGGTGTCTCGATCGTGCAGTTCCCAGAACATGCCTCGAAGCCTGTTAGCATGGAAACGTTACGAGACTCCAGTTCGAAGATCTGGCCACGATCTCTCGAGGAATTGCGCGATCTTGGGAGCCACGCTGCTGGACAACTCGTCAAGCGGTCTGCATCATACGAAGGTATCGAGGAAGACCGATATGGGCAAGCAACGCAGATGAACAGATCCGTTGGGTTGGTTGCTGTACTAATCGCCTGCGCAATATCTGGTCTCGCTGGTGTCTCGTTTGAGAAGATTCTGAAAGAGTCGAACACAAAGCAGACGTCGCTTTGGGTGCGAAATTGCCAGCTTTCATTCTGGTCCCTTTTCCCCGCGCTATTCCTAGGCGTCATTTGGAAAGACGGCGAGGTCATTGCGAAGACTGGCTTCTTCGTTGGGTATAATTGGGTTGTGTGGACGGCCATCACCTTCCAGGCATTTGGTGGCGTGATCGTCGCGCTTGTCATCAACTACGCAGACAACATCGCGAAGAACTTTGCGACTTCGATTTCGATTGTTCTCAGCTGTTTGGCTAGTGTGTATTTTTTCAACTTCAAGGTCACGCCGTCGGTGAGTTGCAGAATTCCCTCTTGATGCACGCGTACTAATACAGTATAGTTTTTCATTGGCACATCAGTTGTCCTATTCGCAACGTATCTGTACAGCAAGCCGGAACAAAGCGCTCTTCTAGGGTCAACGAAAATCTTCGACTTCGAAAAGACCATGGTTGATCGCAGTCCGCAGTACGACGATGCGCGTCGCAGTTCGGTGAAGAGTCATCTAAGAGGGGATAGTGGGGGCAGTTCGAGGCCTGGAACACCGACAGTTGAGAGGAAGTTTCCCAAGCGTGATGCTTGAGCGTATGCCGGCATTGTTGATGTTTGATGAATGTCACATCGCGCAGGCAGTGTATACTATGGACTGTCAGTCATCTCTATCTTGTAAGAGTTGGGATTCATGAATTTTGCTGGCGTTGGCTTGATACCCGAGGGGAAGCATGCACGGAGAAATCAGGAGCTTTGGATATACTGGAGACTATTCTTATCCATGCAATCACACGCAGAAGATGATGTATGCGCAGCAAAGAAACAGTCGCGTCACTTGGTGAGCGACGCGTGAGGTGACGTGTGAGGTCGTGACTTCCTCCATCGTGCCTTCTCCTTTCGTCTCGACATCTCTCACCTCTCGCGCGATACTCGCCACCCGCCCCCGCACTCCTCTCTTTTCCTCACTCTCTCTATCTTTCTGGCGTCTTTCTCTGCGTCTACTTCACCTGTCACACATCGCTCATGTAGCTGTCATGCACGACGAGCACTACTACCTCCCCGATGACTTTGAGCGCGGAAACGCCTCACGTCATGCGTCGCAATATGCGGTTCATCAGCCCCAGTTCAAGCAGTCTGCAAAGCCGGTTGCTCCTCGAGATCGGTACCGTGCCACTGCGTTTGACAACCCAGCGTACGATGCTGTGGAAGATGATGATGCTTATGGGCAAGAGGTGGCTTTTGATTCTTTCGGTGTGTGATTGTTGTTGGGTGAGGTGAGTGTCGACTTGCTGATGGTATGCTAGATGAGAGGCTGCTGCGGCAACCGTATGATGACAGGCAGCGACAGGCGGCGAGGGGTGAGGCGAGGCTGTCGCTTGCAAGTGGCGTGGGCAAGGGCTTTGGGAATGCTGGAAGAGGTATGTAAGACATGAGTTTGCGATGGACCTATGGGACTGATTGAATGATAGATGCTCGTAACCATAGCGCCTTGGATGATAGAGGTTTGTCTGCCGATGTGACCATCAGTGAGTGCATGATTGCTGACTGCTCAGTAGAATATCAAAGCTATACTGAGCAGCCGATACGCGGACAATTGAGTATATCATCCTTGGGTTTGCTGACATACTTGATATTGACGATGGTGCAGGTCGATTCGCGTTCAATCCACATGACTTCCAGGAATCCAGCTCCGATGTACACCTGGGACCGTCTTCTAGTCCAGCATGGAAGGCGAGCCAGAGGCGAGCCGAGCACAGTGGCGTCGTTGAGTCTCAACAGGCTCTTCAACCTCTTGTGCTGGAAGAACAGCGACGAGATTCAGTCGTGCAACAGAGACCAGACGTTGCACGTTCGCATCAGCAGTATCTCCAGACTCGGCCATTTGATGATGAGCGACGGCCTGCACCTATGCAAGGGAGATTAGCGCATGAACGTTCTTTTCGACCTTTGGGCTCTCGTTCATTCGAAGACGAGCAGCAACTTGCGGTAGCGCAGCAGAAGGAAAACGTTGACGGAAATTACCAACCAATTTCCCTACGGAGGTCTGCAACTAACTTGAACCATGGTCCTCCTGTGGTTCAGGGAATTCAACTCGTTCCCATCACAGCCCTCCCCGATCGACTTCGAACTATCTTCCCATTCCCAACCTTCAATGCAGTCCAGTCCAGGTCGTTCGACAAAGTGTTCAGATCTGACGACAACTTCGTGCTCGCGTCCCCCACTGGCAGCGGAAAGACGGCAATTTTAGAACTTGCCATCTGCCGCGCCATCGCCACGAACAACACGGGTCAATACAAGATCGTCTATCAGGCACCCACAAAAGCCTTGTGTTCTGAGCGCCAGCGAGACTGGGAGAAAAAATTCAATCCTATTGGGTTGAAATGTGCCGAGCTCACTGGTGACAGCGACTTCTCTGATTTGAGTAATGTCCAGGGCGCCAACATCATCATCACTACCCCAGAAAAGTGGGACAGCGTCACCAGGAGGTGGAAAGACCACGAGAAGCTGATGAAACTCGTCAAGTTGTTCCTCATTGATGAAGTCCATATCCTCAAAGAGGATCGCGGAGCTGTACTGGAAGCCGTGGTCTCTCGGATGAAGTCCATTGGTACGGATGTCCGCTTTGTTGCTCTGTCGGCGACCGTCCCTAACTTCCACGATGTCGCGGCATGGCTTGGCAAGAATGCAGCTCATCCGCACGAGCCTGCCGCGAACGAAAAGTTTGGGGAAGAGTTTCGACCGGTAAAACTCAGGAAACACGTCTGCGGTTATGTCTACAACAGCCCCAACGACTTCGCATTTGAGAAGTCGCTCGACTCGAAACTCCCCGATGTCATCACGAGATACTCAGAGGGTAAGCCCTTGATGATCTTCTGTGCCACCAGAGCTTCAACAGTCAAAACGGCCAAACTTGTTGCGAACTGGTGGGCCAAGATATCCGGTCGTGATCGGATGTGGAACCCTCCTTCGAAACAAATCCCTGTGAACAACAAAGATCTTCTTGACACTGTTGCATCAGGCGTGGCGTTTCATCACGCGGGCCTTGACTCGGATGACAGGTTGAAGGTTGAGAGTGGGTTTCTCAACGGCGACATCAATGTCATCTGTTGCACATCAACACTTGCCGTGGGAGTCAACCTACCCTGTCACCTCGTCATCATCAAAAATACAGTGACGTTTTGCGATCAAGGTCTGCAAGAATATTCGGACCTGGAGATGATGCAGATGCTCGGTCGTGCTGGTCGACCACAGTTCGACGACAGCGCTGTAGCAGTCATCATGACTCGCCAAGCGAAGGTCTCTCGATATGAGATGATGGTTACAGGACAGGATCTGTTGGAGAGCAAGCTTCATCTCAACTTGATCGACCACATGAATGCTGAAACTGGCCTCGGAACTATTCGTGACCTTGATTCTGCCAGGAACTGGCTTACTGGGACGTTCCTCTACGTTCGGCTAAAACAGAATCCGGAGCACTACAAGCTCCAAGGGGCGAGAAGTGGTCAGGACATCGAGGAACAGGTGGATGATATCTGCTATCGCGACATCTCTCTTTTACGGGAATATCAACTTCTTGATGGCGACGAGTACTTTCGATGTACGGAGTTTGGCCATGCTATGGCGCGATATTATGTTCGTTTCGAGACGATGAAAATCTTCATGGGCTTGGAGAAGAAGGCGTCGCTCTCGGAGATCGTAAGTCGCTTGCCCACCTTTCGTATCGGTCGCCGTTCTAACTGTGCGTGCAAAGCTATCCGCTGTCTCACAGGCTCACGAGTTCTCCACGATTCGATTTCGACAAGGTGAAAAGTCGATCTACAAGACCCTCAACAAATCACCTTCGATTCGTTTTCCTATACCTGTCAACTTGGATCTCCCAGCACAGAAAGTATCCTTGCTCATTCAGTCTATTCTCGGCTCCGCGGACATCTCATGGGATGGCGAAAACGGGAAGCACAAGTCGCAATACGTGATGGAGACACAGGTGATCTTCAAATATATCCACAGCTTGGTGCGGTGCATCATCGACTGTCAGATATGTTTGGGAGATTCTGTGAGCATCCACAACGCACTGATGCTAGCACGTAGTTTGGGAGCGAGGGCGTGGGATGAGAGTCCGCTACAGATGAGGCAAGTGGCAAATATCGGCGTTGTCGCAGTACGAAAACTCGTCAACGCTGGTATCAAAAGCATTGAGGATCTCGAGGCTACGGATGCGCATCGTATCGAGGCGATTGTCGGCAGAAACCCGCCGTTTGGTCTCAAGGTGCTTGGGGAACTGAAAACTTTTCCGAAGCTTCGTGTCTCTCTCAGCGTTCAGCCGTCTTCAGTGGGTTCTTTGCTTGTGCGTTCGGCCTCTGAACTAACCACTCTGATAGATCACGAAGACCGGGGAAGGAGTCAAGATACAAGTCAAAGCAGACATTGGATTCATCAACGAAACGCCACCGAAAAGCTTCAACAACAAGCTCATCTACGTTTGTCTGCTGGCAGAGACATCCGATGGTCGCAAAATTCACTTCGCTCGTATAAGGTAAGCATGATCCTTGTCATCAAGAGCACAATATACTGACTGTGTAAAGTGGTCCCAAGCTTGGTCTTGGACAAAGCCTTGTGTTTCCTGCTCTGTTGGAGAGTCCTGATCTATGTATCAACTGCTACGTCATGTGCGACGGGATTGGTAAGTACTTCAGAACTCATGGGACTGGCAAGACTGAGGTATCATAGCGGGCAGTATGCGCGGTGCCACAGTGAAGCCAAGGATAGCTCCGTCCATGTTTCCAAGTACTAGAATATCTGCGCCAGATACACCACAGCCCAATATGTCGAAACGTCGCGCAGAGACGTCAAAAGTCAGCCGCAAACGATCAGTTGCCAGTGAAGACTTTGGAGATGACGGTATTGACGATGATGAGCTGATGAAGGCTACGTCGGTTGGAGATCTCGATTTTGATCACATTGAGAATTACGACAATCCTACTGATGCTGTTACTCGGAAGAATACAGCCAAGAACAAGACCAAGGATAAGAGTTTTTCAAAGCAACCCAATACCGCGGCTGATGATGAGATACATGAACCGAGGCAGCTCGACAACGGAAAATGGGCCTGTAATCACAGATGTAAGGATAGGATGGGTTGCAAGCATCTATGTTGTAAAGAGGGAACCGACAAGCCACCGAAGAAAGCTGCCACGAAGCGTACAACGTCCAGCGACAATGGATCAGAGCCTGTACAAAAAAGGTCGACTCAAAATGGCAAACAGACGCAAACCAAGCTCCAACTTTCATCTTCCAAGCGGAAGATCTCCAGTCCGATCGAGGAGATTGATTTAACGCACACAGAGAAGAAGAGAAAGGCTGATTTTGCTACGAACGGACCAAAAGATTTTCGTGGTCTGCATCAGCTTCACAAAAGCGTTCAGAAAGATAATCCGCCTTCCTCCCTCCATGCTGTCATGCACAAGAAGTCAGCTTATTGTTATGGTGAAGGTGGCGAGCACGCGCTCTCCTTCATGAATCAGCCAACGGCACGACGACCCCAGTCTTCGAGCGATTACGACGACATACCACTTGATGATTTCACTTTCGACTTCGATGATTCCAAGCCGAATGTCTTCCAGCAGCAACCAATGGAGGCAGGAAATATATCTGACTTTGATGCGTTGGTCGATTACCCTCCGAGAGCAACGGTGTTTTCTCGCAGCTCGGATCTGTTTGGCGATAACGATTCACTTCTGGGAGATGCTATGATCGGTATCGCAGATTCAGAGACCCTCGCGACGACGTACCAAGAAGATAATGATCTTACACAAGCGACTGGGATGCCAGCGGACATGGACTGGGAAGCGGACTTTGAGGATGACGACTTTATGGAGGAGTTTGGTATCCCAACCAACGCAGCTGACGATTTTAAGTCTCCCAACGAGCAGTCGAGTTTCTCTACCACGCATCCGAAAAAGTCGCTACCCCCGCCCCAGCCGCGTCTACCGTTTTTGGACAACTCGAGCAGTTCGCATGCTGAACACGACGATATAAAGCCTGCGAAGGTTGTGCAAATGGACCGAGACTTGGGGAGCGTCAGTCGGGTTAAAGGTTTTCCGTTCAAGCCACGCAAAGAGTCGAGTGATCAAGTGGTAGACGAAGAGTACAATTCGCTGGATTTGTCCGACATGTCTCATCCCCAGCCTGTGGAAGACGTAAAGGTCAAAGAAGAACAGATTCCTGATGGCTTCAAGGATCTTGAGCCCTGGCTGTTCCAGGAGTTTGGCGATATCGTGGAACTTGTTGATGAATGAATGGGAAGCGAACAGGGATTATGATGTGAAGGCACGTGTTCGGCATGAAGAAAAAGAAGAAGATGGGTTGAGGAGCTGGCTACATGTTGGTGCAAGTTACAGAATGTTTGTGAAACATTTGAGGTCGCTATGAGGGCATATGCACTGAGAAATGTATAATTGATAAGCATTGTAACAGTTAGGATGATGTCATAACAGCGGTCTGTCTGAGTATTTCAACCCTTAATCCACTCTTCGACAAACGCAACCGTCTCTCACGACGAAAACATCCGCGCCCTGTCCTCCATGTGCCCCACTGGGATTCCACTCCAACGTACCCACATCCATGATCCATGATAGGTCTGTCCACTGCAGCACTCAATTGCCGCATCGGGTGCCGTACATTCGCGGGGATCCAAAATGCTGCATAAGTCATACGTTCCAAGTGTTTAGTGCTTGACCATGGTGCTTCTTCCGCCTCTAGCCTGAATGGATGCTGACAACCAACGGCACGGATGTCCGAAAACAGATTCGGTGTAGAATCCACTATAAGGTGGTCGTACCCGATATATTATGAACAGCTTCCACGGTCAGAAGAGACACATCCCAAACTCTCCCTAACTCACCATCCATTCTAACACCAAGCCCCACCCCAACATGCCCACCCTCAACCTCCAAGGCGTAAACCTTTCCTACACCACAACCGGCACCGGCCCACCCCTCCTCCTCATCGCCGGCGCCCCAGGAAACAGATCCGTATTCCGCAAAGCCACCAACCCCCTCTCCGCCCACTTCACAGTAACCACCTACGACCGCCGCGGCTACTCCCACAGCACTCCCCTCGGCCCCCAAGACAACGCCAACCGCCTCGCAGCCGACGCCTCAGACGCCGCCGCGCTAATCACGCACATCTCCGGGGGCAAGGGCGCCTTCGTCTTCGGCACAAGCTCCGGCGCCATCGTCGCCCAGCAAGTCCTCCTGCACTATCCCGACGTGGTAAGAATGTGCATCGCGCACGAACCGCCCTCGCTCGCCGTGCTGCCTGATCCCGAACAAGCAAGCGCTTTCTTCACAGACGTGCTGTTTCCGGTGTACCGCGCGCAGGGTCCTGGGCCTGCACTCGCGCTGTTCTTCTCACTGCTGCCCGAGGAGGAGAGGAGTGTGGCGGGGGAGGTTATGTCCTGTGGCTCTGAGGCGACGGCGGAGATGCGCGGCGATGTTGTGACGTGGTTTGAGCGCGAGGTTTGTATGTATCCGATGTCGGGGGTGGATGTTGAGGGGTTGAGGGCGAGGAGGGGGCAGTATGTTGCTTGTTTGGGGAGGGCGACGAGGGGGACGATGGGGGCGGGGCCGACGGAGGTGTTGGGGGAGAAGGTTGGAGGGGGGGTGATGGAGATTGAGGGCGGGCATTTGGGGTATTATACGCATCCGGTGGAGTTTTCTGGGGCGCTGGTGGAGAAGCTGTTGGGTGAGGGGAGGGTTGAGGAGGCTGTATGATGTTTTTTGTATTGAACAGGCGAAAGTTGTCGACTACTTGTGCATTGTTAAGTCGAGTTAGATACTATTGTGAACGTGGTGATTGCGGTTGGAACATGACAACCAAGAGTTGAGAGCGTCTGCTGATGTGCACGGACTTCAGGTGAAAGCCTTGTGGAGAACAGTTGCCATGTACTCAAACAAACAGTGAGAGCGGTCTGCCATTTGCTAGGTTCGCACCACTGAGTTTGATACAATAGTTGATCCTTTTGTTTTATCCTCTACCATCTATACGATGTCATAAGTCATAGTAATCTATCCACTCCCTTCAGAGGTACCCGTGATACATCTAATTCTTATTCTTCCCATACCTCTTCCTCCAGTTCCGCACACCCGCATCCATCTCCTCAGTAGTCACCCCATTCTTCACCAACTTCATCGTCACCCCCAGCACCTCAACATTCTTATTCCTACTCTCATCATCAAAGAACAGCATATCCTCATACGCAATCCCACTATCCCTATGTATCCTCTCGAAATGCGTCGTCTTGCTCCCGGGGTATATCTGTATATGGTCGAAGTAATCAATCGCTCGTTGCGACGCGCCAGACGAGCTAGGTATCTTCAGGAGCTGCAGCATTTCGCGGCCAAGATCGGGGGCGTGGGTGCGTGAAGCGGCGCCGATTAGGATGTCGTTTTGCTTGAGCTGGGATGGAGTCAGATGTCTGCGTAAGGTCTGGGCGACGAGGATGTCATACTGCTTCTAGAACAACTGCAACATCACGGTAGAAGCCGTAGCCCTCGCCATATCGGTCTTTGACTTTCATGCCGCCCTCTACCGCCTTGATGGGCGCACTGACGTGTGTGTCGACCCAGAATGGCCATAATGTGTAGTCGAGATCGAAGACGACGATTCTGGGTAGGGGTGCGCCATCTGTGAATGTCGCGGGCGTTGCTGTTTTCTCTGGGAGTGCGGTCGTCGTCGTTGTCGTGTCGGCCGATAGCGATGATGTTGCGCCGCGGCGTGGCATGGCGAATGAAGGTAGGCGCAGACTTTTGGATGCGAGGAATATGGATAGAGCCAGTGCGATCAACACAAGGGGAAATCGAAAGGTAGCCAGTGTTTATAATGCAAAGAGTACCGGAGAAAATTATGTTGGGGTGCCGCGGTCGCCACATGAATGACGTCACGCGTCACGGACTGCCTTATCGGGGATAACGGATTTGTTACACACGAGTTGATTGTTGCAAACCTCCGATCATTATCTGTTCCTAAGTAGTTGATTCTCGTCAAATTTATTTGCCGATGTTGCTGCTAGCCGTGATGCTCAACTCATTCTGACAAGTATGTTTTAGTAACAGACTTCTGCATTTGCTACATGGAATTTGCTGCCCTTCCATCTTCCTCAGACCACGCGCCTCCCACCATTTTCTGTTTCAACACTCACCCTGCCCCCGCATCAAACACAGCAAACATACCCTGCGTCCCCCTCCCGCCCTCACTCTGCTCACTTGGTACCCGTCCTCCAAGCCACATCCTCGTATACACGTCTACTGCCTCCCAGCCGAGATCTTCAAACACGCCCCTCGCCTCAGAATTCATGCCAAAGACTTCGGCGACTAGGCTACCCTCCGAGTCTGCGAGTTTGGACATGGCGGCACGAAGAAGTATGCAAGCTTGCTGCGTAGAGGTAGCGTAGAGGGGGCCGATGCGGTGGCCAGATGGGCAGGGGCGGATGAGGATTAAGCCTTCGAGTTCTGGAGTAGGACTTGAGGGAGAGGAGGAGAGTATGACGAAGCCCGATGTATCGCCCTGTGCAAGGAGACCGTCTTTCGACCAATACGCGGTGCGATCAAGGCCTGTGTGCGCGAGATCGAGTTGCGCAAGGAGCGCAGCATCAACCGACCTGATATCCCTGATGGTGTCGGTACCCGCATCATCGCCGTCGAGTGGTGGTAGCGGCGCAGTCTTCAGTGACTCCCTCGTCATGACATGCACACTCCCCTGCTCCTTGAACCCACTCTTCTTATATCTCTCCACCTGTTCTCGCACGGCATCAAGCCCAACTACCCTCGTCCCACTTTCGGCGAAACACTCTTCCATCTCTTTCCATAGCGCGGCGCCCAACCCTCGACCGCGGAAGGCGGCGTTCATGAGGAAGAATCCAACCCAGCCCGTGCCATTGGGGTACGTAAGGGGCACAATGCAGCCTTCGGCCTGCGAAGTTGAGGCGTGGATTAGGACGAGGAAGGTTTGACCCGAAGAGGCGGCACGGTAGTGTGCGGGGAGGTCGGTGGCGGCGCGGTTCTGGGGAGCGTGCGTGTTAGGAGGGGATAGATGGAGACAGACGAGGAAAGGTTACCCAGCCTAGCTCTTGTATTAAGGGACACCATAAGGCGGATGCTTCTTCGACATTGTTGGCGGGCCGGACTATGTAGGCGTTTGATCCGACAACCATTGCTCTAATTACTTTAGGGGATTATGAGCTGAAGCCAGACTCTTAGGTCGATGATGGTGTGGGCTGGAGTGCTGTTGTAGTGTCTGCGTTGTAGGCTATGGTGAGGATGCGGAGAAGGTTGCAGTCGGATATGTTGTATGATGGCTGGGCGTGATCTGCAAACTAGACAAGAAGCGACGGATCGTTCATGCATCCTGTAAGCAACAAGCATCTTTGGTGACCAAAGAGGAAGGAGGGGGTCTGTAATAGATTGCAACCTCTGTGTCTTGATAAATTGTTGGAGGAGATTAGTAAGGAGTATCATGTAGTAATCGCCGTACTGCATACCAAGTGCACTAAGGAGAATTCCATTAGAAGCACATTTCAGTCGCCATTTGAGTGCTATTAGACAATGGAATGGAACCGACATGTGAAAGCCCATACGTACTGACTAGCCCCACCCTCTAAAATGACTCGCGCAACATACCCCACCAAATTATACTTGAAGTCAAACCATCCCACCAAAACCCCCAAATCACCAACATGGCACCCACGCCCTGCGCCCTGTGCAAGACCAACCGCGCCCTCATCCTCCGTCCAAAAGACCACTCCAAACTCTGCAAAACGTGCTTTATTCGCGTCTTCGAAACCGAAACCCACCACACCATCACCTCGAATGCGCTTTTCCACCGTGGCGAAAGAGTCGCCATCGGGGCCTCTGGTGGAAAAGACAGCACCGTCCTCGCATCCGTCCTCAAAACTCTGAACGAGCGCTACGACTATGGGCTGGATCTGATATTACTGAGTATTGATGAGGGTATCAAAGGGTACAGAGATGATAGTCTGGAGACGGTCAAGAGGAATGCGGAACAGTACGGCATGGACCTGACGATTCTGGGGTACAGTGAGCTGTATGGGTGGACTATGGATCAGGTTGTCGAACAGGTGGGGAAGAAGGGGAACTGCACCTACTGTGGCGTATTCAGAAGGCAGGCGCTGGACCGTGGCGCGGCGAGGTTGGGAGTGAAGCATGTAGTCACTGGACACAACGCCGACGATGTTGCGGAGACCGTACTGATGAATTGTGAGTTCTCGATGCAACATGACAATCTTAACACAACTCTAACAGTAGGTAGTGCTCAGAGGTGACCTCCCCCGTCTATCGCGAACCACCTCCATCGTCACATCAACACCCTCCGCTATCGCCGATCCAAAGTCAAACACGAACATCAAACGTAGCAAGCCTCTCAAGTACGCTTACGAGAAGGAAATCGTCCTCTACGCGCATCACAAGAACCTCGACTACTTCAGCACGGAATGCATATACTCGCCCGAAGCCTTCCGCGGTAGCGCCCGCGCTCTCATCAAGAACCTCGAACGTGTACGACCAAGCGCAATTCTCGACGTAGTCAGGAGCGGCGAAGACATGGCCCGCCTTGTACCCGGAAGCGACGAAGGCTGCGGCGGCATATGCTCCAGCAACATCCCAGCCGCAGAGGAGGAAGAGGGCGGATGCGGGAGCGCAAACGGACGCACCACAGGCGGCGAAATGGCCACAGTCGAAGCCCAACTCGCGCAGAACGAAACCGCCACGGAGAACGGCCTCGAAGTAGAAATCACAGCGCGCAACATCACCGGGAAAGACAAGCCACACGGACAACACAACAGCAACTTCGTCCCTTCATCCGGCATCAAAACGGCGAGAAAACACATCACACCCCGCAAAACAACAAAGCAGGTCATGGGCCAGTGCAAGAAGTGTGGATACCTCTCCAGCCAAGACGTCTGCAAGGCATGCATGCTGCTCGAAGGCCTCAACAAGAGCAGACCGAAGAACAGCATCGAAGTGGCGTACGACGGACAGGAAACGCACCATGCGGGCGTGAAGGGCATCACGGAAGGCATGAAGGGTGCGACGATCGGAGGAGACTGAGATGCAGCATACAGATCTTCCCGCGCCCGAATGCCTCCGCATCTGTACGACGCGGCGGGTCGAAACGCACGGCATCTACATACCCGGTAACGGTGGGTGCTGCAGGTTGCGTCTGCATGCGGATATGCATCATGCAAGCTGCTGCATACGAACTCGTCGCACGGAATATCAATAATGAGGGACGACGTCAATATATCGCTTCCATTCTGGACAGAATACTTTTCGCGCCCAACACCTCTTTTCGACGCGGAGGTCTGTCTCACTCCACGCGCACTTGCCACGAGCGTGTGATTGACACACAGGTCACGATGGCATGTCATGTGCGCGTGCGAGGAAGGGACATAGTTCAGTTGCGCCAGCTATGGCGAGTAGATTTATCGGGTGCGACATATTCGGATTCAAGCGGTGATGTCGTGATAACTTGGAGGTACGTGGTTGCTATGGTGATTATGCTATAGTATGGGGTTGGGCGTGTTATGGGTGTGGATATAGGTACCACGCCAAGAAGATCACACCACGACGTGGCTTTGTACCTTTGTGTCTCGAATCTATGACTTGGTAGCACACGGCGATCAAACATATTGGCAATGGAAAGCGGTGTAGCGAGGTAGAAGATTGGAATGCAACAAACTATGCATGACATGATAATCGCCTCCCATCTATGGAAACCTCATCTTGAACCCTCCAAAATTTCAGGAGAAACCAAGTGACACACACACTCAAGATCACCACCCTTGCAAATGCCGCTGAAACATAAAAGTGGAAAAGAAAAACCCCCTATCGATGCAACACGCCCGAAAAAAAGCCCTCGTCCCAAACCGTCTAAATCTCAAACCCCCAATCCCCACTCAATTCCCACGGCCCACTAACTTCAATGGTCCCCTTCTCTGCATCAAACGTCCCCGTCGCACCCGCCTGCTCGCGCCCCAGCACAACAACACTGGCGACAGTCACACTCTCGCCGTCCGCACCTGCATACGCAAACGAGCCCCCAGCGCTAAACGTCCCCCCCTCGAAGGAGAATTCAATCTCGCTAACGCGATCCTGCTGCACCATCTCGCCCTCATCGAGGTACAAGCGGCCCGCCGCCTTGCCGTCGCGCCCAGGCGCAACGACGAGGTAGAATTCCTCGCTTCGCAGGGCTTTGGTAGTGTTTGCGCTGTTTGCGCGGTGCGGGATGATGGTGCCGCCGCGGATGTGCACTGGGATGTCGGTGTAGGTCAGGTTCGTCTCTGTGACGTTTATGCCGCGGCCCTCGTATTTTGCGTAGGTCCAGTAGTTGTAGAAGACGTCATCGGGGAGGTAGTATGTGACTGTGTCGGAGTAGTCGGTTGTGACGGGCGAGACGAGTAGGGCGTCGCCGTAGAACCACTGTTCTTGGATGGCGAAGGTGTTGGTGTCGTTTGGGTAGAGGAAGAACATGGGGTTGATCATGGGGGCGCCGGTGGTAGTTTGGTAGTGTAGCGCCGTGTAGATGTAGTCGATGAGCTTGTAGCGGGTAGCGATTGCCTTTTGCGCTGCGGTGGCGACAAGCGGCCACTGGTAGAATTCCTGCGTGCGCGCGTTGTCGGCGGCGTGGTTGCGGTAGAAGGGCTGGAAGGCGCCGAGGAGAGCCCACCGCGCACACATATACTCGTCTGCGTTGCCGTTGAAGCCGCAGACGTCACTGCCAACCATGGGCATCTGGTGCATGGCGACGAAGGAGAGCATCTGTCGGATCGAAGTCCGGTAGTGTTCCCATGAGGACTCGTTGTCGCCGAACCAGTGCGCGACCTTGCGCCCGCTGCCGGCCCAGGTTGAGCGCGTCAGGACGAAGGGACGCAGTGCGGGGCGGCGCGTCACCATTGATTGCTGCGTTGTCAATGCCATCATGTGGCCGTACAGACTGTGCGTGTCGTACTGCCATGTACCGTCATAGTTGGTCGTGTTGGTGTAGATGGTCAACGAAGTCAGATTGCCACGGTGGCTCTTGATGTCGTACTTGGGGTTGAACCATTCGCGATCGGGGAAACCCTTCGACTGACCCCACACATCCTGGCGCGGAGACAAAGCCTTAGTGTCGCGGGATTTGAGTGAAGAGCCCGTTGAAGAAGGCTGGAACGAGTTGGGGAAGCCAGGGATAGGGCGGCCGGTGTTGGGTCGAGGGGAATTGGCGGGCTTCGGTGGAATGCCGTCGTCGATGGCCTTCTGGCGTGGATTACAGTTCTGATCTGCGCAGAAGTTGGATGCTTCGTTCATGTCGACCCAGATTCCGTCGATATCAATCCCAGAGTCAGCGTCGAACGCAGCTTGCATCTCTTCTGTCCACCACTGTGCTGTATTTGGGTGGAACCAGTCTGGCCATGCCACCTCTCCTGGCCATTGAACGCCCAACAGATCAGTACCGTCGGCAGCCTTGAGGAAGACATCCATCTCATGACCCTTATTATACGTATCGTAGTCAACAGCATGAACACCCGGGTCCAGAATGAGGATATAACGTTGGTCGCGCTCGTGCAGAGTGCTGACCAACTCCCTCATCTTGGTCACGGGGAAGCGATCGGGATCTGTGGTGAAGTCCTGGCGCAGATTCATGTAGTCGATGTCTGTCCACATAACTTCGAGCGGAATTCCGGCAGTCGAGTAGTTTGCAACAACCTCGGCAACCATGTTGACATCCCAATACCCATACTTGCACTGGTGGAAGCCGAACGCCCAGTAAGGGAACATAGCTGGGTAGCCGACAATGTCCGCATATTGCTTGGACACATCAGCAGGCTGCTTGCCGGCCATAAAGTAGAAGTCCATGATTCCACCAATAGTGTTGTACTCGAGGTACTGATCACCGGACTCAGTCTTGGTCAGGACGACGTTCATGGGGCTGGAGTTGACCAAAAACACACCATGAGTACCCCGGTCACCGCGATGATCGAAGTAAACTGGATGAGTACCGTAGAGATTAGAGTTGTTAGGAATGTTAGGCGACTCCGCAGCAAACAGAACACGGTTATAGCTGTCCGTGTGAAAACGGAAAGAGTCACTGTGCTCTCCCAGACCGTACACATTCGGGTCCTTTGGCATGCTGGTACGCAGACGGACATACTGCCTCTCAAAGACCAGTGACGCAGCAGACGTGTCGAAGAGTACCTCGCCATTCTCTTTCCGTGTTACCTTAAAGGAGAATGGCTGCTCGACAATGTCAAACTGCAGAGCTGCATCCGATGAGGCTGTGTTGCCATTTTTAGGACGTGGCAGTACCTCTTCTTGGACTTGGTAAGCGTTGAGACCTGCATCGTAGATCTTAATGTGGAGACGCTCGTCTGAGTTTGGTTAGTCGATGCTGAAACGAGATAAGCAAAAGATCAACATACTGCTCTGGTACTCAACAAGCAACTTGAGTTCCTCGAGATCTTCGCTGTAGATATTGCAGGCGGTACCAGCTAAAGAGAGGTCGGCAGTGAGGGTCGAGTCTGTCTTGACTACATTGGAGGCGCTATATCCAGGACAGGCATCGAGGTTGGACGCTTGCACGCTGACACCACTCTGGGGAAATGGTACCGCAGAGGCAAGCCTCGAGCACGCGGTGAGCGTGACAAGCAACCGTTTGAACATCCTGCGCGTGGTTGAGGTCGTCCAAGTTGTTCAGTGGAGTGGAGGCGGTGCCACGAGGGCTTTATATGGAGGGGGTGGGAGTGAAAAAACATGTCGTAGGATCCAGGGTGACAACATTTCGTGACCCATAATTCTGCTTTTGACCCATTTCACTATATTAGAGCCCGCCATCTGTCGACCCCATGATCTTTCCCCGGGTTGTGAAAGGTTCTGAATGACTCTAGCGGCAACCTTCTGTGCCTAACGACGAGGTCAACACCACTTACTTGCTCCAACGAAAACTAGCACGGGTAGCATGCAGCGAGACAAACGTACAACATGTCTTGTGGAGCGAGCAAGATTTGTGGCGAAACAGGACGCTATACAAGCGCATATTCTTGGCGCGTATATCCGGTTGTTGTGTTGACCCGCATCCTGTGGAGTCCCCATGTATGCATGAATCAACAAATGGTGAAAGCGACTACAACATAGGAGATTCTCGCTTCCCCTAAATCTCGGGTACCATTGTAGATCGACCAAGGAACATCCAGCACTAAGGTCATACCTTCCTTGTTGGCACGCGACGGCAATAACACTTCTCCAAAAGGAAGTTTTCAGGGGCGATCCACAAAGATGGCCACCTCTCTGAAGCTAACGGTGGACTCATGATACCAAGCTGTGACGTGGAGTTCATGAACCGGCGGTGTGTCCTGGCCTCCTATTGCAGGCATTGTTTTGGGATGGTTGGTGTTCGTGACGTTGTGATCACTTGGTAGGGTTCTCGTGGAATTGTGGGGTATCCCGCAGCCAAGCTTTCTGACGATGCAACGCTCCGCATCGCACATGTTGAGTGGCTGTGATGGGGTACTGCAATTTCGCGTTCGCCGGCACCTTGCAGACGTTGACATCCATCGTGAGGTTTCCACAAACTTCACTGTCGCGTGTGACGTGCTGAGGATTGTGAGGGTCTGGTTGGCACGATGATCACAGACGACCAATGAGAATGCAGGTAGAGCCCCGCCGTCACGTTTTGCAATTTTGTCCACCCTTCTCAGGTGCACGAAATTATCAACAAGCATGGCTATGAAGATTCTTCCTCTGGACGAGTTCAGGCTACCCGATTATCCCGATGCTCGGTTGCATCTGGACCGCTCTCCGCTGGCCATCATCTCCGATGAAAGATTGACTTCGGAAACCGACACGAGCAACCTGACTATACCCATTGGCATTGCCACGGTACTGTACCACTGGTGTCCCGATGCGCTGGCCGCATTCCTTGATCTCGATGCATGGTTCTCCTTTACTTGGATACTAACAATCCAGCAAGGAGAACCCGACGAGACTAAAATTGAAATCGGGCGTGTGGGAAACCAAATCACATTCGGTACCCTAGACAAAAACGGAGACAACTGGACGCTTATGGTGACGTACAATATTTCCACGACGGAGCCTGATCGAGGAGCCTGGATCCCGAACCCGAAGGAGAGCATGGAGAATGACCGCGACATTGTTGATCCCGAGGAGGTCGAGAGTCTGGGGAAAGGATTCGCCAGGAACTTGGTTTTGGAAAGGGGATGGGCCACGGGGAAAAAGCTACGCCATCAATTCTTCGTCGAGTACGCTCCTATGGACATCTTTGGTGATGGCATACCGATGAACCCCCACTGGCTGTATAAATCCGTCAGTCTTGTGGAATGCACTACCTGCCAGGTCTCACAAGACACACGTGCGCTTAGTCGCTGTGGCAGATGTGGCACAGCGACATACTGTTCCGACACATGTCAGCGCAACGACTGGGCCGTGCACAAGCACATCTGTAATATGGGGATAGAGGATAGAGGTCAGGCACTGAAGATTACGCAGAATGGGGGTTTGATTGGATGGGACACGTCGAAAACCATGGCTGAGGAGGGTAGCGAGGAGGAGTCCAAGAATCCCAACTTCGCTGAGCAGCAACTTAAGCGGTGCGCTCATGAGTGATCGTCTCGAGACCAAGTTCGACATGCGCAGGGATGGAAAACAGACCTGGATGGTGATCAGCCATGGTTAAGAACTTTTGCTGCCCAATTCTGAATCCAGGCAAGATCATGACTTTCGAGATTTATATTCGCACGTCTCTTCGAGTACTGCCACAAACTGAACTAAACCACCAATGAAGATCAGAAACCAGAAACAATTCTTGATTGGTGGCCGCAACAAATACACAACGATACGTCTCCTCACTGAACAGAACCTGCCCTAAGAAAACCTGGAAACCACCACGCGAACAGACAACGGACCACACAACACCGACACAAAACACGCCACCAAGCACAAAACAACAGCCCAGACCCTATCATCAGCGAGCACCACACCAGCCTCGCACTCATCACCCTCCACATCCCCACCCCCCTGCGGCTCCCACCCCCGCGCAGCCCCCTCCGGTTCCCGCCACGCCTCCCCATCGCCCACAAGCCGCTCCAACCCCTCAACAACCGCATCCACGCTCCCCCACAACGACGCATACATGCCCCACCCCCCTCGCATAACCGCCTCCAACGACCTACTCCTCACCGGCGTCGCAAACTCATGGCAAAACCAGTTCCGCACGACCCTCACCTCGTCGGGCGCACACAGGCCAAACCGCTCAAACCAGCAGCTCCGCGAGTCAGGATTCAGCACCTCGGCGATCCCGATGTGGTTGAACTGGAACGAGCACTGGTCTGCGGTGGGCGACGTGATGTCGTGCTCGGCGCTGAGTTCGTCTTGTCCGCACTCATCGATTAGGTCGAGTTGGTCGTGCAGGAGACGGCGGAGGTGGCGCAGGAAAAGTAGCGAGCGCTGGGCTTCGGTGCGCGTCACGGTCCTGCCTAGGTACGTGGCGGTGAAGAGGTGCGTCGCGGGTCCGTCCCAGATGGGGTCGAATGCGACGGGCGTGAAGGGCTCGTCGAGATCCCATGGCTCGGCGTCTGTGGGCGGCGGTAGGGGTGGGAGGGTGGTGAGGTCTGGTGTGTTGGCGCTGACTGGACTTGGCGTTTTGTTGGCTGGTGGTGAGGTCTTGGTGGCTGCTGGAATGTAGTTAGGAAGGGGACGACTGGCGGTAACGTGCCAGTACTCACCGAGCTCATTCTCAGCAGGCAGAGAGATCATCTCAGTAGTGCAGTCAGCCATGAAGAAGAAATCACCGTAGTTGAATCAACTTCGCGTAGCGGCGTGAAATTATCAACTTTCATATCCCAGCGAAGTCGAGTTTATATACCCATCCCACCCCTCTTGGCAAAACTATCCAGCCCTAGAACCATGGTAACCAATTACTAAAACAACCCCTATTAGGAAGTCCCCCGCCTTGATACCAGACATAACCCATCCACTCCTTTCACCAGAAAATCAATGTCGTGTCCCCCATTGGCTCCCCAAAACTCAAAGCCATGATACCTAAAACCCTATTTCCTCGCCACCTACCTGCTCGAAACAAATCCTCTACCTAACATCTACCCATTAGGTCGATCGCCTTCCACTACCACCTTCCCTTTAACAACCCACCTCATCACACCTCATCGCACCATCCCCATCATGGAGATCGCACAACCCCCTCCCCTCAAATCCTCTTCCTACCCCAATAACCCTTGATAGATAGGACATTACTCGTCGACCAAAACTCTTCCCGACCAAAGTTGAAAAAGGTACCAAACTCCTCACTGCTGCCTGGGCGCTTGGCCTGCACTGCAGCCAGTGAGCACATTGAACGATCAGGCAGTCGTTAAGGGATGGGTAATCGGGTGTGCGAGTCTGGTGGTATCGCAGTGCTATGTTCGCTGGCTGATTTAATTTGGTTTGATGTGGTATGGTATGGTATGGTATGGTATGGTATTCACATTGCCACATTGTCGCCATTGCTGGGAGTTGAGACTTAGGTTCTGTGTGTCTGGAGCGTGGGGAAAGAGGGATGGCGAGTGTCTTTTTATCTGTCTATCGTGTAGCTTTGCTATCCTCGAGTGTGAGTGCCAGAGCATAAGTCCGCGCCTATAATATAGAGCGTTACAATTTATTTCACTAATATCATCATTGCGATTACCTCTCGACGCGGCTTGTATTCCATCTATACCTCCAGGTCATTATCTAAATCATACCAGCGCATAAGCATGTCATCTATATCTACAAAGGAACCACCATCGCCCCGTCACCCTATCACCCTACACGCCCTCCCTACCCGATCCACCCCCTCAAAAATTCCCACACCCCCTCCCAAACCTTCTCTCCCCAAGCGGCTGCGGAAACACGCCCCCATCCAGCAACTGGAAAAGATCCCACTCCCCCGCGCCCGCCTCAGTCTTGAAGTTCCAAAACATATACCCCTGCGTCTTGGCCTCGAACGCATCGAGCTGCGCCTCAATATACCTCCTAACGCTGTCCTTCCAGTCCTGGCTCCATTTTGACACGGGGCCCGCTTTGCCCGCGCAGGACGCGATGTATGACGAGTCATCTGAGAGGGTGCCTTCCATGCGCGAGCCGGCGCCGAAGCCGTTGAGGTGCGGGGCGCAGTCGGTTAGGGCGCCGCTCCATTCGCCCACTATGGTCCATTTGTCGGATGTGGAGTAGTACTCTGCCTGTGAGGGGGGGTGTTAGTAAAGCAAAACAACGCATGGGTGATGTGATGGGGGGCAGCGACTCACAGATTGGCAGGCGAGGTTGATGTGTTCATCGACCGACATGGCGAGGAGCCCGGAGTCGAAGATCTGATACTCATGGTGGTCGACAACGACGTTCTGCGCGCCGTCGTCCTGCGGGGTAAGGAAGTTGTTCATCCACGAGGGGCTTTTAAATCCGTCGTGCAGCATGGCAGGTGTGTCGCTGATCTCGCGCAGGTTGAAGAACGCGTCGCGGTAGAACTGCTTGACCATTCCCCAGTCCAATTTCTCCAGAAACGGCTCGTTGAGGAACTGGATGGCGACGACAACGTCTTGCATGTCGGGGACGGCGTACTTCTCCTCGATTGTTTTGAGGACGGCGTGGGTGTAGGTGAGACTATCAGCGTCGCCCCAGCCGGGGTAGGTGGATTTATGGCCGCTGTGGTCGAAGCCGTTCTGCGATTTTGGCGCGCCGTGGAGGTCGATGACGACTCTGAGGCCGGTTTGTCGCGCCCAGTCGATGGCGGCGTCGAGATAGGGCGCCGCGCCTTGCGTGTATGGACCCCAGGGGTTAACGTACGACCAGTACCCGACGGGGATGCGGACCATGTTGAAGCCGGCGTTCTTGATCTTCCAGAAGTCGTCGAGTGAGACAAAGCTGTCCCAGTGGGATTTCAGTGCGTCTGCACAACCATCTTTCCCGAGCTTCTCGCACAGTGACCACTCATCTGGCACCGGCCACTCGGCAGTACTGTGCTTCTCGAAGATGGATGGCGTGATGAAGCTGATGCCGTCAGAATGGGTTGAGCATGGAAGGAGTGGCACTTACGGTTCAAGGACCAACCATCCACCAATGTTGACACCACGGACTTTCGTACTACCCCAGTTAAAGTCCACACCTCGCTTGGTGTAGGCGCTGATAGAGAAGTCAGTATATGTCTGAGGTGACATGCAAGTTACCCAGCCACCTACCTCGTGGGTGCAGCGTCAACCAAAGAACCCGTAGCAGCCAAGCCGACCGTGAGGAAGTACTGCAGCAACATAGCGAAGATATGTCTCTATTCACGAGTAGTAGTGTTGTATTATAACAGCGCGGTAGAATTCAGTGTGCGTAGGTGAGTGGAAGTCGCAAAGACGGAAAGTTAAAGGTTGTTATATTGTAAAAGTGAAAGAGCATGAAAGTGAAAGTGAAATAAGGTTTATTATGATCGTCAGGTCGCGAAAACAAGGAAGGCACACAACGACACGCCTGCACACGACAGAAGGATTGGAAGCTGCTGTGATACTCGCGGAACCGACTACCTGGATAAGATACTCCCGTGCTACCGTCGAATCGCATGCTCGCATCCCGATGTGAAACATAGCACACAGTTCTACTTGCACTTTCTTGCGTTACTTCAAGTTTGGTTGTGCGACATATTGAGTGGAAGACCGGATCCCCATGGTGTAGCCAATTGACATGTGTCGAAAGTTGTGTTTCTAATACAGAAGTGTGAGGTGTACACTACAGCGCAAGTGTTTGTAAAGCCGAGTGTTGAAAGCAAAGGACGAAAACAACAAAGCTCAGGGTCCGCTCGCTACAATAGGCCGAATGTTTGTTGCTGATATGCAATACTCGAGCGTAGTATGTCGTCTTAGAGGGCGGCTAGGGATCGCGCTAGCCTCTGCAAGCCTGTCGATCACCTCTTATCTGTCCACGTAGAATTTACATCTGCGGATATCTTGTTTGCCGTATGCAACGACCCTGGTACCGGTAGATAAGATCAGCCTCAACCAACTTCCTTCAAGCCAGGGTTTGTGCAGTGCCAACACATTGGGAAACTGTCACTACAGCAACACTGCGTATCCAATCACACTGATAGCCAGGACCTGCAGTTGTTGGTCCAACTTTGTGGTGTCGTAAGTGCCGTTGAGTCGTCAAACATGGCAGTGTAGACCATTCAGTCTGCACTTCAGTTCCGTCAAGTAAAGGGTCATGTCGTGTCGAAAGCCCCTTCAATCCATAAACCCCATCGTCTCATCCATGATAGCAGCAAAGCTCTTAGTCTCTCGATGCTTCCCACTAGTAATGGGCGGAAATTGAGACATTCTGACACGGAAGCCCTCCGACTTCTTGATAGCAGGTGCGAGATTCCTGAAAATTTATCAGTCTCTAATGCCTTCAAGTAAGATAAAGATCATACCTGACATCCCCTCGCAGCAAGTAGTTTGAGCGCTCCATCGCTTCGGCCAGTTCCTCCTGGTGGTTGTCGAGCAGTGCAGTGTTGGGCACGACAACGAGCGGGATTTGATAGCGGAGGGCTTCGAGAATGGAGCCGGATCCTGGTTGATTTAGTTGGTATTCAACGCAATCACTGCAAAGGGGAAAAGTACCAGCATGTGATATAACAAGTCCCTTTGACTCTTGGACCAATTTGAACTGCGCCCGCAGCCCTTCGGGGTTGAAGTCGATGCCTTGAATGACTATATCTGGCTTCCCGGCTTCTTGCACTATTCGAGACTGTGCAACGTCACAGCATCTGCTGAAGATGTCTTTTGCGGTTCCGTACTGCACAAGGAGGTGTGTGAAGCCGTTTTCCCGCAGCGCATCCAGAGACGATGAAGTCAAGACAGCCTCAATGAGCGCGGTAAAGGGTGCGGTTGCGCCCGTAGTAACGAAGCAGAGTTTCGAATCTGTTGACCAATTCCACGACTCAGCCATGACTATGACTAGAAGACAGCTTACGAAATATTCCTACTCCAATGTCAACATGTCATCAAGTCAGTCGTAGGTAATCGAGACGGCAAAAGCGGAGGTCGGTCACTCTCCCCTCACATTGGTCCGGCGCTCGGTCCCTCTTTCCTCCACCCACCCTGCCAAGCACCTCACCTCCCGCGCGAAAAGCTCACGACCGCAGTATCGGTACCCGTGCTCACATCGCCATGGCTTCGATAACACGCCGCTTACTCCTGCAATCGCGGCAATGCCCGTCGAGAATACGCACTCGAGCAACACCGCGATGCACAGCGCGCCCGCTCTCCACCACGCCCGCCCGCCGCGCAGATGAAGACGCCACACCAGCACCAACTCCCACCGCCGTAGACGAATCCCCCATCGCCGAACCCACAAGCCGCAAGCACCTCACGCCCGAGGAAATCACCGCTTTGCAACTCGCCAAATTAGCCGAAGATCTCAAAGCAATGGACCCAGAAGTCGTCAGCGATGCGATCCGCAAAGGCAAGCACGGCATCCCCTTCGCGCAGGACTTCGAGCTAGAAACCGACGAGGATTTTGTGATCGAGGCAGACGATAAGCGGAAGTCGGCACAGGGGTTCTGGAGCGAGGGCGAGGAGGAGGAGGATATGGGGCCCGATGAGGATTACTACGGGGACGACGTGACGAGCCATGGGCATGGACTGTTGGACCAGCACCGCGAGTTGCGCGGGTATGCGAGGTTGATTGCGTGGGAATTGCCGTTGTTGAGCCGTGAGTTATACACCTACCTCTCTCTCCACCCGTATAGTATTGATGTGTATAACAGAACTCGCACGCCCCTTCACTCCCCCCACACCATCCACCCCCTTCCGCTTCCGCTACACCTCCTACCTCGGCGAAACCCACCCGGCAACCAACAAAGTCGTCGTGGAATTCTCCCCCACAGACCTCTCCCTCCCCTCCCCCACCGCCCTCTCCAAACTGATAAAACTCGCCGGCCCCCGCTACAACCCCACCTCCCAAACCATAAAACTCTCCTGCGAAACACACACCACACAAGCCCAGAACAAGCGCGCCCTAGGCGAGACAATAACCGCGTTGATTGCTGCTGCGAGCGACACAGCGGATACCTTCGAAGACGTGCCGTTCGATTTCCGCCACCATAAGCGGAAGCCGCGGTTTGAGTTCCCGGCGCGCTGGGCGATGACGCAGGAGCGCAGGGTGTATCTTGAGGGGAAGAGGCGCGCTGCGCTGGAGGGTGAGGATCAGAGGCTGCATACGGGGAAGCTTGTTGATGGGCGGGCGGTGATTGAGACGAGTTTGCCGTTTTTGACACAGGCGGTTGAGGAGGTGCCCGTTCCTGTGTTGGCGGGGAGGGGGAGGCGGTAGTTTTGTAACATAGCATAGTATAGCACGGGATATAGTAAGATGAAATGTACAGTTTTGCATTATCGCGTATTCTGATGTTTTTCCCAAGGGGTATCCGCAATTTTTTCTGCGCCGGGGAATAGGAACGTGGAACTATAGGAAAGGAATTGAAAAGTGATGGTACAAGGGTGCCTCGTCCACGGGGCTACATATTACGGGGACATACAATCCCTCCCATGTCGCGCCATGCCATGCATGCTATGTTCTTTTTTACGCGATCAGGCTGCAGGCGGACCCGCGCTGGGGCGAATCTTCTTCTTTGATTTGACGGCTGGATCACCGTCTTCACGCTTGCGCTTAGCAGGGCGACTGCTCCCGCCTTTAGGGCGATACGCAGTATCATCATCACCCCCCGCCGCACCACCGCCAGTTTTCCTTCTCCCCTTCGCCGTCTCAGGCGCGAGTCCCGAATCCTCATCATCATGATCACGCGGGCCCGGCGTGCCCCCACCAAGGACAGACTCGCGCTTCCCCTTCCTGCTGCTCGCGGCTGCCGTCTTAGGCGCAGCCTTCTCGGACATGTTGTCGTGGTGTGCGGCGTCCTTGTCCTGCAGGAAGACCTGGGGCTGGTGTTTGCGCAGCCAGCTGTAGACGCTGTCTGGGTTGCGGACTGTGAGGTCTTTTTCGCTGAGGGGCGGGTGGGAGGAGGGGACGCGCGGGAGGCGGCCTTGGTGCAGCATTGTGTCGAAGTCGGGGAGGTCGAAGGTTTGGTCGAGGGTGAGTAGGTTTTCCTCCTCGTGGGCGGGCGACATGTAGCCCGGGGCGGTGTCGGAGAGGTCGATGGGGAGGGCGTCGGGGGCGTGGGCGTTGAGGTCGTGGCGGGCCGTGTGGGGGACGCGGGCCTCGAGGGTAGCCAGCGACTTGATGGTGTGGGGCGGGACGGTGCCGGGCAGCGACGTGACGGCGGGCTCGAGCGAGGGCAGGGCCGTGTCGTAGTGCGGGATGTCGCGCAGGTCGAAGCGGTGGCGGGCGGCGACGCGTGGCTGGTCGTTGAAGTCGAGCAGGGCGTCGAGCAGCTGGTCGTTTTCCTGCTGCAGGCGGCGCGCCGTGCCCATGGCCTTCCACTCGTCCATGATCAGCCGGTTGCTCTCGCTCATGGCGTTGTCGAACTGGATGCGCATCTTGCGGAACTTGCGCCTGGACAGGGTTGTCTTGTTAGCCGGGGCGACGTGTGAGGACTCGGACGCGTCTACCTCCACGACCGCTTGACGGCCTGCTTCTGGGCTGCATCGGCGCTGCTGTCGGCGTGGTGAGCGTGGGCGTCGGGGGCGGGCTCGTCGAGCTGGGGCGGCGCTTCCGAGGCCATGGTGGTGTGTTGGGGTGTGGTGCCCCGGTTTGATGAGGAGGGAGAGAGTCTGAAAGCAGCTGTCGGCGCCGGCGTCTTGGGGCGCAATGCGATCCATCGACGGGCACGTGACGTCGGCCAGAAGTACGCTTTCCAACGGCCATGGCCTGCCCTCGAAACTCACGCCAGGGGGAAACTCAGGCAAAGAATCGCCAGCATCTTCCTGCCCGCCAGACCAACTGCTGCACGCTCGCTGACCATCTTGCACCACCAACGCCGCCATCACCACCGCCGCGCGCTGCTATTCTTCGCCATTCGCTCGCCCTGACGACGGCTCGGATTGCCCGGAAGGCGTCGCGTACCAGTATGTAACACCCTCCTGCACCCGCCACCAGTCTGGACCCCTTCTGACTGCCATGCCTGTTTCAGCTGTGTGAAGCAGCCTCGCCTCGGTCACCACCGGCCATCACCACCGCCATCACCACTCCCACCACTACCACTCCCACTACACACCCCCGGCCCCAGCAAACCGCCAAACTGTCACCCATACTCCTCAACCGCACTGCCCGCCTGAGCTTCGCTCGCGACACGAGGCCCCGCCATCTGTCCACCAGCCCCAACATGTCGCTCGACGCAAAGGAGGCAAGGCGGCGCCGTAGCAGTAGTCTTGTCTACAAGGAGCCCCCCGAGTCGCTCGAGCAGCTGAGCGACCAGTCCGCCCTGCCCAACCTGAACGCCGAGTGGGTCAACTCAAAGGGTGAGTAGACATACAGTCATGATAGATCCAAGCATAGCGCATGGTAGACATGACAGGCGCTAACACCCCCAGGCGCATGGGCTATCCACTTCATCCTCATCTTCTTCGGCAAGATCCTGTTCGACATCATCCCCGGCATGTCGCAAGAGACGTCCTGGACCCTGATCAACCTCTCGTACACGGCTGCATCCTACCTCATGTTCCACTACGTGCGCGGTGTGCCCTTTGACTTCAACGCCGGCGCCTACGACAACCTCAACATGTGGGAGCAGATCGACAACGGGGACCAGTACACGCCCGCCAAGAAGTTTCTGCTCTTTGTCCCCATAGCCCTGTTCTTGGTTAGCACCCATTATACGCGCTACGACTTGACATATTTCATCGTCAACTGCATGGCCACCATAGCTGTAGTCATTCCCAAGCTGCCTTCGGTGTGTACATCCCGTCTCTATGCACTACTAGAAACTAACCCCTTGTAGCTGCACAGACTACGGATATCCTTTTTCAACTCGCCGCCAGATGACTTATAGTCGGGCATTTTATTTTTGGTTGGATCGGGGTGTAATTCTACGTGTATTTCTAATCATACCAGGTACAGACTGCGTGCGGTGCATTTGCCGAGCGGGACGGGGGCGTTGGGGGGGGGTCACTTTGTCTTTTATGGGAAAAAGGCAGACATTTTATCGAAACAAAAGACAGCTTAGAAACTACTACTCCGCAATAACATGCGGACCTTTTATTAATTACAAATGCGCGGTACGCTTTGATATACACTTGTACTGGACTACTCACGCTTTGGACTGATTGTTTGGTTTTCAGAAATAAAATACTTTTTCCTTGCTGGTCTTGTATGGCGGCTGTTTACGCCGGTGAATTGCTGCAGTAGGTTTGACCCTTTGGCTCTAGCGCGAATAACTACTCTACCTGTGAGGTCATCGATCGTCGGCCAATGCTTATTTGAAGGCTCGTCAAGTCGTGTCCTATCCCAGACGCGTCGTTTTCGTCTGCTCTCTCTCACTCACGACCGTGATGTTCGCCGTTTGACATTGACCTGATCTGACGCGCATCCTTGCTGAGCATCACGACTTTCATTCGCGAGTGAACGAACAGACGACCGAATCGGGAACATCAACATCAACATCACGCTCACTCACAACATGGCTTTTTCCGAGCTGGAACCCACGCCGCCGCATCTCACATACCTGGTCCTGACGTCGTTTCTCATCCTCTACGCCCTCTTCTCCCTCCTCATCCGGAATCGCCTGCATCTCTCGGAACCACCGCTAGCTACCACTTTTGGCATCGCTGTCGGGCCTCAAGGCCTCAGCCTGCTCAATCCAAAAGCATGGGGTTTCACAGATGAGGTTATCCTGGAGATCACGCGCCTCATCGTCGGCATCCAGTGCTTTGCAGTCGGCCTGGAACTACCCGATGGCTACATCATGCGCAAATGGAAGGGACTCCTCGTCCTGCTCGGCCCCGTCATGACCTTCGGATGGCTCGTCTGCGCCGTCTTCATCATGTGGATTTTCGCGACGGATTTCCCCACCGCCCTGACCATCTCAGCGTGCCTCACGCCCACAGACCCCGTGCTCGCCGCCTCCGTCCTGTCAAACAGCCAGTTCAGCACCAGAGTGCCAAAACGCATCCGCGACTTGCTGAGCGCAGAGAGCGGCGTAAACGACGGCGTATCCTTCCCCTTCCTCTTCATGGGTCTGAACTTCCTCACCAAGCACACCGCAGCCGGCGCCCTCAAGAAATGGTTCCTCATCACCGTCCTCTACCAGTGCGCGCTGGGCATCGCCATCGGCACAGCCCTCGGCTACGCGTCAAACTGGCTGTACAAATTCTCCCACAAGCGCGGCATGATGGGCCAAGCGTCCTACCTCGCCTTCTACCTCCTCCTCGCCATCTTCTCCATCGGCCTCGCCTCCACCCTGGGCGTAGACGACTTCCTCGTCGCCTTCTGCGCCGGCCGCGGCTTCTCCCACGGCGGCAATTCCCCCACAGCAGACACCCGCCTCCCCGTCGTAATCGACCTGATGCTCAACTCCGCCCTCTTCGTCTTCTTCGGCGCAATGATCCCCTGGTCAAGCTTCAACCACCTCGACACCCTCACCCCGCCGCGTCTGCTGGCTGTCCTAGCTCTCATCCTCCTCTTCCGCCGCATCCCTATCGTCTTCACAGCCTACAAGCTCAACCTCCTCCCTTACGTTAGATCGACGACAGAAGCCCTCTTCGTAGGCCACTTCGGCCCCATGGGCGTCGGCGCGCTCTTCCTCGCTATCGAGGCCCGCGCACAGCTTGAAACGGACTCGTCGGAGCCGCTGCCCCGGCCCCCTAAACATCTAGCGCCAGAGCGTAAACGCGCTGTAGAGATTATTTGGCCGGTGGTGTGCTTCATTGTGCTGGGCAGCACGTTGATTCATGGCCTCAGTACGCTGGTTATTAGTGTCGGCGGACACTTTTCTAGACATGAGGGGGAGAGGGCGCCGCTTATTGGCGGGGAGAGGGAGGGGTTGTTGGGCATGCTGCATGATGAGACGGATGAGGAGGGGGGGAGTGGGGAGGGTGATGGGGAGGGGAGCGAGCCGGAGAGTAGGGGGTATAGGGGGGGGAGTCTGTAGGTTTTCTTCGATGGGGGAGGGGGGAGGGGAAGGGAAGGGAGGGTGGTTGTTCTGAGGGTTATGGTGTGGGGAGTAGATTTTGTGAACGCGTGGAATGTGTTTGATCGAGTCGAGTCGAGTTAGGGCTTGACTTCTCATCCTACCCCTTTTCTTCTACATTGTGCTGTGTTGTGACGTCCATCTGATCGTATCTTGCTGTGTGCAGCATTTTCTTCCCAAAGATATATAGATATGAACACAAATACTGAACCCCCCGAACAAAGAAAAGATATGTAGAATCGGGAGATCGCAGTAGTTAGATAAACAATATGTTATCACAACATGCCATGCCATCACAAGCGTCAAGCTGCTATAGTTATCGATGGTGTGTAAGGTGTATAAGGTAGGGGCGACGGTGGGGGATTTAGGTAGTATGCTTAGTTTTGCTTTATGAGTGTTGTTTATACGGGATGGGGGGTAACTAGGAGTGATAGTTATGGTGATGATTAGCCTGGGAGAAATGTGGCTGGGGGGGTGTTTGTAGGAGAAGGGAGGAGAGGAGGGGAAAGGGAGGAGGGGATAGGAGAGAAGGGGAGGAGGGGAGTAAGGGAGGGGCGCAGGCAGATGGTGTGGAAGGAGGGGAGGGGACGTGAGTGCTTTTGGGGGAGGGTAAAGGGGAGAAAGGGAGGTGGGGAGGAGGGAGGAGGGAGGAAAGGGAGGAGGGAGTGGGGTGTGAGATGGGGGGTTTAGCGGGAGAGGTTAGACTTCAATGGTGGATATAGAGAGGCTAGGAGTGGAGATTGTGGGATGGGGTGTGTGAAGGGGAGGTTGGTTTGTAGGGGATGTAGGGATATCGTCATTACATACTTGGGGGTTGGGAGGAATGCGCTGGGGGATTGTGTCTATAGAGTGAGAGGTTTACGCTGGGGTACGAAATCAGGTAATTTACCCTGCAGTTCTAGGGTGTAAAAACACAGAAAAAAGACGGTGTCGAACACATATTGAAGTGTAAAGTGAAAAGTTTGTTTATATATTTTGATCTATGAACTATTCACTTATTCAGCAAATTTATAGATAATTTATATTTAGACCACATGTATTTCTATATAACGACTAACAAACAAGCTTAATCGTAAGCTCAAATCCCAGCTTAATTGTGAGCTTGAATCCTAGCTCGATTGTGAGCTCAACTCCTAGCTTGGTTATGGGTAGGCTCGTAGGTCGGCTTCATTATGAGTGTGTAGATAAGAAAGTGTTGACAGCTAAGTTCTTAGCTTATGAAGCAAAAACTAAAGTAACGTTGTTGCACTACAAGAATAGGAGTAATAAATTAATAGCGTGTATAGGGTAAATTACCTAGATTTTAGAGTGAATTTAGCTAGATGCAGAGGGAAAAGTTTGAAATTACACTCAAACGCAGTGTAACTTTTCCTAACCTAGTGTAAGATACACCGATGCGGTACCTCAGTGTCAATTAGTGGGAGGGAATGTAGATGTATCGAGAAAGAGGGAGTGGTGAGTAGTGTAGGTGCTATGCTATACTATTTTGGTGAAGATTGTTGATGTAGTGAGGGGATGAGGAAGGATAGTTTGAACCTTTGAAACGCTGTGACTGAGGTATGATAGTAGGTAGATATTTTTCGGTCTCTTGCGTGGAGACGCTTCGATCTTACTGTGAATAACTGTGTCATCTCGTTCAGGGAAGTAGGGAATATTTCCAAACGAATTTGGTTATCTTTTAGTGGACACGATTTGGAAGGACGACTTATGACACTGAGGCTTGAGAGACCATCTAATATACTTCACAACAAATTAGTTCAAAATGATGTATTGCTTGAGGTCTAGCTATGTAGGTCTAGTGTTTTTGAATTCCATAGACGCACATTGTATTGTCGTCAACTAACAATAGATAAGACTTCTTTGTAGAGTTCATTCTAGCATGATTATACCCTGAACATCCAACACTACCATCCCTGTTTTCATTCCACTGGTCCGCCCTTTCCTTTTTCTTCCCGTAAAACACCTCTCACGTGAACACTGCGCCACCCTGCACAAAAACATAAACTACAGAACATAATTACACCTATCAAGCCTCCAGCACCCAAGCATCATACCGCAGGCGCCAAGCAGGGTGTAGACGTAATACAGACTGAACAGAACCGATACGCTGGACGCTGCTCCTCAAAGCCAGGAAAATCGGAGAAGAACTTGACTTCACTTTGTGTATGTATGTCTGGGTTTGGTTGCTGAAGCAGGGATAAAGTGACTGAGGTTGTGGATAGTGTGATTATTTTGGGTTTTTAGCGTATTCATGCTTGTTGCACAAGCAGATAGACACAACATAGTAAGACTCTAGTATAGTAACTCAGTGTAGAAGCTAATACCCAGCCCCTTTATACAAAGTAGATATTAGTAAGAGTACACAATAACAATAACAAAAAGCAGATCAACTGTCTCTTAGCAACGTTCTGCTTAACTTACCGGTGCGGACGTGTATTCGAGAGCCCAGGCAGCCGTTGGTTGAAGTTTGGTTCGGTCGTGAACCCTGGATTGTATCGTGTACCCTGTGGATAGTGTGATAAAGGGGTTGACGTCTTGTTAATATCCGTCGGTGGCTTTTGTTCTGGCTTGGTTGTGAGATTGGTTGGTGTTGTGCAGTGTGGAGGATGTATGTGATGGCAACGAAAGTAGAAAACGATTGAGTGTGTGGAGAATAATCGAGGCGGGTGCATTTGGCAAACTAAGAAAGTCGTGTTGACGGATGGATTGCGAAGTATTGTGACTATGACGAGGCTGGGCTCTAGAAGATTGGAGAAACGAGTATGCGGAATGTGTGGTTCCTGGCCCAACGAGAAACGGTGTCGAAAGATAGGAAGTAAATACAGCAGGGAATAAGGGATTTTCAAACTCGAAACCTCTGCAAAAGCCGACGGATATGCTCTTCGATGTTTTGAACGTCGACATCCAGTGTCAGTAAATGCAAAAATCGGTTGCTGGCTCGCCGCTCTCCTTCCATTTCTCAATTGCTTCGCCATGCATGATGTCGTGCACGTAGCACTCTCCCACCAATCTCCACAAGTCACCCACAGGCCGAAGGACGAAAGGCACTGACCCAAAGAGAACCACAACGACATCCCCGGTCTGCATGACTCTGGGCCCAAGACCCAGCATACCATCTCGTGTGATAAACAACCGCCGCCCCATAGACATACAAAGGTAGTCTGAGTGGGCCGGGTACGAGGACGGAGTCGTCGCGGGATCCCAATCTAGGAACTTTTCGTACGCATCAAGCTGCTGCGCAGTATCCAATGAAGAGGGATTGACCACAGGTCTTCCGCTGCTCGGACTCCATCCACCCGTTACAGTCCACGCAATACACTCGGCCTGAAATCGATACCTGAGTTCGTGTAACGAGTCGTGAATTCTCCTGGCGGGTCTGAGTTTGCTCGTTGTGCCCCCGTGAACAACTCTATTTACCACGTCGACGACAACGCCCCGAACTGATACACACCCACGGCCTGAACGAGTTTCTTTCATTATTGTTGCCTGTTCATCGCCGCTTGATTTCCATGCACTAGCTCTCAATAAATTCGAGACATCCACGGTCCAATCCGGTACCCAAGACAGCCATCCTTCGTGCAAGTTGCTGGCATGCTGCACACTACACAGAATCTCGAGATCTCGCCGTTGGAAAAGGTATTCTTCAGCAAAAGCCCGGTAACATTGTAACTTCGTATTCCCGTAATCTGCCTTGATGAATGTGTCACCATTCAAAGGGTCACAATCGAATGTACGTAGGCCTAGAAGTCCGTATATCCTATCTAATGGATCGCTGAACAAGGCTTTGCGAGTCAAGTTCAGATAGAAATGGAGAGGCCATCCAGGCCAACCTTGATCAACATAGATGTCGTATATACAGCTCAGAGCATACACGCCGACATATGCTTTAATACTTATCTTTTGTATTCCATTGACTCGTTCAATGAAGAGACGCGCAGCTAAGCCTAACCAGACAAAGTCAATTTGGGCATGGCCCCAGTGAACGATCGCAGTTGACGTGAGAGCAACTTCCTGTATCACCCAGCCTCGCTGGAAAAATTCGCACAACCCTAAGCGTAAGAAGGCGTTGGCTGTGGTTTCGTCAATCTCGGAGGGCGGGTTGTCGTTTGGCGTACATATCGTGCGGCCCTTCCATGAAAACGTCGCGATTCTATCCGATATCACATCCCGAAAATCGTTTCCCTCAACTAATTGTCCATCATTGAAGTGATTGGCAACACGGCAGATGTACTTCAAGGCAGCCTGTACTACGTCGGGTTGCTCGTGTCCAAGCCATACCAGCACAGCCTTTGCACCTGAGTAGATACGCGACATGAGCTGTACCTGCGAGCTCCTTTCTTTGAGGTTGAACTGATTGATACAGAGAGCATCAGCCCACAGATCCCTCGTACGGTCGGGGTACCGGAACATTGTCAGTGCGTGGAAGAGATTTCGAGTGATTTTGATGCGTCTATCGTTGCAGGTAATACGTAGTTTGTCGGTTGCATCTCCCCACACGTACGATACAGCTTCGAAAACCGGAGATGTGTCGAGATCAACGTGTATAAGTGAACATTGGATGGGATCGTCTTCTTGGCCTGGCTCCAGTCGTAGAATTCGAATGGTTCGTGGGGATAGTATGGGCTGGTATATACAGTTGGGCTTTGCCGGGTTGATTGTGTGATCGGCCTGGGTAAGATGATCAGTGCCGGTCTGCGATCACTTGGATGAAGACTTTGTAGCTCGTTCGACTTTATATTGTGTATGCAATGAATGACAAGATCTGTAACGTACATTTTCAGCAGTACCGGATATGGTGGTAGATTGCATGGTTGATGAGCTGAGCAGTAGTTGTCTTAATCGGTGAGGTGCAGGTTGTGTAGGTTTGAGGACGGCTCATGAAGCAAGGCTGACGATCGCAAAACGTAGGTGGGGGCGAGACGCGAGATACAAGCTAAGTTCTCTCAATATATGTTTGAGCCCAATTCAAAGTGTTTGGTATAAGTGCAACGTCGGAAAAGGGTGGTTCGTAAAGTACTTTCGGGGAGGTTGGCTGCGCCACGCTGACGCATCAGGCTGCAGTCTGCCTTGTGACTGTGGCGTCGTGATACCACCGCCAGGAAGGTCACAAACGTTCAATTCGGGCTGTGCAAATTACCTCGGCATGTTTCGAGCCAAGGTTGTCTCGATCTACAGTCGGGCTTGCATGGTCATAACATATGAGCTGTGAGGCGACCGAAAAGACGACCTTTGAAATTATGTGCAAGGCTCGTGATAACGCTGTTCGCATTCATGATGTCGCCAAACTAGTACACGGGCTGTATGTGGTTAGTAATACAAACTCCCCACACCGCTGTGTCCATCATGAGGAAACCTTAAGCCACGGATGATCAAGAAGTTGCTTTGCAGTCATCCGATCTTCGGGCTTCCATGTCAACATACATCGCACAAACTCCAAGAACTCTTGCTGCTCTGTTCCGCTAAGATTTTCTTCGAGGCTCTCCAAACTTAAGTGTCCAGGAATCGGTACTTCAGCGATCCATTGGCCTGCGTTGAGTTCTGATTAGACTAATACGGACCGAAGAAGTTGTTCATAACACATACCTTTTTCATCAAAAAACTCTCTGCTTCGGGTCCCCCTTTCGAGCAGGTCTAGTGGGGGCGGACCCAGGACCGCGACTACTTCAGCGAGGTGGGCTCGGGTTGTGTATCTTCTACCATCCGGATCGTTCCCGTAAAACAGATGTTTGTCTTCATAGATATCCCAAATCTATTTCTTGTTAATATTAAATTGAAGGCAGGAAATCAAAACTACCTACCATGGAACCGACGTTCCATATGTCAGCTGGATAACTCCATTCGGTTTTCAGCATCACCTCTGGACAGCGGTAGACATCAGGTTGGGCATCGTGTATGCTCCTCTTGTCTCCACAAACAGCGGAGCCCAAGTCGCCAAGTACTATATCTCCGATCTGCTTAGGCAAACCGAAGCGACGGGACGCATAGACTGGTACACCGTCGATGAACTTCCGGGGCGATGGAGATGCCATCTCGGAGTTGACAAACGCATCAAGGAGACCCCGATCCTCTATCTCCACGAGAATATTGTCGGCTTTGATGTCTTCGGTTTTGTGAGAAAAATGGGCCGTATATGATTAACAACATAACTGACCGGTATGAACTATCTTGCATTCTGTGTGGAGATAGTCAAGTGCGAGGAACACTCGAGACAGACCTGCTTGGAGCATAACTTTCGTGAACCGATGGGTGGGATTACGATTTAAGAGATCCCTAAAGCTATCCCACATAGGTTTCTGGACAAGGCACTGATGATCTCCTCCTGGCCGCGGGATAGTGAATACGTCGAGAGCGGTTCTGACGTGTCTGCGACCTGGATGAGAGGTATTTCCATCGTTCAGTGCTTTGTAAATATTGAGTTCCTCTTGGTCCGTTCTCTCCCTGGTGAATACCTTCAGGCTTGCATACGTACTACGCCTGTTCTGGATTAACATGAATATACCAGTTGGGTTCTGACTACATACTGAAGATCGCGGGCTAACCAAACTGTGGATGTGATTCCAAAACCGAGCTTGCCTACGACCTGATATTGAGAGGCAAACACATCTCCAATCTTCACAGGGTAGTATACCCCTTTCCTAAATTCATCGAGCTGTTCTTCCTCAAGTAGAAGATTATCGCTGACAATGTCGAAACCGGTTGTAGGGAATTGTAACTGCGGCCAGGGCGGCCTTCGAAACAAAGTCCTCGCAAATTTGAGAATTGAAGTCATAGAGACTGAGAAGGGCAGAGCGTGTAACGTGAGATTGAGAATTTGCAATCAAGATGTAAACCACCAATAGTTGAGATTCACGAATACCAGCCCACGTGGTAGAAATTGACCGGTGAGCAAGGCCGATCAAGTAGAACCACCTGGCTTACTAAGCAACAAATCTTGCATTTCAATGTAGCTTTGTCGCCTCAGATCAAAGCGCCAGCATCCATCATCGTCTCTTCCCTTCGTCGGCGCGACTCAAGCTTGACCTCTCTTTGTGCAAGATAGGCTTCTTTGTCCTTTCTCCGTTGCGCTCTCCGTACCTCTCGCTCCACATCCTGTCTTGCATCGTCCTGTACTTTCTTCTTCTCCGCTTTAATGCTGTTCTTGATTTTCTCATGCTCAGAGGAACCGATATGCCATGGCGTCGACAACACCTTCTTCTTGTATGCAGCAGTTTCAGCCCAAGCCTGGGCCTCCTCGTTCGTCGTCGAAATTACCCAAATCCTCTTGAGCTCCAATTGCTTGATGCCTCGAAATTCCGATATGGTGCCTTTGGCTTTGATGACGGATCCTATGTCTAGGCATACGTGGTCTACTGTGACCTCGAACACCCCAAATTGGCTGATGACGTTCACATTATCAATCTGTGTACTCGTAGGTGTACTCTTGGGATTGTAAGTTTCTACAGAGGTTCTGACGATTTTGAGCTCGATGTTTGCGCCGCTTCCGTCGTCGATGGTGAGGACGGTGTATTTGAGGTTGATGTCGTCGATTGCTACAACGACGCCGACTATTCGGACATATCGAATGGGATGGTTTAGGTGAAAATATATACGCTGGCCTAGGTTTCGCGTCAATTACAATTGTTGAATATGATGAATGTGCTACCTTGAAACTCGGGCTCTGATCGTAGGGCTTGCACATCAGCAGCCGTGATCTTCACCCAGGCATCGAACGTAGGCGATGCGCGGAAGCAATATGCAGGATATAGCCGATAAGGACGTGCTGGTGGATGCTTTGACATGTCATATTGTGTGTTGATGCGTGAGATGGAAAGGGTACGGGAAGACGCGACTTCGGATAGCGACATTCGCCACCGCATTGATCAACTCACGAGTTCACGTGGAAGCTAGTCACACGCTAATGCAGCTCATTAGATACTTCGATGCACCCAAGCCCACCATGCGATGGTGATGCATGAGCTGCATATCCGACCACCCGACTGAGCCGCAGACTCCGCTCCGCAAGGAGCAAACAAGGCCCTGTGCAGTTGACGGTCAATAGATTTGTTTTTTTAAGGCTGCTTCCGAGTGCCAGCGAACGGGCGCTACCATGGTCTGCCCGGCCAGCGAAGCAGGTTCATAGCTCACCACCGCCAGTTTGCTATCACACCACCACCTTTCAATCCATTCAAATACGGCTATGTAGAGTTATTAATACATGGATCAGCGAAGTTTTGCATTACAACCCTGTTTGAACACCAATGAGGCAGCTGGATCGGTCCACCGCTGAGCTGTGCATAATGACCTAAGAGGCGGATCACCAAGCTGCAGCAAGCTTGGGAGCTACCCATGCTACACTTTAAGCTTCTTGGAGCTTCTGCCATGGTCATAAGGTAGGGCGGCAGCCCACCCTCAAGACCGGCTGACAATCACATTCTCGTTGTCTCGAGTCTGCTGGGCGGGCTCATACTAACCAGTACTCTAACAGATCGACCTCAAATTTATTCCCATCTTGTCGCATATCTCTAAGGTCTTTTGATTTATTTTTTCGACAGCAACAAGATGCGACCTTTTGCGCCCTGGAGCGTTCTCTCGCTATTTTTCATTGTCTCTTGCGGTGCAGAGCCAATCGCGAAACCAGAAGCAATACCACAGCAATTCTCGAATAATGCGCCTTTCTCCGGAGCAATTTACATTGTCAATCCAGACGGTTCTCAAGTTTCGGCGCAAAATTCAAACTGGTGTCCATCATCTGCATCGATAAGCTGCAGCAATGTCAATCAGCCAAGTTGGTGAGTAGAGCAGGCTAGTCCGCACAGCCTGAATTGACACCATGCGCAGGTGCTGCCCTGCCAACTACGCATGCGCGATCCCTGCGAACTCGAACGGCCTGATCGGCTGCTGTCCATCCGGGAGCTCTTGCGGTGGAGTTGTTAATGTCGCTCAGATCGCGACCGTGACAGTATACCCTCAAGAGACCACGGTCGTATACGCACAGCCTTCCACAGTAGTAGCCTACAATCAACCGACCCAGGTACAAGCAGGCTTCTGCGCGACGATCACCATGTCGGGGCCGGACTTACCTAGGGCAGGTGCAGGAGCCTGCGGCACAGTTCTGATCGTGAATGGAGGGACTTTGAAGGGAGTAAGCGTGGGGATAGTTGTGGTCGCAGTCCTTCTGCAACAAGCGCTAGGGAGAATGTACCGTTGACTTTGGCTGTAAGTGCTGGAGCAAGATTCACGATTTGATTTTGGACACAGGGTCTATGCTTTACGACTCACGAATACACGTACAACGCACGAAGATACACCATGAATTCATTTCTATCGATTACTTTTACTGATTGCCCTTTTCCGCATCCTCCGCATCATCTTTTGGCACACTAACCATTTTCGGCGCCGCAACACCTCTCAGACGACGAAATGCCTACACAAACCGTTAGCAAACCCTCAGTCGAATATCATTGCACGACCACTCACATTCGCAACACTCCCCTCCGGCAACTCCCCATCCCACTTATCCTCGACCTTACTAATTTTCCCCTCCCCGTCAAGATGAACATTCACAACACTCTGAACAGTCATCTCCTTGTTAATCCCCTTGACTATATATCTCGTCCGCAAATCCATCACGATCGGATTCCCCGCATCCCGAACTTGGTAGCTCAACTGGTCGATCTCGCTAAACACTTGCTTCAGCCCGTACCACTGCGCGGAGTAGCGCTCGCGGCCCTCAGCGACGGTGAGGTTGTCCGCGAAGGTCGCGTCGTCTCGCCAGAGCGCGAGTTTAGGCAGGGAGGGGCTACCCGCGAAGAGATCAAGGATTGAGCTGACGATGGTGTGTTGTGAATCTGATAGGGTGACGCCGGGGGCAGTTTGGATGTGTGCCTTCTCGGGAATCTTATTGGTGGAGGCGGCAGAGGCTGCATGCTTTACATCAACTTTGCCCTTGTCTGAGATACGGATCGAGGGCTTACCAGTCGCCAGCTTGACACTGGTTCGCGAGATACATCTCGCATGGGAAAATACTGGCGTTGTCAAGGCCCTTAATGGTTTTGTGCAGAGTTGGGGACTGAATGGACGCATAGTATCACTGTTTTTCACGAGATTGGGTATTTGTTATGGATGTTTCAGGAAATCAACTGACATTTCGAAAAATCGCAATATTTGGTCTTCGCGTTATGTGAGCTAAGTCATGACGTATCGAGGTCAGGATTACGAGCAACCGCGATCTAGCGCGACGAGCGGGGCGAGCGAATGCAAGAGACCCTGGGGCGAACATCACAGGTCTTGATAAATTCAAATTGCAACATTGAAGTCATATTGGAAAGCTTTTCATGACATGGTTTGATGTTCGGGCACTGTAGCGTGTGCACAATGCTGGTCAGAAACAGTACCATGTACGGATTCAATTTGCTTTCTTCGTGGCTCACTTATCGAAGGCAAGTACAGCAAAGTTGCCTTGTTGGCTCTACACGTGGTCAAACACACGTAAAAGTAACATCAGCCTCAAGAACATAGAGAGACAGTTGCTCTTCGTCTGGAATAATTGGGACGCCTTCGCTATCGTTGTCCTGCCCTTCCACCACAGACTGATAGCAGAACAAGCAGCAGATAGTCCCTGTAACTTATCCGGTGTGTTATGTTGTACATCGTAAGGAGTCGCCCAGCGCCACCAGGAGACTTTAACCCCAGAGGGCAACACTGCGTTGTAAGACTTGCCTGTCTCGAATGACGCAGTGTTTATCCAGAGGCGGACGTCAAAGCACCTGCTTTCTGATGTTGTTGCTGAGGCTTGGGAACCGAACGGGATGTTGATAAGGGTGGGTGTTTCGGGTTCGAGAGCAAGAAAGTCGTTGGAAGACCACGGCCGATCTGTTTCGTTGCCTCTATTGACATGAATGGTGCTCCGTGGTTCTGGTCTTAACTCTTTTCCCTTTAGCACAAAGTCAATACCCCCCTCACGAAGTCCAACTGAAGACGATAGGAAGGTGTTGGCGGTATACAAGAGCACAGGTTCTGAGGCGTGTAGCGTCACAACAAGCCCCAGGCTGAAAGGTTGCGAGCCTGGCAAATCAAATTCTGTTTCTGAGGCGCGAAGGACAGCAGTAAGGTAAGGATTTGTTGAGATCTGTTCTATCTCGAGAAGATTTTAGATGTTGATTTGTACTTGTCTGTAGCTGTAGTCAGGATAAACCGAAAAGATCGTAAACGCTGCTTTTGGGTCAGGCAACAGTAAGATCGCGTGATGATTCAACACTATACAACACTCGCACTCAATCCTCTAACTGTCGTGTCCGGCAGTCGCAACACTCAAGATTCGTTCCTCCAATCCGGGTACGTGAATGCACTCAATGCCATGCCCTTCAAGTTTCTTCCTGCCCTCGTTCTCGCCCACAAACTTCTCCGGCTCTTTCACACCCAAATAGACCTTCTTAATCCTCTGTTCCCCATCCTTGCTCCGCGTCCTGATGATCCGATCTGAGCAGGGCATATTGCCGCTCAGTCTCAAATTGCAGGGCTCCATGGTAGTGTAGATGACCGTGTTTGGCGGTAATGCTTCTCCCACTCGCTCCTCAGGTAGGTCATGTGCTTGAGCAAACTTCAACAGACAGCACTGCTCAGCGTGCGTGTTTCCTTCGCATTCTAGCGTGTACCCGCGGGACAGTATGGCTCCATCGTCTGCGTTGACAAGTAGTGCGCCTACACGGAAGTTCGAGGGCTTTGGTGGTGATTCTTGGGCCTGATCTAGAGCGAGTCGCATGTATTGCATGTGATCATTAGGATCTGGACCTGATGCAGGCGGTACTGGGCCATCCCAGTATTTGACAGGTCCTGGCCAATCTTCGGGCATGTTGAGAGTGGATGAGGATGAGTGGTGAGAGTGTAAGTGAGAGTGGTCTGTAGGAATTGTGTCATAGCTCTTAGCTCCGTCTAAAGTCCGATTATCTACACGTCGCGAACGCGTGAGAGAACCTACCGCGACATCACTTGCTTTCCACATTTAAATCACAACCTCACCATACAATAACCACACAATATGGCGCGAAAGGCCCCACAACAGCGCGACGCACAGGAAATGAATGACGACCCGTTTGTCAACGACGAGGCGGACGACGTTGAAGAGGATGATGGACCACCAACCATTGATCCATATGAGGTGCTTGGTCTGGAGACGGATGTCACCGCCGACGAGGTCAAGAAAGCGTATCGCAAACTGGCGCTGAAACATCATCCAGGTACGACTCCAATCAACCCTCACCAACACTGCTAACACCACCCCAGACAAGGCTGCAGAAGGCGAGCAGGAAGCCGCGAAGAAGAAGTTCCAAGAAATCGCCTTCGCCTACGCCGTCCTCTCCGATGATCGCCGGCGAAAGCGCTACGACCTCACTGGCAGCACTGCCGAGACACTCGAAGACGACGACGGCTTCGACTGGCTGAAGTTCTACCGCCAGCAGTTTGAGGATGTGGTCAACGAGGACGCCATCAACAAGGTGTCAGAAGAGTTCAAGGGTAGCGACGAGGAGCGACGAGAGCTGGTCAAGGCGTACAAGAAGGCCAAGGGCAATCTAAATGCGATATACGAGCTTGTCATGCTGTCTGATATTCTCGTGGACGACGACCGCTTCAGGCAGATCCTGGACGAGGAAATTGAAAAGGGCACGATCGAGTCGTGTCCAGCATACGCGAAGGAGAACGATGAGACGCGACAGAAAGCCAAGGATGCTGAGAAGAAGAGGCGCGAGGATTGGGACAAGCGCCAGGCTGCGGAAGAGAAAGCTGGGAAATCCAAGGGAAAGGCGGACAGCAAAGCAAAGAGCAAAAAGAAGGGCGGAGACGATATGGCTGGTCTGGCCGCGTTGATTCAGCAAAGACAAAAACAGAGAGCGGGCGGCTTCTTCGACCAGCTAGAGGCCAAGTACGCGCCCAAGCCACGGGGCAGCAAGAGGGCGACACCCATGGACATGGATGAGCCGCCCGAGGAAGCGTTTCAGGCTATGGCAGACCGAGCAAAGAAGCAGAAGCGAAGCAGTCGCACAAAAAAAGCCAAGGATGAGGATGAAGATGAGGAGATGGATATCGGCGAGGAGGATATCGGTATCTCCGACGAAGATGAGGAGGAAGAGGAAGCTCCACGCAAATCGAAGGCGCGCAAACCTCGTGCAAAGCCCAAGGGATGCGGACGCGGTACTGCGAAGGCTTGAGGATACTCGTGAAGCCAGATTTTAGTTCTCCGAAATGGTGTTTGACGAATGGGTTGGTGATGTCGTTCTCCCTACGGTTTGCATAGCATGGCGCCCGGAACTTGGAAATGGACATATTTGTCGTGCATGGGCACCACAGTGATGTGGAGATATTTGGAGGCTTGCTCTTTTCTTACATGCTTAAGTCTCCACTTTCCGTGCTCCTAATGAAAGTATTCTGATGGCTTGGCTCTCGTCATCTCTCTCCACTTACCAGTCATGTTTCTCATATCACCTTTTTGCCTCCTGTTGAAATCAATATCTACACGAACTTTCTCCCGGCTGAGCGAAACCGTCACACAGGGAACAAGAACAACTCCAGGAAGTCGCTGTATAACCATGGTCTGCACTGATGTCTTGCCATGTACTTATGGGTGTCTGTTTTCCTTGGCCTGCAGGTGATGGGGCGTTTGAGGAAGGAACGTGTTCAGCTGTTTTGTCATTTCACGGGATTCCTTGAAAGCCTGGAAGCGCTGCTGGTAAAAGGGAGATGTTTGAGAAGAATTGGATTAGGACTGTTGGACTTGTATTAGGCGTCAAGAATTTTGCTCTGGTTCTACTGAGTGACAGCAGTATTTGTGCCGTAGAACTAGCCTTCATGTCTTTCGCTGCCTGATCCAACCCAATTGAGGAACTGAACTCAACGCCGACGCAAGACCATCCAAGCCGCTTTGTGTTACTCACCTCGTCCAAAGGTTCAAATGGACTCCCCAGATATGCTCTGTCGGCGAGTTATGAATACCAAAATGTCCTTTCAATCATCTCTTCAACCTCCCAATCAGAGACCATCAGCATCTCCTCCATCTCACTGCTCAACCTTCCACGCCATAACATGCTCCCCATGACTCGCGACCGTTTTTCCCTGAGCGCCCATGATCTTCTGACAATATGCCACCGCAGTCACCCAAGTACCCTGCATAACAGCGTCGTCGACCATCCACCCCTGCCCGTGTAACTCGCACACCGCCATCTCCCGCAAGAACCACCAGCTGGGCAGGAAATTCAACTTCGCCAACGCTCTCAACTTCAACTCGCTGTACATGGCGCAGTACATGCACACTTGCTGAAGCATGACCCCGTCCTGATGAGCGAAGGCGACTTGCCACATGGCGTTGGCGATGTTATCGACGTGCAATGAGGATATGGGGTTGCTGTAGGGGCTGTTCGGGATGAGAGATGGTGCGTTGTGGATTGCACAGGTGAACAGGAAGTGGGCGGTGGTGTTGGCGTTTGGTACTTGGAGTTCTTGGGCCGGAATAAACATTTGGGATGGTGTTGATGACTTCGTTGTTGTTGACGGATTTGTTGTTGATACTGGGTTCGGAGTCTGGAAGTGTGTTAATTATGTCGTTGTGAGTGAAATCCAGACGCTCTGAGTGCTTGCGTATAGGGGAAGATGTCAGGCAGAGCCTTATGAGTTTGTCTGTTGGGAAGGGACGATGCGTGTACTCCTTGCTGCACACGCAACATGGGGAAGAACGCGCAATACAAGTGAGAAATAGCAAGGCCCTCCAACATCAAGTACAGGCTTACCTCGCTGTTCGACTCCCCGTCTTCAGTCAGCGGCTTCTTCTGTGGTAGCATTTGAGCCATCGGAACGTCCGCTCCCTGGTTCTTGCCTCCACGAGATCTCTTCTTTGGCAAAGTAAGCTAACCATCGATATCAGTCTTTCAACTCAGCCGCCACGAGAAACTCCGACTCACCTTCCCAGCCCACTCTGCGCCCTCCCACTTCCTCTTCTGTGCTGGAGTGGGCGCGTCTGAGGGTACTGTGTTGGATCCTTGCTGCGCCTTAAGAGGAGTATTGGATCCTACAACTTTGGAAGCTTGCTGGATTGTCGGCGATTTGTGGATCCCAGAGGGTGTGGTCGTGCCCTTCTGCTGACTGGTAGAAGAACCCTGCGAGCTCGTGGGATACTATGCGCCTCTCAGTTCAGCTCTTCAATTCCTCGGACTCCTCTCTCTCACCTTCCTTGCTGTTGGTGTATGGGGAGTCGTGGTTGTTGCATTCATTGTTGGTTTGTCGTTACGGAAATTGGCGGAAATACTAGAGTTGGAAGGTATCTCCGTGCAGTTTAATTGAACTGGTAAATGGCTGCGGGTTGTAGTGAAACAGAGTGGACGCGCAAAGGGACAGTAACGGGGAAACTTGGGGTGAATGGTGATCTGCAAGCGATACGGGAAAGTGATAACAAACTGATATGTATGACTTGTAAGAAGCGTGTATTCCACATCGAGGAGACCTCGTAATTACTGGTAATGTGACAAGGACGAAACTATTCGATACTGTCATGAACTATGAGCTGCTATGTAACGAGGCACACCAATATCTGAGCAGATATCAAAATGTTCCACAGTTGCAAGTGCTTCGGCCATTCCACTGATTTAATTTTGGGTTGGAGTTCTACTCCCACTTACCATCTATTTGGAAATGAATGACTTGGCTACGATGGACATTGTGGGTTAGAAGGTCTATATACAATCGAAGTATGAGACTCGTGTGATACAAGACCTCATTTTGATATAATATTTTGCTATATTATGATGAGAAAGGATGAACCCCCATCAAGAGATGGTTAGAGAAAATGGGAAGAAGAAAAAACCACAGGCTGAGGTGATATCACCCAGCATACAATTCTCAGCATTTACTTTACGGAATATTCGAAGTTGTCAGTCAAGATCAAGGAGATCGGACAGTAGATGGAATACAGTACACGGTGTTGTCAGAACACGACGTCGTTGTAACATATTCGGCTACTTCAATTCACGACTTCATAGCAGCCGATGTGAGATTGCGACGGAGATGGCAACGATGCGAATCTTGAGATGGAGCGGAGAAAGAAAAAGGTGAAATAGATCAAGTGGTTTACAATCTTGCGCTTCCCTCCACAATACGGCAGGCGCGATGACCGAACCCCGCACCTCTGCGCACAAAACTTACGCTAGCCTCAAAGCTTTCTTCCACCACAGTGCGACCAGATCCTGACTTAAAATTGAACTAGGATCACCGGAAGAGGAGGAAATACTCACTCAAAAAGAAAGCAAAGTCCTGAGCTTCGGTATGGCACACAGCGATTCAGACTCTGGAAGCTCTGTTGGTAGCATCCACGAAGACATAAGCGAACCCGATACCACAACATTCAAGTGCTTGTTCTGCGATCAGCAATGTAGTCGCGTGTCGGACATGACAACGCATTGCAAGACTGAACACAGCTTCGATTTGAACGAGACTATCAAAAATCTTGGATCAGGTTTGTCTTCCGTCTCGCACGCCTTACCTGATTCGAACATCACACTTACATGCTATAGACGCGGATGAGCTCACAATCATCAAGCTCGTCAACTACCTACGAGCAGAGGCAGAGAAGAGCACAGACCCCAAGAGTATCAAGATATCGCTGAAAGATCTCGAAAGTGACAAGTACCTCCAGCCTGTGCTAGAAGATGACGCTCTGCTATTTGAGCTAGGGGATCTGATGCCAGATTCGGATTCCAAGGTTGTGGACTACGACGAGTATGAGGCAGTCATGCACAAAGAGAGGCCAGAAGATCTGTCCAAACTGAAAATCACCAGCGATCGGGATGAGGACTATTTCGAGTCGTACAAGGGCAATGGTATCCACCGGGAGATGATCGAGGACCGTGTACGAACAGAAAGCTACCGGGACTTTATCGAGAAGAATCCCGATGTTTTTGCAGGAAAGACCGTTCTTGATGTTGGGTGTGGGACTGGAATATTATCGTTGTTCTGCGCGAGAGCGGGTGCGAAGAAGGTGTTCGCGGTCGACAACTCCGGCATTGCACTACGCGCGAAAGAGATCATCGCAAAGAACGGGTACTCAGATCGCATCGAGGTGATCCAAGGGAGAGTGGAGGACTTCAACACGCAACGTCTGATTGGGAAAGAGAAGGTCGACATCATCATTTCGGAGTGGATGGGCTATGGTCTGCTGTTCGAAGGCATGCTTGACTCGGTTCTCCGCGCGCGAGACATGTATTTGAAAGACGGAGGCATCATGGTTCCCAGCCACTGCAACATCCGCCTTGCCCCTATCTCGGATGCCAACTGGATAGCTGACAGCACGGGAGAGAAGTTCTGGAAAGACATCTATGGGTTCGATTTCTCGCCCATGATACCTGGTGGGCTCCTGAACACACACGAGATCGGCGTATTTGACGTCCCTGAGAAAGCGCTCAGTGGCTCTGCAACATCTCATCTGCTCGAGATGAAGACTGTTTCCGTCGAGGAGCTGAGCTTCAAAATTCCTCTACAGATGAAGCTCGACCGTGACGTCCAGTCTCTAGAAGCCATCGCCATATGGTTCGACACCATATTCATCCATTCCGGTAGCACACAGGACGTCAAGACACTAGACAACGTTGACTGGGGGAAGAATGGTATTCCTGGGCTTGGATTCTCAACTGGACCGGCGAACACGCCGACACATTGGCACCAGGCGGTCCTGCTACTGGATGAGAAAGTGGCGGAGAAGCAAAAATTCAAGGCTGGGACAGTGTTGGAGGGTACGTTGACGTACGCGAAGGAGAAGGGCGATGATCGGGGGATCACGGTGACGGTGGAGTGGAAGGGGCAGGGTGAGCAGGGTGAGGTCGTGGGGAACGTGCAGAGGACGATGGCTTAAGCTTGGTGATGAGCTATCAGGGTGGTTATGCGAAAAGTCTTTTTTGTTCTTGCGGCAGGGTATGAGCCTCAGGCGCTGGTATTAGATGGGAAGTTCGCGAATTCGAATTTGATAGAGTTCATCAAACGGACATTTAGAGTTTGGCAAAATCAAAGGAGGAATTCGGGTCTGTATGTCTAAAATGGCGCGCATCATTTTCAAAGTTCTGTCAAGCTCATGCTTCCACCACCCCGTCAAAAAAAACTGGACAGTTTTGCGCTTAGTCACTACCGAACTGGGTGACTAATCTCAAAAACTGTCCAGTTTTTTTTGACGGGGTGGTGCTTCCGCGAGGAGATCTGACGACACAGTGGTGGACCGTGCGCCTGCTCCTGATGTACCTGAGATTGGACAATGTTGTCGCGGCAGCGTCATCAACATCAGATCATCACTTGACCATCGTAGCAAGGTGCGCCTGAAGCTTAGAAGCTCTGCAAGGCTCCGCGACGAGCAGGAAAATGTGGAATCAATAGCATACTTCCACATCTCTCATGCGCGGCATTCTTCCTGGGCGTCCGCAGGCCAAGCTGCAGGCCGTCGCCCATGGCCTGTGGGAGGGCAACCAGCTCATTGTATGACTTCTTCCTGCGCGTCGCATATGCGCAAATTGCTGAGATTGATGCTGAACAGATCTACATCTCTGGAAACGCGTTCATTATCCTCGACCGCCCAAACCACGTCTTGCAGACCATCTACATCGACGAGGAGTTCGAGCTCGAAGCCGTCGCACTAGACAAAGGCACAGGCAAGATCGCGACATGCTCGACCAAGACCATATACATATACCAACCATACGGACAAGATGAGGGCGCTATCAAGGTGTGCATGCTATCTCAAGAAGGCGAGGCGTGATGCTGATTCGCGCAGTGGTCGCTGCAGGGCAGCATGGCACTCCCCAACCCAGACGACGCGATAACGACAATCTCATGGGGTATGCCCGACGAAGTACTTGTAGGAAGTGCCTCGCTCACCTTGTTCAATACCCACGGCGCGACAGAACAGATTTGGACGAAGCAGCTGGCTAATCCAGTCAAGTTCGCTCACTTCTCGCCTGACGCAGAGGCTATAGCCTCGACTGGCAGGCACGACCGACTCTTGAAGATATGGCGACGGCTTGCGTTTGGCTCCGCAGACCAATGTTTCGATCACTTTTATCTACCCCATCCCATGGCCATCACAGGTTTGCATTGGCGCCAGCCGCACGGTGAGCAGACAGTGGACAACGTATTGTACACGATTTGCGCCGACCACAAAGTGCGGGTATGGGTACCCGGGGAACATCATGGTGTTGACGGTATGCATTTGTGGGCTGATGTGGATCTGATGGCATCGATAAATCCGCGATCAATACCGCTAGACCAACAGTCAAGAAAACGATATGCTTTCTTTATTGACGGGAAATACTTCGCACAAGCAACAGAAAGAGCAATGCAACAAGCATCAGCAGAGGAGAAGGATCACGGTCTTGCGCATCATCATCTAATCGAGGTCGCTAACCGCAGCCCGGAGATATGTGTGGTGTTGGATGATCAGGGAAACATGTCGGCGTGGGGGTTTGAAAATGTAGGGGCCAAAGCTAGGAAGCTTACGGATGTTTTCAACATTGCGCATTCGGACGGCCTTCATTTGCACTTTGCAAAGAACCCTAAAGCACTCGAAGACAATGTCCAATTCTATGCGTTCATTGGTGACAAGCCAGACTCCGAGTTCACTCTTCTATCTCATCATTTCGACGGGCGCATAGAGTGGCTGGAGTCACGAATCGATTACCTCTTTAACCCATCACCGCAGACACAGCGCATTCAGAGAAAAGCAGTGTGGACCGGACATCTGCACGCTATCAAGAAAGTCAATCGGACAGCTAGCGGACGAGCGCTGGTGTCACGAACGATAGCAGATGAATGCATTGTGTGGGTACAACGACCAGCAGAGAGTGGAACAACACTCCATCGCCATAGCACCGTCAAGATCACTGAGCACATCCACCGTACAGCCTTGCTCCAGGATGGCAACTTCGTCGTCTTTCTGCATCATGAACACATCGCGTTGTGGGACACGAGAGGTCCGCTAGCAGTTGAAGTAACCCGTCGCGCATACAAACTACAAGGTAAGCCTTTGTGCTTGCTCGTCATTCCCGAAACGCAGACAGGTGGCCAGCTTCTGCACATTGCAACCATCAGCTCTGAGATGAACTGCATATGTTGGGAGGTCAAATTGCCCCTACCTGAAAGAGATCCCATTTCTGGTCGCAAGCTATCAACCGTTGTTGCGACCAATGGGCACACAAACGGATACTCACAGGGATCACTTGAAGAGTACTCAACATTCGATCTTGGATCAGGTGATGACCTGGCTTTCGTCCTGCCTGTAGACCCTGCGGGGACTGCGCCAGTGATATCGGGTTTTCTTGACACTTTTGCTCGCGATGTCGCAATTTCATATACGAAGTCTGGCGTCATCAAGTCATGGACTGCGCGAGTGAATACCGAGAAGCGGAAGCTCGAGTGGCTTCTAACTTCCACTGTCGAAACTGGCATACACAATCCTTCACTTGCCAGTGGCACGTCGATACGTAAAGCTGCATTGGTAGATGCTGAAAAGACAACACTGACAATATGGAACACAAGAAGCTCGCAACTTGAGTATGAAGAGACGTTCGAAGGGAATGGAGTCATTCAAGATTTGGATTGGTCATCTACGCCAGACAATCAGTCAATCCTTGCAGTAGGCTTCCCGCATCGCGTTGTCATTTACGCTCAGCTGCGCTACGATTATCTGAATGCTGGGCCATCCTGGGTACAGATACGACAGATACACATCCGCGACATCACACCTCACCCTATAGGCGACTCGGTTTGGCTGGGCAGTGGTAATCTCGTAATTGGCGCAGGCAACCAGCTGTTTATCCAGGACGAAGTTGTGGAGGTATCCGAGGGACTGTTCCCTAGCCTTCGCACTATTGCCCGCAAGACAGCTTCGATCGATATTTTTGAGGCTGTCAGCAGATTGAACGGTCCACTGCCGATGTATCATCCGCAGCTGCTATCACAGTGTGTTTTGGCTGGCAAGTTGCTGCTTGTTCAACGTGTCCTGCTACGACTGTACAAAAAGTTGAAGTTCTGGATTGAAGGTGAGGACTTTGACAGCACTTTGGGATTCTCAACGGAGGATTTCTTCGAAGATGAGGTAAGCACTTACCCCTCGTGGCTTTGACACAACGCTGATCCAAGTAGACTCATACCACTTCCTCAAGAAAAGAGATCCGCTCGTCCTATGCCGACTTCTCAGATGACGGCGAGCCCGAAACTGTGACCGAGGAGGTCGCTGTCAACCTCAACGAACTTCTTACGAAGAAACAGATACCGCTGCTCTCCAGTCGAGAACAATTTCGTCTCGCCGACATCGTCGAATGCATAGGCATGGTCGAGAAACATCGGCGCTCTATTGACGAAAACGCCGGTCGCTTTTTGCTTTTCTTCAGACAGCATGTTCTCAACGAGACGCAGAAGGGCCCAATTTCATGGCGAGAGATCATATGGGCTTTTCATTCCGGAAGCCAAGACATCCTGACCGATCTTGTGAGCCGGCACTTCAATGGGAAAATGATGTGGCAACATGCTAAGGAATGTGGGATATTCATGTGGATGACCGACATCAATGCCTTGGTCAGTCGATTATATCTTCCATCACCTCGACAACCTCACTAACGAATGTAGCGAGCCCAATTCGAGATCATCGCCCGGAATGAGTACACCAAGACTGACGAGAAGAATCCTGTCGATTGCGCACTATACTATCTCGCATTGCGCAAGAAGCCAGTTTTGGTGGGCCTGTGGCGTATGGCTACGTGGTCTAGGGAACAAGGTGCAACCCAGCGACTCCTTGCCAACAACTTCAACCAGGATCGATGGAAAACTGCTGCACTGAAGAATGCATACGCTCTGATGGGTAGAAGGCGGTTCGAGTATGCAGCTTCTTTTTTCCTGCTTGCAGACCATCTGCAGGACGCTGTTATGGTATTGCACAACCAGTTGGGTGATACTCAACTCGCTATCGCAGTGGCGCGAGTGTATGGTGGCGATGACTCTCCTGTTCTACAAAACTTCCTAAAGGATAAGGTCCTCCCTCAAGCTGCACGCGACGGCAATCGCTGGCTCGCCACCTGGGCCTATTGGCTGATAGGCCGCCGCGACAACGCTGTCCGCTCCCTTGTCACACCGCTCTCCCTTTTGCTTAGCCCACCGGAAACACCCAATTTCAAGAGCAAATCATACCTCACGGATGACCCCGCGCTGGTGGTTCTGTATAAGCAACTCCGCGAGAAGTCTTTACAGACTTTGCGCGGCGCGACCATGATTGGCATGCGCGAGGAGTGGGACTTTGTAATCCACACCGCGAACCTGTACGAGCGCATGGGATGTGACGTGCTCGCTCTGGATCTCGTGAAAACTTGGGAATTTCTTTTGCCCCCACCGACAAGGGTTATGCCGGGACGACCACCGCTCAGTCCGGCTATGCCGCGTGAGAGCTTCCATGCTCGTGGTCCGAATCAATCAGCACTGGACTTCGACTTTGATCCTAGGAAGCTGCTTAGAAGGCGGAGCTCCCTGGTTGTGGCTGACTTTCCGGTGCGTGAACACGGTAAGAACGAGCTCGCGGAACATGCAGGGGCAGTACAGGAAGAGAAGAATGAGGATGAGGAGGACAATGGCGAGGAGGCGAGAAAGGCGGAAGAGAAGGTCGAGCCTAAGAAGGAGGAGCCTAAGAAGAAACCGCCGCCTACTCAGTTCCATGAGCCGGATGCGAATAGTTTGTTGGATTCTTTTGGGTTCTAGAATGCGAAAGTCGGGTTGAGTTTGTTAGCTGGACATCGTCTTGAATTGGTGGGGATAGGTCCGCATAGTATGGTGTTGCGGAGGTTGAAGTCGGGTGCTGGTATTGAACCTGGGTGTTTCAATCTATCATTACTCGTCGCTGACATAGAATGCAGAGTCTTCGTGCAAGTATTCGTATGAATTCATGACTACATTGCTGAGACAAGATTCTAAGATTTCCTATTCATAATAGCACGCTTTACTTCAAGTCATGTTCTCGTGCTATGGCTCCCTGGTTTCCCGTTCGCGATTGTTCTTCTTCATGTAGATCCCTCCTCCAGATCGACTGTGCCCTAAAATGAACGGTCAACTACCAGCTCATAAGCCCTTTCTCTCAATATTTGTTCTTTTTCATACGCCTGTTTTCATCTCTCACCACGTCCAAAGGTTCCTTTCCACGCTTGCCAGGACCACTCGTGCGCCTTTCTGGCTGCGTCGCGTTGCTCATCAAAGCATCTTTGCTGCTTTGTTACGCCGTGGAAACACTCGTTTCTCATATTATTGGGACCTTCGCGTCTATCACCTTGCTTGTCACGCGATCTTGCGGCCTATAAAGCTTCGAACCTGGTCTGGATGTAGTTGTTTCAGTATCAGCTGGATCATATACCGCCAGGCCATGCTCATTGTATACATTAGTCGCACGTCACTGGGTCAATCTGAACTTGAACTTGGGTATGTGAGTCATTTCACAGGTGTATATCGACTATGAAAAGGTATCATGAGGGAAGGTGGTACTGAAGGAGGAAATCCGCTCGCTAGTCCGTCGCGCCATGTCTGCACTTTCACCGACATCTCATTCGTTCACTTATCATTCTCATCAACCGTCTGCTTCTTCTTCAGCGATGGCGCTGAGTTGGAGGGCCCCGCCATCGGAGACGCAGGTGCTGAAGAGAAGCCGAAGATGTCATCTTCTTCCGCTTCTGCGTTTGCCTCGGCCTCCGCATCTGCTCCCTCCTCGTCAGTGTCCTCAGCCCGCTCACGCCTACCCTTGCCCTTGCCCTTGGAAACTGCAGTCGACTGTGGTGCTGATGTCGACGCCGCTGTCTGAGACTCTGCTGTCTGAGACTCCGCTGCCGAGCCAGACGCAACAGGCCTCGGGGGCGCTGCCGGCGCGATGTCACCAGCTGCTGGAGTCAATGGGATCCGAGTCGCCGCCACAGGAGGATTGTCCAGCACAGGGAAGTCCGCGAGAGCAATAGCATTCTCCGGGAACTGCTCAGCGACAGTCAGCACGCGGCCATGCTCGATGTACTGGCGCAACTGTTTCGCGCGCTGCATCAAATCAAGCACCACCTTGTTCTTCTTTGGATGCGCCGAGACGATCTGGCTGCGCACCGAATCCCGATTCCGGCTGCCTCCTGCCGCAGCGTTGATGCGGGCTGCGATGTACTCCATCTCCAGGTCACCCCACACCCCGCCGTCAACCTGGAACCCGAACGTCTCGGCGCCGTGTGTGTGACAGAGGTAGTTGATGCTGTCATACATGACCCAACGCTCCAACGTCGTCCAGTGGTCCTTGAACACCGTAGGCATATACGTGCTATCGCGGCGCCGCTGGATCTGCTTTACCCACTTGTTGTATGCTGTCGAGTAGGCGCTGTTGTTGGGATCAACGTTCTGCAGCTTCGAAAGGCCGACGTAGGCGTCGATGTAACGGTGCGTCGCCGTGTCGAAACGACGGAACAAGATGATCGGCTTCCATACCTTGCCGGTTGGATGCTCCCACTGACCTCGCGCGGCGACGTACTGCCACACACGTCCCTTGGAGTCTTTCCGTGGGATCGTGGCGATCTCGAGCGAGGGGATGAAGTGAAAGTCACCTGAGGGCTGGGCCGTGGTGTCGATCTGCGGGAGGTGGTCGGTTTGTGTGTAGACGCCGCCGTTGTAGGGGTCTGGGATCGTGTAGGTTGACACAACGATGGCAGGGTCGGTAGGGTGTTGAGTGAACACTTCCTGGTTGTGAAGACGAGCAGGTACCTGCTGTTCGGTCGTCCAAGTTGTGGGAGCTGGCAGAGAGGCAGTGCTCGCTTGAACAGCATCTTCATCCTGCGAGTCGTTGTCTTCATCGCCGACATAGTCGTTGCCGCCACCGAGTTCGAAGATCTCGTCATCGAGGTCCTGTTCTCCATCGTCGGCCAGGGCAGCCAGATCTTCGTTGTCATCTAGCGAGTGGTCAGTTTACCTCCCGCGAATGTGAACGGACTTCTTGCTTACCTTGGGCATTTTCCTCGTCAATGTTCATCTCTTGTCCGTCTGCCTGCTGCTCTGGCACCGCGTTCGCCTCGCTCGAGGTTTCGGAGTAAAGGACCAGTGGCTCCTTGGGCGAGCTTGCCTGAGCGGGGGTGGGGTTGTTCGACATCTTGGAGTTGGCACGTATGGATGTGAATTTGGATCTGAGTGAGCAGATATCAGTAGGTGTTCAAGGAGATAGCTGTCAGTGGAATGGGCGGTGGTTGACCCAGCGAGGGCTCACAAGGTGGAAGGAGAAGGAATATGAAAGGACAAGAGGGAGAACTTGGGTACCTTAGAGACGAGGTGAAGACTTGATCGGTACCTCCGACTATTCACTCGTGTCAGTATTGATTGCGTCGTAAGAGCCAAGCACAACTTACATTTGAGGTTTCAAATGGGTCGTCGGTAGGATGGGTGTTTAGTACAAGATGGGAAGGAGAAAGGTGTAGTGAGCGAAATAGCAAACTCGTAAGGGCTACTATTTGGCTTGTCGTTCAGTGATTGTCGTGTGGGCAAGAGCAAGAGCTGGTAGCAATCAAGTTGTTCGGTTGTACAAAGTTGAAGGATTAGGGCGAAGTTGAGTGGTCTATATAAGTAAAGAGTGTTGGATCGCGCGTGTGTTTATAGTTGGAGCGCTGGGTGGAGCCGAGCAAGAACGGGTGGGTCAGGGAAAGCTACCAGAGCAGTGAAAGAGTTCAGTGCCTTTGCCCGACAACATCGTTCACGAGATACATTGTGAGCACGGAAAATAAGTATATCGAAGGTCTAACCTTTTCACTGCTACCTAGATTTTGATGACATTTATGCTTAGTTATAGCAAATGCAAGCCCTCACTGCTAGTGGGCGGCTCTCAAGCAAACCTATTCAACGTGATCTTATTTCCTACCAGCCTTTGGATTGCTTCGAACCTCGTGCTGCGTGCTGGCTGGATGTCCTCAAAGAGATGTGTTTCCCATTATCCAGCAGGGGTGGACTCTGTCTTCGTCCCGCACTGTGGTCACTCAAACGACTTCACTTCGTTACTCGCATAAGTGAATACTTTTGTATAGATAGCCTTCAGATCCAAGATCCGGCTCCTGTGCACCCACAAACGATTGATCAGATGAGAACTCATAGGTTTGTATCGTATTGGTCAGCTGATACAATGCTGAAAACACACTGCTTGTCGTTGGTCATGATGGCGGATTGAAATTGTCGTTCTATCTATGACCCCGCATATAAGACCTCACTTCGCTTCTCATGAGGCACATTCAAATCATAGATCCAGATTACTGTATATTCATCGTTCTGTTCAATCTTCAATTGATTATATCTGAAAAATTTCGAATCTATCCTAACGCCAATCTCTGCGGTCATGAACAAAACTATAAGAAAAATACTTCCTCAACCCGCTACTGGCTGCAATCCCACGCAGTCCTATTCACACATCATTCCGGTTCAAAGAACTACCCACAGCATTTGTCCTTCTTCACCACTGGACTCGGGTTGGTGCTTAAGATGTGCACGGTGCTTGCTTCAATGATTCTTCTCCGATGGTGATGAAGGAGGCGAGAGCGTGGCCTGCGAATCATCATCTTCAACGTTCACGTCGTATTCATCCACTTCTTTGTCCAAATCGCTGTCCATATCAGCGTCGATGGTTTGCAGACCTTTGTCTCCAGTGGTGGGCCCTTCGGAGAGTGGGATACCTTCGATGGGATATCGCTCCTTGTCGGGCACGTCTTCGCTCTGCTCGATTCGTTTCTTCATATCTTTAGCTTGCTCAGCTAGAAGGTAGACGGGGCTTTGCTTGTTTCGAATCGCAGTGTTTATCTGCATCTTCAAAGCGTCGGGCGTTCTTGACCGGTTCAGCACCTGATTGACTTCATCCGCGGTTTCCACCAATGCCTTGACCTGTATCGCATTCGGGCCGAACTTATCCAGACCATTCTTACGACACCAAACGTTGATGGCCTTGTATAACACCATACGCTCCTCCTCTGTCCAGTGATCACGGACCATTGTTGTCTCCTTCGTCACTCGACGCCGGATCTGATTGACCCACTGATTGTACAACCGTTTATACAGATAGGCGTTGGGATCAGCGTCTTTGATCTTAGTGAGGTCAATGTGAGTATTGATATACTTGCTTGTGTCCGAGCGGAACTCGCGGATCACAACGATCGGCCTCCAGATCTTCCCGTCAGCGCGCTCCCAATCCTTCGTAGACGGCCTATATACCCATAGCTTATCCTTGATCTTGGGTGGAATGAGAAGGCTCAACGGTTCAGGGACCAGGAATTTCCGGGGCTTTGTGGTGCCGTTTTGGTCCGCATCCTCAGCATCGTGCAGTTCTGGGATCTCGTCGACCTGCGTGTACCACTCGTCGGTCTCAGGGTTCTTTTGCTTGAAGAAAGCGATGACTTGTCTTGAGTTGTCATCAGTGTCAACGTCGAACACTTCGCCCTCTGCACGCGTCACCTGCTTGGGGAACACGTAATGCTCTTCGACCAACAGCTGGCAAAATTGAACAAGGCTTGGATAGTCCTCCCGATTTTCCCCTGCTCCGCTGATGCCTTCCTCCAGCCGAATTTTCCGATAGCGTTGGATGTCCAGTTCATTGATGGTGAAGTACCAGTGCGTCTCTCGAGTCTTGTTGTCAACTGTCTCGGTCTCTGGCCACCAAACAGAGTTTTTGTCCGAAGCTTCTTTGATACGTGCTATCAGATTTGGAACCAGCCGCTCGCACTTGGCTTCAAATTCTAGCATCTGCTCTGGGGTACGCGTTGTGGGGTTCTGGACGATTTTGCCGTCACCATCCAAAAGACCTTGCTGGAATGCGTCGAACTGACGCGCGACTCCTGAGTTGAGGTAGTCGATGAGCGGCATAGATTTGTCGAGAGCAAGCGTCAGTAGGAGATGGTGGTATAGTGAAATCCAGAGCTCCTCGTCGGTGTCACCGGCAGAACCTTCGCCGCCGTGGGCGGTAGGAATGCCGTTCTCTTGCTCAGTCATTAAGCTTGTATCCACCTGAGCCGTCTTGGGTATGACATCGTCTGTGTCGTTCTGGGTTGGCAGGGCGGTTGTCTCCCACGTCGTGAGGCCCGAAGGCAGTGCAGAGCTGTTTGCTGTTACTTCGTCGGTAAACAGGGCCGGTGAACTGTGCGGAGAAGACATGTCGTGGGTATGTCGTTCGCGAGTAGGTGGAGAAATTGGCTGGCAGTGCGTTTTGTGTTAGAAGTAGTTTGTGGTGGGTAGAGATGTTGTGAGGTCTGTGTGGTACGGGAGGGTCAAATCCTATAGATAGTGAGGAGGGCTAGTAGGGACGGTGAAAGAGGGCCTGAAAAAGAGAGTGAAATGAGCAGCGACCTTGTTCCGGACCAATGTATGTTATATGTCCACGATGTGAGGTTAGCAAATTTATATCTCACGAGCTCCAGGGAGACACAATGCCAGCTTCACAAAGTTCAGGCCTTCGACTACTCATGGGCTTCGTATCGAATTGTAGATCCAAAATCTAAAGCCAGACTCTTGAATTTCTCGGGTTTGTCCTCAAGCAGGTTCGCGCCTCCATCTAGCTGGACTCCTGGTCACAATTTGAACCACACTGTTGAGTCTCATAACCTCTCGGTGGTCTTGTCCCCCAGATCCGGGCGAGTAAATCATATTTTTGAATAGCAGACATTCGAACTAGTGGTTGTTGGTGGTGTATTGCGCACGGGCCACAAGCACTACTCGGATTCCCGCACTGCTGTACTTGCTTGCTGGAAGAATAAGTGTTGGTGTTTTGTACTTTGATTCGTGTCGACGAACGTGCCATCTTACTAACCCATGACAATGTAGATATTGCTATTCAAGACCTAGAACGTTCAGTCATGGTCTATCAATACCCGAGAGTAGGATAAGACAGGCGTAAATATTTACGTTAACCATTGAATATCCTTTTCTGGACTCACGAACATGTGCGATAACTCGTTCAATTGCTGACCAAGGGCATATATCTTATAGAATTCGAAAAAGATGGATGAGCAAAGCAAGGTAGATACTATGAACTTGGGCGCCATGATTGAGGACGAAATGATGAACTCTCAACTCTCGATAGCCACAGTGGTTACTTGTTCTACAGTCGCCTTTCATCAGCTTCTCATCTGTAGGACCTCGTCTCAATGAAGGTTACTGTGAAGTATAATGGCTCTTTACTGTGAATTTCTCCCTCAAAATACATGCAAGTAAACATATGATCAACCACTAACGTATGTCTGCATACATTCATCGATGGGGAGAACGCTTGGAAACAATCTATAAATTCAATTGTTAGTTATTCTAGTAAGACCCTGCTTGATATACTGCGCTGCAGTAACGACCAGATCTTCGCCGATAGATATAGTAGCCATCAACGGAACGAGCGGTGAATGTTTTTGGCGTTGACAAGCTCGAGAAACTCAGCGAGTCTTCAAACGATCAGTCGACATTCTTCGTCCTGAATCTACATTTTCAGGTACTTGACGTGTAATACGAATCCAAGCATGCTGCACTTGTCAGGTTCGTAGGTTGTTCTAGTTCGTCAGGGACAAATCTGAATGATGCTGGTTTGGTTCTAACTTGGGACTCCTATTGATAGACAATCGTGACGGTTGCGTGACGTCACGCATGTTGTGAATTCCGCCCAAGCATTTACGTCTTGGCTTACGAATATCTCGAACGAACCTTTTCGTTTTATGTGATCTATTTGGCTGGTTGCATGTCACATCCACATGGGAATCTTGATTTTCTGCAACGCAGAAGCACGACCAATCATGGGCGTGCGGGGAAAGGTCGTAAATTTCGCATTGCTTGCTCGTTTAGTCTAGTGTTTCACTCGAGGCTTGGTCGGGCTGAGTCGGGCTGTTTTATCCTAAAACGGCTTTTACAGCTGGTCAAGTTCAGTCTAGATCCAGCACCTCAGATCAAGGCAAGAGCGTATAACTAATTGTTGGTGCCACAAGCTTGTTAAATTCCTCTTGTAATTGTATTTACCACTTGTTACCAAACGTTCTGCGTCAGAGTTTGGAAATGTCGAAGTCAGGTGTATACACCAATGAACGCGCTGTTTCCCCACCAAGGGAGGCTGCACTTACGGAAACCTCTGGGTATTCCTATTCCAAACTCAAACAGCATATTGGAGCTTTGCTGACGGCTGCTTTTTCCCTTCTCCTCCTCATACTGACCATCGCGTACGCGTTGCGCTGGATTGGAGTTTCTCGATATCGAGCGATAGGAACTTCACGAACCTACACGATCCTTATTCTTCGTATACTCTCGGAAATGACGACCACCTTGTTAGGTCTCACACTCGCCTTCACGATCGAGAGAATACAATGGCATCAAATTGTCCGCGAGAAGGGGCAGCCTTTCCTTAGCTTTCTGGGACTTGCTCAAGGTACTGGCATCTTTGGCCTTGCAAAACTCTCGATTAAGAAGGGACCATTCACCGCATCGTGGCGATGGTGGAGTGCTTCACGATTGCTCATCATCGCAACTCTGCCTATTCTTAATGTTGTTATATTCGGTAAGCAGGTCCATAAGTCTGTCGAGAAACAGAACACTGCTCATGGATGCGAAGGAAACATACACACACGCCTCAGTTATCGCATCGAGACAACCAAGAGTGGAGCGTTCAACATGGGTATGGGCAACTTCAATGTCTCTACCGCGCAGAACTTCGCATCGCTTGCTGGTCTGATCTTCGGAATTGACTTTCCAGACTTCTTGTCCGACTCCAGGATAGCAGTGGATATTACACCTTCGCGTGAAGATACCGTCCCATGCACCCTCGGTGTTTCGAAGAGCAGCAGACAAACATGCAACCAAGTCTTCTATGTACCAGGAACGTACGGAGATCTTGACCTGCTAAAAAATCAAACCTTGCCACACGCAGACCTCATCGTCGTTCATGACATAAGGGGCTATCAACTTGACTTTCACACGCCTGAAGAAAACATCGACATCGAATTCAACTTGGAAAATGACTGCGGTGTGTACGGAAACAACGTGGTCGCATTCCAGATCTGTTTCCAAGATAAAGAGGATGAAATTGCAATGCGTATGTATATGTATCTGACTAAATGCTATAGCTTCCAAAATTAACATTCACACAAGGGATGAACACCTGTTACAACTTGACGGACACGGCTGCCTGCTTGTCGGATACTGAATGGCGACGCCTGCCAGGTGTTTCAAGCAATCTGAAAGTCAATGCTCGGCTAGGCACCGTAGGATTTAGCCGCCTCAACAGCACAATACAAACATACGAACTCGCTGACGACGTAAAACCTGCCCATGTTACCGCGGGGCAGCTTTCAGACGCTTTCTATGGTTTCTTCACAGGGCGTAGCCGAGAGGAAGACAACGACATACCGTCTGAATGGACAGACCTCATGGCGTCTGTGGTAGGTGGCCTTACCGGGAAAGTTGATATGGCTCCCATATTTATCGCTATGTTTTTTGCTACAGGACCCTTACTGTACAGCAGCCATAACGAAGGCGCTCGCAACGTCTATGCTCTTCACTCGCTGGTAGCGAAGGTGTTATGGTGGTGCTCGATTCCGATAGCCAAGTCTACCCCAACCGTGGGAACCGAGACGTCTGACACGACCTTGAACTTAACAGACATACTCAAAGATGGTTTCGATACAGGAGGGCAAGCAAGGTATTCGCTTGCTACAACAACGTACGAACTTATCGTTGGCAAGGAGACAATTGTCGCGTATAGTGTTTTGGGCGGCGTGGTGTTAATGTGCTGTATAATCGCTTTGGTGTTCAGCATAGGGCTCATAGGATCTATAAACGGGGTACGGTGTACTCCCAAGACAACATCCTTCCCGGAACTGGACAATCTGCCATTAGACTTCGGCTCTGTAGGAAGACTCTCAAGGAACGAGAGAGTTAGTCTTAGGGATGATAGTCTCGTTCGAAGTTCTGTCACTCTCTCCAACAATCGTTCTATCTAAGTTTTGGAACGAAAGACGAACCAATAGGTAATCTAAGTTTGGTAGAGGTAGGGATCTGGTTTAAATGTATAGACCTTTTCTCCTGGTAGTCTCGAGAATAATAACTCCAAAAACTTTACACTCTTCTACATACGACTATAGGACGTTAAAAACAAGGCTTCCTGTTTGCTTAGCCCTATTTAAGTAATGTACTAGCAGACTAGTAGTTAGGTATAAAAAAAAGGTTAAATATATATATATTTTTTTCTTAGTAAGAGCTTATTGCGTAAATTAAATTCTAGCCTATCTAATACTATATTAATCTTAGGTTATATACAGTTTAAAGCTTAACTACCTAGCTATTAAGAAACTAGGGGCCTAAAACCTAACCTAATAGTAAGTTACTCTAGATTAGTATATATATAACCTAAGATATAGCAACGTAAGCTATAATATAATATAAGCTGTAACGTAACGTAAGCTGCAACGTAATATAAGCTGTAATATAACATAAGCTATAATATAATAGTATTAGAGATAGTAGACCTAGGATTTTAAATACTAAATAATAGTAGTAATAAGTTTAGATAAAAGAGAAAACCTAGGCTAATAATTAATTAAGATAACTATTAGTTTTACTATACTTATATTATAGTTAAGTTATAATAACTTAGATATAATATTATTTATATTTTTTATAATAGTTAGACTATTCCTACTTTATAGTATATAGATTAAGTATAATATATTAGAAATATCTTTACTTTCTTCTTTATTTTTATCCTTTTCTATTAACTTTTAAATTAATATTAAATAGCCTATAGTATAATAAAGATTATAAGTAAATTATCCTATATATAATTAGTTTTAAAATAGAAGAAGTATATAAAAGTATAACTACGTACTAAGTTAGAATTAAGTAGTTAGAAATAAATTTTAATCCTTATTACTATTACTAAGAATACTAATAATATCTATATTAGCTATATTCTCCTTAAATAGCTCTTCTAGTAAGATTACCTATATAGTAAGTTAGCTAACTTAAAATAAAATATTATAAATATACTTAGAATTTAATATAAAGAATACTCTTAAGCCTTAACTTTTATAATATAACCTAAAAATAAAGATCTATCTTAATAAGTATAACCTTATTACCTTATACTAGATAAAGAGATACTATTTTTTAGTTAAATTTCTTAAATATTTTTAACTAGTAATTCTTTATTAGTTTATAAAGTTTAGTAAATAATAATCTATTTACTTTATTATATTCTAGGTAGGCTAGTATAGATTATATTAGCCTATCTATCTCTATAATTATATTACCTATTACTATAATTAAGAGTATATTCTAAACTATCTTACTATTCTTACTATAGTACTAAATTTCTATTTATAGGAAACCTAAGTTAATATATATTCTAGTATCTAGTTAAAGTAATTTATCTAAGCCTTACTTTATTTAAGAACTATATAAAATCTTTAAAAAAACTTTAGTTTAGATAGTAAAGTAAGCTAAATTTTTCTTTAAAGCTATCTTTATCTATACTAATATAGTAGAAAGCTACTTATAGATTATATTTCTACTTTAGTATAAATAAATATATATATTTTTCTAAAGAACTTAGTATAGTAATATCTTATCTATAAGTTCTATAATTTCCTAGTTAGTAGTCTAAGTTAATAAATTAATATTATAAAAGTTATCTTTAAGTAGTATAAGGAGTATATATCTAAATAGTATAATATACTTTATATATAATATCTTAAAGCTATTATAGAAGTTATATAAGCTAAAGTTAAAGGGCTTTTTATAGCTAATAGGTTTTATTTTACTATTATAATAGAATCTAATTATTAGTTAAAGGTATTTAGTATAAGGTTCTTTAAAGTAAGCTAGCTTAAATATATTAATATATTACTAGAGTATTAGAAGTTTTAGGTAAAGGTTATTATTTTACTTCTACTAAATACCTATAAGATATATAATATTTTATATATTAAGTCTAACTTACTTACTTAGTAAGAATTATTAAGTTAATACTAGCTATTTTAATATCTTATTTTTTATAGTTATAAAAGTAGCTTATATAAAAAAATAGTAGTAAAAGCAGTATAGTACACTCTATAAAAGTAGGTAATACTAGTAACTTAGAAAAAAAGCTAGGCGTTTAAATAGTACTATAATAATATTAAAACTAAGCTGTATTTTATAACTAAAGTTCTACTATAGCTTATTAGTTTTATTATATTATACTCTAATAGTAAACTTACCTTTCTTTACGTATATAAATACCTAAAGCCCTAATAAAAGTAGCTATTAGTAGCTAGGTAGTAAGATAAGCTAAACTAGGTAGTATAAATATTATAAGCTAGCTAGTAGCTAGTAGAGGTAGTTAAGAGTATAATATTCTAAAGAGTATATTAGTATATATAGTATTAGTATAAATCTTAGCTAGATATTCTATTAGAAAAATAGTTACTTTACTATAGAAGAGAAAAGATATAATCTAGTAGGTAAGTAGAAAAGAGTAAGGTAGTTAACTAGTTATATAGGTAAGTTTATATTTAGTAGTAATAATATAGAGTTATAAGTTAAGTATAAGCTAGGTATTAAACTAGGCTAAAAGTAAGAGGTAAAGAGGTTACTAAACTTAAACTATATTATATTTAAGTAGGTAAGTAAGAGCTACTAGGTTAAAATTCTTTATATTATTAGTATAAAATATAAGGTTAAAATACTAAGAAAATTAGAGTTAACTTATAAAGTATAAACTAGTAACTAAAGTATAATAAGGCTAGTTATAACACGTTAATAGTATTAGCTAAGTTAAGATTTAGTATATATTATCTTTACTTATATTACTTAGGTATTTATAAAAGGTAAAGGCTTTATAATTATTACTTAGTTATATAATATAGTAGAGTATAGTAATATTTAGAATATAAATACTTAATACTTAAGCCTTAGCTACTTTTATATATATCTCTCTTTATACCTTTTATACTTAGTTCTAGCTATATTATAATTCTAAAACACTATAGTTAATACTCTACTCTTATATTAGCTAATATCTACATAGGTTTCTATAATAGGCTTTTAGGCTATTATTTTCTTAAAACTCTACTAACTTATTCTTATAAACTTTAACCTTACTAATATTTATATTATTTATACTCTGTCCTAATTTATATAAGGTACTGCTAAAAGGACCTTTATTAAACACTTTTAAGGTATTAATATTACTTTTATAAAAGCTAGGTTAGTATAACTTCTCTAGCTATTCTTACTAGCTAGCCTTATAGCTATTATTAATAGGATTAATATTAGAGTTAGTACTTTAATTCTATGCTAAAAGAGCTATTATATTCTTACTAACTTAAGAAATAATATTAATATCTAGTATATCTTTAAGAATATAAATATAGACCTACTTTCTAATAGGTATATCTTATAGATAGCTATACTTTAAGAGTTAATATTAGTAAATATACTAGCTAGAAATTGTAGTATAACTTTTATACTTATAAAATATCTTTAATAGTTTTCTATACTAAAAGAAGTAGTAGTCTATAAAGATAGTCTAGTTATAGCTTATATAAAGATACTAGGCTATTTTAATATATATAATCTATTAAGCTTTTCTATTTTTACTATTGTTTAAAGTATTAGTAAAGTAGAACTAGAACTTAAGTTATTCTATATTATTTACTATAGTAAAGGTATTTACCTATATAGTTTTTTATACTAGAGATAAAGTAGCTAACCTATTTAAGTATAATATTTAGAGTTCTAGACTTATTCCTTAGCTTAACTATATCTAGTAAGTTATTTTTATATATATTTAGTAATTCTAGTTAGTATATAAAAGCTAATCTTAATAGATTATATACTTTCTTTAGTATATCTAAATACTCTTAAGCTACTTTAAATATTATTCTAGCTAAAATACCTTACTATATAGTTTCTTTACATAAGCCTTAGCTAGACCTACCTATATTAACTTTATAGTATAATTATAAAGTGTCTATTAAGTTTTTTCTTAGTAGGTACTATAGTAAATAGTTTTCTATTTACCTCTTTTATTTCTACCTACGTAGCTCTTTAGTAGCTTAAGTTTATAGGGTATAAGTTTAAGATCTAGTAAAACCTCTAATAAATCTTCTTATATACTATAGCTTTACTAGATATAGTAGCTTTTTCTATATCTAGTTTATAGATATATAGCTAGTTAGTTTAATACTGCTCTTTATTATCTTATCTACTAGTAGTAAGACTAAACGTCTATCTCTATAGAATACTAGGCCTAGAGTATAATTAATATATATATAAAATATAGGTACTATATATTTATATATTAGAGGAGTACATTATAGAATAACTTCTTTAGGTTAAGCTATATCTTTAAGTAAGCCCTACTTATTATTATAGTTTAGATAAACGTAATTATATAGTAACTCTATTTATATTATTAATCTTATTTTAATAATAAGTATAATCTATAATTTAGTATTTTTTCTAAGTAACCTATAAGTTAGCTAAGTACTTCTTATTATAAGACTACTTTCTAGTAGAAATAGATTTTCTACTAAACTAAAATATATACTACTCTATAATAAGTTAATACTATATATAAGAGAAGTTATTTAGTAGTTAAATACCTTCTTAATATACTTAAATTTAATTTTAATTATAATAGATATACCTAAAAAGATAGTATTAATAATATTTATTACTAAAAGTTAATTTATAAAAGATATTTCTAATATAATAATACTAATATATAATAAACTAGTAA